GTTTGGCCCTGTCGATCCTGTGTTCCTGCATGTCTTGTTCTGCCTCTAGGCAAGGGAGAAAATCTCCCCGCCCAAATCCTCCTCATGCATCCGACCCGTACAATCTGAAGTAACGGTGTGTCGGCAATCGTGTTATGATGGCGGATTCCGCCATCGGTCTGACCTACCGTGCGCCAGGTAGGGCTTGCCTGCGTGGCTGTAATATGGTACACCTCTGAGCCCTCAATGAATCGCCATCCACATTGTTTTTTGACTTTGAGATTTGCTAGGATATATTGGCGCTAGATATTGGTTGCTATACTTTGAAAGGACCCTCGCTTGAAAACATTAAACTCGAGTTACATGTCAGTTCCAATACTGTACCTACATACAAACGTCGGGTAATCCATACTCGCCACAGAATTTCCATGAGCCCAAGATTTTCGTTTACTTATACAGTAGCGGCGGCCTCTCCAAGACCTGCAGTTGGTTATACATACAGAACGCACCGGTATCATATCAGAATAGGATGGTATCGACGAAAAACAGTCCTACGCCCGCCGAATACTGTACGTCCCACCTGCAAACTAGCTACTCGGAGTACCTGTCTGCCTGCGGCACTGCGGGCGTTCTAAACCATGGAAAGCCTCTCGGTGTTCCGAATACATAACAAAAACTCCACATCGAAATAACGGTTTTCTCTCAGGGCCGTTCCGACAAGCAGAAACCATGGTAGAGACCGGCCGAGCTGAACGCGCGACCGCTAAAAAGATCTGTATTTGACTCGTGGAAAGTGCGGCCGTCGAACACAGCCCTGGGGCTCCATGCACCGTAGTGTCCTCGTACGGCGGAAAACTCTTCGTTTGCGACCTTCGCCCCGCCCCGTTGACGGCTTCCTTTCAATTTTGGTCCACTGTGGTTTGGACATAAAAAACGGAGCGACAGAGTGGCGGTTGTCGAATCAAGCGGGTACCATACGCACAAAGACGGAAATTCAGATCGGGTATGCTTTTGATCTTGCAGAACGTGAATTGGCGATTAAGATGGCGAATAGACTATTTAAATCGAACACCAAAGGTACCTGCGACAAATCCCGATCTTACTCGTCTATCTTGAGGCTCAGCGCTATCTCAAATTTCCACAATTAGGAGCATCGTCAAAGTCAAATACCATAAGACGTCAATAACCCTATCCTCGAACACTATCCTAAGGTACAAGTATGCATGAGCAAACATAAAAGCACGAAAATAATGGCTCTCTTCAACTTTCTGTATCTGCAGCTTCATTACGTATTGAACATGGACTTGACCGGTGAAAATTTTTTTGGTATGGCCCCTCTGCGGAGATCTATAACGTGAAGTTTTTCTTTTCTGCAGCGCGGAGTGGGCTCCGCTCCACCACGTCAATTAATTCTTCCCCTCCGGTTGATCCTTAAGCTGGCAAGATTCCCGGGTCGTCGAGAAGGTGCGTCAAACGTGCATCACAGCACAGCCCTGGAGCCTCGAAAAGACGCACATTTGCCTTTCTCTGAGCAGGATGCTCTACTTTCACCGCAGTGTTGCTTCTGCGTACAGACCATACAAACAGAAGTAGCTCACGAGACAACAGTACTTCATTTCCAGCTCTGCCGATCGGGATTTCTCTCGATCGCAAGGGATTATGACTTAATGCTTGTCAATCTTCTCCAGTAACTACTGGAACTACACGCAAAAATCTTCGCGTGCCCCCATAGCGAATAAGCGTGGTGCTAATTAACAACGCGAACCCGATGGTCAGGACAATATGACCCTCTTTGGTAAAGTGACTGATCCACCCGGGCATGCCTGTGGAGGCTCAACCATGGGTTTAGGCTGGTTTTGGGCCTCTCCTATTCCCCACCCCTTTTCTTTGCAGCTGAACATTGGTCAATCCCTTTTTACCGGCGCTCTTTTAGACTTTGCTGGCATCGATGTTCTTCTGCAGCAGGGATGACCCCAGACTGCTTGTGGACTTGACTCGTAGGACAAAGTAATAGTTTGTGAATTGCTCCCTGCTGCCAATTTAAATTGTCCGATTGAAAGCCAAAGTTGAAGGCAATCGGAGCAGTAAGGCTATCCAATACGAGGCTAATCCTAACATAGCCTAGTGTAAAAAAACCGAGTGGGGAATACCCGTCGTGTAAAGAACAAACGCTCCACTCCAGAACTTTCTGTATAGTACGCATTACTTTACCCCAGCCCAAAAGGGATAAATTGGCCTCACAGTCTGCGTGTTCTGGCAGGCGTGCGGTCATGGACACGTTGCCTAATTCTTCCCAGTCCTCCAACCCCAAAAGGTCGGCCTGCAGTTGCAAGGATCTTTGATCTCGCAGATCGCGCCGCCCATATTTCCAGTCGGAGTTAGTGGCTCGGCTTGGAACTATGCCGTCATCGCCGTCTCGCGTCCCACACTTTGCCTTGGTTGTGCGTGTTCGCTTTTATTTACTGTCTACTGAGACCAGGAACCACGTCCATGTGAATGATTTCGAACGAAGTCAGTTGACCATCGTTCGACCAACTTGAAAGAGACCCCGAAAGCTGCCCATTGCCCAAATCGCTTCCCGGCAGACATGCATTGGCGGCTCGGCCACTGTCCGGATGCGTATGGAGTCCAGTATGCGAACCAGGCTTAAGTTACCAAATTGATTGCCAACTTGGCGCGAATCCCTGTCGCTCACACGCGTGTTCATTCGGCCGTCGCGTTCGACACCGCGTGTATAATCTTTGTCGATTGTCGATCCGGATATCCCAATTCCCTCTTCGAGCCCGACGAACTGAGCTAATCCTCCCAAACCCGGGGCTGGGTTGGGGATGTCCTGGGCTTCCCCAGCGCGCCTCTTCTCCCTTTTTCGGGCTAGAGCGAGGGCATACCATGGCGGCATGCGATGTCTAGCCCAAGATCTACAGTGGAATTCAAGGTTCACCACCCGTGTCCGAGCCCAGCGCTGCGTTCCGCCTCTTAAGCACGCGCTCCGGCGAAATGACGCTCCATCGGTGGCGATGCACCAGCCCGCGCTGAAAGGTCGCACCTTGCCACTTGCCAATTGCAAATTCTCTGGGACGCGACCAGCTCGGAGCGGAACCCGGTTCTCGAGGCGGGGTTGAGGGGGGAGGGGGGTGGGGGTGGCGCCGCGCAGATCTAAAGAGATCGCGAACCCAGTCTCGGGAGTGGAGAGGGCAATTTAACTCAGATTAAGGCATCATGATACGAGCGCGGCCACGGGGAACGGATTTCTCGCAGGATCGATGACAGCCACTCGTGCGGTTTTGGCAGCGATAGTGCGATCACATGGAGTTGACCGGGAACATCTAGTGCTTATTTCGCCCTCAGGAGCTGCTGTTGGAGCGCCCGAGCCCCCTCTTCAGTCCTTAAAAACGGAAAGTCAACCATGGCATAGCCGCAGCTCTAACCTCCGGAACCAGCGGACGAACAGCCGCGCCATTCAATGGATATCTGAACGAGACATTTGCCCCATCTATCGATCGAAGCTTCCCCACCCTGACAATGTCAGTCAAGTCAAAATGGTGGGCAACTGAGGTGGAGCACGATATCCCGAGGTCGACCTTCCCCTCTTCCGCATTTCTGCCGTGATAGCATCCAATCAACGCCAATTGTCCAAGTCGCTGGTTGTTCCCACTGCCTGTTGATCGCGGGCAAAGGCAGTCGAATGCGGGCTGCAATGTTCCAACCTCGATACACCCTATCAGAACTCCGAGAGTGTCGGATCACTCTGGAATCTGATACATAAGAAATGCATGATTCAGGGTTTCTTCCCAGCCACCGTCTTCTCTGCCGTCAAGCGTCATGCTGCAATGGGGCTGCTTTCTGACGTGGCACGCCTGAGCAGCCTCAGGCCTGCAGTTCGAAGCAACCCTAATATGGAATACTCAAGCTGGAGTGCGGGCGGACAGCCGTCATTGGCGGAAGTGTGCCATACGTCAGTGCGCTCGTGGGGCTCTGTGAGACATTCAGCTGAGTCGTCCGAAGCACTCGAAGCACAAGAACGCATGATTTGACGTCGCTGACAGATTCCTTACTCCTGGCATGACCACCACACATGATGGAGCATCTCACGTCATGCGGCGTTCTTCACTGACATGGCTGCCCAACTAGAGCTACTACTGATGTTCAAAGACGCCAAGTTGGGCTCAGGTATCCAATAGCGCCGGCGCAACCATCCCTTAATCTTGTGCAGCACTGTTCATTGCGCTGCGATCAGCGGGCGCTTGGTCGACTGTCAACCGGACTGCCTATGCGTGTCTGATAACACTATTGATCGCTTCTCACCAATTGGTGGATTTGACATTCGAAGACCTACGACCCGTCGGCTTGTCATACCGCAACTTTTGCGTTTTGAAAACCTACCTGGGACCCAGGCCTGTCCAATCGTCTCAATATCTATGTTCTGTCATATGATTGTAGAATATTTTACCATAAAAATAGCTGCTTGTAATTTGTATGCTTGAGCGCAATCCTTGCGAAGACAGCTGCTCTGGTGACCAGGTAGATGACCAGGTAACTGGCCAGGTAAGCTGACTGAGCAAAGAGCACTGTAGTAGGTAGAACGCAGCTTTCAAATATGTATTTATCTTTTCCTGAGACATTCTTCGATTTTCCGACATTTCAAGAGAATCCACTGACCAGCAAAAGTAAATATTTACTTTAGGCTTTCACAATGGCATTCTTTGATCTTGAATTTTGGTGCCTCAAACAACAGGCATCAAGCATGGACTACCACGTGACTAGTCTCCTCCCGCCAAGATATTCCGGCCCGCTAAAATTTATCTACAGAAAAAAAAGTGCCTGCGCAACAGACGGCCAGCTTCGACACCGCACGCTAATTTCCCTGATTTGCACGAAATGAGTGCGTAAGGGCTGGTGTCGCCGCCTCATCTGGAGTGAAATCGAATTAAATTTTCCCTGCTCTGCCCCCGAATCTTATTTTTGCGCCGATTCCTTCGAGTCCGCCCGATACCGAGCTTAGGCTTTCCAACACCGCAGCCATGGATATTCACCGCTGTCGATTCGTGTCTTACAACCCCCAGGCGATCAATTCGCTGGCCTTCTCCCACCCTCCGTCTGCCGATACCGCCGGACGAGGCGTGCCCACCCTCCGACTCGCGATCGGCCGTGCTAACGGCGATATCGAAATATGGAACCCAATGCGCGGGGCCTGGTTCCAGGAGACTATGCTCCGAGGAGGACGGGATCGCAGTATTGAAGGACTCACATGGACATTGGACCCGTCCGAAGATGGCCCGGATGGCTCCAAGCTGCCAGGCAAGCTGCGCCTGTTCAGCATTGGGTATTCTACCGCCGTCACTGAGTGGGATCTCGAGCAAGGACGTCCTCTCCGCCACTCGAGCGGAAATTACGGAGAGATCTGGTGCCTGGCTGCCCAGCCCCGCTGGCAATCCACCAAGAGAGGCAAGGATGGGAAATTTCTGCCTCCCGCCGGGGGCGAGTTTACGGGTCAGCACTTGGCTGCCGGATGTGCCGATGGATCGATCGTGATTCTCTCCACCGCCGACAATGACCTCAAGTTCCTTCGTCTGATGCGACCGTCGACTAAGAGAGCTCGTGTGCTCAGCGTGACTTTCCAGAACCGTAACACTCTCGTTGCAGGCTACGCCGATAGCTCCATCCGTCTCTTCGATATCCGAAACGGCCAGCAATTGCGGACAATCTCGCTTGGAAAGGGACCTTCCGGTGGCCCCAAGGAATTGTTGGTCTGGTCGGTCAAGTGCCTCCCAGATGGTACCATCGTTTCTGGAGATTCTTCTGGCGAAATCCGCTTTTGGGATGCCAAGAACTATTCCCTCACCCAGCGTATCCAGGGTCACCTGGCGGATGTTCTCGATGTGGCCGTTAGTGCCAATGGAGACACCGTCGTCAGTGGTGGTGCGGATCAGAGGACCGTCGTCTATCGCAAGAAGGAAGGTGACAAAGGCGATAAGAAGACTCGTTGGGCAGAGGTTATGCATAGAAGATACCACTCTCATGATGTGAAGACCTTTGCTGTTTATGAGACAAAGGATATCAGCATCGCTGTCTCTGGAGGTATGTGGTTAACCGGTTTTGATTTCAGACTTTACTTTCCTGAGTGCTAACGTAAATCTCTTCTAGGCCCTGATGCGACCCCGATTGTCTTGCCTCTTCGCGAGTTCGGAAAGGAACACCACCGGAAGCTGTCTAGTCTCCCCCAGATTCCCCAACTTACCTCGTCATCCTCTTCCCGCTTGGTTATGAGCTTCTGGGATCGAGAGCTCAGTCTGTGGCGTGTATCCCGAGGCCCGGCTTCGCTGCACGAGAGTATTGATGGCCAAAGACATAGACTTGTTGCCAAGGTCATGATTCAGGGTGAAGAAAACATCACTTCTGCCATACTCTCTCCCGATGGAAAAACTCTTGCTGTTGCGACGATCTCAGATGTCAAGGTGTTCACAGTCCGCCGCCGCAAGGGCGATGAGAAGGGAGCCTTGCGTATTCAAAAGATCGACGTTCCCAAGTCTCTCTCCAGCGAGGGTGCCCGCCTCATCACTATCTCTCCCGACAGCCGCTGGCTTTGTGTGATCCGCCCGAACAGCGAAATCTATGTCGCCAAAATCCAACCCGCCTCGTCCACCGCCGAAAAGCCACAGATTCTTCCTCAATTCGCAAATCTCAAGCGAGCTACTCGCCATGCCCGACACGAAAAACCCTCCCATGGTACTCTGGGTGAATACGAGCGTATCATTCGATCTGTTGTATTCTCCGACGACAGCAAGATCATCGCCGCTGGCGACCTGTCAGGTTGTATTGACACTTGGGTCTTAAACAAAGACACACTTGCAATCACCAACGGTCCCGCCAAGAGCAATGGTGCTTCGGGATCCGATGATGACTCTTCGGATGACGAGGATGAGGATGTTGCAATTGAGGGCGAGCGCTGGTCGCCCGCAGCTCCCGAATCTCCAATTCCTCGCATGAAGTCTGGAATCACCTTGTTGTCGTTCCGTCCGCGTAGTCCCTCTGCAAAGACACAGGGCAACGGCGCCAGCCAAACATCTCCCGCCGGCCTGGACCGATTGATGGTTGTTACCAGCGAACACCAACTCATTGAATTTGAAGTTCTCACTGGAAGATTGTCTGACTGGTCAAGACGCAACCCCAAGGCATGTCTCCCTGCCGAGTTCCGGGGTGTCAAGGATCGTGCCATGGGCTGCATGTGGGATCTCTTTGAAGAACGTGAGCGTCTCTGGCTCTACGGCACCTCTTGGCTGTGGATGTTTGATCTGCTACAAGACTTCCCGACCCCCGAGGAGATGGAAGCCGAAGAGAACAAGATGTCCAATCAGCTTGCTAAGGCATCGAAGCGCAAGCGTGACCCTTCTGAAGATGGCGAGAATGATCGCAAGAAGTCCAACAGTGGTGCCGGTGACCGGATCCCTCGGTCGCAAATGGATATACACCTTGGCACCAAGGTGCGCAAGATTGTTGGAAGCGACGAATCACAGGGCGAGTGGATCTCGCTTGACCAAGAACGCCCGCGAGTCCCGGGTGAGGATGACGAAGCCTACGATTACGATGAGACCTTCGCTACTGGAAACGAGGCCATTCTGGTGCGTCTCCGGCGCGAGGACGGAACCACCGTTGAAAATGGAACCCCCAAGAAGGGAACCCCCAAGGGCAAGCCCACATCCGACGCCAATGGACATGCAGACTCTCCGAAGAAATCGCTGGTGGCGACAAATGGCAGCTCGTCGCAGCCCGCTCGACGCTGGTGGCACACATACAAGTATCGTGATATTCTCGGCATCGTTCCTTTGAGCTCTCTGGCCGGCGACGACGAGGAACTGACTCCAAGTGGAAATCTCGAGGTGGCCGTGGTTGAGCGACCCATGTGGGACGTTGAACTGCCCGGAAAATACGTGAAAAACTATGAGTGAGCAAATGGCTTTTGGTCTCCGTTCTGGGAGACAGTGCTGCTCCGTCTGGACCGTTCTGTAATATTGGTAGAGTATGCGGGAGTACACTTGGCGCTTTGTATATGGACACGGATTTATAAAATAGACACCTTCATGCAAGTTCTGCACATGCTCTTCTATCGCCCACTAGTCTAATTTCAATATTGTACCCCTAGCAGTAGCCCAGTGTATAGTAGTTGTTGTGAGAGCCTCAGTCGAAGGTAATGATGTATGGTGGACTCGGAGGTAAACAGGCCGCAGCTGATCCCTCCCGATCCGGTCCAATGCGGGGGCGCCGCCCAAGCCAACCCTTTAACTCCCCAACTCCCTCGCTCTCATTCTTTGCCTTTGCCCTGCACGCTTTCATTTATCAGAGCTCGAGCTGCTACTGTCTCTTCTGCGAATCCCTCCCGATCCGGCTCCTGTTCGGTCGGCCTAACCTTGTGGAAAGCACCCTGGCAGTTGGGGAGCCTCCTTATCGGTAGGTGGCCTTATCGTCAGCAACTCGTCAGGCTGACCTGGAGTGCCCTTCAGGCAGCTTGAGTATCTGACCTTCATTCCGTGTATCAACCCCCAGAGAGCGCTTTTCAAGACGTCGGCGAGCAGCTGCGATTGCTCGAAACTAAGGGAACCAGGCGATCCAGCTGAGGCAGCCTAGGATCCCAAAGCTTGCGTCTAGGCCGACAAACGCTGGGCGGGGTTCATACGTTCAACGACGTACTGCCGCCTATTCTAAAGATCCTTGCTTCTTTTCAACTTCCTCGCCTAGCTTTCTTACCCTGATATCCTGCCTCGCCTTCTGCAAACTCCTCTTCAAACCTCACATCGAACGCAGCCCGGACTTCCCATGACGACCCCGAGGGACATCACCCTATCCGACAGAACTCATTTAACCATAAACATGGGGATTGCCTACAACGTCTACCTGACCTCCAACAAGATCTTCGGCTGCAAGACATGCAAAACTCACCTTGCAGACTACGATGATATCATAAGCCGGGTAAGTTTTCCTCAACGCTCTCGCTCCACCAGGCAAGTGCCGTGACTAAGATGTCTGTCTCGTTTACTAGCATTTCCGCGGCCAACACGGCAAGGCATACCTTTTCAACACCGTCGTCAACGTAACCAACTCCGAACCAGTCGAGCGCAGCATGACAACCGGTCGACACATTGTTCGCGATATCTCATGCCGACAATGCGGGGATACAGTCGGGTGGAAATACGACAAGGCTTTTGAGAGCTCCGAGAAGTACAAGGAAGGCAAATTCATCCTGGAGGAGGAGCTGCTTTGTGTTGTCGCCTAAGTGGCTCGCTACTCGGACTGTCTTCTGACGACTGTACCGTGTGTGCGCCGTTGGGAGCTCTGTCCTCATCCTCCCACGTTTACGACCGGTATGACCAACCGAGTAGCCAGCGATGACACCTTCTGCCTTCGCTTTGTTTCTTACTGCCTTTCAGTTTCTTTCCTCAGGCGTACTCTCGCCTCCAGACTGATGACTTTAGCTGCTTTGCTTCTTCCCCTTGCTTTTCCCCGTGCTTTTCTTTATTTCTTTTACAGCCATGGAGTTACCAATGGAGTTTCTCGGGATGCGTGGGACTTGCAACTATATGCTCCATGACGCTGGATGATGGAGTCATCTGCAGGGCAGGTCTCCGGACACAATTCGACTTTCCGGCTGGGGCATTCCTGGGACTACAATTTCTCTTTCACGCTATGCCTTTTATGAGACATCTCTGCTCATGAATTTCTTTGCTGCGTTAGTTCCAGTCTAACGAATCTTACCCCGGTTTATTTACGAAACCCCCGCAGAAGCCTTAGCAACTACAAGCCACTAGATCTGTACCATGCATTATCTAGCATCTCGTGTAGGTACCTCGAGTCGTGTGGAGAACATCACTGGCATTTAAGCGTGTCCGGGAACGTATAGACCCACCACACAGACACACGACCGGACCCGCAAATTTCGTCGACTGGGGTGCATTCTCAGCCAAAAAGACCCGGAGCCAACCGCGCCCTACGCCCTACCGGTAGATAGTTTTCCAGAATGTCAGCGGGGTTTGGGTTGGAGGTTCATTTGGTCTCGCAAGGCCGGCCCGGTTAGTTCCGCGACGAATGCTCCAGTTCCACCTCCCGGTTGTAAAGCTTCAATCATCCAGAGTCAATTCCTAGTCCAACGGCACAAAAGACAATAATTCAATATGGCGGCCACTTCTTCGGGGACCATGCAGGCGGTAGTGTTTAAGGAGCCTTTCAAGGTGGCGGTTGAGCAGCGGCCCATCCCAACTGTGCGGGATCCGGAGGACGTCGTCGTCAAGGTGGCATACACGGCGCTTTGCGGGAGGTACGTTCTCCGAGCACCTGCACCCCAGGTACCTTGGTGGAATAATGGTGCTGATGCAGCTTTGACGCAGTGATCTGCATACCTATCGTGGCATTGAGCCCAGCCCCCGGGTCCGATTATGGGCCATGAGTTTATGGGCGAGATTGTGGAGGTGGGCAGTGAGGTGAAGACTCTCCAGAAGGGTGACCGTGTCGTCAGTGCCTTTACGACATCCTGGTATGTATAAAATGGCTCTTTCATTCTAAGGTATTCGCGTGTTGGATATAAGATATCACTCAATTTATAGAAGTCTGACATCATGGCAGTGGCAAGTGCTTCTACTGCAAGCAAGGGTTCTCTTCGCGCTGCGAAACGAGCACACTTTTCGGATGTGAGGTGCTGGACGGTGCCCAGGCTCAATATGTGAGTTCCCCCTCCCTGAAGTCACATGAGGAGAGCATGGTCTCATTCTTTCTATTCAGGTCCGCGTCCCCAACGCCGAGGGCACTTGTATGAAGGCTCCCGAGGGCGTTGACGACAAATACCTCGTACTAATGGGTGATATCTTCCCGACGGGATACTTTGCCGCTAGTAATGCATTCAAGAACTCGACTCCGGAACAGATTGCTGAGCAAACTGTGGTGGTGATCGGCTGTGGTCCTGTCGGCCTCTGTGCTCTGATCAATGCCTTGGAGTTTATGCCTAAGCACATCCTGGCCGTTGACTCTGTCCCATCGAGACTGGAGCTTGCCAAATCGCTTGGCGCAGAGCCCTGGAACTTCATGACTGACCGTGAGGGTCTAGACAAGCGCGTGAAGGAGCTGACCGAGGGTCGTGGTGCCGATGCGGTTATCGAAGTGGTCGGACTGAGTCCGGCGCTGCGTACGGCGTATGAGCTGCTGCGACCGTGGGGAACCATTAGCAGTGTAGGGGTTCACAATGCAGAGGTATGAAAATCATATTTTGATAGCGGTTTGACAAGTAGTCTGTTCGCTGATCGTTCAACTGCAGATTCCCTGGGACGGCAATGACGCCTACAACAAGAACCTCACTGTTCAAATGGGCCGGTGCCCTGTCCGATCAGTGACCCCGCAGGCATTGGAGAACCTAAAAAAGAACCAGCACAAGCTTGGGTGAGTGTTTGTTGAACAGCATCCCCGCCATGCCTTCGGAAGAACGGTGGCTAATTCTGAGACAGCTTCATGACGGAGAAGATCATGCCGTTGTCGCAGGCCGTGGAGGCATATGAGCTGTTTAATGCGATGAAGGTGCAGAAAGTGGTATTTTTGGCGGACGAGTAGACCTGTACATAGAAACTTGCCAGTGACAGTAGCGTCAGGATCGACGGGAGGAGAATAGAGGATAGATGATACATCACGAGTACTTTGGTTTACTGGTCTCGGGTGCACTGGCGTCTCCGCTTAACTCACAACATTCCCTCCTCCAACTCTTCACTTCTCTTTCACGCCCTCCCCATCCTCCCATCCTCCCTCCATCCTCCGCTTCCTTCTCATTTCCTACGCTCTCCTTAACTCCTCCCACGCCTCTTCTCCTTCTCTTCTCCCGACCACCCCACCTCCCCTCTTCCTGCACCCTGGACTTTCCCCTCTTCGCAGTTTGATTTCTCCACTTCGCTCGTGGACCCTCTCAGGTAAGTCGCTCATTTCTCTGGCCGTCATGCACAGTTGCAGGTTGTCTGCCTATGTTTTTGGCGGTCGCACAGTGTCGCCCATGGCCTGCGCTGATTTGGGGCCGACCCCAGTTGCTGATTATGACGTTTTTCAGTTGACCTTGCTCCCCTCCATCGACTCCGCCGCGACCGTGTGGTTTGCCCGCCCGGTGCATTTCGCCATCACAACACCACTCTCTACCCTCGTCGCTTATTTCGTTCCCTCGATCCGAAATCCTACAAGATGACCACCACCGAAGTTCACCAGACCACTGTTCCCGACGAGCCAGGCATGGCCGACACTTTCAACGACACCATGGGTGAGACTGAGGCGCTCGACGTCACTCCTAAGACGGACGAAGAGTATGCCCAGTCCCTGCTCACCCTGCGTGCGATCGTCTCGTCGAAGGAGGCCGGCGTTATTATTGGCAAAGCTGGCAAGAACGTTGCGGACCTCCGCGATGAGACCGGCGTCAAGGCCGGTGTGAGCAAGGTCGTCCCCGGTGTTCATGACCGAGTTCTGACCGTCACCGGTGTCCTCGAGGGCACTGCTCGTGCGTATGCGATCGTTGCTAAGGGTTTGCTTGAAGGCGCTCCGCAAATGGGCATGGGCGGCATTGTCTCCAACAACGGGACCCACCGTGAGTTCATCACCTACTACCGCCGCTCGGCCGTCTATACTGACAGGTTTTATTCGGGCACAGCTGTCCGTCTCTTGATTTCTCACAACCAGATGGGTACTATCATTGGTCGCCAGGGCTTGAAGATCAAGCATATCCAAGATGCCTCTGGCGTGCGCATGGTTGCTCAGAAGGAGATGCTCCCTCAGTCTACGGAACGGATCGTGGAGGTGCAGGGCACACCCGAAGGTATTCAGAAGGCCGTCTGGGAGATCGGCAAGTGCCTGATCGATGATTGGCAACGTGGCACCGGCACCGTCCTCTACAACCCTGCCGTTCGTGCTTCCCTCAGTCAGCAGCCCATCCAGAACAATGCTCCCGTGAGCGGCAATGGTTACACGAGCCGCCAGTACAACCGTACTGGCAATGGCGCCGACTTCAGTGACAATGGTGGCTACAACCGCCGCTCCAGCTCGGACGCAGGCGCTCGTGGATATCCGCTGGTCACCGAGGATGGCGAAGAAATCCAGACTCAGAACATCAGCATCCCCGCTGACATGGTCGGTTGCATCATCGGTCGTGCTGGTAGCAAGATCACCGAAATTCGCCGCAGCTCCGGAGCTCGCATTTCGATCGCCAAGGCCCCGCACGATGAGACTGGTGAGCGCATGTTCACCATCATGGGAAGCGCCCAGGCGAATGAGAAGGCTCTTTACCTTCTCTACGAGAACCTCGAGGCTGAGAAGACTCGCCGCAGCCAGCTGCCCCAGGAGTAAACTCTTTCTGAGCGCTGGCATGGAGTCCTAAGTGGGACAGGTTCCCTTTGCGTTTGATTTGAACCTTACGACTTCAGAGACTGTCGGTCATGATCAGCGGCGGTCATGTGCAAGCAAGCTTACTTTCACTGTGCTTTTTCAACTTCTATTCGATTGTTTCAATAACCTTGATTCCATGCTCTTCCTCCCCGGCGTCGTTTTCATAAGAGGTATGGTAAATCAGGGTAAGTAAAAGTTTTGCTGCGCTGGACTCGTGTGTGAGAGACACGAACTCCTTTTGGTAAATTAGCCTGGCCTTACCTGTCTGCGCTCCACGATCTGCAGGGACGACACTCAATTGTTCCTTCTGAGAAGCACTGCTTGATACGACTATTTCTTCGCTTCGGACACCAACCCAGCTTGCTTTTATAACGACCCCGATCTACCTTCACTACCTCTTCGACTCTTACCGCATACCTCTTTATCTCACGGGTCGTTGCCCTCCCCAGTCTCTACCTCATTCTCCCCTCTTTATCCGTCTAAAACTCCTGTACTCCTGTCATCATCTTCTCTTCCAACATCCGATAACCAACCATGACATGGACCTCGGCTTCTTTTTCCTTTATACTCGCTTGCCAGCTACCTCTTTTCCTTTTCCTCTCCGATGCCAATCATGCAACGTTCCTCACCTCAATACTTCTGTCTTTCCCTGCGTCTCTCTCGATCTCCTTCTCAACAACTTTATTCCGAAATCTCAAAAAAATCATCCGTTCTTACCCTCCTGCTCCTAATTCTCGAACCACCTCTGCGTTATCCCCTCCGCGTTGCTCCCCGTCCCCTTCCTACTGCCCCTTTCAAATACTCGATATCTTACTTTCCTGAATATCACGGAATGTCGCGGCATATCCGGATTCTAAAGAAATACCAAAAATTCGAATCCTATCTGCCGCGGTAGGACGATGTACTTTGGTCAATATTTCTGTGTCACTTTGCTGTAGATTTCCCTGAAGACTAGCAATATGCCGCCGCCCTTGTTGCTCACCGATATTTCCCCGGTCTTTACATCCGGGGCTGTATCTGTGCGGCATGGCCCAGGATATGGTGCAACACCTGGCTTACTATGAGCAAAGCGGTCTCCTTCGGCAGATGAAGCAGACTTGAAACATTTTTACCTAAATGCTATGTTACTCTTTGTTGAGAAGGCACGGGTAATCCTTTCACCGGCCCAGAACAATAAGGCCAGCCACTTGATTGAATACGTGTGGGAGCTGCCAAATATGAAGATTGGACCACCGGTAACTCTTGACTGTATGGTCTGGCTTTAAATGCCTTAGACCTCATGTTCTCAAAAACCACATGCGCCTCCTAACGGTGTTGCGAAAGTCCGGAAGGATCATGGAGTCAACAAAGTTTATCCTCTTGAAGCTAGACTAGGCTAGCTTCGAATACACCCAAACGCCATGTGGCTTTGAATGCCGAGATCCCGGTACTTCCTTACCCCGGATTTTTAATGATCGAAAGGCGGGGTAGAGCTGTATTTGGCATCTTGATTAACAATCTTTGCGGAATTCATAGCATGATGTCTTGGACTAGGCTCTTGGCCTCTTGGTATCGCTGATTCGACTCACGAGCCTTTGGGAATGGGTGATCGATCAGGCTTGAGTGTGCGGCAGTAAGGCGGCATAACTAAGTCCGCAGTGCTTGGGAAGAAAGGGGTATAAAACTGGTTCTTCTTCCTTGTCAATGGAGATTGTATACCAAGAAGACAAGGATAGTTTGTCTCCAGAATTCGACAAGCGTACCAATGGCAATGCAAAGTCCACTCGACTTCTCGGTTGATCAGAAATCCAAGAATCTACATCTTGACTATGTCGACTCGATCAACGATGCCAATGAAAAAGACCAGGCAGATTACTCTGGGGCGACGGCCAAAACGGACCCCGCGGAAATTCGTCTCGTTCGCAAACTAGACATGAGAATCATGCCTATCATGTGGGCGATGTACTTCTTGAATTATGCAAGTCAAGTCTTTTTCTATGTCATCGCCAGTGCACCTAACAAGTATCTCAGATTGATCGCAACGCTATTGCCAATGCGCGCTTGAATGGCCTGGAAGAGGATCTTGGGCTGGTCGGGACACAATACAACACTTGCATCTCCATATTGTTCGTCGGGTAAGCTATAGTGCTGTGAAACTTAGAAAAGACAAAAATGCGGCTTACTAAACGAAAAATAGCTATCTCTTGATGCAGATTCCCTCCAATATGCTCATGTCATCGAAAAAGGTGCGGCCGTCTTTGTACATGAGCGTGTGCATGGGTTGCTGGGCGGTCGTGTCTGCGTGTACCGCCTTGACCAAAAACTACGTCGGTTTGGTTGCCGTGCGATTCTTCCTGGGAATCACCGAGGCACCATTTTACCCCGGCGCTCTATTTCTCCTGTCACTGTTCTACACGCGAAAGGAGATTGCGCTTCGAATTTCTATCCTCTACTCTGGAAACATCATTGCTACCGCTGTGGCCGGTCTAATCGCCGCTGCTACCTTTGCGACTCTGGACCACAAGCATGGCCTCAAAGGCTGGCAATGGCTCTTCATCATCGAAGGCGCCGTCACGTTTGGAGTCGCTGGCCTTGGGGTCTTCATGCTTCCCGATCATCCTCTGACTACCCGATGGCTCACACCGGAAGAGCGACAGCTAGCTCACGATCGCATCGCACGAGACACCGTCGACAGTGAAGAATCCAAAGGTGTTCTGGCAGGCTTGAATCAAGCTATTCGTGACCCACGTCTGTTCCTCTTGGCCTTCATGCAAAACATGCATCTCAGCGCATGCGGATTCAACAATTTCTTCCCCACGGTGGTTGGGAGCCTTGGGTTCGGCGACATCATAACTTTGGTACTCACCTGCCCTCCATACATCGTATCCGGGATCTGCTGCGTCGTCGTTGGAATTACTTCTGGTCGATATAATGAGCGTACCTGGCATATCACCTTCTCCATGGGAATGGCGGTGGTGGGATACATCATCTCTTGCGTCACTTTGAACAAGGGAGGAAGATACCTCTCCTGCTTCCTCTTCGCCAGCGGTGCATACGCCGTGAACTCGGTGATTTTGGGATGGGTTTCTGCGACACTGGGTCAGACTCCCGAGAAGAAGGCCGCGTCTCTATCCTTCATCAACGTTGTTGCAAATGCTTCATATATCTATACGGCTTATCTCTACCCCAAAACCGACGGTCCGCGCTACTTGACTGCAATGGCATCAAATACCGCATTTGGAGTCGCAACCATAGCCAGCACTTGGGTGTTGAGATGGTGGCTACAGAGTACAAATCGCAAGATTCGCGCGGGAAGCATACCAGGTGCAGATACTGAGGTCCTATACGCATACTGAAATCTTCGATCCATTGCCTGTCTACCCTCACAGCCAGCCTACAAAAGGCTTTTTAGCTAATGGAGTCTTGGTTACTTTCATCATTTATTTCTCAGTGTCTTGTTGCTTTGAGCATATGGGTATATTGGATGAATTTATAGAGACAACATAAAGTCATTGTATAAGGAAAAGTAATGGAAAACCATGATGGTGGGCCAAATAGCCCGATGGACTCGAAATGAAGAATAAAGGGTTGTTTGCCCTTGGAAAATAAGTCTCAAGGAACCGGCTGGTAGCTGCCTTTCTGTCCCCATTGACTTGATCGCCACTGCTTGCCAAGATCCATCTCTTTAAGCTCTGCGCTATTCTGACCATTGTCGAGTGCACGCTGAAGACGACCCTTCTGGCGCTGTCGTCGGCACCACCAACCAAATACGGCGAATATGATCACGCCTGCTGCCGCTGCACCACAGTAAACACCAATGTGTGCACCGGCTGACAAGTCGTCCCATTTCTGAGATAGGGTTTTCTTAGGCTTCTTGTTTATTTCAGCCTTTGCTGTGGAATTGCCCCTGGATTTTCGCGTTAGTGGTCCTTTTCAAGCGCCAACGAAGAGGAAAGCTCTGGATCAGCTGCCATAACTCACTCAATTACTTTGATACTGTTATAAGAGCCAGTCTTGTCGGTATACTCATACTCCTTTCCCGAATGGAAATCCTGGACACGGATTCTTTGCACCGTCATAATGAAAGGCAAATCGTCCCAGTCCACGTAGCCACCACCCCATTCAATATTTCCAATAGACTGTCCCTTGATGCCGACTGGCCAGTTGCTGACCTTAACTCTGCATGGAGTCTGTGGATAGTTCTTGCCGTAGACTGTCAACGGCTCGGAATAGTTGACGATTCGCACCAAGTTGCCATCGATCCACCACTCGAGTCTGTCCTTGTCCCAGTATGATGTATAGTTGTGAAACTCCGTATCCGCGTTCGAAACAGCGTGGATGCCACCACGGTCACTTGTTGTCGTATTGCCTTTGCCAAAGAAATCGGATTGCACGGCACTGGTGTTATAGCCCACCCATTCCCAGTCAATCTCATCCAGATCATCTGATTGCAGAATAACACTGCTGATGATACCTGCGCCCTTGGCCATTTTCACGTGGGCCTCCATGACGCCGAAGAAGATATAGAAATTGGACACCAACAAGGTAGATCCATTTTCTTTCTTGATCTCAAAATTCGCGCCTTCGCTGGTATAGTCGAGTGTCCCAGTCTGCATGTCCCAGAGCTCGCTGTCGAGAGTGGAGTTAAACCACCATGTGTGTTCCGTTCCGAGGGCGGCATCGGGGTCGCATGATGTCGAATTGGTGGGATTGCAGTCGGTCTGATCCTCGGCGATAACGCAAACGCTCTGAAATGCGGCAATTGCAAAAAGAATGAGAGAAATGAATGGCGCCATGCTGAACGAGTGGGGCTGAAGACTGGTCTTGAGCTCAAACACAGCGAGATTCCCGGCAATCTCGACTGTCTCGGCGCATCAAAAACAGAAACGATTGACTGAAAGAAGGGGAAGAAATCGGCAAAGTTCTTCAGGCCGGTGCTTTTTCAGGGGCCCCAGGCAATGGGGTAATATTACTCGCCTGACATTTATTTTGGAAATCAAGGCAGCAGGCCAATAAGCGAGCTTAGATACTAGCCTCAATTGGAAATCAAATGCTGTGTATAAACCCCCCTGACCTTTTCCGGTATCAATCGGATTGAGATAGCTCCATAGAAGGAACAGATCTCAAGGTCTGAAGGACACGGCTGGCTCCAGACGAACCATTATCCAGTCCGCAGACCCTTTACACGCAAGCTCTATGAACAAACGGGCAGCCATTCAATTTTTTCATGATACTGAAACGCATGAATTGATGGAAGTCCGACAGCTAAGACTTCTTCCGAGTGGGAAATCCCCACTGCAATCAAGACAGATTATCCATCCTAGACATCCAATTGGTACATTCTCGAAGGTCTCCAAGTCAGATCCACCTCGCGGCCTTAAGTTCCTAAACGGACTCCATTTCTGGTGACTAAGCGGTCGCCAGCCTTCCTATTGCGGTTAGAGGCGTCGTCAACCTCAACGAAGAGGATCATTCAGCGGGCGTGCGGCCGATTTCATTGGTCAAAATTGGATCTACTGGGTGCAGCTAGTCAGGAGCGACAGTTGGATGGCTTGAACCATGTCCACTAGAGCCGACAAATATGAGACTCGTCTTTTGATATAAAAAGTATTTAATTTTGTGCCTGTGAAGTCGTAGCAAGGCAGGGATCGACTAGCTTCTGTGGGCAGGCATTTTCGCATGTCTCACTATTTAGAGCTACTTGTGCATCTCGTGGTTGAGATGGCGGGTAAAAACGATCTCGGGAAAATTCTTCTTTACACGCTATTTCGTGATACAGACATCCCAGGGCTGAACAATGATGCTTCCATATTTTCGATATTCAGCGGCTATTTTGTTAGCGGCAACAGTTCTCATATCCACACAATCATACACCAGTTGTGATCCTCTCGAAAAAAGGACAACCTGTCCGAACGAACTGTGTCAACGGAGTCCCAGCTTCATTTCAATTTCACCCGAAGTGCTGGACTATAGGTTTGTAGAGGTTATTTGATCGTAGGTTGCGGTAATAGGATTTTGAATGAGCGATGGTTCCATGATGGGAAAGAACATGCCAGACGCGGAGTGTGGATAGGAGTGATTCCTTGTAAAGAAACTTGATCTGGTAGGCCGAGAACGCCTTCCCTTGTTGAATCGATCATAATCGAGTCCTGCCACCCATGATGCCATCTGAGAATTGATTCAAGCGAAACTCCTCGTCTGTACAGGCCTTTATCCAGCCACGGCTGCTTTTTGACAGGACTGTCTTTCCATAAATGGTACAGATATTAACCACGTGACGTGACGCAAATTGAAGATTTTGTGCTAAATTATATGTCTCTCACTCGAACTCGTAGCCGTTGTGTCATTTAGCGGTTGGGGCGTAGCATCACTTCTCGGACCCCACAGTGGTGGCTCGATAGCGCTGACGCTTCACGAAAATTCACGTTAAATCGATGTAAAATACCGCATATCAGGGGTGGGGCTTATACCTCTCGATTCTCGTCATAGAGCCATTTGAAGAACCGTTCAGTGGATTGAGGGTGCACCGTATGCCTTGACTTGCGCACCAGTCGCAGCTCGGCTTTGCGGCATCGCACCGGAACTAGGAGGTGGTCAGCAAAGGAAACACATGAAGATTGAATCGGCCCCTCCCTTCCTGAGTTAGCATGCGTCATATGAGTGACCATGGCGCCGACGCGAGGGGTCTTTGGGGCGGCATTCCACAAGGTCATGAACATCTCACGAATGGGGCCCGGTTAAGACGACGGAAACATGGGGTGCGGGCGCCGCCATAACTGATCCACCAGCGCTTCTCGACCCGGAGAATCCTGAAACTTCCAGTGCAGCAGAGTATATGCGGTTTATCAAAATATGGACAAAATGAGAACAATAAAACGGCATACTAATTCATTATCTCTCTGTCCCGTGGAGATCCCAGAAAAGCATGTCAATGCGAATTCGGAGAGGGTTGCCGAGGCCGCGGACACACAACATCGGCGTCCTGTCACGACGCCGAAGCCGGAAGACCTGACCGACACTTTTGCACTTGGATGTATGAGAACCGACTGTAGACCGAAGGAGAATAAGAAGCTGCTCTATTTAATGAGCAAATAAACTCTCCCGGTACAGGCTCGGTGTCATACGAAGCATGTGGCATAGTCACACACTGAAAGAAGAACGGTTGGATATAGATCATAAAGCCGGACTTCGGATCAGATATGCATATGCTCCCCGCATCGGTTACCTCGCGGTTATATGGCGCTTTTAATACTCACCGAATTTCAGGTCACAGAATGTCATTCGAATTGTTCTCGGGTTGGTACTCAGGACTTCGAGGTTACTTGAGACTTGGCTGCGGTCCAGAAACTCCCTCGCCGACACTGAGTGTTCACATCACGAAAGGAACCGGCTGCATCCAGAAAAGGACAATTCAAAGGTCCTTGCTTTTACAAGAATGCTTTCGTCAAAAGCTCTGCTTTTACGACGCACGCGGGGCCTTGGTCTCGGTGCCAAGTTAGCCAAACATGTGGGATACAAGTCGACATCGCCGTGGCAATGTATCTGGCAGCTGAAACAGAAACGGGTAAGTGATCATGATACTCTCGGTGCAACAGAAGATTGACACATGAAAGTTGCATTCCGCTGCCTCCATGGCGAGCTCATCAGACTATTTGGATCACATCTACACTGCATGGCGCGATGATCCGGCTACCGTCCACACTTCGTGGCGAGAATACTTCCATGCTATTGAAAATGGCATGTCGGTAGCAGAGCCTGTGTTTGAACCTTTTGGGGATTTTAATTCTGCAACTAAGACCACGTCTGCCATACCACGGTTGGATTCTCACGACCACCGTCTCAAAATCGACCGCTTAGTCCGGGCTTATCAGGATTTTGGTCACAAAAAAGCGCAAACTAATCCGCTGAATCTCCCAGAAAAGAGATTCTCATATCTAGAGGTGCTCAGTCCAGAGTCGCATGGCTTGACCGAGGCTGATATGGACCATGAAGTCGTTCTCGGGCCTGATCTGCTACCACATTTTGCATCGGCTGGCTCTGAAAAAATGACACTCCGAGAAATCATCAACGCTTGTGAAGCTGTTTATTGTGGAACCATTGGCGCTGAGTACAACCATGTCGCTACTCGGGAAGAGCGTGAATGGATCCGGGGGCGACTCGAAACACCTCGGCCTTACCAGTTCTCATCGGAAGAGAAGAAGCGCATTCTCGATCGTCTCGTGTGGACAGCAACCTTCGAAAAGTTCATGTCAGCCAAGTTTCCCAATGCGAAGCGATTCAGTATTGAAGGTGTTGAGAGCCAAGTGCCCGCTCTCAAAGCGGTCATCGATGCCAGCGCGGAAAATGGCGTTGAGAACATTATCTTCCCGTGTTGTCACCGCGGTAAACTGAATGTCCTCAGCAATGTAGGAAGGAAGCCAAATGAGTTAATTTTCAGTGAATTTTCTCCCGACTCAGAGTCTCGCCACGATATTTCTGGTGATGTCAAATACCACCTTGGTATTAACTATGACCGACAGACGCCCACGGGCAAAACTGTCAACTTATCAATTCTGCCAAATCCCTCGCATTTGGAGGCCCAGAATACACTCGGTCAGGGTATGGCTCGCGCTATTCAGCATCAAAATAGTCGGAATCGATCGTCGACAATGGTTTTGAATAGTCACACAGATGCATCTTTCTCGGGCCAGGGCGTGATTTATGAGACTCTTGGTCTGTCTGGACTGAAACACTATGAGACGGGGGGAACTGTCCATTTGATCATCAACAATCAAGTCGGATTCACCACAAATCCCGACTCTGCACGAACCTCGCCTTATGCGTCGGATATTGCGAAGAGCATTGATGCCCCCATCTTCCATGTCAACGCCGACGACGTCGAAGCAGTGGTGTTTCTCTGCAAGCTAGCCGCGGATTACCGGGCTAATTTTGGGAAAGATTGCTGGGTTGATATGATCTGCTATCGAAAGCACGGCCACAACGAAATGGATCAGCCGTTCTTCACACAGCCACAGATGTATAAACAAATTGAGCAGAAAGTTCCTCATCTTGATTCTTACACAAAAAAGCTGGTTCAAGAGGGCGTCATCTCGCTTGAGGAAGTCAAGAAGATGGAGATGCATGTGTGGAGCCAGATGAGCGAGAGCCTGGAAAAAAGCAAGAGCCCCGAGGCAGTCGAGGGTGAATATCTGACGGCCCCGTGGGTCGGTATGAAAACTCCCGCTGAGGTCGCTCAGGAAGTCCTTCTCGCAAAGTCCACGGCGGTGTCCCGAGATGTGGTCCACACTGTGGCCGGCAAACTAGGTATTCCTGAAAAGCCATTTGAAGTCCACAAGAGCCTGAGGCGGATCCTTCAAAAGCGCCAACAGAGCCTGCTAGATGGCCAGGACATTGACTGGGCTACTGCTGAAGCGCTAGCGATGGGAAGTCTCTGCCTTGAGGGCCATCATGTTCGTGTATCCGGACAAGATGTCGAGCGTGGCACTTTCTCGCAGCGCCACGCCGTTCTCCACGATCAGAAAACCGGGGCAACATACCTGCCACTGAACGACCTTGGTCCAGAGCAAGCAGAATTCTCCATTGGGAACTCTTCACTGAGTGAATATGGCGTCATGGGATTCGACTACGGATATTCTTGCAGTTATCCCAACGCCTTGGTGATGTGGGAGGCACAGTTTGGTGACTTTGCAAACAATGCCCAATGCATAATCGACCAATTCATCTCATCGGCTGAGAACAAATGGCTTTTGCGTTCGGGTCTTGTCCTGTCCTTGCCTCATGGGTTCGATGGACAAGGCCCAGAGCATTCTTCGGCCCGGTTGGAGCGATTTTTGCAGCTTTGCAGTGAAGATAGTCGATTTTTCCCAACAGAGCAACAGCTCCAGAGACAACATCAGGATGCCAATATGCAAGTGGTTCAAATGACCACTCCAGCCAATCTTTTCCATGTGCTAAGACGGCAGTTGCATCGGGATTTCCGAAAGCGTAAGTTCTCTTCTGGCAAAAGAGCCCGGCAATTGACTAACAGGCGCGTTCCTCACCATAGCTTTGATTCTTTTCTTCTCCAAATCTTTGCTTCGTCATCCGTCTGTGAAATCCAGGATCGATGATTTCACAGGAGACTCCAAGTTTCAGCCTCTCATCTCCGATCCAGCGCACGGTTCCGTCATCTCTGAACCATGGGGTGTTAAAAGAGTCATATACTGTACCGGACAAGTGTATTTCACCCTTGCTAAGTATCGCGAGACGCACGGCATCAGGGACACGGCTATTACTCGCATTGAACAACTCCACCCCTTTCCCTGGGAACAGACTCGAGATAATCTCGAACAGTACCCCAACGCATCCGATATCGTCTGGTGCCAGGAGGAGTCTTTGAATGACGGTCCTTGGGCATTTGCCCGAACTCGCCTGGAAACGATTTTCGATACCACTAATCGGCATCAAGGTCGTCGCTTGCGCTTTGCAGGTCGCGAAGCGACTCCGAGCGTTGCGACGGGCTTTGGCAAGGTGCACCGGGCGCAGGAAGCTGCCTTGCTCAAAGAGGCGTTTCAAATTTCTAATGGGTCAACCTAGTTTGGTAGCAGGAATAATAATACTGTGAAATGAGCACCTTGAGGATGTAATCATGTATAAGCGCAAGAAACCTGAAAATTGAATAAGGACTTCTCATTTATTCGTAACACAAAATCGTTCAAAATAAGCGTGGATGCAAAAGTAAAAAACAAAAGACAAGAAAGAGATTTACACGAAGAGAAGAAATATCGAACATGAACGCCGGATGTGATAGTGGTTTTGTACATGGATAAATCCATCAATGCGGGAAGTCAATGACATGGAGGGGGCTCCTGTTCGAAGAATTGAAGTCGAAAAGATGACACAGAAGGAGAAAAGAAACCAATTCGACAAAAGGGAGAATGGGTGATGGTCTTGGGTTATCAGGACCCATAACACGAGCCGTGTCTGGGGTGCCTTAGGTGGAACACACAGAGGAAATTCGTCACGATGCATCAACATCAAAGGGTGCCATAGGTTCAGTGGGGTTGGATAATGCGATGAAGAACTCCAGGCCCAGTTAGGTTAGTATGCATATACATGCGAAAGCAAGCGTCCGAGACAAAATAAAAACGCCGAGTTGGAGCTGGATTCTTCCAGGGGACATGATGAAATGTAAGGTCGCTACGTAAATAACAGAAGGTGTAACCGAATTTCTGAAAAAGCGGTCGGCATGCATAATGGCAGATCAGCAGGATGCAGGATGTCGTGTGGTCTCAGTCAATGCTGTCGTCGAGGTTGACGGACTCTGCAGGAGCGGTTGTTGAGCGTGTTCTGAGACCGAACCTCCGCGCCCCCAAACTGCCGGCGCGGAGTCGAGGTTGTTGGATGGGCGTGTAGCTAGTTGCAGACTTGCCCGATGGAATGCTGATCCTAGTTTGTGAAGGCGTTGCTATCTGCGGCGATCGAGGGCTTTCTTCTGTCCCAGAGCGCGGCGTGGCGTTTGAGAAGCTAGGAGAAAGGCCATATCGACGGGATCCGGCTTGAATGTTGGAGCGCGATGTGGCAGGAGAGTAGATACCAGGAGTCATATAACTGCGGCGAGATTGAATACCGGTTTGAGATGAGGCCGTGGGCGTCTGTGGCTGTAATGGTGGGGCCTGAGAAGCTAGAGAATCTTGAGATGGCGTCGGTATTTGGAACTGAGTGGATCGGGGTGAAATTCCCAGGCCTTGGTCTTGTTGGGCACTCGAAATGGTTCGTGCATGGCTATAAGAGAATCGCTGTCGCGGGGACACATTCTGGGCAGGACTTGGTGTACCGATCTCGCTACCAGTCATAGCTCGTGAAAGCGAGCGGCTGTGCGGGCTCGGCGCTTCTGCGTTCTCATCATCGAACGTCAACCTGCGGTTACGCAGAGAGGTTGAGATGCGATGAAGACGGCTAGGAGGGGGAGCAGCGCTCGGTGATTGAGGTGATTTTGCCTCTCCAGAATTTCCGGGGCTGTGGTTGATCAAAGATGCTCTGCGTGCTTCGAGGCGGCTAGAAATGCGGGTCGTACTTTGTCGTCGCTCGATGCCCTCGGGTTCATGGCTACCAGCTCGCTGATACGAGGGCACGGGGGCAAGTGACTCGGTCTCAGCACCATTCGACCGGTGATGTTGCACGGTGCTGGCGTGGCTGGAGGATGGCCGAGTTCTCTTAAGTTGCTCATCTGTCAACGTCAAACAGAGCTCGGTCAGGCTTCGACACACGCTGTCAGCCTTGCGCCGGGCTTGTCTTTCGGAGGAACTGTAACCTCCATTCACCACGGACACAGTACCCGACGGGGCTGTATTGGCGCCCAACAGCGTCGAGAGTGCCAATGCATCATTGATCGTCGCCTCTAGCGCCGAATACACGTCATTGGTCAGCACCGATCTGGCCTTGGCCAGCGCAGATTGCAAAAGCGGGTGCACCTGGTTTTGAGTCGCACTATCAGAGTCGGCGGCCGATGTGCTGACTTTGCGGTGGTGTCTCGGTGAGGTCGACAGTGCGGTTACGGTCGTGGCTGCAGTTCGCGGTCTTTCGTTGGAACCCCCGAGATTGCGGCTTGTGACGACGGGGGGAGTTTACCCGTGAGCTCCAGTTTGCGAATTCGGGACTTCAGATCGTCCAGTTCATCCCATACCGTAGAAGGCGCATTTGTGGACAGTGTAGATTCGGTTCCGTCTGCGCGTGGTTTTTCCGCCTCGCCGCGAATACGCTCGGTTGCCTCCGAGGTGGATAGCTGTCGGCTAGTTCGTACTGTCGAGAGTGTAGAATGACGATGCAAGCGTGGTTCATGGAATGAGGACCGGCGCTCTCCGTTTGTTGGCGGTGATCGGGAGGGTTCCTCTGGGCCGGCGCGACTGAGTCGGCTTCGGGGTGCGCCAATCGTGGATCGCGCGCCCGACCCTATACTTGAATAGCGGAGGCGACTCGGATCGTCGAGAGGGTGAGCAGAAGCCGCTGATGAGTGGGCAAAGGAGTTGTATGGGAGGGTGGGCGAGCCATTCTGCGCAAGCAAGGGGTTCTCCGCATTGCTGAGACGTTGATCTGGGGAGGGGTTTGTTCGGTGTCGACCCGCGTGGTCGGCGACCGCAAGGACTGGCTTGAATATCCAAGTCGTGACTTTTTGAACCGTGTCAGTCTTGATGGCAGTGGATAGCGAGGTGGATTCAACCCAAGAGCCCCAGAATTCACGGGCCCAGCAACGCCGCGATCAGAATCCGCAGGATAGGAACTTACTCTGCGCAAATCAGACCGGCTGAGCGAGTCGCGACGGCCAGAGTCGGTCCTGGCGATGTTCAAAAATATATCCTCGTTCTTGGGCCGGGTGCCGTCTGTGCCTGAGGCCATGGTCTCCCGGCCTAGTCGATAAGAGCCGTTCAGGGCGCGAGCATTATTGTCGTTCGCTAGGGTCCTTGTTTCGGAATATGCGACACTGGAAGGCATGGTGCCTTTCACATGAGGGCGTGGAAGAAATCAGGGTCGTACCGGCATTGAAGGGGGGCAGGGGGCGGGTGGAAAAGAGCAGAGAAGCTGTGAGGCTGGGGAGAAGCTAGCAGATCCAGCGCAATCAGCACAGGCGATCAGGAGCGGGAGGGTCGGGGTGTCAGGAGCCAGGCGTTTCACCAGCGCCGTCGGTGGGGCCAGCTTAAGACACCCAACCTACTCGTTCTTTGCCTCTCCAGGCCAACATGGATAAATCGTGGCGACGGGACCGACTATCACTGCAAAGTCAGGACCAGACTGCATGTTCCCATCTGGCGCCTAACCAACACAGGCCGTGGCGACGGGTCACTGCCGATTCACACTCCACGATTGCATCTACGATCTCCGGGGAAGCTACTAGTACTATATGCATGTCTGATCACCCTTCGTCACGGTTCTGCAGGTGCAAAACTGATCGATAACCTGTCGAACATGCAGCACGAGGCCGAATAACGTTTCTGGTTTGTCCAGCGTGGTCCTCCCAACTACTTTGCTGGATAGTTGTTGGTAAACAATGTGCCGTTGTACCGTGGTAGTACTAAAGATGGGCAGGAACCAGGAACCAGGCAAAATCAAAGCACTCAGTGCTTTGAATACACCCAAACTTCCGAAAAAAAATAAAAATAAAAATAAAAATAAAAAATATTGGCCTAGTATATCCTAACACGGGGATTGGATCAAGTCTCAGGTATTCTACATTCCTCGCCGGCGTTTTTGTCGCATCAGCCGCTCTCGACTCTTTCGAGAATTGTAATGCCAAGCCTCGCTAAGCCCTTTCCAGCGAATCACCGGAACAGTAATATTCCGGTATCTTTGCCAAACGTGTATCTTACATCCGGTCCGCCAGAGATGACAAGGTGCCAGAGGGAAAAAGAGCAAGCTTACAGTCGAAGCAGAAGACAAACTCGTCCATTGTCACTTGGGGCTGGAAATCACTTCGTCTCTACCGGTGCGTCCACAACTGCTCTAGAGGTTGACGCCCAGGCCCCTCGTGTGGCTCGGCAATGCCGTAGCAATGTCTATCAGTCCGTCAGCCCAATCGAGGCACGGCTCTGTCAAACCCCTGAGATCAAAGCTCGGCTGCAAGACATGCAAGTAAGCTTATCATGCTCGAGGGACACAAGGAATTCCTCACGTTAACATCCGTCGCAGAATTCGAAGAGTCAAGTGCGGCGAAGAAAAGCCTAACTGTCTCCGTTGTACCAGCACGGGACGCAACTGCGAATATCAAAATGTCATCTGCCGCAACTACTCAGACTCTACAGTATCCATTCTCAGCAACCCTCTCTCATTATTCCCAAATACGGTATGGCGAGAGCGCCGTGCATTTGCTTACTATTTTCAATTTGCGGCAGAGTCCATCGGCGGTGGACTAGACGTCGACTTCTGGCGCACCATCGTCCCTCAGGTATGCCGCAGTGAATCTGCAATATGGGACGCAATGATTGCCATAAGCTCACTTTTCGAGAGTCCGGACCTATGTCCCGATCTGGGCTCTCTCCGTCGAGGACAGTATTCCCATGCTCTCAATCAAAACCACCAAGACGCGTTGGATTGGTACTCGCGCGCGGTATCTGCCGTTCGCCAGGGTATTGAGCGCGGTGGTGTGGATGCATTCGTTGGACTCATCACTTGTGTCCTGTTCATTTGCATCGAGACTCTCCTTGGGGGCGTGCAAGAAGCCTTGCGCCTCTACGGTCAAGGCATAAACCTGATCCACACTCTACGAGCTCAGGCAGCATCCGGCGCCGTCGGGCCGACCAAATTGGCTCTACTCAAAGAAACACTTATTCCCATTTTCGTTCGGCTCGGGGCAGTGTCTCTACACAGTGTCTGGGCTTTGGCGAGCACCTTGGTACAAGAGACAGAAGATGTTTATGCACCCCAGCCGGAGTTTATCTCCTTGCGATCTGCCCGTGATGCTATCGTCATCCTGGCTACAGAAATCCCACTCTTTGAAGGTCAATGCGAGGAATATCTGAAGAAATCGCACCGCTGGCAGATCTCAGAGGAAATGATGCATCAACGAGCTGCCTTGACAGCCAGGCTCGAGGGCTGGCATACTGCTTTCTCGAACTTCATGAAGTGGGGGCTACTATCTTCGCAAATCGGCACAGGCGCCCTTCTTCTGACCTACTACGAGATGCTATCCGTCATGCTCGCAGTCTGCATGTCGCCATCGCGGATCACAACCGACAGTTGTTTACACAATTTCCAGAACATAGTGGAACAAGGCGCCATCGCATTAAACGCTTCTGCAAGGCAAGATGGGACACTCCCGCCATTTACATTTGAGCTTGGCATTGGCCTGCCCTTATGGTTCACATGTCTGAGATGCCGCCAGCCGGAACTCCGGCGGACAGCTCTAGCTCTGCTGCGTCGAACACACCGGATATATGGCCTATATAAGCGTGATCAAGGCGCCGCTCTGAGTGAAGTAATTATGACCCTAGAAGAGAAGTATGCGATGGAGATGAATGCAGCTCAAGGGATGATAAGCAGCAGTCTCGGCGTTCTGGACTCCAAGCCAATCTCCAGTCCATCTCCGCTGATGGAGCTGGAAACCAAATCATCCGCAAGAATGCTCATTCCACAAGAAGCGCGTATTAGGCCTCATGATGTCTTTCGACCTAGCGATGGTTATCCTCCCGGAGTGACGGAGAAGGATCTTGTGAAGTGGAAGCGGGGCCGTGGTCAGTACTTCATGCAATTTTCGTGGAATCAGTATGATCGGTCTAGCAACACATGGACGATGATATTCGACTATGTCCCGATCGGCTTTTCATGACACTCTGACCACTTAGTCATGCGATTTTTCTCATGAGTAATGCTGAAATGATGATGACTTTCATTTATCAAGCACACTTTTGTTATATGTCAGCATTGTTGACTAGACATCTCATTCATCTAGTGTTGATCGGGGATCTGCTTTCCATTGATGTGCAAGCCCTGACAATCAACGCCGTCTATCCTTCGGAAGAGATCGCATCTACAAATAATCACAACTGTTCATTCTAGCGTACATTACAATACTCATCGGAGGGACCACCTCGGAAAAACCCAAATGGATACAGATGTCCCAGCATGTCTTGTAATCGTGCGAGCAACGATTGGAGGGCCGCAGGTAGAACCAGTCTTTTACAAACTCCGAGTCTGTAAAAACTCACCGTAATAGGTGAAAGATCGACACGCTAAGAGTGAATGGGGACCGGGCATGAAGGAGGCTGGGAGAATTTCGATGTGAACCGGGCTGGCACTGTTGGGACTTTCATGCACGGAGCCGTCAACACGGCCAAAATTCTGCAGACATCAATACGAGATGCACACGTGGTTGGCATTGAATCAACCGCTCAATTTTATTAGTACTTCGATTCCTAGGTTTTCCGGGTGGCTGATCGAATAGGTATAAAAACAGAGTATTATGGTCCACATGGTAATCACTAAAAAGAAAAACAACAAGCTGACTTTCATCCGTATAATTCCTCAGGTACGGAGCAATCGGAAGCACCTTCATACTCAGTAATAAAAATTCTTTGACGGGGCTGTTTCATCTCTGTCGCCGTAACAAACAGATGAGGATTTGAACCACGGTCGAGATTGCGGAACCGTGGAATCGGAGCCGAGAGAGCCACCCGCTGCCAGTTGCACGCCGGCAGTTTGAGATACAGTGGATACCATCAATAACTTCGTCGGCAGGCCGGCACAAAATATGCTAGTAAAATAGTGTCAGGTAGCAATTAGCCTTCAATCAAATTATGTGCCATAGTGGATGTTTTTCCACGTGGCGAGATCAGGTGTCAGCGTATGGGGATCCTGGGGTCGTGGAGTGTAGCAGATCCCGTCGACGACGTCCGGGTGGTCAACAAAGAAAAACAGAATCGGGCAGATATAATGTGCCCAGTACTAGTCAAACACGGAGGGATGTGCATCGAGGTGAAACTACATTTCATTAGTGTCTAATTGTTGATTGATTTGAATCATTGTTAGATGAAGCTTGGTCCTGGTGTCCGGAATATACAATGGCCACTAGGGCAGTATTTACTGGTACGGGGTATTTTCGTTGGATAATAACATAAAACCAAGCGAATACTACTTCAAATACATTTCAATCAATACGATGGTCTAGAGATTTGACCACTTGTTCTACTATATTGAAATTTGCTAATGCTACAATAATGTCAGTAAGTATGATTCATCTCAATTTACAGAACGGGGGTTCGACAGCGATACTTTGTCACACTGATGCAGTCTCGTATCCAAGTATAGAGCTACATAGGTAGATCTTGGTCAGAATTACAATAGGATCGCTTCAAATTGTTGTTGCATGGCTGCAGCAACTTGGGTTCAACCATAATATCCAAGTATATACCTGATACACAACTATCCATTGGTCAGACACCAGGTTAATTGTCACCAGCACCAGGCGCTCGTTGGCCGGTGAGCGCGGCGGAGGGGTTCATTTGACATGATTTAACCCAAGACTGGCGTCAGCGCCAGATGGGATAGTCCACCAATCGATGGACGAAACTGGCTGCGACGAGACCCCTCCGTCGCAGTAACCGCCCCCAGGAGGAGCTGTGGCAAAGCAGCAGAAACTGAGGCGAAACAAGCGAGACACGAAACGAACCCACGTAAGCTGCGCGCAGTGACCGTTGGTTCAGGAGATCGTTATTTTTAGGTCGTGAAACGTCTCGAGTTCCTGACGGATCCGCGACCAGGACTAAGGAACAGGCAATCTACTTGGAACAATGGCGGTGGACTAGGCTTGGATTATGCAGCAAGCGAGACATTGTTATTCATCTGTACTGTATCTGGCAGTCAAGGACCATGGTACCAAAGCGAAGATCATATCGAGCATCGAGTTGACATGGCGGTACACTGTGCATATCACGATTGGAAATTGTACAGGAGGGTACTCCATCCTACGTGAGGGCATTGTACTCCGGCACTGCTGCCGTCCTCCGCCCTGCGGGATTCATATGATAGCGCCGTACTACCAAGTGGCACTTGCGCTTGCCGACGCCTCACTTTTACCCACTCCACCAAGTTTCAGGATCGCGGATTTCCACGTGGAAGCAAGTCGATCATCGAGTTCCCGGATGATCATGACAACACGACCAATGTCCGCCTGGCAGGGCGAGAAGCTGAACTGTGGGTGTGTGGACAATGAGACCATGACCTCATCCGCCTCTTCCACCTCCTTCACTCCCCGTTGGAAGGGAAATCGAAGACTCGCCTATCCGAACACAGACAGTTTGAGACGATCACCTTGAATCAGCAAGTATCGACGATAGGCTACAGCCGCCCTCCGCCCAGGGGGCCACTAGCGCTAACTAGTGCGGGTTTGGCGTGTTTCAGAATCGCCCTCCCAGATCCATCCGCCTCCGGGGTTTCAGAAGTCGGTTATGCTTGGTGAGAAGGATCCCCCTCACCGACGAGAATCTGCAGTGGCAACGACCGCATTCAGAGCAAGTCCAAATATGAACTGCAATCCCCAGCCAAGATCATGAGAATCCACCATGGCCACGGACGATCTCCTCCCCCCCCTGAGTTCAGGTTACGGGGGACAGCCAGCCCAGGACCCGAGTAGTTCCATGGGTCAACCAAGTCAGCCAGCCCACCGTTCACCCGTGTTTACTTACACCCTGTATGGAGCACATGTACGGGGCTCGCTCTTGTTGTATGCACATGCCTACACATACATACGTCGCGGGACACGGACACTTTTTGCTTGGAAGAACGAGAACAGGGAGAACAGGGAACCGTGCACGCTCGCAGACGGGTCGGATAGGACCGAATTTGGAATTCTCAAATCAGGCCCTGCGCCTCCCCGGCCAACGCGCAGGCTCTCTCCACACCGTCCCGTCTCGACGGACTTCCTCGGTCCTGTCCTGGCAGGCTTGGAAATTTCTTGACGGAGCAGAGAGAGCGGGTGGATCGGTGTCACCTCTGGGCATTTGACCAGCCTCCCCTGCCTGCCCTCCCCATCGGGCGTAAAGGCGAGCGTCCCCAGAAGGAGCCTTCCAATCACATAGCCCCATCCGCTCCTTCGACAGTGCCCTAGGGCACTTGCGCACTGAGAAATGCCTGCGATGGACACAAAATGTCCCCGAGGCTCAGCTACAGGAAGCGGAAGTGGGACGGGAGGGTAAGGTGGGACCGGGAGGTTTTTCGAGAATTTGACCATCTCGCACGCCATAGGTTCTCCAGTAGCTCCAACAGCTCCAGCCCGTCGTCAGCCCATCTCGACAGGGAATGTAGCAGGCGAGGCTCCAGGTCTTTACCTGGAGGGGAGGGGGAGCACCAACATCACAAACGGGGGGTGTGAAGTGCGTGGACGAACGGCATGGGCCTCTCAGTTGCGTGCATTTGGCGCCGACGCAGTGTCCAACACGCCCCCGGGCGGCTAAAATTAGAGCAGCAGGCAGTGATTGGTGTTGGCCGTACCTGAGTATCCTCTTGTATAGAATGCATACCGTAGAATACCACCTTTTCGAGTCCCAACCTGTGCTTTCCATAGTAAACTGTCCTCAGCCTAAGGAATACGAGCCCCATCGCAGCGCCGGGCATGGGCGGTCGTCCATACGGTACGGTACTAATACCCTCTCCACCCACCAAATTACAGTGGGCCTGAATCGGAGATCTCTAACACAGGTGTATCAGAACATCGAATCTAAATAAAAACAGTAAGGGTCCAAACCTCCCCCTCCCGCTGCTTCATCTTAACCCTTTTACCAACGCTTCTTCCCTTTCTTCCACCCGCCCCTTCTCTCCTCCCCCTCCCCGTCATTCGAGGGGTGTGTCTACTTCTTCCTTCCACATTCCCGTTCCCCGGAGGAACTGCCGCCCCATCCAGGCATTCTCTACGATCCAACCGCTTTCCTTTCACCTTTTTCGGTTGTGTCTGTCGCTCCTTCAGTCCTCAACTAGGTCACCTTGAATTCGAATCCTCTCAACATCTTTCATACATCGTCAAGCCAACCGCAAGACGCTCCGCTCCGACCTATCGCGCAAAGAAACACTCGGACCACCACGACTGTATTGCGACCTGCCGGCTTGTGATCTCGGTACGTTTTGGACTCCCATCCCATCGTCTCCACATCGGGTGCATCGCGTCCACGAAGAAACCATTGCGAAATGTGAGCGTGCCTGCGGATGATTTCCATCTGTTTTGCATGGTTGCAGATCATCGGTTTCAGCCCTTGCAGCTTGCCGCTTGCCATCCTAGATCATCCCCCAAATGTACCTGCCGCTGACGCCGGCCAAAGAGGGACCCTCCATTTGCGCAGGTAGCAAAGAAACAAAAGACTACACATCACACTGTCCGACCCGAATGCCCCTCTAGCTCTGCGAATACGTTCGTGCCCCCCTGTGAAATTCCGGTGGGTTTGAGAGGATTGTGCCTTTCTCCCCATCGCGAGACACCGAATCATGCCTGTACAAACCAGCCCGCCGTCCTTTCCGGACTCGTTCCCGTCATTCATGTCCGTCTACGGTGGTCTGCCGCACCGATACAAGGAGGAAGAGAACGTGATCCACCCCCTTCAGGTTCCAGCGCATGTGCCGGTTAATACCTCAACGCGACGCCTGTTGCCTTCACCCAACCCCCACCGTGAGAGTGTCTCATCGATGACCTCGGGCTCCACTGAATCCTCGCCCACCACCACCATCTCACCATTCGATTCCCCATCGAGAGGGGACATCTCTCCAAGCTCCTCACCGGAGTCTCCATCGGCCATGCCCCTTTCATACCCCAAGTTCACACCACCTGTTCGCCCTCTAGACGTGGCTCCGCGGTCCATGATATCGACCGACAGTTCCCGTTTAGCGACCACGCCAAACATGGCACGCTCCGATTCTAGTACCAAACGCGCGCGCAACCTGAAGAACCTCTCCTTGCGAGTTCCCTCTCCCTCGCAATCACGACCACCCATTGCAACCGCCTCGGTCATGGAGACATCATGTAGCCACCACCTTTCGTCCCCACCATCCCCCATCCAGATCCCGCCGAAGACCAGCCGGCGACGCCCTGCCAATTTGACCATCCAAACGCCCGCTTTCGACAAGTCCTTCTCAGAGAGAGGCTCCGATCTCGTTCCTCCGACGCCACTCGGCCGACAGTCCTTGCGACATGCAGAATCCTCGCCTTCTCTTGCGTCGATCGCATCGCCCGGCTTTGCTCCGCGGGGAGGCATGCAGCTCCCACGGCCGATGTCGCATCACGGTGCGCATCGCTTGTCGGGGGCTTCTTCTGAGGATACGACATCTCCGATGACCTCTATGCCAGATGATGGCTCTTCATTCTCGCGTCGAGTTCTCCACGGCTTGGAAGAGGAGGACGACCACCTTGACTCTCGAGAGTCAACTCGCAAGTCTTCACGTGGCTATCCGGATGGACCTATTCGGATCCACGATTCTGGAGTGTATCTGTACCTGGAGCCCACCGCCGAAGAGGCCGCCAAATTTGATGTGGTGATCAACGTGGCCAAGGAGGTTTCCAACCCGTTCGACAGCGAGAAGGGAGCCGAGCGGAACGACACGGTCATGAGCGCTTGGCGCAATGCTTCAAAGCGATTCTCCAACGGGGACCCCCAGACTGCCATGTCTGAGATCTCGTTTAAATCCGCCTTCGAATATCAACCATCCGAATCTGAATCAGCAACACCGACTACTCCCACCCCGAATTCAATCTCAACGCCCGAGTATCTTCACGTTAGCTGGGATCACAACTCTGAGATTTTGGATGATCTGCTGCCTTTGTGCGAGCTTATCGACGATCGTATCGATCAGCGCAAGAAGGTTCTCGTTCATTGCCAGCTTGGTGCCAGCCGCTCTGCTTCATTGGTTATCGCCTATGGTCTGTACAAGAATCGCCACATGGACTTCAACTCTATGTATGAGCAGGTCAAGGCACGCAGCCAGTGGGTTGGCCCGAACATGAGTCTCATCTACCAGCTTACGGATTTCCGATCTCGACTTCTACGAGGTGCTTCATCCAAGCCCGCTCCTCAGGAATGGTTCGTTCAGACTGGCCGACGAAGCTCTGAGCCTCAGGTCACCAGGGCTGAACGAGAGGAGGCGGCAGCGCGTGCTCGAGCTCCTGCTCGGGGCCTTGCGCAAGCACCATCAATGGGCTGTCTGAACTTGCCATCTACGAGTCCAGTTCGGCCTAAGACGAGCGACAATGGGAACAAATCTCCCAAGCGCAGTCTTTCTCCTCGGCCATTGCCATTCCGTCAGAAGTTTCAATCCATCGAGCCTGCAGCTGGCCGCCCGCGAGGTTTGCCTCGCAGTGTTAGCAGCTGCGATCCCCTCGTTCAGACTCACGTCTTTGTCCGTGATGCTCCTGAACAAGGGCCGGGTGGATTGTTCTCGCCGAGAACCTCTGGGTTCATGGTCCCTCCTGTTCCGCCGATACCACCAATGCACGTGAACATTGATCGTGCTGCTACGGCATCCCCTCCTCCAGCTGTGGCGTCTTCCAATCCTGTGCAATATGCGAATCAAACGGCCGATCCTCGCTCGCCCCCGACGGGCGGCGAGCTTCTGATCATGAGGAACATTGATGAGTTCCTATAATAGGTATCTGTTCTCAAAACAGACCTTGAAACGAATCTACGACCTGACATTTCTGCATGTCTTATTGATTCTCCAAGCATCATTCATTTCTTACTCCCCGGCCTTATTTTTTAGCTTTGCCGACAATTCTTACCTTTCCCAGTCACATACCCTTTTTTTTTGACTGGCCTGATGATATCATGACCAAAGCGGGCTTTGCTCTCTCATCGGCTTTCGCCTTCACTTCCACCTTCACTCGCATCCGACAACCGTTGACCTTTATCGCTATTATTCCATCCAATTGTCTTTCAACCCATTTCCGGCGTCACGGGTGCGAAAATCAATACCATGGGCTTACCTTCGAGTGGATATTTGGTATCTCTCGAGCGCCCGGTAACTGTAATATTATTTTGGAGGATGATTTGACCATTTTACAACTTGCATCGGTCGGCCAGTCGCCGACCCAGCCTTCGCTTTTGTTTCCTATCCCTCTTGTCTACATGGCAAGGCTTTCGCTATTATCTTGTTTCCTTTATTTTGTTTTCGCCCGAGCCAATTTCCTGCATCGGTCGAGGAAGGAATGATCAATACCCCCTGTGCGCAGTCCATAGAAATGAAAGCTTCAGGCTTAGCCTTCATTGAATCTTTGTAAAATCCAACATAATTGAGTGTCGCTCAGCACTATTCGTTCCATGAAAAAATTCACTCTTGCTTTTCCACTCAAGAATTCTTGTCCCAAATAGTCTGCCTTGATGTCAAGTTGGTTGCTGTCATTACCCTAGGCTTGGCAACATTTGATCGAGGTTAGATTAAGGCTTGGTAGATTGATAACTCCGATAAGGAACGTCATCTGAATTTTCTCACGATCCAACACCCTCACAGCAGCCACAAAATGGCGGAAGAGACTCGCCCGTCCTATCTATCACCCAGTGAGCTGGGCACAAAAGACTAGTAAGTGCCATTGAAGTCCAAATTCCTCAGACGGTGCCCCAGACGCAGCATCCAAATCCGACGCGGCCCCGCGTTACCCCTCGTCAGGGTTCACAGGCTTTTGTAATGGGTTTCCCGATCCCTTCACGTATTTTCTTTTGCAATAAGCTCCTTCGCCGTCTTTTCGATATGCAGATGGCCTTATATACCGAGTAAAAAACTAACAACGCCAGTTGGGAAACATATTACGCCCGCACATTGGCACACATCGCCAACCCCGCAAACCACGAGCAAACCGCGCCGAAAGAAGACGATGAAGCCGGTTCAGACGCAGAATCAGACATAAATGACGAAGACGATCCTGGCACTTCCTGGTTCTCAGAGCACAACGCCCCGGAAAAGGTCCTTCACTTTCTAACGCAGTCGTCCTTCCCGCTCTCCCCACGGAACACGCGCACGTCGAGAATTCAACCAAGTGTCCTGGACCTGGGAACCGGAAATGGGAGCATGCTTGCTCTTTTAAGGAAGAGAGGTGGATTTTCGGGAGACCTAGTTGGGGTAGATTATTCGGCGCAAAGCGTCGGGCTTGCAAGGGAATTGCAGAGAACGAAAGGACATTCTGCCTACCATTCTGATTCCGAGGATGAAGACTCTGAAGACGAAGGAGAGGAACAGAGCCATGCGCAGACGCCAACCGAGCCGGGAGATATTCATTTCGAGGAATGGGATATCCTCGGCTCTACCGCTCTCCTTTCTTCGGATGGAAAGCCTGTCTCTGCATCTGCGAACGACGAGACCCTTTCCTGGTTCCCTTATTCGCGAGGCGGATTCGACATCGTCCTTGACAAGGGGACGTTCGATGCTATTTCTCTAGCAGAGGATGCGAAAGAGACTCGTGTTTGTGAGCGGTATCCTGATATCGTGCGTCGATTGATTCGGGCTGGCGGATTCTTGATTGTCACCAGTTGTAATTGGACGGAAGAGGAGTTGATGCATTGGTTTACTGGCGCTGGAGCCGAGACTGGCAGCTCAGATCGGTTTAATGTTTGGGGTAGGGTTGAATATCCGCGTTTTCGGTTTGGGGGGCAGGAGGGACAGGGAGTGTGTACAGTCTGCTTCCAGAGGGTTCTGTCATAATTTTATGAAAGTGATGCTTCCACACCCTCTTTGTCTCATACCACACCCCCATCATGGCTTGGCTCAGATAATCCAGAACTGCAACCTTGATCAAACATGGCGCCAATTTTGACGCCGAACACTCACTCGATGATTGGTCTTGGTAACCGCCAGGTTCATTGCTCGATACAGTCACCTATCTGGCCAGCTACCTGGTTATCTAGTCAGTCACCTACGTGATTAGTTGCCTAGATGACTAATCTAGGAAGTGATGCGCCATGCAAAATGAACAAGATCGGACTAAAATGATTCTCCCCATTAGAGCGAAAGTTCATTCTTTGACTCGCACAGCCAGGACACCCAAGCCGAAGAACTAAAAGTTACCTGAAGGTCCAGGCAGGGGGTGTGTTCTGAGGCAGAAGGGCTGTGGCTGTATCAATTCCCAAAATTTATCTGAAAGCTCATGTGTTTGATTATCTGCCATCGTCTATAGAATGTCATGAATGATATCTAGAAGAATGATCGTATCTCAAAAATACAATATCCTTGATGATATTGTTTCTATTGAGCCACAATATACAATTGTATTTTAATGCAGTCATAATCATAGTCTCATAACCCTATATTTCACAGAACCTCATTATAGGATGTGACCTTCATTCCCTATCAGGCACACGCGTTGGGTATTTGGTATATGCAAGGCCTAGTTACTCCTTGCGCCTCAGCACGGAAACAACCACCCACCGCTGGCGGTTTTCAGGGCCCTCGTCTTCCCGAACAGGACGCCACTCTCGTCGAATTTCCCCATCGTTCTCATCCCGCTGGACAACATCCCGCTCGAAGATCCGCTCGGACTCGAATCCATTCGCATAAGCTGTCTCAAAGAAGTCTGTGACGACGGCCCTGCTAGTGTGAAATCCGGCGATGACCCACACCTTGCCGCCAGGTGCGAGGAACCACTGCATCGTGCGGGCGAGGTTCTCATGCTGCGAGCGCATCCAGTAACAGTCTGCAGCAATGATGCGGGTGAACGTTCCCTTGTATTTCTGGGAGAACGTATCGTCCAAAACGCCCCATGCATGCGGCTCGATGGCGACTGTTGCGGGCGCCGGGGTACGGTTCCGTAGGTTATGCTCCATATTGAATTTCATTGCGCCCGTGAAAGCGGGTGACGAGGGGTGGTCAGTTGCAGCGACGGTGGATGCGCCGGCGAGGGCCGCAACAAGAGAAGGAAGAGCAGTGCCTATACAAAGAGGACCGTGTCAGCCGTTGCGCCGCAGATAGCATCAATAGACTTGACAGCAATATGATGCATGATAGGGTTAGAAATAATTCAACTCACCGGCACCCAATTCCATGATACTCTCGCCCTTGACGTTCCAGATGTCATAGGCATCTTTTTTGGCATCGGTCGGATTGATCTGGAAGCTATCTGCGTCTTCGATGCCCTCCGCAACGACCATTGCAGCGCTCCACAGAAAATGCGCAAATAGCTTTCGTCCCTCCTCCACCCGGCCATCCTGACCCGCTGCTACCTCTTTGCTTTTCTCGCCCTGTTCGGGGTACGAGGGGACCATGATTTCGAGATCGCCATACTGCGGGGACGCGTAGAGGAGATGCTGGCCTGGGTCACCATGGAATGGAGGGGTATCTTCGGGGAAGAGAAAGGGCATGAAAGATTCGAAAAGGTTCTCCGGCAAGTCCTCGGCTTCGACATTTCGATCCTCATCCTCATCCTGGAAGTCCGGTGCAGGCACCGCCGTCGTGATGGGCTGGCGGCGGGGGAGGGGCCGCAGGCGCGAATGAAAATGTCGCATGCCGAGGCGAGTGTGAATTCTTTCCCTTTGCAGACAAGAAAATCCGTCTGGTATGGGTTGGCCTTGCAACACGCAGGATCTCGGGTCTCCACACGGATCTAAACCCTCCGGGACGCAATTGAGCGATCAATGCGTGGTGCAAAGCAGCAGACGGAGTATATTTGGGCGCATGGTGGGATGGTTTTCTTATCCGGCACTCAAAAAAAAGGGCGTTTGCACTGTTTGTCTCCAACAATCGTCATTGTGGAGCTGGGCACGGTACGGAGCGCACGATGGGGGGAGCTGGGGGGGGGGGGGGGGGGGGAGTTTGTTTGAATGCGAGACATTTTCCCCCTTGGGCTGGGTTGCTTTTAATTTGTTGCTTACAGGAGCTTGGGTGGTACGGAATCTCCGATCGATTGTCTAGTGTGCTTTCTGCATGTTTTCTTTTTCCCAGCTGAGGGGATCAGCAGAAGCTCCAGCGATTACTACCCTAAAGTACAGTACGAGCTAGTCCTCAGGTAATAAGGTTCCCCAGAGTGTCAGCCGCAGGCATCCATTGAGCAATAATGGGGGACCGAGGCGCTCAAGAATGTGCCAGAATGGCTTGTTTCCATGGATGAGCTGGGTTCCCAAAAATAAAAACAATTGCTCGGTGCGTGCCTTGCGAAGGGGGGAAGGGGAACGGCTGAGGTAAAGATCCTCGGGGTTAGCCCCAGGGCTGGCGCGACGAGAGGAGATCTGATCGTCGGGAATGCCACAGCACACGCCAGCAGGGTTAGGCCAGTTAGGCCCGGCTAGTGCCAGGGTCAGTGCCCATCTGCCTGTTTGGCTCCGGGACGTCCGATCAGGCGCAGCCACATGGGACCCCAAGCACCGCCCGGCCAAGCAGGGAGAGAGTACCCGATACACTTGGATGGCTATGGGAGAGGTTTATTCCAACAAGATATCGAAAAGGTATTGTCCGGTGCTGCGCGCGTGCTCTGATAGGCTGTGGCCAGGAGACATCACCTGACAGCCAGTCAGCGGATCCCGTGACTTCTCCTATCAGGTGCGCTGCCCAGTTCTGAGACGCTGACATCATCGCCCCCACCCACGGGGGCCTTAGACCGGTCGATGGGCTGCAGGTGATCGCACGCTGCTCCCTCCGTGTTCACTGCCTCCAAAGAGTGCAACAGCACCGGGTTCTTTGTACCTGGCACTTGACCTCGGTGAGCATAGCCTATGTCTCGCCAGGAAACCATTTCCCTCCTACGCTGGGATCCCCGGTGATCGACAGGCAACAGACGTTCTTGACGACTCCAGAACATAGCCATAGTCCTGGACAGTCATCACAGGCATCATTCTACATAAACGTGCCAGCCTGCTTTCTCTGGTCATTTCCCTCCGTCCCAAGTTCAAGGCTCTGAGATCGGATCCATGGGTGCCTAGCACCTGCAATTCTCGGGAGCCAACGACTCTAAATTCTGCCCTGCAGGGTACGGCACGCCTTCCGAGGGAGTTTTTCAACTTAGGGCAAGGAGGGGAAGGGAGCACCACCCCTCCGTTGGGATATAGTCTGCTGCTGCTCCGCCAGAGTTGCAAGTGGAGGGGTTGACATCAGTTCCAGAGGCAAAAAGCCACATCTTCGCATTGTCAGGTTGACTGTCCATGCGACCCGGAATCCCAGAAGCGAAGTGGAGCCATGGTTATCGCATCATCCAAAGGGCCTTGCGACGCACACAACCCCGAGAGAACACCTTCCCACCGCAGAGCAGAACCACGTAGACCACAGAAGGAGGGAATAAAATAGTAATACAGAACACACGGAAACGATGAAAACGTGAAAATAATTGTAAATTCATAACCGGCTCTAGACCTCGTATGTGTTACAAGCGAAGATCTCTCCCCCCCCCGCATGCTCAAAGGGAAAAGCCCCCGCAAAGCAATGAGCGATTTTGGTGGGCCACACCATACCGGGACCAGTCCTCCTTCTTTCTCCTCTTTCTCCCCTACTTTTTTTTTTTTTTGGTATTCACCTTCCGCTACCTTTCGTTGCTTCTTCCCTTCACCTTTTTTTCGTCTCTCATTCTCCCTCTCTTCCCTACTTTCCATCTCAACTTGCCTTCTCAATCTTCCATCCCAACTACGTCCACAATCCCGCTAGCCGCTCGACCCTCCGCGTCATTCCACCGGTTTCCACCCGGAATTGAATCCGTCTTACACCTCTAGGGGCTTTCAAAAAGTCGATTGCCAGAAAGCCCTTCATTATGGCCTCATTCAAGGTACGAATCGCCGTGAAACGACCACGCTGGCCACAACTCCACGGTGCCTGCCAAAAAGTTGGTGTTCCTTAGTCGATTGCTGATGATGTGTCACCGTTCTCTATAGGAATTGTCCCTCTCGCGCCCCCTCCCCGGTCCTCAACAACGCCACCACGCGCACTCGATCTCGCTCGGTGCTGTGAATGCCAATCACCGCGTGACGCGACGCAAGAGCGTCACCACCGCCGCCGTCAATGCCGCGGCCGCGGTCGCGGCCTCAATGCAGGAAGGCGGAGAGTCCGCGTCGCTCCCCATGGCCGCGCACCGCCGCAGCCTTGGGGGCCGCAAGGGACTGGAATCCACCTCGGTCGGAGGCTCGTCTGGATTCAGTTCGTATCTGTCCCGGAGCATGAACAGCCCCAGCCAGGAACTTCCCGTCGCTCGCAAGGCCTCTCCCAGCAACTCCGAGGCGGACGGCAAGCCTGTCCCTAAGGGCCGAAACCGTCGAGCCAGCGAAGGCGCCCAGACCAAGACCGATGGGAAGCGCAACCCGGCCGAACTCCGCTGCGACCGTTGCGGGAAAGGGTATAAGCATGGCAGCTGCTTGTCCAAGCATATGTGTGTATCCCCCATTACCGCCCGGCCGTCCTCTTCTTGCTCGATCGAGAGAGTATGCGCCATGTCGGCTCTGTGCAGGTCGCCCTCGTGGTCATTGAACTCTCCCCCCACACTATCTCATCCCCTTCTTTCTCACTCCTTGAAATATTTGGTGTCATTTGGTTGACGTGTCTTGTTTGTGGCATCTTAGGTGGGAACACGACCCGGCATGGGCAATTACCTCGAAACTACTCATCTCGAAGCACCAGCAAGTGCAACTGCTGGAGGCCGCGACAGTCCTGGTCAACATGACCGATGTGCCAGAGGAGTCCGCGGAGGCCGAGGCCGAATCTGACATGTCCTCTGTGTCGCCGGACGGCTCCTCAGAGGTCCGGGATGGTCGCAGCTCCGCCGAAACCACACCGCCGCCCGTGGATGAGCAGGAGGACGATGACTTTGAGATGTCCGGCATGCCCGCCAACTGGACCAAGCGCCCCAGCGTCGGCAACACCTCCGCAGCCTTCTCCCGCTCCTACCAGTCGATCCCTTCCAGCTCCTACACCGGCAGTGCTCCGCTGCACTCCCCTGCTTTCTCGCACTTCCGAAAGTCGAGCGTCGATACCCGTCCTTCCACGGCGGACACACGGCTGAACGAGGAAGACGAGGCTGACTTGGCGGCCGCCATCGGTCTCTGCAACTTCGGCACTCCCCGCACAGGGCCTGTCTCCATGACTGCCGATGTGCCGCCAGTGCCCCCACTGCCCGCCCGCTATCTTGATTCTGGAAGCCACCCGAGCCCCGTCCCGGGCCTGGGCCAGTCGGGCCCGACCAGCGAGGCTTTCCGCCGCGACTCCAATGCCGATTTGTTCCTCTCGGCATCGCTCAACCCATCTCTATCCTACAAGGTGTCCGATGAGCGCGGAGTACGAACTGGCGACGCCAAGACCCGCGAATCGCGGCACCGTCGTAACGCTGACGTCGACTTTGGAAGCCGCCCTACTCCTGACGACGACGATGATGGCGTTTTTGGGCGGATGGAAGAGTAATCTCTCTTCTGTCTCACCATGCTCACAATTGGCCCGTAGGGCCCGCCGCGGCGGTTTCTTCCTGTGCCGAGCGACAACTCATCATCACGACGAAATGTACGAGCTTGAGCGTTTTTTCTCTTTTTCTTTGGGACTTTTCTTGTTTACATGTTGTTATATACACGCTTGCATAATGCAGGAACGCGCTCTTAGACCGAGTTACTTGATTTTTCTTGTGGCTTGGATTGAGAGTTTCCTCTTCGCAGGCCGTGCCTAAGAAATTTCGTGACCTTGTTGCACCTTGGTGGGGATCCCCTGTATCATGTCTCCTTGGCCCTCTGTCTTTCGTCTTCTTTCATGCTGCTGTTCTTCCATTTGCCTGTTATAACTTTTCTTTTTTGTTCCGGAAACCTCATAAATGGCCTTGATTGGCCGGCGCATATTCATCATCACTCATATCCCAGACCTGCTCCTCGTCTCTGCTCTTTTGTGCTTTTCCCCCTCTTTCTCTTCTGTTCTTATTCCCGCTTCCGCTTCGCACATATACACCATACTCGTCTTGAAATCCGGTTATTTCATGTGTCATCTCGTCCGCTCTCTTCTCTCCGCTTTCCTTGTCCTGACGCTCTCTTACTCTTCCATGTGTATTCAATGACCGGCGGACGAGCACAATGAATATAAATAATAAATCACCAAATGCAGATCCTATGTAAAAAGTAACAGTAAAGCGAGGTATTTTCTGGGGTTGCTGTATGGAATACATAACAAGTTCTGGAAAATACCTTGGTTTGGGCTAGGACACTTTCATCTGAACCAGTCTCAGACCATATGTAAACAATTGTCGGAAACGTGGCACACCGGCTGGAATGTCTAGAACATACAGATCATTCCATCTATCCCAATTCCTTGCTATCCGGCTGTGGCGTTTCGGTTTTGTTTGGTATTTTCGTGCCTGATTCAATTCTCGAATGTTGTGTTACGTTGGGTGTTCATGCTGGACACGAGAACTCCTCCAGAGGTCGACTTCAAGTGTTGACCCCACAAATCGCAGGCCTATATTCCCAGGCAACTGAGCAGGTGCCCAATCTTGTACGTGGATATATCCAGTATTCTTAGATATACAAAGAGCAGAAACATTGCAAACGGGTCCAGAGGCAAAGGCTCTACAGTAAGTGAAGTCCATGGCCACCCTTTGTACTCCTAGACCCAACATTAGATGTACTACTAGTTAATAGTATGCTACGTCGCCTCTAGGTTGAACAATAATAATGATGCCGAATTTGCACAAACTCAAATTTGAAAAATAGGGATTATTCATTATTCTCCCTTGGAATTGGTCGATGATTAGACTCGTTCCTATCCTTGTGCAGCAGTTTACCGGGTCTCTCAGGTACCCTGCCGCCGGTGAGATATGCGGCAATTTCAGGCGTCTGATGTTGGCTTCAACTCAAATTGGCTGAGGTCTATTCACCCAGCCGTAACGCAGTAGCTGATTACTTCACAGTAGGTATGTGCACTGAGGACGAGATAAAGGAAAATAGGTCAGATGATGTGCAGGCAGTGTCCGAATACCACCAGGCACCGTGTAGGTCAATTTTACAGATGCCTTGCTTTTAAAAAGTACCGATATACTCAATTAGCCAAAACTTATATAGAACAGATATTTTAGGCATAATACTGTAAATCGAATGCAAAGCAGGTGATATCGATTGCTTTTTGAGATACCATAGGGGTAAGAACACCGTGATGATAATGACAATGCAAGCCCAACTCCAGTAATCGTGTCGTAAAGGTTGAAGCAAGATAGTAGGAAATAAGAAACAGAAAGCCCTTGGGGGAGAAGAGAAAAGAAAGGAAATAGAGAATGGAGGGTAAACCCTTAGTCCATATCCATCTCCTCCTCGACCCCACCATCCACCAGAACCTTGGACTTCTTCTTCTGGCGGAGTCTCTCCTCGCCATGAACCCGGTTGGCAACCTTGCTCTGTTCAGCCACCAGAGGGCGACCCTCGGCCTGTTCGCGCAGTTCCTTGCGAATAAGGTGCTCGCCCTGGGCGACAACCTTGCGGTCGGCCTCACGCTGGCGGTCGCGAGCAATCTTGCCAGCAAGGCGGCGCTTGGTGAAGACGCGCTCGCGGCGTTGACGGATCTCCTCCACGCGCTGCATGGCCTGGACAGTGGCGGCGACGAGGTTGCGGTCGTACTTGACGGGGACGTTGCGCTTCTTGGCGAACTGGGACAGGACAAGGGACGAGTCGACGATCATCTCCTTACCACGGGCGGCACGGTGGCTCTTGGTCCACTTCAACTTGCGGGGCTGGCGCTTCATCTTGAAGTTCTTGTGGCACTTGGACCGACAGAATCGGAATTGTCGAGCGTCATTGCGGACGAATGTGATTCCCTTACCCGGGAAGGCGGGGCGGGAACAAAAATGACAGGTCTCCACGCTGGAGAGTGAATCAGTAGGAGTTCAACAATATGAGAATTGCCGAGAGTGGACTTACCGCATGGTTGCTGGGAGTGTTTGTTCTGGCCGGCGTTGATTATCGCAGAACTTTTTTTGAGCTTCGGGCGGAGCGTGGAGGAGGTGGCGCTAAACCTGTTTGGGCATCGCCGTGCTGACTTTTATCCCGCGGCAACCTTTGGCCCTCCCAACTGCTCCGAGAAGAACCTCATCGATTCGCCTCATCCTCGCAGTCCTTGAAATGGCTTCCGTTCTCACTGTTGGTCTCGGTGTGGCTACCGCCGCCTTTCTCGTGAGTCCAGTCTCCGACATTTTACGCAAGACCTAACTGACTGTTTTTCTCAGGGCCGCGCCGGTCTGGTCGCCTACCGCCGCTCCCAGGGTGGCGTCAACGCCGCAGGAAAGGCTTTCTTCAAAGGGTTTGTTGTTCACCTGGCTGATATGATTAATGGTCGCTAACACATGTTGCAGAGGATTTGAGCCGCGCATGAACCGTCGCGAGGCGTCCCTGATTCTTGAGCTCCCGTAAGTCTTCCGCATCGAGTAACCTCGTGGTGTATCGCGACATGGCTAATCATTCATTCGCAAATAGCGAGCGCCGATTGACCAAGGACAAGGTCACCAAGAAGCACCGCCAGCTCATGCTCCTCAACCACCCCGATCGCGGCGGCAGCCCGTACCTAGCCACGAAGATCAACGAAGCCAAGGAGTTCCTCGAGAAACATGGTTAAACGATGCTCACCCGGTTTTCGGTCGTCGGATATTGTCCTCCTCCCAAGTCACGATCATCCTTCACCGAGTTCGCGTACCTGCGGGCCTACGGAACCCGAGGGATTATCTTGGCTGTCTTCTGGGTGCATAGCGTGGCGTTTGGTTGATATTTGCCAGATTGATGGACTGGACCCATTGTTCCACCAACAATCTTTCTGTATTTTATGCACATGTTATATACTCACACGAGATCGCCACTCCTGTTTCACTGTAATATTATATATCATTTTCACAGACAGCTGCTCAGATTTACCAGCATGGCATAATTGTCTCAATCTTGGATGAGAATAGACAGGCACAGACGAGCTTTCCAGGGCTCCAACCGCTATACTTTCCTGTCCGTCACTGATCACCAGACCGCCGATCGCTTGCTTGAGAGGCGGCGCCGACGGACGACGTACAGTATTAAGTTTACTTGTTGTACTGCGTGCAACCCTAGGATTTTTGACCCCGCCCTCGGCGTGGCCTGCACGTGTGCACCAAAAAGCAAAAAGAGGTCAATTTTAGGCCAAGATGTGTAGTTCAGACGTTAGTTCAACGTCTTCCCAAGTGACATTATTCAGTGTTGTTCTGGAAGTCTCCACTGATTGATAGCGGGCCAGATGGACCAGCTGCATCGGGCGCCGAACGTGGACGGACGAAAAGGTCGGAGTTCATCGCATCGCACCGCCACAATCCGCTCTTGGCCCGGGATCGGGGTTTGGGGGCTCCGTCTTTCGCTGGACAAGGCAGCAACTCATCTTGGCCGGCTCACTGGGCGTTTGCAATTAAACTATCCCCTTAGACTACTAACCTAAGTTGTTAACTTTACGACGCCAATCAGTTGCAGCCGGGTTCTTACTAAAGAACTCGGGTAGCGGGTAACTAATCGTTCTTTTGCCTCTGTGCCTTGGATGCGTCATCCACTTCGATCAACACCCTCCCCATCGACCCTCCCTCCCCTCGCCGCGATCACTCTTCAGGGGAAGCCCCGGAAAAAGCGCGTCTCCGAGACGCATGATAGCCCCGCAGCTTCTTACTTAACACCGCCCATCCCCTCTCGACTCCACTCCGCGGAAGTCCCACGCGCAGAATAGAAAAAAAACGCGGTCTTCAAGATGGATAGTTTGGGGGACGGCAACGGCATGGGCTTCGACATGCAGCCCATGATGATGAACCAGAACCCGCAGATGTTTGGCGACTACCCTCATGACGGTTCCCAGATGCCTGGCATGCCCGCGGGGTCCTTGTACCCTGACGATTCGGCATTGGCCGCGGGGGACGAGACCAATGATGCGAAGAGACGACGAATTGCAAGAGTGCGCATATACCACCTCGGAACACCAGATACCAGTTGCTGACACCCTCTGCTCAAAGGCTTGCGATATGTGCCGGAAGAAGAAGATCAAATGTGACGGCAAGATGCCCAAGTGCTCGCACTGCATCAATTATAAGACAGATTGCGTTTTCACCCAGGTCGAGAAGAAGCGGAACCCTCCCAAAGGGTAAGTCAAAACGCAGATTGGCAAAATTGGAGGAAATGCAAAGAATTAATGTGTCTGACGAAAGTATACAGGGCCAAGTACATCGAAGGTTTGGAGAACCGCTTGGGCCGCATGGAGTCGCTCCTGCGATTGTCCGGGCTTCTTTCGGAAGACGATAACGGCAAAACTGATCTTGGAACTCTCGAGAAGCGACTGGCGGATCGAACGAATGCTTTGAATGCAGCGAGGAGCGCGAACAAGTTTACCGCCCCGAATGCAACCCAGCAAGCCACGGCTACCTCACACAATACAACACCGCACATGGATTCGGGCTCAAGCCCGCGGTCGGCCGCTACCTCTCCGGAATCCCAGAAGGAATCTGAGACCGAGGTGGAAGCCTTGTCAGACATGATGTGTTCACTGGTTACTAACAATTGTGGGGAGACTCGATACATTGGTATGCTACATTTACCCCCCGAAGAAGGACTTTTTCAATTAATATATCTATAGGCTCCTCATCTGGATTCTCCATCTTCTCTCCAAAGGGCATCCAGTGGGTTAATGAGAAAACAGGAGATACTTCATTCCAAGACATGATATCGTCGGCTTACGTTGATGACAACAAATGGATGTACTGGAAGCCGGAGATCTTCAGCGACATATTTGCGCGGCGGGTCTTTAAGCCCTTACCCCCGAAGGAGGAGGCCCTTTCCTTGTTTAAGGACTTTTTCGAGAATTTTAATTGCGTGTTCCCTCTGTTTCATGAAGCTACCTTCATGCATCTCGTGGAAAGGCAATATTCTCGTGATCCCTATGAAGGCTCTGGCTGGTGGGCCAGTATCAACGTTGTCTTGGCCATTTCTCACCGTCTTCGCGTGATGAGCAATCTGGTCCCTCATGAAGAGGACAAGAAGGCGTGGCTGTATCTCAAAAATGCCATGGGTGTCTTGACTGAGTTGACAATGCGGAACACTGATCTCTTGAGTGTTCAGGCATTACTGGGCATGGTAAGTTTAACCTATATGTTTGGTGATTTTGGTTTTCTGACAAGTCCACAGTCGCTTTTTCTGCAAGGAACTCCAAACCCACAGCCTGCTTTCTTCCTAGTCGCCGCGGCAATTCGTTTGTCTCATAGCATTGGATTGCACAAGCGGGGCTCGGGCTTCGGACTGAATCCAGTTGAAGTCGAGCAGCGAAAGAGAGTGTTTTGGATTGCCTATTGTCTCGATAAAGAGTTCGTTTTCCCCTACAGTGCCGCCACAAGTACTTGCTAACCAGCCCGCAGTATCTGTCTTCGATCTGGTCGTCCTCCTGTACAAGACGACGATGACATGAATGTCGAGCTCCCCAGCGAAGATCCGCCAGATAATGTGGGAAATGTTCCTCTTGCGGATGGGAAGGGCAAATTCAATCTCTTTAGATCTCTTTGCGAGTTCGCCACCATTGAGAGCAGAGTGTACAAGAGACTTTACTCAGCGAAAGCTTCCAAACAGTCGGACGGGGAATTGCTTAACACCATCGGTGAGCTTGACAAGGAGCTTGAGGATTGGAAAGACAATATTCCGATCGACTTCCGCCCGGAATACGAAATCCAGGCGACCCACGGCCCTCTTCTCCTGCACGTTGTTGTTCTCCAGTTTGCATACTACAACTGCCTGACCACGATCCACCGCATGTCTGTGCATCATGGTTACTGGACAAGCCGTTTGTCCAACTATGCCATCCAAGGCCTAAATGCCCGGCCTTTGAATCCTAGAGTTTTCCTTTCAGCCGTCCTCTGTGTGACTGCTGCGAGGGCATCCATCAACTTGATCAAGTATATCCCACAAGGTGATTTTGCTTGTGTCTGGTAAGCGTTTTGAACCTCTACACATTCTATAACGTACGATTACTAACTATCGCTAGGTTGATTCTGTATTATCCTGTTTCAGCGCTCGTGACACTATTCGCCAATATCCTTCAGAACCCGAATGATGCACGTGCTCGTTCAGACGTCAAGTTAATGAACGTGGTGGTCAACTTCCTGTCTACCTTGGTCTCCGATGAATCCAATGGAAGCATCAAGCGCATGCTTGGGCTCTGTGGTGAGTTTGAGAGAATTGCAAAGGTGGTTCTTGACAAGGCCGAGAAAGAGTCGCACGCACGCAAGAAGCGCAAGACTGCCCCGGATGATTCCGATCAACCGCAGCGGGAGCCAAACGAAGGACAGAAAGCAGCACCTCCTTCCGGCAAACCCACACAAGCTCCTCCTACATCCGGCCCCTTTTCGCCATCTATGTTTACCAACAACTCTGCCACCTCGCCCAACGACGCGAGGCCATTCAGCAATGATCCCTCTATGCCATCAAATACCGGTCTATCCAGCGATCTGCCGGGTAACATCCATGCCATGTCCGACCTTGGACAGGATTTCCCAGATATGCTTAGCCCAGATCAACTAGGCAATGTCCCCTTTTCTGGCCAAGCTCCCTTTGACGCTAGCCCAAGCATGGGATCATTCCAGCAGCCATTTGTCCCACAGGATTTGTGGCAGATGCCCATGACTATCGAATGGGATTGGGCAGACATGTCTACAAATTTCCCAGTTTTTGAAGCCGGTGGAGGTGGCTCGAATGGCCAACCACCGCAATGATCATGATTGAAGAACAAAATCTATTGGCTTGGCAAGTATATGGCTTGGGTTTTGGTTTTGATTTCCCCTCTTGTTTACGGCGTTTATGAAGCGGGACCATGAGGAGTTCAGGTTAGTCTCACTTGTCTTCTTTTATTCAAGAATTTGGCGTTCTCCCCTCCATGTTCATTATTAGAGTATCTCCCCTTGTATATTGAAGAGCGCCACTCTCTTATCTTCATTTTGGAAGTGATAGTCGCCAGCATAATAGTTCCAGACTGTGTTACAAGCATATATATGTCTAATTGCAAATAACGATATTGTCTCAAAAATCAATTCCACGCAAATTTCGTAGCCAAAAAAGGTGCCAGGTAAACTCCAGGATTAACACCGCTTAAGTCCACCCGCTTCGACCGGGTTCCGATGACTCAGCACTGGCTCGGAACCGCAAAAAAACCGATGCCGAAACTGGCCGCAGCTAGCGGCAGCTTCCCACCTCATCTCCAATTCCCTCCATGGATCGCGCGCCGTTGTCCATCGCAAACCAAACCGATTGATCACCCTTTCCCCCGCCTTCCTAGCCCTCTGGGCTCCCGATTCCTGGACCATGGCCACCTTCCTTCGGCGGCCAGGCAACCTTGCTCGATTCTCGAGGAGAGCCACAGAATGCGTCGGCCGTGCTGGGCCATCCTCCGTGCGACTCCCTCAATCGAAGCTTTCGTCCCTCATCACCTCTCACCGAGCCCGAACCTTCGCCACACAAGGCCCCGGTGGCCCGACTCCTCCGGATGACAAGTCCCGGAATTCCCAGTCCAGCGGGAATGGCCCCGAGAATGATGGTCGCAAGGATGAAGACCCGAACAAGTCCGAATCCAAGTTGACCGAGGCGGAGCAGAAACAGCTGGACGAATTCATCAAACACATCGAGTCCCGAGTTCCGCCCTCGCAGCATGAGTCTACCCAGCAGGTCCGAAAGCATTTTATGAAGAATGGGATTCCGTCGGAATTGAAGGACTTCATGGGCAATTACAAGAACGCATCTTTGATGGATTATCTCCGGATGGTGCGATGGCTTTTCAAGTACACCAACCAGCAAGCTGATAAGATGGCCGAAGAAGATGTGCGTCGTATGATGAACAAGACCCCGGAAGAGATTCAAAAGGAGAAGGAACAGCAGCAGGAGAAGCAGAAGCAGGAAGACGAGAAGCCGGAAGAACAGAAGAAGAAAGAGCAGGAGCAAAAGCAAAAGAAAGGAGATCAGCCTTTCCCTCCACCTGGCGGCAAGGTTTTTGAGTTTCGTTTCGATCCCGCGTCTTTCCTAGTCACCGCACTTGTCTCATATTACGTCTACCGAAGCTTCTTCCCCGGAGATAGCGGCGCTCGCGAGATCACCTGGCAGGAGTTCCGCTCAAACTACCTGGACAAAGGTCTTGTGGAGAAGTTGACCGTTCTGAACCGTAGCCGCGTCCGTGTTGATCTCAACCGCGAGGCCTCGGCTCAGGCGGACTCCAATGGCCAGCCTGTTTCTCACGTCTTGTTCAGCATTGGATCTGTCGAGAGCTTCGAAATGAAGCTCGAACAGGCCCAGTATGAACTTGGTATTCCTAACGGCGAGCGAATTCCCGTTGCTTATGTCGACGAAGTCCCCTGGGGTAGCGCTCTGCTGTCTTTTGCGCCTACTCTACTCCTGTTTGCTGGTATCTACTGGGTCTCACGCCGTGCCGGTGGTGGCGGCGGTGGCCAAAGCGGAATCTTTGGCATTGGCAAGAGTCGTGCCAAGAAGTTCAATCACGAGACGGATGTCAAGATTAAGTTCGCCGATGTCGCCGGTATGGACGAGGCAAAGGTGGAAATCATGGAATTCGTCAGTTTCTTGCAACAGCCCGAGCGGTTCCAGAAGCTCGGTGCTAAGATTCCCCGCGGTGCTATCCTGTCTGGTCCCCCTGGTACTGGTAAGACATTGCTTGCCAAGGCCACCGCTGGTGAATCCGGCGTGCCTTTCTACAGTGTCAGCGGCTCCGAATTCGTCGAGATGTTTGTTGGTGTTGGTCCCTCGCGTGTTCGCGACTTGTTCGCCAACGCTCGGAAGAACACCCCTTGTATCATATTCATTGATGAGATCGATGCCATTGGAAAGTCCCGCGCCAAGCAGAACTTCGGGGGTGGTAATGATGAGCGCGAGAGCACACTCAACCAAATCCTGACCGAGATGGATGGTTTCAACACTTCGGAGCAAGTCGTCGTTCTGGCTGGTACCAACCGACCCGATGTTCTCGACAAGGCCCTTATGCGCCCTGGCCGTTTCGACCGACACATTGGTATCGATCGTCCCACCATGGATGGCCGTAAGCAGATCTTCCGCGTTCACTTGAAGAAGATTGTCACCGATGAAAACATGGAATATCTTGAGGGAAGACTTGCTGCCCTGACTCCTGGTTTCGCTGGTGCTGATATTGCTAACTGCGTGAACGAGGCTGCTCTTGTTGGTAAGTCATGATTTTGTCTCCCTCGAGCGGGGGAAGTTTTGCTGATGTATTGTGTGTTTAGCTGCCCGTGAGAATGCCGACAAGGTCGTCATGAAGCACTTCGAGCAGGCAATTGAGCGTGTCATTGGCGGTCTGGAAAAGAAGTCCCTTGTACTGTCTCCCGAGGAGAAGCGAACTGTCGCTTACCACGAGGCCGGCCACGCCATCTGTGGTTGGTATTTCCGGTGGGCCGATCCGCTCCTCAAGGTCTCGATCATTCCCCGCGGACAGGGTGCACTGGGTTATGCCCAGTATCTTCCAGCCGGCGGTGACACATACCTGATGAGTACCAACCAGCTTATGGACCGCATGGCTATGACCTTGGGTGGCCGTGTCAGCGAGGAGCTCCACTTTGATACCGTTACTAGCGGTGCTAGCGACGATTTCAACAAGGTTACTCGCATGGCTACTGCTATGGTGACCAAGTTCGGTATGTCGAAGCTGCTCGGATACATCCACTACGAAGACGATGGCCAGCAGGTCCAGAAACCCTTCTCCGAGGACACCGCTCGCAACATTGATATTGAGGTCCGCCGCATCATCGACGAGGCCTACAAGCAGTGCCACACTCTTCTTACTGAGAAGAAGAGCGAGGTTGGCATCGTTGCCGAGGAGCTTCTGTCCAAGGAGGTTCTCGGCCGCGATGACTTGATTCGTCTTCTTGGCCCTCGCCCCTATCCCGAGTCTGGTGAATTCGCCAAGTACTTCGACGGCAAGGGCGGCGAGACCATTGCTCCACCGGAGCCTCCTCAGAACTTCGAGGAGACCGCCGGTAAGGATGGTCGGGATGAGACTCCCCTGCCTTGATGGGCTGTCCTATTTCAAGGTTGGTGGATTGCTTCATATTTGGTCTGCATTTCTGCGGCGGGCTTGTTTAGTCAATTTGCGTAGGGAGTCTGATATTACAATGGCCCCATGATTTCCCCCTCTTTTTGTACTTATGGATCTGCATCCCGTTTCCTATTTCCCTGTTCAACTTTTTTTACTTTCGAATCCCCCCTCAACGTCCTTATGTTGCCTGCCTACTCAAATATCTCTATTTTCCCGTTTAACTCGCAATCAAATGGGAAGGAAATGGCGGGCTTTGCGCTTCCAGACAGCGCTAGTATCTACTGCCAGAAATAAATTCATGTATTACTACATATCGAAAATCTAACCAAATCACTTGGACTTTCTGGCCTCTTGAATACCATGCGTTTGTGTATCTCACGAGCGCTCCCTGTAAAGATCGTCCCGGAGTGGTTGAGTGTAATGTGATGTATCCACGCAGTATCATAACTAACGAGAACAATTTTTCCATCTTAATGGTACTACGAATCAGTACGTGAAGATACCAACAATAAATCCCGGTGAATATTGAATCATTTGACAAAGACGAGAATTTATTCGCGTTAGATCAAATCTCACAAATGATGAAAGATCCACTGAAGGTTATACTGATTATACCCGTCGCAACATCATCCATATACAATTAGTTGCTCTTTTTGTCCTCGACCTCAGACGGAGCCGCTTTCCTGCCCTTCTTGATCTTCGCCGGGATCGGGGCCTCGGCAGACAGGCGGGGAAGGAACCTGCCAACGCGAGCCTGGTACTCGACATATTCAGGATACTTGCTGGCAGTGATTCCCTCGGTCAAAGGGGCGCTGCCCTGGAAGATCATCATGTATCCAAGGATACCGAGTCCAGTCCACTGAAAGTAGGTCTCGGTACGGAAGCAGACCCAAAGATACATGGTCAGCCAAACAGCCTGCTCAGCGGCAAAGTTTGGGTGGCGCGACCACGACCACAGGCCACTGACAACGAAGCCACGCTCCAGATCCTCGGGGGAGTATTGATCTTTGTTGGAGCCAGCGATGCGTGCGTTCTTCTGGTACTCCTGTTTGGCGGTTTGGAAGTTCCATTGCTGCTGGTCAGCAAAGGTCTCGATGATGATGAAGAAGAACGCAGCGCGGGAGAAGGCCAAATCCGGCAAGCCAAAGGTCTCGGCGCCCTGGCTGTTCGCGATGTTCACGAAAACATAGCTGGGGCAGGTGATGAGGAGGAGCAGGATCGACTGGGCGACGGCGATGAACAGAAAGTTGAAGATGGTAAACATGAAGACGTTGTTAACTTTGCTGCGCACGATTTGCCAGCGGTAATCTTCGGAGCCGATTTGGTAGCCGCCTTTGCGCCAATAGTTAAAGGTCAGACGAGCCTATTAGGATTAAAGTCGAGGTTAGACAGGGGACCTATAGCGCAGAGATATGAAAGATGGGCGCATACACTCCAGATTACACTGATGACGGCAATGGTGTCCAAAGTCTGAGTACGGATCCCGGCCAAACGGGCCCAAGCGGCGAAGTGCACGTTGTACACAGCGGGCAAGATACTCCAAAAGCGGTCGACTTGCGAATAGTTGCGGTTAATCTCAGCAGCCAAGAAGAAAATCGCAGCCAGAACACTCCCAAGCGCGACGGCGGATATCAAAGGGTTCGTCGCAAGATAGACGGCATTCAAGCGCTCCAGGTCGCGACCAGCTTCGCGCAAGCTGGCGGGGAGATACTGCAGCTGTGCTAGGTAAGGGAGCACAGTGAGTTTGAAGGAGGTACACTCCGACAGGGACTCAACATGGGGAAGCGGAAGTGAAGCCATTTCCCAATATTCGATATATAGACTCGGGGGATCGGAGGAACACAAGGAGGAACAGGTTGCTAGGTGCGGTTGCGCAGGTTTATGTTTGGATTACCTCATCGGGTTAAAGTCTTGGCACATCCATCCGCCAGGCAACAAGGCAGTAAGGCAGTAGGGCCGAAACAGCACAGCGCGTCGGGGTGGGCCCTCAGGCACCCAATCCTCGCGTCCCAAAGTATTTCCGGGCTGCTAGAAGAGGATCTATCCTGCAATTATCCTGTTGCACCTCATATGGCATCCGTCTGAACGTTTCCGCTGGGCCCGCCATGGCCAGAAAGATTCTCTGCGTGGCAGAGAAGCCTGCCATTGCGCGCGCCGTGGCTACGCACATGTCCGGCGGCTCTTTTCAAACAGTGAGTGTCTCGCATATCGCGATTGACAGGCAATTGACGAAGGTATACAGCATTCAGTTCGCGGAAACCAATACGTGAAGAACTATGAGTTCGAATTCAACTTCGGTGCCCCTTGGGGGAGTTGCTCCGTGACCATGACAAGTGTCATTGGCCATCTCACCGGCCTGGACTTCGAGCGCCAGTACAGGGGTTGGCAATCTTGTCCTCCTGGAGCCTTGTTTGAGGCTCCAGTAAAGGAAGAGGTGGATGAGGTATGTATACCTGTTTTTGGATTATATCATTAGTTAGGGTGCTAAATCTCCTGCAGAAGAAAATGCCAATTGCAGAAAACATTCGGAACCAAGCTCGGTATAGTAAAGCTCTCTTCATTTGGACCGATTGCGATCGAGAGGGAGAACATATCGGGACAGAGGTCCGTACCCAGGCAATGAGTGGCAATGCTCGTATCGAAGTCCGGCGGGCCAAGTTCAGCAACACGGAAAGAGCGTAAGTCGACATCTGAACCCGGCAAGATGACAATAACTGACATTCCTGTTAGCCATGTTCTTCGGGCTGCCAGAGAGCCGATTACGCTCGATGAGTTTCAGGCCAATGCCGTGGCGGCCAGAATCGAGCTTGATCTTCGAATTGGGGCTGCTTTTACCCGTTTGCAGACCCTTCAGCTTCAGCAAGTTGCTGAAATATTGAAAGAGAAGGTCATCAGCTATGGTACTATCCCTTCCTGGAATGCATTTTTTTTTTCGACTAACCACCCCTAGGATCATGCCAATTTCCCACCCTGGGCTTTGTGGTGGACAGGTATTTGAGGGTGCAGAACTTTAAGCCTGAAACATTCTGGGGCATCAAGGTTATGCTTCAGCGCGAGGGCATTAAAGTGAACTTCCTCTGGAGACGAGTGCACCTCTTCGATCGTGCAGCCGTGACAATGATGCTGGAGCGATGTCTATCAGCAAAGCAAGCAAAGGTCACGAAAGTGAACCAGAAGCCCAAGAGTAAATGGCGACCACTGCCCTTGACGACCGTGGACCTCCAGATGATGGGCAGTCGCTACCTTCGCATGGACAGTCAAAAGGTCATGAAGGTAAGTTGGTCCGTCCATACTCTTGTGACCAGATGCGAAATTGCTAATACTTTTAGTCAGGTTGCTGAAGCACTTTACACGAAAGGTTTCATCAGCTACCCACGTACGGAGACTGATCAATTTGACAAGGCAATCGACCTGAAGAAACTTGTTGAGAAACAATACCCCGATGGGCGATGGGGTCAATATGCCCGAGAGTAAGTCATGCGGCGCATCGAACCGCACATGTAATTTGGAAAGTGACTAACAATGTTTCACTTAGACTCCTCGATGGAAAATTCAGGACCCCTAGATCAGGGCGTCACAACGATCAAGCCCACCCCCCGATCCATCCTGTCAGCTGGGTGAACCCATCGCAACTGAATAGCGACGAGAAAAAGGTCTATGAATTCGTGGCTCGTCGATTCCTTGCTTGTTGCTCCGAAGACGCAAAGGGTCAGGGTACTGATATCGAAATTCAATATGGAGAAGAGATGTTTCATGCCAGTGGCCTGATTGTGTTGGAGAGAAACTATCTCGATGTCTACGTTTACGATAAATGGGAAAGCAGCCAGAATCTACCCAACTTCGAGAAAGGAGAGAGGTTTGAGCCCACAGAAGCAAATATCTTCGAGGGCAAGACTACCGCCCCGGGTTATCTGACAGAACCCGAGCTGATCGGTCTCATGGATGCGAACGGAATCGGCACCGATGCGACAATGGCCGAGCATATTGCCAAGATCAAAGAACGTGAATACGTGGTCGTGAACGAACGAGGCTCCGGCCGCAGCAAGGTCTCCGAGCTCATTCCAACGAAGCTAGGCACCGCGCTTGTGGAAGGGTATGATAATGTGGTAGCAGACCTTCCAAACAGCATTTCGCTAAGCAAACCTTTTCTGCGAAAGGAAATGGAGTTGAGGATGCTTGAAATCTGTGCCGGCTCCAAGACCCGACAAGAAGTGGTACAACAAAGCTTGGACATGTATCGCGAGGTTTTCATTCATACCCAGCGGCGCATCGCAATGCTCAAAACTGCCTGTCGTAAATATCTTGTCCCAGAATAGTTCGCAGGACTATTGGGGCTTTTCATTTTGTTTCGGGGGATCCGAAAAGCTTGTACTGATATGAGAAATGAATAATGTATCAAGACCTCAGTAATAGGAATTCTACTTCCTCTCTTATGCGTATGTGTGCTTCAAATTGAAGGACCAACAGAGATAAACCGAAACCATCATAGCGCAATAATCCCCACACGGCTATGAAGCTATAGCCTACTTCCGTTGGTGTTCTCGACACCAGCCTCTTCTACGTCATGACAGTCACTCTTCATGTTGTGGGTCGGTCTGCTGTGCATCGCAGCCTGGAATTCCTCTAGGCTGGTGTCGACCCTCTGCTGGAGAAGCTGGACTAGCTTCTCTACCGCTCCCAAGCGACGGTTGTTTAGACTGAGCTCGTAGCCCAACCCTGCTGACGCTTGGCTGATGGCGAGAGGGATTTCGGTCTCCACAAGCGAGCGGAACATCGCACGGATGAATTCTTGCTGACTCCGAAGAAGTTCTTGTTGGGTCCTCTCGATCTGAAGGGTCAGGTGAAAAACCTGGTTCCGGCCTTCGGCTCGTTCCATGAACAGTTTGACCAGCATGGAAAAGTTCCCCAGCATGAGGAATAAGAAGGCATTCTGGTACCACTCGGGGTATCCTGCGACTTCTTTTTGGGTCGCAGTGGCCGGGGCTCGTAGAGGGATCGGGATGATCGGGGGGATAGGGGTGATCGTTGGAAAGATGCTCGCAGCAGGCGGCTGTACGGGGACGGTGTCGTTACTTTTCAGTGTTGTAGTGCCATCGATGATGGGCGTAGAGGACAGGCTGATGATGCCGTAGTCAGCTGTGCTAGACGGAATCAGCTGGTGAAGAACATAGGCTGAGTTGGCTAGCTGAACGCCGGCTAGCGTGCGCTGGGTCCAAGGACGAGCGGTTTGGATGGCAGTGAAGGGGATTTCACCGTAGAATCCCCAGAAGGTCGAAACAAGAAAGATGATGGCGGGAAGGTAGGTGTGCATGTTGTGGGTGGTCAAATAGCTGGGATTTTGTTGGAGAGTAGGAGGCTATCCAGAAGGTTGAAAAACAACACCGTCTCGAATACTTCTCTTATACCTAGGGGTTATAACCATTTCTTTCATTCGATCACTGACCCTTTGACCTGATTCGAAAATGTGTCCAATTGTAATTGTTTGCCCCTCTTATTTACACAGCGCTTTCCTGGCACGAATAATTCTCATATCATAATGCTCATGACTGCTATGATAGCAGTTGATACTCTTATTTCATTCACTCGGTGTTTGTCTCTGAGATTCCAAGTAAACAAAGTCTACTTTTCAAAATGCCATAGTGCTTGATTCTTGACCAGTGCGGTGGATTGACTTCAAGAGTCATGGCCCAGGATTTGCTGTGGGGCTCTGGCTAACTGCACGTTTTCTCTGCAGTAGAACTACGCACTCATTGAATATTTCACATCCGAGCTTAAAGAGATAATCTGTCGGTATCAGTGGAGAATCAGTATTGTAAGGAATGGTCAGATTGTATCATTGTAACTTAGCCAAGAGACTTAGTCATGCTCGGTCGCATACAAATTTGTGAGAACGAACATAACCAATGCAAAAGACAAGGTATCTATGATTTGTCCAGGTGATTGGGTCTAAAGCTGTACCGACAGTTCCCGCTCGGCACACACAACGTTTTATATCGCAATAATATCAACCACAACGCAGTCCTGTCCGTTTTCAACAGGGTGGATCCCTACTGTCCAGGTTGGATCGAAGTCAGATTCACCACCTACACACAGAGATTCTTTCTCGAATCCTCTTTTGAAACTTCGCTATATCTATTACGGTTAATCTACCCGAACCCCTTTCTTGTCAGTATTCCAGTACGGTTGTAAATGACAGCGTAAAAATAGCATCCGTAATAGGCTTGTATTGTCTCGAAGACTTCTATTGTGTAGAACGTTGATCCTGCAAACAAGGCAAACATAAGGGGAATCCGCCTCGTCAGTGTGTTTATCTGGCCACAATTCAAATTCGCTCCCTCTACCAACTACTCATCCTCCACAGGAGTGACCACTGTGAAAGAGCGACGTGTATAGAGACAACACTGGTTTGGTGAATGCTTCCCCATGCGTTGTGTAACAATGCTGGCCTTCTGATTGGGGGCCAGTACCCGCCAGACTGCGTGTCCGATATCGTGCTGACGTTAGAACCGTTAGAACCGTTAGTTAGAACAGCGACGATGACTGTTGACTTGTATTACAACGGTAATGATCTTCGATCCTCCTGTGAGCTGGAAGCGTCGGACCAGGATTCGCAATATGCCCCCACTCCAGGATACTTCGGTTACACACCTGAGCCGCGATGCGGGCTTAGTCCTTCCCCAGGCTATTACACCCAGAACGGTCTCGCAGAGTTATGTATGACAATCAGCTTACTTCGGATACTAATGATGAACAAGATCCGGTATAAGCCGGATCTGGGGCACACCACCGATTACATTCATTGAGGGCGTTTCGTGACCATTTTGTGGGATTAATTACATATTTACTATGGCAGCACACCGTATCGCCTTTCTCTTCTTACGGTTGGACGCGGGATTAGGACGGTTCTGATTCCTGATGGAGGGACGCCTACATGGTTATTTATGTTCGAAAGTGTGAAATGAATTAGGTTAATATAATCTTGAATTGAATTGAATTAAATTGTCACGTAGATAATATGTCACGTTTGGCGACTGTGACGCGAACAGCGCGCTGCGAAAGTCCACCCGAACGCCCGCTCATGGACCTATACCAATGGAACAGAATACCGGACAAGATGAAAGTCTACGATCCGTTGATGACTTACGCCCGCGGTAATGACTCAATCAGCGAAGAAGCCTAACCTGCATGATGACCTTTCTTCAAGACAGATGGGATTGCATCGGTGTCAAGGTTCTCTAAGCGATTACGATTGAATATAATGTTTTCCGAGAAGTCCCTTGATTACCTAGAGTGTCGTTCGGGGGCCGCGCTATCAAAGGAACCGCATATTCCTCCTCCCTAATATTCCACTGAAATAAAGAAAGTCTTAGCTTGGCAGAGATCTTCAACCATGATCTATAGATTAGAGTCATCCAGGATGGGTCTAAAGGAAGTGCGATACCAGCGGCCCGCCTCAAATCTTTTACTAGTTATGACATTAGATATCCTCATGTGACTGCTGCATTACCAAATTGAATTGACTTTTCCATTCGTATGACGTTGGGTCAGGCTCATTGCACCGTATCAGACTTGCTGCTTACAAGATAGTCACGAGTAGATCCATGGTGCCCCTTCGTTAGCCCGTTAGGATCCGGGAGTCTGTAGGAGATACTAGTACCATATGTTGAGGGTTTAAACCAATAAAGGCAACATAAATCATGATACCGAGCAGCAAAGTCAAACCCTGAAAGCGCAATATACTGGAAAACCTCTGACGCCCAAAGAAATCGTTCCCAATCCCTAGTTTGACTGAATACTCGTGTTGCCTGAATTGCTGGAAAGATGCAATAGAAGAGAGCCCATAAATTCAGGCCCTCTTGCCCACAGTACGGAAGACATCTGACTGCCTTGCTGATGTTGAATGCGGAAAGTTGATGTGCCACATGCCGGGGAGATTGACCGTCAACGCGCAAAAATTTTGGCATGTCATCAGACTCTGTTAGAGCATAAGCCTGGTAGATAATTGGATAGAGAAGAGATAGAGAGGTCCAAAGAAAAATGTGCAAGTTGGCTTCGCCAACCGAAAGGAATCTGTAGGCAGGACCAAATAGGTCATCTGTGGCAGGAAGTCCTGTTTTGATTTCTCCACAGTTATATGTAGGAGGATCTTCGTAGGTGCCATTTCCACTGATCTCGGTATAGAATTTCAGATGACGCCTTTCCAATGCCAGACAATCATCTAGCAGCGATTGACGGGCTTGATGATCAAGAGATTCATCAGCGCTATCAACAGCAGCAGCAAGACATGACATGTCTGTAAGGAGCTGGATCAATTCGTATAGCAATCCTTCACCGGGCTCTCTGAGCCACTGGACTATTGGCTCGGAGAGACGCATAAGTCTTGAGAGAAGCTAGATGCACTTATAATCAGGCTATCTGTATATCAGAGATATACTAATTTGCGAAAGGATTCTCTTACCACTCTAAACTTTTGATGTTGACCATAGATTATAGCTATGATAGGAGAGTCGCCCTTTTTAGGGTGGTATAGTCTCATAATTGCGCTCAGTCCGTCTATATGTGCGTGTAGTTTATCAAGCGAGTCCGGACAGTAATGGGTCTGTATCTTCGTAAGTGAACTTTGCATTCATTGGACAGTCCAGTATTTCTCACCTCAATCTGCTCAAAGAGTGCGCATGTATAAATAAGATCAGGACTATAATGCTTGCGACTAAGTGTCTTTGACATTTCACGGATTGCCTCATTGTAAAGCCCAACCCCATATCGTAGAACAGGCTTATCTCTGTGAAGCTTGCCAAGGAAGATGCATGAAAGTGCAGAAGTGGCTTTTTGGAGCATCAGGCTCTTTTGAGGCAGCATATAGATGGCCGATATAATAGGATATGACAAATTCACCACACAGGTTGGTTTAACCTTGCGGGGGAAATAATAATCAAGATAAGAAGAAAAGACTTGGTTGCCGACCATTGTGCCAGAGGGAACGGCCTGCAATAAGGCTGGTCGTCGTATTTCATCTTGGGATTGGGCTGACAGAGAGCTGTGACCAGGCTGATTTATCTTCATTATCTTGACCTGCTTGGTACGTTGTATAGTTTGCTTGGTCTGGTCGCGAAAGATGAGTTCCCATTTGTCTCTGTATCCAGGACATTCCTGGCGCAAGCGGACACACTGTCCACAATGAGGACGCTTCTTATCGCACTATTTGAAGTTAGAAATGATACAGAATTATCCTTGTTGATGCGACGCAAGCGAGAGAACCTGTCAAAATTCACACATACCCGTCGTTTCACGGCTCGGCAATTTGCGCAGCTTGTGGAAGGTTTTCTAAAAGTAGTGGAATTCATAATCCTTGGAAGTTCTTTTCCGAGCTTCATGTGCGTGTGCGTAGGTAGCACTAGGAAATGGATGCGGAAGAGTGTGTGTATTGTATGTAGTGTAGGTGTGCGATCTAGGAGGGGGAGGTCATATGATAAGTCACGTGGCTGACCAACTACCAACAGGTAGACTTCGGCATATCCTCTCCATTGGATATTGGGTCCTATACCATATCCGCAAATTGAGGATAATGGATATTACTTCAATACCATATCCTCAATGAGGATATCCATGGATATCCGCGAGGATATGAGGATATTTTGCGGATATCCCCACTAGCATAACTCTCGCTTAATTAACTACTTGCAGGTAGTTATTGTTAGTTAGTTATACAGCTTATTAATTTGTTTTTCAGAACAAAAGATACACATGTTCGGTCTTGACCGTACTAGCGACCTTGATTATCCTATTCCTCAATGAAATATTGAGAAATAGTCTTGTATTAAGTAACATTTATCGCCTTATTACTGCTTGCAGCATCAATATTGTTTTTGAAAGTGCATTGGAGGATATGGGTGATTAGGGGTCGTTCCATGGTACTTGACCATGAAAATATATATTTATGCACAAGATACATAAATTACAGTGTATTTTAAAGTAACGTTGCAATGCAATCATCTAAATTATTCAAACTAGGATATGTTATTTTCGATACTAAAAAAGCCTATACCCCAATATTTAAGTAAAAATAGGTTATGGTTGTTGAGATATGAAGTGGTAATTTATTGCATTTACTATGTGTTTTGGGGTGGGCGGCTCGCCCGTGGATTACGTTAGTTGTATTTGACCACTTCCTCAGTTCGTCAGAAACTAATCAATTCTATAGACTCAACTTGAAAGAATCGACTCGGATCTTCAGATAGAGCCAGACCTCAGCCCAAGTATGAGACAGATCGCGGATTCGTTAGCCTTTAACTCCGCTATAATTTGGAGCTGCCTTCGATTAACTCCGTTGCGGAACATGTAATCGGCAGTGTTGCTATGACGAAGTGGGCTAACAATGAGCTTAACTGGTAGATCAAGACTCCTCATTCGCTGCACCTGTGCAGGTTGTTCGAGAGATAATCCAGTATGACTGGTCGTTCGGACTTACATCAGTTAACTCCGTCCTAGGCGTGTCAGGCTTGCCATCGGTAACTCCAAGTGAAATTATTGTGGGATAAGAATAAAGAGGTTTCTCGCCCTCACCTTCAACCTGCAGTTTTCTTTCATCTACGTGTTTCATGACCCTTGAAGCTTCCTAAGTCACAAGTCTACCACAATTCTCGCTGACCAGTACTACAATCTCCGGACAAATGGAATACGCACGGTAAGGTTCTCCGCATCCACCTTGGTAGCATTGACCCAAGTGCCTTTCAAAGATTGTTAAAGATTCAATTGCTGACCTGCGATGACAATATGACACAGGCTGGGGGATTCGGGCCTCAAGGTCTCAAAGGTGATACTGGGTACCATGGGATACGGCGCCCCAGAATGGCAGGGCTGGGTGCTGAATGAAGAAGAATCTCTTCCACTTATTGAACACGCCTACAAGAAAGGCATCAGAACCTGGGATACTGTAAGAAGAGAAATGCGGGAGCAAATACGCGAGTTCTAACCGATTTTTACCAGGCCGATATGTACTCCTATGGCAAATCCGAAGAAATCGTGGGAAAGGCTCTAAAGAAATACAACATCCCCCGTTCCCGAGTGGTAATTTTGACCAAATGTTTCTTTGGTGTGGACGATCAGGGGAACTTTCCCCCCTCCTCTCGACCGGGAGACAGAACGCGGGTGACTTCTTGAACCGCGTCGGTCTTTCTCGCAGACACATCTTGGAGGCCGTTGATGCCAGTGTTGAGCGACTGGGAACTTATATTGACGTGCTTCAAATCCACCGACTTGATCGTGAGACACCACGCGAGGAGATCATGAGGGCACTGAATGACGTAGTTGAGAGCGGCAAGGTTCGATACATCGGCGCTAGTTCGGTATGCTTTACCCTCAACAATCTGAACAAGCAAGCACTAATACCTTTCTTTCTTGTAGATGGCCGCTTGGGAATTCCAGACCCTACAAAACATTGCCATTCGCAATGGCTGGCACAAGTTTATCTCCATGCAGAACTACCACAATCTCATTGCCCGTGAAGAGGAGCGTGAAATGATCCCTTACTGCCTTGACAGCGGCGTATCTCTTATCCCTTGGTCTCCTGTCGCACGTGGAGCCCTCACCAGACCTTGGGCTTCTCGCTCTACCTTGCGCGAAAACACTGATGTTGGGCTAAGTATTTTCGTTCGTGCCCACGAGTCCGAGTCCGACAAAGCTATTATTGACCGCGTGGAAGAATTGGCTGGCAAGAAGGGAATCAGCATGGCACAAGTTGCAATCGCATGGTCACTGAGTCACCCCAGCGAGTACCCTATCGTCGGGCTGAACACTAAGGATCGCATCGATGAGGCTGTTGCGAGTGTCCAGGTCAAGCTGACGCCGGAAGAGATTCAGTACCTTGAAGAACCTTATGTCCCTAAGGCTATCCATCCAGGGGAACGATAAATTTGTGACGAGTAAAGCCATACGACCGTGATGCGAATTTGCTCGTATGCCAAATAGCTTACTGGAAATGATCATATCTCATTCGAGGCTCTGGATTCATGATAAGTTCGACCGGCTTATCTACTGCAATGCTTAAATTGAGCATGGTACATGTACAGTTATTATGGCCTAGATCTTCCTTGCTAAGAAAAACTTCTCATATCGCGCAAAACAATTAATTAAATGGCATTCAAAGACATTTGAAATCTTAGGAAACCTTATCCATATGGCTCCTCTTTCGACCTGTGAACGAATGTCCGGTTCAAGTCTTGCGATGCATCGACGGGTGTTGGAAGCACGAGAGAAGGTGCTTGGACGCGAGCATCCCGACACCCTCACCAGTTTCAGTAACCTTGGCAATGTGCTTGGCAGCCAAGGGAAAAATGCAGAGGCGGATATGATGCATCGACGAGACCTGGAAGTGAGTGAGCAAGTGCTTGGACGTGAGCATCCTGATACGCTCAGCAGTGTCAGTAAGCTTGGCAATGTGCTCTTCATCCAAGGGAAGTATGAAGAGGCAAAAACCATGTATCAACAGGTACTAGAAGGATATACAGAAGTGCTTGGACGTGAACATCCCGAAGCAATGCCCAGTCTCGATATTCTTTAGACTTACTGGATCAACACGGGAAACGTGAAGTGGCTTCATAATCCCACACCTGTATCCATAGCATTTAGTGTAAAGGTAGCATACATAGAGATATAATATCTACACTTGGTGATTTTTCTTGCAGCACTGTGTACGCTCATACTGTAGTTTGATACGGTTCCGAAGTACTTCTACTAGAGTTATGTTTCCTTAAAGCAGGCCATCTCCGACTTGCGGACAGGGTTGTGGGGCGGCTGTCCCATTTATGTAGCGGCGGTAGTATTTTTCATACATCCAGTTACATGGCTGTTCCCTTCCCGTGTATTCGCCCTCGGTAGTTTTGTTTTATGTACCTCTCTGCTGCCAAGAATTCCACCAAAATTGTTATGTTCTTAGGTCACATAATTGTGATGATATAGAAATCAATATAGGTAACTAGGTAAGCGAAATGATACAATATTGTCTTTCCTATCCATCTCAGACTTTTTTGTGGATGATCTTGGCGTCACGGTAGTAACAGGGGATTTTCTAGTAGTGTGTGTCGTCCTGTAATCCGCCACTCTAATACTTTGTAATTTCGTTTGAAAAGAGTTACCGCATAAGGAATCAAATAATTATTGTTTTTGCTGCTCTCAGGCAATATTCAATTTGTGGATTGAGGGTGACGGTGCTCGAATGTGCAGGTACCTGGTGGGCGTTTCATCACACAGGGCATTTCATGTCACAGGGATGGGGGTTAGCTACTTTGGTCAGCCATGAATATCCAGCGATCTGAGTTGGTTCGGAGGCGTGTTACCTTAGACATTATCAAAGCAACCTCCTGCTCATTGGGAAAGAGATTGGGGCAATTCATGAGCTGCTCGAAGGCAATGGGTACCATTTCAAATAACCCATACGTGAATTTCTCATCCAGGTATATTTCCCGAGGCAAAAGAATGTTGGGGTGTTGATAGAGTCAAAAATGGGAAATCAATTCGTCAGTACTACTCTTCCAAATAACAATAACAAGAATGATGCCACCATGCTCTGGATGACACGTCCTAGCTTGACTATTCGGCATATGCGTGTCATGACTCGTGTACACCAAAGCGACATATTCAAGAACACGTTGCATGACTGCCCTGTACTTGCATGCATGAACAGCATATTAGTCTTTCCCCTCATCATGGGACTCGGTCTGTTGTCTTCGAAACTGCTGCATACAGGACGAACGCCGCAAGATAATCATGAATATATAAAAATTCCCCTTCCCTGGCACAAATTTGGGGCAGCTTAGTTTCCCAGGCGTCCCGGATACCCTCGAAGAATGTATCAAAACTATCCTTTGTCATGTCTCAGATCAATTCATCAACCTTGAATTCAGGCAAGCATGGTGCCCTGCCTTTGGTCAATAGTGACAGCCTAGAAGGTTTTATAAAATTCGTCAGTATACTGGCGTCAAGCCCTGAATCTCAGTTTGCATCTGCCGTGCTTGGCGAGATCACCCAACAACGTGAACAGATTCATTCTCAAGATGGAAAGTTATAGAGACTTCAAGAGAAGATTCTTGATATCAAGCAGACAAAGAGAACTACTATCGAAGATATGTTTTCTGCCACCACGAACGGCTAAATCGGCGTCAAAAGCAGCCGTTTCTGGTTTCCCATTCACCGCCTCATCCTTATGTATAGTATAATATACTGCACCTGTGATTGATATAGAAGTTAGCCAGTTTTTGTATGTCAAGGGAGTTCTATGTGCTATTTTGCCCGTCCATTTCAATATGCCAAGACATAGGATTATATTTCCTGACAAGATCTATACCAATACTAGCCGACTAGTCAAAAGAAGGAAGTAACCAGTTGGTATTGAATGCATTATAGGCAATCCTCTTCATTTCAAGGCCTATTCATAAATGCAATAACGTACTCTACTATACACACTAGGCATTGAATGTATCTAATGTGTCCTCGAAGGTGAAACGAAAACTAAACAAAGCTCTCATGAAGAAGGTATTCTTAGCCCGTTATTGTGGCGCCGTGTTGAGCTATCCTTTTGTCTTCGATGCTTCCGATAGCGAGTTGAAATAAACCTTGCTGTAAGGCTCGGTTGGGGCGGGAGGCCTTGTTCGGGACAATCCCGCAAGCCACAGGACGCCTTGGGGTGCTTAGCACGTTGGAGGCGTCAGCCGACTCCGTCAGTGGCGGCGATCTCTCGACAACGCGGCAGGGGACAAAAGCCAGGTTGTGAATAGATCTGACTCGAAATGCCCCAGAGCGAAAGAAGAAGACCCGGCGTGGTCGGCCTTCTGGTCGAATCCGACTGTCGCAGCCCCGAGCCGTGACGTAATCGAGATGGGTAGCGGCCCATCCGGCGGCGATCGATTCCTGGAAGGCTTCGTATTGCTTGCCATTGCTTACTTCGACTAGTGCGTCCGGGCCAACCGTCGTCGCGCAACATCTCCAGGATGGCTGCTCCACCGGCTAGTCAGTGTCATCTAGTGTCATTGGCGTTGATTCGCGTGATGGTCCACTCAGCCCGTCCATCTAGCGACCCACCCCCATAGGCTTCTCTCCCCGCATCGACGATCACTCGTGCCCACAGGGCTCCGATACAGGCGGCCAGCAGGGAAGTGAACGCCCGCGGAGTCATGCCGGGCGTCGTGACATGGTTCTGGCAGGCTCGTCTTCCATTTGCGGCCCATGCCGCAATGGACAAACCTGGCACCTGGGGAGATAGAGTAAAAGATCCTAGTTTGATTTGGCAGATGTCAGCGACGTCCATAGCGCGTCAGTTCCTGTCCGAAGGCTGAAGAGGAGTGGAAACTCCTCAATACATAAAGCAAACGGGGCCGCACACCCAGCTTGTCCTGCCTAGCTTCGCCTTTGAGCGTGAGAATTTCCCCACATGGTCCCCAGACCTAGCTTCACAAGTCACTCAACAGGAGCATTCAGAAACAACTACGAATTTGTTGCCCGCATACGAGCCAAGATGGCGAAGGAAAAGATCGAGGACCCGATCCGGGTGTCCAATGGTAAAGAAGAGGACCCGCCAGACTACGCCCATCACGAGAAGACGAGCAATGGAGCTGGAATGCCGGATGTGGAACACTTAGGGCGCGACCGACTGAATGCTGTCTTTGAGAATCCCCTGGCGGGAATCCCACGCGAGCAGCTCTTCAAGCAAGTGGAAGAGTTCTGTCAGCAGTGGGATCTCATGGCAGACCTGGAAATGTTCAAAAAGGGTGCACTCGTGTCGCAAAATCCCGATTCGGCGACACAGCTGCCGGAACTCGATGAGTTCGAAAGAGAGGCTTTGATCCGCGAACACACGCACAAATGGTCTCAGCCACAGCAGCTCTACTACCTGGCAAGTACGTCTCCATAATCGACTTCTGATGATCCTGACCAATGTCTCATTCTGTGTCTCCGATAGTCATGTGCTCTCTAGCTGCCGCCGTGCAAGGAATGGACGAGACGGTGAACAATGGCGCTCAAGCGATTTACCTAAAGGTACAATCTAAATTTGCCCCAGCTCAACCCAACTAGATGGCAGAGAGATTAATGGCCACTTTTCTTAGCGACTTGGCATCGAAAATAGCGACAACCTCACAGGTCTTGTCGTCGGAGCTCCTTACCTGGCTTGCGCTGTCCTGGGCTGCTGGCTAACGGAACCTCTCAATCGATACTTTGCTCGTCGCGGTACCATCTTCATATCCTGCTTTATTGCCGCCGTGGCCTCCATATGGGAAGGTGTTTGCAATTCATGGGTCAATCTCTTCCTGGCTCGCTTTGTCCTTGGCCTGGGTATTGGCTCCAAGTCCTCGACCGTTCCAGTTTACGCCGCCGAATGCTCCCCAGCCCCGATCCGAGGTGCCTTGGTGATGATGTGGCAGATGTGGACAGCCTTTGGTATCATGCTTGGAAACATCATGGGCGTGGCCTTTATGAATGTTGGGAATGACCTCAACTGGCGTCTCATGCTGGGTTCGACTGTGGTGCTTCCACTGGTTGTCTGCGCCCAGGTATATTTATGTCCCGAGTCACCCAGATGGTTGATCCAGCACGACAAGATTCCCAAGGCATATCACAACTTTAAAATCCTGCGCCCATCAGAACTCCAAGCGGCCCGAGATCTCTACTATGCGTACGTGGGGGTGCAGTTGGAGCGGAAGATTAACAAGGGCAAGAATTTCTTCACCATGTTCATCGAGCTCTTCACCATTCCGCGCAATCGTCGCGCCACATTCGCCAGCTGGATCGTGATGTTCATGCAGCAATTCTGCGGTGTCAACGTGATCGCTTATTACTCCACCACAATCTTTCAAGAATCTGGTTATGGACTGTCGAACGCTTTGCTCGCATCCATGGGAACCGGTATTCTCAACTGGGTCTTTGCTCTGCCCGCCGTCCTGACAATCGACACATGGGGTCGTCGGAATTTGCTCTTATTTACATTCCCCTTCCTAGCCATCTTCCTACTCTGGTCCGGCTTTTCATTCTGGATCGAGGCAGATGACCCCGAAAGCAAGAAGCGCGTTGCAATGGTCACCACGGGGATGTATCTCTTCGAGGTCTTCTACTCTCCGGGTGAAGGGCCAGTCCCATTTACCTACTCCGCGGAAGCATTCCCTCTACATGTTCGTGAAGTCGGCATGTCTTGGGCTACAGCCACAACATGGTGTTTCAATTTTATTCTTTCTTTCACTTGGCCGCATCTTTTGACGGCGTTCAAACCCCAAGGCGCATTTGGCTGGTATGCGGCTTGGTGTATCATTGGCTGGTTCTTGGTGTTACTTTTCGTACCAGAAACCAAAGGTGAGTATATCATTCAGATGCTTTTCTCTCTCTTCAATATGTCTTGCTAACAACTCTTCTCTATAGCACTGACGCTAGAAGAACTAGATCAAGTCTTCTCCGTCCCCACAAGAAAGCATGCCTTGTATCAGCTCAAGAATGCTTGGTGGCACTTCCGAGTCTGGATTCTTCGCCAGAAGCTGGAACCTCTACCAGAGTTCTACCAGGGTGCAGAGAGACTAGCTGAAGTTGGTGATACTACTTCTAAGTAGCCTGGAATTCTTTCTCTCGGGACTGATACGTCGATGTCGATCAATTTGTGCTTTTGGGGCATTTAAAGTTGCTCTTGGCTTTACGTTTTTAATGTTGATACCTTTTTATGTTCATCGCAGTAATCGGGGCTTAAATTTTCGCTGAAAGCTTTTTCTCAGTATTATTGCTTCTGCGGTTGTTGAGGATAACGTGTTACCGTTTTTAATCGATGGACTTCTACTGAGCACTCCCGAATTTGCGGACGAGAATACAGACGATATCTCATCGACCCTTCATGAAAATTCTCATAGTAGAGCAAGGAGCTCATTTGGATTGAAATGCGAGCTTCAGTGTTCTGGTTAGTGTACCTTTATAAATCGAACTGTGACTCTGGGTGATCAGTCGGTGCTGATGGATCTAATTCTGCCGTGCGAGAATAGTCTGTGCTGCCAAAATCATGAACTCTATCGCCTACTTATGACAGCTATTTGATGCAGTCTATCCATGAGTGAGGCGCAGGCCAACGATTCTCGAGAAAACAGCGATCCGCCATATTTCTTCGGTACCCACCCTGGCGCCATAGCTTACACATTCTGATCGCTGTTGGAGATGGCCACAGAAGATCGCGGCGAATACAAAGCACATCTATTCTTTTGGTGACGAGATAGTGAATTTGATCCCATATGTTCCCAATGGAACTGTTTGAGAGAGAGGGCGGCCTTTCTTTCTACGAGTATGCCGTATAGTCTACATGGTCCCGGAGAACACGGCAATGAGCAAAGTGAATTTGCTCTACTGGCATATAGTGGAGTGCGATAGCTGAGGTGGACGATGTGCTTTAGTTGGGGACTCTGCCCATCGCATGGTGATCTGTAAGCCTTCAGTTCTTGGACAGATTTACGGTCGGCCATTGCTCACTTCTTCAGATCCAGGTGAAAATGTTAACCACGCCATAACTGTTGCATGTGAGATGGCTGATGAGCTCCATCGCATGTTGGTATGGAAATATCAGCTCTCGATAATGTAAGTCCTCGAGACATGTGAGCAGAATATACAGCTATAGACGCAAGGGGTCCTCCGCATCAGTCGACAGGCGGGCTACGATGGTCATGACTACGTCTGTCCTGCTAGGTGTAAAGAACGCCTAGAGATGCAACAACACTGAAGAGGTAGACGATGGCCTTTGGCCTATTCGTAAATTGAAAAAATTTCCCGGGGTACTAAAAAAAAAAATTTCAACGTAAATGTCGACCGCAAACAAAACATCCATCCCATATTGCCGAAAACAAAAAATAAAAAAAATACCGAACTGAAAACAAAAACGATGACCCCATGTGAAATCCCGGAGAAACGCCCGACCGCCTTATGTGCAAGTCGTATTTGAAGAATATGAACCATGGAAGTGTGTGCATCGGCGTGTATGTACACCCGGTTCCCCTGCCGAGATCTTAGCCTGGCATTTACGCATTTACTCGAGCTTCTTGCTCATCACAACGCCATAGGCGATGGTGGCAATGAGGCTGGCAAGGTTGACCAGGCTAGACATGCCGTGGACGCGGCCGAACTTCTTGTTGAGGGCCATCATCTCCTTGGAGTGAGGGCCGCGCTCGTAGCTCTTCTTGCCGTCCAGGATTTCTACACGAACCAGTCAATGATTGTTCATAGAATACCGTGGGCTCGTATCAGCATTATTGAGGCTTTACTTACCCTGGTCCTTGCGCTTCATCATGACATCGGTGGTCATGGGGCGGAGAACGAGCAGGTTGACGAGGCCGGTGATGGCAACAGTGGCCATCGGCAGGAAGGTGTTGACGCGGTTCTCGGGGGCCAGAAGGCCAGAGAGACCGAGAGTCTGTCCACCGCGGCTAGCAGTGAGCGCGACGACGACGGGGAGTGCAGTCTGCATAGAGAAATACACAGGGAAGATGGCAGTCTGCAGGGTTGCAAACTGAGGACGCGGGAGAGCACGGAAAGCAACAATCCCACCGACGAAAGACTGATAAGGAATCAGAATCGCAAGCCCACAGGAACTCATCTATTGTTTATTCTGATGATTTTGGATGGACTTACTTGGAAGAACTGGGTACCCAGCAGGGTACCGTAGCTGAAGGTTGTCAGTACGCTATTGTGGCCCATTATGAGGGAGTTCGGTGTCTGCCGCGAAACGTACCTGAGGATGTGGTAGGGACGAGGGTCCGACATCCTGACGGTTGGGTTCGATGAAAATGTGATGTGTTTATAGACGGTCGAGTTTTGTTGATGGCAGAGTTGGGAAGCTTGTGAGTGGAAGATGAAGATGGATACCATAGGAAGCGAGACCCAAGGCGGTTTAAATCCACGTCCTGTAGGCAGCAGCTGTGTATTGCTACGCACTTTAGGAAGATGCGCGCACAGGTCAAGTGATGTCATGTGCTCGCGCGCCCGCCTAAACCAAAAAGGAAATATCACGCGTCTGCCTGCTGGACGCTGTTCAGCAGCCTCATTGTCGCGCTTTTGCTTCCGCATCTCCCCTCTAATCATACAAGAACGATGGCGGAAAAGGAAGCCACTGTTTACATCGTCGACGTGGGCAGGTCCATGGGCGGGCGCCATCATGGTCGCTCCGTCACGGACCTGGAGTGGGCCATGCAGTATGTCTGGGACAAGATCACCTGTACAGTACGCGTTTTTCTCTTGATCATCGCCACAAGAAGGTATTGACCGAGTGTCAGGTTGGGAATGGTCGAAAGACAGCCACGCTTGCTGTTGTTGCTTTGCGCTCAGATGGTAGGAATCCCGTACGAGTTCTCCATGGTCGTCTGGTCTAACTAGTCAAACTAGAAACGTCGAATGAACTTTCAGAGGATCCCTCCTATTCTAGGATATCTGTACTGTCAAACCTTGGACAGTACGTTCTTCCCGCTATACGCAGCGGATTGCTTGACTAACTCTCATTCAGATGTCTCATGCCCGATATTCGAAAGCTACGCGACGCTATCAAACCCAGCAATACTAATAGGGGTGACGGTACGTTGAAGACTTCTCGGCATGACCAGAAACTTTGAAACTGATCAATTTCAAGCCATTTCTTCAATTGTCGTTGCTACGCAAATGATCAATCAATTCACCAGGACTCTCAAATACAAGCGGAAGATCGTCCTTGTAACCAATGGTACCGGGCCAATGAGCGGCGACGGGATCGAGGAGATCGCGAAGAAGCTTGTCAAAGACAACATTGAAATGGTCATTCTGTCAGTCTTTGCTGCATCCCGTTTTACTGGAACTTCGCTAATTCTACCCAGCGGAGTTGATTTTGACGATCCAGAGTACGGCGTGAAAGAGGAAGACAAGGATCCCCACAAGGTACTGCTTATCCCGCAATCTGACGCTCGTTGGGATATTGACGGCTTTCATAGGCTCAAAATGAGAAATTGCTGAGCGAGTTTGCCGAAAATTGCCAAGGTCAATATGGAACCATGGAGCAGGCGATCGCTGAACTGGACATGCCTCGCGTCAAACTGGTAAAACCGCTGCCGTCCTTCAAGGGAATGTTGAGACTTGGAGACCCCCAGAAGTACGACTCAGCGATTCAGATCCCTGTGGAGCGCTATTCTCGAACATATGTCGCCCATCCCCCATCTGCTAGCTCCTTTGTCCTTCGCTCCGGAACGACCGGCGGTGAGCCTGAAGGCGAATCGGGACCCGGCCAAGGCGATACTCTTACCAGTGTGAGACTGTCGCGGACATACCAGGTTGAAGATGCGTCTGCACCAGGAGGAAAGGTTGATGTTGAGCGAGACGACCTGGCCAAGGGCTATGAATATGGACGGACAGCCGTCCACATCAGTTCAACGGATGAAAATATTACTAGGCTGGAAACTTCCGCTTGTCTTGATCTGATTGGCTTCATCCGCCAAGACCATGTATGCAACTGTTGAAATGATGAGTCTGTGGACATAAACTAACCGCTTTGTCAACCTAGTATGATCGGTACCTCCACATGTCCAACACCAATATCATTATCCCAGAGCGGATGAATGACAAGGCCTCTCTAGCATTATCATCCCTTACTCATGCTCTTTGGGAGCAGTCATATTATGCTGTTGCGCGGATGGTGACCAAGGAGAATCGGCCCCCAATGGTTGTCTTGCTTGCACCGTCCATTACCGCAGAGTACGAATGCCTCATTGAGGTTCAGCTTCCATTCGCCGAAGACGTCCGTTCATACAGATTCCCGCCGTTAGACAAGGTCAACACCGTGTCTGGCAAGGTTGTCACCGAACACCGAAACCTGCCCAGTGAGGACTTACAAAAGGCAATGGATGATTACGTTGACAGCATGGAAATGGACTACAAAGATGAACTTGGGTAATTTGTTACTCCAAAATATGGATCCCATCACAGGCGGCTGATGCAAATAAAACAAAAACAGAAACGACGCACTTCCGATCGATGACTCTTTCTCTCCACTTCTGCACCGCATCGAATCGGCTGTGCGACATCGCGCGGTACACCCTAATGACCCTGTCCTCGAACCGCCTGAGATATTGGCCAAGTTCGCGCAACCAGATCCAGAGCTCGTGAGGCAGTCAAAGCAGTTCTTGGATGAGCTAGTGTCCAAGGCTGATGTTAAGAAAGGTAATTTCACCCAAACACAAAATGGAACAATTTTCTCTAAAAAATTCATCCCCTAGTTCCACCCAAGACGAAAGGTCGCAAACGCCAACGCGAAACTGAAAAGCCTCTCTCGGGTCTTGACGTTGACGCCCTCCTTAACCAAGAACCCGAACGCTCAAAGAGGATCTCTCCTGAAAATGCCATCCCCGAGTTTAAACAGATGCTTTCGCGTGCAGACAGCATCGAGGCAATTCCAGATGCTGTCAAGCAGATGTGTACCATTATCGAGACGCAGGTGCGAAACAGCCTTGGAAATGCAAATTATGATCGCGTCGTGGAAGAAATGGGAACTATGCGCGGAGAACTGGTGGATTACGAAGAGCCCGCTCTTTACAATGACTTCTTGCGCTCGCTGAAGGAGAAGATCCTACGGGAAGAGCTGGGAGGTGACCGGCGAGAGTTGTGGTGGCTTTTGCGGCGTAGCAGGGTTGGCCTTATCGATCAGAATACCTCTGATAGATCTGAGGTCTCAGAGCAGGAGGCCAAAGACGTAAGTATTGCCAATTACTTCTTGATGTGATGAAGCTAACCGGAATGCAGTTCTTTTCCCCCACCTGAGATATCGAGTGTGGACTTGCTCTTTCCTAAATACTGTCCATGAGTGATGCATGAAATTGAATAACGGCTATTGTAGGCCTTCATTGGCCTGTGAATTTCCTAGTATCTCTAAATTCGCCCACGCTGGGAATAGTAGATTAAAAGAGAAGACGCAAAAAAATGAAGCAAGAATGAAACCTGCATGAACGCTCATATTATAAGTATGCCTGCTCTTTGAACCATGCCGTAAAGTGAGACAAAGAATATGCAGCACTGGCTGAAACCACTAGGAGATTCTGCCAATGCGCTTCTTCCCCACGTCGACCTTGGATTTCAGTCTAAATGTATAGTTAGCACTGCCAGAATCAAGAGACAGGGATACAGGGGGGACATACCGATCCGTATCTTCGTCTGCCAACTTCAACAACTCATTCTGCACCGCCAGCTCTTCATGGATGGCCACGCCCAGCTCCTTCTGTCTCACGATAATCTTCATCAACTCCTCCACATCCTGGTCTTGGTCCTGCATAGTTTGCTTCTGCAGCTGCAGTACACCCTGGTTGTCGAGCTCCCGAGTGCGCTCAGTCTCTTTGCCAAGGACACGTCCAGACCGAGCAGGTGTCCTACGCCCATTGCTTGAGCTATCGTTATTCCCAAACAATGCATTCGTATCCTTGTCTTGGATCGAGGCCACCGCACTATCGAGCCGGCTCTTCGTTGCCATGGCATGTAACAAGTCCTCGAGTCCATCTTTCTCTTTGCGTGCATTGATCAGCAGATCCTTGCGACGGCGCAACTCCCCGTCACCCAGAGGGGACGTGGTGGATTGACCGGATTGCGATCCGCGGCTACCGAGATTTTTGAGACCATCGTCCAGAGTGCCAATCATTGTGCCCGCGCGGACAAGACTGCTCTTCGCTTGGGCAGAACTTTCATGCTGTTTTGCGGGTGTGGTCTCTTGGTCGCGGCGGGAAAGCTGTAAGCGGGCATCGTGCAGGTGGGATTTCATGTCACGGTAGTAATCGAGCCACAGGGTTGGATCTGTGATCTGGGTGTTGGAGGCGGAACCAGGATCTGTGATCGCGGCATGGAGCCGAGTCGAGGTGTTACTTGTGCCGCTGGATGCGGAGATGGCGGCTGTGGGGAGATTCAGGAATGCTCGCCAGGCAGACGAGTTGCGCCAGCGGCTATCCGACGATTCATTGATGGCTTGGAGATACTCCTCCAATCCACGGCGGCGCTCTTCGCGAAAGCGGTCGTTTGAGACAGTATTGGAGAACCAAGATTTTTGAGGAAGAGATACCGGTGGCGGCTGGCTGGTCTGCGTGATGAGGGAGGCGTGGAAAGCTAAGAAGTCGGAGTAGCGCTTGGAGACGACGAAGGAGCGGAGGGGGAGGCGGAGCGTGATATGATAGACGGTGTGCTGAGGTGAGGTTAGGGAGAGGCTGGTACTTGGAATCGCGATCTCAACGGCCGGCGCCATGACTGGTAGATTGGGGTGGAAGAAACGGAACAGCTGCGAAGCTGCTGGCGATGGAGTTCGGCGGTCCTCACACCCGCGCGCATGACGCAAGGGGCCCGAAGCAGTTTAGCCTCCGCCCGTCACGCTTCTGCGAAGTCATCTATATCCGCCGACCTTGACTCCTGGTACTACGTATCCTAGAGTACCTCATGGTAATAACCACTATTGCTACTACAACGTATTGGTGGAGATGGGGAAAGGTAAAGGAACATGTTCCATGAGAGGAAATTGAGTATTTCAAAGTTGGGGTATCCATCGTAGTCAAAATGGGGATAACGCCGGGGGTCCAGTCCATGCTTCTCGTGCTGCTACGAGATCTGATTCCACCCGTGACAACGAAGATTATCAGTGGTATCAAGCAGTGTGCGCTTTAGCCCATACTTCACGTGCTGCCAGGAGATCTCGCTGTCCGAAGAATTCGCCCGCGATGGTGATCATCATATCCAGCAGGACACGAATCTGCTGTTTCACCGAGTCCTCTACCTCAATTTCCTCCGTCAACATGTTGTCCTGCATTCTGGTCTGTAGTCTCTCCTTTTCTGCTGCCAGGTCGTCTGGCTGGTCGGCATCACCAGGCATCGACATCTCCACATCGGGTGCATCCTGTTCAGTCGTATGATCGACGTTTGAAATGAGGGACGCTACGTTCCCTTGTTCATCATTCTCACCTGTCTCCGAGCCATCAACAGATCCAGCTTCCTCTTCCTGTTTCTCTGCTTTCTCCCTCTTCTCTGCTTCCCGAATCTTTGAAAGGATCTTCACGGCCCGTTTCGCGAAAGCACGAATCTCACCCACCTCCTCTGTAGACATCTCTTCGAGTGAATGGCACTTGCTCAACAGTCCCCAAATCCAGACGCTCATGCGTCGGATTACGGTAGCCTCACCAGCCCGCACATTCTCAGAAAGCCCACGTCCCACCACCTCGAGCACACGCAGGACATTAGCCGAGTCCATACAGGCCAGCTGAGCCATCTGAGGATCGACGTTGAGGAGTATATTTCGCCAGTCCTTGCGCGCTTGATGATTATTCTTGGGGAGGCTGATGGGGTGCGATTCATCAAGGCATGCGATCGCGTCCGCGGGTGGTGTAAGCTGCAATCTGGCTCGCAAGAGCGTGAATTGGCTCCGAATGTTTTCGTAGTACTCGACCTGTTCCTGGGGGTAGATACCGTTGGACGATGCAACCGAATTCCGGTGACGGCCGATGAAGGCCTCGGCCTCAAGGAAGCCAGCTGGGCAAGGATCTTTCTGCCGGGCAAATTCATTGGGGCCCACAGAGTTATCCGAGTTCGATTTCGACGCGCTTGTACTGAATTTCGGTGCGAGACAAACCTCGGGGATCGCGTTCGCTCGAGATCTAGAATCCAGCAAGGTCAGAATCTATTTTGCGACGTAGAGGAGATGAAGTGCCCGACAGGGGTGGCGGTCTTCATCGAGGGGAATAGTCAAACTCACTGGACATCGAGCAAGTATTTCATTGCGTCGGCGCTAGGTGCCATAGAGTCATCCAGGTCATTGGGGTCATCGGATTGGTATGGGAGCGCGCTCATCTGACCGAAACGAGGGTGGGGGAGGCTGCGAGGTTTCTCCTGTGGAGTGGTCAAGAAAGCATCGCCCTCCTTGTCGAGGCGAGGACGCTTGGGGGATGGATCGGGTGAGGCGGATTTGCGTTTAGCAGACATCGCGACGTTACGTGAGAGTAGTTGAAAAAGTTGGGGCAGCCAGGCCAGGTAGCTTGGTCTTATCAGCGCCGATCGGCGGCGATAAGGCAAGGCGGTCGAGGCGAAGGTAGTAAGTACTGAACGGGGGGCAAGCTTTGAAGAGCACTGCGAACGAGGCCGCCTGGCATCAAAATAATCCCCAACCGAGGCCGAATTCACTCAGCAACAACAATCTCATTCACTCATCTTGCAATTATTAGTCACCGTTTTGGATTTGAATTCACTACTCTACGCAATTTTACTCTCGTAATCTTGTGTATGAGCGACGAGAAGCAAGCTGTTGATTAGAAAACGAATTTCGGAAAACTTTCCATGCGAACTTCCAGAACATGCAGACATCTTTCGAGTTTCTGATTTATTTTTCTACGAATGAATCGAATCATGTTCTTTGTTCTGGTCATCTACTGTACTTTATCTTTGGGTTCACGCTTTTACCTTAAATCCGGGGGGGGGGGGGGTGTCGGAAGTGGAACTCGTGTGTGGAGTAGGCAAATGATCAAGAAGAAATATGGCGGTGGCAGAAAGAACCAATTGATGACATCCTATGCTTGATCTGACCCGTAATTCGATTTCTGAGGGAAGTTAGTGAGAGAGTGTTGTCGATTCCATGGTGTCCCATTGAGGTGACATGCTAATGAAGACGTTGTTCGATCTTTACCAAAGAAGGAAAAACAGTTTGACCAATAGCTTTGAAGCTCTCCATTTATTCCCATGTCGATAGTACCAATGATTGTTTGGCTCGTCATATATAGGCATTTCTTCGGGCTTCATGGTATTGGTGAAGACTCCGCCTCCCATTCTCACTACCAACTGACGGATTTCAATCGGGAATTACTCAACGAGGAAAAAGGCCTGCGGAACTGCAAACTAGCACGTTCGATAGCCGATCGACCGGAGAACTTTTTGCATTTTAAACAGATAATGAAATTCACCCGATGCCGTCACACCAGGCTATAAAATCCAGCCTGGGAACGATGCGCGGGGAGGCTATCGCCAATCACCTGCCCTAGCTCATCCCGAGGAATTATGATGTCTGAGGCATCAAGTGCAACGAACCCACTGAACGTATCTCACTACCGAGCTGCGCACACCGCCGAGCTGCGCAGCCCCCACCAAATCGCGTCCCGGTCGCGTCCTTACCATTTTCAACTACCCACCATGCCACCAAATCGCACTGTATCCTCTCGCAAATCAATCGAGCAGGAGGGCAGGATTTTGCTTGCTGTTGAGGCTGTTTAGAATCAAAAAATACCATCAGTTCGCGCCGCCGCAAAGCTATATAACGTGCCCGAGTCTACGCTCCGAACATGCCTTCATGGTGTTGCTTATCGCGCTGTAAAACGCCCAAATTGCCATAAATTGACTGAAAATGAAGAGATTTCGCTAAAGGATTGGATCCTTTCCCTAGATCTACGCGGAGTACCTCCTCGGCATCAAGGGGTGCGAGAAATAGCAAATCTCTTATTAGCAAAGCGTGGTGAATGGCATATCTCTACAGTCGGGCAAAATTGGGTTACCAAGTTTGTGAACGTACCCCAGAGATCTCGACACGATGGTCTAAACGATACGATTACCAACGAGCAAAGAATGAAGATCCTAAGATTATCGCGGAGTGGTTTACACGTGTGGAAAAGGTCATCTCAGAAAATGGATTGTCTCTGAGGATATCTATAATTTTGATGAACAGGATTTGCAATGGGCCTTACATCAACAGCACGGGTTATATCACGATCAGATTATTATGGAAAAAAGCATGTTTTACAACCTGGAAATCGAGAGTGGGTTACTGCTATTGAGTGTATATCTGCTTCTGGTTGGGCCCTTCCGCCGTGTATTATCTTTAAAGGAAAAGTACACATTGCAACCTGGTATGGTGACCTCCCAGATGATTGCCGAATTGAGGTTAGTGATAATGGCTGGACTACTGATGAGATTGGGCTTCGCTGGCTTGAAAAAGACTTTATTCCAGCAACAACATCACGAGTGGTCGGGAAATATCGACTTTTGATCCTTGATGGTCATGGAAGCCACTTAACGGCTAGATTTGATGAACTCTGTATTGCAAAACAAATTATACCTGTTTGCATGCCGTCCCACTCATCACATCTTTTACAGCCGCTTGATGTGGGCTGTTTTGCAGTCTTAAAACGCGTTTATAGCGCGTTAGTGGAGGGCTATATGCGAACCAACATCAATCATATCGACAAGCTGGATTTCTTAGCAAATTACCCTCAAGCGCGTGAGCAGGCCTTTTTGTCAAGAACTATCAAAAATGCGTTTTCTAGCAGTGGTCTTGTGCCATTTAATCCTGATCAGATTATATCTAAGTTAGATATACGCCTCCGCACGCCAACACCACCTGCTAGTCAAGAAAGCCATTTTTCGCCAAAAACACCTAGAAAAACACGACAACTCAAGCAGGCTTCATCAATAAAGGCACTGCTTAAACAGCGCTCAAAGAGTCCGCCAAGTCCGCTTAAGCAGCAAATTGAGCAGATTTTTAAGGCCTGTGAAATCCAACTCCACGCTACTGAGCTACTACAGCTAGAAGTGTCTAAATTACGCGCTGCCAATGAGAAACAGGTCGTTAAAACGGCCAAATCTAAGGCTCAAATACCACGCGATGAAGGCATGACAGGCGCAGAGAGCCAAGAAGTAATACGTGCCTATCTACAGCGTCAAAAAGCTCCAACACCCCCTCCAAGAGAGTCTACTCCACCGCCGCCTGTGGTAATGGGACCGACGTTTTTACCAGCTAGAAGAGGAACCAGGAAAAATCCAACGTGGGGGAATTGTAGCCAGATAGATCATACAGCCAACCGTTGTAGCATATAGTTAATTTACTTATGTTGTGGTTGTTATGAATGTTGTTGAATATAGTAGTCGTTTTTCATTTCATGGGGGCTGCGCAGCTCGGCGGTGTGCGTAGCTCGGTAGTGAGATACGTTAGTTAACTAGTTAACGTAATCCACAAGCGAGCCGCGAATACAACCGAACCGCGAATTTTTACCACGCATATGCAATTTGAAGCTTCTTCAACCACGAAAAGATAATCAAACTGGACTATCTAAACGACAAATGAATAGCTATTTATTAGGACAACTCCTAATAGTATGTCCAATAGTCGCGCAGCCACTGCAGCGTTGTGGAGCTCGCTTGCGAGGCCTTGGTGTAGGCTCATCAACCTGCTCGTTAAGCTGCATATCAAGCTGCTGGATCCGATTCTGACCTTCCTGTATAAACAAAACAAGATCATCACCTAGAATAGCACGCTTCCTTGCCTTTTTCTTTATTTTCCGCTCATTCTCGGCCCGTAGAACCTTAATTTCCTGTTGAAGAAGAAGGTTCGTGTTCATTGCCATCTGTGCAGCTTTTTCAAGATGTTGAATATGAGATATTGGACTGCTAGAAGGCTTTCTTTTTTGAAGGCTTCTCTGTAGACTGCGGACCTTGTGATCAAGTTGGCGAGGATTCTGAGGTGTTTGAAAAGCAGAGGAGATTGAGCTTTCGACTTCAACAAGAGGTGGCGTTGGTGTGCGAAGTTGGAAAGTAATCTTTTCAAGGACTCGCTCTTCATCAAGTGGCTTAAGTCCTGCACCCCTGAAGCCGCTGCATATATTCTCCCTAGTGAACACCTTTTCGCGAGCAGGTGGATAGAGAGATAAGAAATCCTCCTTATCAATATGATTGTTGCCAGCAATCATCATCCCTTCCACTAGTTTTCCATATGCGCGCTTTAGTGGGCCAAACACACCAACATCAAGCGGTTGTAAAAGATGAGAGGTATGAGGAGGCATACAGAGACAGATAATTGCATTCTCTTTGCAGAAAGCATCAAATTCTGCAGTCTGGTGGCTAGAATGGCCATCAAGAATAAGCAACCGCTTTGCACCAGTTGAATGGTGTTTAGAATGTGGTTCAAACATCTCTTTTAGCCAGTGAAGGCCTATTTCATCTGTTGTCCAGCCATTCTGACTTCTTGCAATAGCATAGCCCTTATTAAAAAGAGCAGATTCTTGATACCAAGCAGCTTGTTGAGATCCTGCTTTTAGGATAATCCATGGGGGGATATAAGCCCCCTTTGAGCTCACACATTCAATGATTGTGACCCATTCACGATTTCCCTGAATAACTCTCCGAGGTCTTTCACTACGCTCCACTGCAGTGATGACCTTAGAGGTTGAGCAGAGTCCCATTGCAAAGCCAGTTTCATCAAAGTTCCAGATATCATCCTCATGGATGCCATGTTCTTGAATAGCTTCGCGTACGGTCGCAAACCACTGCTTTATGACCTTTGGATCCTCCTGCTTTGCACGTTGGTATGTTATGCGCCGGTTATATCGTGTACGCAGCGCTGGGTTGCGTTTGACAAAATTATATGCCCAGTTGACACCAATAGAGGCAGTAGAATCCTGTGTACGCTCACGAAGCAAAATCTGCGCCATTCCACGCAGAAACTCTTGTCGAATTGAAAAGCCCCGTTTATCTGCATCTAGCAGTCTCTTGGTAAGGACTTCTTCTTCAAGAGCTGTTAATTTATGGCCGTTGGCGCGTGTTTCCGACCGTGGGTTGATGCCAGCAAGCCGCTCGCGAAGGGTGGTTTCAGGTATGCCAAATATCTCAGCAGCTTTCAATCTTGATTTGACTTCTTGCTTTTTATATGCAGAAATAGCCATCTGCATGCGAGCTTCTTTAGATAGAGGCATTTTGTATGAAAACGATGAAAAAAGACGCGTTGATGAATGTTGATTCGAAAATCGTAGTTGGGGAACGCGAAAATTCGCGGTTCGGTTGTATTCGCGGCTCGCTTGTGGATTACGTTAGTTAGTTATTTAGTTACTAAGCCTTTCTTTCGGTGGTCGCTGTATTCAAGGCGACCTGCCCCCATCGGCGGGCAGGTGCGAGAACACCTCTTCGAAATCAAACGCCATGGGCCAGTTTCGATCCGGGAACTCGCTTTAATGCAGAAGCCGCTTTACCAACGCGCCGCTCACCCCCGACTAGTTATTATGAGGTCCCTCACCTGAATGATATCGCCAGATGGCCGACATATACAGCAGGTGGATGTACGGTGGAGATCCCTGTATGATGACTAAGTCGATCTAAGAGGATCTGTCATGCTGATTGGACTCGTCTGGCTTGGTCTGTGCATTTTTTGGGCCTGTGGTGTCGGTGGCGCGTCCGTTGTCAACTTCACGTCGGCGCGAGATGAGGCCAGCGGCGGAGGGTGATGCTATCGTCGCCGCTGCCGCCCCGTCAAAGCTTGCGAAAACGACCTGGACGAGTCTTTCGGCACAGCAATTTTTCTGGTCGGTAGTTTGAGGGAATGACTAAGAGTATTATTCAAAAAATATATTATCGCCTTCCTGAGGTTACGATACCTACTGACTTTACTATATACTATGGTCGATATGCTGACTGGCGCTGCTAAGACAATTCAAGCTACACCAAGCAGTCTCACCACATCTCAACACCCGTGAGTCATATTGTTTATATTCCCACTACTGGGTCCAATACTTTCAATACTTTCAAGGTTCGTGTTAGTGTTCAACTACGACGTTTCCGTGAACCAAATCGGACAAGACTGGGGTTACACTATAGTGATGTGCAAGGAGAATACCCTCACAGTCACCATATGACCATGACATTACAGTGTAGTGTACACCTACTACATCTGAAGAGCCAGACACAAGAAGATGGATGCATAACAGGCAATTCAAATGCAATTCATTTTTTATCTTGTATTCTATCCACACAAGCTACCCGCTTACGGGCGCAGACGCTGAGGGTCACGAGGGAACAGCGACGCCAAACGCACGTTCGGCAGACCCAGGAAGAACATGACAATACGGTTCAGACCCAATCCACCACCGGCGTGCGGCGGGCAGCCCTGGCGGAAAGCATTGAGGTAGTCCTCAAAACCCTCCTGGGCGGGGTCCAGACCCTTGGCGCGCATCGACGCCTCTAGCTCATCTACGTTGTGAATGCGCTGAGCTCCAGACATGATCTCCTCACCGCGCATGAAGAAGTCATACGAGTTAGAGAAGCGGGCATCCTTGGGATCGGCCTTAGTATAGAAGGGACGGACAGCCATAGGGAACTTGTCCAAGACGTAGAAGTCGGTGTCGTACTTCTCGCGGATGATCTGTCCAAGCTGCTTCTCCATGGCGGTGGTGAAATCGTTCTCAAAGCGCTCCTGCTCCGACATGTCCACACCGGCCTCCTTCAGAAGAGCAACACCGTCCATGTAGTTCAGGCGCAGAGCCTTGCCGTTCTTGGGCAGCTTGAAGTCACCGGCCTTAGGGTAGGACTTTTGGATGGTAGCAATCTGGGCGGCATAGCGCTCCTTGAGCTGGGAGAGGATAAAGACCAAGAGATCCTCAGCGAACTCGAGAACTTCGTGGTAGTGGTGCTCGAAGGTCTTCTCGAAATCGAGACCGGCGAACTAAGAGCCGTTTTGTCAGTGCAAAATTCACCAGCTTATCGGCGGAAAATTGTCATACCTCAGTCAAGTGGCGGTGGGTGTTGCTGTCCTCGGCACGGAACACGGGGGCAATTTCGAACACATTTTCCATATCACCAGCAATACACATTTGCTTATACAGTTGAGGGCTCTGGGCCAGGTAGCCGTTGCGCTTGAAGTACTTGACCTCGAACACGTTGCTGCCACCCTCGGTAGCCGCACCGACGAGCTTGGGGGTAAAGATCCATCGGGAACCGCTCTTGATCATGTATTCGGAGAATAGCTGGGCAACACCGCTGGAGATCCAGGTGATGGCCTGGCTGGTCTCGGTCTGAAGATCCAGTACACGGTTGTCCAGACGGGTCTTGAGAGTGACGATGGGTGCACCCTCAGCATCGACCTGAGGAGTCTCGTCCGCGGTCTCAACGGGAGGAGGGCGCTCAGCATCCTTCACCTGCATTGGCAGCATCTGCGCAGCCTCGGAGATCATGTAGACCTTGCGGATGTGGATCTCAAGGTTCTGGATAGTGGCAGAAGAGATGGGAATCTCGGGCTTCTTGATCAGACCAGTAACCTGAACAATAGAGTTGACGTTCAATCCACCAGTATACTTGATCATCTGTCGAGAGATGGGCTCGGCGGCCGCGATTACTGCCTGGATCTTCTGACCCTGCTGGCGTAGCATCAAGAAAGCCAGCTTGGCACTCTGGACACGCGCATTGTCCACACGGGCGACAACAGTAACCTCCTTCTCGTGGTGCTCGTCGCTGAAATCACTGAATCGCGTGGAGGGGTTGACGTCTTCGGTTTCGGGGAGTTGGCCATAGAGGTGCTTGGCGGTGTCGTTGGCTTCCTGAGCGGCAGCTTGAGCCTTCTCCTGTGCAGCGCGAGCAGCGGCCTTCTCGGCCTTGGCCTTCTCCTTGGCGGCCTTCTTCGCTGCGTTCTTGCTGGCGCTCTTGGAGTCGCCCTCCGCGGCGGGCGCGCCGGCCTCCGGGGTCACCTCGGGCTTGGGACGAGTGGGCAATTCGGAATCGGCCATGATGCTGTCCAAAGAAGTATTAGAGACCAATGCGCCTGGCTGTGGGAATGGAAGTTACTCACCTCGATGATGCTCTTTAATTGATTGACCTAATGCGGTTGATACTTTGAGTCACCCCGCCGTGCAAAACTGCCCTAAGCCCTAAGAGGGGGGTGATGGTCACATGACAATGTATACATCTCATGCCTGATTCCTGCCTGAAAATTGGATCGACCCACGTATCTCTCGACCATACTTATAATGTATTATGAGAAGCGAATTCAAAGCCAACCTTGAATGCATCTAAAGTAGCAAACAACAAGGTACTAGAAAACAACAAACACAAAGCGCTGCAGTATTAACACCTTGCATCTGCCGCGATTGCGCTGCTGCTCCTTCGCACCCTCAACACTTTGTTATGAAACCTTGACTCGATAATACTAGTTCATTGGAGTCGTCTGTTTAATAGTGGTACTGGTATGTGAGATGCCAAGAAGAGTTCCAAGCACTTGCTTTATGCACAGCTACCTCCAAATTACGTACCCAGCAGATTACGCTCATGCCTGATGGAGAGACCGGGATACCCCGTAAATTGAAATAATGTTCAATAGGATATGACGCTAGCTAACTCCATGATTTGGTGACCAGAAGGCCGCCCAAAAATACAACGTAGGATGCTTGAACAGTGCCTTATGCAAACCACCGTGTCTACTGTAATAACCATTTAGAAGACTCCAGAGCCCACTGGACGGCCTTCTGCACATCATCGGCAACTGTCTTAGGTGCCCATGCAGGATCTCCACCACTGTAGACTCCAGTACGCACCAGGATAGATTCCCAACTGCTGCCGAATTTGCTGCGATAGGAATTTGCGCCTCGGATATCCGACTCCGGGTTATCTCCGACCATATAGACGTGTTGCAATGGCGGCAGGTCTGCGCCAAAGACCTTGGATCGGTTACGAAGCAATTGCATCTCCGCAAACTCGTAGGTCCCCTGGTAAGGCTTGCCGATCACCGTCTTCTTCAACTCAATGCCTTTAGTAGGGCCACCCGTGGTTGCGGCCCAAACACCTTCAAGCGCCTCTCGGAATCCACCCTGACCGAGACGAGGCAGAGGATATGCTGCTGCCCACCACAGATCTGGGTTCGAGAAGTACAGATGAGGTTGGCCGTCTTGCTGGTAGCCGTGGTTGGGAAGATCGGTTCGACCGTTCTTCTCCGACAGAGTCCCAACATGCCCTCGCGACGAGAGAAGGAGATCCATGATGACTTGCGTATCCAGGGCCCAGTCTCTGGGGTCATTGAAAATAAACACAGCATCGATCTTCAGACCCTTGGTAGGATCCGTCGGATCGATGGGCTTGGGAAGTGGGCGAGCAAATGTCTTATAGTAGTCGGAGAAGTTCTTCGAGAAAGGCCACACAGAGGGATTGGCCATGAAGATATCGCCCGGTGTCACAACATTCTTGAAGCCGTACTGTTCCGCCACCCGCCGACAATTGTCGCCATCGCCTCCTGCCACCAATACACACTTGTTCTCTAGCGCGTTCGCCTCATCCGGCCCCTTGACCAGCTCCGCGAAGGGAGAATGGCTTTGAACAATATCTGTTGCGTCCAAGGGCACTTTCAGCTTTTCACTGATTTCCGCGACACGTTCTGTCTCGTGTTTCCCCCGCCGTTGGTAAGCAAAATGAACGGGATGCATTGTTCCTTCAGGAGAGCCAAGGAGTCGGCAGCACCGGGAATGGGTTTCGAAGATCGTAATAAGACCCCATCGATACTGTTAAGCATGGTTAGACCGGAGGGACAAGTGGTTGGCCGCGTGCGTACATCACTGTCACTCACTCAAAGGCAAAAGCGAAATTCGGGACTCGGGACGCGCTGGCGGTTTGGATCGCTCGGCGACCAGCACTGTATCGGACAGGTGCACGCTGTAGCAGGCCCAGCGACCGCCACACAGTCGGAGGCCTAATCATGGTGTGACGTGGTAAAAAGGGGAGGAGTTGCAGGAAGTTGGGGACAACAGAGGAACCGGCGAGCGAGAGGGGTGATATCATCCCCCCATTCTCCAACTCCGCCGTGCGCCCCACACTTTCTCCGATTCGCGCATCCGACACACTTTGCTTCTACAATATCCGCCTTGGCTCAAACAAAGCTGAACGCCCGGTCTTGGTGATGCTACGACTGGGGATCCCATGCCGGTCCTGAGCGGACTGTCACTTTTCTTTCGTTCCTTTCTCTTCTTTTTTCCCGGTGGTCTCTGCACAACTTGATTCGCGATGGAGGTCCAACCGGCCTCACCTAGCCCGAGCAATGGCAGCGCTCTCCCCGTGGAACTTCTCGTTCTTATCGCCGAATTCGTTTACTGGTGTGGTCAAGGCTCAGTCAATTGGCATCTCGATCGCCAGGTAGCAATGCACAACTTTTGCCTTGTCGGAAAACTGTGGTACTCGGCCGGAATCGAGTTACTGTACCGCAGTCCCCAACTCGCCCGCGGCAACAAATTCAGTCTATTTGCCTCCACAGTCAGCCCTCGGATCACTGCCAATAAGCAAAAGCTGAACCTAGGCCATTTAGTGAAGGAGCTTCTGTTACACGAGCTCGTTCACCAGAGTTCCCCTAGTCAACTAGCACGACTATTGAAAGCGACCAGCAAGCGCCTCGTCATACTTAGAGCTCCTCGTGTCTCCTTTGCGTGAGTATAACAGACCTGAAATTAATCCTTCGGACATGGCTTACACTTCGGACATGGCTTACATTCAAACAGTGTCAATTGCCTTCCAGCGCTTTCCAAGAGTCGATCTCTGCGGTACCTTGACTTGACTCTGGTGATAGAGAGGTCCATTACCTTTCCAAAATTGAAGAAAGCAATCAGCGGTCTTCCCGAACTCAAATACATCAGTCTACCAAGCTTCATGGAACTCACTAACACTGGTGCCGGTGAACTTCAGTGGCCACAGTCGCTCCGCCACATGAGTATCGGGGGATTCGCGGGATACAATGACACCACAGCCATGCAATCATTTCCTTGGCCGAATAACTTAGAAAGTCTGGGTATTTTCGCACACCATGGCTTAAACGAGATCTCACTGCACGATACGTTAGCCAATCCGCAGATTTGTCAAGGGCTCAGGCAGCTTCACATCGACTTCAATGGTGATTTGCTTCTATCGGAAGGAGGAGGATTATCGAGGATCATTGCTTCGATGGAGAAACTTTACTATCTTAAGCTACCAGGAGATATGTTCATTGAGATTTGCATGCCTTATCTGGATACCGAATCTCTCATCTATCCCAGGCTGCGAGTTATTGCGGTTACCGCGCCTTCTTCGGGACAGTCCTCCGGGCACAGAGATATCCCGGAGTTAGTCCTTCTGGCATTGCAGGGAAGACTCCGCAATTTATGGAGTCTCAATGTCGACCCGGGATTCATGTTACAACTGGAGAGTTCACAACAGATCGATGATGAACTTTGGCTCCGTGTTCCCGACGACGATGACGCCGAGTTTAACGATGAAGAGGAACCTCCCGAAGACGCCTTGTACTGCGAATACGGACTCAACACCATCTAAAAAAGGATCCTTCTACTCTTTCTTTTCTCTCTCTTCTTCTCTTCTCTCTTCTAACTTGCAGAGAGGACAGTCGAACAATTGCCCAGAGCGAGAGATTATTCCAGCAGATACCCCAGCAGCAATACATCAGACACCTTCACACATCCATTCTTTTCTTTCTTTCTTATTGGGCTCAATGATGGCATTGAGATTGACTGGTAATCACCAACAGCAGGTAATTTTCCGTACTGCACTTCGCTCAGACTATTTCTTCCAAAATACGATTGTAGAAATTCGACTAAAACCATTATTTCTCGTCGCCGATCTATTTAGACATATAGCAAAGGGGAAAAGCAGGAAACAGTCGAAATTGGCTTAACAGCAGACAGAACGAGTCCTCCACATTTTTTGTAGTTGCCATCATGGGGCTCGTCATAACCAGCAAAATTCGCGCGGGAGGCTCAAGAAACAGTGGCACAGATTGGGAAGGAATAGAACGATATGGGAGCCGTGCAAAGAGAGTGTAACAATCCTCATGTCTACTACAATTTGATATAAAAAGGAGAAAAGAAAAGGGAAATAGTTTAAAGGGAACATTAAGTGACAGATGCAAGCACCGCAGCAGCAACGCCCTCCTCTTCTGCCCGGACAGTAATCTTTGTTGTGACACCACTCTTGCTCGAGAAGGCCATCTTGATAAGAGAGGCTACCCGGCCACCCGAGACAGTCTTGCCGAAGAGTTTGAGAGTATGGGTGCTGTTGTTCAGGGCAACGTCGGTGCCCTCCAGGGGTTGAAGGGATAGAGCAGCGATCAGTTGCTCCGTAGCATCTACAAATCTGTTAGTTCTTGGACTTCGCAAACATAAACTGACGCATGGGGGAAACATACTGGCAATGCTCTTCGTATTGCTGAGCTGTAGGGTCTCGCTCTCTTCTTCGCCATTAGCACCGGTCTGCTCCCAAACGTGGTCGAAGCTTCCAGCAAATGTAGGAATGACATAATCACTGCCGCCGAGATCGAGGTCTTCCACTTGGTACTCGTCCTCATAACCTTCATCCTCCGGTTCGCCAGTGGTAGGATCAACTTCCTTGCTGGTGAACTTCAGGTTGTTGGTAAACGAGGTAACGGGAACGCTGTTCTCGCCACCAAGCTTCTTGAATGCAACGTAGACAACGCCAGGCTCATTCGGCGCAAGCTTGGGAGCGGGAATGATGAAGTCGTCCTCCAGAACATCCTCTTCCGCTGGAGTTGCGATCACGGTCACGTTCTCAAGAACGGTGTCGGGAAGGGTGTTCTTAATATCATACTGTACAACAACATTCTCCTTGAAAATGTGCTTGACGGCCGTGACAACGTACTCAGTTTCGCTCTCAGAGAGCTCAACAGGAGCGGAAGATTTAAGCAAGGTGCCATATTCCTTGATATCGGGGATCTGCAAGAGCTGCTCGGCATACTTTTGGGTGGCGGCGGCAGTATTTGCCTCGGCCGCGCCGTTCGCCTTGCTCTTCGTGGGGCCTGCTGACGGAGCCTTGAGGGTGGGTGTAGCGGAGGTGAGCTTCTTGGTCCGTTCCTCGGCCAGAGCCTGCTCTTGGGTGACAACGGGGACGGAGGAGACATCGAAAGCAGCAGCAAAGGTCTGTTTGTCGTTCGAAGTCACATACATGACAAGTTGGTGCTCAAAGGTTGAGAGAGAGTACATCGAGTCTAGTTCCATTGATTAGCAATTAGAAAAATGTCAAGTAGAAAAAAGATATGAACACTTACCGTTCTTGATGAAAGACCCGGCCATCGCATCATCCGCGCCCATCAAGCGCAGATTGAGTGCGGCACGATCACGAACCTCGTCATCGGTGTCATCGAGACAACGGGTGAGAAGAACTTGCACACTAGACTTGACTTCAGGGTCGGATTGACCAACGCCAAATTTAGCCAACGCGGTGACGGCAGCGGCACGAACAATGGCGTTCTCTAGGACGACGCGATTGTAGATATAGCGGATGTACTTGGTGGGGTGCGAGGTTTTGGGGCCCTCAACACCAAGCAGATGCAACACGCGGACGGACAGCTTGGTGAACTCGCAGTCCTCAATGAACTCGCAAAGATGAGCAAGAGCGTCCTCTTTGCTCTCAGGGACGAATTTGATCAGGTCGAACATGCTCTCCACAACGGTGCGCTTGAACTCGTATCCACCCTCATCACGCAGGATGCCACTCAGGAACACCAACATACCAGCCTGCTTGCTCGGGAATTTAAGGCATAGCGTTCGGATAGCCTCGACGATGGTGATCTTGAACTCATCCGTGATATCGGCCATGAAGCCTGAGATCTGCTTCATAAGGCGGTCAACGCTAGCTTCGTTACCAGTCTTGAGAAGGGTAGTAATCGCGAAAGTGGCGATAGACCGGTTGGAGTTGGAGATAAGCGACTCGATATCGGGGTTGCAGACATTGACGACATGTGGCTTGAAGGTTGCGAAGTTGTGAAGGATACGGATGGCGGCGAATTTTGTGATAGAGCGCGGGGAAGACAGGAACAGCTGGAGAACATGAACGGCCTGGGATGCCTCAGCGTCGGTGACATCCCGCATATCGCAAATAGCCTTAGCGGCCTCAAAGTTGACCATCTCGTGCTTGTGACGGAGCCAGCCATCCAACATCTGCATCATGGGCTTCCGAAGACTGGGGTCCTCCTCAGCTAGCTTAGCGGCCAGGCGCACCAGCAGAACCAGAGCAGCTGGGCTCTTAACCACACCTGCGGTGCCGTATTGCTGAACCATCTTAACCAACGCCATGCGATCGTGAGAGCGCATCTGGTAAAGGAGACCAATTGCGTGGTATTGGGTCATAAAGTTCGACTGAGAGATGGCGTGGGTTTGGGAGCTGGATGAGAATCCCAGGAATCCAGTCGATTGCTTCGAAGACGAAGCGGCTTCTTGGGTCTCACTTTGCCATCTTCGAACGACGTCGCGGGCGATGGGGAGGAGATGGTAAGACGAGACCAAAGCAGCGGAAGAGACCGATGGAGTCTTGTCGACAATGGCGGTTTTGATGAGTCGCTCAATGCCCTGTACAGTGGAGCCATCAATGATACGGCACAGCGCTCTGATGGCGTTAGCTCGGTAGAGAACGTCGCTTCCAACGGCCGTATCCTTCATGATGATGCTGGTCGACATGATAACATCCTCCGCAGTACCGGCAAGCTCCTTCAAAATCAAATACACCATCTGTCGCAGCGAGGGGTCCTTGTTCTGAAACAGCTTCGAGATACCGAAGAAGAGTGTGGTTGCTTCGTTCGTCGGGAATTGCTCCCCAGTGAAGAGGAGGACCGCAATCTTCGTCAACAGCGTGCGGCATGTTCTCGGCGAAATGGGAGAGGAGTTAAATAGTCGAGCTGGAAGAATTGGGCCAAGTTAGTACACAATGAGAGTGTGGTGCGGTCGTCGATCGGAGCGCCAGGGGGTGGCCATTGGCCGATTACATACCGTCTTGGAACACAGAGGTCCGATCAAGCCTGATCATGACCTGATCCGCATCTTCATCTTTCTTCATGTAGCTCATCTTGCCCAGGTGCTGGGATTGAACCAGCGGAGTATGTTCGCGATCTCCTTAGATTCGGGTGGGCTCAATTGGCGGGTGGAGGGAGGACACAGTAGCAGCAGGAGGGCGGTGTAGGCCAACTACTGCATGCGCATAGTCAAACCCCAAGGCAAAGGGCTGAGAGAAGCGGGGAGGAAGAGTGTGTGGAGAAGAGGTGGTGATGAATCTCGACCTCGAGCTCCAACTGTTTATGGAGTTAGGTGAAGGTGGCCTTCCGTGTGTTTTGGCAGCCACTGTGGCGCCCGAACAAACACTGCAAACAGGTGGCATCATGCATTGCGGTGCGGTGGCCTGCTCCCCACTCAACAATTCCTATTCTCTACCACGATTTCCCTCACTGTTTTTCAATTTGTGAGCTACGGCTGAATCTCGATTTTAACTCATCATGCAAGTTGAGGTCAATCCTAATGAGGATACAGAATGGTACGGTTTCTTTTACTGAGCATCCACATGCGAACACGCAACCCCCGCCCGCATGCCAACTATATAGCGATACGGTCTAACATAATCTTTGATGAATTGTACAGGAATGATATCCTTAGACAGCACGGGATCATCCCTGAGAAGCCCAAAGATCCAGAACCCCTCATCCAAGAAGCCTTGATCGCGGCCGAGCACAGGGCACACGAGAATCGCCTCGAGGACAAAGACATTGATGAATTGGACGCACTGGAGGACGAGGAGGATGAGGACTTTCTCCAGCAGTACCGGTATGCTCAATTTGCTGCTCTTGTTAGCTGAAAAGTTGCATAGTGTCATCAGCGACCCTTCAACGCAACCCGTACTCAACACTGACCCAGCTAATACTTCTGCCTACCAGTCAAAAACGCCTCGCAGAACTCTCTACCCTTCAGCAAACCAGCCTTTTCAACCAGGTCTATCCTCTCCAAAAAGTCGACTACGCTCGAGAGGTTACCGAAGCCTCCAACAGTGCCTTTGTGCTAGTCAACCTTACTTCCCAGGGCGCCAACGTCGAGTCGCGGGTATTGACAGAGCTATGGAGGCAATTGGCCACGAAGTTTGGCGATATCAAGTTCTGCGAGATTCGTGCCGACATGTGCATTGAGGGATACCCAGAAAAGAACACACCCACTATCTTGGTATACAAGGATACCGAGATCAAGAGGCAGTTGATCACTCTGCGGGAACTGAACGGACCCCGTACTAAGGTTGAAGATTTGGAGAAACTCCTCGTTGATCTCGGTGCGCTTAAGGAGAGCGATGTTCGTCTCAAGAAGCGCTCCGATTCAATGGACGATTACCGCAATGCGGGCGATGATGAACTCAATGTTGAGGACTATGATGACGACTGGGACTGATTCCCAATTTGTTCTTCGACATGACACGACCCGGAAATTCATGACTATGCGATGTTTGTATATTATGCAATTGGTCTCGTTAATGACCTTACGTTGGAACTGGATAGGGGAGGGCAAAATGCCAACGCTTCAAAGAAGGATCGTTTTACATTCACGCGCGGTCTTTCCAGCAAGTGAAGATATTTTTTGCCCGTTCGTTTTCTGCGTGGTTGATCCAGCTGAAAAGGAGGAAACCATTTTATGAGGCATGCAAATAAGGATTGCTCATTTCTACTTCTCCTTTTGATGCTCTACAGTATAGTACTTGATCGTGTGATGGTGCTCATGCATCTGGCCTAAGCAAATACTTGTAGTATTTATCTAGTGGGGTGAGTATCTGGAGCGAGACCTACTCCAAAAAGCTGCATGGATGGGATGTGCTATAACCATCTCACCCCCTTCTCCCCCCACCCCAACAAAAAGTGAAAAGTCATGAGTGTACTACTAGTAGTTGATCAAAATCGCTAAATTAATCCCACCGCTCCCAGCGCCGAGAAATTCCAAAAGACGCCCGCAAAGAAACCAGAAAGTCGAACCAGCTCACCAACCCAAAACGTAAAGTGGATATCGTATATACAAAGCATGCACGTACATCAGATGAGCTCATCCCGCTCTGCGGCACTATCCTCAATGGCCCGACACACTTGGCTCTCTCTAAAAGCAGGACCTGTGCCGTCACATTGTGCTAATCCCTTCAGTCGCTCAGTAACATCACCTATGTCCACCTCGCCACGCTTGAACAAATCATGACCCAGGATAAAGTCCCATGTTTCACCAGCATCGAGAAGTTTTTCGCCAGTGACCTGGCACACGGTAATGCGATGCCGCTGTGGGCTCCGAGGATTGGTCGTACCGGTGGTCGGACGTTGCCATCCTGAGCCTTTTGGGTTAAGACTGGAGAAGAAGTCTGTTGGAGTGTATTTCATTGGCCCGGTGACGGTGGGCTCGGCTTGCTCTTTCGCAGCATTGTTGTTATTACCACCGTTCAAGGTGTGTGAAGTAGCACGCAGGATCTCGTTCTCTGTCGCGAATTTGGCGAGCTCCCGCTTCAGGCGTTCATTATCGGCTTGAAGAGTCGTGGATGATTCCTCGAGACTGGTGACCTTGTCTTCAAGGTCTTTCACGTGGCGCTCTTTGCGTTCACGGAATGCTCGTTGACTATAAGTCGAGCCTTGTTAGTGTGTTCAACAAAGAAAAACAGGCCTGCAAGTTCCTGAAATAGACATGTACACAGTCTGCAAACATTTATTGTAGTCGAGGAATCCCTTACGCTGCTCGATTTTGCGCCTTGCGTTTCGTTTGCGCCGGGGTCATTGACTCCTTCTCCTCACTGCTACTTCGACCCACGGCGGGGTCAACAAATTGGTTGTCATCGCCATCGGTTGAGGCTGGGCCCGCTCTCGTGTGACTGTTCGGATCATTGCTGGACACGGAGGTTTTGGTAAAGGAGTCTGGCGGTGAATGTGGCGGCGGGACGAAGGATGAGGAGGGGTCGAGGCGGGCGGAGGGGTCAAATCCAGAAAAATATTGGTTATAAGAATTCTGATATCACAGTTAGAAGACTGAGACATAGATCTCAGATGCCTGGAAGATGCCTGGAAGATGGAGGCGCCGCACCAGAGAGAAGGGGTTGCCGAGAGCATCATCAGAGGGCGGCTGCGGTTGTTGGTCGGGGGTGGGTAAGCCATAGAGCGAGTAAGGCTGGGATTGGTGACCAGAGTAGTTGTTGTAGTCCATCATGCCACAGTTTATTTGAAGCTGATTCTGTAGGAAATACAAGGATGGCAGAAGAGCAGGGGGAAATGAAAAGCAGCGGGAGGGGACCCTTTGGTTTCGCGGTTTTACCCCGGGAGATCTTGACCGATTCTCCCCACCGATGTTCCGGGAGAGGGCCAGCCAAATAGCTTGGGGGGAGAGCGCCCGCGTGCACAACCTCTACACTAATTTCCTATGCACTGTCCATTTGACTACTAGTAGTCTATGTCGGAGTTTCCTGTTGCTTGTTTACCACTGGCAGAGGTACAACCCAGAGGCCGCGAAGGTGTTGATTATCTAACAGTCTGGCCCGTGCCTCGAGGGGCCAGAACGGGGCGAACAACGGACTCGATGATCTCATCGGAACTTCCAAAATACATGATTATCCGCAGACTACGCAAAGGACAGTCACCACGAGGTAGTAAGATTTGGGCATTTGATATTAGTGGCTATGGAAACCGAATAGCAGCGAATCCTATCCCCGGGCGGAAATGCCCAGTGGATCTTAGGAGCTGGAAGGTCCTCTGGCCTTCCAGCTCCTTGACCGTCCTCCAAAATCGGCTGCCAATAAGGGTGATCAAAACACAACAGAACAAACTGGAGAAGTTGGTGCAGGAACTTAGGGCTAGGAAAAAAAATTCATAAAATGCAAATCGACGCAAACCACCCCGGAAGCGACCCTCTCCATGTCCGTCGCCAGTTACCAAACGAGATATGATCTCCAAGTGGGACGTGTTCATAGACAGAGAAAAAGCAAGGATCCCTGTACAAAGAGCTCAGAGCAGGAATCCAGAAAGCCTATGAACATAATCCCAGAGAAGTCACATCTCGAACATCCACTCCACTTTGTAATACGGCCGACTGCGTCGGCCGTCACCTCGTCCCCATACCGCGTCGATATGCAATAACAAACAAATTCAGAACGAGAAAAGGGGAAACACACAAATGGGTGAAACAGGGGAAGAGTAATGATGCGGGGACGCATTAAAGTGAATGCGCTTTCAGGATGTCCAGAACCAGCGATCAGGAAGGTCAGAAACGTTAAAGTTTTCGTGTCCAGGTTGATACGCCGTCATTTGCATCTCCTTCAGTCTTCCCTTTCCAGTTGCTTGCGAGGGTTGTTGAGTGGAACTGAGGTACCAGGTCGCAAACATCAAAGGCGAAGATACAAGAATAGCCATCATATCAAACACGTTCCGAGATTCGAGTAGTCGGATGATCCGGAGAGCCGGGTCAAAGCATCCGAACAAGAAGATACACCAGCTGCCAAAATTGACGAAAGCTCGACGCGGAGACGGACGGACAAGATTAACAAACGTCTTCCGCGGGTGGTTAAAACGGGGCGAGCAATCGGAGAATGACAGGTCGAAACGGTTGAAATCGAAAATGGATCGAAAATGGGGTTGAAGGGCTGTGAGAGATTACAAAATGAATGGAGATCCAAGGAGAAAAAGAAATCCGAGAAGTCGAGTGCAGGATGTCGCGTCCATGGCAGGTGACAATGGGATTCCGGGTTCTTAGGTTGACGAGAGCAAGCACGCAAGAGACAAGATCAACGAAAGCATCCGGTCGGTCTCAAGCCCCACTGCACATGCTTCACGATTAGTACCACTGAGCCCCTGTTCCGTCATCCCGCTTCGAACGGCCACCAGAAGGTCCATAAGCACCTAGAGCAGCACCTTTCGAGGCAGAACGCAGCCTAACGCCGAAGACTATGCGATTAGTCAGATTCAGAACTAAAGGGTCCTCCACGCCAGCGTCACATATAAAACAGCCAAACGCAAAGGTAAAAAAAAGGGGTTCCCTACACGGAACCAGGTTTTAAGTACTCACATCCTGTCACTCCCTCCCACGGCGCGGTTGGTGTCCGGAGTGTTGTCGAGGGTGCCGCGGTCAATAACCTTGCGGCGCTGGCCGGAGATGGCACCGGGTTTAGCGGCACCACCAGGGCCCATGGCAGCAGCGGCAGCCCCCTGGCGGCGCTGTTGCTCGTCGTCCTTGTCCTTCTTGGTAGCGTCCACAATCATGGCAGCATTCTTCTGATACTTGTAGACGGTCCAGTCGAAGACGTAGTCATACTGGAAGGACTCGCGGACGAAGAGATCACGGAAGATCTTGCGGAGGTAAGAGTAGTCGGGCTTGTCGTCGAATCGGAGCGAGCGGGTGTAGTTGAGATAGATGGCAAACTCGTTAGGAAAACCACGGCAGAGGACCTCAGTGGGGGTGGTCATCTTCTTCTCCATGATACGGTCGTACTTCTGCTTCTTGGTAGCAGCCTTCAGACCCTGCCAGGGAAGAGATCCGCGGCAGAAGTAGAGCATGACATAACCCAGGGATTCCATGTCATCACGACGAGACTGTTCGACACCCAGATGGGTGTTTATACTGGCGTACCGGGCAGTACCAGTGAGGTTCTTGTTCTCGCGGTAGGGGATGTGGAAGTGAGTCTTGGGGTCACGGTACTTTTTCGCAAGACCGAAATCGATCACGTTGACTTGGTTGCCACGCTTGCCAATACCCATGAGGAAATTGTCGGGCTTGATGTCACGGTGGATGAAAGACTTGGCGTGAATGTATTCGATGCGGGAAATAAGTTGGTCGGCCAGTAGCAGAACGGTCTTGAGCGAGAATTTGCGATTGCAGAAGTTGAACAAGTCCTCCAGACTAGGGCCCAGAAGGTCGATCACCATGGCATTGTAGTCGCATTCGGTACCGAACCAGCGGACAAAAGGAATACCGACGCCACCCGCGAGGGACTTGTAGACACGAGCTTCATATTCGAGCTGGGGGTGCTTAGCCTTGACGCTCTCGAGCTTGATGGCGATTTCTTCGCCAGAGATGATGTTGGTTCCTAGTTTTTCGTCAGTAAGAGGCTGTCAAATCAAGCAAAAGTGTCCAAGAGCCATCATACCGAGATAGATATCACCGAAACTGCCGCTTCCGATCTTGCGGCCGATGCGGTACTTGTTACCGACACGCAAATCCTTTGTATGATGTCAGTACAATTCAAAGATCATGTCGGCTTCCCATTCTGGTTCTCCGAGTCGAAACCCAAGTAGATGGGCCCATAGAACAATCGTGTTGAACGAAAGTTAAGTCGGCGAGAGGAGAGAGTTGATGGGAGATAGGACTGACCATGGTCGTCATGTTGTGCTGAGGGCGGCACAGCGATTAGCCGTGCTAACTATTGGCAACCGTTAGAATAAGGGAAACAAGAGCTTCGGTCGAGACTGGGTGAGACGTGTAGATAGATTGGGAGAGAGGGAGAGGGGGGTAATGAAGTGAAGAGGAGGCAACCTTCGCGCCGAGAGTTCGGGAGAGAGGGGTGTGACGAGCTGAGCCTCAGCCAGCGAGTAACGAGGCTGGGCCCGGCGCTTCCATAGTGCTCGACCACCACACTTGATGAGGCAGAGAAATGCTGTTCAAGAGCGGCGGAGAGTATGGGAAGGGGTGCAGACGATAGAAAAATACACAAGAACAGGGACTTTACCTTGACGCAGAGGCGGGTCAAACGGAGATGGTCCAGTGCCGACCGTACGAAGTCCGACCGAGGCGATAGGAGGTGAGTGGTAACTGCTGAGGTAGATCGAACGCGTCCGACAGAGAGCCAGGAAGCAATAGCAACACTGGGGGAGACGGACAAAGGATCAAGGGCAAAGCCTTGATAACGGCTGGATAGAGAGGGTTGGGGGGAGAAGAGAAAGGAGAGGGGGGAGGTGTAAGTCGGTGAGGTGTATTTTTTATTAGCGAAGTGGCTGACAGTACGGAAGGTACGGAGTACCTGCAACGTACAGGGCGCGGCCCAGCGGTATGACGCCCGAGTCCTTGGGTGCCGACGGTATTGGAGTTGTTACCGTACTAATGGTACCATGATGGTAAGATTGGTATTGGGCTGCAATCTACTAAAGGGGTGCCATCGGTGCCATCTGGCTTTATTTCTTTATTTCAATCCTCATCCTGGTCATTTCGTCTTATCTGGTCTGTTGTTCGATTTGCTCCTACATAGAACAGGGGGGTCTTCATTAGTAAATGTCTCGGACATTCTGGACGCGGCCATTGTCGGAGCTCGCGCGCAAGTGGCAGCTGACCCGATAACAAGCAGCGAACCTGGTGTTCTTTAAATGATTCGGCTTAATTTTGAGTCCCCATCTGCTCAGGAACGAGTATAAAGGGCTTCTGAAGTCTCTGTATCCTCTCTTAAATTATTCCGGCGGGAGACATGCCATTTGATTCGCATGATACACGAGGATGTAGAGATATACCGTGATACTACTAAGATATAGGATGCGGGATTTTCCTCCTGTATGTAGCCCGGAAATGTCTCGTGTTTTATTCCCCTCCCCGGTACAATCCCCCAACCCCCAGGCCTAAGCAGGATGCCTATCATGCGGTGTCATGTTTGCCGGTTCACTGCGGTTGCATCGTGTGTGCATCAAGACCGTACAGCTGCAGAAGTTTCGATCCATTCGTCTATAGCAGGTAGAGAAACGAACAAATCAGACGTGCTGTTACTCGTATTGGACATCCAACAGTCCTGCCCAAATACAGTGCTTGATTGCTTCGGCGTCATAGCAAAGTACAGACTATCGGACATAAAGACGCGGTTCTCCATAGAGACGTTGATAATATCGCACTATAATAAAACGACAACGGAGTTCGTGTAAATTGATGCTAGTGGTACAGCCAGAGTCCAATGAACATCGGGAAACCGGGGTATAAGAAAAGGAAACAAGGGAGACAAAAAAAAGGATCGACGGCAAAAAAAACCAAAGGCAACAAAAGAAGGGAATCCCGTCCCTCAGTGTCCATAAAAGAGAACGCAAAGCAGGGCGAAGGACCGTGATCATACAAAGATCATGATGCGCAAAAAATTCAAATAGAAAAGAACGAACGGCAAAAAAAACATGTGCAAAGCGCTCAGAAAGGCAAGATGAACATATCTCAGGGCACATAGTCGTAGTCTAGTGATAAGAGAAACCACTCAATCAAAACAATATCGTGGCACTTAGATAACATTTGGAGTCTGCGAGGGACCGTTGCTGGCGTTTATCGGCTTTGATTTGCTCACACGTTCTTCCTCATCGAGTCTCCGGCGCCACTCAGTAAGACTGTCGCTCATCAGAGCAGGCCCATCACTGTTCTCCTTCGTGGGTGTCCGCTCCACGTCCAGCTGGCTGCTGAGGCGATAGTTGCGATTGGTGCTTTCCCAGTGGCTGCGGAGAGCTTCCAGCTCATTCGCAAGGGAGTCCAGAGCCATGGAGCCACGGTTGTCGGGAAATGAAGTGGACTCCTGGGAGATGTTGCTATCAGCTCGTGGCCGACCACCGACTGTGTTGCTAGAAGCGTTGCTATGACTGCGCGAGATCCCGTTAGGACCTTGACCATGCTGGGATTGACGGCGGTAGTGGCCCACCGAAGTCTCAACCTGCTCCAATAGCATGTTCACTTTCTTTTCCGCGTCTGAAGCACGACTCTCGAGTAGTGTGTTTTCTTGCTTAAGTTGCTCCAGCTCGGAGCGACTGCGCTCGGCAGTGGACAAAAGCTCCTGTCTGATACGCTCATGCTCAGCCTGTGACTTTTCCTTCTCAGCCTCAGCGGCTGTGAGTTCTGCTTTAAGTTGAGAGAGTTGTCCCTGCAAAGTCTCGAGGGAGGACGAAGTATTTTGCTCCAGGTCGGAAATCGACTGTTGCAGACGAGAACGCTCGGCTTCCCACTCAGCAGGGGCGCCTGCCTGGCTGCCAGCACTTTCCAAGCTCTTTTGGGCGGCTTCTAACTCAGATTGCACCTTGGCATTCTGGCTCTTGTACCGGCTCAATTCATCCTTCATGCGCTTAAGCATCTTCTCAGTGCCCTTCACATAATGAACGGCAGATTGATAATCATTCTCGAGCTGCTCGAGCTTCTCGCGGAATGCCTTGTCGGCCTCTTGCTCTCGGGATTCAAAGGTGGACTTGAGATCGTCGTGTGCCTTCATACTGGCAGAAAGCTGCTGTTCAAGTTCTCGCAGCCGGCTCTGCTCCGGGGTTCCAAAGCGTGATCCTGGGGACTCAAGACGAGGAGATCGTCTGCTATCAGGGTTGATCCCCCGTTCACCAAGCAGATCCTTCAAAGCAGCATGCTGAACCGTTAAGGCACCGGTCTCGCGCTGTTGCGACTCGAGTTGGGATTTCAGATCTCTGCTCTCCGCAGTGGCTGCCTGGCTCTCTTTCAAGGCGGTCTGGAGTTGTCTACGCAGCTGTAGGCCCTCCCGGCTGGCCTGCTCTTGGTATGCTTCAAGGCCGGCAATTCGTTCTTCGGCGCGACGCAATTTGTCGGCCGCGGCATCGGCCGCGGCCTGGTTGGCCTTTGCCAAAGTCGAAGAGCGTTCAATCTGGGCCTCTAGAGCGGCAACTCGCTGGTCAGCCCGGGATCGAATAGATGCATCTAAATCTGTGGACGATGCACGCTCAAGACCAGACACGAATGCCATCTTATGGGTTTCGGCTTCCTTGGCGTGACTCTCAGCCAGCTCTTCTGCATCACGTAGACGACGAGTAACATTGTCCAGCTCGGTAGTTCGCTCCTCATACTCAGATCGGAGTTGCAAAAGCTTCCTTTCTAAGCCTTCGCGGCGTTCTCGCTCTTCCTCAAGTTGCTTCTCGACGATTGCCGTTTTCGCGGCGGACGCAGATACGGCTTCGCGAAGGCTACCAAAGTTCGTCCCAAAATCTTTGAGACGTCCCGAATGGTCTTCAACCCGAGTCAACAACTCCTCCTTGTCAAGCGTGATTTGTCGCAAAGATGCTTCTGCTTCTGAGCGCAGCAAGGCCTCTTCCCTGGCAGTGGCTTCAGCACGGTGGAGCTCAGCACGAAGATTCTCTGCCTCCAGGGCATTGTTCGACATTTCCAGCTCGGCCAGACGTTTTCGGGTAGCTTCATTGGTGTCTTCAGCCAGCTCTTTTGCTTGCTTCTCTTGAGAAAGCTCAGTAGTCAAGATCTCTAGTTTGGCTTTGAGTTCTGACTGAGATGCGAGGGCCAGCGCAAGACGACGGCCCATGTCGGTAGGACGCTCATCTTCTCCTTCACGAGGCCCCTCGGGCTGAGGTGTACCACGTTGACTTCCACCATGGGCGGCAAGTCTTGCGCGGGAATAAGCTGCCTCATTGACGGCCACATCACGCTGGTGCTCGACTTCAGCAATTCGCTTGGACGCAATGGCGGCTTGTCTGTCGACTGTTGCTTGCATCTTTGCCAGCTCCGCACGCATGGCGAGGAAAGCCTCAACCAAGGGGCGGTCTTCATCGTTGAGAGAGTCACTGGCGCGTTCGTCCAAGGCAGGACTACTTGAAGCATTGGGAATGTAGCCGCCTTTTCTCGCCAATGCCAATTCAGATGCGTACCATGCATTTCGAGCCTTGGCGGATTCGAGTTCCTTGATCAAAGCCTCTTGGTGGGGAGTCAATCGCGGAGATCGAGGTTCGTCAGCAAGGTTTCGAGAATTGCGGTAGCTGCGGGATTCAATGGAACCATCGATACTGGTTTGGCGTCCCAGGACTGACTCCTCAGCGCTATCCATAGAGCCGCGTTGGCGATGCTGCCGCAATGAACGTTGACGGGCTGGAGCGATTAATGGGGCAGCTTCGCCAGCTTCCATCGCCTTGGCATTGATCTTCTGTTGCTGTTGAGTAGGCGTGCGTTGGCCCGACGAGCCCGAGCCATCATGAGTATCTTTAGCCACTGGGGACTCCGCACCACGATCAGCATTGGCGACTCGAATATCCACAGTTGGGGTGTGACCGCGCTCAGTTTTAGTGGGTGTCTTGCTGCGGGGTCCAGACTGGGGTCCGTTAGGACGAGGACCCGGGGAAGGTGCTTGTCCAGGGGGTGGTGGCCCAGAGGGTGCTTGTGCAATTGAGGCTCGGGGAAGTCGAGATCCTGGTCCAAGGTTTGGATTGGACCCATACTCCCCGGGTCTTGCATTTGCAGCTTGAATCAGGCTTTCGCGCGAAGGCGTTGGCCCTCGACGGGCTCCTTGATCCGGAGTCGCATTCTGAGCCTCACGAGAAGTCCGCCCGGATGGAGGACCTTGTTTTTCAACACTGACTTTCCTACCGCCAGACGCTGCGCCACGATCTGTCGTTTGGGAGTCATTGGGGTATCGGATTTTGGAAGTGTCGAGGATGTACGCCATGCTGAGCTCTGCGGGGTCCCTGGGGGCCGAGCTGGGCTCGCCAGCCATCACGATAATCTGTTTACCGAAGGCCGTCATACTGTGGCCGGATCGCGGAGACGGCGCCGGGCCCATGTTTTGGAAGGAATACCAGCGGCGCGTAGAAATTCGAAAAGCAGACAAATCACCCAGGTCCACGCCTTCGTCGGTGCGGCCACCGAACACATACATGACATCGTTGACCAAGGCGGAAGCATGACCCTCCCGCGGGGTGGGAATGAATCCGACGCAATCCATTTCTGTCCAGGTGTTGGCACGCGGGTCGAATGTCCAGACGTCGTTAAACCATTTGACCCCGTTCGTTCCACCAAAGAGATAGAGCTTGTCGTTGAAGCTCACAATGGTGTGATTCGTTCTTGCTGGGGGGATCTGACCCTCTGGAGGGCCGCCTTCGTGGCTGTTCTGGATGAGTACCTCCCACTTGTTTGCTGGGTTTTGAAGCTGGTTCAAGTCGAAAGCGACCAGGTCGTTGAAAAAGAAACCCTCGACTTGTCCTCCGAACACGTAAAGTTTAGATCCGAGGATATTCAGCGTGTGCCCGTAGCGACCAGAAGGGCGAGGACCGGGAGGAATGGCACGAGACCATTGACGGGAAGCTAGAATCTATCATTAGAATCGAAGATGGGAGCGGAAAAGGACCGAGCGAAAAACTTACAGGTGTTCAGAAGGTATAGGGTATCGTCCAAGGCATCGTTCTCGTTGATTTTGGTGTCACCGCCGAACACGATGAATGCATTTCCGACGAGCAAGCTGGCATGGCCGACTCGGGGACCTGGTCCCTCCGATACCGTCGCAATCTGGAAACAGGACAGACTCCCGCCACTACTCTCAACCATCCAGAGATCTCCCTTCACGGTGGAGCCATCGATCAAGCCTCCCATCATATAAATATCCCCTTCCTTCGATGCGACTGCATTGATGGCCGCACCATACCGGGGAAATGGGTTCGTCTGGGGCGAGGAAAAATTCAGACGGCGCTGCGACCACGGATAGAGAGAGGAATTCGGACTATGGGGGGAATGCCATTGGGAGGCTGCTGAGGTCGCTGGGCCTAAAGCACCGGGTGGTCAGGTATTCTGATCATAGCTCGCAGACACATGGTGGAAAACATACCTGAGACTCTGACTCGGCCCTTTGGCGCATTCTCACGGGGTCGGGGCTCGTCGGGCTCGTCGGGCCTGTCGCGGAGTTGAGCGAGTTGTTGTAGCTGCTGCTGGGAGTCGGTGTCTGCGCAAAGGCGTTTCCCTCGACCTTGGATCCGTTTGACAAGGGCGGCGTCCCGGTCGACGGGGTGCCCTCGGATGTGTGAACGTTTCTTGTCGCCGCCGGGAGCGCGGTCCCCTGTTGGTTTTTCTTCGATTTAAACAAAAAAGCCATCGTTAAGGTGTCGTAATCGGTCGTTCACGGCGCAAGTGGGAGATTCCGCGCCCACGGGTCGGAGTGGGTGCGCGCCGAGCTGCGATCCGGGATTTCCCCCAGCACCAAGATCCAATGCGAAGGGAACAGTGAAATCGAGAGGGTCGGGCTGGGGAGAGTTGGGGAATGAAGAAGTGGAAAGGGAGGTGTGTTTTCAGGTGTGGAGTCGGAACCAGGAACCACAGGAACCGTCGACAGTCCCATCCACTGTGTGAGTTCCGAGAAAAAAAAAATCCGGGCCAGGGGGAGGAGTTGGGGGATCTGAACACGTCCCTCACCCGACTGTCAGCATCCAGGCACGACAACGGAAGGCCTCGAACCGAAAAGGAGTGATGTGGAAGAATAGGGCCAGGGAGGGAAAGAGAGAGGAAGGGCGAAGAAGTGGTTTCAAATTGCCGTTCTACACTAGTCCCGGCGGACGGGGCCAGCACCGCATACTCAGGGGCAGCCCTTCAACGGTCGTGGTCTTTGTCGTTATGCGCCCTCATTCTTGCGGTTTCCCAGCCCCCCGCCCGGTTTGATGGGCTTGGGTCTTACTGGAACCATTCAGGAATCTCCCTCCAACGCCATCTCTTTTTTTTTGTGCTACTACGGTTGTACGTGGTGGTGTCTAGGGAGTCTCTTGCCGGCCGTGGTCCACTCACTGTCGATGTTTTCCTCCCCGAGAATCACAAAATCAAAGGAATGCTGGCTGGTGGAGTGGCAACAATACGCTGGCAACCGAAGTTTATCTCTTCTCGCATTCGCCGGGAATCTTTTCAGGTCTCAGCCCGACCAGATGCTCTTGACTATGTAGGGCCGTTGATATACTGGTGAGAGCGAAAGAAGTACTTCTAGATTACTACTGTCAATGTCGGCAGTGCTATAATTAAGCCCGCGGGGCTGCTGCCCGAGTCTTCGGCCACTGCGAGCCCCGAAAGATCCAATGGCGGCGCTGCACGCACCATTTCCACACGGCGATCCGCACCCCACAACGTGCAGAGAACCTATCGACTCGATCGCAGTTCCAGGCACCGTGGCTGCTGCAGCTGGGGTGGTCCCAGGGGCGTCGGTGGCACAATTTGCGGTGTCCACCCAGGGAAGCCTCCGGCGCAAAAAAGGGGGGGAACGCGATCAAGTTTCCCTGCCTATCAGAGGAATTCGGGACGGGCGAAGATCGCTGCTGAAGACGGGCCCTGAGCGTTCTTCTCGGCTACGCTTTGTGTGCCAATCAGAGCAAACCTGCCGAGGAAGGGATGCTGGCCCTCCTCCTCAAGAGGCCCTCATTCGATGACATAGCGATTACTCAAGGGTCCACGAAGCGATGGGTCAGAAGGAACTGGGGTTTGTTGTGTTTCTTGTCCTGCATGAACTCCTCCTTTCATGCTGGTTCCCAGTGAGACCGTCCATGTGCTTTGTGCATCCTGATCTCCGATCGGGGTTGTCTGAGACAGTGTGTTTCACGGGACATGGCTGGCAGCCGTCTTGGATGGCGAGAGATTGTCAAGCAAGTGGATGTTTGGGCTGGACGCCTCTGGGCGCTGGTATTCTGTATTCTGGGCTGGAAGCTCGGACAGCCAGAGGCTGCGAACTCCGCCCGTTCTGCCCGGCAGTACACATACAGTATATTGACCCCAGGCGGTCTGTATAACACATACTAGCACTTGATAGTCGTGGTGAAATGCAGGGTACCGTTCTGAGGTACCCTAACCCTTGGGAAGGTGGTAATTAGGGTCACGGTACTTGATGGGACTGTATATGACCTAGCGTGGATCCCATCGCAAGCTCATGGAATAGATCAATCGGCATCGTTATGTACAAACACCATACTGTACTATACATATGTACATAAGTCGACTTGAATCCTGTCGCGGAGTGGGTATTCATTATTATTCAATGTCTGCTGTTCGAAGTAAAAAGTGGAGCGCAACAGCTCCAACTCGTGGCCGGAGAAGCTTTCCTCTTCGGACAGCTGGATCATTAATAATCCGGCAACCGGAGCCTCACCAAGACAGGACGATTGCGTCGCTTGCGGTTCCGAGACCGCGGCTTGTTCGACGTTGGAAGCTCCGGTCTGAGCTGCGATATCGTCTGGTATCCTTTGGAAGCGCTCACTTAACCAAAGATCGCCCTTGTCGAGCACGCACCTTGGCCAAGCTCGAGTGCCGGACTGGTTAATCGTCGTGGGTCTGCTTCTGCTCGTCGCCTGCCCGACCACGCATCCCCGCGACCGTCCTACTACCTAATTTCGCCCAACCGCTCACGTCACACGATGACCGATTCTACAACATGAGGAATCCCACCGCAGACATGGAGCAAAACAACCAACAACCGGCGACGAATGGCTCAAATGAGCCCCGCCGCAGCAACAAGTCTGTTCGGGTCGCGTTTGGCCCCGGGCTAGATTCAACTATTCCCGCTCGCGAAAGATCTCCAGCTCCGCTGAGCAGCCACCATCGTTCTTTTACCACCGTTGAGCAGAAACAGCCCTCCCTGACACCACCGGCTCGCCCCACGAGCTCCGCCGGCGAGAATGCGGCAGCAGTGGTTGATACGCCGCCGCGACGGCCCTCCCCACGAAGGGCAAGAACCAGTCGTCCGGCGATGCTTAAACGGACGAGGAGTGACTATACTAATGGTCCGCATCCTGTCACTTTCGACAAGTCATCGGATGACGAAGAAGACTTTGCCATGCGACATGGGTGGCAGGAGGAGTATACCTCCAGCGAATACCTCAAGATCTTACATTCGGTAAGAATGTGCCGATCTATGGAATGTTGTATCGTGACCGGAGCTAACTTCATTTCTATTAGAACTTTTATATGTACTTCACCGAGAAACGCCACGAAACGAACGGTATCCCCAGAGACCCCGTGGGAAGCTGGCCAAGTCAGGATTGGCGCATGAAAGATCGATTGAAGACCGTGTCGGCAGCTCTGGCCATTTGCCTCAATATTGGCGTTGACCCTCCTGATGTTGTCAAGACAAACCCTACTTCAAAGCTCGAATGTTGGGTCGATCCGACCTCGACCACCGGTGGGGGCAAAACAAAATCATGGAGCAAATCGGGAAGAAGTTGCAGGAGCAGTACGAAACTCTGAGTCTCAGAACAAGGTACAAGCAATATCTCGATCCCTCGGTGGATGAAACCAAGAAATTCTGCATTTCGTTACGTCGGAATGCCAAGGATGAGCGGGTTCTTCTACATTACAACGGCCACGGAGTTCCTTTGCCAACGCAATCGGGCGAAATCTGGGTATTTAACAAGAACTATACGCAGTACATTCCTGTGCCCCTCTACGACCTTCAATCCTGGCTTGCTGGCCCAAGCCTGTTCGTGTTTGACGTGTCCCATGCGGGTAACATTGTTTCCAACTTTCATATGTTCGTGGAGAAGCACGAGAAGGAAAATGCAGAGGCCAAGAAACGGGACCCTAATGCTATCGTACAAAACTATGGCGATTGCATCCTCCTTGCAGCCTGTCAGAAAAACGAGTCGCTTCCTACAAATCCCGACCTCCCAGCCGATCTCTTTACCTGCTGTCTGACGACTCCGATTGAAATCGCTCTGCGATTCTTCATTCTTCAAAACCCACTCCGAACGGATTTCTCGATTGATGATTTCCGCGTCCCAGGCCGTCTCCAAGATCGCCGCAGTCCTCTGGGTGAACTCAATTGGATCTTCACCGCCATCACTGATACTATCGCATGGAATACACTTCCTCGCGCTCTTTTCAAAAAGCTTTTCCGCCAGGACCTTATGGTTGCGGCTCTCTTCCGAAACTTTCTGCTCAGTGAGCGCATCATGCGCACATACAAGTGCCACCCAATTTCCTCACCAGAACTTCCTGAGACTCATCATCATCCTCTCTGGAAGAGCTGGGATCTGGCTGTCGAAATGGTGCTTTCGCAATTGCCTGCTTTGATCGACCAGGAGGAAGGTCGTCGACAGTATGAATATCAGCACTCTGCCTTTTTTGCCGAGCAGCTCACTGCATTTGAGGTTTATCTCTCGTCTGGCCCTACGGAGAGAACCCCCCTGATCAACTTCCCATTGTGCTGCAGGTCCTACTCAGCCAGGCCCACCGACTGCGCGCCCTAATTTTGCTCAGCAAATTTTTGGATCTGGGCCCATGGGCTGTTCATCTTGCCCTTAGCATCGGCATCTTCCCTTACGTCGTTAAGCTTCTGCAATCAGCTGCTCAGGAGTTGAAGCCTGTCATGGTTTTCATTTGGGCAAGAATTATGGCCGTTGATCACACTGTTCAGAATGATCTTCTGAAAGACAACGGGATCCACTATTTTATCTCTATTCTCAACCCCTCCTCGCCTATTCCTGTCGGAAATGCCAGCGAGCACCGTGCTATGTGTGCATTCATCGTCTCTATTTTCTGTAAAAATTATCCGCAGGGCCAGAATGTGTGTTTGTCCGGAGAGCTTTTCGACTCGTGCCTAAGACATCTCGGAGACGTCGAGAACCCACTCCTACGCCAGTGGTCGTGTTTGTGTCTGAGCATGCTCTGGTGCGACTTCCCTGAAGCGAAGTGGATGGGGATTCGTTGTTCAGCGCCTTCCAGGCTATGTGAATTGAACTTTGATCCAGTCCCAGAAGTTCGTGCGGCAATGCTTCACGCAGTCACAACATTCCTTGGTATCCCTGACCTGACGGACCAAGTTGCACAAATCGAAGAGTCCTTGGCACTTTCTGTCCTACCTATGTCAGCTGATGGAAGTGTGCTCGTGAGAAAGGAGCTTCTGGTTTTCTTTTCAACATTCGTCAAGCGCCATCAGAACAAATTCTTGGTGGCAGCATACGAAGAATTGCAGGATGAGAAGCGATCCCTTGCTCAGCGCCTTCAGAATGAATTCGGGTCTAAGGAGGTACACAAGGGTGACCAGGGCTCTGACTCGAAGCAACGCCAACTTTCTCGCAACACTACCTTCGGGACTATTTGGAAGCAGGTCTTAATTTTTTCCGTTGACCCTCATCCCGATATTTCTCGAGATGCCGGTGTAATCGTCGACTATATTCACCTAGCCCTTCTGGACTCGCCGATGTCCAATATTGCCGACAAAATCAGGATTGAGATTCTTGATCTCACATATCGCCTTTCACAGAAACTGCAAATCCATGAGCGCTCTGAAACGAAGAAAATAGCACCTCCTTCGACGCCCCCATCCTCCACCGCTACAGCTTCAAAGCAAGAAGGCTACTTATCGCTTGGCTTCCGGCGTACAGCCAGTGTGGCTGCTTCGCTTAAAAATCTTGCCTTTGGTGGAGCATCAGGAGACCAGTCGTCAGAAAACTCACCTCCAGCTTCTCCCTCCAAGAGTCGCATGCCCATGACCCCCAGGGGCCGAGCACCTCCAGAATGGACTCGTCCTCCCGAAGTGAATGACCACGTCGCCCCAGCCACCGTGTACCACCAGGCTCCTACTCCAAGGTCCCGCGGCTTTGAACCTAAAGACCCTGAAGTCGCACCAATAATCCCACTGAAGAGCAGGTTCTTGGACTGGTCAACAGAGGTAAGTAATTTCAGCAAATTTATCAGGAAACACATACAGAAGGGCAACGAACATTTTCTCACCAATCCGAAGTATTTCCGGGAGCCCCAGATGAAACCCAACGAACCCGATGAGCCTGGTAGTTCTGATTACAATGAACGTCTCTGGAGGCGCAGCCGCAACGAGAAAATCATTACGGAAACTCAACCACTGAAGAGCAAAGCAGGGACAAGCCGGTGGGACAATTCCACTGCCCTTCTCACTAATCGAAGTCAGCCTTTAAAAATGTGTTTCCACCAATTCGAAGATCATCTTGCTGTTGCAGATGATCGTGACACCATCGCGTAAGTCCTGTGCGAGTGCGACGTCTTAGGCGAGGCTTTTTTATTTCTATTCTTTATTCTTCCTTTCTCCATCCCGATGCTAACATCATTTTCTGCAGGATTTGGGATTGGCAAACACACAAGCAGCTGAATCAGTTCTCGAACGGCAACCCAGTCGGGTCGAAAATTAACGAAGTGCGGTATATTAACGAGGACGATCAAGCCTTGCTGTTGACCGGCTCCTCCGACGGCGTGCTCAAGCTCTACCGCAACTACGAATTTGACGAACGAATCGAGGTCGTCACGGCTTTCCGGGCCTTGCCCGAGCTTCTTCCTAGCAATCGCAATGCCGGCCTTGTACTGGACTGGCAACAAGGCCAAGGGAAAGCCCTCGTTGCGGGAGATGTGAAAGTGATTCGTGTCTGGAATGCCGCAACTGAAGTTTGCACAAATGTAGGTTGATATCCCAAGCCGCGTACTATTCGAGTGTGTCTTCTAACCAGGAATCTTTCAAGGATATACCCGCACGGTCCGGTTCTTGCATCACATCTCTGACATCCGACCAAGTTGCCGGCAATATCTTCGTGGCTGGATTCGGTGATGGAGCCGTTCGAGTCTTTGATCAGCGACTGAAACCCACCACATCTATGGTCAAGGTCTGGCGTGAGCATAAGCAGTGGATCACAAATGTGCATATGCAGCGTGGTGGCCTACGTGAACTCATCTCGGGCAGCCGTAACGGCGAAATTCGACTGTGGGATCTCCGAATGGACAATCCGCTTTCTACCATATACGCGACTAAGGACACACTTCGAACGCTCAGCGTCCATGAGCATGCTCCCGTGTTCAGCATGTATGTCCGCAACTCCCGGGGGCATTCGATGAATTTTTACTAACTTAACCAGGGGCACAAATCGTCACGAAGTCAAAACTTACAACGTCGATGGCACCTATCTCTCTAGCTTTGAGCCGTACTCGAGCTTCCTTCACCACAATCGCTCTTCACCCATCGCCAGCGCGGCTTTTCACCCCCACCGCATGATGCTCGCATGCGCCGCTTTGAATGACAACCATATCAATCTCGTGTCCTGCTAGACCCGCTCAACGACCAGCTCAGCCAGACCGAGATATTCTTCTTGTATGACCTTTTTCGTGCCATATTGAATGACACACAATGCACAATTTGCAGGTTTTAAGGCGTTTTGGTCAGTGCTCCAAGCAAATTTTGCTCGATTTTTATGCCTTTTCTGCCCTCCCTTTTACACTTCTTGCTTCGGGCTTCAGTTACTCAGATCTCTCCCGAATTTCTTCTTTCTTATGTTCACTTTTCTTTCACGAGATGAAGTATTGCGTATTAATACCAATCCTTCCACACTTTGTTCTCTTGCTCTTTTCTTTCAGTACTTAATATCCCGCGTTGGTATAAGGCTTTCCAGAGAGAAAACCTATTTGAATGGACTGTTATAATAGTTTCAAATGAATGGAAACGGATTCATTCTCTAGGGCTTCTCTCTAAAGTAATATCTCTGCTCTTGTTCATATTTAGTAATCTGAAAGGATTTGTTCCTATGTTCATACCAAAAAAACTCCCTCTATGATTATTTGATAGCCCTGAAGCCATAGGTACTACCTACTACTACAATTTCACTAGTAGTGTACCGACGAGTCCTTGAAGACGTCACTACTTGCTGGGCCAGACCAAATGAGGGCTAAGTATGTCACGTGAATACACATAGTCAGGCTTTACCTTGATCCTCCACACGGATTTAATATGACATGGAAATGAAAGTTATTATTCCATGAACTAAAAATAAACTAAAAATACATTGAACACATTTCTTTCTTTCTTTTTTTTCTCTTTCGAAAATTCCAAAAAAAAAATTGCAAAAAATAACACAAAAAAATTTAAAACTAAACAACAAAAAATCAATACCCCCGTCGTCCACCCCCGCACGCAAATCGCCCCTCACTCCTCCACAACGGGAGTACTTTCGCGCTTACGAGCGGCGATAAAGTGCCTCTATATCGTATGGAGGAGTGAGTGACGGCTCAAACGGCCGGTAAATGAAGGTATGAACCGCAGAGGGGTCAGGTTCATACCGGGCGTACCGATCACCTTCGGGCTGATCGGTACAGCCGCGTGGCGGCGGGGGCGAACGTCGGTAGGGCGGACGCTGGAATATTGTTACACAAGGTTGACTAGGATTTAGTTTCTCGAGATTGACTCACCTTCTCACCCTGAACGGGCGTGGCGGGGCTGGAAGTTTCCAGCCCCGGAGACGAAACGGGCTGGCCTGGTGCACGAGCACCGGTACCAGCAGAAGCCATGTACGGCACATGGCAAGGGTGGTTCAAAAAGCCCTGCCGGATCTGGAAATTATCTCGGACCTTGGGATTATCCCAACGAGGAATTCCGTGGCGATCGAACGGAGCAGTTTGTTGGCGCGGCGGGCAACCTCCCGAAGGAGAAAGCCCTGGAGGAGCACTGACATTAGCATATTGATCACTATGGCTGGCCAGTTGTTCGAAGGCCTTGGCAAATAGTGATGTCAAGTCGTCTGGTTGCTTACCTCCCGCGAGTTTTTCTTCTCCTGTGACTTGCTGGCGTCGCGAGACTTGCTGATATGTCGTAGGCGGATACTGACTTGCCGTGGATCGCTGGTTTTCTGCAGCTTGCTGATTTCTCACAGCTCGTTCCCTTCCTACAATTCGCCATTCTTCGGTGAATTGTTCAGTTCTCGCAGAGGGTGGGTCTTCAAGAACTCTCCAGGTATCCGAGGGTCGCGTACCTCCAATGAATCGCTGGCCTCCAACAGCTTGCTGATTTCCTGTGGGTGCCGGTCGTCCCACGTCTGGCTTGTCTTCCGGGGTGTTAGCCCAGATTTCCCTCAGGTCTCGAAAGCCTCCGCCTCCCATGAGACGTCGAGCCGAACCAGGTTGCTGGTCAATGACGAATGGCCGATCTACCGTGGGTTGTTCCTGTCCGCCGTCTTGAATGTGGACTCGGCCCAGTCGCAGAAAGTCCTGTTGCGTATCCCAATACCAAGAACTGAATGGAGGATCACCAGAAATTGGAGCTTGGTTACTAGGAGAAGCTGGGTGACTCGGACCACTGTTCTGAGGAGCGGTGTTGGGAACAGTGTCAAGGCTGTAGACCGAAGACAGCTCGTTTCCAGCCCTTTCGGTAGCAGGTAGTGCCGCCGCCGGCCACATATTATCGTTGGATTCGAACCACGAATCTTCTTGCATGCGGATGATCTGGCGAAGTCTTGTTTCACCACCAAACCGGGCCGTGTTGGTCGTAGCCTGTTGAGCCATGCCGGACTGCTGAGGAATGTCATGCTGTTGAGGCATGTCGGGTTGTCGAGCTATCTCAATCTGTTGGGTATTGCCAGGCTGGAAGCTTTCTCCTTGCGGGCTCATTGGGTTCATGTTTCCAGTTCCAGCTGGTAAGCCCCGGCTGTATTGCGGGCTGACAGGATGGGGGCAATTGATGCCGAGGATTCTAGCATTGATTTCATCATACGGTTTGCTGATGACCGAGAAAGGGATCCAGCCAGAAGCAGTATGGCTGGTGCGGACAAAAAAGTCATCCTTGCCTTTGAGCGGCTGAGAGGGATCCTTCAGCTGCTCATTGGAGAGGCTCTGCTGCTCATTGGGATCTCCCACAGGCTGAGTCGGGCCAGCCATCGGGATGCTTCTTTTGGCGGAAGGGGTACTTTGTGGTCCACCATAATGGTGGGTTTCGAGCATTGATGCCTCAAGGGTGGAGCCTTGGTGAGTTGCAGAGGCCATAGGTACCTTGGAGCTACCGCCCAGCATGGTGCTGGCCTCTGGAATGTGTGTCTCTTTCAGCGGAGAGGGAACCTTTGGTGCGTTGGGGCCAGTAAATCGCGCAGCTCCGCTCGGCTTAGTGCTCGCCGGTTCCTTTGCATAGCTTCGGGACACAGAAGAACTCTCAATGTTGGATTGTCTAGGTGTTGGCGTCACCTGAGAGGAAGCCTGCTGCGGCTTTGATGCGTCTTCGTTTCCCATCAAAGGTAGCTTCTTGGCAGAAGCAGGCTGGAAGGGCGCCACTGTAGGCACCAAAGGACGAGACGACCGAGTAGTCGAAGGCGAAGTTGTTGCCGAGGTTGTTGATTTGGATTTCTGAGGAGTTTCTACCTCGGATATCTGAGAGGCTGTGCTCTCAGCTGTCGCGGCCGTGCCATGTTGAGGGATTGTTCCAATGGGCGCTTGAGTTTGATATTGATAGTCCATTGGGCCCTGCTGGGGCATGTAGTTCGGGGCGAAGCGGTTGAAACCCGGAGGAGGAGTTCCCTGATACTGGGGGGCGTGGTACGTCGAACAAGGGTCGGTGACGGGGTGCAACACGGGGACTCCCGGGGGGAAGTAAAAGGTACGGTTGTCATAACCGGGGTGGCTCGGCACAGGTTGCGCATACTGTCCCCGGTAAGCGAAAGGATGAGGAGGATAAGGATTGGGGGAGAAAGATGGGAGTTGGGGATATCCGAAGGCTGGCTGGTGGTGAGGGCCGCCCAGGAAGCCCGCGGGAGCTGTCGGGGCATTCAGAAAACCCGTTGAGGCTTGCACCGGAGCCGTGGGAACATTGTGGACCGGGCGATGGGTTGTCGGCAGCAGCTGGGGTTGGCTGCCAGTGCTCCGGCTGGACAGTGCAGGCGAGTTGCGAGCGGGACTGGATGATGCTTTCTTATCCATGTTGGATGAGATAGCAGTAAACACAGTTGGGATAGCAATGAAAGAAGATGAATCGTAACGAAAACGACGAGGGAAGGATGAAAATCGAAAAATGGGCGAGGAGAGGAGGAAGAGGAGAGAATCGAAGAGGAGAAATGTGTGAATAAATAGACGAGGGGAGACGGAACTTCCCAGAGTTGCAGGCTGGTGAGGCAGGTGCGGTCGTCGTCGTCGTCGCCAGGCAGGTGCGGCGGCCCTCGCGCCTTCCCTTCTGACATGACAGCAGGCTCTCGTGCCGGAAGTTCCCATTGGAAATGATAGTAGGCCCCTCGACTCGCAGACTGGTCCTGTGGATGAATGTCCGCATCTTATATCAAAAATTTCCTGTACTTACTACTTGTATTCCTGCACCGTAATGGAACAATGGCGGGTTCGACAGATTCAGTGGGTTCTCAATGCTTGGGGCCAAGGCGTTACGAAACGCAGCGTGCAAGTATGGTTATGTCCGGCGAGTGGTCAACGGTAACTAGATGGAATACTATGAAGCACTCATCCAGGTTTCGCCTGAACCTGAAAAGATACTGCTCCTCTGCTCAACGTTACGATGCATGAGCGGCCTTGGGAGCTCTTGCCTGATCCTCGAGACCTCTTGAGACGCTGATGCGAGGCGTGATGTCTTTCTTGTCATTTCAAAGTGTTCATGCTGGAAAAGACACGCGTTAAATTGCAGTTGATCTTGTATAACGCCATTAGCATTGCCTAGCATGTTGTTTTATATAATGACACAAGGATATCCTCATGGAGGAAGCGACGCTCTTCGTCCCAAGCCCCTTGGACTTCAACCCCATGGGTTGGCATACTGCGGATGTTTAGCATCATCCAGAAATATAATTCTAGAATACGATCTAGGGTAGGGGCTTAGCTACACACCTTCAAGTTCTTCGGAGAATCCCAGGCGGTGTCTCCTTTCTTGGACACCGTCAAGGTAGAAAACTACTAGTAGTAAGTTGGAATGGGAGAAGGAACTCGGTCTATGACTTCATTGGGCACCCGTGATCGAATTGAAAACAAAGAGGCGACCCCGAAAAACAGCGCTGGCTAGAGGGCATGATAAAATGGGTCTGAATAAAGGTACTCGTGCTCATAGGAACCTTCATCTGACAAACAATAGAGGTGTCAAACGGTTGACCCGCGGTGTACCCGGCCGCCTCAACAGGGTCACGGGTGCTTGCAATCGCCTAGCACTCCCTAGCTGTTCCCGCCGAACGCCCTATAAATCATTTCGGAATCAAACCATCGCTAATGTAGCATGCGTGAAAAGAACTGGGGAGTAAGTGCCACTCTGTGGTTGGAAAAAGAGGCAAAGAAGAGGAATGGGGGATGGGGAAAAAAAATAGACAGGAAATCAGTGGCGTGGTTAGCGGTTCCGGTCCGCACGAGCTTGGTGCCAAATAGTATCGCCGCTCAGAGCGGAGAAGCTAAGCGAAGCTAGATTCCTCCAGCTTGATTGCGGTGCAGAATGCGCGTGGCCGTCAAGGCCTGCGTTCTGCTCGGTGTCCGGGTCATTATCATCGTGAACGCTGTCAATGAGAAGTGGAGCGGAAGATGATTCCGATTGTGGATTTGACTCCTGGGGATGACGGCGCGCGATCTCTTCGCCTTGTTCGCGGGCTGCATCGCCCTGCGGATGAGCCATGGAGCGAACCACATCCCCTTTGCAGATTGGACAGGTTCGCCGTCGGGTTGTAAGCCAAGGAGTACTAGAATAATGTTAACTATACGGACCAGTATGGCCACGGCCGGAGTGTAACTCACATGCATTCCGCGTGGAATTCATGGCCGCAAGGCAAACTCATAACTCGACTTTGTCCATCGATATACTCCTCGAGACAAACGACGCATTCAACCTGCCTCCCAGTGTATTTGCGACGCCATAAAGTCGATCCCGATTGGACTGCAACGAATTTTTCGTCCTTCGGAATCGTCGATGAGTCCACGATCATGCCAGCGATAGTCTGAGAACGCGATCGAGTGGGGCGAGAGGTACCGGATCTGTTATCATCGCCAAGTAGTGGAGACGCTGGCGTCACAGGACCCGAACTAGTATGCCGCAGAGAGCTCGAGCTAGACGAAGACGAGACACTTGCAATCGTGTGATATGTTCGAACGGGAAGGCGCTCAACGACCGACTTGGGAGCACGCCAACGACGGCGCCTGATTCGGGACCGCAGCAACAACAAAGCGTAGACAACGGTTAACGTCAGGAGCGGGCTAATCACTAGAACCAAAAGAGTATCGAAAAATGGACTGGTTGACATGCTGGTAGGCGTCAAGGTCACCCAAAGACCATCATGCTCTGAGAGCAGGGGAGTCACGGGGCTCGACGATTGGGCCATGTTTTGGATCTTCTGGTAAGCGGGGGGATTCTGGGTTGATGGAGGTGAAGATGGCTGAGCTGCTTGCTTCGAATCTTCATCATCATAACCCCAACCGAAGTGGTTCGAAAACCAACCCTTTCCGGGTTTAGTGAACCCATCTTTCGCGGAATTGGTAACCCTCTCTGACTCTTCCAAACTGGTGTCACGGACATTACCAGTGGACTTATCAATGCTCTGGTATTCGCCACTACCAGGCGTAATACTTCCGCCGCGCAGAATATTACCCCCCGTGGCCATTTCAGTCTCGGGCAAAGTCATCTTCTGGTTGTCCTTGCCGCTTGAAGAAGTGCTGGGCGTCGGAAGGGCGCTTCCGCGTGGTGGCATCAGATCAGGATCTCTCCAGTCCTGAACGCCAATGACAAAGTCGTCCCCACTGGTATTTTCGGAGGGTAGACCAGATTGGGCATTTGCTGGAGTGTCATCAACTTTGCCCCGATAACGGTAATGTTCCCTGGAGTTCTTTGAAGAATCCTTTCGAGAATTTGCTTTATCCCATGAATTTAGCATCATCCAGTCGATGTTGCCACTGCTGGGTGGACGACGACTGTCTCCCACATTGTTCGGCCCTCCGTGTTCACTGCATAGGCCGAGGAGAGAGCCAAGCGTGCGGAAGAAACCGCCACGGGATTTTGTATCGGAAATTGGTCGTTCATCAGTTGTGGAAAGACTCGTAGGGGTAGGCGTGGCCGTGGCCACTGCAATCGCTGTCGATGTCGTTTTGGGAGCATCGGCGTTAGCTTGGCCAGCCAGTTTCGCCTGTAGTGATTTCAAAGCATCTCCAAATTGTCGGTTTGCGCCGGGATGAGCTGGCATCAATGATGAAAGAAGGTGGGCGGTTGTATGGGAGGTAAACATGGCCGGAATGGAAACGTTGGATGTATCACCCCGCGCATACATGGTCACCAAGTTACCACCGCGGGTATCGTCACCCACAATCACAGCAATAGCACCTCGGCGCTGGGCCCACTTGACTTTCTCTAGGAACCCACAGCCACCTCGACTCAGCAATACAACATTTCCCTGAATCTCGGCAGTTTCTTGCAACGATTGGATGTCGGCATGCGTGGTTTGCTTGGCTTGTATGTAGTCACCATGCTTCTGGGCCGCCCTCGCGTCTGATACACCGGACTCTGGCAACGGGTGGTGCAAATGATCATCAGTTCCGTCATTCGAAGAGGGGAACGCGCCTTCGTGTCGATCATTTTGCCGGGCGGGTTCAGCCTGCGATGGCAACCGGGGTTGATTTTGTGGAACAGCGACATCTTCCACTGTACCACTTCCGGGTCTTCCGGGCTTCTGTTCTGATCCCTTGGGAAGTGAATCCTGATTCTTGTGTCCAGAGCCCTCGCCCCAGCCTGGGATGTCAGAGCAACCGAGCTCCCCCTCCGCGCCAGCTGCGAGACCTCCCTCTCCAAAGCCACTTCCTACCCACAGCTGGCCACTCAAGCCTTTGCCTGGTAGCAGGGGACCGAATGCCGCCGGGCGGGCGAGGAAGAAGGTCGAATTGTCATCGGTGAGGCTAATAATGGCTGATGGAGGGAACAGCGAAGTCGGAATGTTGAAGGAAAATAGGGCATGTAACCCAGACGTCCGGCCAGCGAGCGTATTGGGGGTTGCGACAGTCGGCGATGAGAGCGCGGAAAAGAGGGTGAGGAAAATGGGGAAGAAGATTAGGCAGAAGAGTCCCAGAAGGAGACGTGGTGGCCGCATGTCTGGCAACGGATGAGTCGAAAAAAGAAAAGCCGTATCGCTCGCAAGAAAAATGACAGAAATAGGTAGACGTTCGACGGATCCCTCTGAGGGGATTGCCAGAAATTCTCGTTGTATGACAACGGCTGATGGACCAAACGGTCTACCAATCCAACGGTTGGCGGCTAGCTCAGGTGGCCACTCATCGAGAGAAATGAACAGCACCGCTGATCAAAACAAATCGACAGCGACGACCAGCACCCAAGAAACTGAAAGGGAGTACTTCAAGGGGATGCGGAAGGAGATGATGAAGTCAGTCGGAGTGGAGAAGGGGAGGTGAGCTGATTGATTACATAACACCATGTGACGGCATCGTGGGTCGGGTGTTGGATGCCTGAGGCTTCCATGCCAAAATGTCTTGTTTCAGTTGTCCTGTTGTCGCATCGACATCGCAACACCAGGGTCAGACGAGGCAGGAAATGGCAGGATTACCAAATGACGTATGGAAAGTCAATATCACGTACGGGCCAGAGAGGTCAAAAATAATTCCTGGATCCCAGCACCTATCTACATGGGGAAATATAAATCAATATGAGAACAACTCTACCTCAAGACATCGGCCATTTTGTATCGTGAAAATCCTCCTAGACCGACTCCGCCAGTCCACGCTCGTTTATTGAGTCCGCATGGTCATTAACTCTCAATCAAATCATCGAGCATACCCTCAGCCACCCCTATCGTCTTCGCTACTCATTAGTATGCACCAAACCATGTGACTAAGGTACCTGGACGAGAGACATCAAATCACGCCGACGGAGCAAGACCCTTGGGGTCACATGCGGTGCCGATCGTGGCATCATGTGGCCAGGCTGCCACCTTCGCGAAATAATAATCCCATCGAGAATCGCACATCGACACAAGCAGCGATCAAGTGGAAACTTGGCGTTCCCAGTTGACCCACCCAAGCCCCATCGCAGGCCTGGCGGGTCCGCGGGTGGCATGACGTACTCGATTCGCTCGACACGCTTGCTCTGCCCCGCCCATCCGACAGCAGCGTGGAACGTCGTTCTAGAAGGAATGGATCAAGCTAATCCCCGAAGCCTACTGAATATTTCGCGAGCCCTCTCGATAGCGAAGATCGACTATATTATTGGCACCTACGACAGTGTCCTCGGAGAGGCTGAGAGTCACGGACGATAGATTATACAGTCGAGCTGCAGCAAGAATTGATACCGACAATGTGAACTAGTGTACGAGCAGATGCACGATACTCCCTACCCATGGAAGCACCGTGGCAGTAGACCCCTGGTTGTTCTTTTGAAGCTGGTCTCACCACACGCTTTGGAGTGGAGATAAATCCAAAAGCCGCGTCCAGTGGCGGAACTTCTCCGGTCTATCTTGCCACGACGCCTGATGACATGGATGGCACATCTGCTCTTGCAACAAACAGCCATCTTACATTCCTGGATATGCCACTGGCACGTCATTGTTCTTTCACGAAGGAGGAAAAGCCCTTAACCTAAGTGGTCTCTACTCTCTTTGCTACCCCACGATATGGCGTCACTGGATCCTCTGTGCAGTGATCCAGCAATCGAACAGGGCGGGCTGACGTTGGTCTCTCAAGGCATAAATAAGCCCTTGGCCTTCGGGTTAGCCCCATCTAGAGATGTACTTTATAACTTTGACCATTTTCGATACTGCTTCAATACCATCTTATTGATCTTATTCACGTCAAACTATCCACCATGTCAAATTTGATGCACAAAGTCAAGGACGCCGTCACGGGCCATCACGAGAATAAAGCCTCATACCACGACTCATCCAAGATGCCAGGCAATATAGATGGTGAGCTCGCTGCCTGGTGTATCTGATATGACTAGTGACTCATTCCCCATACCATAGATACTCGTGACACCTACGGATCGTCATCTAAAAACGAGGGTTACAAACAGGATAACTACAACTCATCCACCATGAAGTCTGATACTCGCGATACCTACGGCTCCAATATTTACGGAGATAATACCCATCACAAGACCAAAGTGGACAATTTCGACAATACTGGCAATGCCTATGGCTCGAGCGCCCTCGGTACAGCTGATTACCCGGGGTCTACTGGGGACTATGGCTCTGGTGAATACCGCACCGATGCTCGTACCAACAAGACGGGCATAATGAGTGATACCTACGGCACCAATACAATGGGCACCACGGGAAATCATGGCTTCAGTAGCTATAGCACTGGTACTCATGGTGATTCCAGAATGGCTGATACCACGAAAGGTGAGCACAAGTAAACTCCTCATCTTAGGGTATTGATGAGGCTGATTGATGCAACTAGACCCCAGCAACGTTCACCGTTCTGTAAACATGGGAATCACCGGTACCACGGACAAATGTGGCTCCAGTGCCTACCGCGACTCTGCTGGGAGATCTACGTCGAACAAATTATCTGACGGTTACGATTCCACCGCTCGTACTGGAAACACCTCTAGCTCTAACACCTATAATTCAAGCACTGCTGGAGGCTATGGCTCCTTGAATGCTGGTCATCGCGATTCCAAGATGGGTGATTACGGTAAGAGTTTTCAATTTTCGACTTGATACATAATGGCTAATCTAAATGAAGACCACCGCGGTGGCTATGAAAAAGCTACTAGCGCCAACGGGTCTCCTACTGGCAGCTCTGGCATATACACCTCTGACTATGGCAACGTCAGCAGCACAGCTAGGAACACAGCCGGTATGACCGGTATGAAAGATAATGCCAATCTCGGTGGCAGCCACGGCTACAACACCCACGGCAACACCAACCAGGTAGCATCCCGTGGTGAATCAGAGTACAACAGCCGTGTTAATCAGGAAGGGTTTGGCGGTTTCTCCGCCGGCGGAAGCAGCTACGCATCTCAAGAACCGGTCAACAGGCGATCGTCCAGGTCACACAGCTCTAAGCTGCTTAATAAGCTGGATCCACGAGTGAAGAGCTCTGACTATGAAGCTTCCCAGCAGCGCGGCTGGTAGATGTTCTGGGTCTATCTGATTCCATGATTAACGTGTACTTGTAATCTGTATCTGTACTTCATATAGTAGAATTGAACTGAATTGGTGTTGGGGTGGAAGAAGATTACACATAACGTTTTGAGGTGCCGTTACCGAAAAGAGTGAGGTGCCCCGACAAATACCCCTGATCAGCTCAGGTCGGTCAGGGCCGTGCTCAATTCTACTCAGTGAGCAAAAGCGGCGACGGGGTGAGCACTAGAACGGAAGGAGACCGCCAAGAGTTGCCAGACATTATCCAGTACATATGTATTCTCCTTATATCGTCCTACCCGTCGCATTGACCTTGACATCTCTCAATGTATATCCTTCGGCCTCCGCCACTTTCCATTCCATCTTCACCAGCTTTTCAATTTCCTGATTCCGTGGAACGAAACTCACGGAGAAGGGCTTGGGGACGGTCATCGAGCCAGGCTCATACGCGTTATGCGATAAATCCACCTTTCCGGGCGCCAGGACTTGAAATGCCCATAATATCTTAGAGATTGTGATAAAAAGACTATTCTCTGCCAGGTGCATACCGGGGCAAATGCGTCGGCCAGCCCCAAAATCCCAATGGTCACGTTCACGAGGATTTGCCGATGCGGCATATACGCCAGCTCTGTGTGGATGGCCAAGGTATCTTTCCGGTTTGAAGATTTCCGCCTCTGGGAATATGCTTGGATCATAATGAATAGGGTATTGCTGGATGGCGATGATGCAATTTTTGGGGATTGTATATCCCTTATAATTGACATCAGCGGTGGCGTAATGTGGTATACCTGTGCTGGTGAGAGGGCGGATCCGAAGAGTCTCCTTGACAATAGCACGGATGTAGGGAAGCTGGACCATGTCACGGAAAGTAGGTGAACGAGTATTGCCTACTACATTACCAAGTTCTTCGTGCGCACGACGCTGAACATCCGGATAGCCCGAGAGATAGAGCATGCAACTGTTGACTGCCGCAGAGGTGGATTCCGCGCCAGCTTCTATTAAGGCTGATCATGGTGAGTTAGCTCTGTTTCATGTATAATCGCTTGCTTGTACAAAGAAACATACACCCTGCTAGGAATGCCATTTGAATTTCTGTAATCCCCATATCGTGATATTCAGACTCGATGAATTGCTTCACAAAACACTCAGGTGCCTCTCCCTTTTCCATCTGATTTCGTAGACGGGACCAAAAGCCCATCCAAATTGACTCCTGTCGAGCTAGCATCGGTTGAAGAGATTTGCGCCACCATTGCAATCGGACTGGAAGAAGCTCGGCCAACCCAGGTACGCCGTCGGCGATGTAGCGTCCCAGGGTAGATACGTAGGAAAAGTCTTTCACAATTTGGTAAATTCCACGTACATCATCGCATTCCTACAGAAATAACTTAGCATTGTTCCATACGTACGGGTGCTTCGACATACCCATTGCGGTATTCTCCTACCATACGTCGATGTCATCAGCACTGACACAGTATATCGGCGTATATGCATATAAAAAACTCAGTGCTTTTGGCATTGTCTGTCAATAAATCGTGCAGCAATTGCTTTGATTCAAATTCCTGTAAAGGCTGAAATGTGTCCGACATTCGCGGAGTCAATAGCTTATGGCTGACTGTCCGTAGGCGTCGCCATTCAGTGCCGTACGGCATAAAAAGAAACCGCATTCCTCCAGACAAGGCATCGAATACAACAGGCATCCGTGGCCGCGACGACGTTGTGGCGGACTGCTTGTCAAGTATTTCCTTTACTGCCTCGGGGGAGTTGAGCATATACCAATCCATCAAGCCCAGACGGACACGATATATCTCGCCATATTGTCGAGCCCATTTAAGGAATTGGCGATGCGGCTGTGAGGAGAGTTGGAAAGTGTTTCCGATCAGAGGCAGGCCTGGAGGGGAAGGGACAGTGCGTTTTAAATTTAGAACATTTTTGAATGTATAGATGGTAGACGAGTATGGAAATGACAGTATGGAAATGACCAAAATAATGAGAAATGCGATGATGGACCCTCGTAGAGTATTCATCGACCATTGGAAAACGAGAGCATTTGAGAGTCTGTGAATATTGATTTCACTACGTCTGCGACATGACGATTTTGCTTCGCAGCTTCGCATAGACGATGCCGGGTGGCCCACTCCGGTTTTTTCGTTTCTTTTTTCGTCTTCCGTTTCGACGCTACTTTAGGGTTTAAAAAAGGAAATTGCATAGTTCAACCTATCGTAGGCTCAGGGAACTTAGTGTTGCCCCAAATCGCAACTCAGGCAAATACACGATGGCATTAAGGAGGAGCTGTTCGACGGGGCCGAGCCTACCGAATCACATTATCTCAGAACTCATAAGCGGGTACTCCGTACGATGGAGGACGGAATTTGCCTTCGTGATAGGTCTAGGTGGAATCCCACGTGATAGGTCTAGGTGGATGGGAGACCACCTGGCTATCTTGCAGATCGAACTATTATTGATTGAACTATTTGATCGAACCAGCGCACACCTCCTCACGACCCACCCGCCGATCTCTGGTTCCTTCACCGCTTCATTGCAAACTGCTCAGGTGACCTCGTGGAACAACGCGTTTGGATTCTAAATATGTAGTACGGAGTATGAAGTAACTAACGTTAATCTATGGAGTACGGAGTAACCTTGTTTGAGATACAGAACATTTTGCAAACCGTCAGATTCATCAGGTCCAATCACTAGAGCTGGATTCATGGGAGGCGCGGGCACTGACCTCGTGAAAGTCGCTCTGCCAAGATGGATCTCCAGCGCAGAAAACTCAATCGATTCGATCTAATAGTCACCCCTTAATTTTGCAGTGGGACATCTTCAAGTTCCTCAGTTGCCATGCCATAGTAACGAATTTTCATCTTTTCCAAAGACGCACTGGAATAACCACAAAGATACGAAGTAGAACACAATCGCAGTCGAAGCCTCGCAAGGCGACGGGCTTGGTTCAACTTGAAGCTGCTTAAGAGTACGCAAGCGGATAGGGGACTCGTAGCCTAGGCATTGCCTAGCCTAGTTGCTGGGGATTAAGATCGGCGCTCAGGGTGGAATTCATGAACACCTCCTGCCACCTGTTTGTGGGGCGCATAGACTGGCTGGCTGTCTGGAGACAGGAATTTGGAAACTCGCCTAATAGCCTCGGGAATCATCTATCGGTACCCTCGATCTTGTTCATTTGGCCACAGGCCTTCATCTATCGCTTGACGGTCCTATCTTCTGCCAGCTGTTTTTTCCTAGCCCAATCCGATCATTACTACGATGCCGGCCTTCCCTATCCTGCCTACTATTTTGAGCATAGCACTCTTGTTTATCCGAGTGACCGCTAAACCAGCGACATCTGTTCTGCTCCAACATAGGGAAGACACCATTATCAAGCAATGTAGCCTCCCTGGTCCAGGCGAGGATTTTCATACGGCTTCCGCTGCGGAAGTGAATTTGGAACCGGACGCTGTCAAAGAGGCGATTGAGTACGCCTCCACTGCTGGGCGTTTGTCAATCCAAATCTTTCGCCATAACTGTAAAGTTGCGGAGGGGCCATTAGACCCCCTTACAGACGGGATCGCGAACAATGTGTTTAGTGTCACCAAGTCTGTGATTGCTATGATTGCTGGATTGGCATACGACCGGAATTTGCTTGCGCTCGACGATCCAATTGGCAAATATCTTCCCAGGGAACCAGGATGGGGAGATGAAGCTCACCGCGCAATCACTGTCGAACAGCTCCTTACTCAGACCTCTGGTCTCGATGAAGCAGTATTCTCTGAAATCGCTACTAGCGGACTCGATGCTAGTGCTCCTCAAGAGGCGTTAGCTCAACCTATCATATACCCACCTGGAACTAAGTTTGGCTACAGCCAAAGGGTACCCGACTTGATGAGCTTCGTCATACAGCAAGCTGTGGGAGAAGACCTTCAAACCTTTGCGCAAAAGCATTTGTTCGATCCAATTGGCATAGCCAACGACACATTTTTCTGGCTTCGAGATCGATCTGGCAACACATATGGCTTTGCTTCCCTGTATATTCCGCCCTCTCAGCTGGCAAAACTTGGCCTGGTTATGCAGAATGATGGCTCCTGGAACGGCCAGCAAGTCATCTCCTCAGATTGGGTCTCCAAGGTATCGCAGTCGAGCCATCTGAATCCTTGCTACGGCTATTCCTTCTGGACAAACCGAGCGGAGCCATGTATAGGTGCGAACCTCCAGACATACGATCGTCATTTTATACCTACTGCACCTGATGATCTCTATGCTATGGCTGGTGCGCTGCTGCAAAACAATTTTATGATTCCCAGCCTTGACATGACCGTCACTTGGACCGGTATTATAGGCGATTCGGAGCCAAATCTCTCTGCTCTTCTCGGTGCCGCTCCGGGGGGGATCGATTCTATACGTTTTTTCGCATTTTGATGCGTGGTGTTAAGGATGCAGATGTTCCAGACCCAGGGCCATTCAAGGTTGATCCACTGGATTTGGACATCAGTCCAGACAACCATCTCGGTGCGACTGTCCTTCTCAATGATCTCGTTTCGAGTCCTGAATGCAATATCCTCTTTTGTAATGGTCGAATTCCTAGTGATGGTGTTATGGAGAATCTTCGGAAGTTATTGAATGTGGTTATGGGATCGTTGAAAAACTCTTTGCCGTAATAATAAGTATGCTATCTGCAAAGTTTCATCCACTTTAGCTACGTTAACTGAATCAACAAGAGTTGTAATAACTGGACCTGTGAATTCCTGTTCGGATTAGTTCTGCCTTTCCCGGTTTAGCGCCCTGCTACACCGTCACGTAACCTCTGCCTTGCCTGAACATAATGTCAGGAAAAGGAATTGATGTACTGGCTAGCAGTGAAGATGTCTAATAGAATCAGATTGTTGATTGAAGATCTTAAGATCGGTTGAGCGATCTCAGGGGTCCGTATTTGAACTAGTGCGTGGTCAGCACACGCAGGTGGTCCGGTCTTTGGCCGCTTTTATCAATATTCGTCTGCCCTGCCAGAAGCTTCCTCCTACCGTCGAATCTTCGCTGAATCCATGTCTTACCACACTACCACCATTCGCTCCCCTGAGACAATATATTCGACGGTTGGTTATTACAGCGCAAGACTCGCCGGCCATTATTTTGGCTTTTTTGGGTGATCAGTGGAAGACCGGCGTGGGCTTCATTCTTGCAGAAGAGCGAGTGAGTTATCTCTTTATGGCCAAATATAGCGGGTGGGTCACACGAAGACAGCCTCCTATGTCCAGCCTGATGAACAAACGCCATTTTTACGTCCACTGTGGGACCCTTCCGAGCACGAGATCCAAGCAACTGAAGTGCATTGGGGTGAATGGCTGGCAATGGAAGATTGAATGGTGGGCGAGCGAAGTCCGTGGTAGGTGATAGGATGGCTACAATGCCAATCCAAGATACTTCGTTCAAAAAGAACTCCCAGCTTTTGTAATATTGAGTTAGGCGACCATGCAGATAATAATACGGAACAGCATGCTAGATCTAATAATTTTTCAAACAGAAACAATATCTCAAGCGCCAAAGCGAACTTGCGGTAAATTCATAAATTGCCATACTAATAGCTTCACAGATTCTGACAAAATACATCCGCTTACTGCCCTAACATCTGATACCAGTTTCGAGTTTACCCAACCGATATTGTAGTGATGGGTGTCACGGGCCAGTGCCCGATATTGGTCACGTGTGCCACGAGACCTTAGCATATTTCCATAGCGAACGCGCGCGGGAAGATCTTCTTCTTCTTCAAGCTTTTTGTACACAGTTCGTGGCCTAGCTAGATTGAATTTAAGTCTTGCTTCATCTCTTCACAATGGGAGCGAAAAGTGTTGGGCTGGCCCTATGAAAAGGTGACTTAGTCCCCATGAAAAACACGTCTACTAATAGGGAGCGTGTAAGGTGGTAGGCCCAGGGGAAGTAAAGTGGATTCGTAGGTGCCAGCCGACCTGTCGGGGATATGCCCCACCCTGGCCGACTAAGCTAAGCTATCCTAACGTAATCCACTAACTACCGAGCGGTGGGAATTGTTAGGGACACCGCAATTAACGTAATCCACAACCGAGTCGGCAGTTTTCCCTAGGACCACCATCAAGCACTATTCAACGCGACTTTATTCCACCACCACTATTCAGAATGCCTCTATCTCAAGAAAACCGAATGCAAATGGCCATACACGCGTACAAAAGCAAGCAAATCCAATATCAATCAAAAGCTGCTGGAGTATTTGGCGTACCAAGGTCAACCCTTCAAGATCGGCTCAAGGGAATGAAATCACGGTCGGAAACGCGTGCCAATTGCCATAAATTAACAGCTCATGAAGAAGAAGTCTTGATCAAGCACCTGCTAGACGCAGATAAACGAGGCTTATCGATTCGACCTGAGTTTCTGCGTGGAATGGCGCAGATCTTACTTCGTGAGCGTACCCAGGATCCTAACACAACCATTGGTGTTAACTGGGCATACAACTTTGTTAAACGCCATCCAGCGCTACGTACACGATATAATCGGAGGATTACATGCCAGCGTGCAAAGCAGGAGAATCCGATGGTTATAAAACAGTGGTTTGAGACTGTGCACGAGGCTATTCAGGAACATGGTATCCATGAGGATGACATCTGGAATTTTGACGAAACTGGCTTTGCAATGGGACTCTGTTCAACCTCCAAGGTCATCACTGCGGTGGAGCGTAGTGAAAGACCTCGAAGAGTTATCCAGGGGAATCGAGAATGGGTCACAATTATTGAATGCGTGAGCTCGAAAGGGATCCCTATACCCCCGTGGATCATCTTGAAAGCAAAAGAACACCAGGCTGCTTGGTATCAAGAATCTGCTCTCTTCAATAAGGGCTACGCTATCGCAAGAAGCCAGAATGGATGGACGACAGATGAGATTGGCCTTCGCTGGCTAAAAGAGATGTTTGAACCACAATCAAAACATCATTTAACTGGTGCGAAGAGATTGCTTATTCTTGATGGCCATTCTAGTCATCTGACTGCAGAATTTGATGATTTTTGCAAAGAGAATGCAATAATCTGCCTCTGCATGCCTCCCCATACTTCTCATCTTCTTCAACCACTGGATGTTGGTGTTTTTGGGCCGCTTAAACGCGCGTACGGGAAATTGACTGAGGAGATGATGGCTGCCGGCAATAACCATATTGATAAGGAAGACTTCCTCCACCTATATCCATCCGCGCGCGAGAGGGTCTTTACTCGAGGGAATATATGCAATGGCTTTGCAGGTGCTGGTCTTAAGCCACTTGATAAAGACCGAGTTCTTGAAAAGATTACTTTCCAGCTTCGTACGCCAACACCACCTCTTGTTGAAGTTGAAAGTTCAATCTCCTCTGCTTTTCAAACACCTCAGAATCCTCGCCAGCTTGATCATAAGATCCGCAGAATGCAGAGAAGCATTCAAAAAAGGAAACTTTCTAGCAGTCCGATGTCTCATATTCAACATCTTGAGAGGGCCGCGCAGATGGCAATGAATATGAACCTACTTCTTCAACAAGAAATCAAGGTTCTACGGGCTGAGAATGAGCGGAAAATGAAAAAGAAGGCAAGGAGGAGTGCTACTCTAGGTAATGACCTTATTTTATTTGTACAGGAAGGTCAAAATCGTCTCCAGCAGCTTGATACGCATGTTGAGGAGCAGGCATCCAGGCCTCGCCAGCGAGCTCCAGCACGCTGCAGTAGTTGCGGGACTGTTGGACATACCATAAGAAGTTGTCCTAATAAGTAGCTATTTATTTTATCTTTTATATAGTCTAATTTAAAGACGTTAGTGGTTGAAATGCTGGAATATTCTAGTGATGACGGAGAAAGTGCCGACTCGGTTGTGGATTACGTTAATTGCGGTGTCCCTAGTTAACAACAATTTTGCGGTGTCCCTAACAATTCCCCCGAGCGGTCAACTAACGTAATCCACAAGCGAGCCGCGAATACAACCGAACCGCGAATTTTTACCACGCATATGCAATTTGAAGCTTCTTCAACCACGAAAAGATAATCAAACTGGACTATCTAAACGACAAATGAATAGCTATTTATTAGGACAACTCCTAATAGTATGTCCAATAGTCGCGCAGCCACTGCAGCGTTGTGGAGCTCGCTTGCGAGGCCTTGGTGTAGGCTCATCAACCTGCTCGTTAAGCTGCATATCAAGCTGCTGGATCCGATTCTGACCTTCCTGTATAAACAAAACAAGATCATCACCTAGAATAGCACGCTTCCTTGCCTTTTTCTTTATTTTCCGCTCATTCTCGGCCCGTAGAACCTTAATTTCCTGTTGAAGAAGAAGGTTCGTGTTCATTGCCATCTGTGCAGCTTTTTCAAGATGTTGAATATGAGATATTGGACTGCTAGAAGGCTTTCTTTTTTGAAGGCTTCTCTGTAGACTGCGGACCTTGTGATCAAGTTGGCGAGGATTCTGAGGTGTTTGAAAAGCAGAGGAGATTGAGCTTTCGACTTCAACAAGAGGTGGCGTTGGTGTGCGAAGTTGGAAAGTAATCTTTTCAAGGACTCGCTCTTCATCAAGTGGCTTAAGTCCTGCACCCCTGAAGCCGCTGCATATATTCTCCCTAGTGAACACCTTTTCGCGAGCAGGTGGATAGAGAGATAAGAAATCCTCCTTATCAATATGATTGTTGCCAGCAATCATCATCCCTTCCACTAGTTTTCCATATGCGCGCTTTAGTGGGCCAAACACACCAACATCAAGCGGTTGTAAAAGATGAGAGGTATGAGGAGGCATACAGAGACAGATAATTGCATTCTCTTTGCAGAAAGCATCAAATTCTGCAGTCTGGTGGCTAGAATGGCCATCAAGAATAAGCAACCGCTTTGCACCAGTTGAATGGTGTTTAGAATGTGGTTCAAACATCTCTTTTAGCCAGTGAAGGCCTATTTCATCTGTTGTCCAGCCATTCTGACTTCTTGCAATAGCATAGCCCTTATTAAAAAGAGCAGATTCTTGATACCAAGCAGCTTGTTGAGATCCTGCTTTTAGGATAATCCATGGGGGGATATAAGCCCCCTTTGAGCTCACACATTCAATGATTGTGACCCATTCACGATTTCCCTGAATAACTCTCCGAGGTCTTTCACTACGCTCCACTGCAGTGATGACCTTAGAGGTTGAGCAGAGTCCCATTGCAAAGCCAGTTTCATCAAAGTTCCAGATATCATCCTCATGGATGCCATGTTCTTGAATAGCTTCGCGTACGGTCGCAAACCACTGCTTTATGACCTTTGGATCCTCCTGCTTTGCACGTTGGTATGTTATGCGCCGGTTATATCGTGTACGCAGCGCTGGGTTGCGTTTGACAAAATTATATGCCCAGTTGACACCAATAGAGGCAGTAGAATCCTGTGTACGCTCACGAAGCAAAATCTGCGCCATTCCACGCAGAAACTCTTGTCGAATTGAAAAGCCCCGTTTATCTGCATCTAGCAGTCTCTTGGTAAGGACTTCTTCTTCAAGAGCTGTTAATTTATGGCCGTTGGCGCGTGTTTCCGACCGTGGGTTGATGCCAGCAAGCCGCTCGCGAAGGGTGGTTTCAGGTATGCCAAATATCTCAGCAGCTTTCAATCTTGATTTGACTTCTTGCTTTTTATATGCAGAAATAGCCATCTGCATGCGAGCTTCTTTAGATAGAGGCATTTTGTATGAAAACGATGAAAAAAGACGCGTTGATGAATGTTGATTCGAAAATCGTAGTTGGGGAACGCGAAAATTCGCGGTTCGGTTGTATTCGCGGCTCGCTTGTGGATTACGTTACCACCGAGCGGTCAACCATCCCCACTACCACATTTTCAAAAGCAGATAAAATCACCAAAACACCATTAATTCAAAAACTACTTATTAGGGCAACGGGTCATAATATGGCCAATCTGTCTGCATGCGCTACATGTAGGGGGTGCACGCTTCGCCGCATAAATAGGTGGTTGAACGTGATCAACCGGAGTAGGCGGGGGCTGTTCAACATGTTCAACTGGCTGCACTGGCTGCGCTGGTGGCGGTAGGCCCTCGCCGACCGTAACACCCTGTTCAAAGCGAACTAGGCGATTCGTTCGTGCTCGTTTTTGCCGTTTTTTCTCATGTAGTGCATGTAAATCAGCGTTTTCCTGTGCTAGTAGCGCTGCGCTATGTAATGTGTGAAAGTGGCCCTTAATCAGTTGATCTAGGGTAATCTTCGTGCGAGTAGGGGGGCTTCTTGACTGATTTATAAGAAGTTCATTGATATGGGAAGTCTGTCTTTGTAGTTGTTTGGTAGTTTTAGGTGTTTTGGGGCTGAATATGCTTGATCGGCTGGTAACGTAATCAACGGGCGAGTGACGCACACGGGCGAGTGACGCACCCCAAAACACCATAATAAATGCGATAAATTACAACATCATATCTCAGCAACCATAGACTTACATGACTTCAGAATTTGTCTCAAGACTTTTCTAATCATCAAAGGCAACATAGGTTCATATCAATTATTTTAATTATCATTTTGGTATGATTACAAAAAATTACAAGGTAATCTCGACCTTGAGCATGTAAATATATATCCCCTCATTAAATTTTAAATTTAGGGTCCACTACAGTACTCAGAATCTTCAATTATGCTAGCTAGCTTCCAAAGTAGATTCCACAGGATGTGGTTGTTGAGACATGAAAATATCATTTATCGCATTTACTATGGTGTTTTGGGGTGCGTCACTCGCCCGTGTGCGTCACTCGCGCGGGCTAACTAAGCTACCGAAATTTACAATACGTTACAAAATACCATATACGACGAGACAAGTTTCTACAGATCAACCTACGCAACCCCTAATGTGCGGGGGTCATGCTTTACTCAGGAAAGGGACGACACTTCAAGGCGGCTATAGTAACCCAAATCAGGGAATGTTTCTTAAAGACAAAGGTGCTTACTGCTCCTCAAATTTGGACCGGTATCGGATCCTCTTGAAAGAATGAGAAGTATTTGAAACGTAATACTGGTGATTGGTTGGCCAGTGCTACACAAATGATGCTGTCATGATGCGCAGACCCGACTCGTCACCTGTGATCCGACTAGGTCAAGTACTTGGACCGGAAAATTTCCTGATATTTTCCCACCCGAGATGCTCTTTTCAACTACAGTCAGGGAAGAATTTGTAAAGACTTTGTGGTGATTGGCTTCGGGCGGTCGTGGCTGACATGTAGATCCAGGGCTCGGCAGGTGAGTCCCTCAATTGTACACCTCGATCACTCTCACAATGACGTCTCACAATTCACTTTGTCTATTAAAGGGCGAAAGGAATCCCTAATAACAAGTTATTTCAAAAAGGGGTTGGAAAATGTCACTGCCGCTCTCACGCTCTACTCGTATCTCTTCAAAGCTATTCAGAATTCCAACCCAACGGTGCTACATATCCCAAACCGCAATGACGGCCGGTATCAGTGACGCGATCAAGAAAGATCATCGCGAAATCGAGGATTACTATAACAAAATCCTCGCTTCCCCCACGGACGAAGAGAAAATCATGTGGCAGAACCAGTTCACGTGGGAGCTGGCCCGTCACTCCATCGGCGAGGAGCTTGTCGTCTACCCTCAATTCGAGAAGAAGCTGCCTGATGGTCGCAACATGGCGGACAAGGACCGTCAAGAACACCTCTCTGTAAGCTTTCTATCGGTCATACCTTACTAGTAACTAGCTAATGTTACACTGCAGGTCAAAGAACAACTCAAAGCTTTCCAAAATATGGGACCTTCCGATCCTCAATTTGAGCCTACTCTTAAAGCTCTCATGAAAGATCTCTCCAAGCACATCAAAGAAGAAGAGAGCGATGATCTTCCCAAATTGGAAGACAATTTGACGACCGAGGAGAGCGAGGACCTTTCCAAATCTTTCGGCAGGACTAAGATGTTTGTTCCGTCGCGCTCGCATCCCAGTGCTCCTGATAAGCCTCCTTTTGAAACGGCCGTCGGACTTATGACGGCCCCTATTGATCATCTGGCGGATTTGTTCCGGAAGTGGCCGCATACTTCCGGCATGCCAAACCCGTCTACTAAGTAGTACTGAGTACTGTTCAAGAAGAAGACAATTTGGATTCAGCCATGGTTCGGTATTATACACTGGGCATGATGTGCGTGTCGTGGCTCTAAACGAGTGGTTATTCTTCGCAACAGGTATCTCAATTGTACATGGCCCTCAGGAGTTATGGAAGATAGTTATGCTAAAGCCATACCTTTTCCTTGATCATACGAACAGGTTGCGTAACATTTCCGGCTCTGCTCTGTGATCGAATCTCTCCGGCGCACTCTTTTCTCAATTCTTCTTGTTAATATAATGTGAACCCACTTCGTTATTTGCCAAATGAAAAATGCCAGTACGGTACGACATAATTCGTTATCTAGACAGGTTTTGCTGTGATTCTTGCGTATGGCGTGTAATAATAGTTTCGTAATTTTTGCGTCTCTAACATGCCTTGTAACGGACTGACATATGTATTTACAGTGCAGTGGCGAGACTGACAGACCGCACTAGGAATTGAGCGTAGGTTAGCCCGTAGTAAACTTTGCTCAGGTTGATCTGTTTCGTTCTATTCGTAACTTCAGTAAACAATGTAGAATGCGGTCTATTTGATCGAATCTGACTATACCTCGAGTTTTTCGAAACGTAAGGTATAACGGCTAGATGCGTCCCTGCTGGCTTGTCAACAAGGCATACCACCTAGCATCAGTATTGTCCTGAATATGTAGCTTGAATGGAGAATTTTTCAATCTTTTTTTTATCTGTTGTCGGATTTATTCCTGAAAATGCTCGATTGTCCATTTATGGCCTCGTCATACTCTTCCTTGAATTTTGACGGACAAATGAGAGTTGATGCAAATCATGCCAAGAACCCTCAGTATACGCCAAACAGCTTGGCCGACAAGTTCCGCCCTGACACTGCTGAAGCTTTATATCAGCTTGCTGATAAACCGTCAGCCGCAAATCACACTTCTGGCATGAGGGTAGTTCAGCCGAGTACGAGCAGCCGCGCATGCTGTCCAAGAATGTCATGAATGATAAAGCCCATGATTAGACCTGGCCCTCACCCGCGGGTGACCCTCTGGACCATCAACCCGACCCGCACCACGGATGGGTGAGGGTCTGACTTCTAGACCCTCAGGGTAGGACACCTCTATATCCGACCCTCAAGAGGGTGACCCGCGGGTGAACCTCAGGGTCCACAAACAGGACAAACAGGTAAAAAGCGTGACTTACTCGTGATGCGTAAATTATGTAGATTTAGAGAGGTTTTCTGTGTATTCATTTGTAATTTTTAATAAGCTAAAATCATAAGAAAAGTGTATTTTTTGTCGTACGAATGATTGACATAGGATATAGAATAAAACAATGCAGTAATTATTGAGATCCAAGTACATAGCCCTCAATCTGGGGAGCACTTCGAGAGCAACTGATGAGACTAATTCGATTTCTATCACGTGACTTTACGATGTCTAAGATCTTGGTAAAATGAACGCTTGTAATATCGTCGAATGTAACCACTTTCGGCGCTCAATTTGCCGTCACTTAGCGTTGTGATGTAGAAAGAACTTCCACACAGAAAACAGGACATCAGATGTAGTAATACGAGGTAGCACTTTTCTTTTGAGAAAGCCATCTAAAGACCGCGGGATAACTTGTACCCACACCACGGTCTTAATGGGACGGAACTACATTCAAGCAGAAGTGCTCGCAGTCGCTCAGCGTAAAAAATACTTGGCTCGCTAAAACGATGCACACGAAAGGTAAAGAAAAGAAATTCGAGTGTCCACAAAAAGTTGCGCTATCATAACACATAACATACTCTAAACCAACGGTGTTTGCAGAACAATCACTCAGAAGCATCGAAACAAGACCAGTGTCAGAGAAGCATGCTTGGTAATTTGCATCATGTACAGAGAAGGACGTGAAGCCCTGTGTCTCTCGAGACAAGGGCTTCATGATAGAAAACAGAGACTTAAAGGAGATGAAGGGAAGGACTGTAGAGGCTAAACTGATGAGACAGGGGATATGGAGACAAGAAGGCATAACGAGAAAAGAAAGAGGTAGGATTTAACCAAAGTAAAGGAATCAATCAAGACAGTCGTCACCAAGGATCGTTATTGGCACGAAGTTCAAGAGCTCAAGACGTGACACCAAAAAGACAGGAAAAAAGGTCAGAATATGCAACAATGCAGTATGACGGCCATGAAAACCAACACCAAACCCCACAAGTATCAAGTAACTAGGCGCCTCAGCCAGCGGACCAGACCTAGAGTACAGGGAAATCAAGTCGTCAGGAGAAAAGAATCGTCGAGATGAACAGTATCATGCGGGCTGCCCTGGTTCTTCGAAGGCGCCGACTTTTGCATAGAAAGCAATCATTAATATGTGTCAAACGAATAGGGCAAAGTTTCACCGAGGGCAGTTTATTTGTCCAGCTTTTGCCACCCGTTGAGGTAGGCCATGAGACCAACTCCAAAAAGAACCACTCCAAAAATGGACGCATAAGGGCTTGCTTCCTCTAGATACTGGCGTCGTTGCCATTTCGTCGCGACGGCTGTGGCAGCATCCATCTCTTTGCCCTTTGAGGCTCCTGGGTCAAAGTTCTGTGACGAGGAGTCACCAGCCTTAGACTTTGCAGTCCCGTTCTCTGTCAATGACATGTGACCAGAACTGGACTTTGAATCGTCATTTGGTCCATCTGACTTGGCCGCAAGAGCTACGGCTGCCGCTTTTTCTGCGCGTTCTTCGCGAAGAGTCTCAATCATCTCTTCCAATGACTTCCGCGACTGGGCCGTCTCATCTTCGGCTGTCTCGGCACGCTTCTTAAAAGAAGTCATCTGCTTTCTCATCTCTTCCATTTCCTCTGCCATGGTATCGAGACGACGCTGCAATTGTTCGGTGTGAGCCTCCGCAGAAGGTTCTGCCTTCACAGCATCCGAGGTAGAATCAGCCCCTGGAGATGGAAGGTCATCACTAACAGCAGACTCCACATCTTCATGTTCTTGCTTGATAGGAGACTCCTCCACAACCTTTTCGAGATCGTTTTCGTGATTGACTTTGTCGTCGCCCGCCGGAGTGCTAGTTTCAAATTGCTTGGCCTTGTCTTCCGCAGTTTCCCGTGCAGATTTTTCCTGGCGGAGAAGGTCCTCGAGCTCCTTGATGCGAACCCCCTGTGTTTCAATCTCGCGTCTGGCAGTTGACAGAGACTCGATGAGCGACAGTATTTGACTTGATTCGCGAGAAACGGGAGAGCTTGTAGACATAGACTTCGGTTTGTCTGTATCGCTTCGTTTAAGAGGCGAGAATGAGTCTGATCCAGTTCGCGGGGGAGCATCCGGCTTTTCGGGTAGAGGTTGTTGAGGCGGAGGAGCAGGTGGATCAGAGAATCTGGAGAAGGAGTCGACGCGTGGCATTTTGGGACGCCCATTGAGTTGCCGTGGGGCACCATTCTCCAGCGGCGATGGCTTGCTGGCTTTCTCTTTATCGGCATAGCCCGGTTGTCTGATGGCAGTCAAGAAATCGTCGGTTTGACGAAGATCCTGAGACTGCTGCTTGGCTTGCTTCAACTCGCTCTGTCGGAATACATTAGAAATCAATTTCTAGGAGTTGTTAGAGAAATGGTGATAACTTACCGTGAGTCGTTTAACAACCTGTTCAACTGAGATAGGGGAGTTCCAGTAATTCATCTGACGCTGTTGGTGCATGGCGTTCAGCTGGTTGTTGGCAGCACTCTGAGCAGAGCGATTACTGATATTGCTACCTGATCTCCCACGCATATGAGAAAGTGGTTGGCTGAGAGGCGAAGGTAGAAGGCCACCTCCAGACGCAGGGTCTAGATCCCCGAAATTCAAATCCAGGATGTTGGGAGTGGATCCATAAAGACCCGCGTGTTCAACTTTAGCAGAGACTTTGTGATGAACAATGGTGTTCTGGTCCTCGCTAACGATATCAATACCCAGTTCCAGCGTATCATTTTCGCGCAATTCGTGCGGGTCCGATTCGCGGTTCTCGGGAGACAGACGATGTCCGTTCACGAAGGTCCCGTTCGACGATTTCACGTCGCGAATCCAAATCGTTCCGTTCTTCTCGGCCCATATTTCCGCGTGCTGGCGAGACAGAACTTTGGAATCAAAGAAGCCGTTCAAGGGGGTAGGCACCGTCTTCGCATTTGTCTGGCGTCCGATTCGCAGAACTTCGGGGAAGAAAGGCACATTTATTTGCTTTTTTTCGAACGTGCTGTTCATCGGCGTCAGTGCCAATATAGCAGGTGGATCAGCAGCTTGTCCATTGGGCTGTCGGGCTCCATTCTGTTGAGAGGACTGAAGCATGTGCTGCGACGGCACGATGGACGACGGTTGATGAATCGCGGACATTGTAGATGAAGCAGTCGGCCCCGACGAGAACGCAGGGCCTGCCTGAGACCGCGCGTTCGTTACCCCGGATACGGGCTCCGCTTTGGAGTTCGGCCAGACTTTGCGAGTGGGTTTGGACTTCGACCAGGTTCCGGATTCACTGTTTGAGACCTGTGCTGCATGGGTGTCTTGTGTATTGCTGGTTACGGTATTCGTAGACGAGTTCGACCCAAGCGAAGAAGAGGAATTCGACCGCTGAACGTGTTTCCGTGGCATAAACATACGTGACACTTCGTCGCTGTTCATTGAAGACAGGGCTCCTTGTCCTCCGTTACCAGTGCTGTACCATCCCAAGCGAGACCCCGATTGCACACTAGGCGGAGATGCCACAGCAGTCATGGAGAAGGATACCAGAGGTAGTCCAACACAATGGGAAGTCTAGGCGGTACTCGACAAGCGCGGGTAAGTCAGGTTGAAAGGAGTCGAACGGTCGGTCGGAGATTTTTAGATCGATCGCGATATGGCGGAAATTCGTGGTGGCGTTTGTGAGCGAGAGAATCGCCCGTGAGGCACACACAGGGCTGGTTGTTGTTTTCTTGGTCGGCCGGCTGGGTCAGAACGGTCGCGTTAGCGTTGGTCGCTTGCCAAACAATTATTTAAACCCTCGGGCGCAGAGCCTGGGCTTGGATCATCCAGCAACGACGCGAGCAGCGAGAAAAGATCGGACTTACCTGTCAAATGTAGTGTAGGTGATATTGAGCCGCACTTTGTGGCATGAGAGTCGTGCTCCAAACCAAGGAGGAGTGTGAGGTCTTGCCGGAAAGTGCACAGCGACCGGTGTCTCACACCGTCCCGGGGACAATGGAGGGAACGCTAGACGGGTTGTCCGCCTTGCCACAGGCTCAAGGCCGCGCTAACAAGGATGTGAAGGGTACGAAAGCAAAGATCGAGGATGGTCGGCCATGAAGCGTAATCACCCAAGGAGAGGAGGTCGGCTGCTCCCTCGACGCCCCGGGTCACGTGCCATTCCCGCACGTGTAGCCAATTACCGTTGGGATCAGGTGACAAGCCCATTCGAAAGGCGGAGAAGGCTCCGTCATGCGCTGAAAAGCTGCCAGCTTCTCCGAGTCCCAACCGTAGCGTCCTGCTTGTCTTTGTCCAGCCCTGAGCATCTGCTCAAACGCGACCTTCTGGCATACCCAATCAGTCTCTTGCGTTCTATTCAAGATGCCCGTTGTTGCAGGCCCTGCCCCTGGCGGAGGTGCCCACGGCCCTTCGACCTTTGACAAGAGTATGTGCTCCTTCGAGTCCACTTCTTGAAGCTGCGGTGCAGTCAAGTAAACAGTCATTTGAGCATGAGCTAACTGACGATCTAGTGAAAATGGGTGGATTGATGGGCTCCAGTATGTGATAGCTGCAAGCTAACTTGAATGTACATGAGCTCTAACTGACGTGATTCTCCACCTTTAGCTGTCGGTGGAATTATGGGCTTCATCATTGGTAAGCAAGATGTTATTCTCGTGTTGTTGCTCTAAAGATTGCAGCGAACTGATGAACGGCAGGAACTGTGACCATCTTCCAGTATGGTGCTGGGCCTAATGGTGTCATGCGCACCCTGGGCAAGTACATGCTGGGTTCCGGTGCGACTTTTGGGTACGTTTCTTCTGCCATCTCCTACTCCTTGCAGCATCTTGTTTCTCTCCGAGATTGTCATTTCCTTCATTCATCATCCGCTAACCCCTGTTTGTTTCTGACTTTAGGTTGTTTATGTCCATCGGCAGCGTTATCCGTACCGACGGACCCCACAATGATGCCTGGCTCCGCGCCCGTGGTCCTCCTATGATGCTCCCTCGCCAGAGCCCTCTGCGGGCAATGCGTCAATAAGCTCGTCATCCCTCAGCGCTCATGCGGGAATGGCCGAGGTTCATGCGAACATGACCAAATCGAATCGTGGGGATGTGTTTTTTGTACGATATGTTCATTATTCTTTGCTGAGCGTTTCCGGCAGCTTTGGAATGCCTAGGGGCATGATAGAGGAATTGTCTGAAATGATTGGCAGTTATCAAACATGCTAGTGTCGCAGACCCCTAGTTAATTACCCATAGGAGTGTCCAATGTATATATGCCGCTCGCATCTACGGGTCACCGGCCACTAGAGTTGTCACGCTTTTCGGTCTACACGGTGATCTGGGCGTTGTTGAAATGGTATCCTTGCTTGTTCCTTAATTCGTTTTGAGTAAGTACCTGATGCCAATTGGATATCTTGTAGATGCGACGATAGCACTGCCCAGATGGCGGTCAACATATCCTCCGGTATTCCATGCCATATCGCTTTTTGAATGATGTGATGCAATATCATGATTCAAATAATAACACTAGGCATCATATTGGGTGCCAACACCATAGCATACCACATCACAGTGCACCGTAATACATATATAAAGGAGCAACAATCCATAATGCCATATGTGATGTCCAGTGTAGCATAGAGTTTTCCATACAGTCAAGACAGTGCAATATATATACTACTACACAGATTTGACTACAGCACCTTGCACACTATACTTTCTAACGTCGAAAGTGTAATGCTGATTTCTAGTGTGTAATAACGTCTATGGCCACTGGAAGCAAGGTCCAGAATAGTCAAGCGGCTGTTCACACCAAGCATATAATTGTCCGACAGCCCACGGTGGGTTGTTCGAATTCCGTACCTAGGTACTGCCCTGCTTGGGTGGGTGTTTGCAGTATTTGTTTTGGCCCGCAGCCCGCCCTCCTTCCCCTCCGTTAGTGTAACCAGCGATGGTACATATTTTCGTATAGCAATCGACCCGGGAATGGAGTACAGATATGCGTGCTCGTGTCGATCGGGAACCGAAGATGGAAAAAGAAGCGGTGTCGGGGCTCGAATGTTGTACAGATCAGCGATCGCGTGTGACGAGCCGTTCTCAAGCTGACCCCTTCCCACCGAAGCCGCGCAGCCGAATATCCAGACAAAGGAGGTATTGTGCTGTCCTCTGCCTTTCGCACCCCGACGGTCCAAATCTCGGTTTCCGTCTCCGGTTGAGTCCCCGGCCGATCATCGTGTACTACTGCCAGTGTCTTAGCAACGAACTCCACCCTGAGGCAGTTGAGAAGACTAACGTTGTGCGCGGCATTGGGACTCGCACCCTCCAAGAGTTCGATTCGGCAAGGAGCACAACAACCATGATCTGTCAAGTTCTCGAACCCCCCAGACTCTCACGATGAGCGCTAACCGGCCCCAAGTAGAAGGTTGACCAGACGATCCTCATCACAGTGGACTCTCGGGGATCCATGGATCTCGCCAGGCACAGGCGGCTGACTGGCGGAAGGAGTGCGTGCCAAGAGACTGGGCATAACACCACAATTAAGGCGAAGAGTCCACTTTTGCCAGCTCTGCTCGTGTCGGGCTGTAACCCGGACGAGGCAAAATCAGACAGATTTTGAGCCAATCTCGGTTACCCCTTCGGCCTGGCCAATCTGATCGGCGTTTTTCAGCCCTCTGGTGATGGGCGATGGCCGGCGAAGCCTTTTTTCCCTTTTCCAAGGCTCGGCGGATGTGGTCTGGGTGGCCATCAGTGGCTCTGGCGAATCACTCCCCAAACCCTGTCAGATCCGTGCTGTCCGTTCCTGCATCCATGACGCCAGGGGTTGCACGGAACAGTCATGGGTATTCGCTGCCTACGCACAGAGACCCAAAAACGTTTTCATTAGCCCTCGCTGAAGCCATGCATCATGCCCAGAGGCAATCCTCATTTCACGAACGCAGCGCCAACGGAAACACATTCCGAGGCCACCGGGTTTCAGCGGGACCAAGTGGTTCTCCAGCGGCCGTTAGAAAATTATGAGTTCAATTGTCTCCATCCACGCCCCACCGATCCTAGGACATCCGACTAGGACTAGTACATAGGCACGAACAGCAGTGGAATCCCCAGGGGGCCGAAAAAATCCGTATTGCACATGTGGCGACACGCCGTTATGGGGGCCTCGCTGTTCTCTGTCGTCCGACACCCGAGAGCGCATGTACTCCCCCTGCCCTCCGATGGACGGGTACCTGAACGGGTTCCGTGGTACGTGTTGCGGTGTCCACGTAGCCGTGGGGATCATCTCCAATAATGAGGCCCGACAAACGCTGACTGCATACTGCATTGACTAGCAGGACCGCGCGCAGTGTTGACATCCCCTTGAGCGAGTCCCTTGCACCCGGAGGGAAAGTCTGTGCGGGCAACGAGACCCTGTTCGTGTTGGGGCTTGGCGGCGCCGGAGTGCTTTGTCTAGCACCTTAACAGTTAGGGCTGGGCCTGCGTCTACATAGTTCGATTTTCGGCCGGTCCTATTGCGGATAGTCCCAGCAACCGCGTGTCTCCCCATCCAATGGGAGGGCCCCGCTGCGATGAAAAAATCAATAGAGAAAAATCCATTTGGGCGCCACAGGGTAAATGACCCTTTCCCCAGGTTCGACTGGCGAGACTCGTGCCCGTATTTAGGGCGCATGCCGCTCCCTGTCATACTCCCTCCTCTTTTTCCCTCTGTTGGCGCCTTCAAGAATCCTTATTCACCCTAGTCATTCGTTTCCCCCGGTCACTCATTTATATTTGATACGCCTTGAGCCGCGCTCGCTCCCACGATATTTACCACCACGTTTTTAAGTCCGCCTAGTCTGCCTCAGATTCGAAACACATTCGAAACAGCAGTCTCTTTTCACCTTCGGATCATTTCATTCACGATAGCATCGTGTCTGCTTTCCACCTCACGTCACGCCTCTACCTCGCAGTGTATTAGCTCATTGCCGGACTTCTGTGATTGTCCAATCTCATTCTCCGAGATCTTCTCTTCGAGCAGACTCGGCCGCGCCAGCATCGCAACTCGCATTTCATCTTTTGTCATCTGCCAAAATGCAAATCGGCGCTTTTGTGACCTCTTTCCTCTGCATTGCGGCGGCCCAGTTTGCCGCTGCGGAGGATACCACCTCCCAGTCGACCACGACCATCACTAAGACTCTGATCAGAGTGAACTCGGTCACTGCGACCCCCAGCTCTAGCATGACATATGTGCCGGCGACCTCGACTCCTCTTACGACCTCGACTGCGACCCAGCCTGCTGCATCCGCCACGAAGACTGGAGGCGCAGTCAACGTAAGTGCTGGCGTGCCGGCGGTTCTGGGCGCCGGATCTCTCGCGCTGATTATGGGCCTGGCCCTGTAATCGCGGACGCGAGATCATACTTGTCTGGGATACCAGACACCGGCCCGACCATCCCACAATCTTCAACTGGATTTCCGATACCATGTTGACAATGTCAATCTCGATTGTTTATTGTTTTCATCTACACAGATGCGGAAGATGGGCTGCTGTTTGGTTCTCTTCACTTCCGCCGTTCTTCCCCAGCAAAGGGCCGAGGTACACTTTTTATTTTGGTCTCATAATTTTCTTTTCTTCTTTTCACTTTTTATCCTCATGCTGGCTGGGGAATCCGACTCGGACAGGAAACGGCTTTTACGTTGAAACTTTCGAATACCCCCATTTAACGACTTTGTGGACACGAGTTGATGTTACCCTTCTCACACTTCCTTTTAAATTACCATTCTTCTTGTCTATACTTGTCTGTTGTGCTGTGTTGATGGGATACCTATAATGATACCTATTTTGACAAAGTCTTCTCTGGCTCTTGTTGGACATGGCTGTTTTTCAGTCCTATGTTTGCGGGTTGAAACCCAGACCCAGACACTCGACATCAATTGACACCTTTGTTTTTCTCTCCAATACCCATATTCCAATATATCCAAAAGTTTTTTGACGTACCTAGCATTGTCCCATGAGTGAATATAGTATGTAGTGAAGATCTGCCGATCGAGCATTCCAGTGGATCGGCCAGCCTGCCGTCGCCTCCGCAGTCGACTGATATCCGTGCACCCACGCGTCGGTCGCTTCCGGCAGGCTGTCGCTCTGATCTGATCTTATCTCGCGTTCGTTTCGATGAATTTCAAACTTGACTTGTTGTTGTTCAAATATTCGCGAGAACTCGATCTGATGGTTAACTTCTTCGTCTGATACCTCGTGCTCGTGCTCAATTTGCGCGTTTGTTGACATCCGGCGGCTCCACCACGCGTCGCACCCGCGAGAGCCCCCACGCTGCATCACCCGCCAGGCACATTCCTGAATGATCCTGAAGAGTATAGGGGCAAAATTTGCCGATTGACGGTATATAATCACTCGCAATGGACAACGAAGTCCCTCTGCCTCCGCCCCGACGGCTACAGCTTCGTTCACCTGCAGGTGCCGGCCGCTCGCCTTCGGGGTCGGTCGCATCATCCTTTCGCAAGGCGCGCCGGCTGTCGCGTTTCGATGACCGCTCAAGTCAGCCATCAAGCGATCAACCGCTCTTTTCCAGCGATGACATCCCGGCCTCGGGGCTGGAAAACTACAATGCGCCAGTTTCTAGCTCAGGGCGCAAACGACGGTATCGCGGGACCTGGTGGGGAGAACAGGTTCAGGATCCGAAGCGCAAGAGAGCAGATTTCAAGGAGAAGCGCAATGTTGATAGTGGTGTTTGGATGGGCAGCGACGAGTCTGGCGCTGATTCGAATTTGGCGTCTGAAGATTCCCCAGCTTGGGGAGAGGATCTTCTGAAGGCGGTGTTGGACCCGAGGGCGCCGGGCAAGTCTTCTGGTGAATCTTCCAATGAAAGGGGTCCCGTACCAGTGCATACGCAGTCTCGATCGATTGCTGTTAACGGACAGGAGGAATCAAAGGAGCACCATTTTGCGAGAAAGGTGGTTAACGACTGCCTCGAAAAAGGCGAGGAGAGCATCGATCTCGGGTAGGTTTCTCCAACGTTGGTATCACCTATTGCTCGGACTCAACCTAACTGGGAGATGTCAGAAACATGAACATGAGGATTGTTCCGAGAGATATTCTTCAATCACTTCAGCACTTGACGAAGCTTCCCTCGGTACTAGAGCCTCCGATATCCGAGAATGCCTACTTCTCACTACGACCTTTTCTCCGCATCTATCTTCCTAATAACTCCTTGACGACACTCCCCAGGGAACTTTTCGAGTTAAGCGACCTAAGAGTGCTCAGCTTGCGTAACAACAAGCTCACTTCCATTCCACCGACGATTCGGGATCTCACAGGTCTCCAAGTCCTAAATCTCTCTGTTAACCGTCTCAACTATCTTCCGTGGGAGCTCTTGGGTCTTCTCCAAAAGGATGAACTGAAACACTTCACGCCACGCCCAAATCCATTCCCATCGATCGAGGAGGCCAGTATTGCCGAGTGGCATCGTCAACCCAACGAGGACGAGAAAGAAAAAGAGAAAGAGAAAGAGCAAGACGAAGAGGATTATGATGATACCTGCGAACTCGAAGTGCATGAGCTCCCAATTCTTTTCACAGAATATGAAGGTGCTCCTCCTGAAGATGCCTGGGGCGTTATCCACGTAGCCACGGGCCCAACGACATTTTACAATATGGATGGAAAGCCCATCGACGATGCCTCTTCATCTTCCGGATCAACGACAGCAACGCAAAAGTCCCAGCAACAAACGCTCCATCCCTTCGCGAACTTTCTCTCCGAGCCCTCTCGAGACTGCCTGGCCTCGACTTGATCACCGACGAGGAGAAGCGTGAGTTCCCGTCCTTGTTGATCCCGCTGCTGGACCTTGCACAAGGTGTTCGTGCAGATGGTGGTTGGTACTGCTCCGTGTGTCAGCGGGAATTCGTGAGCCGTCGGACTGAATGGGTGGAATGGTGGGATTGCACTCCCCATGAGAACGGTATGAAGCGACCGCGGGCTTCTGGCGAGAAACTGCGCCCCCTACCTTTCAAACGATATGGCTGTAGTTGGACCTGTGTGCCGACCTCGCAACGTGCAGAATAGTTTCGATTTTTGCTCATTCTGTATGGCTATGGCCTTATAGATATACCTGTATTTCGTATAGCTCGGGAGTGTTCATAGATAGTACTACCCTACGGTAGTAAGAATTCGGTTATTTTGTTGAGCTTTCAAGGGTATCAACGCTGATATTCTGGGTATATCATAGCACTAAAATACACCCAATGGATGTTGTTCTCTGTCCTGTACATATGGCCTGGCTCCAAAGGAACAAGTATCCATCCAATAGGTAGTGGTTTGCGACGAGCTTGGTGACAGGTTTGAATGTTTTTTGGGATTGGCTGGAAAAGCAAAGCATCTGATCTGTTTCTCCATATTTGCACAAATTCCCTGGGAGAAAATGATCCACGTCTCTTTCGAGCCATAGCTTGCCGGTGCGATCCCTTATGGACCGAACATAGGTATAGCAATCCTGTTTGTCTTCTGATAATTCTGCCCGGAGACCTGCTCGGTGCAGGGGTTGGTAGGTTGTTGCATCGCAGCTTGCCATACGCACTGGGTAAGTTGAAGGCCCGTATGGCGTTGGTTTGTTGGGGCTTTCACTTGAGGCTTACAGCCACCTCAACCATCTTGATCCACCGAGTTCGCGATTCAGGTAACTCGGCATCTTCGGATGCTGCAGGCGCCTCTTGTCGCTTCCGCTTCTTTGTTTTAGTGCCAGGCTTTGAGGCGCCATTCTTGTCCTCTGTGACATCCTTCTCATTTCCTTTCCGTTCTCCCTGGTGCTGCTGCTTCTTTTCCTCTTGCACCTTTTTCTCCTCATCTTCAACAACATCATCCACGACCAACACACTGCCGGTATTCACCCGGACGTTGTACTCGGTTTCTTTCTCTTGGAACCACTTCCCCACATTGAGAGCCTTCTCGATTGCCCGCCCAGTAGCTTTGACAAAGACCTCTTCTCGATTCTCCGCAGCCTTTGCCAGTTCTGCAAGCGTCTGTTGCTCGGTTTTTCGTGTATCCCCGAGGCTAATATTGGCCGTGGCGCGCTTTTCGGCTTGGAGGAGTAATTTCTGTACACGCTTCACGGCGCTCATGAAAGGTGTGTTGCTCGAGACATATACAATCTTCGGAACGGATGCACCTGCGTAGGGCGATGCAATGGGAGCGTGTGGTATCGGTCGCTTTTCAACCTTTGCATCTGCAGACATGACAGTCAATTTCCCCTTCCTTGAATGTCGTCGGCGATTTGGCTTGGGTGGGGGGAAGAGCTTACACTTTGGCAGCTTGACCAGGTCTTGGTTCTTTTTCTCAAATTTGAGCTTCCGCTCGAGCGGACCATTCCCCATGGCTTCAGATATTCGCTTTATGCCGACTTCGAGGAGTTGGAAGCTATCGCATCAAATCAATTTGAGGTCAAATCGCGAACGCGACGATAAGATTGTCCTTTCCTGCCGGGCGGTGTCTTGATTACGTAAGTGGATGTCGGCTCAAGAGTGGACCGGGTTCCAGTAATGTATCTAAGTTACGTTTTGGAATGAGGAACTCTGACAAGGATATTTTTCTGCTTGAATTTGTGATAGTAAGTCCTCGGATACAAGCCAGTCATTCAGTGGCCGAAGTAGCCACTGACTTGGGCCTTGTATGGCATGTATGCTTCTCCACGTGACGGGCCGTTAAAAGGCTAAGAGAAGGATGCCAGACCTGTTTTCCCTTCAAATTGAACCAACCCTTCGAAAAGAAGAGCCAGAACACGAAAGCTTATTTCGTCTAACAAGAGTATATTCGATCAAATGAAGGTTTCAACGTCATGTACGCAATGCAGAACTGGCAAGCGTCGGTGCAGTGTGGGGGTTGCGGGGGTGGGAAACTCATGCAAACAGTGCTCGCGGCAAGGGAAACACTGCTCCTTGTCCGACAAGCCACGGCAGATGCAGCAGAACATCCTTCCAAAAGCCAAGTCAGCTTCGCCACCTAATGAAACAGATCATTCCTACGAAAGCCAATATGTCACCGACGACACCAGAAATCGATTGGTCGATCTTTACTTGCGATACATCCATGACAAACCTCACACCTTATTCCATCCATCATCCCTGAGAAAACGAGTGCGTCAAGGAACTGTTTCAGTTGCACTACTTTACAGTATAATGTCCCTAGCGGCTCGGTAGGCTATAGAGAACTTCAGATTTCAATACCAGGACTTCTTTGACCGATTTTTTTGTCACAGCTTCTCGGACTGTACAGAGACACGGGAGAGAACAAAGAGCTTTTTTTAACAGCGAAGCATCATTTGAAAATGGCCATTGATACTGTATCAATCGACAACATACACGCAAGCATTCTTGTTGGCAACTTGTGCGGGACAGAGGGGGAATCGGCTGGAGAGGCGGTATTTTTCGGTGAGATGTGCTGCTGCGACAGCATCAGAAAGCACTCGCTAAACTCGGCACAGGAATTGCATTCCGTATGGCACATATGCTGCATCTACCAGCCCCTGATGAATCAGACGATAACATCACGCAAGAAGTCAAGGTTCGGACATGGTGGTCTTTATACATGATCGATCAATGGTCCTCCGCCGGGCTGGACATACCCAGACTAATTCATACCCACGAGAGTCACTCGCTTCCTATACCAGAAGCTACATTTTGGGAGCTCAAGCCAGGGAAAAGACAATTCATGCCTGGCCAAAGGGCAGAACTTGGAAGTTGGCCCCGTGTCAGCATCTGGGGCTACATGGTCATTCTCGCTCGAATATTCGGTCATATCCAAACATTTCACAAAAGGCTTGCAGATGAAGCCCTCAGTGAATCTGATGCAGAGTTAACCACACAAGAGCTGGCCCGAGAATTTGATCATTTTCTTCAAGAACTTCCAGCTAACCTTCACTTCACAGTGGAGAACTTAGCACAGCACTCAGCAGATGGAATGGGTCGAGCTTTTATAGCTCTTCATCTAGGCTACCACCATTACTCAACCCTTCTTTACTTCCCATATCTGGACATGCAACTTGCTCAAATGCCTAGTCGAGCTTCTTTTGTGGCTCGTTGCAAGTACCACGCTACTTCTTTTAGCGATTTGTTGAAGACTTCACATCAAACACAAGAGTGCGAGGCTGTGTACTTTATTGTGGCACATATGACAGTGGTATCCTCTTCGGCATTACTGCATACTCTTCTTTTTGGCAATCAGAACGAGCTCTCCGACGCAAGAAAGCGACTGTATTACAATTTTGAGATGCTTTTAAAACTGAAAGGGTATTGGCCGGGGGTAGACCTCATGGTAAGCTCCATGGCACCCTTGATCACAAGATTTGTGAAAAGCTTACCAATGTGACATTATAGATAGGACGCCTTTTTACATTCCAGAAGATGTGTATGAGGTCAATGGATCGCACATATATTGTGGATCGATGGATCGTGAAATTTCTTCTACAACACGCGATTCCTATAGACGGCGAGATGGATTCACCCACCACTATGGATCTTGCCGAGCGTGGCAAGTTGACCAGCGATGCCTTGTCAATGCTTCGTCCGGCTATATGAGGGCCACAAAGCATTGTTCACTCAAGGACCTTCTGACCTGGCCTTTTGCCCAAGCATGAGTTCTACATTACCGGCGACATTAGCGTGCTCCCCATCAAACAGCTTTGCGATTTCCTCGAGTGTCGGCCCCTTAGTTTCCACAAAGAGAAACCAGATACAAAGACACTCGACAACCAGGATGGCGATATAAACGAAGTAAAACCGCCACTGCAATGATTCAAGACCAATCGGGTTGACATATTGATTGAATACGGAGGACAAAGCCGTAACGGCCATCGTGACGGCAAGACCCTTGGCTCGAATGCTGAATGGAAGGATCTCCGCGGGATATGCGACTGTTAATCCGGGCCAAGCGAAGCCGGCAACTCCATAAAAGAGAAAAATCATGGCAATGACAGTACTTCCAGCACTCTGATTGCCAGTTTGTGCATACTCTGCTGAGCAACTGCGGCGTGGTAAATTAGAACATATTCTCTCTGTCAATTGGCTATCGAGGGCAACTCACCCTGTCCAAATACTGAATGTAATCAGCATACCGACTCCGGCAATCATGAACAGCAGGCGTCGACCGAGGATATCGACCAGGAAAGAGGAGCAGCCAAGGGCGACCAAAAAGCACCAGATTGTTAAGGCGCCGTTAATCATGGACTGATCATAAGATGATTCAATCCCGACGGATTTCAGAATATCATGCAAATAATACGAGACCAAGCCGTTGCCGGAGCACTGAGAGAAGAAGGAGACCAAGACAATAAGCAACAGTCGCTTACGATTCCCTGGCGTCTGAACCAGCATAGCCCAGCCATTCTGGGTATTTTCTCTCTCCAATCGAATAGTTTCTTGGATCTCATGAAATTCAAATGCGCAGAATGCATCATCTCTGTCTCCATCCGCGTGATACTGCACCGACTTTAGTTACCATGTTACCGAGATCCTGGGGTCCGCTTACCTTAACCAGAATAGCGAATGCCTCCCCGTGTCTGTTTTTCGAACAGAGCCAGCGAGGACTTTCTGGCAAGAACCATATTCCAATGAATTGAATCAAAGGCATCGCTGCTTGCATGGCTACCGGTATTCTCCACGATGCTTCTGAAGTATACTTGATTGTTCCGAACACGGTCCACGCTGCGATGATCGCCCCAACATACCATATCGTGTTGTACATGGTGGTCAGTTTGCCACGGTGTTGAGGATGGGCCAACTCGGTGATAAGAAGCGGTGCAGATCCTTGACTCACGTTGGATCTTTGCAGGTCAGTCGATGGCAGTCAAGATTTGGAACAAACGACTTACCCAAGACCAACTAGAAATCTGCCCGCGAGGAACATGCTCGAGTTGACAGATGGGACAACTTGGATGACAGTTCCTACAAAGAGTATCACCAAGCCAATGGCAACACCTTTCTTGCGTCCGAACAAATCGGCCACATATGAGGCTATTCAGATTAGACGCTGTGTAGAAGAGAGGACGTGGAGATGCAGCTTCTACATACAGATAAAGAGTGCACAGACACCACCGATATTCTGAATCGCCGTGAAGAGGCCCAGCGTCGAGCCGCTAGGGTTATTGAAGTCTCCAGAGTTGTCAATGCTCTTTTCTGTTGCGGTGGTTGCGTTGCAATATAGCTTGATTTGTACTCACAGTCTTGCCATGGCGTCATTGTCTGCAGCCCATTCAACAACGAACCATCGTACCCGTTCGTAGAAGCACCTAGTCACATCAGCAACTGACTTATGCAATCGGTTCTTCGAGGGAATTACCCAGAAAGAGAATCGGCATCATGAAATAAAGATGGCGCAGCCCAGCGTGCTTCCACCACGTAACGTCAGGGATATCCACATCAGGGTGACCTAGGGTAGCATGTTCGGCATGGACTGCGTTGCTCGTACCGGCCTTCGAATAATCACTACCCTCCATTCTGTAGATAATGCAGTGAGACTGTCTCCAAACAGGATGGCTGATCAACTCGAGGACATAACCGCTAGGGAAACCATATCGCCAGAGTCCCATGCTTCTATTTATACATGGGATGTAGCCAACATCTCCCCATTTTTGACGACCGAGCAGCCATGCTCTCCATCCCCAGAATACCCCGGATTTCTGCCGAACAAAGAAAAGCGTGGAGAAGCGCCGCGCCGTCGACTGCGGGATATCGACCAATGGTGGGGGTTCAATCCCGCACTGTGCCAACACCTCACGGCGTGCGGGGGATGCGTGTTCAGTCATGACCCGGCACATCGGGATATCCTCCAATCACTCTGGGTCAAACCCGGTCCGGATGAGATGCGCATGAGTTTGGATCACGCCGTTGTCAGACAATTCATGCGGCACGGCGCCGCAGTCGACATCGCGAGTGGGGAGTTGGTGAGGGGTAGGAAAGGAGCATGGCAGGTATAAAACACCATGCGTGAGTCTTACTCTGGCCGCCGAGTAGAGATCCCCATTCTCTGGCTATTTTGAGTGTCCTCCAGCTGGATTGTCATTGTCTGAATCATGACTCTTTCGCCAAAGATACCGCATCTCCGCAAAGTCGGCAACACCCAACAGTTGGTGGCCAAGGGCCGTCCGTTTCTTGTTCTTGCTGCAGAATTGCAGAATTCGTCCATGACCTCTGGGGAATACATGGATACCGCGTGGCAGAAGCTGGTCGACACCAACATCAATACAGTCCTGGGATGCGTCACCTGGGAAGACATCGAACCGGTGGAAGATCAGTTTAACTTTGTCGAATTAGACAAAGCCATTCTGGGCGCGAGAAAACACGGTCTTCATCTCGTGCTTCTGTGGTTTGGTTCCTTCAAGAACGGTGTGTTTTGATGTCCGCTGAGCCCTTGCTGCATTGCGAGGAAGCACGTAGCTGACTGCTTTTGAGGTCTTTCGACCTACGTCCCACCTTGGATCAAGACAGACACAAAGCGATTCCCCCGAGCGAAGTTGAGAAAAGCCGGGGGCGTCGTGGAGACAGCCGAGGTGCTGTCTATTTTCCATGGAGAAGGATGCAGAGCCGATGCAAAGGCATTCGCTCGGCTTCTACAACACGTCAAGGAGATCGACGGCGAGCATTCGACTGTTGTCATGGTGCAAGTCGAGAATGAAACGGGGCTGCTGGGCGACTCTCGAGATGGATCGGCTGCCGCCGAGAAGCGTTTCAGAGAGCCCGTTCCCCAGGAACTACTGCATTTCCTGGCGGGAGACTGGAGCAACCTCAATACCGATATCAAGGAAAACCTGGCCCACTTCAAAGAACAGAGCAGCCCGCAAGGGGCATGGGACCAGGTCTTTGGCAAAGGCCCCCACACCGACGAGTTGTTTATGGCCTATCACTACGCCCGATACCTCGACCATGTCGCCGCCGCAGCGGGCAAGAAAGAATACTCGATTCCCCTGTACACGAACGTCTGGCAGAACTATGTGGATCCAGACAGCGACAATAACTTCCCCATAGTCGCTGGTGGCGGCGGCCATCCCGGCGACTACCCGTCGGGAGGCAGCACGTCGAACGTTCTCGACATCTGGCAGAAGTTTGCTCCCTCTCTTTCTTTCATTGCACCTGACGTCTACCTCAATGACTACGCTAGTTCATGCCGCAAATATCGACACCGCAACCAGCCACTGTTCATACCCGAACAGCGCCGTGACGACTATGGTGCTCGGCGCATATGGACGGCCTTTGGCTCATTTCAGGCCATCGGCGTATCACCTTTCGGGATTGATACCCTCGAGCCGGCGACTAACCCCTTCACGAAGCATTATGGACTCCTCAAATCTGTTGCGCAGATCGTTCTTGATGCCCAATCCCACCCGGACTCCTCGGTCGGGTTCTTCTTTGATGAGATCGCGGCTGACGGCACCGACTCGGCTAAGCCGTTCGTCAAAGATTGGGCAGGCTACGAGATCACAATTGAGCGGTGCTTCGTCTTTGGCAGACCGGGACCTGGGGCAGGCATGGTCATCCATCTAGGTGGACCCAAGTTCCTCTTGATCGGTTGGGGCTTCCAGGTCCGCGCTCGGTCGCTGTCGCCCACCAGTCACTCCACTGGCATTCTGCGCTTCCAAGAGAAACTAGTGGTGAACGAAGAGACCGGGCAACTACGCACTCTTCGGAACCTGAACGGCGACGAAACGCGTAGTGGTCGATTCGCGATGATGCCGAACGAGGACCCTGACTACGGAGGTTTCCCGATTTGTGTCACGATCCCGGCTCACACGATGATCGCCGAACTAGAGCTGTACTCCGTCGAGGCTGAGGATGACGCTTAACCGTCGTTGGTGCGAAGACGGAGTTCTTTTTTTGACATTATGGAGAATGTAGATTCGAATCTAGAAATTTTCAATGAAGATCATGCTATCATATGAGCATCGTAATCATTGGCATGAGACATGGTGACTCTCCGCGCATCTCCTTCCCCGAGTGCTTCTCCTTTGGGTAGATCGAACGCCGAGCCAAATCGGAGATTGAGCCGTCGCGGCAGCAAGAGCATCGCGGCGATGCCTCGACGAGCGAATCCGAAAAATCAGAATTGGACCAGCAAGCCCCAGACGCCGACTGGACTTGAACTCGCACACGTCTAATTCGTGATTTGAACCACGCCCTGCCCCACACAGGATTTTCTTTGATACTGAGGCGACCACGGAGATTGCCCAGTAGGAGCACCAGATCCCACGGGCCTCCGTTCTTTCCAATCCGATCGCCCGAGAGATTGGCAACTGGGAACCCAGTGTCCAGGAAATCTCAGGGGAATGATGCCATGATCGCCGTCTAGTCCGCGCCGACGCACTTGTGACCCAAGGGGTCCTGACGTATCCACTGGCGGAGTAAAAGAGCACTGATCGCCGCATCTGGACAGTCTGGACTTTATGGATCGCTGGCACTACAAAGCTGAGCCGGGCCCACGCCGCTGTCCTGTTTTTGGAAGGTCGTGTCTCCGCCCCACGAGCAGACGGCCGGGGCCTTTTGTCCCCAGCTGGGAGGATTTTCGCCTCTCCCACCGAGGCGGGACTGAAGAATGGGCTGCGGGTCATGTGGGAGCAGCAGCCAGGCCGGTAGTGCGCCAGGCCGGATATGTGCGCGACAGTTCCGTACATGAACTGTCATTCTGATCGGTAAACATGCGAGCTGTCACGTCGACAATTCCGATCAGAAACAGAAGTACGACAGGCAATCATGGAAGGGCAGGGAAATGATGGATCGTGGGAAGGGAGAATCTGAAACGACACAGGTACCAAGCGTGCGTTTCCGTGGGTCGCGAGCGGGGTGACACGACGAGAACCGTGGATGTGTGCTCTGATTGCGGTTGTTTATTGTGGGAGTGGGATGGAATCTTGAATCTGATGTTAAGCTTTGCACAATGATTGAGCATGCATGCCACTCGCAGTAGCAATTGGACTGGATTTAACTGGCCTCCGGTGAGCGATGGCTGTCAAATGGTGATTACCGACAAGGTTTTCCTGTGGCCCATCCTCCAGATTAGAGGAGGCACTGTTACGCCTCCAGCGAGGCTTGGAGTGACGACGCATCCTAAAAAAAGGACAATCGATCGTGGTGCGGTGGATACGTGCACTGAGCACTAGGAACCTTCATGGAGACCCCCTCGACTGAATACCACCTTCACTCTCGCTCTATACGCAAGCAAACTGACACCAGTCGTGTCAGGTTTGCTTGGGAACGCACCTCTGGCGGTCGTCGAGCATTTGTCATATTTGTCACTGTAGGGGCGGCCCTAAGGATGCATCATGCAGGACGAGTCCCATATAAGTGTCGTACAAAAGTACGCAAGAAAAAGAAAAAGAGAAAGAAAAATACACCTGCCGGGCCACACAAAATTGGGGGCCCAACGAGCCAGCTTCCAGGGACACGGACATGGATGCGCGAGAACCGCGCTAAGGCGAGCACCCAGAGCTCCGGGCCCGCGGACGCAGCCAAGCGAGGCAAAATCGAGTCTCTTCGGGTTAGCGACGATATTAGACGGAGACCAAGTGGATCATCCGGAAGCCCGGAAGGCCAACGGTTGTCTTTTCCTCATCAGACGCCCTCCTGGTGCCGGATGGGTGCAGGTGGAGCCCCGAAAAACGGGCGATGGATCCATAGAGTCGGAAAGCCTGAGAGTCGGAGGAGTCGAGTGGAACGCGTCGAACCAGTTCAGTTCCACCGGGGCCTGGACTTGACAGAGTGGATGTTCGGAGTGGGAGTGGATTGTGGACGTGTGTAGGTCGAGAGGAGGAAGCCTAGAGTCACAGTGTTTAATATTCCCCCCTCCCCCGGCTGCCCATCCCGCGTTTCTTCCCCCATCCTCTCGCGTTTTCCCAACCACGCTTTCTTTCGTTACTACAAGTCGAGACAACTGTCTCACCATTCCGTTCTCTTTTTCGTGAGCGAGCCTCCGACAAGCAAAACACCCAACCTTCTTTTTGGGTACGCCCCGCCGACAACGGCGTATCCATCTACCCCCTCGCGTGACCCGAGGGACTACATCCAAAACAACCGCCCTCTCAGCCACAATTGTTGCCACCGGCACATTGGCACGGCGCATGGCACTTGCCCCCTTCTGATTCTTCGACCTCGCTGTGTTTTCCACTTTGCTGTACGACTCACACGTCCCTTCGGCGTGTTTCGAATCACCCCAGCCCTCGATAAACTCGCCCGGCTCATTGTTATTTATGCTCCCTGGCTGTTCGAGTGCTTCGTCTGGTGATTGTCTACTCTCCGCCTTCGTTTCGAGAACTCCCACCTACCATATTCGGCAAAATGTCTACTTCCTCCGAGTCCTCAGGGTCGCCGGGCTCGCCCAATGGCACAGCTCTGATCTGGATCTTTGACCATTGTCTTCGCTATCCGGGCACGTACGAAATACCGCTGCGCACAATGTACACGATCAATTGCAACCCGACCAAAACTTCGATCTCCAGCAGCCGCTCCGCAGAGACGGCTTTTTCTCCCCGCAACTCCACCTCCACCAAATCCTCCCGCTCTTCCGATAGCTCCATTGATGCAGCCGCCGACTTTCGCTCGCAACTGATCCACCAAATCTCGAATCTACCAACCCAACCCTGCTCTCTTCCTGCGAGCTTTCTGACCTCCTTCTTGCGTCGTTGCTTTACACCCAAGTTGGAGAATGTGGATTTCCCCCAGGCCCTTGCCGCTGTCGACTACTTGAGAGACCTCGAGAATCGTTGGAAAAAAGAATTTGAAGCTGCTCTGAAGCGATTGGGATTCAACCGCGAGGATGCAGAGAAACTCATGGACCCGGAGATGAGAAAGCAATACCCCGGTGTTATTGCTTGGATTCAGACTATGTCAACGAAAGCTCGCACCGTTGAGGCCTTGTACACCCAGATTTACGTCGGTCTTCGTCGTTGGGTAAGTTTCATCCCCCAAAGAAGGAGTAAATGCCTCCTGGTTACTAACCGGATTTGATTTTCCAGATACTCATTAATGATCTGCTTCTTGAGCCCCAAAACAAAGTCAACCATATTGCCATGCTCAACACCTTGTACCCACCTGTCACCGATGCCACCATGATGCCCACCCCTCAATTGACTCGTCATATCCTCAAGAAGCACCGCGATGGTTTCTTCAACTACATCAACGCGGTTGCTAACCGTGGAAAGGAGGCCTTGGATCCTGTCATCTCCCAGGGTGCGCCCGAAGGCGAGGAAACCTCCTGGCCCTTGGTTCACGACAGCTTGGAGCGATATCTGGATCAGGCTAACGAGATAATCGATGAATGTCTTCTGGTTACCGAGCCTTCGCACCTGGCGGAAGACGGGTCCCCCCACCGTCACAAGAACCGCAAGGTCGACTCTGGTATCAGCTTCGGTTCCTCTACCACCGACGTGAGCATTGGCGAAGACGTGACTGAAAAACCGCTTCCTCAATTCCCTGTTCCGAAGAACAATCAAGATAAGCCGGGGTCTTTTCTTGAGCGCATCGCTCGCGAAGTGCGATCTCTCGGCCCCAGCGCCCGGTCCAAGAACCTCAAAAGATGAAATCCAGCACTACTTTGAATGCTCGGCCTGGTAGCCAGCAAAGCTATGCTGAAAGTTCCTTCTTTGAAATCGATGAGCAAAAGCGCCGCCGCTTGATTGGCGAGGCGACTCGCCGCAAATACACCCAGTCCAACGCTTCTAGCTCCTCCTGAAGCAGGTCATTCATTTCGCCACCTCGCCTGGGGTGATTGACTTCCATCCCTTCGTTGAGCCTGGACTCAACCAATTTCCTTTTCCACTTTTACTTTTTTCACTCACGGCGTCTGATACGATGGAAGAAAAAAAAGAGGCCACCCGGGTTGCACATACTACTCATTTCTCGTCAAATTTAACGCGGAGCAACAGGCGTACGGGCATTGCATACATCTACGGGAGGCAAAAATCTGGCGCAGGAATACTTCTTTCATTTCACGAAATTATGTCTCACGAACAAGCACTTAGCCAAATTCAAACCCAAATCGAATGAAATTCACAACATTGCAACCGTCTTAAAGCTCAATAAATCATATACACTAAAAGTTGAGATATGTTTCAGGCCTGCTGGTACATGGAACATGAGGATCAGGGTCCTTATAAAGATTCTGATTGATCATGTTGCAAGGCAGCGCTTCGGATTGGTCGTTCGTTTTTGAATATGAGTAACCCTACCCAGCTACTTAGTCTCAAGTCACATCCTCACGATTGCTTCTTGTTGTCCAAGCTCTGCGGCGTAGGTCAACGCTGTTCGACCTTCGTCGTCTTTTATGTCCAGATCAATCTGTCCAGTTCCAAGTAGCAGTTTTACTACCGTCGTATGCCCTCCCCGCACGGAAAGGTAGATAGGTGTTAGCGGCTCGAAGCTCGTTGCGTTCACGTCCACCTCGCCTGTCTCAAGTAAGAGCTTCACCACCGCGTCATGTCCATTCTCCGCAGCTGTGGCCAGTGGCGTGAATCCGTAGTAGCTGCTTACATTCACATCCACCTGTCCAGTCTCAAGTAACAGCCTTACAACAGCCTCATGTCCACTTTCTGCAGCATGGATGAATGGTGTGTAGCCCATTTCGTCCTTTGAGCTGAGATCCACCAGTCCAGTATCAAGTAGCAATCTCACCACTGCCTCATGCCCATCTCCTGCAGCGTGAGCAAATGGCGTTAAGCCTAGCTCATCCTTTGAATCTATATCCACCTGTCCGGCGCTGAGTAGCAATCTCACCACCGCCTCATGACCACCTCCAGCAGCGTAAGTTAAGGGAGTGTAGCCAAGGTTGTCCCTTGACCTCAAGTCCACATGCCCAGACTCAAGTAATAGTTTCACGATCGCCTCATGCCCACCTCCCGCGGCGTGGGCAAGGGGTGTGTTACCTCAATCGTCCTTTGAGTCGATTTCCACATTCCCGGTTTCAAGCAACAGCTTCACCATCTCCTCATGTCCAAATTCCGCAGCGCGGGACAACGCTGTCCCACTGGAATAGCCTCGACGTAATCTTGCCCGGGAAAGTGAATCTTTCGCCATCACATTGGCCCCTGCCTGGAAACAATTTCGAGCTGTTGCAAGTTATCCATGTCGAGCAGCCCAAAGTAGCGCTGAAGATTCAGAATCTTGAGAGTTTCTTCCATATAAGTATGGATTGACGATCTTGCAACACTGTTTGTTGGCTTGGGCCAACGAGCTGACGTCTCTTTCTGCGTCTAGGAATTTTACTATCAAAAGTAGTAAATCTGTTGGCACCACGAAGGAAAGACATTTTCGGATTTCGATGACCATCGAAGATCGGCAATGCCGCCGCTGCATGAGAAGTCGAGGTGAAACAATATCCGAGAGACAGCTTTGCTGTGAGCCTTGTGGTGAGATTTAGTGTGGAACACCAAATCGAGGCAGATGAAAAAGATAAAGCAGGTCAGGAATCAGGCCAGATTGCCAGAAATATCTAACATTTTGAGTTATTAAGACAATGAACCGCATGTTGGCCCCCCATCTTATCGGCCTTGGCGCTTGGTACCCTAAGCCAGTGGCCGTTCACCGCCCGGAGCAGCGATAAGAGATAATCAACAAGTGTCCATTGCCCCAAGCAATTCCAGAAGTCCTCCGCATTGTTTGCGTCTGAGCGTCGGCTCTCTTGGCCCGTGATGCTTTACATGTTCTTGATTTTGGCTAACTAGAACATCTCTTCCTTCCATATATCGGGGCCTGTCCCCTTCTACCCGACCTACATCGCTCAACGACCTCCGTTGCCTTCGTCCATTGCTCCAGGATGAGGTTCACCCCGTGGCATTGGTACGCCGCGATCGGCGCATTGTGTCCCGGTATACTGGCAACTGCTACTCCATCGGTGGACGTTGCATTGCAAGCTTCGTTCGACGCGGCGCCATACCTGGTGGAATTGCTGTACGTTGTTTACCCGCTAGTATACACCCCGATGACCTCAAGTGCTGACATGTCCGTTCAGTGAATCAGCCGCCGAAGAGAATGCCACTTCGTACTTCCCATTGCTCGACCGTATTGCGGCCGGCGCATTCGATGATGTCTTTACTGAGAAGGAGCTCTACGACCGCTTCCTGCAGGTCGTCCACGAAGATGGACACTTCCGCACCGCCGAAAGCCTCTCGTCCTTTAAACTCTCGCTTGCCATTCGATCGTCCACCCCTCGCATCCAGGCACACTATCAATTTTATAATACATCTGTTCAGCAGTCATTGATGGTTGCTCAGGATGCGGCTTGTCCGGTCTGGGCTCATTACGAGGACAAGCAGTACTGTTCCTCGACCCTGGAGCGCGCACAGCAGGACGTCAACGGAGATTTGTAAGCCTATATGAAGAAAAGTCAGTGCTCTTCAGTCACTAACCCTATGGAATTGCATATAGAGATCCACGGGAACTGCCCTTTGATCGCGTTCTCGGCGATTTGTCCCTTCCTCCAGCAATACTCTACGCGGACGTCTCAGCACCTATGTTCAAAGTCTTTCACGAAACATTGAGTGATATGGCGAAGCAAGGTCAGATCTCTTACCGTGTGCGTTATCGACCACCCCAGCATTGGACCTCTCGCCCACTCTTCGTTTCTGGATACGGAGTGGAACTAGCTTTGAAACGCACAGATTATATTGTCATTGATGATCGTGATGCTGAGAAGCTGGAGGATGGCGCTGGGGGAAGTGCAGCGGATGAGCTGAAGGAGGGCGCTCCGGCCGACCTTCGACCCCTTTCATCATCCGAAGTCTCCAGGCTGGGTTTGAATGCTGCAGCCTATGTCATGGACAGCGAAGACCCTTTGAACACTTTGCTTAAGCTCTCCCAGGACTTCCCTAAGCACTCGTCTATAGTGGCGGCCCACAATGCGTCGAAAGACCTGGTGCAGGAGATCCGCGCTAACCGGGCAAGAATGATTCCGGCAGGATACAATGTAATGTGGATCAACGGCGTGCAGATGGACCCGCGCCAAATCGATGCCTTCTCCCTCCTCGACCATCTTCGTCGGGAGAGGCAACTGATCCAGAAGTTCCGTGATCTAGGGATCTCTGCACGTGATGCGGTGAAGCTTCTGGCACACCCAGTTTTAGCAGAGGCACGCGCAGATGACGAGGCCCAGCGGTATGACTATCGCGATGAGCTGGAAGGAGGCGAGGTCATTATTTGGATGAACAATCTTGAAAAAGATACACGATACGACGCCTGGTCGGGCGACCTTGAGTCGGTAAGATTGACATATGCAAACAAAATGCCTTGTGATGGACTCACTAATACGATGTAGTTCATTTCCAGTGGGTACCCGGGACAACTCCTCCAGTTGCCCGTGACTTGCACAATGTTGTTGTGCCTGTCAATCTTTCCGATCCAGAAGATATTCTTCTGGTTCTCCGACAGATCCAGACTTTCATTAAGCGTATGATTCCAGTCCGGTTCGGATTGGTGCCCATGGCTTCATCCCCAGAGTCTACCGCTCAGTTGAAAGTGGCACACTATCTACAGAAGACATTCGGGCTTTCATCTCTCATACAATATCTGGAAGAGGTTTGTGACAGTCCTTTCTTTAGAAATCATGATTCAAGACATTTTAACGCTGACCGGCACTCTAGTCGACATCGAACTTGAAGGGCGGCAATCCAAGCAAGGCTGCTTTCGAGGCTGCTACCCGGGGCCGAGACCCTTCGCCAGATAAAGAAGTTCTTTCTCTTGACGAAGTGCTAAAGAGTGAACGGTACGAAGCCATTACCGCCAAGGTCATTCAGTACCAACGCCGCTTGAGTCTAAGCAGCGATGACCCTCAATTCCTGGTCAATGGTATTCCTACCTCTCGCGAAGGCAACTGGATGCAGGAGATGAGTATGCTTATTGGTCGAGATCTGAAGCTCGTCCAACAGGGCATCATGGAGGGGGTATTTCACAGGACTGCTTGGCTGCCGGAGTTCTTCCTGGCTGCTTCATTTGAAAGGCGCAACACTTTTCTTATGCCTGAAGACCCGAAAAGTGTCCGAATCGTGGACCTTGCTGATTTATTGGGATCGGAGGCAGATGGACTTGACCATATTCCTCGGATTGCGGCGAAGGATGGTGTTCGCGGCGGCGTTCATCTTCTGGTGGTTGGCGATTTCAAGTCTGAGGAAGGAAAGTCCTTGCTTTCCAATGCACTCAAGTTTCGGAAGGATAACGAGGAGGTGGAAGTTCTTCTGATCTACAACGGTGATCTCGAGGATGCAAAGGGTAGCTCACTCGTGGACAAAATCCATCAATTGATCAACAAGGGCGAGGATATTGATCAGATACTCGCCACCATCAGCTCCGAGGATACTTCCGAATCTGATGCAATGGAAACATATGGAGCCCACCGACGTCTTGCGAAAGAGCTTGGATTCGAGCCTGGTGTTGAGGGTTTGGTCGTCAATGGCAGGGTTGTTGGTCCTATCGGCAAAGAAACCGCCTTGACTACCGAAGAAATTGGTCAGCTTATCACATACGAACGAACAAAACGTATCGATGCTGTTGCGAGAGCTGCCATGAACCTGGGACTGAATTTGCGCATCTCCAAACCGCTTGATCTCGCCATACTCTCCGCCCTTGTTTCCCTTTCCTCCATTTCGGACGTTCCCGAGGGTATCTTTGAATCTACTCCAGACGTCAGGTTAGACTTGTCGGACAAGTGGAAGATCGACCACTCCGTGATCTCAGTCTCCAATTCTGATGATCCGGCAATCAATGTCGTTGTTGCTCTGGATCCAGCCTCCGAAAGCGCGCAGAGATGGCTTCCTATTCTCAAGGTTCTGTCCGAGTTGACCGGTGTCAAGCTGAAAATTTTCTTGAACCCGAAAGAGGACATGAAGGAGATCCCTGTCAAGCGGTTCTATCGCTATGTGTTGAACTCCGAACCATCGTTCACGGTTGAGGGGTCACTTTCACGGCCAAAGGCATCTTTCTCTGGCGTGCCAGTTGAAGCGCTACTCACATTGGGCATGGACGTTCCCTCGTCATGGCTTGTTGCGCCAAAAGACTCTGTTCACGACTTGGATAACATTAAGTTGAGTTCCGTCAAGCCGGATTCCAACGTCGATGCCGTTTATGCTTTGGAGCATATTCTGATCGAAGGTCATTCTCGTGATCTGACTACAAAATCTCCTCCACGGGGTGTGCAGCTCATTCTGGGAACAGAGGAAAACCATCATTTTACTGACACAATCATCATGGCCAACCTGGGCTACTTCCAATTCAAGGCACAGCCAGGTCTGTGGCAGATCAATCTCAAGCCTGGTCGTAGCGAGAAACTGTTCAACATCGATAGTGTTGGTGGACAGGGGTACCGTCCTCAACCTGGTGATGAGAACAACGAAGTCACTCTACTCTCCTTCCAAGGCCGAACCCTCTTCCCCCGTCTTTCGCGGAAACCTGGCTTCGAGGATGACGACGTACTAGAAACCGGGTCACGTGCCGGGTCAACAATGGATTACCTATCCAAAGGCCTCAATTTCGCTTCAGGAGTTTTCTCAAGTGTGGGTGTGGGCTCGAAGAACGACCAACATGCGGATATCAATATCTTTTCCGTCGCCAGCGGCCACCTTTATGAACGAATGCTAAACATCATGATGGTCTCAGTCATGAAGAACACCAAACATACAGTGAAGTTCTGGTTCATAGAACAATTCCTCTCTCCCTCCTTCCGTGCTTTCCTCCCTCATCTCGCCGCCAAGTATGGTTTCTCCTATGAAATGGTCACCTACAAGTGGCCGCATTGGCTACGCGCGCAGAAGGAGAAACAGCGTGAAATCTGGGGCTATAAGATGCTATTCCTGGACGTGCTCTTCCCCCTCTCATTGGACAAAGTCATTTTCGTGGATGCAGACCAAATTGTGCGCACAGATATGTATGACCTTGTCACACATGATTTGGAAGGTGCGCCCTATGGGTTCACCCCAATGGGCGATTCTCGCACCGAGATGGAGGGTTTCCGCTTTTGGAAGCAAGGGTACTGGAGTACGTTCTTGCGAGGGAAACCTTACCATATCTCGGCACTGTATGTCGTGGATTTGAAACAATTCCGTGCTCTTGCGGCGGGTGATCGTCTGCGTGGCCAGTATCAGATGCTCTCCGCTGATCCGAACAGTCTGAGTAATCTGGATCAGGACCTGCCGAACCATATGCAACACCATATTCCTATCCATAGCTTGCCACAAGAATGGCTATGGTGTGAGACGTGGTGCTCAGATGAAGATCTTGCAAATGCTCGAACAATTGATCTGTGTAATAATCCACAGACGAAAGAGCCAAAGCTTGCGCGAGCTAGGAGGCAGGTGCCCGAATGGACGATATACGATGATGAGATTGCAACTCTAGCCAACCGGGTTGATGCAGAGCAAGTTGGTTTTGTGCTGACTGGTGAGGATACAGATCGGAAGGGGAGTGTTCGAGAGAAGACCGGGGAACATGCAGATGAAGATCACAAGGATGAATTATAGATGCGTGTGGTCGCCGTCGTCATTACTTATACCTGTTTTAAGAACATTTTTGCGTACTTATCGAATTTGCTTCAATACATTCCATACATGGTTAAATAACATGACCCAAAAGAGTCGACAGTCGCTTCGCTTTTCATACAAAAGAGGCAAAATCTCCCGACAGTTCCCGAAAATCAATACTCCGGTTCCGGCTGCTCGATCTAATGGCGTTCGAAGCCCTCCGAGTTACCGTTGCCAGAATGAACGGGAAGCTGGATTAGAGATGTCTGTTTGTGTTCGACTTAATTATCGTTGTCATCATTCCGCTCTTGCTGGGCCTCTGATCGCCTCTTTGCCCTCTTCTTTTCCTTTTTGGAAAGCCCAGCGCTATCATGATCTCCTGATACGGTGCTATCCAGCCTTGATTCAGATTTGCGATGGTGTTTACGATTCTTCGTGGGCGAAGTGACATCCGCAGCATCGTCACCGGCATTCTCTGTCGCCATCTGGGACTTCCTGTGCTTCTTCTTTTCCTTTCTCGCTTTCTTGTCCTTGTTCTTTTTCTTCTTCTTGGTCAAGTCTGCAATTTCCGAATCCTGAGCGACCAAGGAAGAATGCTGCTCAGCCTCAGCAAATTTTTTGTCCTCGACCCGTTGGCGCTTGACAGATTCCTCGAGATTCTGAGGCGCCTCTTCTGACGCAGCCTCCGTGGAATTTCTGTCTTCCAAGCCAGTCGAAATAGCCCCGCCATCTTCTCCGTTCTCACTCACTGAATTTGTCTCAGAAGCAAGTTGGACTGAGTCCCAAATTGCTCTTACATTGGTTGGTACCTCAGCCGAGACTGTCGGGTATTCTGAAGCATTGATTGCCTCCTTCTCTTGGTTGTCATCGCTAGAATCATCGCGGATTCTATCATCACTTTTGAAGGGCTTGTAAGCGTAATAAGGGGCTTTGACTCTTGAGACTCCAGGAGCATACTCAGGATGCAGAACAGCGTTTGGGTCTTCAATCCGGAGTCTAAAAACGTGTCTTTGGAGTTTGCGCCATCTATCCGAACACTGCTTGCGAGATCGCATATGGTTCATTAGATCGCTGACCATGCCCCACGGAATGAGCCTAACATCCATTTCATACACGTCCTTGAACGCCATGAGTTCTGGCGCAGATTGGCGAACCTGCTCAAGGGCCTCCAGCAATCTGCGCGTTTCCTCCACGGTCCATGGCCCACCTCTGAAATATGCGCGGTATTCAAGTTTATTTTTCCATCGTTGCGTCACATCATCATCACTGCGACCAAGCAGTTTGGCAACGTACGCATACTTCGGACCATGAGCGAGGAACAGCCTGATCAACTCGTCGTCTTGTTCCTCCGTCCAGTCGTGTGGTTTCTGCTCCTTGTCCCGGAAATGCCTCCGCGCAAATCGATAAACGGACCGGGTGCCTCGCTCAGGCAGGACTTTTTGGAGTTCTGCCCAGAATTCGACTTTGGTGCCGCAGATATGTGTGGGCCAAGGAAGGTCGAAGTATTCGCGTTCGGAATGCTGCACCAGCATGTCGAATGTTCCCGCGTCAATGCCATGCGAATTGCAGTAATTGACCTTGTAATCCTCTAGCTTTTTGGTTTCCTCAGCCTGGAATGGACCGATTCTTTTCCCCTTATCCTGTCCAGCTCGCCCAACTCGGTACGGTAGCTGAGTGCCGGCTGGAGTGCTGCTCAGCTCGGGACCCGGTGTCGCTTCATGAGGCAGCGGAGTAGCAGAGAGTTCGGGTTCGATCTGAGCCATCCGAGAGGGGTTGTTTACTGCCATCCAGGAAGAGGCTGGCTCTTGCTTGATGGGTATATCGACAGAAGTGCTATTCAGCACAGCCTCTTCGCCCTGCTGCTTGCTCTTCTTGTTCTTGTGACTCGATTCAGACTCGCGCTTCCGCTTCGAAGAGGGTTCGGAATCGTTTGCGATATTGCTATCTGAGGCGCGTTTGTTTTTACGCATGCCTTTTTCAGACTTCCGTTTCTTTGATTTCGTGCTGTCCATATTGTCTTGCGGGGCTGGCAATTTGGGGTCTGGAACAGTCAGTTATCAAGTCAGCGATGATCCGCAATAGAGTTGCTACTGTAGGGTAGGAGATAAGAATGGCCCACTTGCCGTAGATATCGTGATTGCCGTTCTCGACATTGACTGAGCTTGGTTTGGCCATTGCGACGGCGCAAGGAACGTGTCGTGGCGCAAGAAGCGCGAGGCAGTCACCATCTATTGTTGCTCATGCAGCGTCCAAAAATTTGGGTGACGCCGAGGCGGCACGGCAAAACCACTCACCGCCTAAAAGACCGCCTCTCCAAACTCAACCCGCATGCCGCAAATAGACTTGACCAAAAGGGAGAGAGGGGGAATTCCAATCGAAGATTAGGCAGAGCCCGTGTTGGAACATAAGTCCAAATGTACCAATACTTGTAAACAAAAATGGCGAGGATATCCTGCATACGGTATTTTTCTGCATGGAGCATAAACTTTTTTTACCCAGGTCTTTATCAGGTACAACCACTACTATGGTAAGTCCTACCAAGACCTTCGTGGGTTCAGGGCTATCAATTTCAACCACTAGGTAATATTCGTATATAACTCGAGCTCCATAAGCTATATCCTTGTTTCCAGGAAATTCGGAAAAGGGTTGGATGCTGTAGTTCAAGTTTGATGAGATACTTACGACTACAGGCAAAAAATAAGCCGTTGAAACGTAACCGTGAGCCCATCAACGTAGGAATTATGTTCGCTCATCCATTCAATCAACCTCAATGCTGTTCCGCCATCAAGCTTGTTGCAACCATAGTCCTTTTCACTAGACCTTGCAATATATGGTGTCACTTCCTGCCTGCCACTGCATTGCGAGAAGAATTCGACGTTAAATAGTGGTTGCAAGCACATAGTAGAGTCCGAGTAACCGGTAATGACGGACCTGTTGAGAGTCGAACGAATCTGTACAGTGACTGAACATCGGGGGCCGGCCCAATATTGGCCGTTGTCTTTTCTCGTGAAAAAAGCTAGTCATGAAAAAACTAGGGGAAGGCGAGTGGATGCGCTCTTGGCTTGCAGAATCGATGGTTGTATGCAACGACTCAGGGGCCCGATCCATCAGGATGATAAAACTTCAGCCATTGTCTCGCATTTGAAACGGTTACCGGTTCAAGAATATCACGAGCTGAGTTTCATCTCGCGAAGAACTTTGGTAACCAATTTCTTCTGGTCCGTCGTGTTTAGATTGTTATCGTCAGTGCTCTGGAGACACCGACCGATTGCAATCGTGGATTTGATCGCGGTGTCCCCTGCAGCGGAGCAATCGACCCAGACTTTCCCGTTGCGACCGACAGCAATCTCAAAGCCACCCGAGCTCTCCAGTTTCTTGCCAAGCTCAGAAAGGACCACGAGCCCGTCGATAGCATCTCCGTGGTCAGCTGAGGAGGAGCTCGCCCGGATTAAGCGAGCAGCAAAGCCAGTGGAGATATCGAAGACCATCCCGCCCGTAAGCGGCCCAAGTCCACCCGGTTCGGCTTTACCAGTAGCAGGATTGACGCAAGTGATCTCAACCTCAGCACCTGCACCCAGACCCACAGAGGAGACTCTTGCGTACACCAGGTCACCGCGGTTCAACATTGGCCTGGTCTTCTTTGTAGCACCCTCGAATGATAGTTGACCCAACAAAGCTTGTGCCGTGTGTGGTGTCACAATACAATGGAAGTAATCAATGCTGGAGTGATGGATCTGCGCGATGATAAGATCGTTTGTTGTGGGAATATATCGGCGATTCGAGAAAGATTGGAGAGAGACGGTGTTTCGCTTGGCATCTGTCGTCAGAATGCCGGCTTGTGATGCTGTGAGGACGTGACTCGAGGCCGCAGAATTGGTGGAGGGTTGTGACAGAAGACGAACACCCGAACCGAGCTTTAAAGGGTTCGATTTTGTGGACGGCAGGTGGTTGCTGGGCACCTCGTCGCCAGGCAGTAAGATAAGTGGAGTGGACATTGTGCGATCTGGTGTGCCTATGAAAAGCACTTGGGATATATTGTAGTCGAGCCCGCGTGACTGCCAATTGCGTATAGGGTATCGAGTGAACGATTAAATAATTGGCAACGATCATGTGGCGCGAAGAAAACGTTGCTCATCCAACTTATTTTGCCGGGTTGTCCCCACTAGCCTCAAGGCGGTGAGGATGCTCTGGCTCCACTGCAGGTACATGCTAAGGTCTCTTGTGTCAATGAATGGCTCTAAGAATGATCGTATCCGATATGGAATAGCTTGGAATTAAGGATGGACAATTAATTGATTTCTCTCAGAATAGATAATTGATACATTTATCAATTACTCCAAGGTACGATAATAAGAGAATGTACCTTGGGGTAGCCACGCCTGAAAAATTTGTACCGCCGCAGTGGTATCGATAAGCACCAGCCACACGCTGGGCTGGTTCCGCCAAAAATCTCCTTGGCTTCACATCCAAAAAAAATTGGTTTCCCCCGCTATCAAGGCAATCTTTCTTCAACGCCCCCCACTCAACTCTCCCCTTCACGCATTGTGTCGTGGAAGACTTTCCTTCATTTTTGATATCGGATTTCTCCTTTCACATTCAAAATGGGTGACGCGGCTAATGGTGTCGCCGCCGAGGCGGAGCGCTTTGCCATTGGTATCTCCTTTGGCAACTCCTGTAGTTCAATTGCCCGTATCTCGCCGGTGAGACGACTCCCTCTATAGAAATTTTGACTTTAATGGCTAATACTAGAGGCCCAGGATGGCAAAGCTGAGGTGATTGCCAACGAGGAGGGTGGTACGTTTCTCTTTTTCTTCCAATTTATCCCGCCAAACCAACTCAGACTGACGATACCCTGCTAGACCGTCAAATCCCTACCGTTCTTTCGTACATCGAGGGCGAGGAGTACCATGGTACCCAGGCCAAGGCTCAGCTCATCCGCAACTCCGGTAATACCGTCGCATACTTCCGGGACTACCTGGGCAAGGACTTCAAGTCGATCGACCCAACTCCCTGCCACGCTTCCGCACACCCCCAGCAAAGTGACTCGACTGTTGCATTTTCCATTCGCGATAGCCCCAGCGAAACACCCAACTCTGTCAGCGTTTCTGAGATCACCACCCGCCACCTGCGCCGCCTGAAGCAGTCTGCTACCGACTTCCTTGGAAAGGATGTCAACGCCGCCGTCATCACTGTTCCCACCAACTTCTCCGATGCCCAGCGCGAGGCTCTTGTCGCCTCCGCCAAGGCCGCGGGTCTTGACGTTCTCCAGCTTATCGCTGAGCCTGTTGCCGCCGTCATGGCCTACGACGCTCGTCCTGAGGCTACTGCCACAGACAAGCTGACTGTGGTGGCCGATCTGGGGGGCACTCGCTCCGACGTGGCTGTCATTGCCTGCCGTGGTGGTATGTACACCATCCTGGCTACTGCCCACGACTATGAGCTTGGTGGTGCCTCCCTGGACCAGATCATCATTGATCACTTCGCCAAGGAGTTCATGAAGAAGCACCAGGTCGATCCCCGCGAGGATAAGCGTGGTCTGGCCAAGCTGAAGCTAGAGGGTGAGGCTACTCGCAAGGCCCTCAGCCTGAGCACCAACGCTCAGCTCAGCATTGAATCCCTTGCCAACGGTATTGATTTCGGCTCTACCGTCAACCGTACCCGTTTTGAACTGCTCTCCGGGAAGGTCTTTTCCCAGTTCACTGGTCTAATCGAGCAGGTCGTTAAGAAGGCCGGCCTCGATGTTCTTGACATTGACGAGGTCATCTTCTCCGGTGGTACCTCTCACACTCCCAAGATTGCCCAGCTGGCCCGCAACATCTTCCCCGAGAAGACTGCAATTCTGGCCCCCTCGACCCTCACCTCGGCCATCAACCCCTCTGAGCTGTCCGCTCGTGGTGCCGCTTTCCAGGCCTCCCTGGTTCAGGAGTTCGAGCACGAGGACATTGAGCAGTCCATCCACCCCATGGTCACTGTGACCCCTCACCTCAGCAAGGCCATCGGTATCGAGTTCACTTCTAGCACCGACACCACTTTCCAGCCTCTCCTCAACACCGAGACTGCCCTGCCTGCTCGCCGCATTGCTCAGTACACTGCCCCTAAAGAGGGCGGTGACGTCCTGGTCCGTGTGTGTGAGGGTGCCCGTGATATCAAGGTCACCAAGCCCGAGCCTAAGCCCAAGGAGGAAAAGCCTGCTGATGACGAGGACTCGGAATTCTCCGATGAGGATGACGAGGAGGAGGAGATTCGCGAGATCGTTTGGAAGACGGAAAAGCCCGTTGCCGAGCTCGCCGTCAAGGGCGTTAAGGCCGGCGGCAAGGTCGAGGTCATGGTCCACGTCAACCCCGACCTGGGTCTGCAGATCGCCGTCCGCGAGGTTGGAGGCTCCACTGCTGTGCGTGGTGCTATCAACGGCTCCGCGTAAAGAGGGCCCTTTGATTTCATTTAAAAAAAAACCGATCCCCCTTATGGTGTGATGACGCATGCATGACTGATAGAGGCTGTGCTTTGATTTCCCTTGTTTCTCTTTTGTGTTCCAAAGTCATTATCTATTTTGGAGTCTGCTATAGGATTTTTTCGTGTTATGTGCAAGTTCAAATAGACTCACAATTGGAAGTGACCAATAAGGATTTATTCCAGAATTTCCAGTGACCGATCCATGGTCGGTGGCTCCTATTTTCCAGCCTTTGTTATCCCAAGGACGGATGACGAACAGCCTCGGGTTCCTAGATTTTCTCCAAACTTTCGGCTTGATTTCTATGGCTATAGCGGAATGGCCATTCGCAGTTCGCCTTGCCGTTTTCAAGCTCTACCAACAACCGATGCATCGTCGATGGAGATAAAACAGATATTACATTACAACTTCAATTAGGTAGATATGGCAGATAACACGAGCACTGGAAAGATTCAAAGGTCGGAAACCCGTTGCAACATGAACTCGTCAACATTTCAATTGACCAAAAACAGTCTCCGGGCCGCTGGCGTCGATACCAATTAGGCATGCGCATTAGCTCGGGGGCATCAATAGGTATTAAGTAACGATCGTGAATGTTTCGTAACAGCATGAAGGAGCGTGACGGTGAGAAACCAAAGAATCCAGAATGACCGGAGCACAGATGAGCAGATTTAGGACAAAGGCGAGGGAGATCACCGGGAAAGCGGGTGCTCTCGACGGGATATCAGCGCAGGAGTCAATCGTATAGGGTGAAGGCGGAAAAGCAGGGACGCTGAGTACACCCGGAATATCAACGTGAGCTTGGCGGTCGAGGTTTTCCTTTTTTTCCCCTTCCATGGGCACAGAAGGATTCGAAAATTCGCTTCGACAAGCGTACATCCGTCTAAGCGTAGGATTCCTTCTTCTGGCTTCGCACACTGTTTGAGCGAGCTGAATTGAAGAATCCGCGGCGACGCTCCTTGCGTCCGCTGTAGCCATCATCTTTACGACCGACAGCACCACCGAGACAGTACATCAGGCAAGAAAGGAACAGACAAGCACTTGCAGTCCACATAAAAGCGAAAGCCTTGACGCCGAGCTTAGAGGTCTGACCGTTGCTGTTGAAGGCATCGCGGCCCTGGACATAGGCAGCACTGGAGACGATGTTAGTCATAGAAGCGGTTGATAAACGAAATAAAAAAAAAGAACATACGTCATGAGACAAGTAGTGATAACCTGGAAGGTCAATGCCAGCCAGGCCACAAAGCCAGAGATATAGCTGCCGATACGAGTGCACATGGCTAGCAGGCCAGTGAAGAGCGAGACCACCGCAAAGAACAGACCGATGATGATGAAGGGGAACATAAAACGGGTCATCAGGAAGTAGTGACTTGTCCTATATTGGTAGACCACGGTCAGTATGTGATCTTTGTCATGTTTCTGTTTGCCCAAAACCTACCCGATGAACTGCTGCGGTACATTATCGGTCGTGTCGAAGTTGCGATGACTTGGGGGATCCAAGGGGAAGTCCGGGTGAGAGCTTCCGCAGTCGTTCTTTCCATCATCTGTCACCCCACACAGATTCCAGAATGTCCAGCGTGAGGTTGCCGGAGCACCTGGAATATTGCCCGTGTCGGCCTGGAGGAAGTACACCTGATTCAGCGGATTAGTGTTGCGCGCACCCCCCAGCAATGTGAGGAAGATGAGTAGAATTGAGCCGGCCATAAAAAATAGGCCGAGGAAGCCCAATGACGCTCCTGTACGGAATCCAAAGTTAGTTTGCGAGGTAGCTTGACTTGGAAGCGGCGTACGATGCATGATTGCGCAGCTGGTCGCACTTACTGCTGAGGCCCATTGTGGTCGGTCCCTGAGCCGGGCTGAGTAGAAGTTTGGGGAAGGAAGAAAAAAGCTAGAGCCGTAAGGTCGGTGCCTGGAGGTACTTGCTGCCCGAAACGCCAATGGATTGGGATGCGGTGTCGAGGGGTGTTAGGATCGAGAGAAGGTCGAGGGAAGATCGAGAGCTCTCAAGTCAAAAAGAAGCACGAGTGCAACTAAGGTCCGACAGCCGGCGTATCCGGGCCCGCTGCCCCTCTCCTGATATAAGAGCATCATGCTCATAGATCGTGAGGATCATAACGTCATGCTTGCACCTGATCGGCTAGCTGTTATTGGCTAGCACGCACTCTAAGCCGACGCTAGTCCCACACAGGCTTAGCGGGCCTCCGTCCATGACGAACATTGGCGCGCGACCGCAGGCCACCGACGTTGCAGCTCCTTTCAACCGCGCAGCTGCAAGCCCCATCAGTGACGTGGATCAAAACTCTTCTGCCTTGCCCTTGCCGAAAACTTTGGTCCTCTCCCTTGACGTTGCGCTCTTTCCTTCGCCCTGCTGGAAGTCGGCCACCCCGGCACCATGGCGACTTGGGCATACCCCCCACTGCCGCCTGACCAGCTGAACCGGGAGGCGGATTCCGCATTGGTACGTTGAAAACTTGTTCTCATTAAGCCTGCTGCGATCTGCGATCTGCGACCTTCGGTCATGGTTGGCTCCAGCAGTATTGATCCCCAAAAAGGATCGCCTCAGGGATCACACCTTCCGGGTGGAGCTATTGGCCAACATTTGTACTCTTTTTTAGGCTCGGGAGCTTCAGTGGTTACTACAATCGCTGCAGGAATCGCTTGTTTCTTTGAAGGAAGGTCTTCAAGAGTGTGCTGCGCTTCTTGCACCCCAGGAACCAGGGTCCACCCTGGTCCTCTCTTCGATACGATCAGAAAATGTCAAGGGCTTCGTGACTCGTGTTGGGACAAAGCTGGTCAAAGGAGTATGTAGGTCTCCCCACCAGGCAATCTGTCCTTATACCAATCGGCTTTTGATCTACTAGGATGTTCAGCTCCGACTTCAATCACTCCCGCCTCCCCGGGGCTCCCCAAGTACCAGACTGATCCTCTCCCAAAGTCCCGATGCACCCGCTCTGGTACTGCAGCAGCTCGTATCGGTCCGAAACCTAGTGAATCAGAGCTTGGATATTGTGGACGTGAGCACGTACACGGGAAATCCCCATGATCCAAGATTTATCTTTAGCCAGCTGCATCTCTTGCATGAGACTATTACCGAAGCACGGCAGATGTTGAAAGGCGATGGAGACGTCCGAGGAAGCTGGTGGGAGACTAGCGTGTCTGACAATGTAAGCTTGTCTCTCTTTCCATCCTGCATTTCCAGATGCGTGGTCTAAGTACACTCCTGCTGACACTTCCTTTGTGACGACAGATGTTTGACCCGCCTCCTCCCCCTTACCTCTCCTTTCATCTATCCATTGCGGATTCCGCCCTGGTTCTACTCGTTCGCACTCTTGAGAGCAATAACACGACGCAAGCTCCCACGGCCTTTGCGACAGATATTTCATTAACCGGATTTTCCTTACGAGATCGGTTGTTCGGCAGTCGACAAAAGGCACATGATGAAGCAGGCGATGTCTTTATGTGGAAGGGAGAAGAGGTTCACGTGCGAGAGAAGGTCAGAGTTGAAAGTCAGGACCCTAGTCTCATGTCAGCCATGGCAAAATTGACAGCTCTGGAGCACGAGGTGATGCGCTGGATTGGCGCGTTGCGAGTGCTTATGGGCAACGACGACATGGAAAGTGAAGTTTGAAAGGTGATATCATGAGTTTTAATATGAATACCCAGAATACTAGTAATAGCTTTCTATACAACGCGCATATCATGGCATTTGATGTGTCTTCTCATGTAGAACCGACCAGTCAATATTAATGTTTGGGGTTAGGTATCAGCGAGAGCAATATCATTATCTATCAATCATTACCTTCTATGTTGAAGACTCGAGATCCGTTCTGCGGATGCGAGAGAATCATATAACTTGAATACAATGATGCTAACACTTGTGAAGGCACCGGTACCGGCATGTTGGAACTTACTACATTGTGCGCTTACATTGTGCGCTTACATTGTGCGCGTGTAAAATGTTCAAATGAGGTCAATCATCTTACTCGCGAGCACGCATCCTGTTATCTCGTCTGGTATAGCTCCATCTGCCCACTTTGATGGCAGCACAAGTGGAGTCGATTGCCCCATTTATGTAATGAACCTGGCACGTTGGCCCAGCCAATCATCGGACGGAAATTTGTGATGGCGGACGGGCGGCTTGGCTTCAATTTTCTGGAGCTCCGCCCGGCTCTGGATACTTCTTTGCTCTTCAGTTCACCCTTGAAGCCAGGTCTGGACCGGTAACATGCTGTCCAGCTCTTCAGCTTCCAGAGCGAATCACTCGCATGCTCGGCACCTCCTGCGCCCGTTGATTCCTGGCCCAGGTGCATCGCGACCGTCTCGCGGAGCTGCAGGCTGGATCGCGCCAAAGCAAAAACGAAGTTTGTCTCAACAACCATACCTCTTGGCTACATCCACACCCCTTGCGACCAGCAAAAGCTGTACCCACAATTCCCTGTCGAGATGGACGACAAGACACAGGTTATCGTCCTCTGCAGCAGCACCCAATCCCCAATCGCCCGAGCCCAGCGCGCTCGACACCGTCAATACCTTAATCGAGCGCATTAAAGAAAACGAAGACGCCATGGTGCAACTTATGGACGAATTGGATTTGATGCAAGACCCCGATAGCATCGACGAACTGGAAGATCTCTCCAACGAAGGAAGTTCATACACCCTCGAGGCCTGGGTCGAAATGGTTCGTCAGCAATTTGGGGAGACAATTCCAGATGGCGCACTGAATGAGGAGGAGCTACAGTTGTATACATCATTATATGGAGAGCCCACGATCCAGGAAATACCGGATGAAATGGTCGCGGGGGAAGACGAGAGAGACCCCGATCGTTTGTTCCGTGAGGATGGGCAGGGCGGCTGGGAGGAGATCGAGTTTGAGCAAAATGAGGAATCTCACGATGATGCTCCCATTGTGTACGATATGGAGGCTGACCCGGCAGTGGAGGAAACCATCGCCATGCAGCGCACTCGAGAAGTTGCTGAGCAACTGGGCGGGGAGATCCTGATGGAACAGTTTGTGAACGAAGCTGTCCCAGAATCCGCACCTCGTTCTCATCCGCTGACCCGGATGGGTAAATTTGAAACAGAACCTGGCACTATCAATCTGCCAAAGAGGACCGTCACGGGCCCTATCTCCATCATTCTCTCCGAGTTCTCCAACAAGCATATTGCCGACGCTGCTCATCGCCTATTTGGTGGACTGGGTTTACCTCATTCGACTACGACTCCTCCTGCTCGAGCACAATTACCACAACTTCCCATCCCACTCAGTGCATCCCAGCATCACATGGGAGAGATGGAAGCCAATGCTTATGTTGCAGCTCTTTACCCCGGCATCTACGCATCTGTTCTTAGTGTCCTTGTTGAGGTACGGAAACGAATGGGAACCGATTGGATCCGTGGACTGATCTCCCAAGAAAATGGTCCGAATGTCCTCGATGCTAGTGGTGGCGGTGCCAGCATCTTGGCCTGGAGAGACATCATACGTGCGGAATGGGAGGTGATGGTCCCCGACCACCCTGAAGGCGCACCGATTCCCTACGGTCGATCGACTGTGTTAACTGGCTCCGAAGCACTCCGCCTGCGTGCCAGCGCAATGCTCGACAATACTAGCTTTCTTCCTCGCCTTCCAGACTATGTTCATGTGCGCGAGAAGCCTACGCTAGAAGATTCGCGTTCAGCACCCAAACGAAAGCAGTATGATGTCGTTATTGCACCGCATTCTCTTCTTGGGTTTGATGAGGATTACCAGCGCAAGGAGTACGTGGAGAACCTATGGCAGCTTCTTAATCCTGACGGAGGTGTCCTCATTCTGCTTGAGAAGGGCCGCCAGAGGGGTTTTGAATGTATAGCCGGTGCTCGTGAGATGCTACTGAAGCGCCACATCGCGAGCCCCGACTCGATAGAATATGAGAATTTCCTCGAATCTCCCGAGAACAGCCAAACCGTGGAGAAGGAGGCTGGTATGATTATAGCGCCCTGCACCAATCACTCGACATGTCCCATGCACAACTCTGCAGGACCCACAAAGGGCCGAAAAGACTACTGTCACTTCGAGCAGCGATATATTCGGCCTCCATTCCTGCAGCGGATCATGGGGGCCAAAGATCGCAATCACGAAGATATCAAATTCAGCTACCTCGCCGTGCAGCGGGGCAAGGACCTTCGCCAAGAGCAAGGTATCCAGCAGAATTCTGAGGCGACGGATGCTGCTTTCGAGGGATTCGAGCATCTCGAAGAACCTACAGGGGATTTCCATCCGCTATCTCTCCCACGTGCAGTCTACCCGCCTCTCAAGCGTCGGGGTCATGTCATTTTCGACCTGTGTACACCGGCTGGGAAGATCGAGCGCTGGACGGTCCCCCGCTCTTACAGCCGCCAAGCGTATCGGGATGCGCGCAAGTCCAACTGGGGTGATCTATGGGCTTTAGGTGCTAAAACCCGTATCCCTCGCAAGCTGAACTTGGGCGAGAAACATGGAGAAGGCAAAAAAGAACGTCTTGCTCGGCGGGCTGCGGACAAGGCCGCCTCCCGCGAGGTAGACGAGGAAGGAGATCTAGAGCACGATGACGAAGCCGACGGTCTTTCGGATATTCCCGATATCCCCAAGCGGAAGAAGGGACAAAACATTCCCAGTTGGAAGAAGCATAACGACAAAAAGAAGCTTCGGCAGGCTTACAAGCGCCGTGCTGTTGCAGAAGATGCAGAATAACCTATTCACTGTTCGCTTGGATCTAGCATCTGAATTCAGCATTTACTGATTGGCGTTTATGCCTGGCCTGACCAGGTGAGATCATTGTATTGGGTCACCTTGTACTATCATTGGCAAAACATCATGGGTCATTGGATATGGGATTAGGGCATTCTGTACACTAGAATAATCTTCGCACCGCACTATATCTGTAAATAAAATTTCTTCACTCTGAATGGTATCTAGTCTGAGCAACGTCTAATATTTATCTGTAGCACACTGCCATTCCCATGACATGTGGATTGACCCTTTAAGGTCGGTACAACTGACCAATGCTGGTCGGTATAGTCATTATGTATATCCAGGTAAATCGTAAGCAGGATGATTCACAAGTGTTTGGCTATACATCAACTATTCGGCGACACATCGGGCAACTATTATGCAGTTGTAACCAAGGAGCAAGGCATTCAATATGGTACCAATGCCTGCAAGGTAGCTGCGTTACCTCATCTCCCGATGGTACCATGGCCTGACAGATGGGACATGTTGGCTCGGCAGTTAGCATTTCTTGAGTCGCAATTATCCGCGGCAAACGTGCAATCAACTCAGTTGATTCCTGGGAAGGAACTGGATTCCAATAGCACCGAGGGCATCCAGCAAATTGTTAATCCTCTCTCTTAGGAGTATTCTTGCCATAGCCAGGGTATGTAACTCTGTCTCATCTAGGTTCGTATTTCCGATTTCCACACCCGTAAGACTCACAAACTCTGAATTCAAATGCCCTTCAGTGACTTCGCTCGCGTAATCTGGCGTGGTGAGGGTTAAATTGCCTGAAAGTCCCTCGGCTTCTTGGAAAGGCGGCGTGTCGACCATACTAGAATGACTATTTAAGTTATTCCAAGGGAGGGAAGGGTCATTGAAATCGGGATCCAAGAGTTCGGGATCAGAATATTGAGCAATCTCCTCGCCATTGCTGAGCCTGGTAAGAATTCTTTTCTGCCACTCGTCGTTCTGCTCCTCGGTTGCGTGCTTCCATGCGTACATAGAGATCTGCAATTCCGTCAGAAAATGGAAAAATTCCATTCTCGTCAGAGTAAAGGCGTGTTCCCCAAATAATGTATCAAACCCACTTGAGGCATTGAACCGGTCAATGCAGATGTAAAGTATATAAGAAAAAGCACGAGGGGGGCGTTGGTTTATACAAGAAGCTTCTTGAACAAGATCACCAACAGGCCAGTTCCAGGGTAGTCCCGGATCATCGAAAATCTCATACGGGATGATCGGATCGCACTCGAGACTTATATCTCCGTCTGCCTCAATATGCTCCAAGATAAGTTTTTGATGCTGTCGGCAGTTCTCTAGGACCGCTTGTTCCCACCGCATGATAGCTGCCTGGATTCTGTTTAGGAGGTTGTGAGCTGCTGCCATTGTCCAAGGTTCCTCACGGGTGAAAAGCCTTTCTATACCCTTACAAAAGCTATATATTAGCTCATGGTTAGGGTAGAGCTCCATTGTGACAGCTTCCTGATTTCAGAGAATAACACTTGTAGCAATCTGCGGTCCTGTATCTGAAAATGCGAACAGGATCTTGGCGACCGCACAATAACAATGTGGTAGATGTGAGCTATGCCCGACAAGAAAAGGCGATATAGAGATTGCTTTAAGGTATTTATTGAAATTGCCCGAGAATGAGCTGCCCCAAGGGACTTGAGAGAAGATGGACGTCCCAGAAAGGCCTCGGTTTCTTTGATATTGATTTCATTGTTGAAACAAACAAATACCATACAGATCATGCCCTCGTACTTTGTCATAAATACCATTGTTTTTTTATCCATTATCCCAAGACAGATCATTTGTTTGTCAGAAAGAGAAACTGGTCACACTTTGATAACATTGGTCCTGACAAATACAGGGGGCGCTTTGGACAGTCTGCCCCCTCGATGAAACGACAGTATTATAAACCCCCTCCCCAAGCCGTACATCCACTAATCTTTGGTTGCAGAGAGATTGTGCAGCTCTGCAGATATTTACCCCGTCTCCATGATAGAGGTTTATATGCGTGGGGCAGAACCGAATTCACCCATGGAAGGATAGGGCGAGTCGGTGCAGTGTCAATGCAGGGGTACTTTCAGCATCAGTCATCTGATGTGTAAGAACGAGCCTTTGATCAAAGATGAAGAACTGCAGCTCAATTATGGAAGAGAAAATCTCGTCATGGGAGGCGCAGGTTCGCGCAGGGCTATCCTCGGTATGAACAGTCGATTGAAGCCAGCGTGATGAGACGTTGAGGCCAGAAGTATTCCACAGGGCAGGAAGCCTCCAGGCCGGCTACCGGAAGCAGATCGACTGGGACTAAAAAAAATCACACCCAGAAGGCTAAGAGTCTGCATACCGGTGTATATGGGTGGACTTTTGCGGTTTGTCTATGCTTGAAATTTCTCATTGAGCAGCCATGCTCTTTCTCAGTTGCCTCTCACGTTGGGTACTTTGCAACTCCAATCGATCAACGGCGTATTTCAAACGTTCTTTCTTCTGCACCAATCTTCGCAGTTCTGCCGCCTTTGATGCTGCATTGGCTGTGGAGGCACCGCCTGGCCCCGCGAGTTGACCCCGCATGGCAGAGCTGCTCTTGTTTTGGCCGCGACTTGCCGAGGCTCTACCTTCCGATTTCGAAGAAAGACGGCCCTCCTGGAGATCGCATTTCGCTTTTAGCCCCTCTTCGCGTCGTAAAAGCCTCTCAACGTGGTTTGAGGCTAGGGAGAGAAGGTGGGCAATGCTGGGGGTGATCTCGTCTAAAAGAGATTGCTGGGCTTCGCGGAGAGTGGGTTCGGGGAGCAGTTCGAAATGCTGTTTTAAAAAAGTTAGTTCCCAATTCTTGCTTCCAAGAAGGAGTCATTGCGTTGCACACCTACCCGTGTTGTTTGAAGGACTTTGCACAAGCGGGGAAAGTCATTGACGCCCGAGTCGAGAGTGGTGATCGAGTTGTCGAGAAGCTGAAGAGAGGACTGGAGCGAGGTCACTGATGATGCCAGTGAAGAAGCCATGGTGGGTGATATTGAGTGGCTCAGGTTTCAAACGGCTTGACCAGGTGAACTTTGGACCGTGATGCGCATCCCAGTTGTTTACGGCGCATCGGAACAGTTCGGTAAAGCGGCCACGGATCCTACCAAAACCGGCATGGTGTCTCGGACCGGCCAAACTCCACCGCAAACCTCCTCCTAACCTCCTCTCCTGCACCACCTTACCCCCGCGAACACCGAATCCATCTCGCATTCGCACCGCCTGTCAACATGTCTCTCCTTGGAAAGAAGTTCCCCGGCCTTCTGGGTTAGTATCTCCAGACCTACCGCGTGATGCGGCTGAACAGCACATCGAGAATGAGAAGGAGAGAACCCGAGACTAACGCATCGGCTCACAGGCAAGCCCATGACCCCCTTCTTTGCTGCCGGTACGCATAGCCATCCTTCGCTTCACTTTCCCTCATGATCTACTTCCGAATTGGTCTTTGCCCATGATCGACCTTTGCGCCCGACTGGAATAAGCGCTGGTGGAACCCGTATTCTGACAACTATCCTTTCCAGGTGCCATCGTCCTGTACGGTGTCAACTCCCTGCAGAACGCTCTTTCCAACAGTGAGTGAATCCCTTATATATGGACTACCTATTTATTCGGCGTTGGGTCGACTTGCGCATGGCAAAGTGCCCAGCCCGACATCCTCCGACAGCGACCTAGCATCAGAATCATCGACTAACCACCCATTCTCACATAGCCGCCGAGTTCAAGAACGACCCCCGCAACCCCAACGCTAAGTCTGGTGGTCACTAAATTTGGCCTTTGACGAAGCGCCGTGAGATGTCACTCCGAGTGGCGTGAGGCATCGGCAAGAGCGGATCGAGTCGGCGCGACGAGATGACGACTGGATATCCCCGGGTGTCTATTGCGGCTCACAATTGTTGTTTGTTACATTGTTGGGCAGTTTGCCCTCTATCCAAGCATATAGAAGATACCCTGTTGGGTGACTTGGATCAATTCACAAGCTGTACCACTATCGACTGCGATTTGTCGGCACTCGTGTGTTCTGTATATCTTTCGGAAACCGTACGATGTCCTTTAAATATTGAGGGGAGTCTAACCCGGATGTCTCGGATCTCGTAAATTGCAAACATTGCGCACAGTATTCGGTGCACCCACAATTCAACAATCGGTAGCGTTGAGGAAAGGGTGTTATGTTCATGAATGAATTCGGACTGCCATTTTTATAACCATTGAAGTGATCCAGAGAGAGCTGAATGGTTAATCTGGGGAATCACGTGTGTCCTTTCAATTGTAGTTCAAGATTCGAGATGCCCGGAAGCCGCATGGAAATCTTGATGGTGCACTTATATTACGCTAAGCCTAAACAGGTAATCATATCTTTTCCACCCGCGCCGCCGACAAGGACCGACCTCTCGACTTCTTCCAGATCGTCCACCTTCCGCAGGGAAAAGCATCGCCAACATGTCGAAAATGGCGTCAATGTTCCGGCCTAAGAAGCTCGACCTTTCCGGCTTTGTCAACACCCGCTTGATCCGGGATCACAACAAGCGCAACGCCTTCGAACAGACCGAGCCCGAACGGTAAGCCATTCTGCGCGACAGGGAGCCAACCTAAGAAGACGCCCTCGCAAGCAAATATGGATATTCTCGCTGACTCTCACTCGTTAATAGACAAGCACTTCGCTACATGATCCGCAACACTAGCCTTCCCCAGCGAGTCCGCGCCCAGGCTCAACTTCAGCTCTCGCAGATGCACGCCTACACCCGCCCGACCCAGATTAAGAACCGCTGCGTGGCCTCAGGAACTGCACGTGCTGTTTTCCGGGATTTCAGGATCAACCGAGTGAGTGGAATCGCGGGTGGCCTCCCTTGCTATTTGATGAAGTTTTATTGACTGGTGGTTTCTCAGTTCCAATTCCGTATGCAGGCACTTGCGGGTGAGCTTCCGGGCGTGAAGAAGGCAAGCTGGTAAATATGGAGATGTATTTGGCGACTATTTGGGGCTGCACCACGGCGTTTTCATCTTTGCTTCATTTGGAGCATGTATAGTATACAATATCATCAAAGACTTCACATCAATTCTCGATCGATCTAGAGCCGATAATCCTCAGTAACTTATTCCTGGTGAACTTGGCTTCCTCATATTAGATCCCCAAATCAGTCGATGAGTTAGTTCACTTTGTTGCTCCAGCCCTCCTCTCAGAATCAAAGCAACCTGGAAAAGATAGTTTGCTCCCGTTCGCTGGCAATCTCTAGGGCCACTGGCAATCAGAAAGAAGAGCTGCTACTGCTACTCTCACTACCTGCTCTTTCTTCTTTCAATCTCCTTCTCCCTAGCCTTCTCACTTCCAATACTCACCTTTCGCGACACCGGCTCCAATCCTTCATAACCCTTCAAATATCGTGACCCCAATTTTGCTCACGATGTTCGTCTACCGAAACAAGGATCTTCCGGAGGATCCCTATTTCCCGGCAGATCTTGCAAAACTGGGGTAACCACCTGAGAGGCATGCTCATGGTGTATTTTTTGACTAATTCATTGACCAGGTATTGCATCACTGAGAACGACCAGCTCCGCAGCATCAAAGATCACACGGCAGAGTTCATGTACCGAATCAACCGGAATGAACGATACAATATCAAGAATCGCGAGGCAACTAATGGTAAAATCAAAACACCTGAAAAGGTAAAGTGACATGGGCTAATTACTAATTTTCGAATGGATATAGACTGTATTCGAGCAATCATCAGTCAACGACTCCAAGATGCCGGCCTGGAATACATGCGTCTGCCACTCCATACGGTCAACGATCGTATCATCGAGAGCGAGAACAACGTAGCTCATGTTCCCATCATGGTATCTCCCAACCTGAATACGGCGGACCGCATTTTTGTCGTATTTGGAGAGCCGATGCAGGATCTTGGGGTCTGGGCATACCGAGTCATCGGCCACGACACCATCAACAAAGGATCCGCTGTGGAGTTCGTCAATGGCGTCCTTGGGGAAGAGAACAAGACGGGCAATGCTCTTGTCCTTGCTAACACGGGTCAGTTACTCTGGAATTGGGCCACCTCTCGTGCTGTGACAACCGCCACTTGGGATTCCCTCCCTCGTCCTTCCGGGAACTGGGGAGCGGCCGCGACCAGTTGGCGGAACAAGATACCGTTCAACAAGGACTGGAGAGAGCATATCATGCATGTCTTCAACAATCTGCTGTGGCCACTCGTGCGTGGAAAGCAGACCCGTATTGACATCATCGGCATCTCTGAAGGTGGCTTGGGTGCGATTCAGTTCCTCGATACCAACTGTAAGTGTGGATTGGCAGCTCAAAAGCTTACTATTATACTGACTGTGGCTGATCAGGGCAAGTCTGGCGTCCCTTTATTTCCGGCATCTGCTTGGGCAACCCGCTCCAGGAAGTGAACGCTGATATCGACATGAGCACCGTAACCGATCCAAGTTCTTTCCCAGCTTTTGTGTCCTCCCGTTGCCGCGCCTACGTCTTGTCCGATGAGAAAGTGGGCACCCGTCACTCGGGCTATCGCCAGTATGGCTGCAACTGCTACTCTGCAGGTGAGGCTTGCCACACTGAGTGCATTCTGCCCAGTGCGTGGCGCGATATGCTCAAGTGGCTGGATGTGCTTTACAAGGATCCTTCTTACGCAGAGAAGGTTGTGATTATCGGTGACGACCTGGAAAAGGAAACCCTTGAGGCGATGCAGGATTTGAAAGTGACAAACGATGAAGAGGAAGGGGAAGCCAAAGTGTTCCCGGAGCTGGCACAAGAGGATGTTCAGAATACCAAGGGTCCGGATGGTTCGGAGGATGCGAAGAAAGATGCCAAAGAGGCGGCAGAGATGGATGCGATAGATATGGGTCAGCAGGAGGGAAACTCTGGCGAGGCCCAGACTAACGGAGCAGAGACTGAAAAGACTGCCTAAATGCACGACGTTGCCAGACTGAGCAACTGGCGGGACAAGGTTGGGATGCAGTGTGATAGTGAAGTGCTTTCAGGATGCGCGGAATGGCCTCGGATATGACATATTTTATGGCAAAGAGGACAAAATTGGATTTTAAGTTTCTCAAGAACCCATGAGTTTAAGGCCGAGCAGTGATTAGCTGGCAATAGGATTTGAACAGGCAGTTTGAACATCATAACATTATGATATACAGAATGTAGATCCATGGTTATATGTAAGATCGATCTAGCCAGGTCAGGTCAATTCCTCGTGTGATTAGTGTGATTAGTTCAATTTCAGCTTTACTACAGCATTGCTGCTGCGCGACAAATTTGCTGTCATTGCCAGGAACGTGAGTGCGGAATGCTGAGTTGACAACCGATACACGCCCTTCGATGATACTCGCAGCAATCGCAACCCGGTTGATGCAATACTGACAATATCCTGCACATCGCATTAAGCATCTTGCAAGTGGATGCTGATCGACTCAGCACGGCCAACGGTTAGCGGGGGATGGCGCAATCAGGACGGTGCAAGTCACGGCGCTTCAACTCAACAAGGTCAGCTGCTCTGCGAAGTCACGGAGCAATCCCGGGGAACTTCGACCTCCACACTCCTCACCACTTCCACGACATCTCGAGTTCTGCATATCGCCGCCGCGAGAGGGTTCTTCACATGAAGAGATGGACATACACCGCCGCATGTGGGCAATTTTACTCGATCAGAACCCATTCCCCTCACAATGTAGGCGGAGGCCGCCGCAGGAGAGATGGCCAGGCTCCGCGGGACGAGGGGTCAAGGGGTCGGTCACAGGCCAGATTGCAGAGAATTTTTCATTATCAGGGCGGTTTCGATCGAGTAAAAGGAACAGAAAGTCGGAGCAATGCGGGCAGTTTTGATCGAGTAAGACGATTGAACGAGACTCACAGCGCTGGCACGAGCCAGTGAGCGGCCGCCGGGAAAGGGACTCCGCTGTCGCAGAACCCGCCGTGCGCCGTCGGAGGTGCCCGATGCACCTACGCTGGCGGTCGTCCACCGGCGCTTTCTTTGCGATAACCGATGCGCTGGGCATGGTTCCTCCAACCAGCGTGGCCAGCGAAGAGTTTTATCGCCGGGAACCACGGGTCGGGTCCGCAATGCGCAACGGAGGCAACACAAGCACCAAGAGATCACCACCGACACCAGGGCACCTCCCGGGCATACCACTGGCACTGTTCCTCGCGCAGGCTCGTCTGCCATCTGCGCGGGTTTCCCTCAAGGAAGACGCAGGAGCTGGTGCGCTCGGATTCCCTCCCGATCCGGCAAAGGTGAAGGTATTCGGTTGATCAGGTGGCTACATCTGCATTTCTGCACAGCCCGACTGGCTGGCCCGACCATTTAGCCACCCAATTTGCCAATCATCGAGTAATCGCAACAACCTCTCGATGGCAACTCGCAACTCGGCCACCGTGTGGAACTCGACTGTCGGTGGGCCGCGCTTCCCCGTCCCAATTTTTTTCAGTCTGGACACCCCCCTCGCGGTGGAGGCCGTGCTTGTTATTTATATCCTGCCCCCTCCCCAGACCCTGCTTATCAATGGTCTGTTCCTCCCTCCTAGATAAGCGTTTCTTTTTCGCCCCTCGTGTTATCTCGTGAGATCCAGTCTGACCCTACTTCAAGGCTTATCAGTTGGTCGTCTTCCTTTATATATCTAAACCTACCGACTCCACTTGTCGTCGATTCCCCAACCGCCACTGCCCGCACGCATTGGGATATTTTACTGGCCTGCAACTAAAAGAAGAGCAAGCCCCTCAAACTAGCTACCATGGCGACAGCTAACATCCCCTCGATTGCCGTGGTGGCCTCCTCGCGTGCCGTCATCTCTGGCCGTTTGACCTCCGCCACCGTTGTTATCTCTCGCACTACCGGCAAGATCACTGCCGTCTTTGATTCCGTGATCCCTGCATCGGAGTTCCCCGCCGATACACCGTATACCGACTACTCGCCCAACGTTCTTCTGCCTGGGTTGGTCGACGCTCACGTTCACCTGAACGAGCCTGGCCGTACAGAATGGGAAGGCTTCTACACCGGTACCCAGGCTGCCGCCTTTGGTGGTGTCACTACCGTGATTGATATGCCTCTGAATGCCATCCCCCCTACCACTACCGTGGCGGGCCTCAAGGAAAAGCTTGACGCTGCCTCAGGCAAGTGCTGGGTTGATGTTGGTTTTTACGGTGGCATCATTCCCGGCAATGCCCATGAGCTTAAAGCGCTGGTCAAAGAGGGTGTCCGCGGGTTTAAGGGCTTCCTGATCGATAGTGGTGTAAGTGATCACATCATGCCGAACGTTTCAGTCACCATACTGACTAGATTACCAACAGGTGGATGAATTCCCCGCTGTGAGCCAAGAGGATATCCAGAAGGCGATGGCTGAACTTGCAGATGAGCCCACTACGCTAATGTTCCATGCCGAGATGGTGCCGCCTATCACCAAGTCCGTTGGCGACGAGGCCCAATCATCTGATCCCCCCGCTGCCCCAACCGGTCCTCTAGAGGCCTACTCAACCTTCTTGGCTTCGAGACCCTCAGAGTTTGAGACTTGCGCTATTGAGCGCATCATGTCCATGGCCCACCTGGCTCCCAATCTTCAATTGCACATTGTCCACCTGTCTGCGATGGAGGCTATTCCCATCCTGCGCGAAGCCCGTGCTCGCGGCGTCAAGGTCACTGCTGAGACCTGCTTCCACTACCTGTCCCTAGCCTCTGAGGAAATCCGTGATGGTGATACCCGCCACAAGTGCTGCCCGCCCATCCGCTCCCAGCTGAACCAGGATGGTCTCTGGGAGGAGCTGGAGAAGCACACTGGTGACGGCGTCATCAAGACCGTCGTCTCGGACCACTCCCCCTGCACACCCAACTTGAAGCAACTCCCCTCGCACATCCCTGGTCACTTCGACTCCGGCAAGGAGGAGAAGGGAGACTTCTTCTCCGCCTGGGGCGGCATCTCCTCCGTCGGCCTGGGCCTGCCCATCCTTTGGACTGAGCTCAGCCGCCGCAAGGGCCTGACCCCCTCCCCCGATGACGAGAACACCAAGAACGCCCTGCAGGACGTTGTTCGCCTCTGCTGCGCCAACACCGCAGCCCAAGTCGGCCTGGAGACTCGCAAGGGTGACCTGCGTGTCGGCTTCGACGCCGATATCTGTGTCTTCGACGACTCTGCCGAATGGACCGTCGAGCCCAGCACCATGCTCTTCCGCAACAAGTGCTCGCCCTACCAGGGCCGTACTCTGCGCGGTATGGTCCGCGAGACCTGGCTGCGTGGTGAGCGGGTCTTCAGCCGCGAGAACAACTTCGGCGACAAGGGCCCGGCTGGCAAGCTCCTACTCGAGAAACGAGTTTGATCTCCCTTGCTCTCTTCCCTTTCGCATCTCCTTTGTCTCCGCCCCCGGGACAAGTTGACCTTTTGGCAGGTTGCCACCGCTATACCTTTGCCTCCTGTTTCCACATCTCCGCATCTCGTTCACAGTCAGTGACCCCTGCGACGAGCACTAATGACAAAACAGCATTCATACCCGTTAGAGTAATGCCAGCGTGTTGTAGCTTAGCAATAGACTACCAAAAAGCAATTTTAATATGATTTCATATTAAAACATCTTCAAGTTGAGATATATACGAAATTATAGTACACAAAAAGACCATTAGCACTGTGAGGTTACTATGTTTTAGCACAGAGGCAAATGCAGTGACATAGAAAGTCAGCCTAGGTCTCGCTCTGAGCCTCATTCTCCTTTTCCCACTTCTCTCGTATCCTTCGCCGGACACCACCATTCACGCCTTTGCCCCAGATTTCGGCCTTCTCATCAACATTGATAGCTCGTCCCTCGTCAATCTCACCGCGTAAGGCACCATAAACCTCCTTGACGAAAACCTTCCGCTCCTTGAGCTTCCCTTCTTTGATCTTCGCCCTCTCAATCTTTCCAATATAGAAGACGTACAAAAACGACTCCGCGACAGCAACTGCCAGTGCCGCAAAAAGTGACAAAAGGACCCGCACGGCATCCGACGCGCCAGCCGGCTTCCGTTCTTCGTCCACAGCCGGCCCTGTCCACTGGGAGAATATTGTAGCTAAGATCTCTGGCATCGTAAATTTTGTGAGTGCCCAGTAGACGCTAAAGCCCGTGATGATCACAGAGAGGAAGATGTTCAGGACGAGAGATGGGGTGAGAGGGTCTTCTGAGAGGACGGGGGCATTATCAGCGGAGTGCGGGTCGGCATGGTCGGCATTGGGGATGTAGGTTGGGTTCAAGAGGCGCTGGTATTCGGCTTGTTGAGCTGCGGCGAGAAGACGCGCCTTTGACGCAAGGTACTCGGGGCTCTGGGGTGCGTTAGCTACGCTGTTTTGGGAGTTGGAGAGATGGTTCGGACGAACAGGCTCTGGTTTCTTAGGCGGGGGTGGGACGTAGACTGCCGTGCCACGGAGGAGAGCACTGAGAACTGTTGGAATTTGTGCATTGCTATCGTCGTTCAACGCTTTATACGTGTCCTGGTTGAGGTGTTTTGACAGACGGAGGAGCTGCTCATGTGCAATCGGCCCATGTAGCTCCAGCGTTGCAGGGAGCTCGAGCTCTTCTCGGCGTGAGGCCGGGACTGCCTCTAGGGCGGTAAGGATGCGGTTCGTGGCAATGAGAAGGACCATCCCAGCGAGTTTCGCATAAGGCGCGGGTTGCAACTTGCAGGGCGGCGCGGAGGCGGAGGAGGTGGAGTGGAATGTCGGCGGAGAAGACGAGCGGAAGCCCGAAACTCGCGAACGACAATCAGCTCTCCCCACTTCACCTCTGAACAAAATCACCACCTCCAGCCATGGCGGAATCCAAATCGAAGGCGTGAGTACACAATTCTCCTCCGTCGACAGCTCCCGATCGATCGGTCCATTTGCCGATGCCAAATTTCCTCGTTCGGCGCATTGCCCGCCGAACGCATGCTTTGCTGCAACGACTGACCCCTCCATCTTCAGGCCGCTCACAACACAGACCAACCCGCGCGGAATCCCCGTGGCTCCCTTCATCGACAATGTCTCGGACTACGTTTCCTCGCGCGATGAGGTCGAGCCGACCCTCCGCTCGTTCCAGGAGATGATTTCCAAGTACCAGTTCATGGAGGTGAACACCCAGCGCCGCGGCACGGGACTGCGCGAGAAGATTCCCGATATTAAGAAGACATTGGAGATGGTGCGGTTCTTGAAACTGCGCAAGGAGGTGCGTTCAATGAATTCATACTGATGAAAGAAATGAGGGCGATTTCTGACTTTTTGCCTCCCAGGCCAACCCCGACGCCGACCTCGAAACCAACTTCGAACTCAATGATACCCTCTACTCTCGCGCCTTGATCTCTCCGAAAGACATGGAAGAAGTGTACCTCTGGCTCGGCGCGAATGTCATGCTCGCGTACCCGCTGGACGAGGCCGAGACCATGCTGGATGAGAAGTTGACTGCTGCCGAGGCGAGCTTGCGGAATTGCGAGGAGGACCTGGAGTTCTTGCGTGAGCAAATTACGGTATGTTTACTACCTTTTGTACGTTGAAATAAATTGACTAATGGGTTTCCAGACTCTGGAGGTTGCTACGGCTCGTGTGTATAACTGGGATGTCGTGCAACGACGGAAAGACAAGGCCGAGGGCAAGGGCGGAGAAGAGGAGAAGGCTTAAAAGGATTTGATGATGATTTATTGAACTGAAATAAACCGACTTTTTTCACATATGTCTGCTTCTAGGCAAAATACCCAGGATACATAAGATAGGTTTGGCTTTCTAGGTTGCTTACTTTCAGCTTGACGTAGATCAGCGTGGATGTATTGGACTAATACTAAAAGTTAATATCATCAAAGCTCACAGGTATTCTACGAGCTATACCAAAGCTGTCTTCGTAAAAGTTCTACTCAATATCATCCTCGCACGACCGGAGAACTTGTGTACATTGTCGATCACAATTGGTAGTCCACTGTATTATTGATCAGAATTCGAATTCTGTTTTGCTGGTTCTTCACAAATGGTATTTTGACCTGACGAGATAAAGCGACAAAAGGCAAGCAAAGGAAAGCTTGATATAGAAAAATGTCTAAGGTGGTTACATGCAGACGGGAGGCCGGTGTATTTAATCAATACCCGAAATGTCAAATCTGAAACAAAAGAAAACGCTTTATGAGATGCACCAGACACCAATTAGAAGCACATCATGTAGTCATAAATCATGAAACATGCTATTCGGTGAATCATTAGAGAGCGGAAGTCAAATCTAAAAAAAAAAAATAAAAAAATAAAAAAAAGAAAGAAAACCAAAAGATGGGGAAGAGAGACAAGACAATGGTTGTAGAATCACTTCTTCATGCCCGGGGCAAGTTGCTCAACGTCACAAACAAAAGTCCATTCCTCAATGTCGTCAACATCATCGTCTCCATGGTCTGGTGTGGCTTTGGCTGCGGGCGTTGGCGAGAAAGGCGTAGATGAGGCATTGGACCGTTGCCTGACAAGGGTCTTTGCGTATTCAAGGTCACGGTACAGCGATTGGATCGCAGTAGCCACACCATCCTCCTAAAGGAAAACAAATATGAGTACACGTCTGAGCTTTATGGACAGGTATAACAAGAATCCACTCACGCTTCGGATCTGAATGCCTAGGTTTCGAGCTTTGACGATCATGCGTTCGCTGTGCGTTACTTCCCAAAGTGCCCGCGAGAAGATGCTGACATTCAACAGCTTCATGTAAATACCAACGCCCAGATTTTCCACCCGCGAGGCAAAGAAGAACTGGTCTCCGAAGAATGGTCTCACTATGATGGGCAAACCGGCGCGCAGACTCGCACCGGTGGTTCCTGCTCCACCATGGTGAACAGCCGCGTCAATTTGCGAAAACAGCCAGTCATGGGGAGCAGATTCAATTTGTAAAATCTCCGGTGGTAGGGGAACTTCGACCTTATCGCTCAAGGGATCGTTGAGACGTTCTGACCATCCCTTCGAAAGAATGCATCGTACGTCTGCCTTCTGAACGGATTCAATGACTGCTTTTGTTAAAGCAGTTGCGTCTGCGACCACAATTGATCCAAACCCGATGTAAACAATCTTCTTTCCATCAGATCGGGCTCGAGAAATGAAATCAACAAGATCAGATGGTGGCTCCCAGTCTGAACTTTCGTTCAAGAACCAATATCCAGTGACGCGAATCCAATCTGGATAGTCGAGAGGTGGCGGTACCACCGAGGGCGAAAAGTTATAGAGAAAAGGAACCTTGTTCGGCTGCATCTTGTCCATATTGGTGGCCTTGAGTCCCAACTCTTTGTTCCGCCATCGGTTAACCTGCCCCGCAATGTATTGCCAAAAAATATTTTCGAACATGACATATGTGAGGTAATTGTAGGTCCCACCCTTTCGGTTCTCCGGAACCCCGAAGGCATGTGGATAGGCGCGAGTCTTCGTCCATGGCATTGTGAATCCACGAAAATAAGGGATTCGAAGGGCCTCTGCGATATGAATTCCAGCCATTGCGCTAGGGGACTCGATGAGAAGGTCACTTCCCTGGCAGCCAGCCCAGGCTGACGCTAAAAGGTCATCAAGCCACCCTCTGAACTTGGCCGTGACCTCTCGCAAGAAAGAATATGTGAACATCCCATTCTCCACACAAACTCGCATCAGCTCTGCGGGATCTCCACTGACAGGAGCAAAGTCAATACCGTGTTTCCGGATCCAAGGTTCAAACTCGGCATGGGTGGCAATTTTTGGCTTGTGGCCTTCAGCGAGAAGTCCTTTGCATAGGGCGATGTAGGGCTGGACATCACCCCGTGAGCCGATAGTGAGACAGGTAATTCTGAGCGATTCGTTAGGCTTGAAATTGATAATCGAGGCAAGAGGGTCATCGAAGAACGGGTTAATGTCGGACGAATCTTCGCTGAGGGTTGGTCGGAAATCATTTTCATCGGGGCTATCATGCCTAGCCTCTTGTAGCATGCGATGCTCAGTTTTGGCCGCTTCAACCTCCTCGCGCTCTTCCTCTGCAAGCACACCCGATTCCACGAGGAATTTGACCGACTCGAGATGCTGATGCAATGTAACTGCGCAGTCATCTCTACTGTCGGCTCTTTTGAATTCGAAGAACAGCTCCTCGTGGCCACGAATGATGACGACTAGTCCGTGATATCCAAAGCGGAATCCCTTTTCCTTTTCAACATTCTCGATATCCCTCAATGGCAGAATCATCTTCGTTCGAGTGCCAGGGATCAGGCTACGGAAGCAGAGCTTCCTCTCACTAAGATAGATTTTGCCGTAAAGCGGAAGAAGACGGTGCAGGTATGCATAATAAGTTGCCTGCAATTTCTCCGTCGCAGGAAGGGCAAAGTGTTCTCGAAAGCGATCACCGTGGTTCAAGCCGCCTTCATGGTCTTCAGGATCCACAGTTCTATCCTCAGGCAATACTTCTTCCGTCTCCCCGTAGTGCTGCTGGCCACCAGTCCACATACCAGATACCTTCTCGATATAGCCCATGGACTCTGTAGCTAGCAAGCTGCTCATTTGTCTTGATCTGCTCTTGAGGTACTCTGCAAGTCCAGCTGCTCGCTGTAGGGGGTAGGCTCCAGCTTTGGCGAGGTCATTTAGAGGTACATTCGACTGGTGTTGGGAAGGAATACCCCCTTGATCCTCAGATTCGGAGCTGGAGAGGGTGTTTTCGACAATCCTATCCCGGTTGGAATGCCCGGTCAGTGGGTTTATATCGCCGAGTCGAGCCGTTGCAGAGCGAGCTGTATCGTCAGACCGGCGCCGGGTCACATCTCCTCCATCAGACGAGCGTCTCGGTAAAGAACGCATGGTTGGCGATTGGAAAACATCACTTCTTTTCAGAATCTGGCTTGCAGATTCTGTTGTCTCCGTCATTGACCGAACAGCAGCCGATGACTCTGTTCCTTGCTCCGCACAATGAGCGAAGGAGTCTGCAGATCCCTGGAATTCGTTTCTAGCGCTGGTACTGGCACTGCGTTCTCGAGAATGTCCAATTTCAACTGGACTTGACTCTGACTGGTTCTTCTCGTTCTTCTTCAATGGCGATTCTTCCGAAAGGTGTTTGGCGGGAGAAGAGTTGATAAGGCTCTTGAGATATTTGAAAGCGTCTCTACCGGAACTGAAAAACGAAAAGAAATACTGAGAAGGAAGTGAGTAAATAGTGAGGGTAAAAAATGGAAGACCAAAAAAACTCACCTCATCGATCTCGAATGTTTCAGACCTATCAAAGACCCGAATCTTGAATGTCTCGGCAAATCCAGACATCGGACTCTCCTCCAAGTCAATCACACTCTCTATGGGGAATGAGATTTTGACGCTATCTTCTTTATTGTGGGATCGGAAGATAACTTTCTGTAGAGTCTTCACCCACTCTTTCGCGCTTGGGGCGCTATCTGCCCGGAAGTAGTAGGTTCGTTGATCGGTGGTAACTTGAAAGTCCTTCACATCACCGTCTCCAGCCTTTGAGTCTGCCAGAGAGGCTGAGATCCCGTATCGAAGATCCACATGGCCGCTAGGGAAATAAAGTTCCGAGGGATTCGCATAATATGAAAACACATCGCCTTTCAGGACGAACCAATACCGATTGTACTTGGGGTTCTTTAGACCACGTTTGGACACATAGCCAGACTTGCTCGGGTCACTCGACTTTTTGGGAGATAGGCGTAAAAGCAGATGTGGCCTTCTGTCACATACATGTAGCCCTGAAGGAGCATACTCTGCAATAAAGAGCATGCATACTCGACCAGAACCTTTTCAGGCTTCTCGAACCCAAACATTTGCATGAGTCGCGTGGAGAGGGCCGACGCGGTGGACTCGTCTCGCGTTTCACTTGGGGTTTCCGGCCTTAAAGACAGGCTTTCTGCCATATTCCCCTTTTCAAAACGATCCTGAGCTTGCACCATACGGGTGAGGATAGGAGCGGCTCGTGGCGTCGCACTGCGTGTCCGCCTTGGTTGTAGTGTGAGAGTTGAAGAATTCAGGTTAGAAGGATCATCGGCTCGGTCCTTTGACCTCAATCCTGGGAGCTTCTGCAGAAGCTTAGTTTCAGATATCGTCCTTCGATGCTGACGTCCTCGCTCCTCAGCCTCATCTTCGGTCTTTGTTTCAGTGCTTATCCTAGTTTGATATCGGTCGGGTGAACTTTCTTGGCTTGGAGATTGGAGTTGATGAGGTTGCATTTGCGGTAGTTTGTCGGGCTCATCATCACTGTCACTCAAATCATCGAACCGCCCCCGAAAGTCGGATCGAGAGCCGACTGCTGCGATCACACCAAACAGAGACTGGTGCATGTAGTGAAAGTTGCCATCTCGGGAGCCCACACCCTGGGGCGGTGCAGTGTAGTCCATTTGAGCATCATCTCCGTCTTTGAAGCGCTCAGGTAGGTGATCGGAAGAGTGTCTATGGGTAAAGATGGGTCGCATACTAGCGCTCAGGCGGTGGTCCCCGCGCCGTGGGGAGTCCTCCATGACGGGTTTCATGGAGAGAAAGAGGTCTATGGGGATATTGTGCGAGATTCAAGGTGCGGCAGATGTGAAAGCTAAAGTTGCTGGGGTATGGGATGGAGACTCTGCGGGTGTATCGGTCGGAGTCGGCGTTGGGCGTTGCAGGTGACAGCTCAAGGCCGATAGGAGATGAAGGATAGGCGCCCACGTCATGCGGGTTTGGCGTCGATACTAGCCAAGCGGCGGGTCTGCAACTGACGGGGTCATACCAACGTGGAAGAATGCCTGCGGTCGGACAGGACGACAATGACCCAACACTCGCTCAGGCTTGTATCAGGACCAGCGACTTGCGGCAATCCAAGTTGGGGCTTGGAGCTTCGGCTTTGATAAGAGCTCGGGATGTGATCGATAAGCCCAGCAGATCAAAGGCCCCGCTCAGCAGTCAACACATTTGATGGCCGAATTCTCGAAGGCACGATCAACTAAAAGGGCAAGCAACAACGCGGTGGGAAGGTCCAGGTCAGTTGGAATGATCCACCAAAGTGAGGCGCATCAGCTGCAACTTGGACGCCCGCATGTGATGCCATCGCGGTGTCAGGTGACGCGATTATATCATCCGGGAGGATGACTACTTCGGTGTAGCATGTAACTAGTAGGAAGGAAGTAGGTGCCCTAGTATTCCTTTCTATGACCATGGGGGACGGTCGTTTGTTTTCCAGAAGGGCCCTATCGAGCAACCTAAGGTAAGCAAGTATGGGATATCCTGGTTTGCCTTCTGCCTGGGGGATTGCATACTGGAGACCGGCATTGTTGGCCGTGGGGCAGATCGACGGTTGATGCTAGTGGATCATCTCTGATGGCATTCGGCAGCTGAGATCTCGCCATCTCTTTTGAAGGGACTGGGAGGTACTAAATAACCACAGCGTGGCTGCTATTATCCCGAGCCATGAGCTCTGCGGTCCGATCGATGAGATTCTGTCCTTTCCCCCACCCCCAAGCTGGATCAAATTCGATAGATCACATCACCGACATTGACCGGGCTAAGTGTTAGTCACACACTCGGCTACCGGGTCCTCGAGCCCAGGCATGTGTCTTGCGTCGTCGCGATCCTTTTAAGGACATCCTTTGGGCGCCAGAGGAACTAGTAGTATATGAAATGCCACTGAATGGCCGAAGGCGATTGAACTATGGCCGCCTCTCGCCTGTCGGCTCCGTAACACCATTGCCATGCGCGAAAGCGTGCTCCGGGGCGCGAACAACGCCTCCATCGACCGCGAAAGACCACCGTCCGACCACCAGATGGCGACTGTCCATCCGTCAGACCGTCAGATTGGAGTTAATGGGAAAAATAGGCAAGCACGCAAAATCACCCCTGCGCCGTCTCACCAAGACTTGATGTCGAGTCGAAGCTTTATATGCGCCGCCATGGCCGCGCCTTGGCTCCTGTTGATCGTGCATCGGTGCAACTATTACTCCCAATTAACATGGGTCTCCTGGCAATCCCCGAGCTGAACACCCGTCTGGGTACTTTTCGTGCCTATCATCTGGCAGACATTGTCTTGTACGCTTTCTCCCCTTGAAATCCATGCAAATAATCCGCAGCAGCTGACGGCTTATCTATTGTCTCTAGCATCTCATCATTCCTCTCGGCCTATGACTCGGGAATTGCAGGCGGTATCTTGACCTACAAGTCCTTCCAGAATGACTTTGGCTTCACCGCAGCGCAAAAGTCGAAGGTCTCGTCGCTCACAGTCGGGCTTGAGCAGCTAGGCTCCTTCGTTGCCGCTATGTTCTTCTACCCGTTGACCAACAAGTATGGGCGTAAAGTTTGTATTGTGGGCTCGACGGCTCTCTTCGTCATTGGTGTGATCATCCAAGTCATCAATATACACCCGTTGGCAGCCTGGTACGTCGGCCGTATCGTATCGGGTCTGAGTATGGGTGGCCAGAGTGTGGTGATCCCCATGTATTCGGCAGAGATGACCCCCAAGGATATTCGCGGTCGATGTGGTTCGTTTTATCAGTGGTTGTACGCCTGGGGTGTCTTCCTCGCATACGGGGTCGACTATGTAAGTTTTCCTGGTTGTGTGAGGGGGTGCAACTAATGACAATTTTATCAGGGTGTGGCTCAAAATCCATCAAATTGCTGGCACTTCATGTGAGTGGCAGATCCCTGTCGGTCTCCAACTGATCTCCGGTGGAATTCTCTTAATCGCGAAGTTCACACTCCCAGAGTCTATTCGCTGACTGTTGACAAAGAATTGTACCGATGATTCCTGGAATTCCATCATTTGGATTCGTGGTGGCGATGGTCCGAAAACCCGCGATGAGTTCACTGAAACGCAGCTGGGTCTCCAAGCTGAAAAATCTGAACGAGAAACCTTCTCTTACCGCGAGTTGCTTGAACCGGCCAACCGTCTTCGTTTCATTATCGGTCCTGTCCTTTTCATTTTCCAGAATGCCACTGGAAGTAGTGCTTTGGCTGTGTTTGCGCCACAGTATTTCAAGTTGATTGCTGGAAGTGATTCCAACCGCAATATGCTGCTCACTGGATTATTGGTGCTGTCAAGGTCATTGCTTGTACATTCTTTATATGGGTTCTGTCGGAGCGCATCAGTCGTCGCATGACGCTGGCCAGTGGCTCGGAGCTGATGGCCATTTGCATGCTGATTACTACACTGATTGTGGACTACATCCCAACCCAGTCCTCCACTAATGTCACTGCTGCTGGAAGGGCAACTGTCACAATGATCTATCTCGATATTATGGTAAGCCTCTTCATTGCCAATACTTACATTGAAATTTCTCTGACCGGCATACAGATCTACAACTGTTCGTGGGGCCCACTCCCTGGGCATACGTGTCGGAAATCTTCCCGACACGCATTCGTGCCCTTGGCCTGGCAGTCAGTATGCTGGCTCACTGGGCATCGTCGTTCTGCTTCTCCTTTGCAAGCCCATACGTGATTCAGAATGTAGGCGCTAATACGTTCCTAATTTTCATGGGCTTTGATGTCTTGGCTACTGTCTTTTGTTGGTTCTTCGTCAAGGAAACTCGTGGGAAGAACCTTGAAGTTGCCGCTGGAACTGAGTGGGAAGCAGCTGAGCGCAGCTCATCTGATGATGGTGAGAAGGGTGGTGTCCTGAGTCAAGATGGCAGAAAATGCAGCTTGTCAGCGTGCATGAGAACTTCCACGCCAACATTAAGCAGCGATTGTGAGATGGGGTCATCGTTCAGAGCTGCTGGTGGCGTGACAAGAAACCATAACAATATCATGGCTTTGGTAAATCCGTACACCAGTCCTCTAGGTAGTTCCTTGAATGATGTAAGGAGCAGTGAGATTACTATAGCCACCTACCCTCCCTGGCCTTTCAGGTATGAGATATGTATAGAATATTGGGCTTTCGAAATAGCATAATACATGGCGGAAACGGAAATAATGTCGAAATGGAACCATATACAAGCTTGCACCGTTGAAGTGTATTTTTCCGAATGGTAAAGTGTAAATTGAAATCTTGTAAATCATAGTAACAAAGATATCATTTAGCTAATCAAACCGTAACGCCAATTCATGCCTTGCTAGACTTTTTCCGCTTCTTCTCCTCGTGGTCCTTCGAAGATTTCTTTGATTTCTTGCTCTCTTCGGCAGGGGCTCCATCCTCCTGAGATGAGTGCTTCTTCGACTTCTTTCGGGGCAGACCAGCCGCCTGGATAGCGTCGCCCTCGGTGTGGTGGTGCTTTCTCTTACGCTTCTCCTCATGCTCGCCGGCGGGAACCTTGAAAGCGGGCCCCTCCGACTCCGACTCTGAGCTAGATCCGAGAATCTCCGGGGCGCTCGGCAGACTGCCAACGGGACGGAAGCGCATCTTGAGCTTCTTAGGCTGAGGGCGGGGCGGTTTGATTGTGTCGCGCAATGCTTTCACTGCGGCAAGATCGCCTCCTACTGATCCCGGCAGGCTGACCATCTCTTGAATTTGATAACTGGGAACATTGCTGGACTTGCTAGCGTAGGTTTGGGTACCCTTGTCGAAGACAAGCAGACTCTTATCCTCAGAGCCTTCCTCGGTAAGAGCCTCAGCTGGAATACCGTAGCTCACACCCTCGTACTCTAGAATAGGCTCGCCCTTCATCACCTTAGACATAGAGATCTCCTTCACCTTGGACAGTGGAAGAGAAGCCGGAGCAGTAATGTGAATCACCTGCTTGCCACGCAGGTCGGAGAGGAGGGAGGAGGAGCTGGAGGATGGCGGAGCCTGCGACTTTGCGGACTTAAACCCGGATGGAGCCTTGTATGGCTTAGAACCAGGAAGTGTCACGCTATAATTTGATGTATTAGCGTCGTTATTGTAACAAGAGTCAACCCAAATCGCAATTTCTGGAGTGGTAGCTCACTTCTTGGCCTGTGCAACATCTTCACTTGTATCCATCTCATCAGAGCTATCCGACTCTGAGCCCGACTCTGAGTCCGACTCCGAACTCGAAGAGCCCGAGTCAGAGGAATCGGAGTCTTCCGCATCGTCCTTTGCTTTTGATGTCGCCTTCAAATTCTGTTTTTGCTTGTTGTCTGGCTCGGGCGACGTCGATCTGCTCGAGCTGCTATCGCTATCGGAGGGAGAGGCGGCCATGGTGATTTATGATGTCGCTCGTTTGACAAAGTACACCAAGCAATTGGACGGCGTTATCCGCAGCGCTGCGCGCTAGTTGCGACGGTCCGTAGTGTCCGGGACGCGGAGACAAGTTGAGCCAAATGATTTTCGTATATGGACAATTGCCAGATACCCGAAGCGATTAAAAGCGCAATTGTCACCGACCGCCCAGTGCCTGCGACGTTGAAAGGGTTGGAGTTGCAGGCCGATCTTTTTTTGCTCCGCGGGCGCACGGACCATCCGCCAACATTTTTTGCTTATCGGCAGCTTCGCCCGCATTATCAACCTCCGACGAACTCGACCTGCGAAATTGGCTTAATCCCTTCAATTGTTTGAGAATGGTGAAGCGGAAGGCCGAGAAACAACAAGCTGCTGGTACGAAACTAGTGCACTCAAATTACGACCGCCGAACCTCCATTAATGTCTCTCGCAGCCCCTATGAGCGCTGTCGCAGCGCGCAGAGCTCGGCAGCAGCAAGCGCAGAATGTGTCGACGACAAAAGGCGAGGCAGAAGTCGAGATTATGACCGAGCCGCCATCTAAAAAGACTCGACGATCCCTGGACGGTGATGAGCCAAAGAAGGCAGAATGCGCAGACATTCGAGTTTCTCGGACCAGCTCGTCGAAGAAGCAGGATGCTCCAGTGCCAGCAGAGACTGCAAAGGGGCGTTCAAAGGGGTCTACGCGGGCCAACCAATCCGATGATGCGCCTCCTATTTCGGAACCACAAGCATTGGACGAACAGCAGGAGGGGTCTGATGAGGATCAAGTCGGAGGTCCAGAGGATATGAGCGAGGATGAAGTTGCATCTATCGCCGGTGATGCTGACGGCTATGAATCCCCGGCGGATACCCCGGCAGAACTCCAAAATTTCCCGTTGTCTAAAGCGCGTTTGAACAAAAGCAAAGTTGTCTATGCCGATGAAGGAGCCTTGTGTGTCCGCATCAAAGAAAAGATGGTATGTACCAACTGGGTTATCTCTAATCAAAAGCATGCTAATACCGGAGATTTCAGAACTTAGCATTGGTCGGTCAGTATGATCTTTGGGTCAAGCGGGGTGTTGTCAGCCTCATGGGAGCCAAGTTGCGTCCATCTTCTAAGGTCTATCGAGTCTATGCTCCATCGACCCACTCTTTGCCCGTCATCAAATGTGTCTCGGGTGTTGATGGAGAGGCGGAAGTGGAGTTCAAGTCCTGCAATAACGGACTTGCTCGTCTTCGCGATGCATCTCCTCTATATCAAAGAATCTGGAATGGGCAAAATACTGATGCGGATAAAATCGCCATCAAGGGGGCGGCTGAGAATTGGCGCAGGAGTTTCTCTGTGGTAAATAACCTACATCTATCATGGGCATATCTACCTTATTCATTAGCTGACTCCTTGGTAGCTTTATACATCAGCGGATGATTCTATGAAAAGACATCTGCGACCTCTTCATCTCGACAAAAAATGGAGTGCCTCAATGAAGGCCCTATCTCAGCGGCAAGGGCGCCTTCGAGTGCTGGTTTGCGGACCCAAAGCATCTGGGAAATCCACCTTCTGCCGCTATCTATTGAACCATGTTCTAAGTCCAGCACCTGAAACCGAAAACGGATATCTCAACACTGATGGTGTCGCTTTCCTGGACCTCGATCCAGGCCAGCCTGAGTTCGCACCGATGGGCCAGGTCTATCTTGCACACCTAAAGGCCCCGTTTTTTGGTCCTCCATTTACCCATCCTTCTCTGGATGATTCCCGTGACGGCCATATCTTGCGAGCACACCACATCGGTGCTACGTCGCCAAAGGAGGACCCCGATCATTATGCCGTGGCTACTATGAACCTGCTGGACCAGTATCGCACTTTGTTGGCAATATATCCTCAGTGCCCGCTGATCGTCAACTACCCTGGCTGGATCTTTGGGCAGGGTTTGGAAGTTGCTACCTGGCTGATCGGTTGTCTCGGGTTGTCTGACGTCGTGTATATGAGTGAGAAAGGGCCAGCAGAGGTAGTGGAGCCTCTTAATGTAGCTGCAAATGCGGCCCGGGTTCCGATGACGATCTTGCCATCCCAGCCGACTGAGTTTGTCAGCCGCTCTAGCGCTCAGCTACGGTCAATGCAGATTCAATCTTATTTCCACTTGTCTCACCAGGCTGGTCTCAGCAACCCGCAATGGTCAGAAACCCCGCTCTCTCGCACCAGACCCACTGCTGTGGAATATGCTGGTGAAAAGCAAGGTATCGCTGGTGTCGTGGTTATGGGATCACAGATAAACCCCAACATGCTGCGCGAAGTGATTGAGGGTGCTATTGTAGCAGTTGTCGAAGTTGAATCACCAAGAGCATTTTTGGGCTCTTCATCATCGGCGGAAAGGCTCTCAAGAGAAGACGAGCAATATGGTACTGGAGCTGATGACGATGTCGAAATGGGCTCAAACGAGTCTGCCACCAAGGGGACGTTGGCTTCAATCGAAGATGGCAGTGTTATCCGAACTCCGGAGAACCTTCCATACCTCTTTGCTGGGTTCGGAAGCTGTACTCCTCTTGACCCGAAGTCATCAAATTGCCTTGGATTGGCTCTCGTCCGCTCTGTCGATACTGCCTCGCAGAAACTGGAACTTTCCACCCCGATCTCTTCGTCGCGCCTATACAACGCCATTGAGCAAGGGCACCGCATTGTGCTTGTACGAGGTCAACTTGATAACCCGAACTGGGCCATCAGCGAAGAATATCATGCTGCGCGAGCTGCAGAGAGACAGTATCAACAGTCAGTCTCCCGCTTGAGGAAGAATGAAGACTCTCTCAGCGGTGATGACTTGGTAAAGCACAACCAAACGATGGCTGTCCTTCGTGAGAGGATACGACGCGCAGGCAATGTGCCCTGGATGACAGTCGTGGAAGACAACAGCCGACGACGACGCGAGGAAGCTGCACGCCGTGAAAAGTCTCTTTGGAAGTTAAGGAAGAAGGCATATCCAGGAAGTGAAAGCGAGACCGATTGGTAATTGTGTGACTCTTAGTGTCAAAGATACACACACCTGGGAATTCCTTGCTTATTCCAAGAATTCCTACATGCATATGATCAATAGAAATATTTGTGCCACCACTTCCCATACCCACAATAAGAAACTTCATTTGTTAGTTGCCAATCTAGAGAGAATCTACCACTGGTCTTGGCGAACGGGACGGCTGCTCTCCATTAAATAATTAAGTTCACCCTTTTTACCAGGCCATATCGATCTGATGATAGAGACTGAAAGGGTTACAATTAGATTCTCCTCTCAACCAGAAATAAAAGTACAATTCAAATTGTAGTTTCTCGAATTTACCTTGGGCAGGCGACAGGCGGCGCCCGATAAGAGCGGGTGCCCCTCGTCATGTGGGCGGTGAGTCACTTTTTTTTCTTATCGCAACCCCTCTAGAAAATCTGGAATTTCTTCATTTCCATAGCTTTTGCGGGGGGCCATTGATCCTGCTGGTTCTACGATATTTCCCACTCCCTAGAGCCGCGTCTCTTCCTCCGTCGCTTAATTCAATTCTCGCCATGCCTTCCACCGAGGCCATCCCCCACAACTCCTTCGACACCATCCTGGTGCTCGACAATGGCTCCCAATAGTACGTTTCGTCTTCGCGCCAGGCGCTCGCAACCTCAATTCCAATGATAAGTCTGTTCCTCATGCTGACGGCTATTCTTTTCTATAGTACCCACCTCATCACCCGCCGTCTCCGTGAGTTCAATGTCTACTCCGAGATGCTGCCCTGTACCCAGAAGCTGGCCGATCTGGGGTGGAAGCCCAAGGGCATCATCCTGTCTGGTGGCCCCTACTCCGTCTACGAGAAGGACGCCCCTCACATTGACCCCGCCTTCTTCGAGCTTGGCGTCCCAATTCTCGGAATCTGCTACGGTCTCCAGGAGATCGCCCACCGTCTGCACGCCGACAACGTAGTTGCTGGTACCGCTCGGGAGTATGGTCATGCCGATTTGAAGGCCACCCGTTTTGGTGGCCACGTCGACAAGCTTTTTGATGGCCTCGAGGATGCCATGACAGTTTGGATGTCCCACGGTGACAAGCTGTGCAATCTGCCCGAGGGCTTCCATACCATCGGTACTACTCAGAACTCCGAGTTCGCCGCTATTGCCCACCAGACTGAGCCTGTCTACGGTATTCAGTTCCACCCCGAGGTTACCCGTGAGTTCCACCAATCTTGCATATATAATAATTTTTTTTGGAGGAATTATCAGTTCTAATACAACCCAGACACCCCGCAAGGTGGTAAGCTTCTGCAGAACTTTGCTGTCGGAATCTGTGGTGCCCAGCAAACCTGGACCATGGCTGAGTTCATTGGTCAGGAGATCAAGCGCATTCGTGATCTTGTCGGCCCCGAGGGTCAAGTTCTCGGTGCTGTCAGCGGTGGTGTTGACTCTACAGTCGCCGCCAAGCTGATGACCGAGGCCATTGGCGATCGTTTCCATGCTGTCCTGGTCGACAACGGCTGCATGCGCCTGAACGAATGTGCTCTGGTCAAGGATGTTCTCCAGGAACAGCTTGGCATCAATCTCACTGTTGTTGACGCCAGCGAGGAGTTCCTGGCTGGTCTGAAGGGTGTCGATGACCCCGAGAAGAAGCGCAAGTTCATCGGTGGCAAGTTCATCGATGTCTTCGAGGCCGAGGCTAAGAAGATTGAGGCCCAGAACGCCGGAAAGGTCGAGTGGTTCTTGCAGGGCACTCTCTACCCTGGTGAGTACTATGTCTTATCTCTGATAGACTCCAGCTAACCAAATTTCCAGATGTCATTGAGAGCATCTCATTCAAAGGACCTTCCCAAACCATCAAGACCCACCACAACGTCGGTGGTATTGCTGAGCGCCTTATGGCCGGTCACGGTCTGAAGCTCATTGAGCCCCTGCGTGAGCTCTTCAAGGATGAGGTCCGCGAGCTTGGTCGCCAGATGAGCATCTCCCCTGAGCTTGTCGGCCGTCACCCCTTCCCTGGTATGTCCCCATCTCATTCTCCGCGCGTAAAACATCATACATCTAACCCAGTTTACAAGGCCCTGGTCTTGCCATCCGTGTCCTGGGTGAGGTCACCAAGGAGAAGGTCGAGATGGCCCGCAAGGCCGACAACATCTTCATTAGCATGATCCGTGAGGCCGGTCTTTATGATGATATTGGCCAGGCCTACGCCGCCCTTGACCCGTCGCGGGCCGTCGGTGTGATGGGCGACAAGCGTGTCTACGCCAATATCATCCTCCTCCGTGCCATCTCCACTCGCGATTTCATGACCGCTACTCCTTACCCCTTCAGCTACGAGTTCCTGACCAAGGTCTCGACTCGCATCGTTAACGAGGTGCAGGGCGTCTGCCGTGTTGCCTACGACTTTACCAGCAAGCCCCCTGGTACCATTGAGATGGAGTAAATATTAAAACAGGTCATTTTTAGTTTTGCTCCTGTTGCGGGTTTAAAGGGTATAATAGAAGAGCCTTGTTGGCACAGGGTTTAAAATGATCGAATGCCTTTTATGATTCATGTGCATAGAGAATTCAAGTTATTTATTACTTTCAGAAAAGTGCTGCCGGATGGGGAGTCATGCAATTTCGTAACAGGCTAAGGCTAAAGAGAGAGTAGAAGAGTATTGAGGACGTTCACTCATAGCTCAGTTTTCGTAGTTGTCTTCGTGTTATCGAAACTCTGACCACTTTGTTTATTCCATGACTGCATCATAAGCGCAGCCACATTCCGACCCATCAGAGCACTGGTCTCCATAGTAGAGATAAAACTCTCAATGCCGCTCGTATACCATATGCCCGGGGCCAGGAGAATTTCTTCGAAGGTCACGCGCGGGTACAGAAGCGGGTACGGATGCCAGACCTTCTCGTGGAACCAGCTGATTTCATTCCTGGGGAGATCAGCAATGCTCGTGTTGCTGTGCGGGACAACCATTGAGCTTTTGTTGTATTCGATATCGAAGGCCTCCGCGATGAATTCGGCCGTTGGCTGCTCCGGCGAGAAGATCTTGTAGACATAGTGTTCTTCTTGGTGCTCTTCGCCATCCTTCACAATGGTCCGAGTAACCGACCGCAGTGTACTAATACTCCAGAAACCAGCCGGCCCCACACCCTTAGGATTTCTACCGAGCTTTTCGTGCTCTGGGAGGGTCGTCAAGACTGCCTCTGGAACACTATCATCCTTACCATGGAGACCAAAATAGGCTGGCGAGATGCGATGCGGGGTGGAAAAGAGAGTGACATGCAGCTTGACGTATGGAATGTCATCTGGTATATGTTCCAACGGAGGAGAAATTGAAATACCCGAGTACTGCAACGGACCGGCAATGATGACTTCGTCAAATTCTGTTTCTTCGGATGACCGAGCAGAATCAAGGTCCCCCGTCGGATGCGAGGTAATGCGCACGACACCGTCGTCATTTCGAGCGATGGCAGTAACGGTTGTATTCAATTTCACTTCGGCTTGGGAAACTCTCACTGCTCCGTCGAATATTTGCCAATTTCCACCATCAATAGAGACGGCCCCATCGGTGGCCAAACAGACCATTGATTCCAGACCGTGGATAAGCGGCAGGTTCTGGCCATAGTTCACGCGGGTGCTCGCCTGAATAATCTCGCGAGCGAATGATTCTCCAATCCCATTATCGTTGATGAATATGTCCCCTGGTGTAGACGTAACATTCAGCAAATCAACCTCGGCTGCGGCTTCGGTGAGTGATTGAAATGGGAAAATTGGGGCCTCGTATAGGCGGAGGAATTTGCCCACGATATTCTCCATCAATTTCTGGGCATAGAGTGGAGCCAGGCCATATTTCCAGAAAAGCCGGCCAATATTCCACCAGCTGTAGTTATTTTTGATAGAGAAAACAAATTGCGTTCCATCCCAAATACCGATGGATTCAGCGGATTCCCGAGGTCGCGCATAATCAGCACTGCGGACATTGAGACCAAGGTCGCGCGATGCATTCACGAGGTTATGATTGACCTGAACGAATATGGAAGCGCCTAGTTCGATTGGATAGGCTGGGTTGTCAAATACGTCGACTGTAGTTGAGCGGCCCCCGATATACGAGGCGCGCTCAAACACGGTGACGTCGAGAGGGATCCCAGCCTCATCCGCAAGCTTACGCAGCTCGTATGCGGCGAAGGAGCCTCCTGCCCCAGCTCCTGGGAAATGCGTAAGTAAACTTGCTAAATGGCATATGCTTGATGGACACCTGTTCTGTATGCCAACGATGGGGCTGTGAATGCCTACCGATGATAGCGACCCGCTTCGGGACGGCATCTATAACTTGCTTCAGCGGCTGCTGCTGGGCCGCATCACCGATAGAAGCGAGCAGAATGAATGTAAAGAGAAGCCATAGATAGGATTGGTCCAATTTATAAACCATAGTCACTCGCCGCTTGGTCTATTTGCGACTAAAGGAGGTTCGTGATGGATAAGGAAGAAGAGAGGAGTCGACCGTCGTCGAGTCATGACACTGCGGCCGCGGTAATATTACCGTACGCCGCGGTAGTGTGGGGCGTATCGCTTATCGCAGCAATTTTTTGAACGGCGGGGCTTCGCAACTCTCAGCCTTTACAGTTGATCTACCACACAATGGATCCCTACGACAGCGATTCCAGTACCGACGAGGACTTCGCCGAGACCAACGTCCTCCTCGGCTACGCCGCTGATGAGGTCATTGAGGACACAATCAGCCACCTGGGCGGCTGGCCGGTATGATTCTGCCAAACCCGATTCAACTATAATGTCTTCCAACACGCCTGACAATTTCATATCATCTTATATAGAAATGGCTCGATGAATCTACTCCCCCACCTGGCGAATTCGCCAACTGCCAAGTCTGCAATAGCCCAATGCTCCTTCTCCTCGAACTGCACGGCGATCTCCCCGAGCACTTCTCCAACAACGAACGCCGCCTCTACATCTTCGGCTGCCCCAGAAAACCATGCAATCGCAAACCAGGAAGCATTCGCGCATACCGCGCAACCCGCAAGGTCCATTTGGAGAACCCTCAACCCAGTAAGCAACAAGAGAAGCCAGCAGAGAAGAAACCCGTCCCGGAACCCGCACCCGCACCTGCACCTGCACCCCCGAAGCCGAAGCAGGACCTCGGCGCCAGCCTGTTCGGAGCTACGTCTCTGACAGGCAGTGTCTCTGCGAATGCAAACCCCTTCTCCTCCAAGCCGGGAGGGAGCCTGAGCGGCGCCAATCCATTTGCGACGCCCCAATCTACAACCCCCGCCCCCGCACCCAAACCTGCCCTCTCCCAAAGCGAGACGAATGCGCTGGCCGAATCATTCGCTGACAAGGTCCGTCTCTCGACTCCAGGTGTCGAGAACAGCATCGTCCCCTCCGCCATCACAAAACAAACGCCCGAGTCCGCAAGCACTCCGAAACTGTGGCCCGCGCAGTCCGAATTTCCGGCACCGTATCAGAACTTCTTCCTTGATGCGGAGTACGAGACCATGTCGCGCGCGTCCACGCCTACGATCCCGGATAATGTGCAGATGGAACCGATGGATGAGGATGGTGGTGCTGGATCCGCCGATCTGAAGGATACATTCGAGTCGGAACTCGATAAGGCTTTCATGAAATTCTCTACCCGCCTCGCGCATAATCCGGAACAGGTTCTCCGCTATGAGTACCGTGGTGCACCACTGCTGTATTCTTATGCTGATCAGGTTGGTAAGCGGTTGCATCCTGAAGGGACTGCTGCCAAGGTGACCACCACTGGCAGGGGAAGTATTCCGCGCTGCGAGTACTGTGGGAGTGAGCGAGTGTTTGAGTGCCAGCTTACGCCCCATGCTATCAGCGTGCTTGAGGACGGCCGTGAGGGCGTTGGTCTGGGAAAGGATGACTCTGGTATGGAGTGGGGGACCATAATCCTGGGTGTTTGTGCGAAGGATTGTGCCCCGGAGACCATGAATGTTACCGGATGGCGAGAGGAGTGGGCTGGTGTGCAGTGGGAGGAGATGAAATAGTTTACGTTCCCAAGATCCGCTATATACCCCGAATGAGAGGGGAGGAAAGTGATGAATTATGGCATAAATAAAAATAGATTCCATTGAGTGTAACCACGCTGTTATACACAAGATCCTTGGCTCATTGATGATGTGTGCTTCCGAGTTCGTATGTCCATTATCTTGATGGTATTAAATAATCTCAAGTCACATTACTCTGTCTGGGCTACTCTACGTGGGGGAAAAAGAACTCTGTATGTTTCATATTGTAGCAAACCAACCTACGAAAAGGTGGCTCGACATTGGAGGTTATGGTATGAACATGGGCATCTCGCACATCCCGTCATCATCCGCTCATTTCAGATAAGAAATAAAACAAAGGATCCCAATACAAAACAAAGGGAGTAAAATTAACTCGAGGGAAAGGAAACGCCAGATTGCGCCAGATCCCGACTCATCTCCGAGCCTCCTCATGCGAAATCTATCACCGTCTCGACGACGGATCGGGGATTCATGAACTCATGTCTCTTTTTTTTGTTCTCCTTCGCGGAGACAGGACGGAGAATGAAATAGTTAAACGGGGAGAGAATATCAATCAAGTCAAAAAGAGGAGAACGGGGTGCTTAAGCAGCCTGCTCGAAACCGCGGCGAATCACACGGCCAAACATGTCCACACCAACACGCTCGCTCTTGACCTCGCTGCGAGCCTCATTCTCCTTGTTGGTAGGAACGCGAACAACATCGCCCTCGACCTTCCAGCCACAGACATCCGCGACGAACTTTACGAGAGCCTCGCGGCCGCGGACATCGAGCCACTGCTCCAGAGCATCGGCGGTGATGGAGCGGAAGGCCTTGCCGACCTCGACGGCGATGCGGATACGGACAAGCTCCTCGAAGCCGGCGACATCAGCAGTCAGATCGGCGTACAGGTCGTCAGAGTTCAGAGTGGACCAGAACTGGGTGTACTGGGCGGACTCGAGGAGGGTGGAGAGTTGGGAGAGCTTCTGGACGGACTCAACAAAGTCGGAGGTCTGGGAGGCAGCCTGGGCCTCGGAGGTGGTAGGGAAAGGCTGGGTGTGAGCGGGGAGCAGGGCGAGGCAGAGCGAGAAGGCAGGAGAGGGGAACACGGTCAGGGCCTTGGCCAGAATGTTGGTGACGGTGTCGGGCTGGAGAAGGTGGGGGTTGAACTGGTACCTATTCGGGTTCATTCAATGTCAGTCCTTCTGAATAGGAGGCTTTTGAGTATTCGAAACAAGGGGATGTTCTTTTGGACATCGATGGTCCAACGCAATGCCATAAGATGCATTGGACTGGCTTTCAGAAGTTCGAAAGTTCTCAACTTCCCCGTACGCGACAGGTTGTCAGGTAATAGGAAACGTGTATTGAAAAAGTTCGTTCATCATAGAATTGATGCCATATGTTTGTTTTTTGAAATGCGGCTAGACAGAAAAGAAAGTCAACAACTTACAGCTTCAGCAGAGCCAGGTTGGCATAGCAGTCGAAGGTGCGGTCCTCGCACTGCTGTGCCACGTAGTCCTGGAAGACCGTGGTGGTCTCGGGGTTGTACCGATCGAGGCCATTGAGAATAGCGTCGATATGGGCCGGTCGGGTCTCACACTTGTCGAAGGCGACCATCTTTGCTGTTCGTGATGGGAGATGTGAGTGCGGGTCTTTGTCGTTGGTCGTCTTTTTGGTGGGATTTTTGATTGTGGCCCGGGTTGGCGGAATAACCGAAAATGGCTAGTTTATCCGAATATCTCCGGACTATATTGGCATGTTTTCAACTTTCAAGAATGGACCCAGATATACTATTGAATAAAGAGTATTGCAAAGCGAATTACGGGGAACGTTTGGGTTTGCAAATAGATTTGGCCATTTCAGGCCACGCTCAGTAGTCGTGTTCGGATAGTACATAAAATACATGTCTCTTGAATGCCTCGTGACGAATCATCAGACGGTCAATCGTAAGGCGACGCGAGCGACACCTAGCAGTAAAGCAGCTGCGCTCGCGGAGTTGAACAAGGAAAATGGGAAGACAAACGACAGCATCCAAGAGAGAGAAACGTGGAAAAGCATCAGAAAAAAGTAGCCCGCAAAAAAAACTCCGATCCTTGTCTGTGAGACGCCATAGTCTATGCCCAGATTAATCACCTTGCCAAAAAAAAAAAAGGAAGAAAAAGAAAAAAGAAAAAGAGAGAGAAACGAAAATTGGAAAGAAATCGGAAAAGCCAGAGATATGCAAAACAAACCAGGCCAAAATATGGCATCGTCGCTTGCAAGCAAAAAAGCAAATAGATGCACAAGGGACCCCGGAAACGATTAAATTGGGGTGGCAGAGAATGTGCTTCGGAGAAAGCAAATCAAGCGGGGTATCTCGAACGTAGGTGCGCAGGAAAAGATCAAGTGATGCAGTAATGGTTCAGGCCACGACGGACCGACGGGTAGTGATAGGTATTGGCTTGGGGCCAGCGGTGATGTTGAGCTTGCCCATATCAAGGTCATTGGCGTCTTGATTGGGAGACGAGCTGGCTTTCTTCGCGCGCTCGGCACTCGTCGAAACCAACACCGGCTGGTCCGCGCCGGCAGTCTCTTCATCCCCAACAGTACTGCAAACGAAACGTTCGTCGGAGATGGGGACACCGCCAAACATCGAGCCCAGTTGCTGCAGCAAGGCGACAAAATGGGCATGAAGTTCGGTAAAGATGTATTCATTGCCGACAATCTCGGCAAGATTGCGGGCCCGGATCTGACCGAGGCGTCGCGAGTTGCCAGCTGGGTCCATGGCACGACCCGTGAGGAATGAAGAGACCGGGGTGTATTGTCGGCCTGCGGCCTTGTTGGCGGAGTTGTTCTGCTCGTCACGTCGCTTTTCCTCTTCTTGAAACCGCTCTGCGGCGGTCACGATGCTGGATGCGATGCGGCCAAAGGCGCGCCAGATAATGGGGCAGGCCCGGAACGCCCTTCCGGCGTCCTTGCCGGCCAATGCCACCAATGCATAACTGCGGCGTTTACCGCGCGCCATCGGGTCGGGCAGACGAAAGATGTAAGCGATGGTGTAGCCGGCCACGGAATCGCCGAAGCATAATGGCCCGGAGGACAGACCGCGGGGGAGCAGCTCACAGCTCAACGTGCGGATGGAGGAGCGGCGGAGAAGCGCATAGTCGGCGGGATTGGGCGGACCACGAAGGGAGAGGTAGGTGAGGATGTGTGTATGACATGATGCATCGGATGCGACAGAGGAGGAGTGCAGGGAGTCCGGGGGCGAGGCATGGGCGTGAGCATGAGGCTCGGGCGTCTGGTCGTCCAGGTCGACGTGGTTGTTGCCGCATGAGTAGACGACTTCGCGCGATCGCAAGACCGGGCTGCTGCTGTTTTTGCCATCGCGATTGCCGGTAGCTCCTCCAGTTGGCAGTTGCTTGCTCACGCCTTCGGGCAGCGACAAGCTGCAGCTGGCGCATGTGTCGCCGTCGCCGACCCGGTTGGATTGGGCTTCGGGAGACGCCGGCTGTTGGGCGCGGAGAAAATACGGGTGATCTTCGATCTTGGGCGACTTGGTTCCGGACGCCTCGGAGGTGGCGGTGGGCGGCGTGGACTGGCGAGGAGAGGAGGTGCCGTTGGTGGTTGTCTCAAGATCATCCAGGTCGGGATGGCATTGCGTACAGGAGAACGGGACGACCTGGGAGCAGATGATGGAGGTGGGCCCATGCACTTCGCAGAAGTGCGTCAGGGAGAGCTGGATCGAAGTCATGATTAGTGGGCGAGCTCATCAGACAGGGCGGACGAGAAGGGAGATCATGAACCCAAACCGATGGCCGCTCGAGCGACGAGAGCCTCAACCAGGGCGATCGGCAAGCACTCACGATAAAGTCCATGACGGCAGATCACGAATCACACGGACAATTCAAACCATCCTGGCGGAGCATGCTGCGATTGGGGGGTATGCAGGATCCACCGCGACGAAGGGGAGGAAGGGGGATGGTTATAAAGCGAGCGAGTGTCCGCTGCGGTAGGGATGGCGGCAGGGGCCTTTTGCCACGGGAACTGCTCCCAATTGTTCGGGTTCGGGCTTCGACCAAGTGGAGGCCTCGCGCGACAGCCTCCCCTTCTGAGACGATGGAAGGCCCATGGAAGCATCGAACATCTCCACTCTGCCTGCCCACTGAAGCCCAGCCGATTTGATTACTCCGTGCGATCGGGAACTGCGCATCCATCGCTCACGGAGTATCTCCCTCCGTTGCGCCAGGTTGATCGCGGCTTGATCTCACATTCTCTCCCGTCTCCTGGATGGCCCGTCCTCCTTACTGCGACATGCCCTCTCCCCCTTTTTCGCATCTGCATGTGAATCGGCCCGATGCCAGATGCGTTCCAGACCGATGCCGCTCGCGGGGAAAGGCTGCAAGCAGGCGACTAGACCAGTTGGGAAATGCCGGCATCCTTCCCGGCTGGATCTATCACCCTGCGGAGGATTCTCCGACCGTCTCCAGAGTCTCGCATCTACGCAATTGCTTTTTCCCTTTAAGGATGCTTTCCTTTGGCGGTCCCCGAATTTGCGACCCGGCCTCTGTAATTCCTCCGTGTTTCATGGCCTCGGGGGGTTTCTGGCATTGCCCCTGCTTCCTCCGTCTCCGATTAGCCGTAGAAGAGAGTAGTATTTAACCTAGGCAGTATAGTAGTATCATTATAATAATTATAATATTATGACTATCCGAGCATATGCTATGGCCTTAGGGTACCCTACCTCCGGTGTACCCAGCCATTTCCTTACCCTTACAACTGTTGTACCCAACCTTCCAGAAATCCCAGTGGCTTCTCCATTCCGCACTAGCGTCCGCGCTGTCGGGTGCAGCGGGGTCCATCTTTCATCCTGTCGGCCCTGCATGGGTGCACTCTGCATCGCAGCATGTCTCGTATTCATCCTCCGACGAGGCTATCTGCTTCTCCAACATCACCACTTTCGTCCATCCTGTGCGGCCCCGACTATCTTCCGTCGCATTCGGCTGTGACCGCGGGCCCCCGACTGCACACGCGGCACGGACTTAGCTTCCACTAGTCCATGATTGCTTCCATTCGACAAGAGGGCGTACAGGGCGTGCCATTTACCCGCTGCGGAACACTGCCCTTCCAGTCCCCCGAGAGCGAGATCGGATGCCGCGCAGGAATCCCTGCAGCCCGGTAGTCGCCTCCAGACAATCAGATTAGAGTGTATACGACGGTCCATGGACCCTCCCGGCAGGCTGTCCAGGATATCATCCTGATATGAGGGCCTAATATACCTATCTTACTCTAGGGTAGGACACTACTACAGGTATGTAGCAGTGTTTACTCCCGTACCGGTCTTCCCATCTCAGGCAATTCCGGCAGACTTCGCTATGGAACAGTGCTCTTCCGCCGAATCGAGCGGCGCCCCGAATGCGTCCCTATTGGACTCCTCCACCCCGCGGCTCGTAACAACTAGAGACGATGGCCATGGGGCTGCCGTGCATTAGGCGGAGATGGAAAACCGTCAGGATGTCTTCGGCTGAGGGATTTACTGGGCTGGGCTTACTTCCGCCTCGGGTGACTGGCTGCAGGAACGCCACCCACGGATCCACAACAATTTGGTCTCCATCCGTCATGGGCGACTAATGCACTAGTCGGCGAATCGACGATGGCCCTGGGGCGACTGCTCTCCCGCACAGCTTAACGGTCCAGCCATGCCTTTCTGATTAATGCAGGTGGTTGATTTCCCTAGTATGGACGCCATCCCGCCGCTGCCTGGAGTACCCGATCCCTTAGCAGGCTCCCCTCCTTACGTACAGCAGCGTGGATTAGTAGATGTCGCGTCTCGCCTACCTATTCCAGTATACCACCGGCAGTCCATTGATTGACGACCGGAGTACCGTGAGACGACGGAGTACATCACGGAATGCCTCGGCTGGTCGGCTATGCCAGATCATCGATGATCTTCCCTGCACGCTGGTAGATCCTCGGCCCTGCGGCTCGAAATGCGAAACTCGTCTCCCACCCTCGAAACGTGCACCCCGAACTCGAATTTCCAAGATAGGCTCCTTTTTGCGTTTCTGGATCGCCCAGATCCCCACGTGGGCACTCGTGGTCGCAGCTCGCATGTCTCACTCTGCACGAGAGTCGTCGCGGTGATCCACGCTGTCGCACCACTCCCTACGGTAGCATCTGGATGTACGTGCTCGCACCCTGCATCTGCATGTGGGATGAGATCTTGGAGTTGGGTGCATCCCAGGTACTATACATAGTACGTAGTTCACTACCTTAGAGTACACTGCTATTTGTATACGTACATTGTACCTAGATATACTGATATACTATACGCAAGTACTGTTAGCTACGAGTACATTGTACTCTCTACATTCTTGAATACATCCTACGGTCCAGCCTCACACGATTCCCTGCCTACACGAGTGTAGACAAACTCAAAGCCACCGCTGTCAGTACGTAAACACCAAGCTCGTGGAACCGACCCAACCGAAATTGAATTTTCGTGTGGGCCTGCGCGATTATCCTCGGTGGAGCCATGGGAACTCCGAAGGAGAAAACTCTCTTCGTCTGACCTGCTCTTGCGGGCACACCGGCTGCACGGTGGAGCCGCGTGTCAATCCGCTCACCTACAACGTTAGATCACTATGGAGTATGGAAAACGCAGGATCCTCGAAACGGTCAACTGAAATGGGAACGGAGTCTCGTCTACCTAAGCTTGGCGTGTCCCGAACGGGATGGCTGATCTTCGCGGGTTCTGCACAATCGCCCTGCGCTGGGTCACCGAAGATCCCTATAACCCGTTCAGCTGCCCATGTTCGTCACGCCGCGTTTCGATGCGAACTGCAGAACCCTCCCAATGGCCCGATCACGCGCCGAGTTCGTCCCTCATGGACAGATTAAATCATGTCTCACAATCACACCGCCGCGCGCGCTTCGCCCTCAAATCTCGGTCTAGACTGCCATTGTATGGAGCGGCGGCCGGTGCCCGGTTTCAAAGTCGCACAACTATGGTGACGAGGCACGAGGAACGCTCGGCCTTTTCTCGCAATTCGAACAAACGATATTAGGTAGTAGTACAATGCCGAGGAGCCGAGGCAAAAGAAACTCAGCACTCGTTGTCGCTCGGTCACACTCCCCCATTGTAGACACGAAGTGGAAACACGAGATCATGTATGGAGTTACTAGTATGCTTCATCGACACTAGTGAAACTCCGTATCAAGCTCACTCCCGGTCATCCTTGGGCATGCGCAAGTTCATCATCGACAGCATATTGCCAGCGGGTCCCGCCGTCCCGGCTTGTCCTTGGAGAGCTTCCATCAAATTCTTGGCCAGGTTGATGTTGACGTTTTCGTCCTCGTCCTCATCCACATCGGCTGTAGATGGTCCACCGGCTTCTTTGGATGATTGCTTCGTGGCTGCCAGTTTCTGTTGCGTGCGATTCAAATCCAAGACGCCAGTTCCTTTGAGTTCAGCCTCCATCCGCTGGGATAATTCATCGATCTGCTTCGAGCTATCTTCCTCGTCATCGGAATCAAGATCTCGTATTCGGTTTCGTAGATGCGTGTCGAGCGATGGTCCCTGACCGGACCCGGATGGCATGCCCATCATCTCCTTCATCATTTGGTTAAATTCTGCTTCGTCAAAGGAAGCCTCCTCGTCTTCTTCCGAGTCGCTCGGCGCATCAGAGTCCTCGGCATCGACGTCGGAGTCCGTGGCATAGGCGTCGAGATCGGCTCCATCGAATCCAGCTGAAGTATCATTGAGGAATTCTTCAAAACGGGCCACGATCCGCTGAAGGTTTTCCTGGGCACCTGCATCGCCAAAGTTTCCAGCGTCTCTTTCTTTGTCCTTGCCCTTGCCCTTTAATTCCTGGTCAAGATCTTGAAAATTGATATCCATCCATTTCTCATCGTCCTCACGCTTGTCCCAGGTCTTATCAATCTCTTCGTCGGAAGGAAGTGCCTCATCGCCCGCTTCAACGTCTTCTAACAACATCTTCATTTCACGAACAGCGGATTTATCTTGGTGGTGTGGGTCGTAGAGCAGCATTTCAAATCCGCATGAAAGCTTCATTCCGGCTTCTGCACGGGTATGGGCTTTCGTTTCGTTGATCGGGGGCAGTTTACCCGCCCAGCTTCGGGGTACGGGAAATTCTTGGCTCTTCAACTGGGCGTATCCAACTCGCGTGAACCGAACACTAACTGTGACCATGTCTTCAGGCTTGAAGGTAAGATCGGAGGCATCTTGGGCACGAAGGGGTCGCAAAGCAATTGGATCACGGACGTAGAAAGCCTCCACAGCAGGAGAAATGTATGCTGGCTTTTTGTGCAGAAGGTACGCGACTTTGCGAGGAATCGTGATTATCGCGGAATGGAGGTTTTCGGGGATTTGCTTGGGATAGTTGCGCAGTCGGTAGAAGGCCTCTTCTTGTATCATGACAGACTTCATCAGGCGGTCTGGTTCTTCCTGTATGATCCTCTTGGCCTCCGAAAACGACAGTTTCTCTGTGATCTTCCGTTTCACATTTTTTTTGGGCTTAATGATTCGAAGGTCTCCTTGGTGAATCCAGACCTTGAGCACGATTTTATGTGGTCAGTATCAAACCCAGGGCTCGTAAGAATTGGTTCAGAGCTCACCCTATTGTCTGCGACTTCGGGCTCTAGCCATGCAGGGAGCGTTGCCGCAGCCTCGACGAGCAGGAACTCGCCATCACTGTCCACGACTTTGACCCAGATATCTTTGTGTCGTTTAGTCAACTCGCGCAGGATATACACAATTACCCATTCATCTTCGATAGAGTCTCCATAGTTGGTGCGGCCGTGGAGCGATATGATTCCTGTGCATATATATATTTGGGATCAGTAACCGATAGATCCATCAAAACCAGGTCTCGATAGTAGATAATCGTACCATCATCCTTCGCAAACTCCAAAAAGAATTTTTCACGCTGCCATATGTAGTCCTTGAGCAAATCCTTGATCAATTCTGCTGCTGTGCGCTGAACCTCCAGCAATCGTGCGCGAGTCTCGGCAGTTTCATCGATAACGGCGGGGGCGGGGGAGGGGGGTGATAAATGAAGTACTCGACAGAGTCCTCCGGGAGCTCTGGTCTGGGGATTGGGCGGAAGGTGGACCTGAACCACGCGATGTCCTCCTCGGTCGCCATCGTCGAGGCAGTCTGTAATGTTGAACAGTTGAAGCCGCTTCACCGCATGACCTCATGGCATTCCGACCGCGAAATCCAAAAAAAAGGCGGAAGGCAGAAGGCGGGCCCCACTCGTGACCTGCACACTAGGCCACTTTGGGCTAGACATCAACAGTGATGCTTCGCCCGTCGCAACTCGCCCAAAAACACGTCTGGTTCCAATCTTCTCCCCTCCAAGATCTCCGACTTCTGACAGCAATGGTCGCGTGTTGAATGGCCTTGAACATACGACACACGATTTTGGCACAATGGCGTTCCCTTACATCGATACGCCGCGCACCGAAATCGACGGGAACGCGACTTACCTGACTAACGGCCTTCGGAGCGCGGGCCGTACGCACTTATCGGCACTCGACTCGGTGGAAAACTCATTCCACACGCCTTCGAAGGATAATGACGTGATTAAGGGCTTCGGGGATGGGAGGAAACGCACATCGGGGACCTCCAAGGTCGGCACTCCACGCGCGAGCACGGCAAACAAGTCGACGAGAAGCGCGTTGAAGCATCTTCCGTCTGCGGGACCAGCTAGGGGGAGTTTACGCCACTTATGAAGAGTGCGACAAAGAACAACTTCCTGAAAAACATGTCTACGACTCGAGGAATGGAAGATCCAAGGACCCCGGGCTATATGCGGGACGGCAATCGCGGCAGCGCTCATACCCCCGGACTGCCCGCTATGGATATGTCCGATATTTATGAAGAGGATATGACTGCCGAAGATCCGACGCCACTTCCCCAAGTTGCTAGTAGCAGCGCACAGAGTACTCCGCTACCCGGCCTTTTGGGACGTGACGGCAAAGGTGTGCTGGGTGACGGACAGAACATGACATTGAAGGAACAAGAACGAGTATGGGTCAATTAAATACGCGATTATCGATTGCTGTACTAATTTTTATAGATCATTGACAGACTCGATAAAGACAATTGGAACCTCAAGCTCAAGATTCACTACTTGGAGGAGCAGATCGAAAAGGCCGGCCCGGAATACAACACCCTCGCCCTGAAAGAAAACACAGAGCTCAAGGTCGCCAGGTTGACTATGCAGCGCGACATCTCCCGCTACAAAAAGAGTCTGCTGCAGGCAGAACATGACCTGGAGGAGTATCGACAACAACTCGTGGAGATGAGAGATCGGGCTCGAAGGAAGCATACCGACGAGGAGGTGCAGCGTGAGATGGACCTCATGCGGGAGGAGATCGACTCTAGGGACAACGAGCTCCGGGACCTCCGAGAAGAATTGAGACTCGCCAAGGACGAGAAGTCTCAGGAGGCCGAGAAACTTCGCGATGAAATGGAGGATCTGGAGGCCACGGTCAGAGAAAAGGAGCGGGCTATCGATGAGCGGGACGAAGAGATCGAGGAGCTACGAGAGAATAGGCAACAGGGCGACGCAGCCACAGAACTTCAAGCCGAGCTCGACCGAGCGAAAGAGCAGATCCAAGAGCTTCAGGTCAGTTTGGAACAAGCGCATAAAGACGCCCAAGATGCGAACGAGACTGCCAGGCAGGCCAACGATGAGAAGGAACGCGCCGAGGACGATCTTCGAGAGCTACAAGATGAGATGTCGAACAAGTCCGTCATGACAAAGGGATTTAGCCGACAGCTGGAGGAAAGAGCTGAAAAGCTTGAGGAAGAAGTGCAGCAGTTGCGTCAAGAGAACGAAACCCTCCGAATCGATGTCGAGAATAAAACCACGACTTTGGCCCGATTGGAGCAACGCTACGATGACATCCAACGAGATTTGAAGAGTAATACCGGTAAGCTTGGCGAAGACCTGGCATCGACGAGACGCGAGCGAGAATTGGCCCAGCAGGAGCTTGAAAGTGTATCCGCTCGTCTACAAGAGGCTTTCGATGAAATTCAACGCAGGAATGAAGAGAAGGAGCTTCTGCAGACACGGAACCATGCTCTGACCGATGAATCTGGAGGCTTACAGAGTGAACTAGCCCGTGCACAGTCTAGAATCCGTGAGCTTCAGTCAGCCGTTGAAGAAGCCACAAACCGGGCACAAGACACCCAAAATCTTCGCTGGCAGCAAAAGGTTGAAGTCGATCGACTGCAGGATGAGATTGAAGCTCTTCAGCATGAGATCGAGGATAAAGAGGGACACTTTGCCCTCGAACAAGACCGATGGGAGAGCACGAAGCGTACCCTGCAATCTCAGAAAGACCGCGCCGAAGAACAAGCCATGGGATACAAGCGCACGATTGAGAGGCTCCAAGAAACGGAACACACTCTTTCAGGGAAGGAGTACAAGCTCCAGGAAGCCATTGACAGCGAGAAACAACGTCATACCCAAGAGGAAGCTGTCCTGCAACGTCAAATCAAGGAACTTGACAACGACCTCTCGCAGAAGCGACACATTCTTGATGAACAGCGCAGCGACCTTCTCACTGTCAGAGAGGAGCTTCGTGTTTCGCGTCGTGAAGAACAGTCACTCAAGGATAAAGTGCAGGCTCTGGAAGATGAAGTCGTGGTGCTGCAGTCAAGCTTGGCGGACGAACAAGAATACGCCAAGGGTCGAATCCAAAAGGGCTCTTCAGACGTGGAGAATCAACTGCAGAAAGCAATCGCCGACAGACAGACGCTTCGTGACCAACTTGCCAATGCACATGTCGAAATGCATGACCTGCGGACCTCTGTGGCCGAATTTGAAGCCGAGTGTGCTGAATTACATGCCCAGCTCGAGAAACCTCAAAATGTGGATGACACCACTCGCTTCGATCGTGAAAAGCTGGAGCTTCGGAGGACCACGTCCCGGCTTGAGACCGAATTGAAACGACTGCGAGATGACAAGTCTTCACTACTTGAGGCTAAGGATAGTCTCGAGAAGCAACTTGGTTCCGAAATCGAACGTGCGACGGCAGAAGAGGGTCGTCTCTCCGCTGAGATTGACCGTCTTCAGGACAAGCTACTTGCAGGCTCAGGTAACCGGGACCGAGAATTGACCTCGGCCAAGACGAAAGTACAACGTCTGGAGCGACGTATTCAGGAACTTGAAGCCATCCTTGAGAATCAGCCCCAGACGGAGAACGAACCGTCGACTGCCCATGGGGATCTATCGCTTCTTCGACACAGCCTCGAGGAAGCTCGGAACCGCGAGAAGAAGTTCCTGCAGCGCGAAGCGGACCATAAAGCATCCACGCGCACCTTGAAGTCGCGAGTTGCAGATTTGGAGAGAGATCTCCATGAAGCTCTCATGAATAAGTTTGATTCGAATTCTATTCATAACTCGCCCTCCAACAAGCTTCATGAGGAGCTGCGAAGCTTGCGGAAGCAGCTTTCTGATGCCCACCGATCGCTCAAAGAAATCAAGTCCAAGAACCGAGATCTTGAACGCGCTGTCATGAGAGAGGAAGACCAGAAGGACCTACACGAACTACTTAAGTCGTCGACCCTCGAGGCCGAATCCCTCGCGCTGAAGGTGTCTGAGCGTGATTCACGTCTGAACGAGTTGAAGAACCAAGTGCGGCGCATTCGTGAGGAGCGCGCCTATTGCGTTCGCAAGGCTGAAACGGCAACCAAGGATCTGGAGGTACTTCAGCAACGCTACGACGAAGCTCTGGAAAAGATCTCATTTGGAAAATCAACCAACAAGTCTAAACACGAGAAAGAGATTCGTGGCCTGGGCAAAGAGATTGTCTGGCTCCGTGCCCGCTTGCACCGAGAAGAGAAATTCCGTCGTGATCTGGCTTGGAGCAAGGGACTGATGGAACTTGGCGAGCGTGTTCGCATAGCATGGTACGTATACCTTCAAAGTTTTAACAGGATTGTGGCTATGGCTGTTTCACTAACATGGCTTGGTAACCTACAGCAACGAAGCAGATCTCCGTATGATCTCCGAGATGGGCGTTCAATCTCGAGACCGCAACAATGTCCGTACTCCTCGAAGCAAGTTCCGCTCTGCCATCTCAATGGTTGTGGCTACCGTTCGTATGCAACGGATGGGCAAGGAGTGGAGGCGAACCAAAAAGATCGGCGAGGGGTTGAAGCGAGCCAAAAGCGAGATGCTGAAGCGCCGAGAAAGCTCGAACAGAAGTCAGCTCGGTCAGTGATTGTCTCATGCCGGCTAGCTGCCGCTATTCCGTCTAATTCTAAGGTCATTTTGTGCTTTTCTCATTTCCTAGCGTCTATCATTCTGCCACGAGAGATTCCCCGACATGTCTTGTTTGTACACCCCTTCTTTGTTTCTTGCTCGGCTTGTTTTTATTTTCAGCACGGGGCGTTTTTACGGTCTTGCCTGTTGCTACTGGAAATCCGCATTCATTGAGCATAGTGGATGGAATGGCGCGAATTGGACGATGATGTGATCATTAGTCTACCGTAACGTCTTGGCAGTTTAGAATTTGATACTTCACCCAATTTGTCTTCGCATATGTCTGCAAAGATGTATACCTCAGAGATAGTGTCCGCGGCTTTTATGACCAAGAATAATCCTAACAATGCTACGAAGTTGGGGTTACAGAGGCATACGAACTTATAAAAGTCTGAGAAACGAGTATGTATGCGACTGTTGCTCTTATGACGACAAACCGCCAGAAAAAACACATGGATATTTGCTCATTGAACGCCTCGCCATTGCCAAGGTACTTGAAACAAGTGAAAAGAAGACTGGAAAATAACAAAACGTCTGAACACCAAAACCGTTAGAGCCAGAAACATGCGGGCGGCCAAGTATGGTCTATTCCATGACAAGCCTTCTTCAACCTTCAACAAGAAGAGAAGGGAGTGCTGCCATCCTACCAACGGCGTATTGTATGGTATAGGGAGTGAGATAAGATGCTTGCGAATGAACCGTGAGTCCCATGCTTACGCTCCCTCGCTGCCGAACTCCTGTGTCCACTCGGAGTTTCTTTGAAGATCCTCGTGGCTGACCGTGGGGCGAGAATTGCGGACAGCCTTGATGAAATCCTTCAGAACAAGTGGGGGCTCAAGGAGCTGCTCCGCTTCAATGCTGAGCCAGGTCATCTCCATTGCACCGGCGTCGCCTGGAGAGCACGGGGTAAGTTTCTCTTCCCCTTCAAAAACAACCTAGATTAGAAAGTTAGTGCGAATTCCACCTATGAAATGAAGATATTGACACAGACCTTCTTATAGTGAGTTGCAGTTTGAATCTTGCGAATCGGCTGCATCAAAGCATCCTGCACGGCAATACTGATATCGCTACCAGAGTAGCCCTCGCTCATCTCGGCCAGCTGCTTATAGTCTGCCTGAGTCATTTGGCATGGTGTCGAGCCCACGGCCAGCATAAACATCTTCATCCGGGCATTGATATCGGGCAGACTAATGTGAACTCTGCGCTGGAATCGTCGTCGAATGGCGGCATCGAGTTGCCAGGGAATATTGGTTGCGCCCAGAATCAAAACGCCCTTGGAGTCTTTTCCGACACCATCCATTTGAACCAGTAGCTCGGTCTTGATACGTCGTGAAGCCTCGGATTCACCTTCACCACGCGGTCCACACAGCGCGTCGACCTCATCGATGAAGATAATTGCCGGTTTGTTCTCGCGAGCCATATTGAAGAGTTGTTTCACAAGCCTATTATTCATGTCAGCTGCATGTCTCGTCTAGAGACGCCGTAGCGGTCGTGGAACTCGGCGCATCATACCGTTCACTTTCACCCATCCATTTAGATACCAGGTCACTGCTGCTAACGCTGAAGAATGTACTGTTCGCCTCTGTAGCGACAGCCTTGGCAAGGTACGACTTTCCGGTACCCGGAGGACCGTAGAGCAAAATGCCCTTCCAAGGTTGTCGCTTCCCAGTAAAGAGATGTGGGAACTTGATCGGAAGAATAACAGCTTCTTTCAATGCCTCTTTCGCGCTCTCCAAACCGGCAACGTCTTCCCATTTAACGTTCGGCTTGTCAGACAAAATGGCTCCTTGAAGCGCTGAGCGAAGCTTTTTCGATTCCGCGTCTTCGCCGTTGTCGTCTTCTTTCCTGTGAATCCATTTCAGTTAGATTTGTCTTTTAGCTTTATACGCACCTTTACTGGCCTCAGATAATGCAAGTCTCATGACCAGCAAAGTGTACGATTCACGCAAACAGACTGCAGACACGTACTCGCTCTTCCCACTTCCTTGCGCCACCTTTCCATTTGCGCCCACCGCACTCGGCTTCTTTCGACCCTCCGCCGATGCCAAGTGATTCTTAAGCTTCTCCGCGCGGTCCATATATTCGCCAGTTTTGGCGCGGATCATCTCCTTCGACCGGGGGTTCTTCTCCCACTTGAGAGCCAGCATGAACAACTCCAATGAGGAGTAGTAAAGCTGATAGGCCTTCTCGTACTCGCCCTCATTGTCATTTTCGATTGCCTTCTTGACCGTGTCAATCGCCCGCCCCAGAAAATCAGTGTTACTCATACTGGTGAGAGCGTTGCGGCGTCGCGGCGTGGACGTTTCGGTGGCGTGGCAAGTCAACCGCGGAGCAATAAAGCGGGGAGAACAGGACAGGGAAGGGTCTCGGCGGGCGAAGGCAGCGGCTTAACGGGAGGCAGCAGCTGGTCGGAGGTAAATGGCAGGGTCGAAGATTGGGGAGAGACGTAAGAATTGCAGGTTTTGCAGCGGGAGGTGTGGATGATGGGATTGGAGGGGGGAAGGGAGAGGTCGGTGTTGACGGGCGGGCAGAAGTCGGTGGTTTTCTCCTCTCCCACCTCCCCGCCAACCGTCGCCATGGACGCCCAGAAACAGCTTCAGGCCCTTTCGGACGAGTTCCAGCAGCTGCAGACCGGTATGTTTGCTCCCGCGTTCTTCAACGATTGTCGTCAATGGTTTTTAATTTATGTCGGTGGCAGATCTCGAGGGTCTGGTCGATGCTCGCCAAAAACTTGAGTCGCAGCAGCAAGAGAACCAGGGTGTGCAGAGCGAATTCGCCCAACTGGACGATGAATCGAACATCTACAAGCTCGTTGGACCTGTGCTACTGAAGCAGGACAAGGCTGAAGCTACCATAGCCGTCAACGGTCGCTTGGAGTTCATCGAGAAAGAAATGTTAATGACCTCCTCTCCTTTGTCGCCGGCTTCATTCGTTAACCTGTCCCCTATAGCAAGCGCATTGAAGGAGAGATCAAGGATAAGGAGGAGAAGGGCGAGAAGAAACGCGCCGAGGTAAAAAGCGACTGCTTGCGATCCCAAGTTACACGTGCTAACATCAATCTCTACGACTAGGTTCTTCAAATCCAAGCCCAGGCCCAACAACAAGCTGCAACTGCTTCAGCTTAAACTGGAACATATAGAGCAGAAAGCCGAAATGATTGAAACCTTGATGGACAACAGTCAAGATGGATTTGACGCTATATGCGATAACATGTGCACGCTGCCTTGTCCACGGGTGTAGCTTGACCTACACTTCGCTTAGTTGAGTACCTAGGTACCCGCCGGCAGCAGCAGCCTAGCCATGGAAATATGACTAGTAGGCGCGGAGGAAACCAAGCGCTATAAATTAGAGTACGGTTGAAATGCTTTGGCTGCCTGGCGACGATTGATGACCTTTGTGACTATATCATAGCCTCGCTCGCTTTCGAATAGTTGACTGTTTTATGATCCCCTTAATGATTTTGGTGTTGCTTGAATTTTTTGAGTATTTGTTTTCCAACGAGGGCAGCTTGCTGTTATTAGATTGGTTTTTACCTGGAGATTTCCCCTAGTCACACCCTCTCCCCAACATCTCGTACTGCGAACGTCAATTAGGACCTTTTTGGCTTAGGGTTCGATGACAGTGTTTCTTCCGCCATATTCTTACTAAGTTGCACATTCTATATTCTATCTGGTGCATACTATATTCCTTGCCCGAACTCCTACATACCTAGGTAGGGTATACAATCAAATCCGGTTCACATCTACCTGTTCGTATGTGATGTGATGTGACCAAGTTCTATGTGATTAGCCACCAAACACTTCCTGTGCACTGATGCAAAAAAGAAAAAAAGAAGCCAACGATTATAACAAGATTGTTTACTTGTACGAGGTCTCCAGTCCATGTGACAGATTATATCCATATTATATCCATATTATATCCATAGAATTAGGAGTCTCAGGTACTGTTAGATACTTGAAAAGCTGGGGAGAGGTATGGTTACTGTGATTTTCATCTTTAGTACCTTTTAACAGTGAGCAGGTTTATCAGCAATCAAATCATTGCACCTCTATTTTTATTTCATATCTTGTGTATCAATATTTAAAACATCCGTTCATAGATTCATTTCCGTAACCACCTTGAGACAAGCACATCGTATGATGCACTCATATTTATGCCTTGACCAAAAGGCTCTTACCGGTCATCTCAGCAGGTTGCTCAATGCCCATGGCAGCCAGGACAGTGGGGGCAACATCGCCCAGAACACCACCCTCCTTGGAGAGGCTCCAGCCAGCGGGGGCGTTGGCCATAACGAAAGGAACCTTGTTGGTGGTGTGGGAGGTCTTGGGAGTACCCTTCTCATTGATCATCTCCTCGGCGTTTCTATCACAGCTGTTAGTATCGAAGACATTCAGGTGTGAACTGGAGCGAAGCTTACCCGTGGTCAGCAGTAATCATGAGAATGTAGTTGTTCTTCACGCAGGCATCGTAGATTTCACCAATGGCCTTATCGGTGGCAGCGACACCCTGGATAGCGGCCTCGTACACACCAGTGTGACCAACCATGTCAGGTGGAGCGAAATTGTTCATGACGAAATCAAACTTGCCCTCGCCAAGACGCTCGGCCATCTTAGCACCAACCTCAGCAGCGCTCATCTTCGGGTCTAGGTCGTAGGTGGCCACGCGAGGGGAGGGGATCATGTCGCGGATCTCTCCGGGGAACTGCTTCTCAATACCACCGTTGAAGAAGAAAGTGACGTGGGCATACTTCTCAGTCTCGGCGATGTGGCATTGCTGCAGGTCCTTCTTGCCCAGCCACTCGGCCAGGACGTTACCCATGTGCTGAGGAGGGAAAGCAACGGGGAAGGTGTAGTCGGTCTTATATTGAGTCATAGTAGTGATGGAGATGTTCTTGGGGTAAGGGAAATCGGGGCGGGGAGAGCGGTCGTAGTCACCCAGAAGCTGGGTAATCTCACGAACACGATCCGAACGGTAGTTGAAGAAGAACAGAGTATCATCATCTGCCAGAGAGTTAGTTGTTGATCATGCGGTGGGATTTTGGAGCAGCGCGATCTCACCCTGCACACGACGGTCCTTGCCGCCAACAATGATGGGCTTCAGGAACTCATCGGTCTCCTTCTTCTCGTAGCGGTCTAGGATGGTCTGAAGAGGGTCAGAGCTGTCCTCACCCTCGCCAGTAACCATGCCCTTCATGCCAACCTCGACACGCTCCCAGCGCTTGTCGCGGTCCATGATGTAGTAGCGGCCAACAACGGTGGCGATAGCACCAACACCAAGCTCCTTAGTCTTGTTCAGGAGCTGTTCCATGTACTTGGCAGAGCTCTTGGGGTCAGTGTCACGACCATCACCGAAGAAGTGGATGAAGACCTCGGGGATCTGCATCTCCTTGGCCACCTCCAGCAAGCCGAAGAGGTGAGTGATGTTGGAGTGAACACCACCGTCGGAAACCAGACCGCACAGGTGCAGACGGCCATTGCCTTCCTTGGCTCGGGTGAAGGCCTTGACAATGTTATCCACCTTGTTCAGCTCGCCATTCTTCAGGGTCTGATCAATGCGGACACTGTCCTGCCACACAACACGACCGGCACCGATGTTCAGGTGACCGACCTCACTATTTCCCATGAGGCCCTCGGGAAGGCCGACAGCAAGAGAGGAGGCATCCAGCTCGGTGAAACCCTGAGCGGTCTTCGAGTTGGCCTCGGCGAAGCCGGACATGTACGGGGTCTCCGCGGCGGCGATGGCATCGCCCTTGGTGGGCGAATTGGGGCCCGGGATACCCCAACCGTCAATGACGACTGCAAGCTCGCGTTAGCCTGGGGTTATCCTGGGGACCTGGGGGGCAAGTCGATCATACTCAAAGCGACTTTTTGGTCAACCGCAGCCATGGTGGGGGTTGTCTGTCTCGTAATCACACCTGCAGCACGAATGAATGGCTGAACCCAGACAAATAAGCGTTCAATCCGGAGGACACTATGCTTACCTTCAGGCAGATGATGAGAGTGAGGGGGGAAAGAGGGAGAGAGCGATTGCGGGCGAAAATTGACTGGCCGGTGAAGGAGGGGCACGTTCCCGGTGACGCTTTTGGTTGAGCCCCGACGTCACCCTGCGCTTCCGACTCTTCCCTAAACACTTATCCCAGCCGGAATCTGGCCATTCTTCCACACCTTTACCCTCGGGTTCCGATCTCCCCTGGATCTGCAATGGCTTCGAGGTCTCCGACTGCAGCCACCCCGCTGCCCAAGTCCTCGGTTGCGCCCGAGAGCCCTTCCAAAGACACGAACCAGACGGTTCCTTTCCCTTCACCACAGACCTTTGAGGTCCTTCCACCACTCCACGGGGTTCTTCTTCAGCTGCTCTCTCAGAAAGCCCCCACAGATCCGACAGTGGGTGCTCCCGGTGATGCTCCAGGAGCCTCTGGCGCATCCACGGAGGCGCAACAAAATGGTCAGCAACCGCCATCGAGCATCCCCGGTGGTGGTAGTAATGGCCCTGCAGCTTCACAAGCTGTAGCGGACACCTCTTCAATCGATCCAAACGTTCGTTCGCCCCTCGACGTCAAAGATCTCCCCACCGCGACTAGCTCGGTCAAAATTCGGATTGAAAAGGCACGGGCAGTGGTAGAGGAACTGCCAGACATGCATCGGTCCGTGGAGGAGCAGCAGGATGAAATATCTGAGCTCGAGGACCGAATTACCCGTCTGCGTTGTGTCATCTCAGAATTTGGAATTCGGGCCAGGCTGGATTTTGCAGACAGCAAGGTCGCCACCGCAGCTTGAAGCTTGAGAAGCGCACCCAACTATAATGAAAACAAAAGAAGTAGGCAGGAAGACAGAAGCAGTTATCTTCCTAGTTTTTTTCGTTGGCGTCAAGGAAAGGAATACCCAATACATCTATATGTCTTTCGCGATCATCTATTATGGAACCTGAGTCCAGGCTTGCAGCAGGCAAATTTCGTGTTTCGGAACCACAAGAAAATTAAACGGTGCAGCCATTATCGGCCGTTACCTAGGACACCCGGAGATATACCATTGCCATTTCCCATGAGCCAGAAAGTAGCAAAAAATAGCTTCTAAACATCTCACCTTCACCGTCTGAGGACCCTCGCACCCGATCCGGCGAAAGTCTCCGATATCGTCGTTGAGAAGTTCTGCCTGAGGCATGCGGCGATCCCTCCGCCCCTCCCCCCACCACCCGTCTTTTTTTTCTTCTCTCCTCCCATCATCCTATATATCCTCCCCTTCTCCTCCCTCTTTTTCATCTCGTAAACGAGAAAACATCTATCACTATGACTTACGCTCTGTCTGAGGCCCACCGGGCTGTAAGTATTCCACAGAAATCGCATCAGGCAAAGATGCAAGTCATTGACTCATCCTGCTATACAGCAAATGCACAATGGTCTCAAAGAGTCCGATCCTGAGATTGCCCAGATCATGGTATGTTAACGACTCGAACCAATTGACCCTATGTCACCCTCATTGTAGGATCTTGATCCCAAGTCTCAGTTTGACTAACGCACATTGCCTTATGTAGGAGCGCGAGGTCCAGCGTCAGCGTGAGTCCGTCGTCCTGATTGCCTCGGAGAACTTCACCTCCTCCGCTGTCTTCCAGGCCCTCGGCACTCCCATGTCTAACAAGTACTCTGAGGGTTACCCCGGTGCTCGTTACTACGGTGGCAACCAGCACATTGATGCCATTGAGATCACCTGCCAGAATCGTGCTCTCAAGGCCTTCAACCTGGACCCTGCCAAGTGGGGTGTCAACGTTCAGTGCCTGTCTGGCTCCCCGGCCAACCTGCAGGTCTACCAGGCTCTGATGCGTCCTCATGACCGCCTGATGGGTCTTGACCTCCCCCACGGTGGTCACTTGAGTCACGGCTACCAGACCGCCACCAAGAAGATCTCCGCTGTCTCCACCTACTTCGAGACCTTCCCCTACCGTGTTAACCTGGAGACTGGTATCATCGACTATGACCAGCTCGAGACCAACGCCGAGATGTACCGCCCCAAGTGCCTGGTCGCCGGTACCTCTGCCTACTGTCGTCTGATCGACTACAAGCGCATGCGCCAGATCGCTGACAAGGTCGGCGCCTACCTCATCGTCGACATGGCCCACATCTCCGGTCTGATCGCCGCTGGTGTCATCCCCTCTCCCTTCGAGTACGCCGATGTCGTTACCACCACCACCCACAAGTCTCTCCGTGGCCCACGTGGTGCCATGATCTTCTTCCGCAAGGGTGTCCGCAGCACTGACAAGACCGGTAAGGAGATCATGTACGACCTTGAGGGTCCCATCAACTTCTCCGTCTTCCCTGGTCACCAGGGTGGCCCCCACAACCACACCATCACTGCTCTGGCTGTTGCCCTCAAGCAGGTCGACTCTCCTGAGTTCAAGCAGTACCAGGAGCAGGTCATCAAGAACGCCAAGGCTCTCGAGAACGAGTTCAAGGCTCTGAACCACAAGCTTGTTTCCGACGGTACTGACAGCCACATGGTCCTCCTGGACCTGCGTGCCAAGAGCCTTGACGGTGCCCGTGTTGAGGCCGTCCTTGAGCAGATCAACATTGCCTGCAACAAGAACTCCATTCCCGGTGACAAGTCTGCTCTGACCCCCTGCGGTATCCGTATCGGCGCCCCCGCCATGACCACCCGTGGTATGGGTGAGGAGGACTTCAAGCGTATTGCCCGCTATATCGACCAGGTTATCGACCTGTGCAAGAAGATCCAGGGTGAGCTTCCCAAGGAGGCCAACAAGCTCAAGGACTTCAAGGCCAAGGTTGCCTCGGACACCGTGCCTGAGATCCTGGCTCTCCGCAAGGAGGTTGCCGACTGGGCCAGCACCTTCCCTCTACCCGTTTAAAGCGGTCATTTGATGACTACTGGGAGAGAGTGAATTATTAGGATATGAAAGTCACGAAGAGAGATCCATTTGAGATCTCGCGAGTTCAACATCATCTACGAAAGCGTCGGAAGATGCGATATATCACACGGTGCGTTTTATGGGGTTTGTATACAGGTCTGCTCTTTCAACCTTAAGGGACATTTGGGTTTTGGTAATTTCAGTTTTTATTTATGAGCATGTGCAACGAGCAATTTCTTTCCACCTCACCGCTCTTTCAACTGCGGGAAGTCCTGGATTTCAGGAGACAAAAAGTTCAACATAATCTGGCGTGTGGGCCTTTGATTTTGCTGTACATCACTGTCCAAAAGGTACTCTTGGAATATCAATACAACCATTGCGTGGTTGGACCGACTATATCTTTTCCTTGCCAGGTACAATAAGGTACCATGACGTTAGATTTTATGTACTTTTATTACTGATCGTACATAGATAAGGTACAATGCCACGACATTGTAGGAACCTTGGCTCAATCGGAGCTTTTAGTCATGCATTTCACGTGCCCGATCCTATCGCCCCTTCGCCAACGGCTGCGTTAAAGTTGTCCGCTGCTCCTCCGGCTCCCTTCCTTCGCTCCAGGTCCTTCGTTCCCGTGGCTTCGCTCGTTTGCGCGCGCTGCTGTCCTGCGTTCCCCTCCAGATTGCCTCGGTTCTGCCCTGGGTCTGTTCTAGACAGTTTTTGCTCGAGTTATCCCCCCGCTTTTCGAGAAGCAGATCCATATCTTATCGCGGCGCCGGACTTTTGCGGAGGTCACATTCCCCAGGCTCGCGGTCGTTCCAGGGATCTGAAGCGGCAGCGCAGACATCCTCCTTCGACAGACAACGACAGCGGTGTAAGAAACGGCCAAACCAATTTTCCAGCAGAAATGGCCAATGAAGCCCAGTGTTACTATTGTTTCGAGACTTTATTCGCTTCATTTGAGGACCGCGAGCCCGCCTCTCTGGCTGCCGTAGAAGCCCTCTGGGAGCAGCATGAGCAATCGAAGAAGCTCTCGAGCCTCAAGACAGCTCGCGCAAGTGGCTCAACCTCAGACGAGGAGGGGGATGACACAGAAGAGTCTGGTCCGCCAGGCCCAGTAAATGACGATGAGGACAACCGACTGTCAGGCAATCAATTCAAGGGCCTCAAGCTGCCCAGTGTCAGTCGCCTTCAGAGCCAAGTCTCGTCTGACTCGTCCAGCGCAGCAACAACCCCCTCTTGCGCGTCAAATACGTCGTCCAACACGCAGCTATCTAGCTCAACCGCTGTGACAACGCCGGGTTCGCAATCAGATGTCTCTGGATCACGAAACAGACCTGCGAACCAAAAATATCCGTTGTTTGTGACGTGGAATACCTTTTCCAGGAGTGGATCCAAATCCCTGCGCGGCTGCATTGGTACCTTCGAGGCGCAAGATCTCGCAGAAGGACTGAAGTCTTATGCCTTGACCTCGTACGTTTCCCCCCTCCCACCGTGACCGTGTACAATAAACTAATCACAGCACAACAAACAGGGCCTTCCACGACACGCGCTTCTCACCAATCCCTAAATCTCTTCTCCCTTCTCTGTCATGCTCTTTAACTCTGTTAGGATCGTTTGGGCCTTGCACAAACGCCATGGATTGGGTCCTAGGTACTCACGGCATCCGTATCTCCTTTGTCCATCGCGGCCGGCGCTATGGGGCAACGTACCTTCCCGACGTTCCCGTTGAACAGGGCTGGACGAAGGAAGAAACGGTTGAGAGCCTGATGCGCAAAGCCGGCTGGGACGACGGTGTTGGCAGCGTTGCACGAAGACTGCTTCGGACCTCTGGAGGGACCTCCAATTCCGCCAAGCCTTGGGAGCAAGTATCGGACTTCCGAACTGTCAAGTATCAAGGCCTGAAAGCGAGTGCAAGCTACGAGGATTGGCAGGAATGGCGCAAGTGGGTGCTTTCTCTAGACGATGGTCAGGATATTCTTAGCTCGACCTAATTGCAATACTGGAGGTTTTTTTGGGGGTTTTTTTTTGAGATGCTATCCAAGGCCAATCCAATAGCATGACAATATTTTGGTTCGACTGGCAGGGCTAGTAACTCATTTGATACTAGTCACACTCCAGTACATAATGCAGTAAGCCCTTTTCAAGAAAGCTCCTCATCCATAAGACACCGCAACATGGAGCGTAGCGTACGCAATCTATACATGTAGCTTTGATACCAGATGTCCAGACATATGGTGCACATGAATGAACTGTTCAAATCAGTATAAATTTCTGATTGTTGGAAAAAAAATCTCATTAATCGTTGCATTTGGTGGTCGGTGTTTAGCGAACCCAGAGCCAGCCCAAGTTTCATGGCGAAAGAAGCGATGTTTACCATAATTAGGTAGATCACACGTGATACTATTGCAAATGCTACATATCAATCCAATAAGTGACAAGTCAATTGTCATTCATTTCCCATGACCCCAACTCCACAATCCAGCCACCATCTCTTTGACCCGGCGCTCCTGTTCGCGGATTTGCTCTTCTGTTTGACCGCGAGCATTCCCGCGGCTGTCAATCTGCATTGGGCCACCGCCATCATTGGTAGTGGCTTTCTCCTGGCGCTGCTCTTCAACAACTTCATTGCCGTTGACACGCTCAGGCCTGGGATCGATGCTCATCACGCCATCCATCATAAAGCCACCGCCCTCGCGCAGCTTGTTGATGGCACGTACAGTATCGATCGCCCGGTGCAGTGTGCGGCGGGCATTAAAGTTCTTCTTGACAGTGGGTAGAAGGTCCTCGCCAGAGCCCTGTCTCGTGGTGTCGTAGGGCGGGTCAATCCAGGAGTGCTGTAGTGCTTCGTGAGCGGTCATACGCTTGGACGGGTCGATTGTCAAGCAGCGGTTGATGAAGTTGCGAGCTTCCGCGGAGACACCACGCCAGTATTCGAGGGGTGTAAAGGAATAGTCAGCTGCAAGGATGGCCTGCATCTCTTCCAAATTGGAGTCACGATCAAAGGGAGTGTATCCGCACAGGAGAAAGTATGTTATCACACCGATGGCCCAGATATCACTGCAAAGGGGAAGTTTCTTGTCAGTAAGATAGACAAGAGAGACTGCATGGAGATGAGCTTTTAGACACTCACACTGGCTTTCCATGGCCGCTCTTTTTGAAGATCTCCGGCGCCATGTATCCCGGTGTTCCACAGGTGGTCGTCAACACGTGGAACTGCTCCTCGTCCATAATCCTCGAGAGTCCAAAATCGGCAATCAAAAGATCGGCGTTATCTTCCGGAGTACGGAAAAGCAAGTTCTCTGGCTTGAGATCACGGTGCACAATGCCATGGTCATGCAGGTAAGCCACGGCTGACAGGACGGCTCGAATGAGGTCTGCTGCGTCAGACTCGTAGTAGCTACCTTTGCGGCAGATACGATCAAATAGTTCTCCACCAAGGGCGAGATCCGTGACCAAATAAACTAGACCCGTCCCATGTCAGCAAGTCGTCACGCGGAAGATACTCCAATGTAGCCAGGCAGCAAGGCTACACCTACGGTTGTTCATCGTCTCAAAATAGTCCACCAATGTGAGGATATTCTGATGACCCATCGAAACCCTTTTTAGAACAGCAATCTCATTGCGGACCTGAACATGAGGTCCATTGTCAGCAAAGTGCTCTCTGTTGCACTGAATACGAGCCTCCCTACCATGTGCTCGCGCCCCGCCATCAGGCGCTTGTTGATGACTTTCGCGGCATAGTAACGACCGGTGTCGATGTGCACGCATTCCTTAACAACCGAGTAAGAGCCTGCTCCGAGGGTCTTGCCCGTCTTATAACGACATGGCTGGACCTGTGTTCGCTGACCGTTCGGAGGCTGCGCCATGAGGAACTGGGGGATGTGAAGAGCGGAGAGCGCCTGGAGCTGGAGTGGAAGAGATCGCTTAAGGGCGAGATAAAAGACCGAGTTTCCGGGGAGCGTATCTGCAGAACGGCGTGGGGTATATATTGCGCTGTATATCTACCTGTGGTCAGAAAAGTCAGCCTCATGCGGTGCGATGTGCGTTGGGCTACGAGCGCCCACATGTGCGGCGATTTTAGCCCCGTGGGAGATTGCGCTGGGGTACTGAGCGCTGGACATTTACTCACAGAGAACACGGGGGCGTCTAAGAGAACGAGGGGGAAAGGAGAGGTGTCGCAGAAGGGGAAAAACACGGAGGGAAGCGAAACGGGCATTAGTTCGAGGTCGAAGGTGGACGGGGAGCGTCCAGACTCCCAAGAATCACGGACCGGCGATCGACAGATCACCGCCGGCGCCTCTGTTTATCCTCTGAACTACTGGGACCATTCATCCTAGTGGGAACGCCTACCAAGAAAATGGGCCGCCACAGGATCAAAAAAAAAAAAAAAAAAAAAAAATTTGGAGGATGAAGAAATTAAGAAATGGAATTCATAAGATATTGTCTAACACCGACTGCCATGCAAAGCCACAAGACCAGAAAACTCCCGGATGCGCAAAGGACATAGAACGACATTTGAAAAATTACAAAGAAAAACATAAATCGACCAGAAGAGCCATCCCATCTTACATGTGGGCAAGAACACCCTCGACAACACCATCGAGCAATTTCAGGCTGTGGAAGTTGGCCACACTTTGCAACACTCGCAATTTCTTCTCGGTCTCCTTCATATCCACCGTCGCGGCCCATGCACCACTGCAAGAACAGTGCTCCATGAACTCGCTGACTTTGAGGCTGTTGCACTTGGAGCACTTGAGGTCCTGCATCTGCCATTCAACAATCAGGCCATGCACTTGGCCAATCAGAACTTCTTCCTGTGCCAGTCGGTCATATTCGGTCTGGCAGAAGGGGCAACGCCACGGTTTGGGGCCCTTGGCTTCCGAGCCAGGCTCCGGAAGGACATCTTCGTCGCGGCACAGGTCTAGGTCACGGATGAGACAGCAAGCGTTACAGGTGAGTTCCTGCAGTTTCAGGTTGGCGCTAGGGTTTTCGAACCGACCCTCTCTGCTGAATTCGCGAACCTCGAAGAGAGCAAGCAGTTCCCGACGTAGCAGTCGGGATTCAAGGGTGGTAGCCTTGGACAGACTCAGGACTTGCATGAGAAGCTTCACCAGTTCCAACGCTGGGTTGCGCTTATGTCCCTTGGGATCATCGAGAACTCCGGGGAGAACAGGGAAAGCGTAATCAGAAGCAAGCTCGGGATGCAGCATCTCGTCGCGCTGGCGGCGAATGAGTCCAGAAATCTGTTTCTTCAGCGGCTTCGAGAAACGATCGGCGAGCACAGCGGAGACCTCCTCGCTATCTTTGTCGGTGAGTTGCGTAATGGGAATCTGCGTCAAGCGAGGCGTCGACGAGATCTCAGCGTCCTGGAGATCGGGCCGCTTCAACGAGTGCATCAGTTCAATGTACTCGACTACCCAGTCGTGGAAGATTGTTTGCATGGGGGTCGGCAGGAATCGACTGAGTTGCCAATGCATGACAGTCTCAAGGTCCTGATTGTCGGCCTCGACTACCTCTCGACAGCCCTTGCCGCCGTAATTGTACTCATCGTACCAGACGAGATAATCCCAGTATTCCTTGATTTCAAGGTCGATGAAGTGGAAAGAGGGATTGGCACGGATCGACTTCAGCACATACTGACTGTAGGCGTAGGCATTGCCAACCTCCGTCTTGGTGGTCTGCAGCAAGAGACGAGTAGAGCTAGCAAAAATGACATTCGAGCCAACTCGTCGAAACTCTGCCATCAGTCTTTGGAATGATTTTCGAGAGAGCATGCGGACATAGTTGTGTAGAGATCGATCATAGAGACACGATACCGGGCTCTCCACCCATCGAATCAAGTGCTGAACCATGATGTCAGCCATGCTATTGCCAGCACAAGCTTCTGTCCACCAGTGCTTGACCATTTCCCGTAGGACCATTGCACCAGCAGAAGCAAACGCCTTTTCGGAATAGAGTACCCCAGCATCATCAGCAGCGCCTCCCGAGGGTGCTAGGAGAGTGTCGCTACCATCCATTTCATTGACGATCGAGGAAGTGAGGATCGTGTTAATAGAAAGGTTGCGGACATCTAGTTCAATGCACACCGTTGTATAGGCACTTGGCGCATTCACCGATGGCATGTTAACCTTTTCGAGCGAGCCGACAATGTCATCTCGTTCATAACCAGCATGATCTGGTCGTGGTCCATTTGACCACCAGAGGACAACGTTGCTTTGCTGGAGTCGTCTGGCATATGATATATCGATCAGGTATCGAGGGTCATCCGTCTCCAGGTTGCAAAGAGGCACATCACCGTACCGAGCAAGCATAGTCAAATGCTGAATCCATGCAGACAAATAAAGATAGTGTGTAACCAGGCGCCGAGCAATGAATGATTGCCATCCAAGCGGCGGAAGATCCATGTCCGACACTTCAGGCTTCACGGGCAGAGTTGGATACTCTTTCAGGATAGGAATGTCATGGCACAATCGATCTTTCTGCTGAGACTGAATGACCAAAACAACCGGTTGACTCTCGTCGCTGCGAAGCTTCCTGACCAAATCCCCAATCTCCAGGTAGGCCTTGCGTCGTGTCATCACTTGAGTTGTCTTGAAATGAATCTTATCTTGATACTCGAATGCATTCAAGGACGGATCACCCTCAGAGTCCTGCAACTTCCGGCCGAGGAGTTCCGAGTAGATCTTATCAACATTCGGTAGACCTTGGACATCTCTTGTGCGGTTGAGAATAACAATGTGTGCCTCTCTTTTGGTTGTTGAGAATAGAGCAAAGACCTGTCTATCCCCAGAAGCAACATGGTACAGGTAGTGGTATGCCAATGACGAGTTCAACAAATAGGGCGTCTCAGAAGTCGTATGCAACAACGATGAAAGATCAAAGCCACGATCCAGGCCCTCGCCAAGAACACCACGCTGCTCTTCATCGAAAGTACAGTGACTGCCCAGTTTGAGTACCGCTCGGATGCTGGCTGGAATATTTCGCTCATAAACACCCTCGATGCTGGGGTGTTGGAACAAAGCATCCATTTTGTCCGCCTCTTCCAAGAAAACATCTTCCGAAAGAGACAATTTGAAGAGATGGACCGATGGGTGGCCATTTGGCAGGGTGTGGTTGACTTTCTCAACATCGCAGGCAGGTACTTCAATATCGGGTAGAGAGTCTCGCTTCAAGTTCACGAAGAATTGTCGAGGGACATTGACGTTGAGTGCTTGGATTTTCTGATCGATAAGCACAAAGGCTCGCACGATTCCTGGCCGGCCAGTTTCGCAAAGCTGAAGGACTTGCCAGGTACTGATGTACAGCATCTGAGCTTGGTTTCGGAAAAAATTGCTCAAGGAGTCAGAGGCAACATTCGGTCGCTCTCCAAAAAGTTGACGGCGGCGAATTCGAGCTTGCTTCTGGATTTTCCACTTTTGCTTCTGATACTTCAAAAAGCCTTCATAGTCCTCCGAAATCGAGGGCATGACAGCAGGAAGGCTGGCAAATGGATCGAGCGATGTTTTAGGAATACTTTCAGGGTGTTTTCTCTTCTGAGTAACCTTCGTCTCAGGAGACCTCTGGAGCTTCTGTGTTGATTGCGCAACGGCTTCATCCATGTCTCCAGTATGTTGAACCCGGTGGTCTAATATATTGGTGGATATAGAGGACAGCGGAGCCTTCTCTGACTTCGTAAACAGATCCGTCATCTTTTTCTGTTTAAATTTATCGTCCTTCATGTTGATCCGGCGTTGCAACCAGTCAGGGTGAGATATACGAGGCACCGGGTTTCGCAACTTCTGGAGGGCAGCTGGGATGGTGATGAGCTTCTGCACCACGGAGCCTAGACGCTCGATGTAGTAGTCCCAGTCGATGACTGTCCGAGGGTCCATGTCGCCAGGATCTTCCTTGAGCCACTTTCGCAGGAAAAAGCGTTTGACATTTTCTTCCGCTGAGAAGATGGTAACTGGAATGGCTCGTTCCGTGACGGGCGTGTTTCTTGGCCTTGCAGAGATAATGTACTTGCAGTTCAAGCCCTTGTCCTTCACCATCTGCTCGCCTAGGAACTCGGCGAGTCGCTTAGCTGTTGTGATGGATGTAGACTTTTGATTTCCATACTCTTCCAGCGTCTTTGTCATGCTTCGATTCTCGGAAATGAGATCAATGAGTTCTTCGTCGGCCAAGGTAGCGCCGCGCTCGAAAAGCACGTCGAGCCACCGATCAGCAACCCGAGCAACTGCAGCGTAGGTCTCTGCAAGGTTACTTCCTTCCAAGAAGAACTTAAAGATCTGGGTCTGGAAAATCTTGATCAATTTCAACTCTCCTCTTCGCTTGACTTCGAATCCTTTCAACTCGGCCAGAGAACCATCGTGATTGAACACAGCATATCGCTTTTTCAAGTTCTTATCTTCTTCCTTCGAGGTTGGCAAAATCATGGCTCTATAGGGACCGTCGACTTCGAAGAAGATAGAATTCTCACTGTAGGTCTCGTACTTGTGTGTGGATGGGTCGACAAGTGCTTGGTACTGGTGGTTCGTGTACTTTCCATGGACGAGATGATTAAGCATGACACAAGGATATGAGATCCCCAGTTTTTTCCCGTTCTTCAGAGTGAAAGAGAAATTCTCAGGGAAGGTTCCTGGAAGCATACACCAGATACCATCAGTGTCTAGCTCCAAGGGCCGGCCTATACGGTCGACAAGCTCACGCGCCATTTGAATGATATGAGCACCTGTCAAACAAGTAACGCCAGCCATTTCCATGGAGTACCATCGAGAACCCTTCCGCATGACATAGCCATAGAAACTGTTCAAAATGACTTTGTGGGCAAGCTGTAAAGAATCGAATAGGACGATCATCTTCTTGGCTTCTTCAATTTCAGCCGCAGATGCGCCGGATGATTGCAAAGAATCGGTTTTGTTCTTCCACACCTTTTGCTTGCCCTTGAAATCGTAACGTCGATCACGGAAGTTGCGTACCGTGTCAACGTAGAAGGGGTTTTCTCGCTGGCAGATAATGGCCTCTCGCACCATGGTCTTGCTGTCATGGATCTTATGGTAGATCTTCTTGCTGTAATCTTGCAAGCGCTTCTTCACTACACCAGCCTGCTCTTCGATACTAAGCTCAGCGAAAGACCTCATCAAGCCATTCTTGTTTCGACTCGGGAATCGTTCGTTTGCAGTGGCGCGCCGAATCATGTTATATTCATCTCGTTTGGCGGGCAGGAATTCACCACGCCACGCCCATGGCATTCGTCGATCACAAGTTTTTCCAGGTCGATTGAAGTCACATGCAGCACAATTTGAGTCGTCAATCATGGAATCTGGCTGCAAACGATTGGTGATCATGATGTTGGGATACATGGAGGCGACATCCAAGTGATAGATGAACGGAACCTCATTTCGGGTCGGGTTGTTCTTGAGATCAAGAAGCTTCTCCGCGATTTGCGCTTTAACCTCGTCATAATTTGCAATATCATTCATTGACTTTTTCTCCTCCACTTCGATACTGAACTTGAGAGCGTGGTCCAGATCTCGCAGAAGTTCATCGATGGCTGTTGAGTCGACGTTGAAGGCAACAGGAATGTCACTTCGAAAAACACCAGCTTCAATACTTTCGACGTGACCACCAACGTAGGTTTCTGACTCGAGCAAGTGGCCTTCGTAGAAAGCCTCCGGGGGGTCCTTGTGTTTGTTGGGCAAGACAATTTCGTTCTGGTAGGCTTGCACCATAAGCAACATCTCACACAGGGTTCCAGTTCCCTTACGCAGAGTGTCGTCCGGGTTGAGGGGAATAATGGTACATAAAGAGAAGATGAAGGGATGCACGTATTTCATGTACAGGTAGTACGTCGCAACGGCATCGGAAACTGAGTATTCAGCCAGGGTTTGAGGTCGCTCACTGGCATATGGTGTCATCAGTTCTGGGTCCAGTTCATCAGGATCGTAGCCAAGTTTTGCGACGGTAACAGCTTTCAGGCCACGACTTCCCTGGGGAAGGTAACTGTCACGGTTGACCCATGCGAAACAATCCATATGAACACAATGGTCACTTTGATAGATATCCTCGCTGTTTTTCCTGAATCCAATTTCGGTGTACATATCGATTCCCTGAACACTAGCCCTTGCCTCAACAAATGGCCAATCGAAAAAGTCACCGTTGTACGTGGCAATGACTGTAGGCTTGGCAATCTTGATGTGCTCAAAAAAGCGTTCGAGAACACCTCTCTCATTAGGCTCGTTGAAGATCACGAAGGGTCCGCTGTACTCTGGCTTTGGCGTGTACTCGAAGTCATTGATGTCCTCAGAGACGATCTCTCGATTGGTGATTAGGAATCCCTGCCCATCAATCATGTATGAAATCATCATGATTTGATCGATCACAGCGTCGGGGAATTTGAGAGGAAGCTTCGTGGTTTCAATATCGAAGGCTAGGACAACAGGATCCGCACGTTGCAATCGTTCTTCCAAGCAGGTCAGTGAGATCACACCGTGCTTTGCCTCCACATTATACCACTTTCCAATGCGAATGTCTAATATTTGTCAGTGAACACACTTACGGGGAATGAATCTTTCAAAGTTGCGTACCTTTGTCGATCGACACTCGGACATGGTACGGCACGTCGTACTCTCTTATATCAACAATAAAATCGCTCGCTTGTATATTGCCGTTAGGTCGTTGCTCATTAATTATTTCGTCGTCAAAAAGGTCGAAGCCAGTAGTCGCACTTTCAAGATCACATGTCAGCACTTGATCAACGGGTGAAGAGTATCAGCCCACATACCTGGTCATTTCGACATATGCGTCCATCACCGTAGCATTCTTCTTGTTCTTCTCTGCTAGTGGCAGGATGGTTCTGCGGACTTCGAGCAGATTGCTCACGTTGGCGAAATTCAACCTGATGAAATTCCGCCGGTGACCGAGCAGGTGATTTGGGAGATTCAGGTCCTCTTTGTCGATGCGTTTGAAGCTCTTGACCAGTCCTTCGAAAGATCTCCGACACCACTCCTCGACTTCCATTTCATAGCCTTTTTTGACCGCAATGAGAAAGTATGGGTCATATTCTACTGTCGCCTTGAAACTACCCCCGTCGTCTTGGAGGAAGTAGTAGTCAACTCCAGCACGGCCTCCCTGTACGTTCGAATCCTCTATGGTTGTACTGTGCATGTTGATGAGCCAGCCAGCTCTCGTCTCCCCGGACTCGAAGCGCGGAAATCCGAGGGTCTCATCGATGCTGTTGGCCAAGCGGATAGCCTCGAATTTCTCATCTTGGGAGGTTGCTTCGGTAGAGCGCAGGGCACCAAATTCGATAGTCTTTGTTCGTCGTGGCTTCGAAGATGCCGTTCCTGGTCGGAACTTGTTCCCAAACTTAGAGGGTTTTCTCGAAGGCATTGCGAGACTTTTTTGCCCGGCCGGGCTGCTCAATGTAGGAGTGGCAGGGCGAATCGTTCGAGGAACATTAAAAGTCGGAGTTTCGGAGGAGAGGCAAGTTGGACAATAGAAGTGCAACGAGTGCAGCGTGCGGCGTGCGGCGTGGTGGGGATTGGAGGGAGGTGTCTTTCTGCAGCAAATGTCTATGGGAGGGACCTGGCAATGCGCTCTCCAATCCGGCCGATCTTAATCGCTCGACGCGTTCCACGCGACGGCACGCGTAACTGTTAGTCAGCCAGATTCCGGAATAACTATCCGAATGTGATCGTACAGGGAAATAGATATTCCGACGATATTGTTTGATGCTCCGGGTTTCCGATTTCATGGGACGACTTGAGTTGGAGTGGTTTCTCTGTCGCTCACCCCGCAACATGGCAGATGATTCTCTGGAGCCAGGATCAGTCCAGGAGCCTGGTAGTCATCTCCCCGCCAGCACCCCGTCGACCGACCCGACTAAACCCAAGCACGATTTCCCCCAGTCGCAAGTCGGAAAGTTATGGGAAGCCTTCGGCAACCCGGAGGAACCGCTCAATGCACTCGCGAATGCATCTTATAAACCCCCTGGCAAGAGCTCCAAGGATGTCTCCTACTCAGAGGTGATCGGCACTTTCTCAGCCTCCGAGCTCACAACGTTCCACAAGGCCCCATGCGCGCGAGAATCATTATTGACTGGAATCGGCGCCGGGTTTGGAATTGGAGGTATTCGAGGCGTATTTGGAGGTACGATCTGCCTCGCCAGAAATCGAATAAGAAGTCGCAAACTAATATCGACTCACTAGGTACGCGCTCGTTATGGTCTGCCGGAAATTGGGCCGTCGGAATATTCGCCATTGTCTCTCTAGCATCGTACGAGTTCTGTCGAAGGCGCCGAATTGAAGAATTGCATGGCATGAAACAAGCAGTCGACCTTATGAAACAACTGAAAGACAAGAAACAACAAGACAAGGAGAGGGCCGCAGAGGAAGCAGCCAAGCGCGCCGAGGAGGAAAAGCGCAAGAAGAGCTGGACAAACCTGGCCAACTACAAGTTCTGGTAGTTACTATACTCATTCACGAGTCGGAGTCATGGTGTTTGTGGAATATCTTAAAAAAGTCTGTATATTCCAATTCTGTGTTAGGGTGGTTGGCATCAAGTCGTCAAATCATCTCGGTGTATCATAATTCTCAAATGTCCATACTGCTGGTCAAGCATCATTCAAACCACGACTTGCTCCCGAACGCCTGCGTTTCTCGCCTCATAAGAATGCAAAGTAAATATAATAAAGATAATAAATATAATAAATATAATGGGAGACCAGAAAATCACCGTGTCCTTAGACATCGAACTTGACTCGTTTCTGGATCGCGCCTTTGTGTATGCCCCGAAGACTGTCCAAGTTCAGACCATCATTTCTTCTTTCTCTTCTCTTCTCTCGGGCTTCACGAGCCTCACGGCTCCTCCACTCGGCGACCTGTTTCTGTCGCTTTTGCGAGCGTGCCCAGGCCATCGCTGCTGTGGGTTTGAAGCCCACGCCATTGATTCCGTAACCATCGTCACTTGGGTCTGACGGATTGTGGCCAGTAATCTCATCATCGTGCCACGTAAATGGATCCTCTAGATGGACTTCCGCAGGAGGAGGCGAGAGTCTTGGCTTGCGAGATTTTGAAGGTGATGCGGATTCAGTTTTCTTGCGAGATAGCGTAGATGTCCTTCTGGATGGGGAGGCCATTGGCGTATGCGGCACATCATCTGCTGGTTTTGATACTCCTCTTGGGGGTGCTTGGTGGCCTTCTATCGGAGGGGATATTTCCCTGCTGGGCGGCAAGGCTTCAGGCATAGTCTTGGGATCGTGATAGTTGTGGCCAGCACATGATTCCTCGGCCGAGGTTGCGTCGCGACCTTGTTGGGAATCATTCAGTGGCCCAGGCTCCGGTAGACGCTCCCCCCGAATCGCTAATTGCCCAAAACGCCCTGCCACCGCCGCTCGCGGACTGTGCCTTCCCAGCTCAAGATCCTCACGCAACCGAGCCTCTTGAAGGCTTGCAACCGAGACAGTAGAAGTCGGTGATGCAGATGGGCTGTAGTAGTCGATCTCGGAGGTCTCTCGTTTGCGCTTAGGCGAATGAAAACGTGGGAGGTCTGCCGGCATCATCGTGGGGCTGAAGGCGGATGAACTTGTGGGGGGTGACAACCGATCAGCAGTAGGGATTTCATTTATGATTTTCAGGTAGGCGCAGTGTAGAACCAGGCCCCATTCACCGATCAGTGAGGGCCAGGGAAGTCCATGGTGCAGCAACGCAACATCCGAGTCCACAGAGTGCGGAGAGCGCGTGGTGAGGGGCAGGCCATTGGACGCTCGGGTGTCCGTCTGGTTCTGCAATGCGGGAGCCAATCGATAGACTCGCAACAACCAGGCCGGGGTTTCGGGCCATTTGGGGAGACAAATTGAAAATAGTATGATGCTGGCTGCACTTAGTTGTATTCCCAGAGTAAGTTACTAGTAGTAATTAATGGCAGCATTGGCAAGTGCTGCTAGTGACTGGATCAGTATTCAAGAGAAAAGCGTATTACTATACTAAATAGTAGGAATGTGAAACCGAGAATCACATCACGAGATAGAGCAAATCTTATTGCCGCAGAATGGCCTAAATCGAATAATTTACAGAGCACCGAGCCCATCGAGTCGTGAATAAGATCGAAATCAGAAAGGAAAACCAAACGCCATGACAAGACTCCCAGTACCGAACAAAAGCGCTTTTAAGACTTCTGCTTCTTCTTCGAAGGCTCAACATCGTCACCGTGCTTGCGCTTCTTCTTCTTCTCGGAGTCATCCTCGCCGACATCCGACTTCCGCTTCTTCTTCTTGTCGCTCTTCTCGCTCTTCTCGCTCTTCTCGCTCTTCTCCTTCTTCTCCTTCTTCTCCTTCTTCTCCTTTTTCTCTTTCTTGTCCTTCTTCTCCTTCTTGTCCTTCTTCTCGACCTTGGCGTCAGCATCCTCCATCTCCTCGTCGCTGTCATCGACATCGACATCCAGACCAGCCAGAACGGCATCCATAGCAGATTTCTGTAAGCAGGTATTAGCAGATAGACTAGGTCAAGGGGATATATGTGGGAAAGTACCATGGCAACCTCGTTCTTGGTGGGGGCAGCACCGGTGGAGTAGAAATCCAGACGTTCCTCGACCTGCTTCTTCAGGGCCTCGCCGAACAGGGTGGACGGCTCCTCCGAGAAGTTATCGATACGAGAGGCAATAGAGCACTTGTTTGCAAGGAAGCGAGAAATTCGACCCTTGTTCTTGGGGCCGGCACGGCCAATGAAAGAAGAGTGGTACAGCAAGCCGTACTTGGGGGTGTTACCCTTGGTCTTCAGAGCACGGAAAAGAGCCTTCTCGGCGCCGAGAATCTGAACAGTGGAGGCAGGGTACTTGGACAGGTTGGTCAAGCTGCCAGCGTGGGAGATGAGACGAGCACCAACGACCTCGCCGATCAGGGCAGCCAGGTTAGGAGCGACAATGCTCATCTTGGACACCAGGTACTGGTAGAGATCCTTGCGGTACTGGGTAAGCTGAACAACGCGGCCGGCGAAAGCGATGACATTCTCCATGTCGGCTTCCGAGATCTCCTGACCCATACTGTGCTTGGCGGCGTCGATGATGCTCTGGGCAACGTCCTTGTCATCCTCCACGAGAGCGGCAATCTCATGCAAATGGTCATCGTTAAGCGTCTTCTTGTCCTTAACGAAGAGGGCAATCTGAGCGTAGCGCTGGTTATCGGAGACAATCTTGAACAGCTCGGGGAAGTGCCACGAGTACCACTCGCGAGCACGCATAGAGAAAGTGTTGATTGCCTTGTCGAGTTGGTCAAGGATGGCAATGGCCTGAATAATGTGGTTGTCATCGCGCTGAACGGAGAACTTGACCTTCGCGCGAGAGTAGGCGTGACCCAGGCCGAGCTGGGCAGTGTCCATGTCACCATCACGGAGCTGGCTCAGCAACTTGGTGAAATGCAGACGAATACCGCGAAGGAAATCCTGGACAACCTCGCTTGTGTCACCGGTCTCACAGGCCACGTGGGGGAAGGCAGCCTTGATGCTTCCCGCAAGGCCCTTGTCGCAGACACCGAGGGTCACCTTGCCCTTTTTGTTTGCCTTAGGGAGGTTCAATTCGAGGAAAGAAACCAGGGTTTCCGACGCAACACCTTCCGAAACATCGTTGATTTCGCCGAGGGCCTGCTTGTTGTTCCTGGGTGGCGTTAATACATGATTTTGTTCCCGGTGGAAAATCCTTAAGTAGCGGCTCGGCGCGCAAGGCAAACGTACTCGAAAGGCAAGAAACTAGCCAGCTCAACCATCTTTCCGAACTTGGCGAGATCATTGACGCCAGTCTGAACTTCCTTCAGGCTATTGCCCACAATGTCACCCTTCATGGTGTTCTTAAAGAGCGAGTAGCCCATAGGACTCTCGAAGAGGAGATAATCGGCCATTGTGTAAATCCCGGGGCCAGGTCGAGCGCGAAGATAATTGACCAGCGTATAATTTCAACGACTGACACCCAGAAAAAAATCACGATCGCAATCCGAGAGTGGGTTGCCGAGGGTCGTTTTTTTTCGTGAAGGCGGAAGACGGGCAAGTGAAGTCGAAGAAATCAAGAGCTCTTTTTTTTCGCCGCTAGCGCGAATCGGGGAATGTGGGCTTTGGGTCGTTTTGCCAAAACTTACCGCCCTGACCGACCAAGCGGGCATCCAAACTCCTGTGTGCCAACCAGCTCCCCCCCCATCTCAATATTTGTGTTTTTACGGGTTGAGCTCTCGTTCATTCCTCTCGAACTGCAGATATGTCTGCAACACAGCTGCTGAATCCCAAGGCCGAGTCCCGGGTATGGATTGACATCCCCAAAACTGACCCCTCAATGGCCCGCACTAACATTTTATCTAGCGGCGAGGAGAGGCCCTGAAGGTCAACATCGCTGCCGGAGAGGGTCTTCAGGATGTCCTCAAGTCGAACCTGGGCCCCTCGGGTACCCTGAAGATGTGAGTGGAAGCATTTTGCTCCGTGAATGATCGTAATGAAGCTGACAACTCTTCCAGGCTGGTCGACGGCTCAGGCGGAGTACGCATAATACCCCTTTTCCTCGACAATCCCTCGAAGCAGTGTTTCTAATCTCAAATGGATCTTATAGATCAAATTGACCAAGGACGGAAATGTTTTGTTGCGTGAAATGGTTCGTTGAAATTCCAAAACTTTACAGACCCGAGCACTCTTGCTAATATTTAACAGCAAATCCAAAACCCCACGGCTGTAAGACGATCTCAATTTGACTATTCCCCGGACCTCGCTGATAACATGTGAAAAAGGTTATGATTGCGCGTGCTGCGACGGCACAAGACGATATCACTGGTGATGGCACAACGTCCGTTGTTCTCCTGGTGGGAGAGCTTCTGAAGCAAGCGGATCGTCATATCTCAGAGGGTCTCCACCCTCGAGTGATCACTGATGGTTATGAGATTGCCAAGGATGAGACTCTGAAGGTATTTACGAGAACAAACGAAGTACCAGTGGCTCGAATCTAACTCTTGATTTACCAGTTTCTTGACAACTTCAAACTCGAGCGTCCTATTGACCGCGAGCTGCTTCTTTCCGTCGCTCGCACCTCCCTCTCCACCAAGCTGAACCATGCTCTCGCTGGACAGCTCACCCCTGACATTGTCGACGCCGTGCTTGCCATCCACCGAGCCCCCGAAAAGCCTGATTTGCACATGGTTGAGATCATGACGATGCAACACCGCACATCATCTGAGACCCGCCTGATCCGTGGTCTGGCTCTGGATCACGGTGCTCGTCACCCGGACATGCCTAAGCGAGTGGAGAACGCTTTTATTCTGACATTGAACGTCAGTCTGGAATATGAGAAGTCTGAGATCAACTCCGGTTTCTACTACTCGAGCGCCGAACAGAGAGACAAGCTGGTGGAAAGTGAGCGCAAGTTCGTTGATGCTAAGCTGGCGAAGATTGTGGAGCTCAAGAAGCAGGTCTGCGGCAATGATCCCAAGAAGGGTTTTGTTGTGATCAACCAGAAGGGTATTGATCCCCTGAGCTTGGACGTTCTCGTCAAGAACGGCATTATGGCTCTCCGAAGAGCCAAGCGCAGAAACATGGAGCGTCTGCAGCTGGTGTGTGGCGGTACCGCCCAGAACAGTGTCGACGACATGACCCCTGATGTCCTCGGCTGGGCTGGTCTCGTTTATGAGCACCAGCTTGGTGAAGAAAAATTTACTTTCGTTGAGGAGGTCAAGGACCCCAAGTCTGTGACTATTCTTATCAAGGGTCCCAACCAGCATACTATTGCCCAGGTCAAGGACGCCGTCCGTGATGGTCTTCGCTCTGTCTACAACTCGATTGTTGATGGCTGCGTCATTCCTGGTGCTGGTGCTTTCCAAGTTGCTTGCGCCGATCACCTGAAAACGGAGGTCCTCCGAAACACTAAAGGCAAGGCTAAGTGGGGTGTCGAGGCATTCGCTGATGCGCTTTTGGTCATTCCTAAGACTCTGGCTTCCAATGCTGGTCACGATATCCAAGACTCTCTGGCCGCTTTGCAATTTGAGCGCAAGGATGGTAACGTCGTCGGTTTGGATCTCAACACAGGTGAACCGATGGACCCCGTGCAAGAGGGTGTCTTCGACTCGTACCGTGTCCTCCGCAACTGTGTCGCCTCGAGCACTGGCATTGCATCCAACCTCCTTCTGTGTGATGAACTACTGAAGGCCCGACAGATGGGCAAGCCTAGCGGCCCTGGTGGCATGGAGGAGTAATGCGAATTGAATGACTATACTTGGTGAATTCATGTAAAGATTTAGATGAACAGAACTTGATGCTCTGGTGTTTCAAGAGTTCAGTTAACTTCAAAAAATGCACGCAATAATTTGCAAGAAAATCCCCCATATATTTATTCATAAACTCGCAAACACGAGGCATGTGTAAGGGAACTTTTTTTAAAGTACGAAAATTATCATTCCTGGCGGAGGCCGGAGATTATCAGCATCAAATATTAATAACGATCCTACTAAGATTCTCGATACTACGTATTATCGTCAATCAAATAATTTGATGCGTCACATAGTCAGCCTAATAAATTGTTACCTTCATTATCGTGTCGCTAAAAAGAAAGACTCCCCGAAGGTCGTATGCTCAAGACAATAAGCAGTTCTGTTGTATAGTACAGGATCTTATGATCAAAGGCATCAATCAGGACTCTGCCCCCGAGCTACTTTCGAGATCAGAGATGGCTACCGAAAGCCATTCTCCTACAAATCCTTCCTCTTTGACTGGATCTTCCAATGATAGATGATTGGCATCAGCCCATTCTTGCACATCCGATTTGCGAATGATCATTATCGGGCCCGTTTCAGGCTCTTCATCTCCAGCCAGTCGGCTCAGTTTCCGTTTCTTAGGGGTGCTGTCGGATTGGAGAACACCCATGAATTTGACCGCTGTGATGACATCTTCGGTCAACATCCCCGTCGCATGACCAATATCCTCAACAGTCATCAACTCGCGCGGTAGTCTCTTGCGGGCGGCCTTAGAGCTTGGTTTCTGAGGTGATGGCTCAACCTTATTCCTAGGGCGCTGTCCGCAAAGCAAGTATCGCGCAATTCGCTCCGCCCAGAAGCGGTTGTAGCTTTTCTGACCCAGGTCACTGAGAGGCTTCTCCGGTCCGCCAATATACCCACCAGGTGACTCCCATCCACTGAGCTTGTAACTCACCCCCATCAGCAGCTTGCCCAGCTGCTTATGCTGATAAGGTGGAAAAATACAGATACAGGCGAGGTTGTTGGCATCCCAGGAAAGCTTTTCTCTTGAGTAGAAACCTAGGACGTGGTAGTTCTCCGAGTTGTCCGGGTCGGTAAATGTGAGAATGTAATAGAGAAAGGTTGCCACATCAAAGAAGACTGTTTTGTGGTCCAAAAAGAGTTTGGCGAAGAGAGACAGATTTTGCCCGAACAATTTGTGCTCCTCTCCATCTACCTCCCAGACTGCGTATCCGCCGTGGTCGTATACCTTGTTTCCAGGGGGCGTTGTGCGGTACACACAGGCCCGCGTGTGTTCAGAAAAGGTAGCCCCATCGCAAGAGTATCGAAAGCACCAGCGACATACGTAAAGGCGATCGGCGTCCTTTGCGACAAGGTCTTCAGGGTAAATGGACTGGTACCATGGGTTGAAAATGAGGTCCCCCAGCACGACATTCTTGACATTGCGATCACCTGGGCTTTGGAGCCGTGACGAAGACTTTTTGGTAGCCATTCAAGCACCCTTTGCCCAACAACTGGCTCCGGTAAATGTACAGAGGTTCTTCGGCGAGGTTTTGGTGGTTCTCTTCTGCGGGCGCAGTTGTAGGGAATCGGGCCATTTGAGGTCAGCGCGGGCGTAAGGAGATGACCGTATTGTGACTGTTTCGAAGGAAGGTGCGTCGACACTGGTGATTAGGCAGGCATCGAAGCTGGGTATAGACTCGGAACGAGTCCCTCCGTCCAACCCCGAGGACGCCGCGCTCTCTTGGGGCGTCGCGTCAAGTGATCGACGGAAAGTCACGTGATTATGGTGGGGCGATAGCTTTTATCTTATCCGCTGTTGCCTGGTGATGTTGGATATGTCTGGAGTTCCCAGCTGGATGTTCTGAGATCATCCCTGAGTGCGTCCTTGCGTTAACATCTTGCCTCCTATTCAAGTCTATCGCAGGCAACAGCAATACACGTCTGATGGTATCTGATGTTACGCCTTCTTCCTCATCTCGTGGTTCTTTAAATTCCTCCGAGCCGTTATCACGCCCTCACGCTTGTCAACCTTACCCGTGCAACACCCCCACCCGGCTTGCCCTCAGGACTCATGATATCCCCTCTCGCCACTATGAAGCCCTTCCAGATCAGGGATCTTCATGCGTCTTCGTTCCAGGGAGGCGAGGAGAGTCTTGCTCAACCGACCCGCTCTCATGGAGTTGTTCGCATCTCAGCCGTCGACTACGATGATCTTGCCTCAACCCATCCACGTGCTCGGCTCACTTATCCTGATGACGACGACGGTGACAAGATCGAAGTAAGTAACAACGTATTTTGGCACTCCATGCGTTCAAGGCTCCGGCTAACATCAACGACAATCTACAGGTCGGGTCTTCATTTGAGCTTTCTCAACGCCTCGACGAGCCCATAGACCAGAACGAACCGAGCCCGATGCACATATTCGACATTCGTCGATCAAACTCCGTCACCGAGCTTTGGAAACGATTTGAAGACAAGGCTGATGTAGCTTCCAAGTCGACAGATGTCAAGAGGGATATCTGCGCCGCGCATGGATATGCCCCTGGAACATCTACCCAAGATCGATCATCAAGGTCTTCAAATAGCGCTTCTAGTTTCAGCCCTGGAGAGGCATCCGATCCCCTTTTGAGTGGATTCGAGGCTGAACTTGCGAATCTTTCCCTCGGCCCAGGTGCCCACGAAACTGAAAACAAGCAGCTGAAGCCATCGTTCGACACAGTGCCAAGCGCAAGCGGTCCTTCCGACCATGAATCACAACCTCTTATGGCAGCATTTGAAGCTGAGTTGGCGAACCTCATGAACTCCACAGATGTCTCTGGATCCAAACCTCCGCAGATAGAATCGTCTCCCAAACCCGAGTCGAGTGCACGCACGAGCTCGCAGCGAACCCCTCATCCTATTGAGCTCCTTGCGGCTCCAGTCATTAACCACCTAGTCAGTGGTGCTAACATGGTCCATTCTGAATTTACGGCGCGTCTGCCAGAATTGCAACGCCAACTACAAGAAATCCAAGGCCAACTACAAGACGCCCAAAGAGCACTTCCAGAACATGTCGGAAATTCGATTGTGGATTTTCTACGTATGGCGGAGGTCCAGCTTAAAACTATTCTGGACACCTACTATGCAAACGCTGGAAGACCTATGGCTGAGAACGCTGCAGATGGCTTCCGAACGGTAGCGTCTGAGTTCAACGGGCTTAGACAGTCACTGTCTGCGGTATTGTCCGACAATAAACCTTCCGAGTCTACCAGCGACTCTGCACAGGCCAACGCAGCATCCGATGTGCGGAGCGCCGCTGATGGCGCGTTCTCGAGTACCGGAACGCATGCAACCGGACCCCCGGACTCCAGCGCTCAAAATCCTGAACTACGGCACATGGATTCAAACAAAGAAGTGTTGGCCGGCCAAGCGCCGAGTGCCATTCCCGATCCCAGCAGAGATGCAACACTTCTGGGGACCAAGAATACAAGGGCAGACACTCAGACAAACCCACACTTTCCATATCCCCATCGTCGCCATCGAGGCTCTCAACCCCGGGTCGGATCACATCCTGCAACTCCACCCGTTCTTCAAAACCACTGGCAGTCCCCTCCATCTGTGCCTTTCTGGCCATCTTTGAATCATCTTCCATGGAATTTACCCCCTACTCGCTTCCCCCACCATCCCCTTGTACCGCCACCTCACCCTCCACCTCCACCTCCACCGCCGCCACCATTTACAGGTCGGTGGTTCAATCCTGATTCTTTCGGAAATTTCCTTGCAACTCCCTCGGATCCATACCATGAAGATGGACCGTCTTCTTCATATCGGGCTCAAACGTCTTCAAATGCGACTCAACTGCTATCCGAAGGTGGAGAGTCGACGCTTTTCATTGGTAATGTCGGCTTCAGGGTCACGGAAAGGATGATTCAAGATGTCTTTGCTTCAAAGGGTTTCATTGTGAATGCTCATCTTCCGTTGGATACTGTGTCGGGGAAACATGCAGGCTTCGGATACCTGCACTTCCCGTCTAAATATCCAGCCATGGCTGCAATCCACGCACTTCAAGGTGCACACATTGATGGCCACGCGATCAATCTTGAGTTCAGTGAAAATACGCCTATCGAAAGCGTGCGAGCTCCAACAAATATGAGCTCCAACAGGGACCTTCCAAACCGTGGCCAAGACGACTCAAAGAAACCCAATTCCGATGCACGGCAGTTGCAAGACGATTCGATCAAGCGTAGGAAGTCTGTGACCTTCAAGGATCCAACGCCGCCCGCCAAAGAAACCAGCACAGGCGACTTTTCTGCTCGGGCCGAATCGCCTCTTATTGATCTGGAACAATTCGAAGACACGAGTCCTGGTGGAATCTCTTTAAACCAGATTGAGGCAAACTTGGGTCATGCAGTGACCTGTGAAGATGACAGCTTCGCGAAATTCAATCCTGAAGAGGAGATGAGTCGCTTCCCGCCGGTCTCCCAGTTGGAAGCACATCTCGCAACTCAGAATCAGTGCGCCACACCAAGCTCGAGCGTCCCGGCGTCGAACAGTGGCCAAATTTCTGAAGATTTACCAAAGATGCTATACAACAAGTCCAGAACCCGTGGGTCACGGGGTTTGGACGACGCTCCCAAGACCCCAGCAATGGTTGACACGAGTGGCCGCAACTCTGGTAGCTCTGTCCTTCGTCGCTCGAGTACTATGATGATCCCCCGCTCTGAACTTTCCAGCCCCGTGGACAATCTATCCGCTACAGGTTTGAGGCGACGTGCATCCGAGCGTGTTCCCTTGCGGTCCAGTGCTGGGCAGGATACCTGGGCCCGACTCGACAGGAGAGAACGCCGCCTCTCTAGACCATCTTTTGGTCACAACGATCTCGGAGGTTTCACCACATGGGGAATTAGCCAGCCTCCAGCTCCAGCCTCGCTCGAAGCGGAGCCCAAGAGTCACAATAAGCCCGAAATTGCAAATTGCATCTCCAGTCTTGTTGACATGGGCTATGGTGCAGCTGAAGAGGGCGGTCCATCTCGGATAGCTGTCTATGCGGCTGCATCGAATGGCAGTCTTCTGGATGCCATCGAGATGATCGAGGAAGAAAGAAAGGCATACGCCAGACATGACCGAAAGTGAAATGGAAGCTGGATTTCTTTGCCCAATTCCAGTCGCTCTTTAGCTCAGGCTGCAACTTTCTTACAATCTGCCTTATCACACTTTTCTCTCAATGCTCAATAGTTTGCTCATAGTTTGAATTAATCTCAACTTTTGGCTTTGGCATCACGACATGGAAACTCTAGATTTGACAAAACGCCGGCATATCACATGCAATGCCATGGCTGGTGGGCGTAATGTAGAGTATTGCCCTGATTAATATGAATACTCTAGCACTCGTAGATCATTGCACCAGTGATGGAATGATACTCAGGTACTGACGCGAGTCCATCAAGTGGAACATTACCGGTGCTCAGGTCATCAGGTAGGGGTATCCTAGGTTCATGGTACAAGGGACAAGATATATAATGTCTGAAAACTTGCATTACCGAGACTTTGCATGCCCGGAGTATACATTAAAATACACTTGAGAACAGAACCGAATAAAACCGCGAGGAAATAATGTAATTAACATATAGCGAAATATAATCCCGTCTTCTCCCCGTGATAGCACCAATCTTAGGTGATTCGCGTCAACCGCGCGGAGTGATCGGCGGACCGTTGCTGCGGCCCCGACATTTTTCCAGCCCGCAACCTCCGACATCATTCCAGCACATTTGACCAAAACGCACTCGATCCAGCCATGCAGATATGGCGGCGGACCTTCGCCACGTCTGTCGCAAGACTCGGCCAAAGCACGACAATTGGCGCACGCCCCGCTGCTCTTAGGTGCGCGCAAATTCTCCAAGCCAGCAAGAAGGACCAGCCCTGCAGCTTGGAGGACCAAGAGATCAAGGTCAATGGGTTTATCCGATCGGTTCGCAAGCAGAAGCGCTTTGCCTTTGCAGAGATCTCAGATGGATCGACCATTCAGCCGCTGCAGGCCATACTGAAACCAACGCAAGCAGCTGAGTATGCCTTCTCTCGAGAGCTGAGTCGCAACGTCCCCAGCCCGATAGACAACGCTAACACGGTCGCTTCGCCTACCCTCCAGGTTATCTACCGGTGCTGCAGTTGAAATATCCGGAGTCTGGAAAGCCTGCCCCCCTGGAAAGGAGCAAACCCATGAGCTTCAAACAACGAACGTGACAGTCGTCGGCGCATCAGATCCAGAGGTACGGTCCTTGTCCCACAACACCCAACTGGCTCTCTAACCACCAAGTCTTGCCGGTAGACATTCCCAATTCAGAAGAAATACCACAGTCCCGAATTTTTGCGTCAAATTCCCCATCTTCGCATCCGCACCCCTTTCCAGTCGTTGCTTTCCCGATTTCGTTCCGAATGCCTGTTCCAGCTGGGCAACGTGTTTCATTCCTTCCCCAATGGCGGTTTCACCCAAGTACAACCCCCAATAATCACGTCGTCAGACTGTGAAGGAGCGGGCGAAACATTTACATTGGCTCCACGTGGTGCCGCAATACCGGCTTCTGATGCCGACCATTTCTTTCGAACTCCCAAGTACTTGACTGTGTCATCGCAATTACATCTTGAGGCCTACGCCGCGGAGTTGGGCAATGTCTGGACACTGACCCCTGCCTTCCGCGCCGAGAAAAGTGACACACCGCGCCACCTTAGCGAGTTCTACATGCTGGAAGCCGAAGCAAACTTCATGTACGATTTGGATACGCTCACGGAGTTGGTGGAACACATGCTTCGCGACCTGACGCGCCGACTGTACGAAACGCCGGTTGGTCAAGAAATTCTGTCAGCAAAGCAGACTGACGAGTCGGGTCAAGAAAGTGGCGTCGAGGGATCAGGCTCGGATTTGCGCCGAAGATGGGCTGCTCTGATGAACGGTCCTAAATGGCATCGCATCACATATACCCAGGCTATTCAAAAGCTTCAGGAGGCTGTCGCTGAGGACGGTGCATTGTTCGAGCATGCTCCCACTTGGGATGGTGGCCTTCAGCTCGAACATGAGAAATACATTGTCGAAGTGTTGCACCAGGGCAGCCCAGTCTTCGTCACCGATTATCCAAAGGCTGTGAAGCCGTTCTATATGGCGCCTTCGCAGGCCGGAGAGAGAAAGAGCGATGTGCTGGGCGAGACAGTTGCCTGCTTCGATCTACTTCTGCCTGAGGTCAGCGAAGTCGCCGGCGGTTCCCTGCGTGAGCATCGCCTGCCGAATCTTATTCAGAACATGCGCGAGTATGGTCTGATCAAGACCCGCGAGTCAACCGACCCCGAGGCCGCAGCCTCGAACGAACCGCTATACCCCTATCTCACTCCATCAGAGGATCTTGGCCACCTTCAGTGGTATGCCGATCTACGTCGCTGGGGCAGTGCACCTCACGGTGGTTTCGGACTTGGCTTCGATCGGATCCTAAGCTATCTGACTGGAGTCTCCAGTGTTCGAGATATCGTCTCCTTCCCACGGTATTTTGGCCGTGCTGATTGCTAGATTGACCAAAGTGACTGTAAGATACAAAAGACTGTAGAATAGACATTTATCGAAACGTCCTCTAGCCGTCTGACGGTTTACCTTGATTACTTGCAGCCATAGACCTACTTGTTTGGGCATGTATGCTCCTTTAGGGCATGTACAGCCGTTGAGAACACGACTACATTCTATCAGCTCCCTAAAAGGATTAAATCATCGAGGATAGGGGACCGGAAATCTACCTAGGAGGCACATTTGGAGGCTGATCCAGCAGTCGATCACCATAGGAAAGGCAGTGCGTAGATAGGACGGACTACATGGCCTCGTGCGAACAACAACAGGCAACTAGGGCTGTTTCTGTACGTGTGCCGTGGGCCTAAAGTTGTGACTGCAGGGAGAAAGGAAGGAAAGGGGGCGAAAGGAATGAAGAATACCATCAGTCGAGATGGCCAAGTACTGCCAGGATTTCCTGGATTTTTCACAGTATTATAGGCAGACAACCTGAAATGACATTGTTTGCATGCAACGGAAGATGACGATAGATGTGATTCTAGGAGTATGCAGTATGTAGCAGGCAGTATGTAGCAGGTCGTATGTAAAAAGTACTGTACATACTCCAGTAGGTTTGGGAAAGTAGCCCTTGGGGATATATTCTACGTAGTCTTCTCTTTGGCGGGTGCTCTCCAGCAAACCTGCATACAAATATGTACGGAGTCGCTGTCCCCTCCCAAGCTACCTCCTACCTTGGTACTCTCGTACCACGCAGGCATCTCTTGTCGAGTTCCGTTATGCACCGGCTCTCGGACCGGTCCAAGCAAGGCCAAGCACTCTAGTGTGGTTCGAGGCGTCCGCAGGCAAAGACAAAAAACCGGGGCCTCCGACAGGGAGCTCGATGCTCGTCGATGCGACTGGCAGCTTTGCACGCCAACGAGACCAAAGGGGGCTGAAGAGAGGGCGGAGGACTCCGTCAGCACAAAACGTGGTCCGTGGGTCTCCGGTTTCTCTACTCTATCTTAAATTTTTTTTTTTTTTGCTCGGTCTCTTGCGGAGCTCGCTTAAGGTTGCCGAGGATATGCCCAGCTGGAGGGGCCTGGTGGGGCTGGTCTCACGAATTCCCAGCTAGATTAGTTCTAGCGGTGCCGAGAGACAAGACGTCCAATATACGGTTTGGCTATACAACATACCTGGGCATGTCGGAGCGTCTTGGGTGCCATCATCCTCCCCAAAGTCGTGTCGACACGACCAAGTCGTGCCCAGGTCCGGTATATGTTCGCGAACAGCCTCACAGGAAGGGGGCACAGCCTTTCCCTTTTTAATCTAATAAACTTTACGAGGGGGCGAGGCGTGCGATGCCAATCAGGAGGCCAGGATCGGCGAGCCAAGGAGACCCAACCTTACCGGGGTTAAGCATAAGCACAAAAGATGTTCGGCCAGTGGCCGACGAGTCATGCAGTCGGGGGTTATCCCTGCGGCGACGTATCACACTGGATTTGTCGTGATCGCTGCATGCGCCCTAGGGGCCCCTAGGAGCGATGGTCCTGCTAGGCACATGATGCTATTGTTACCTTCTTAAGAGGGGGAGAGGAGGGGGTGGGGAGATCCCTTTCGCGGTCACCATGAATGGTCGTGCTGTATACTGTAGTACATTCATGTATGGTATTGTTTACGTTTCCAGCCCCCGTAATCGCCTCGAACGGCCACGATCATTCGCACACTTCGTCTTCGTATTCGGATGAATTAAGTCCCCGAACGCATAAAGTCAAACCAGGCGCCACATGGTTATGCTGATTCATGTTAGACCGTCCAGGTCGGCCCATCGCGCCCCTTCGAGCGAATATTAAAGTCTGTGATTACCTTCTCTGGGCTAGACAGCATGGTTTGCCCCATAAACTGGTTTTGCGCCCATGGTTCCCACGGCGCTGGATCTTAGGCTTGCAGATGACAGTTGCCACCCTAGCACCGGCCGAGCCTAAATGGGCCTAACTGGGCCTCCCTCCTAGGGGCCACTGCTAAGGTCCGAACGTCTTGGCGAGAGCTAGGCACCATTCACCATGCACAAGGCCAGGTCTTGGCTCCTGCATTTCACATTGGCATTGGCAACTCGAGGCGGCCAACATTGCTTCCCCCTTTCGCGACTGATTCTGTCGGAGGCGACCGACCGCGACATTGGTGGGAAATAACGACGCCACCTGGTGATCTTGCGCTTGTCGGACTGCACAGCCAAGCGCAAGAGCCCTCGCATACAATGTATTAGTTGATTTTTATTTTAACTCATCTAGGTTTCAACCCCAGAAATCCCTGGGGGAAAGCATCTGCGAAGGATGCTCGTATTGCGCCATGATTAACGGACGATGGCGGTTCATCGCGCTCATTGTTTTAGATAGGAAATCGTTGCGAAAAAAATAAATAAAAAATAAAAAATAAAAACCGGAATCAGCCTCTTAGCACATTCCCTATTCATCTTTCGAAGGACACCTTAATTATGTTAGTGGAGATAAGCTCGTGCGACGTTTCACGAAACTAATTCTTGGCAACCTTTAATTCCATTTCCAGGGTTACAGTGGACGGTGTGACAATACGAAAACACGCAACCATATCTAAAGTAGAGTTGATCGCGAGAAAATAGTGCCAATTAGGGTGCGTCGGACCCATGTAAGGGCACGTCATCGCCCCCGGGGCCGCTTCTCGGCGGAGAAAGGAGGGATGCGATTGACTTACAGTGTCTGATCATCGCTCTCTCTACAAAATACATACCTCCCTAGCGGAGGTGATTGGCACGATGAATCCACACGGATAGACAGGCAGACAGATTTTTGCTTTTGGATTTGTAACATTGCTTGGGTAAGACTATTCATATATATGTAGCCTTGGCTCCGAATATTTAGACATGTGGCCTCCGCGAGTCAGCGTGGAGTAAAATCGCGATGATCCGCACGAGTCGGAGATTATTGAGGATACAGTGAACGTCCCCAATCCCCAAATTGTGATATCGAATCCTGTGTAGCAAGAGCTAAAGCCCACATGAGACTTATCCAGATGAAGATCTTAGGTAGGGGACTGTACATGTTACATATGCATGTATTATAAACAAGTCTGTACCTATCCTTCGCTGGAGGGAATGAGAATAGGATTGAGGATAGACATATACTGAGCAGGATGCTACTAACGATCCTTTCAAGCACACGCCCTACCAAGTCGATATTAATACAGTAGTAACAATATCGCCTGCATTTGCACTCGGCGGCCCTATCATCGTCGGACCTAAATGCCAAGAGAGGGGACAAGCGTCCATGTGGAGCTAGCTTTCAAACGCAATGCCCTTGATTATCAGCTGGAGAAAAAAAAGGGCGGCTCCACACCCAGCCCGAAACCAAAGACTAGACACATGCAGAAGCCACGAACCACGGTCGGCAAAGTAGTATGTCGGCTTGGCCCGCAAGGACCTAGCGCCAGCTGGGTGAAGCGGGTACGTGTGTTATGCTTAGCGAGCAGTGGAGCCCTGATGTTTTGGCTCGACCTACCGCGAAAGGAGTGCTTCGGATGATCGGATAGGTCTGACGGGTGTCCGAGGACCCCGAGCATTTTCATAAATCATTTATTCTAGAGTTGGCTGTCATTTCGTGAGATTGGGTTGTCCACCCGGTCCCGGCATTAGCAGTGCCCTTCATTTCGCTTGGCCCCGTCCCCTAAGGTATCCGAAGGTAGCCTTGCCACGCCGTTGATTCTTGGGCCGGACACGGACATGGACTAATCGGCGAACTAAAGACACTCAAGCATAATGCTCGACTGCACTATCCTAAAACAGTAAGAAGCGCGGGAGGGACGGATGCATGTACAGTATGTACTGTAGGTGATCTTCAGAGAGGCCAGCACTCGACATATCTCGCACATGGTACAGTGTACAGGACATCATGCAAGGGAGCAACATGTAGTGCTTTTTGGATATGATGCTTGTCTCTTGCTTAAAAACCAGAGGGCAGAAAACCTGCAACGGAGGGGTAAAAACAAACATAAAAATAAGGGGGCGTTTGGAGGCCCAGCTGATGGACCAGGCTGATCGTATCGTATCGATTGTTTCTCCGTCGATCTGCTGCGCCGCAGTCCGATCGGCCCTTGGACCCTGGATAGCCTCGTCCACCATAGCCTCCCATTTGTTGGAGTTTTGAATCCATGTCACTTCAGCTGATTAGTTTCGTACCGGATGCTTTTTCTTTTTCCTTTTTAAGGTACTGCTTCATGTGGACGTATGCCATTTCAATAACCACCTGGAGGCATGGGGCCCATACCGATGAATACATATACAGCCAGACAGCCCTGTTCATCCCTGGTGCTTGGTTCGCAGTACTCTTATGCCTCTAATGTAGGACCTCGACGAGGCTCGGTTCTGGCTCGTTTACCAAAAAGTAGTGCGACCACATCCCACCTCTCTCCACCAGACCGATGGAATCTCAGGTCACCACCGTGATGTCAAGGTCACACTGGTCGGCGCCATGTGAGACATCTGATGCAGGCCATAGCCGAACACGCAGCTTGAACAGAGATGACCCCGGCGTCTGTCTGTGTATCGTGTTCTTTTTGAACTCGAAATAAATTGACCTCTCCCTCTCATTCTTCACCACGGGGACATTTACTATAAGGTCCTCGTCCACATGGATTGGCTGCTACCCCGACCTGCCCGCCTCCTAACCCTAACGTATACGCTGTACGACCAGTCTTTGTTGGCGATACGCAGCGACGGGGTCCTGGGTCCGTGCGCCCCATGAATCACGAAGCTTTGCGCAACTTCGTTGGTTTTTTCTCGGCTGACAGGCCTAGCGCTCGGAGGAGGTGTAGCGGGCGCTTCGGCTACGCAGCTCCGTTATTGGTTTGCGGTGGTCTTGGGGGTTGAGAATGATAACCTTCAATACGATCGCACCAAGCCACATGCAAGGCGGTCTATAAGGCTCGCTGCATTCTGCACTCGGGAAAAATTGACCGCTTAACCTTATCGCTGAGTCAAACAGGACTCAACACCCATGATCCCTGCCCACGACTGCATAAGAGATTACGAAGTGGCCAGTCTCCTGGCGAAGCGCCCTTAGCTCGCATCCTAGCCCCGACCTCCCCGAGCGATGGATTATGTATAGTTAATCACTCGGATTTAGTTGCGGGCGCAGGCCGCTGAACAGGCCGAGTGCCAAACTCTCTTATACTAAGTAGTTTACCTAAGTAGTTAATTGTGTGACATCTAAAGGCTGGCAGCGGCCGTGCCCATTCCACCTACCTACGAGAGGTAAATACTCACCCGCAAACCATGCGCAGGAGGTTAACCAAAATCGGTCAACTTGCAACATGTTTCGACCTCGGGAGGCCTGATTAGAAAGATCATCGCCGGCTCACAGGACACAGCATATATGCTTGGTTCTTTTTGTCCCGCGGTCGAATACTCACCACCAAGCTTTGCGGTCAGCAGCAGTTGAGATTCCAAGCATGTACATAATGCTGGCCGCGTCACTCCCCGAAATTTGATACGAACAATAACAGAGGTAGGTACGAAATCCAAGTCACGAGATCACGAGACAAATCGAAAATCGCCAAAGAGCCACCGTGGCCCCTCGCTTTCATCTCCCCCCCCGATGTGCCAGGCGGGTCTCTCCAGAACCGTTGTTTCGCCAGTATGCCGACTGAACCGCTCTGCGTGGGCTATTATTAATCGCGAGTGGGGGTGATTGGTTTCCATGGTCACACCGATGTTAATTCCCGATAATCGAGTGGATTTTGGCTGTCGCCAAACTTTGCCTCCACCACTTTATTGATTCTTGTGTCATGAAAGAACGGAAAAATGAAATGATAATGTTCAACTGTCGCTCAATTCCGATCGGTGAACCATGGCTCGTCATGGCGTCACAACCTTACCTGAGAGGTATGCCATATGGTCGGCGGATCGATTACCCCAAACCCCGAATCTCGTGTATAGGCAATACGGCCGTATGATACGTACCCAGTAGCTAAATTGCACGCACTGATGCGGGATTTGATTTGATATGACAATGGAGGAACCTTAGATCTACCTCAGGGCGATAGGAGGAAATCTTATTGCAGCCTGTCAGCCATGGCCGCACAAGGAACCCCCCACGCTGTGCATTCTTTCGCCTTTCTTCTGGAAGAATCAGGTTGGCCGCCATGCCAAGCGTTGCGCAGAAGTCGCTGAAACTGGTCCAGGGTGGATACGGCCTTTCTAAGCGAGCATAAAGTTCAGCGCCGGCCTCCTCGTGTCGGATTAAGCTTAAGCTTCACTGAGCGCGCACTAGCCACCTGCGATCAGGCCCTGGGACTCTGACACAGATCAAACCAATTTTACGTCGTACACGACCAGTCACATTCTCGGGTAATTTTGATTTGCGGCCCTCCTTTGCACATCCCGCCAGGAATGGGGCTGCCTTGTGAAGGGGCAGCCAAGGCTCACGAATAACCTTACTGCGCTCCTCCCTACCCCACTGCCCAGGCTTGGTCAAGCCACCGTAAGCTTAGCCAAGGCCCTTCCAAGAACTTCCAAGCCCCAGGCATAGCCATGACGAACCCGATCCCGGCTGGCAAGTGTCTTGCTTATCCGCGCTCCCATATGCTGTTTTTAGCATCGTCCACGGCACACCACCCCCCCCTATGTAGGTATCAGGGGGATGAGGATCAGAACCCTGACGTGATCCTTTGTGATCCTCCCTAGACTGAATTTCCATTTTCACTGTCACACTAACAGGCGATACAATGACTCGCTCCAACATCGGGCTAACACCGAGCGACTCAACACTTGCAATGTAGGGTGTAGGGGACATCCGGACGCACGTCTTTTGGATAGCCGCTTCAGCCTCGCCACCCGACCCCCTCCCCCTCGCCCTTCTTTTCCTTTTTCTCTGATTCGACCCAAGGTTCCCATGCATAAAACAGAGTCATGCGAATAGCGTGGATTTGAAATCAGAAAGTCGCCTTCCATGCATTATTCGGCTTTTCGTTTCCTTGAAATTTTCTCCTTTAATCTATTGCATTTTTAAATTTGATTCATGCTGGCTCGCAGCTGATTACTTGTTTTTGCTGTTTTTTTGCACGCCATTCTTGCCTGGGTGCTTTTCCCTATCCCATCTGGATCGTCATTCGCGCTCCATCTTTCAACCTTAGTTGCCTGTCTCCACCCAACTCTGTTTCTCAGAGGCTATTGTATTACCGTTTGTGAATTTTTGATTTTCTTTTTTTTTCTTTCCCAATAATGATTTTTCCTTTTCTAGTAACCACTTTCTCGTTCGGTCGCCATTCTTGCAATCTCGGCGTTTAGCAACTTACGTCCGATCTCTGGGCCCTGGTCCCTTTTTGACTGCTCGGTTCTCTTATTTAACCTTCTTTTAATGATTTTTATTGTTTCGGCCTCCCCTTCATAAGCTTCCGCACGGGACAGCACGGTTGGATCCTGGTATCTTCTATTTGACTTCTCCCCTTCACCCTCCTTTGTGACATCTTTCACCGTCGATTCGATTCCCCCTCCCCAATAAAACCAACTTTTGGGCCGTCACGTCCGTTTCGTCCCTTCTGAGACAGCCATAGAGGGCTTAAACCCACACCTAAACCTTGTGGGGTCCAAGAGTGAGTCGTGACCTCCACTCAACTGTCTGCCTCTGCCTGGAGCCTTTGTGGCCCTCTTCCTGTATTTCCTCTTCCTGTATTTCCTTGTCGGCATTCTTTACGCCCGCTCTCCAACCCACTTGCCCCACAACACAATCTTTGCTGGCGTTCAGCCTTTTCCCTTTTGGAAACGAGGACCACCCAAAAAAAAGAAAACCCAAAATCTGAAAACCCAAAAAAGAAAATTACGCCAATCTAACCCTGTTGGGTGACGTAAAAAAGCTCGGCCATACCCACCTGGAAGCGCCGGTCTCATACACTACTCAGCCTACCCCATACCCGATCAACACTGACTCGGATCCTGGTTCCTCTTATACTGCACCGGGACCCTACTCTCCACTTCTTGTTCTCTCTTCCCCAACTTGATCGACTGCCACCACACCAGGTCACAGGATCACTCCGATTAACGGGATCAATAGAACGGACCGAAGAATAGTCAAAACTTCGGCTCACCGACCAGGTCGCCGCTTCTAGATTCGACCCCAACAGACACCACACACAACAGCACCACAGCACCACCTCGACGCCTCAGCACCAACCACGTCACATCAACTGTCGCACTCACATTCGTCACTGCCGTGGACTCGTCGTCACACGGCAAATAACTTACCCATCCACTCCACCTACCCATCGGGGTCTGCCTGACTTGAAGAGCTTGGATGGAGACGTACTACGGGCACGTCCGCACACCGGCGGACGCTATCATTCTTTTCGAGGCGTGTCGCATCGGCCTACTGCCTCGTGTGCAACGACGACTTTCTGAGAAAGAGCGACAGTCCATCCGCTCGGGCTCAGTATTCGTCTGGGATGAGCGGGAAGCGGGCATGCGACGATGGACCGACGGAAAGTCATGGAGCGCTAGCCGGGTCTCTGGCAGCTTTTTGACATATCGGGAGATGGAGGGCAAACGCGGAGGCGGCAGTGTTTCACAAAGCTCAGTATCAAGAGCCGGCAAGACGCCCGAAAGCACACGAGGAAGCGACGAAGACCGGGGTGACGGCACCGATGAGGGCCCTGATGGCTATCGATATAAACCCGACGGCTTGATGAAGCAATCCTTCAGCATCACGACCTCCACCGGCCAGCACCTCCACCTTATCAGCTACTACTCCCGTTCGCACCCTTCTGCCGCCAATCTTCAACAACCTACAACGGATCCTGCCCTGCGACATGTACGACCTCAGAAGGGTCTGTACCCTGAGTCCACAGTCAACGACCAACAGAACCTCCCTGTCGTCACCCGCGGGCCCATGGCTGGCGCGACAGCATACCCCATTACACCTCATCCGATGGGCAGCTACGCGCGCACCACACACGCTCCGAACTTCACACCTCCATCATATGCCTGGCCTCCAACTCCACTTGCAACCCCGCCAACTGTTGCCGTGCCTCCGTATGGTTCTGCTGCTAGCTATCTCCCGTCTGTCCAGGCAAATGGTCCTCCGGGCCCCCCAGGCCCTTCACCATATGCGCAGGCGCAACACCAACCTCCTCAACACCTTCAAGGGCCTCCGCCGCCGCCTCACTCCCTCCCTCCTCCCCCCCTCCTCACTCCATGCACGGCCCGTATGATCGACCCGCACACCCCGATTCTACCGCTCCTCCGTCTGCTCTGCCGCCAGGATATCCCGGTCGGTCGCCGCGCAGTACGCACGAGGTTCCCCTCCAACAACGGAGCCCACGGTACGCAGCTGGTCCCGATCCTCGCCTGGTTTCGCCGCGGGTTCTAGCGGGCGCAATTCCACAGCCCAGCAGCATCGCCCAAAGCCCTCATATACTAAAGCAGACTCCGCCGACTGCACCTCAACAATTGGGCCCCATCAGCACACCTCCCAAGCCCATCGAGGCCAACGGAGTCCCTGGCATCGGTGCACTGGTCAGCGGTACCTCGCTTGCTCCCATATCCGCCATGTCAGCTCCCAGTGGTGGTCCTGGCAGCCCGCCTAGTGTTCCGAGTTCTCGCCCAGGTATTGGCGATGGTCCTCGTGATATCCCGAACGAGAAGCTTGGTTTCGGCGACGGCCCTGGAAGAGAGGATATTCGCCTCCTTCGCCAGCTGGACCGGGTATTCACCGCATAAATGGCCCAATTTCCGGGGACCTCATGAGAGTTGGCTAAACTCATCCAACATCATACACGACTCTTCCTCTTCATCTCGATTCCCCACAACAAAAGCTCCACTTGCGATACAACGACCATCGCTTGTTTCATCCTTACGTCTCTCAATCGGCTTCTTCAATGTCGTTAACTTGCTCGATTCAACTCTATGTTCTATGGGGCCGGGAGTGTTCTTCATGTGATATCCACCTTATTTATGCCTTTTTGTGTCATTCTTAGCATTTTCTGCATGGGTCGGGCTATTTGCATTTATCTTTCTTTGTGCGATATGGCTCCTGTTTATGGTTCGGGCCCTTCACACCCTTACGTCATGCATTGGGATCGGTCTACACGGTTGGGATACGGTTCTGGTCTTCGATTACTCGGGCAATCGACGTTCTTATTCATATCGAATTATTTGTGTTCCTGTAGTCTTGTAGCTTGCGATGCGATCAGTCGGCTAGATCCTTCGCTCGTATGCTTTTCAGATCATCGCATTTCCGGCGTCATCTAAGTACCACCTGATGGCGTTGTCTTAACATCCTTTGGCGTCTTTGCTGGATCCTTGACCTGTCCAAACCTCCAATTGTGAACAAGCTGTCAAATCTTTGGTTACTACCTAATATATCCACGTTTACTTTTTCAATACCCATAACTTTATAGAAAACTCGTTACTGTGGTAGGATTGGAGGTGCCAAAAATTGAAGGAATACTGTCGTGATGGAGTAGCCTGCAACCATGACCCAAAACGGCATATGGTAGAAGAGCATTTCTTTCTCTTACTAAGAGCTTGCAATGCTGTTGGAAATTCTGACATTTGAGGTATGAGAGGATAAAAGCGAAACTGAAGATGGTTATTATGCATATCGAAATATCGCCGATCACATGCACCGGGCTCACTTTGCGACCCTTTGGTGCAGCACCGTATCAATCAAACATTTCGTATTCAATGCGATCAAATGTCGAGGTCGGCGCTGCGTGTATATGGTTATGGTTATAGTGAGTGGCCTATATTAGTGTAACAATCTGCATAGCACTTGTGAACTATGACGGCACCCTCGTGATTGTAGCACTCAAAAGTTTTCGAAGCTCAAGTCTATTGGGAAATCACCTAGGCATATTCCATGGCTCGAGTCTTCCATTAACACGATAAATTTCATTACACTTGAGGCCATGGCGCCCTGGGTACATAAATGTTACTTATTGTCCTCGTGAGCTCAGCGGGTATCAAGCCCTCACCATGGACCACCATTGATATGACCGAGTTTATAGTTTCGATTTGACTCATTTAAATATACTACGCCGATAGCGATATAACTGATCAATGCGTAGATGATCGTAATCTAAGAAGGGCTCTCAAGCTCTTCACTGACTTTCCGGAGAATGTTTCATGGGACGTATAATCTGCCAAATCCATCAATAAAAATGAGCCATGGTGGTGGCTATTAGCCTTTAAAGTTGGATTGACAAAGAGTTCGAAATACTTGATCGTCTCATTTATTATGTTTTCAGTCTGACGTATGCGGAGCCCTGACGACAATTGACAGGAAATGCTGAAAACCTGACCCTTGGTTGATAATGCAGTGATCTCGGATTAACCATGGCATTCCAGGCAGCCGGCGAGAAAGTGGCTTCGAAACCTGCAGCCTAAAATCTGTAGCTTGGACACAAAAGATAGAATAAATGACACGTGTTTTGTCTGGTCTTTGAATGTCGCTCGTCACAAGAGTAGATCTCAAAGGAATCGTACAGACTTCTCCTGCTGCAGTTCAGTAAATGACAATGAAATAGGTTTGAACAATGAAGATGAATGCTATTCCTCAACCAGAGACGATGTATTGCACAATCAAAAACCTCTGTGCTTTCGAGGTCATATCTAGAAGTCGCGTGGCTACTGCAATTTTCTAGTACTTCCCAGTATTGGCTGCGATTATTTTTAAGTCAGTATATACGCCTCCATCCTAGTCCTATAGATGAGCAACAAAATGTTGAAGTGCTGTTATCACACTGAGGAATGCTTACCTTCCATTGCATGTTTCCAAAGCACGCTATTTTTAGCCCGTTCAAAATTATATTGCGATCAGTTGTCAAGTTCAACGGAGCTCTAGTAGAGCCCCACGAATTGTCGACCTGAATAGGAGGCAAGGACGAAGTTGCGAACAATGGTCGCGCATGGTAGCCTGGGCCAAAGTGCGTTGGGCATCAATGACGATCTGCGATTTACCCGAGGGCTGAAGATCGGATGTTCATCTGGATTGACAGATTAATTAAAGTAAGAGTTTGGCATCGCCACCTCGGTGGATGATCCACCCGTCATGATGCGAATCGAAGTCCATCGAGATCGTCCTTGTCGCACCTTAAGGTCTCCTCCCACTGACAGCACCGCGAAGGAATCATTGAACTTCTAGGATGTATGTCGACAGATCCGAAGGCTTCACGGCGTGGTCAAGCGATGAACTAGCGATCGCTTAATCTATTATGGGCTATCTCGATGATGCATGGTTACCTGTATACCATTGTCGCCAACATAGCCCCTTTTCGTAGTCACGTTGACCTGATTGCTCGATCTATGTCGCCAGAATTTAGTACCTGCATTCCTGTTTCTCCTATTGTGTCTATCAGGTCGTGAACCGTTCCTTTGGGGCGGCGTTAGTGATGGGCTAGTTCGAGTGGATGTGCTGCCACCAATTGCCAGGGACATGACTTTCAAGATTGCGGCATATTTTGCCCAGAGTCTTCGTATAGAAGAGGTGGCTAGCATTGACATGCAGAGAGAGGGGCATATCGTGGCATGAGAATGGCTCGATGGATGGCGTGATGATCTCTCTCACCCCCAGGACCCGGAGATTTGGTTCGCGAGGGGCTAACGCTGGTCTATTGATTTTCCACCACCATCCCGTCAATCACCCATTGCGCGCCGGATGGCCAGAACATTAGAAATGTATGACAGGAACAATGAAAGAGAAACGTAGACGAAGGCAGTGGGAAACAACGGCCCATTGTAGACAATACACAATAGTACCCATTCTCTTTGTCGCTTACGATTACTCGTCGGCTATCTCAGCCAAGAATAGATCTGTACATATCTGGGTAGTCACTGGCAGTTGAGTAGATAGATGTCGACATTAACTCGTTCCCAGGACAATGGAATGATCCACACTACCCGAAAGCCCTATCGCACCATGTTCCTCGGAAATGCCACGAACTACTCACCAGCGGCTCAGGCTTGGCTGGGTGCAAGATCGCGTAGACTACTGACGCCAGAAAGTCTATTGAAGATAGATCGCAGCAGTCGCCAAGTTTGACCTTGATTATAGTAGTATTGGACCGACGAGGACGGCCATTGGAAGAGCCGGCGCAAACTATTGTTTGCAGGGGTCGACGACAGCTGACCTGCGAGCTGTCCAGTCAGTAGCATTTCAGAGCAGCCAGAAGCCATAGCCTCCGCCAAGCGTACAGCTGGTCTTGTCACCCCCAGGCAACAGACGAACTCACATCGTGACCTCGAGTCATGTCTAAGACAGAATACGAGAAACGACTGAGAGATTGAATCTGGACCGGACAAAGAGGGCAGTGAGGCTCCCCCGAAAGATCGCATCAATGCTTATTCGAAATAGAGGCCATTTCATTCGCTCTCTGGATATCCATTCTCAACCCCCTACCTGTCGTTTTTCCATGAGGTTCTCTGATTCCATGCAGTCGCCTTGCTCTCGCCCCCATCTCGCACCGGGGTTCACGCTAGACCGCGGCCCGCGTGCCGTCGGTCCTAATTTCTCTGTTGATGACCAGGTGGCTGAGTTTGCGTGTGATCGCTACGATGTGACCAAAATAGGAGTGGATTGACTGAAAAGTGGGGACTTCTCGAAGCTAAGTCCATCGTGCGGCATGGCTATTTTCCCTTGCTGGGGGCGGCAGCTGCTAACTGTTAGCTGCTGGTGGCCCGACCTAGCACAGGTAGCTCCTGTCAAGATGATGAACCGAACGAGTAAGGCCGACGACGACGGGTGGGTGTGTGTGTGTGTGTGCGTATGTGTAGATTCTCAAACTTGATCCGAGGTTGCGCTAGATGGGATTAGGCATGTAGAGATCGCCCCGTTCTTGGGCTGATGACCACCAGACGGATTGGAACCTGCTGGGCGACGGGAGATTTCTGACATATAAGAGCGCTGTCATTGGCGAGCCGGGGGAACCGAGGGTATAAATGTTGGGAGCGTCATAAGTGCCAGTGCGGTAGGAGAATAATATGGAGAATTCGTTTGTTTTTTGCTACTCGTAGGGGTGCTTCAGTTTGCAAGTCGGTCAGAAGCGCAGTCGGCGTTGAGAGGTGGGTGGGCGGGAGGGGAGGCGAGAGGAGGATGGAAAATTAAATGGGGATTATTCTTTTTCAGGCTGTTCGTCCACGAACCAACGGTGGCTGGACCATGCTTATGCAGACTGGCCTTGTTATAACGTGTGCTGTTATAGGCCCAGCCTCGGGGACCTGCTCTAGACTCTCGGGCGTCAAAGCTCGTCGTCGTCTACAAAACCAACGACCGCCCAAAGACGACAATTACGTCGGATCGACCAGGGGGGGAGAGGGTAAGATTTTGGCCCACTTCTGGCCTCCGCGCTCCACCCTCCTCCGAGGTCAGAAAAATGATTGGGTTGATGGTACTGCACCAAGAGGTCAAAGATTGAAGCTGTGACTGCATGCCAGCCAATCCGGAGGGGATCATCGACTTGCTCGGGATACCTGCTCTTCTGGTACACGAGGTCAGGTGGATCGGCCTGTTTAGTCTGGAGGCGTCATCCGCACGAAGCGCCAGGCACGATGGATGCAGTGCAGGACGTTGACAAGTTGGAGATGTTGTCGGCTAAATGGAGTTATTTTCTTTGTTTCCTTTTTTCCTCCCCTTTCATCTTCATATTTCTTTTGATACCCCCCACCAGGAACACGAAAGCCATGCGCGACCGGTAGAACGAACCTGCATCGAAGCTAGGGCTAGCCGTAGTATACTTCGGCACCAACCGATGGTTCATCTCCACACCAAACGCGATGGGCGGGAACAACCTTCATGGTGTAGAGTGGTTGCGAGACAAAGACCCTCCAGGATATTCGGCAGGGATGACGGGTACAACTGCACTGGCAGCGGGGGCTTAGCTACCCTAAGGTACCTTAGGCAGTCCCCCTTCGTGCGCGAGGTTTTATACCCCGCGGAGCACGTTGCAGGGACAGGATTGAGCAAGCACATCTGCGACAAATTCCAGCGGCGCATGATTGGATCCCGCAGTTTAGGGTCAGATCATTGTCGACTGTGCCGGGCGATCTCCGCGGCGTAAATTGGCTTAATTTGCCCTCTGCCATGGCACGGGTTGGCAGGGCTCCATCGGATTGCATAAGGTCGTTTGACCAGGCAGGCTAGTTCGACTTCAGGACCTCAGAGTGGATAACGAGCCAGCAACCAAGCCACTCGAGCCCCGTGCGCCCGCGGATTCCGGTACCTGGGCTTCAAGGAGACTAGGAAGGCAACTAGCAAGGATCGCTGCTGAAACTCTGGCGGATTGCCCCAGGGGGGGCAGCCGTGGTCTCAGCTGATGCCGGTGGAAAATGCTAAAAGGCTCTGCGATGGCGGGCCCCTCCGATCATACGAGAGCATGAAAGGCCATTAACTCCAGACTGTCTCGACGGGGGTTAGCCCATTTCCTTGTTGGGCGGCCGGCAGATCCCTGGGGGTTGCAGCTCCTCGCCACATTCCATTCTTGTTGAGTCTTGCTGTCTCGTGCGCGCTCCAAGGCCGGGGCTTTAGGGTTGGGAAACTTGGGTGGCTTGGGCCCTGCGCGGAGGGGGAACTGCGGGCTGGACGTGAATCCGTGATGTCCGTGGACCGGCGGACGAACCTGGGGGAAACCATCGAGTGACAAGCTGCTGATTTGGGCGAGCACAGCGACAGACCGGAGGTGAAACCCGCAGGAAGGAATACGTATGTCCGATCCTGGTCGATTCCCTGCAGCGGATGTCCGTGCTGCTAGAAGATCTGGCCCACTTACCCCAGATTGTCCGCCGTCGTACAAGGCCCCGAGTTGCGTAACAGATTGGAATGTGGACGGAGCGGGTGGCAGGGGTCCATGAAAGGTGCAGGAGCTTTGGCCGAGACGAGGCCCTGGGGAAGACGCGGGTCGAGTCGTCGCCGTGGCAGTATACCTTGGGGCAAGCAGTGTAGGAGGGCCAGCATCGGGTAAGGAGAGATGATCTTTAATTTGGATTGGCGCTGTTCGCTTTCCGGTCCCGTGAAACCTGCCGCGCTTTCCCTCGATGAAAAGGGAAGGGCGATGGCCGCTGTCCAACCAACCAAGTTAGTAACCTAAACTCGTGTGGGGGTATGCTTTCTTTTCCGGCTGTACGATTTACCCTGCAAGTGCGATGTGAATCCATGAGGGAGTCAGTATTATAGACCAACGGGAACAATGAGGTCTTACCTCACTGGGCAGGACTTCGGGTCGCAGAGCAATAGGAAGGCCTGCCGGTGGGGACTAGCGCCGAAGGAAACTCCAGCGTTAACTGGTAAATTCGGAATAGTGACCTCGTCGAAAGTACCTGGGTGGAATCGCTGCCCTCAGGATTGCCTGTTTCCACCCGAACCCGCGAGAAAATCCGAATGGGATGGAAATCATACGGAATAATCTGGCCACGCTGTTCCAAACCCTCCCATCCGATTCATTATGCGATGTCTACCTAGGTACAGAGGTATACGGTCCAGGATGTTTAATACCCAGGTGACTATAGCCGCCTTCCTTCCCGAGCGTGGGCCGATGCTAGACAAAATGTGGAGCGAGGTTCATGAACAGGCAACCCCCAGTTGTGGCATGAGAGATCCAAAAAAAAAAGAAAAAGGAAAACAATCAAATCTAAGGAAAATATTGCTTTTTCTTTTTCCCTGTCCCCATTTTTCCTCGCTTCTTCACTGCAAATCAGGTCGTCCGATCCAACATGCCGGGCAGCCTCCCCCGCATGCAAAGTTAAACTCTTATAGCGAGGACAATTCGTATGACCTCAGCCTTTCCATTACGAATTTCCATATGTTGCGCAAATGCTGCCTTGAATTTCTTCGCCGGTTTCCCCCTCCCCACCCCATATGATCATCCACCTAATCTGCATCCCACCTGTACACTACATAACCGCCTCTTTACCCCCCCCCCCGCCGCCCCAATTTTATACCCGGCGACCGAATTCCCTCCCCTCTCATCAGCAGAAGCACCTGGCTCACTCGTTCCCCCTCCCCCTTTGGTGCCTATCCCTTTCTCTCTCCCCTTCCGTTCTTCCTCCGGACGGCGCCAGGTTCAATGTTGTCCATGCAGAATTCTCCGCTATTCGCACACCCTGATTTAACCGGACCGGGCTTGCAGGACGAGGGCTGCTCCGGAGGCCCGAATATCCCCGCCGTGCCCGCTGGCTTTTCCGGCATCAGGGCCAGCATATCTAGCACCAGCACCGGCGCGAGTCCCGATGATACCTCGACCGATTCACCAGACTGGCAGCGCGGGTTGGACAGGTCGCCGCCAGCGGATCTGGATGCGCCCGTGAATGTAGTTAGCAGATCACCCGACGTCTACGACCCCCGCGCGCACGACCAAGACATGGACGACGGACTGCCCAAGGTGGAGGAGTTGGACGACGAGGACATCCAGAGCATCAAGCCGTCCGAGGTGGGGAATCAACAGAACGCGGGCGCTCCCGCCGCCGTTCCACGGAAACGTGGACGCCCTCGCAAACACCCGCTGCCTGCACCGGGGAACCAGGCCAAGGTCACCAAGGGCCGGTCCAAGACGGGCTGCATCACCTGTCGCCGCCGCAAGAAGAAATGCGACGAGACCAAGCCAGCGTAAGTCATCAGAAACCACCCTTCCCCCCCCAAGAATGTGCCGTGGAGACAACTTCGACGGGACTAACCCACCGGTCTTTCTCAGATGTCTGAACTGCCAGAAGAATGCCGTGGTCTGTGAAGGTTACCCGCCGAAGGAGATCTGGAAGAGCGGGAGACAGAAGATGGCGGACGGTACGTGATCAACCGGAGAAATTTGGATTCGGGCGTGACCTGGACCGGGCGCGCAATCAGACCAGGTGAACTGACCATCCTGCCCTCGCAGCCGTCCTCACCCACTCCCTCGCAACCGTCCCGCGCAACCTCCCCCTCCTCATCGACGGAATCGAAACCGATATCGACCGCCGTTTCCTCGATCACTTCGTGTACGGCTTCAGCCGCGTCCTGACCCTCATCAACGATGATTCGAACCCGTTCAAAGAGATCCTTCTCCCGATGGCGACCCAACACCGGGGGTTGATGCACTCGCTGATGTGTTTGTCGGGATCGCACCTGTCAGGACTCGATCCGGAACCGAAGTTGAAGGAGCGCAAATACTACCATTTCCACCGGGCGATTCAGGACCTGAAGGACAATATCACGGCTTCATCCGCGCAGGGAGATGACCAAGAGCAGCAACTCCTGGTCGAGGATCCGATCATCGCTTCGACCATTGCGCTCAGTCTGAATACGATCTGCGAAGGCGAAACGAACGGTGAATACCGACCGCACATGGATGCCGCTCGGTACCTGCTCGTCTCGCAGCAGCCGCGGAACGAAAAGTTTCGCCAGTTTATCGTCGAGTTCTTCCAGTACCACGATATCTCGAACGCTCTCACATCTTTGGACCGTCGTCCTTCTCTTCTTCCCTCCGGACTGCGGCTGCCTGATTTCGTACCGGGTGCGCAGGCAGGTATGTTTCTTGGGGTCTTCGATGGTCTATTCAACCATATCTCGGAGATCACTCAGCTGCGGGACCGTATCCGGCAACGCTTCAACGAGGGATACGAACCGGCAGTGGACTACCAGACACTGAGTGAGGCAGTCCAGATCGACACCGCGATCCGGACCTGGAAAACTTCGCACGAAGAAGATACCCCGAATTGGTTGCTGGCTCAACTCTACAGGCAGTCTACATGGGTCTATCTCTACCGCACTATCCGACCCTCGCGGCCTAGCGACAAGATCGCTCAAGTTGTGGATGACGGCCTGTCTTATTTGGACCGCTTGCCGCAGGATGCGGGTGCATATAGCATTGTCCTGATGCCGCTGTTCCTTCTGGGTTGCTCAGCATTTGTGCCGGCGCAGCGCGAGCGTATCCAGAAAGGATTCGAGTCTCTTCAGGCCTATTCGAACCTACGCAACATCGAACCGGCTTTCAAGGTGGTGACGCGTGTCTGGGAGATCATGGACACTCAAATCGAGGACAGCTGGGATTGGGAGAAGATCATCCGTGACATGAACATGGATTTTCTCATCACCTGAACCTACTTCCCTTTATTGTTTTACCTTCTCTCTCTCCGGAGTACCTCTTGATTGATACCCTTTTTTTGACCCTTCAATTCTCATACCTCTCTTTTTTTCTCCTGTTTGTCTCTTCAATGTCTCACATTCCACATGATGATATTTCCTTCTGGGAAGCTGTACTATGTTATGTGGCGTTTTTTCCTGTTATTTTGGGTCCGCATCTGCATTTGGCGGAAAGGGACCGGCCTGTTCGTATTGCATGCTGACTGGCGAGTGTGACTGGCGTGTGAGTTGTCCCCCAGATCCCGCAGCAAGGGTGTCTGGGGGTCCTGGCGGAGGACCGGGGGAAAGGCGGGGAGGGGGACCGAGAGTCCACCCCGGTCGATCCACTCCTCTTCCGGGGCCATGATAGTGTACAGCTGGACACTTTGTGTGCTGTACCGGCACTGCGCGGGGCATGCACGAATTGCAGAGCCTAAAAAATCGAGGGTGTTTTGTCCATGGCGGGTGTTTTGATCAGCAGAGCACATATTGATGACGACAGGGCGTTGGCCTTTTTTTGATTATCTGGATGGCGAATGTTTTGGGTCTCTTGGATTGGCTGACGCTGTATATGTCCATATTGAGTCTGTATTTACATTTTACCTCTGCTCATGTGAAATGTGATGTGTATACTAAACGAATCTTTGAAAAGAACGAGTAAACATTGAGGGGCGAATTGTATCGTTGGTAATTCCAATTCCAAAATGAGATGAGTCACCAGGAATGTTACCTACTCAGAATCTGCCAACGACGGGATAACGCCCCACAAGATTTATTGGTCTAGATGATGTTCTTGGCGATAGGATCGTGAACTAACCCTCTCGGCCCACGGGTGGATGTGTCGTCCTAGCATAACGCAAGGAAAGGCTCGTCGACGTCCAAACTGGTTTCACCACGTTCAAGATTCCGTGACTGGATGAGACTCTTTACGTCTAATTTAGGTCAAGCACTGCACAATAAAACTTAACAGAGCATTGCGAAATGAAACCCGGGGGGGGGGGTTTACTCCGCAATAACCCGCACAATAACCTGGCACAATTGTACCTCGTGACCCTCTCGTGACCCTTTCAAGAAATGCTGGCCCAGCCAACATGCCAAAGCTACTCACCGAACACTTGGCAGTGCTACTTTCTAAAGCAATGGCAAAGGTACTGAAAGGTATTCTGAACCGTAATCACCCAGCGTCGAGTTGGTGCATTGTAACCCAATTTGCGCTCCAACGCCGTTTCAGTCCAAGATGTGCCCACATTGTCAGCACATCGTATCCGGTGGCGCTTTCCATGATGCAGCGACAAATTCCAATGTTCCGTAGCAAATAAATTGCCTACACGCCCTTCTTAAGATTGGTTCCTTTGGTAATGTCTCACTACGCTGATCATTTTCGGCCTGATCGTGACGCTGCGGGCCTCTGACCTAGCTTCAAGGTCTAGAAACAATACGTGGAGAATGGTTGTTTTCCTGTAAATCTACTGCATTATGTTTGCGCTTTCAGATTGTTAATTTTTCGAGTTGATCGCGAGCAGATCCTGATAATTTGTCCCGGCTTTCAAGATATTGCAACAGTTCCACAAGTTTTCTATTTGGCCCATATGTCGGTGCTTGATTGGCATCCTAGTCTGAATTACTAGTACTTCCTAGAATCTACTGGAATACCTTCCTGGACTAGAAACCGCGAAATTTTACAATGAGAGCGCAGACTCTGTGCCATTGCCGTTTCAGCTTTTCACGATGCAGCGGCGGATCCCTCCAGGGCAGCAAGGGCTGTCTGCATGTCGGTGTCGGTGTTCGTTACGATACGCACAGTAGTCGAAGATAATTACAGACCTTGAACGGGGAAATACTCATGAAAGGAGAAAGAAGACTAAGTTGGTATGGCCGGTTTAAAAATAAAGGCTAGACAGTAGGAATAGAGACCTCTTTAAATATCGGAATGATTTCCTACCACGTCTTTGCTCTCACATTTGGTATCGCAGGATCGGTCACAATATATCCAGGGCTAAAATCTATCAGCCAAAACTTCGTAAAGCAATATTTATGATGGAGAAGGAACCTACTCTGCAACGACCTGATTCTCCAACCATTTGCCATGAGTTTTGAATCCTTCTGTCCCAGCACGAAGAAGAGTCTTGCGCCTCTCCTCGACTGTCCTCGCAATCAAGGCTTGTACCAGCTTAAATATCCACGGTACCTCTGCCCTAGTCAGAAGATCTGACTTGCAAAAGCCCGGGAGCCACAGCATTCACTACCACCAAAGGAATCCCGTACTCATCTCTCGGCAACAGTTGAGCCAGTTCCATTGCGATGAAGATGTCCATCAGCTTTGTGGCACCGTAGCGCTCGGTCACACTTTGCGATCGCTCCCATTGGTCGAATTTGTTGAGAGTACGAAGAATGCGATCCTCATATCGCTCGGGGAATTTGATCGACTTGTGGATGTCACTCGTAAGAACGACCAAATGAGGTTGGGCTAGAGGTGCTTCTGCTTCGTTCGCAGGAGTAGTGGCAGCAAGTACAAGCTGAGCAACGCAGTGGAAAGCACATTGACTTGGAGGCTCTTATCCCAGCCATCGTGGGTAAGAAGGCCGTCGACGCGATTCCAGCGTTCATGATGGCCATGCCCAGCCAGGCTCCCTCGAAAACGTGCTTCCACACTCTGTCGGCGAAGGTCTTGATGCTAGCAGACGACTCGAGGTCAATGGGCCAGACGAATACCTTTTGGTCGCGGGTGGAGTGAGTGGTCGACTCAATATCTGATTTGGCCGCTTCACCTTTGGAGAACGAGTGAACTCCTAGAATGACGGTGGAAGCACCCAAGGCGAGCGTGTGTCGCGAGGCCTCTCGGCCGAGGCCGGGGATAGCCCCAGTAACCAGGACATTTCTTCTTTTGATGGATGAGGGCAGGGTAGAGTCATCCTGGTGAAAATTAAACCGTGTAGCCAACTCATACTTTTCTACCATGTTCTTCGATTTTTCGCCTTCCGTGAATATTTGACTGGAGCTCGGCTTCATCGGACGGGAGATAGCAACCCGGCATCGTGGACAGGTTGGTGAGAATGTGATGTGATGTCCCAGTGTGTCTACAAACTATGCGATATGTGCTAATAGCTGCCCTAAATTATAAGTTTAGGGAGTATTCAGTCAGTATCGTGACATTCCCTGGCCAGAAGCAGTATCTGGTTGATGTTGGATGCGGCGGGAATGTCCTAAACTCCCCCTACCTCTCATTCCGGAATCGGTCGTCCGCAATATCGGAACTCAAGACCTGCAACCCATTTACAACAAGAACTCAGACGTCACTGAGCAACAGCAAGGTCGATGGATTTATCAATACCGAAACGCCGAGGGTTAACCGCGGTCGACGGCATACACATTCACCGAGATCGAGTTTACATTGAAAGACTTTGAAATCATGAACTTTTTTACTAATTTGAGCCCGGAATAGTTCTTAGCAAAAAGAATTTTGGTGTTCAAATTTCTTGTTGAAGTTGGCAAGATCATGGGTAAAGTTATCATGAACCAAGACCGGGTCAAAAGGAACACGGGCGAGAAGAACCTACTGGTCCAAACATGTCGAATCGAAGAGGAGAGGTTAAGGGCATTGGAAGAGGTGCTTCAATTGGAGAGGAGGTCAATGGGATCAGAGGGAGAGTGTCGTCGTTGGATATGGTGTCTTGACGATGGCCTGGGGATCCTGTCCTTCGTGGCAACAACTAGTCACCATCTGAACTAAATGGGATCAGCATTTACCTCTAAAACTTTCAAATTTTTAGACGAGAACGATTTTATTTGACCAGAAGAAATTGGCTTCGATTTAACAGGAGTCTCTTAAGATGATATGGCGAGTACATGGGAAACATGACATCATCGCAACACTGATAAGTGGCTCGGGGGCTATTAGTCCGAGAACGACATAGGCTCAGATTTCTTAAGACACAGTAATCGCCCCTGCTGAAGATCTCTCCGTGACCAAAGGAAACAGAAATCACAACATTTGTCTGTAGAGCTGACCATCGTGCGATTTAAAGTAGCTGTTCCTTTTCTGTACAGCGGCGGCCATCAATCCGATCATAACCCCGCGCGGAGTTACCCCGATTATTTGACCCCCGCGCTGTCCGACCTCGGTCAGTGATATCCCGCTCCCCCACGCTTCCCAGCGTTACTCTCGACTGTCATTTCTTAATCTCGTCACTCGAAACAAATTCCATCGCGACGTATATTTGAACAAAACTTTCCAAGTCGCGCTCCGCTGTCGAAAATGCCCTTCAACACTCCTATCCAGACCACCCTCAATGGTCCCTCTGTCGCGTTCGGTTTCTGGCTCACGTATGTTTGAGTAACGACTATCGTGGAAGCTCGATCCTAGCTCGGCGACTTCATGGCGTCAGTCACCTCTCGAATCGATGGCTAATCAACAATTCTTCCTGCAGGCTTCCAAGCGCCGCTGTCGCAAAGACTATTGTCCACGGTTCATCCGGGTCTTCGACTAAGTTCAGCTGGATCTTGGTTGACGCTGAACATGGCCTGATTTCTGACAACCACTACTATGAGGTTGGTCTCCGCTAGACTCGAATCCCAGCTTCGAAAGATCGCGACTAACGAAGTTGCAGCTGAACAACGCCATCGGCTCCGAAGGCGTCAGCCCTATTATCCGGATTCCATTCGCCCAGGAGTGGATGGTTAAGCGTGCCCTCGATGCTGGTGCTCACGGAATCATGACCCCTATGTGCCATACAGCGGTGCGTACTCCAAGAACAGACAGAAGAGCTCAAATGCTCGTCCTAACCGGGAGTTTGGTGACTAATTATGGCTTTGGTCTTTCTAGGAGGAAGCTGCCAACATTGTCAAGTGGACTCGCTACCCACCCGTTGGAACCCGTGGCTACGGACCCATGTTTGCGCCTCACTCGTTTGCCGGAGTTGACCCCGGTGCTGACCACGATGACGGTGCGAACGACGGCTTGACCGTTGCTGTGCAGATCGAGTCTCAGTCGGGAGTTGACAATGTTGAGAAGATCGCGGCCGTTGATGGAATTGACGTTCTCTTCATCGGACCTTTCGATCTTGCTAAGCAGACTGGTGTCACTCGTGGGGGCGAAGAGCACGAAGCTATTATTCAGCGCATCCTGAAGGCGGCCCACGGAGCTGGCAAGAAGGCCGCTATCTTCTGTGGGTTCCAAACAGTTCCTTATATCTGGCTTGGGCATTGATCGCTGACTTTGTTTCAAATAGGTACCGATGGAAACGACTCACGCAACCGCGCTCAACAAGGGTTCGACATGATCTCTGTCAACACCGATGTTGGTGTTATCCGTACAGGCATGCTGAATGAGCTGAAAGTTGCGAATGGAGAGAGCGTGCAGCGCGGCCCTGGGGGCTACTAGTCGCGTTACGAACTAAAATAACTCCACTGAGTGAGATAAAAGATCTATGTAAATATTCAGCTAACGTGCAAAATTCATATTCCAGGCGATCAAATGCCAGCACCATACATACCCTACAATTAGGTACTACTGTATATACTTGGGAGTACTGTACCCTAGAGTAGGATGCAAGATGACCTGTCACTGCGTCAAAATCTCTCCTCGTCTATGGGGGCTTGTCGATCCCCCTTTGGATCTTCCGTGATCTGCAGAGGATCAGAAGCATCCATCCCAAGAGATGCTTCAAGTTTTCTAGAACTGCCCGATTAGGAAAGGGCGCCTCCTCGCTTAGACGCAAGGCGCCACGTGTGCTGAGTCATCCGGAATGTACCCAGGCCGAGCCAATGAGGCTTCCGCATGGCCTGCGCGACGCCGACGGGGTGGGGCTTCGTTCTCGCCTTCGTACTCGAAAAGGTGGTCGGTCCGGGGTGAGGTGGAGTCGAGAGCCTAGGGAGTTAAGACCCTCGCGGATTTTGCTTGTTGCAGAATGGCCTTCACATGGCGACGAGAAGTGGTGAGAGGCCGACATACAGCGAGGGAAGCAAGGCCAAGGTTATCCCGAGCTCTCTTTTGGATCAAACAGCGCAACCGACCATCGTTTGACATCATTTCTTCGACTCAGTGAGCTCACTGCAAGCCTCTTGACTTATTCTCCGACTTCAACCTGAACGCAACAATTCTGCGAGAGATGGTCAAATTTGGAAACACCAAGCGACTGAGAATCTTTCAACCTACTATTCACGACTCGTGAGCTCATGATGGAAAAAAAGGATCCCATTACGGAATTGAGCGAGCAAAAGGCCACAACTCTCGATGCAGTCCTTCTGGACTCGACATATAACCTGTCCCTGCGAGCAGTCGAGCCCGTCGATGTGAAAGTCGACGGTCTGTCCCTCGACATCGATACATCTCCATCAATATGGAAGAGATCTCCTGTCCAGTTTTGGCGCGGCCTCCGCGGCCAGAAACTCGATAGCCATTCGAAAACTGTCCTCCAAGACGTGGGGGCTGATATGCCGAGTGGCAGTTTGACCGCAATCATCGGCAGTAGTGGATCAGGCAAAACGTCTCTGCTGAACCTGATGGCCAATCGAATGTCTCTCTCTCGAGCCAAAGTTACGGGAACGACCACCTTCAACGGCGACACAGATATCGAAAGCGTTCGCAGCGCCTATGTCATGCAGGAGGACGTCCTGATACCGACGTTGACTGTTCGTGAAACTCTCCGATATTCGGCAGATCTTCGATTGCCGCCTCCCATCACCCAAAAAGAACGATATGCTATCGTCGAGCAGGCAATTCTTGAACTAGGGCTGAAGGAGTGTGCCGACACGCGTATCGGAACAACAGCCCATAAAGGATGCAGCGGTGGCGAGAAGCGACGGACTAGTATCGGCGTGCAGCTGCTTGCAAACCCGTCTGTGTTGTTTTGTGATGAACCAACGACAGGCCTCGACGCAACCAGTGCTTTCCAAATCATCCGGACGTTAAAACGACTAGCACGAGATGGCCGAACGGTGATAATCTCGATACATGCACCTCGATCAGAAATATGGAGCCTCTTCGACAATGTAATTCTGTTGGCGAGAGGCTCGCCACTGTACAGTGGTCCCGTGGACGCGTCAATATCCCATTTCGAGCAATGTGGCCACGGTCTTCCCCCGTTCGTGAACCCTGCCGAGTTTCTCATCGATCTCGCTGCTATCGATAACCGCAGTGAAACTCTGGAAGCTGCGTCGTATGTTCGAGTAGATCAGCTGCGAGAGATGTGGCGATCGAAAACAGCAAAGGAGGAAGCTGCCGAGAAGAACCTCAGCGTGCCGGCAGCAGGCCGAGGGGAGAAAAGAGGCATGCAAAAAGTCTCGTTCCGTCGACAGTTTGATGTGTTGACATCGCGGACTTTCGTCACCACGATTCGTGATCCAATGGGCTTGGCCGGCAGCTTGCTTGAGGCAGTTGGTATGGCTGTGATAAATGGATGGATCTTTTTACAGCTCGACGAAAGCCAAGCAGGTATCCGTTCCCGACAAGGTAGCCTGTATACCGCCAGCAGTCTGAATGGGTATCTTATTCTCTTGTATGAGACCTACCGGCTGACAATCGACATTCGCCTTTTCGATCGAGAGCGCAATGAAGGCGTCGTTGGGGTTCCTGCTTTCCTGCTCAGCCGCCGCGTTGCACGGTTTCCGCTTGAAGATTTGCCAGTGCCGCTGCTGTTTGCCGTCATCTTCTACTTCATGGTTGGTTACCGAATTGACGCCGCACAGTTTTTCATCTTCTTTGTTTTGACGTTGTTGACGGTAAGGTTTCCTGTCTATGGTGTTTCCCGGTCCCAAATACTGATTTCGACCAGCACTATACGGCCGTCACATTTGCTGCCGTATCAATTGGCATTGCACGAAATTTCTCTGGAGCTAGCCTCGTGGGCAATCTGTGCTTCACGCTACAATCCTTCACATGCGGATTCTTTGTCCAATCGCAGCAGATACCAGTCTACACGAGGTGGCTCAAATGGTGCGCCTACACCTTTTACATATTCGGAGCCTTGAGTGCAAATGAATTCATCGGACCCGAAGGATCAGAGCTCGGTCAATTCTATGACTGCCCGTATTCCGATAACCCTCTGAGCCCAGAGTGCAAGGAATACACTGGACGATACATCATGGAAAGTCTAGGTCTACCGTCCAATTGGATTTGGCGACCTATTGTGGTGCTCGTGGCATTTACCATTGGGCATTCCATCGCAGCCGCTCTGCTGTTGCAGTACAATCGTTTCGCCATCGATATCGCCCAGGCTCGTCAGTCGGAGTCAGATCCATCTGCAGGAAAGGCGAAAATTGCGATTCGTCCTGCGGAGGAGGTGCGGCGGGTGGCCATATCGCTGGATAAGTATGCTCTGGAGGTACGAAAGCGACGGCTGCCATGGAAAGAATCATTCAAGCTCCAGATCCTGCGACCCATTACCGCCGAGTTCCAACCAGGCCAGCTGAATATCATTATGGGACCATCTGGCAGCGGGAAGACATCGTTACTGAATTCGATGGCCTGTCGACTTCACGGCTCTACGGGAACACAGTACCGTGTGCACGGGCAGATGCTGTACAATGGAGCGGAGCCATCTGAAAGCGTAATTCGCTCAGTAACATCATTCGTGACACAGGACGACGATGCCCTGATGCCATCCTTGACCGTCCGTGAGAGTCTCCGTTTTGCAGCTGGGCTGCGACTACCGACATGGATGTCTCGCGAAGAGAAGTATCACAGGGCTGAGGAGATTCTCTACAAGATGGGACTCAAAGAATGTGCTGATAACCTAATTGGTAGCGATCTGATCAAGGGGATCAGTGGTGGTGAAAAGCGTCGCGTCACCATTGCAATCCAGATCCTCACTGACCCAAAGGTGCTTCTGTTGGACGAGCCAACGTCGGGTCTCGACGCTTTCACGGCAATGTCCATCATCGAAGTTCTTCAAGCTCTCGCAGCTGAAGGCCGTACGCTGGTAATGACGATTCACCAGTCACGCTCAAGTCTTTTCGATAATTTCTCGCAAGTCTTGCTCTTGGCTCGCGGTGGATATCCTGTCTATGCCGGTCCAGGGCAGGAGATGTTGGCACATTTCGCAGCCGCTGGTCATGAATGTCCGCGCACAACCAATCCAGCTGACTTCGTTTTGGATCTGATCACTGTCGACCTCCAACAGGAAGATCGCGAGATCATGACCCGCGAGCGCGTGAGAAAGCTGATTGCTAGCTGGGCCGATGCAACTCTTCAACTGGGGCGAGCGGCTTCCAAGATTGCAACTCCGGCAGAGCTGGGCAGTCTTCGTCGTCAGATGCTGCCATTCCACATTACCTTCCCCCTTGTACTGTATCGGTCATTCCTCAATTTCTGGCGGCAGCCGCCCTTGGTGATGGCGCGGTCTATGCAGATTGTCGGAATAGCGATTATCATGGCGCTATTTTTTGCACCATTGAAGAATGACTATCCTTCTGTTCAATCACGAATGGGGTTTATTCAGGAATTTGCGGCCTTGTACTTTGTCGGTAAGTGACACCAACCCATTTCCGTGACAGGCTTGAAATGCATGCTAACTATGAAATAGGCATGCTCCAAAACATCGCCATCTATCCGAACGAGCGCGATGTCTTCTATCGAGAAGAAGCCGACAACTGCTATTCAGCAGAGACTTTCATCCTCTCCTATACCACCATAGAAGTGCCCTTCGAGATCGCCTCGGCCCTGCTGTTCGGCGTGCTAGCTGCATACGCAGACAACCTCAAGCGCAGTGTGCAAATGTTCCTCATTAGCTCCTTCAACTGCTTTTGCATCATCAGCTGTGGCGAGTCGGTGGGAATCATGTTCTGCACTCTCTTCTCGCACGTCGGGTTTGCCGTTAACGTAACATCGATCTTACTTTCCATTTCGACGATTCTCGGCGGCGTCATGAGTTTGAATGTGAACGATGTCCTGCAAGGAATCAACCATCTTTCTCCGATCAAATACGCCATTGCCAACCTGGCCCCGTACTCTTTGCATGGGCAGCAATTCTACTGTTCTGCTTCACAACGGCTGGCGAATGGGAAGTGTCCTATTGAAACAGGTGATCAAATCTTGGATCTTTATAACCTGAACAAGTCAGGCCCGATGAATATCATGGCCTTGGGCGTATGCACCATCATCTACCGGTTTGTGGCATATGCGTTTCTCCGGGCGATGCGATCACACCGGTTGATGGAGCGCTGGCGTGAATGGCGACGGGTTCGACGAGCGAACAGCACCTGACCAGGAAATGGATTCCGTTTTCGGAGCTTGGACTGTAGATATTCGTGATTATTTACCTACTGCCTAAAGCCATACCCGGTCGTCTTCCGAGTATCTATCTGGCCACCTACCTAGTCCTCTATCCAGTTCCCTTGAGACCAGCCGCCTCGCCTACTCCATGCAGTAATCTACACTGATACATACCCTACCCTACAAATTGGTACCTTACAATGGTAAAGTCTAGATCCAGTGTATGGTCGATGACTAATGATGAATGTGATGGTCCCCGGCAAAGAGAAGTCTATCCAGCCAAGCCCGTCTCCGTCTTCTTCCTCTTTGTGACGACAGTCGAGCATCCAGAGAACCCAGAATATCACAGCCACGCCTTGAGCGGAAAAGTTCGCCGCCTCAAAAATGTCTTCATTTAGAGTTGCTTCTTGGGGCTTCTGGTCACCACGCTACAGCACTTAGGCGAAGCTTGGCGCCGTCAGGTTTGGGTCGAGTTGGGGTCAGTCTGTACATCTTCTCCTTGAATTTGAACCGCATTAATGAGTTGATGCTGCTCATTGTCTGATTGGCGCAGCACATTCTGGCTCAGCATTTGCCCGATAAGGCCACACTGCAGTGCGATTGGCCTGTTGCCTACCGGTTGACAATGCTGGAGCGGTTCACCCAAACTTGGGCAACATCCGACCCAGCAGCTGCCATCACATTCCCACCCGAACCACAGGAACCTCGCTAAATCCAACCAACGGGGTTTGCCATCACGGTGGGTAATGAGCAGTTGGCTTTGGTACCTTTTTTGCAGATTTTCATGTGCAATTTGGTTCCGGTGCGGGTGGGGATGTGGTGATTGCACATTCAGGAACGCAGCGCCTGCGACAGGGAAACCACCGGCTGTACCTGCATCTCCACCGAGTCAGCAAATCGACCAGTACACCACTAAGGTACTAGGATAGGGATGAACTCCGTCCCCCGTTACAATCACAGGTAACCGCCCAGTTCATGGCCGACCCCATCGCAAGCACCCTCCGTTCGCACCCTGAAACACAAACGGCGCGACCCGGAACTCCGATCATTCGTCTCATCATCTCAGCCTTGGTGGGCAGTGGAGCCTGCGACACGTACAACTGGAGTCGCCAACTCCAGCAATGCAACGGCCAGGGCCCAGGCTCGTCTTCCGACTGGCGGAGGACCTGCAGCCGGCGGCGAATCGCTAGCGCTGCATTTCCATCGCAATGGATAACTTCCCCACCCGCGGGCGTTTCGGTGTGCCTCTGGACGAATCGGAGGACGGGGGAATCTTGCATGAGTAGATTCCCTGTCCTAAAAGAAATGCGAGCGCTCATCTGAATGGAGGGTCCCTGCCCATCACTTGGTCTAGACTCTGCCCCTCCCCCCATCAGACCTGTCGACTTTGGATACAGCGAATTCAGATTTTTCTGGGCTGGCGGTTCCACTGTAACAACGCCAATCATGTGTGCTCTGGGCGTTTTTTTTTGACTTTGTGTTCCGAGTCGCTTTTTGTTTCTTTGTTTCGAGACGATCCCCCCCCCGTAGTTCAAAGAGCATGATTGCATTACGCGTGTCGAACAAAGAAATTTAGAAAAGAGGAAGGAGAAAATTATTGAGTGGAAAATTGTAGAAAATTTTTTTTTTTTTCGCGAATTCGTGGTAGTCATTCAACCTTCTATACTCAAGTCTATCTCCCCCTGTAAACTCCTGGAGCTCCCAGCTCCCATTCCTGGATATCCGGGGGTATTCATCATAAAAAACATCAAAAAAAAAAAATCATAAGTCTCGTGACAACGTCCTGCCCTCAAGGGGAGACATGTCGAATCAACCGAACATGTAAGAAACAAGGTCCAATCTTGTTGGTTGTGGGTGAAGAGAGCCACCAACTTGGGCGGAACGAAGAAGAAAAGAAAGGATCACATCCCCAACAATGGGGAAATGAGACGAAAGAGAAGGAACAAATAAGGACCCATAAAAGAGTGCGCGGGTCAACCGGCAGGGTAGAAGAAAGAAACAAAGAGCAAGCTCAGAAATCTAGATCGTCGAGTAAAATATAACATTTACTGACCGATCGTCAGAGCCAGACCGGTATCGATGGGGCAGCCGTGAGTGGCGTGGTCATCAGTGGGCTGGAGGTAGGCGGAAGCGCAGTTGGCGTCACCAGCCGTGCAGATGGCGCTAGGGCAGGAGTCGGAGGCGCCCTCAGAGGGGAGGACGGCGAAGCCGTACTTGGTGAACTCGGAGTCCGAACCCATGTTGATGCAGGACAGATCCCAGAAGATGGTGTCGATGGCCTGGGTGTACTCGAACTGGAGGACATCGGCCTGGCTGGGGTCGGTAGCGATCTTGATGGAGATACCGCCGCCGTTGGGGTTGATCTGCCAGGGCTCAGAGTAGGTGCCGCCGTTGGACTTGATGATCTGCATGGGGCCGACATCCTGAGAGACGGACCAGGCGTAGACGTCCTTGTCCAGGGTGTTGGTGATCAGGACGCTGCCGCTGGCGGGGACAGTGTCATTGCGCTTGACCATCATGCCGGAGGGCAGAGCGGATGCCATAGTGGCGAAGGCAGCGGCGATGCCGAGAGTCTTGGTGAACATCATTTTGAATGGTGATTTCAAGAGAAAGTCTAGACGGTGTGTTGTCTTGGATGTGCGTGTCTTGCAAAGACGTGTGCGGATGTATAAGACTTGGGGAAGTCAAGAGAAGGTCTGGTCGACAGACAAAAGAATGTGTCGAGATTTGACTCGAAAAGAGAGAAGGTAAGGATAGTAAATGAAGTTGATACTTCAAGGAAGGACTGTGATGATGAAACGAGACAGGAGGGTGCAGGAAGGGTCTCTTTATACCTTTTGGGAGGGGGTGTGTGGCTACCCTGTTCAGGTCCCCCGGATAGGTACCGATGCACCTCAACGTGGTGGAGCTAGCCACGCAGGGCCGGAACCATGGAATCAACGCCTGGAGACGAGTGGAGCCTGGTCGAAAAGGCAAAATAAGAGAAACGAAAAAGAAAGAAGTGGAGCAGACGGGCGGCGAATCATGACGGGTACCGACGAGGAGGGCCTGAAGTCGCATTGGAGCTGATGTTTCACTGCTGGTCGAGACCGGCGTCTACAGCTCGAATGGAGTCCAGGATCATCTCGACAGCAATGACCGCGTCGGAGAGGGATTGACATGGCGATTGTGCTCGTATTGGGGATTTTCTCTCAGCTCAACTGCAATAGACGTAAGGAATGCATTTGGAATGTTGAATGTGATGCGGTGTGCGGTCGAGCGAGGTGAATTGACGTGTCCGACGGGCTATCTACATAGTGCGTGGTGGGAAGTGCCCGCGTCGTGGCGGAAGTGTCTGCTCGACAACACCACCGGCGAACAGCCACACAGCCGCCTGGTGACGGCAGCGGCAAGAGTGGCAGCGGCCGTGGCAGTAGGCAGTCCTTCCCATGTCATCCGCTCCGTGGGCTCCCGCGGTTCTCCAAAAACGACCGAACGATAACCGCAGCGAACAGTCAGCAAAATGATTCAACGAAGGCAAGAACGAGCAAACTTTGCAGGCCCAACTCGGCGAACCGCCCTCCACGGCTGCTTGGGACGGCAGCTGTCATCGCAGCTCGCATAGCAGCACAGACTTCTGCAGTAGCACTCGCCCTCGCCCTCGCCCTCGCCGTTGCCAGGCACCATCCATGGACGATACCTCGCCTTCTGGCTAAAACGAGTGTTCCCAGGTACGAACCCTGAGGTTCATCAGGCGTCGAAGCGGCATTGTAGTTCTGGCCGGGTGCTGCCCGCTGCACTCGACGTGTCTGGTCCCACACCGGACGAGCGAGGGCTGTCCAGGCACGAGTCTTTCGCCTGAACACCGTGGACGGGGCCTACGGAGCACAGGGTAAAGGTACTGGAGACGTCCTGAGCACCTATCCACCCGGTTCCTGACCATCGCTGGTCCCTGCGAACCCACTCGCCGAAAAATCTCGTTCTCCATCCTCCGCCTCTGACGTTGCGGGTTCCTGAGGGACTTGTCGATCAAGTCTCGATCTCTTGGTCGGTGGCGATGCGCTTTTTTCATTCGACTTGGCCACCACTGTCAACGTGGATGCTGCTGACGAACAATTTCCATTACTATTCTTGCTGATGCTGGCTGGCAGTATACCACCTACCTCTTCAGTCCGTCGGTCGGATGGCCCATGCTCTCCTCTCAGGAACAGGAAACAGGAACCGCCCCGGCGCCCAATCGGGCAGGCTGGGCGCCGCTCCTTATTTTTTTTTCTTTTTTTCTTTTTTTTTTTTCTCTTGACCCCTTGTCCACCCAGACAACCGACCCTCAGGGAACCAGCAGGCTCTCCATCTGATGCCTCACTTTTTTTTTTTTTTTTTTTTAACTGTCTCTTCAGGTCATACAGACTCGCAGATACTAATCAGCATAATTCACGATCCGATCTCCCTTTAGTCCTGGGCTTAGCCCGCGTCCGTTCCGCGGCCGGTGGCTACCTTAACGGCCTGGTGGGCCGAGCTAGTCCCTAGTTCATCTTAGGGCTCACTCGCTTGATCGTGATGGAGAGTAAGGAGGGGCTCGAGAGGGACCCTCCCAGCCCAAGAGCCAAGGCACCTGGGCGATCTTCCAGAACACTCTGATGGTTCTAGACCGCGACGAAGTGCTGTACCTGCGTGCTAGCGTGGACGGTATCCAAGGACTGTCGAGTGTCCTCTGTGGATTGCGGAAGTCCTGCGGATATTGCATTGCGATGCGATACGAGCGACCGCAACGGTGTGGATTGTGCTCCTCCGGGTCTTTCCTATCCCTACCGCCACCGCTTTTCGGAGGCCCTTCAGACTCGACGTGGAGTGCAGGGAGTAGATCTCAGTCTGGGTTTCTGATCACATTGTGACTCATTGGGCATCTAAGTAGTTAGTCCGTACTGAGGCCTCGGTATCCGGCCGGAAGTTGCCATCTAGGGCATGGATTAGTGATTTTACGACGTGATTGAATGCCAACGAGGATATTTGCTAAAGTAATGGTATCGCGTAATATGCTCCGTTATTCGCTATTTGAGAGCATATACTCAGTTCATCTGCTACAAATCCGAGGGCTGGGAATGCACAGTAAGCGGGGGAAAGGAGCAATCATCATCCTGGCTCCCGGCGTGGAAGAGCTCTTACCCTGCTAGTGGTCATATGGTCTCCAATCTGTCTGGAATCATCACACAAGTGCAGTACTGCTAGGACAGTGATGCTCAATTATCAAAAACTATTTTGGTATACTGTGTACAAAAAAGGAAAATTCAACTGCGCACACCTTTTGTAGCATCCTCGCCATGCTGATCTTCGCTCTCGCATCTTCTGCCTATGATCATATCACTCCTCTACCAATACGGCGCGCGCATGGCCGATAAACCACTGGCCAATGTGCTGTCGCTCGTGTCCTCCTTCTTGCGGTGACCGGCCAGCTCGAGGTTGATCTGTCGGTGAATGTGCACCAGCCAGTCCACGTAGCTTTGGGCTTCGTTGTTCCGGTCCTCCAGCAGCAACCGGGCAAACTCGTACTCCGCTCCATCCAGGCCTTGGCGGGCCAATTGGATCGTGACCGACTTGGATCCGCGCACGGTTGAGAAGTACTGCAGCAAATTGCGTACCTGGGCGTTGAGGTGCGTGTCCAAGACGGGTAGAGACGAAGTGTTGGGGTTCAGCTCCTGGAGCGCGCTCGCACCAGGGCCGAACAGGTCCTCCAAGAGATTCGGCGAGACCTGGGCGTGCAGCCAGAGGAGAATAGCCTGTCCGTTGTCCACCAGGTAAGCACCACCTTCCTCGATCTTCGAGAAGCTAGCACGCAATGATGGCGGAACCTGGAGCTGGCCATGCTCGTTCGGGAACCCGTCTTCCGGTTGCATGTTATGAATGGGAATGATGCGGGGGTAGAGATAAAGAGACATTTCTGTGCAGCCGAAAGACCGAATCATGCGCATATCATGAGTTCGGCGGTCCGAAGTCTCATTACCACCTTTGTGTAGGTGTTAGTAAGTGTTCACAACCCAGCGTAGAAGTAGGGCTTACCCTTGAATGCTCTGGACTTGACCAGACTGAGCATGTACATGGAGAACTCCTTCAAGTTCTCTGGCAAGACCAGCTGACCAGGAGGGTGTGAGCCAGAGAAAATCTTGCGGTATCCGCTGAAGATATCAACCGTCTTCTCCGAAATGCTGGCGCGGATGTCCTTAAGCGTCTTGTCAAGCGTCTTCGAAGCAGCTGTAACACAGTGATGAGTATCGAACACCATAGCAAAAAGAGGCTGAGCATAAACTTACCTTCCTTGGCAATGACAGCCACCACCGCATCCTGGTCAACATACTTCATGGTCTCCATGCCACCTTCATTGACGGCAGCGACTACATTGATACAACGGACTCGGCGCTGACCATCGGCAGAGGTGTAGAGCAACGCGGCTTGGAAGTGTGCATCAAGCTTGGGGTCAAGCTTGCCATCATAGCTGAAAACCACACCGATAGCCTTCTCCGAATCGACGCTGCCAATCTCGAGGTCGGCACCGAGAGCATGTTGCACGAAGTTTCCGTGATAGGAGGACACCTGCAAGCCGTTCGAGCATCGAACTTTCATCAATGCCTGGTAGCCTGTCTCTCGGGTGACGGCGTGAGCCACCTCCTTGCGGACTTTGAGCAAGTCCCGTGGGGAATGGAAGTTTGAATAGAAGAAAGTCTCGCCGCCGGTAAGAGCAGCGACATGACCTGCGTTGATGAATTAGCTCTAACCACGAAACTCCAACCTATTTCCTTGACATACCCATTGTTGCAACATCCATGTAAGTGCCACCGGGGGCGGCAATGAAGAAATCCACACCCACGCCCGTCTCTGCCAGCTTGCTGGCCGTCTTCTTCCAAGCCTGATTCTCTGTGGTAAAGAGTTTTCGTTCCGCATCTGTCCCGTGGATCTTGACATCTTCCCGCAAAGCCAATTGTCCTGGACCCCAGGTGGGCAAGCTGGCGACTGAGCAGATGATCTTTCCACCTGTGGCTTGAAGAGCCGAGAGAGCCGCATTGAGAGTTGGGAGCACAGCGGGATCGGGGTTTCTGATATGAGTGAAGATAGAGGGTATTCGCTGCAGCAGTGAAGTGATCACAGACCTTGGGCCTAGTCAGCAATTTTCCAGAAACTCGAGACTGGGAGATCTTACTTGGAATCATATGGATCCACAAAAAGACCCTCGCTTAATGGTACAAATGGCTCTTCCAGATCAGTCATAACCATCATTTGCGCCTGGTCCAATGTCGCCTATATTCGGGTGAGCGAAATACTAAAGATGCACCCCAGGTTGGGCGACAATCATTTCTGGAACTTACCGTGAGGTTGTAGAAGTGGACCTCCTTATCAAAAGTGACAATGCCGACCTTCGATCCAGCTGGGATCTTGCGCGCTTTGGACTCATCTCCTTCAGTTCCGTCCGCCTCTCCGTCTTCGCCGTACAGTGCCTCTGCAATGCCGTCACAGACACCCTTCAAGAATCCTCGGTGGACAGATTCGCGGCTGACATCAATCAAAAACAGCGTCTGCAACCCCACGGGCTCCTTATTCCAGTACTCCTTGGGGACCAAAAACTCGACCGTACCCATCATCAGCTCTGGTCGCTGCATTCGATCCACACGTGCCCCGGAGGGATCCAAAGGCGCGTAGTATTCGGGTGGTGTGTCATTCGGGAACGTGCACATGTTGCAAACGAACTTGCTGCCGCCAGCTCGGAACGACATGAAGGGATTGATGTATGTACGGCATCTTCGGCATCGCGGAGGCCCAACGTCCCCGAAGTCCAGCACGGGAATTGGTTGTTCGCCTGGGTCCAAACCTGCGAGTGGTTGGATGATCATGCCCAGGGGCAGTCCGGTCGAGGAAAGGAAGTCGGAGGTCGAGGGGATGTTGTTAAGCGTGAGGCGGGCGTACTTTGGAGAGGAATTGCCCTGGTCGTGAGCAACAAAGGGAACTGCCGCAGGCGGAGGGAGGTGTCGGTCCATGGTCGGGTAGACATGGTTGAAGTAGTATTGAGCAGGCAGGTCGCGCGATCGTGGGATGCTGGGGATCTGCTCAGGGTCAATTCGGCCCTGTGTGGCCACTGAGTCCGCCCCGCTAGAGAGACCAGGCTGCGAGGTCATTCCGGGTGCCGGTTGGACGTAGCCCTGTTGAGTACCCGCGATGGCTTGCGGAGCTTGGTTCAGGCCGGTGCTGAGGAATTGGGATGTCGGCTGCGCTCCCCCGGCGGCCATTCCCTGGCCAAAAGCCGGTGCAGGTGCCCCTGCTGCAGCACCAATATCGTGATACGCATGACGATGCTTCTTGCGATGTGTTCGGGCTCCGGCATCTGCTGCAATTCCCAACCCACTCATCTGGGAGGCTAAGCCCGCCATATTAGGATCTCCCGCGCCACCCATCGGTGCTTGTTGTCCGGCGATAGGACTATACGCGGCGTTCGGGTTGGTCGGCATGTGCTGCTGCTGGGGCGAGCCGTAGGCGGACCATTGATTCGGGGAGGCGTTGGGATAGACAGCTCCTGGTTGCGGCGGAGCACCGGGGCCATAACCGGGTGGGTATTGTTGTGGTTGAGGTTGCTGGGGAGAAGCATAGGAATGGGGGTTGGTGGGATCATCGGCAGAGCCCCCCATTGCGTGATACATCTGGTCAGCCATGGGAACCGAGGAGACCCAGATCGAGACGTGCCCCGCGGTGGTTGTTGACGGTATACCGGACACCTTACACTTGGCGGAACATCGTGTCTCCGAGGCTCTTCACGTGGCAGCTTACCGCCGCTGGACAGGCACTGCTTACATACTTCCCAGCCCTTCTAGTTAACTAACTACTTAGTATTTAGGATGTAGGAGGGAAGGTAATCTAGAGTCAGTGCCGATACTTTGCGATGATTCTTCTTTTCTCCTCTAGCTGCTCATATTGCTGCCCCCTCGGAGGAGCCCTTCCACTACTCACCCTGTCTGCTTGAGAATCTTGAGGATGCCCTCCGTTCTTTGTTTCCCACCGCTTTTCCTGCAGGATGGGCCCTCGCTGAAGCAGACTAGCGAAAGTCGGAGCAGTCAAACGACCGTCTAACTCAAGCTAAGTCCACCAGGGCTGAGGTGTTCCCTACGCGTTTCCTATACGCCTCCGATAAGCATCCGATGCATTCGCACATGCGCTAGCTACTTATCACCCCTTGATGCTGCCGGATGGTTTTTCCTTGCGCGTGCATCCTTTCGTCTCTCCACGAACCCTTGGTCGCCCGATTGACTAGGCGCCCAACCCTAGCACATCTGCATTTTCAAGCACGATCTCAAATCAATTGATTCGCGCTTATCGTAGTGGCACTCCATTCCACGTCGAATTGCGCCAAAGTCCTGCTTTTGTCCCGCTGGAAGCTTCCCGTTTGAGGGTCTTCAAACCGCTTGGTGGCCAACTCACCGTCTCTTCGTGCGTCTCCAGGATCGGACCGTGGCCCCTCCATCTGGCGTCACTCCTGTCCGCCAGTAGATATATTGGCCGTAGCTCGGCACTTCGTAAGTCATACATTTTTTTCTTTTCTTTTTGCTTTTTGCCGATCCTCTCTCCCGTACTCTGTATGTCCCATCCACATTTCCAGCGACGGACCTAACGAGAACGCAACTAGACCCAGATCGCAAATCGAAAGAAGATCGGACTGTGCAACCAAGTCCTATAGCTCATCCCCAATCAACAATGGCAACCATCCAAGATGACGACGAGCTCCTCCTAGCCCGAATCGGCTATAAACAAGTAAATACCCTGAGGATGCTCTGCACTGGCTAGGCCGATGGCTTCGTTCGTCTCTCATTCGAATTCTGATCATTTGAGCAGGAGCTACGACGAGAATTCTCCAAATGGTCGACGGTTTCATATGCCATCTCCATTCTTGGTGTCCTGGGCTCCGTGCCAGCGACCTTCGGCTCCCCGTTAGCAGCAGGTGGTCCTGCAACAGCCGTATGGTGCTGGCTGATCGGCTCTTGCATGGCCATGTGTATTGGCAGTTCGGTCGCAGAATTAGTTTCAGCCTATCCGACTGCGGGCGGCATGTATTTTGTCACAAAACATGTCGTGCCTCCTGATCAGGTTCCGGTTTTCGCCTGGATTCAAGGCTGGTGCAACCTACTAGGCCAGACAGCGGGCGTGTCAAGTGTAGCATACACGGTCAGTCAGATGCTGTTGGCCTGTGTGAGTATGAACTCGGATCTTGTCGATGGAAAGTACTCGTATTTTCCGTGAGTTCACTTTCGCTCAATCTATCAATCTCCGCCCGGCTCTTTTACTGATACACTGACCAGGACTGCACTGGAAACTGTTCTAGTATCTGTTGGAATGCTGTGCATCCTCGGCGTTATTTGCTCATTGACAACAAAAGCTTTACATCGGATCATTCTCTGGTTTGCGCCGATCAACAGTAAGCATGTCGTGGCAATTTCAGTGTCTTATTAGTATTCGCTAATAGATGAAGTCGGCGCCACTTTCGCCATTTGTATTGCGCTTTTATACCTCACCCCTGATAAACAGCCAGCTTCGTGGGTGTTTACGCACTTCACTGATGGCTCTGGGTGGAACTCGAAACTGTTTTCGTTCTTCTTGGGATTCCTTTCTGTCGCATGGACTATGACAGACTACGACGGAACGACGCAGTGAGTTTTTGCTGGAATTTGAGTGATTGAGGGATTCCTTCTGATTTGAAGTCACTAGCATGTCGGAAGAAACCCACGATGCAGCTGTGCGAGGACCTGTTGCCATCAAGACAGCCGTCCTTGTCTCCGGGATCTTCGGCTGGCTTTTGACCGTCTGCATGTGCTTCTGCCTAAACGATTTCGATGATATACTCAATTCCCCGACTGGTCTTCCAGCTGCACAGATCTTTATCAATGCCGGCGGTAGACGAGGTGGGACTGTAATGTGGTCCTTTGCGATCCTTGTCCAGTTCTTCACCGGCTGCTCAGCTATGTTAGCCGATACTCGGATGGCCTACGCGTTCGCAAGAGATAATGCGCTGCCCTTCTCCGACTTTCTGTCAAGGGTAAACCGTTATACTCACACGCCCGTCAACGCTGTTTGGTTCGTCGTTTTCTTCAGTATCGGCCTGAACTGTATTGCCATTGGATCAACAGAAACCGCAACTGCTATATTCAGTGTCACTGCCCCGGCATTGGACTTATCTTATGTGTCTGTGATCCTTGCACATCAACTCTACAAGAACAAGGTCAAGTTTATCGAGGGACCCTTCACGCTCGGTAGGTGGGGCGCTCCTATCAACTACGTTGCTGTGACTTGGGTTCTGTTTATCAGTACCATTCTCTTCTTCCCATCACAGCTACCTATCACAGCGGCAAATATGTATGAGCTCTTTCCCATAGAACAAAATTAGTTCACAAGTGTTTACTCTAACTCACGTCTTTCAGGAACTACGCCATATGTGTTGCAGCTTTTATTGCCATTTTCGCATTGGTCTGGTGGTGGGTTTCCGCCAGAAGGTAAGATCAAAATCCCACCCCTGTGAGGATGGGAGCAAACACTGATACCACTTCTTAGAAAATATACCGGCCCTCAGACAAATGATAACATTCACGAAATTCCTAACGGTGAAAACGAACATGAATATGAGGAATCCGAAGAGGGAAATGTTGACATGGATTCCACGGCATGGGATACATAGACTTGGATCCCTTTTTAGCTACCAATTTAAACATCGATATTATACTAGAACAGAGTGAGCCCTAGAGGGTACCACCTAAATACGGGTTTTCGTGTTGGTGAGCCTCCCAAAATTAGATTGCCCTTAATTAATATTATTTATGCATGTGTTCTCGGATTAAAGATCAGTAAAAATGTGACTTCATGTAATTGCTCGGAGAGATTAGAGAAACCGCATCGGAATATGTGAAATTACTGAAATTACGACCACAGAAGTTAGAATAATTGCGTAAACTAGTGGAAGAATAAACTCGTGAATGATATGCGTCATTACACTGTTTAGTGCTTGATGCTGGTAAGATAGTACATGATTTAAGAATACAGTACATGCCAAGCAACTCAACTTCCCGTCACAACAGCCAAGCCTTCATAGATCTTCCTCTTTACTGCCAAGAAGCTGGCTGCATTGCGACCCAAGACTGCCTGGTTGGTAGCTGCTTTTGCAGATGCCTCGATCTCAATCCTGCCTGTTCCAGATTTCCGAACAGCCACAGATTTGTCGATGAGAAGGGTACCCTCGCCTCGGAACTCGGCAGTGTGGCCGGCTGCCTGCATTAATTTGCGAAGGTCAGCCAGCCGGAGATCACCCACATGGAGTGGGCGGGCCACAGATCTGGTACCGGCGGCCATGGTGACAGGCAGTGTGTCAAGAAGCGGGAGGGTATCGGATTTGTCCGCATTCTTTGAAGTGCCAGTGACTACAGAGGAGGCGGCTTGGTCATCCGCCAACTTCATCTTCTTGCCGGTGGCTTCATCATCTGCATCCTCTTCGACAAGGGGCTCCGGTCCTCGCAGTTGCGCGGTAAGTGCAACCACACCAAGGCTGCGGACATGTTGCCATTTAAGGCGTCGCACAAGGGTATTGCTGAGCTTGACCATCCAGGCATTCGTGTCGACACTGGCGTCAACAACTTCGCCATTGGCAGGAGTAAAGATGATCGCTGCCGCATCTGCTGCGGCGGAAGCAGCATCAACACCTGCCTTGGCAGCCAGGAGCTTTCTGCATTCAATCGCAAGCGCTGATATCTCTTCCTTCATTCCGCCGACAAGAATCAGTTTTTGAGGCTGAATAAGAGGAATCAACATCTCCAGACTACGCTTATCATGCAAGCCCATAAAGTCGACGAAGGCGATGCGAGCATTGATGGTGAGCGAACCCTTTGTGTAAACCGCCTTGGCGGGTCCCTCGAATCCTTGGGCATCCGCCTCGTCTTCTGATGAGGCTGCAGCATCGGCGGCTTCGCCGTCGTCTGCAAGACTGAGGTCGTCGTTCATGCCCAAATTGGCCTTCTCGCCATCCCTCAACTGCTGGCGCTTGCGACCTGCGGCTCCTCCAGATAGTCTCCGACCGCTGGAGGCACTTGTCTCATCCCATCGGCGTTTCTGACCCAGCTTAGTCTGCGCATCAGATCGCCGTTGCTGCATGTCGATTTCTTCGCGCTCTTCCGCTCGAAGGTATTCTTCCGGTCTAATGAACTCGCCGTATTCATCACTTTTCTTTCTCGGTGCGACGTAAGGGAACATGCGCTCACGTCCCTTCTTGCCGCGCACATCGTAGTCGTATACATTCTTTCGTCGTAGAAGAATATTGATTCCCAGATCTTCGTCACTGAGAGCCAATTTATTTCGGTTTGCATGAGCAAGTGAGGTGGAAAAATTCAAAACTCGACCCTGTTGCTCTCCATCTGAATCTTCTGAAGAAGTCGAGCTGGATCCATCATCCAAAGCGTCGGCTGCATTCTCGAGAGTTTCCTGGCCGCGGGTTTGGGAAGTGTCCTCAAGCTGCCGCTTGGTTGCAAGATACTGTTGGTAGACGAGGTTCTCACCGGCATCGAGGGGAGCTCGCTGCACATCTAACCAGGTCAACTCTCGCCCGCCACTGTGGACCTGCTCCAGCAACTCGCCATCCGACGATTTTTCCAAGGCGACACCATCTCTTCGCTCTTCGTACCACTCCCACAGTTTTGCTCCGAGAGAGGCGTTGTTAGATAGATCTGCTGCTTGCTTGCGGAACGACTCGGTCAACAGCAGTAGATTGTTAGGGCCCTCGGCAATTTTTCGAAGGGATTCCTTGGAGAAGCCCCAAGCCAACGAGGTGTCAGAAGCGAGGATGACCTTGGGTCCTTGATCTGCCAACAGCTTTTCGAGCCGCTTCTTGCGCTCGATAGTTTTGAGATACTTGAATGTGAAAGGTCCACCGCCCTTTGCATTGCCTTTATCTTGTCCTTGTCCGCCAGACCGTTGGCCAGTGGCTGCATCCGCACCTTCAGCAGCTTCAAACTCACGAACAATGTTTTCATCCATCCATTCGAGCATACTCCGGGCGAGGCGCATGGTAGTATTGACCTTCCGGCCGGCCAGATAAAGACCCGCAGCTTGGAGGGTATCCCCCTTATCGCTTGCTGCGGCATCGCGCCAGGCATGCTCCAGAGCATAGGCTAGCTCCAGAACACGAGAACTCGTGTCTGTTGGAATAAGAACAGTTCCGCCTTTGGCAACAGTGTTCCGAATCATCTCGAGGAGAAGATCATCCCTCTTTCTCCGCCCTCCGGAAACGGCAAACTTATCACCTCCTTTTGCACTACAGATCAAAGCTGTTGGCTTCCGCAATTGTTCAATGACCTCCGTTCCGCTGGCCCCAGAGCCACCAAACCATGCAGCTCCTGCCACGACGCTTTCGCGCGCCTGGTTCCAGTCCATCGCGTAGACGATTGATTCCATGCCATGCTGAATATGCCATATTGTACCACCGACCGTGTGGCCAGCATTGTAGGCGGTAAGGGTGAGCCCGTCCAGGGGCGGCGAAAACGGAGAGGGATGCGGTTCGTGAGGTTGCGAGTATTTCAAGGGTATGATGAGGGAGAAGTATCGAGCAATCTCTTCCGTAGTAGGTGGCTGGAGTAGGATTCGGCCGTTGCTGCCAGCAGCTTCGGGGTTCTCTCCATTCTCTTCTGTCGGGACTACTGCGGATGCAGCAGCGGATGCGCCGGGCTCTGAGACCGACCCTTTTGGCAGGAAGGTGGCAGCGAGCGGCGCTGACGCATAAAGGTCTTGCAGGCTTGTGCGACCAAGCGCAACGACGGGGGCCGTGGCATAAATGGGGATTTGGGTGAAAAGAGGGAAGGTTCGGCAACAGTGAACGAAAGCGCCGATATGCGCGGGGGTCGCGTGGGTCAACAGAATGAGCGAAAGCGTCGGGATATGTCTAGAACGAACGAACGAAAATGTTAATCTCATTGCTAAAAGCCCCAGTTTGCATCAATCAGGTCCTCACTTCTCGAGCTCTGCCAGATCACGGGTGTCAAAGCTATCGTCCCAACCAACATCTACCAAGATTTTGATTCCTCCATCGAGTTCAAGAATCGATTGCGATGCCTTCGAGGACGATGACTGTGCCCCGATCAGTGGAGTAAAGGTGAACATGGTGATCAGTCAAGGGTGGTATTCCGCGCCTGGAACTGTGTGTCGAGCGTATTCGCGATGGCGAAGGACACGAGATCCGATCGGGCCTGCAACTCGATTGGCGTTTATGACAAACTACCGGTCATCATTCACTGGCGTTTACGGGGAAGATGAGCCTCGTATTCACCAAAGAGTGATTGAAACAAAGAAGAGTGGTGTACCCGGCGGAGACTCAATGGAATCATCACGGTCCGAGCTACCGCAGCGGTGTCATGTGATCTGCATCCACCGGCCAATCACATCGTGGATTGAAACTATATCTCGAGGACTCGTTGATCTTCTACCATCATGATATTGGGAGTATACAACTACTAGTAGCCTGCCATTTATAGAAGCTGTCCTACTGCAACGAACAGTCTTAAAAGATCTATTCTATCTTCTTTCTGACTACTAGTCACCAACGCCTTAAGTACATGACAACAAAAATGCTTAAATAAACGCCCTACCGATTATCCTTGAACATCCTATTTGGTAAAAGTCTCTTGTATCCTCTCCTTCTCGGGGCTTGTTGTTGTTGTTGTTGTTGTTGTCCTGGACCCTGCGTCCCGCTTGGCCCTGCAGTAGCCTGCTGTTGGGACACTGGCTGCCCGGTTGGAGCCTGCGGAACACCCAAGGCTGCTGCGGCTGCCTGCGCGTGTAGGAAATTCCTGAATCCTCTCCTTCTCCGGCCTTGTTGTTGTTGACCTGGGTCCTGTGTCCCGCTTGGCTCTGCTGCTGCTGCTGCTGCTGCTGCTGCTGTTGCTGCTGCCACCGCCTGCGCTGGGTGTACTGCTTGACTCTTCGGCAGAGGTGGAGGTGGAGGTGCAGGTGTAACTTGAGCTTTTGCTGGAACTGGAACTGGGACTGGAGGTGGAGGTGGAGCTATACCTGTACCTGTACCTGTACCTGGAGCAGGACCCGGAGCAGTACTTGGAGCCGGAATTTGTACCGGAGCTTTTCTTTTTCGTGGCTTGACTGGACGATGTGTCGGCCTCGGAGGGATGGGAAGGGGACCCTCAGTCTGCGTTCCAACTGAAACTCCTCTAGGTTGGTTTGAGACTGATACTGGCAGGGTTGAAAGCTTTTTTTTATCCGCCCTTATTTTTCCCTTCACATCCTTCGTCTTTTATACATTTTAGCTCATTTTTCTTTTTCTTTTTCTTTTCTTTTGTGTGTATGTGCATGTGGACGACACCGAGTAACTTACCTTTTTATTGAGAGGTTCCTTCACTTCTTTGTCCTTTTCTACATATTAGCTCACTTTTCTGTTTGTTATCTTGTGTGGATGTCACGAAGCACCTCACCATTCCTTCCCAACCCTCTGGGGCCACCCATGCAAACGGCCGATGCAGAGTTGGATCCATTGGGAGCCGATCCCAAACCTGTTCTTTCACTTCTGCGGGTACTCGAGTCCCTGCCCATGGCCTCATACGACGGACAGTCCAAGGTAGGGGGTAGTGCTCTTTTCGCCTTTCGGGATCAATGATGTAAGTTTTGAAGTATTTCACATATTCATTATTATCTTTCGCCACGGTCGAACCAGCCTTTGTTAGTGAAATGGTTGGGAATCTTTTCATTTCGCCAGCTTGGGGCACCTTGATATCACCCGTCTTCATCTGCTTTGGCGCGACTTCTTTGCTCCCCGATGGTCCTGTCGGGATCTTTAGAGGATCTATAGTACATTTGGCCTGTTCCATGTGTGAGACCCTGGTTATCGTTTCGGTTGTCAGTTTTCCCATCGTTCTAGTCACATGGTCCTTGGAGGCCTTGTTGGATTTGGTGACTCTGGAGGTGTTAGGGCTCCCAGAAGACTTTGAGATGAACTTCTTCGTGTCCTTCTCAGTAATTGGTAATGAATCTTTGGTCCCTGCTGCGCATGCCGATTTGCTTGCTTTCGGGAACCCTTTCTCCGTAACATTGTGTTTGCGGCTTGGTGGGGCTTGTTCTTTAATAATGCTGCACACCTTTTTCTGTCTTTCCTCTTCCGCAAACTTTCGATTGATCTCCGTAAATGCATTTTGTACCCACTGTATTTCAGGCGGAAGTTTGCTCGAACCTGGATTTCCTGAAGTACAAGTCAGCGTGATGGGCCCACGATTCCAAGCCGAGTCTTTGCCTGCTTCTGAAGAACTGATCGACAAGCAACATGTAAGGGGGTATTCAGGAATGCCATTCCGGATATCTTCCGCCAATCCCCGCTAAGCTCAACCATCAGACATAGGTACTCCAAAGATCTCAAGAGCTCGTTCCGCAGTCATGTAGCTACTATGGTTTTCCTAGAGGGAAGAAGACAGCCGCCTGTTGTCCGGAAGACTGCCTTGACACATTCCTAATTACACCACTTTGATAACCCCGAATGAATACAGAAAGAGGCACAGGAACATGCTCATAACTAGTAAGATCACACAAAACCAAACGCACTTATACTCACCAATTTTTGCCGTTCGGCTCTCTTTTTGAGCTTCAAGCTCACCGGGGCTTTTGCCCTTCTTTCGCTTCTTGGTCTGAGGTCCCTCTTCTCTCGAGTTCGTCACTTCCAGACTCTTCAGAGGGTCGGCTTGGTGTAAAGGTCCCTGTGTGCCTTTCTGGTGAAAAAACAATCGGTCAGCGAGGCTAGGCTCCGTTCCTGGGGCCTGGCCCGAGCCTTTCGCTCTGACATTCAGACTGTCGCGTTGGTAATTTGGGTGAAGATAGCGCCCCTTGTCAACTTTTGGGATGGGTGGCAGCAGGTTGGGCTGTGGTTCAGGCGGAGGAGCTGGCAGTGGATCCGCCACATTGCACACCTTGGGCCAGAGAGGCCCGTTGGCGATTTCCCGTGACATTTGCTGGCGAGCAATTGGATTCAGCATCGCTTCTGCGAGACATCGATGTGCTACTGCATGCAACATCGACGCTCCCTCGGCAGGTGCATTCTGAGACAAGGGGAGCTCATCGAATTCCCATTGCAAGCCCCCGAGTCCAATGGACGGGTCAAAGGATCGAGGGTGGCCATCTTGGGTCACTCCGTCAATGATGGTTTTCCCTTCGAGTGTTCTGATATTATCCTTCTGCTGGTCTTGGTCGGTGGGATCGGTCGGATCCAGGACAAGTCGCCATCGGGGCAGCGGTGCGTTGTCTCCGTAATATACGGTGGGTACCCCTTTGCTCTCAGCCAAGATCGATTGCGGTACCGGAAGTTCGTAGAAAAACCTGTTCGAATCATGGAGGTCTGCAGTCTTGTTGAGAAGTCCACGATTTTCCCATTCCGGGCTGGGCTGAGATTTGAAGAGCTGCGGATTCGCGCCGCGATATCCTCGCTCAAAAAGGCGGTCACCAGGAGCTTTTCGCTTCGACATGTTGATGGTTTTGTTGAGAATGTGTTGCGAGATTATTGAACTGGCAAAATGAGACTTCGTTGTTTTATGAAGGAAAGTGCTCAGAGTACTGACGTGTGGTTGAGATACAGAGCGCATGCAAGCAACGACACTTAGCGATTTCTTTGAACAGTGTTGGTTCGAAGAACAATGGTCAATTTTTTGCCAAACACGGACAACGCAGACAATTTCCGGGAATCTAGGCCCAGTTGTCAGTCTCGAGTACATATGCACACAGAATTCATGCAACGTTACCAACTGCAACAAAGCAAAATCCCCCCCAAAGAGTCCGAGGACAGTGAACGCTTTCTTTGTGCTTTGCCTCGATTCCAGAATGATCGAGGGACTGTTAGACACACGCACAAAGGAGCTCTCAAGAATTCTTGAAAGAACGTTCGAGTCTCTTTCTCTTGCAGAGAAATTAGGGATGTCCAAGGTGGACTGTTCCAGGACGCTGTTCCGTGGAATTACAACGCGATGTCGCAAGGGTGCCCCGGTGAAAGTATTTTTTTGTAATGACTGCACTATCAAGAGTGCCAGTTACAGAAAGCACAAGGGAAAACAACAAAGAAAAAGAATTCTGAGCTAGGGAGTCAAGAAAAAGGCGAGGATGAAGTGATATGGACGGCAGAGAACAAGGGCGGCCGCGCGGAAAATGAAGCAATATTAGCAACAAAATATTTGATGCCAAAATCAAAGTGGTCAACTGCATGATATCTACGGAGTCTTTCTAATGCTATGACACTTAAAATCACCTGCTTCTATACTGCCATGATTGTAAGAAAGTTTATGTCGCTGAGATGTTGTCATTAGGGATGTCCTCATACCCGATTTTGGTGGGATTATTCAAACTTCAGGTATCGCTATTGCATCCCAGGCCCCTGCCATCAGGATATTCAATCTGATCTTTACCAATTCTACTACCTGAGGGGGATCGACACATTTCGCTTGGTACTCCGAAAATTGTGAAAGGGGGAGCCTCCTTAGGGCTGGGGGAAAAGTGGGGACATCAAGACAAAGGATGTCAAAGAGAATCTTGTATCCTGCGCAACATCCAGTGGGACACCGACACACTGACCAGTCAGCTCACCATTTTGGGTAGCTGATAACTCGATTTAGAGTTCTTGCTTTTACAGCAGGCTACGCTCCTGATCAAGGAGAGGCAAGGCGCATTCCCCGGGAGATTCTTTGCATGGACTCGGCGCTGGTCCACCGATCAGGATGGCAGGAAAAAGCACCGAAAATGAGCTGCAGGGCTCGTGCGGACAGCCCAAGTAGCGTCCTCTTAATCTGGTAATGAGCTTACCTGCCTTTGGAATGCGGGCATGCAACTCTATGTCGTGTTGTCGCCGTGTGCTGAATGTTAAATGCATCAAGAGCCGAATTTCACATGGCGAGGTGAATGAGTTCATCAATGAATCCAACCAGATCGGCGGGGCCGTCATCGGCCCCTTTACTGGGTTTGGGATGTAGTTCCGCGGCACCTCGACAGCAATACAATAAAGGGCTTCTACGCCGGCACAAAGGGATCATGAGGCCTGGCGGCCGAGTACTTGTGAAAACGCCACCTGGTGATTTCTAAGAAGCAGCTGCCTTTGAGTGCAAAAGACCGGAATTGTCAAAGATTGTCGCTCGATGAGAACGTGTTCAGTCCATCCTGCGCACAGCGTTGGGCGACTGGGGTTTTCCACATTCCATCGAATGCCGGGTTTTGAAATTTCCGCTAGAATCTTTTGAAGGGTTGAGCCGTCCTCAAGTAGCAGGGTCGGCAGTCTGGTTGATCAGGCATTGCCAGCAGCCGCATGTGTGAACTACGGAGACAGAGGAAAACTTGGAGGATCTCATATGCACAGGGGACTGACTGTATTACGATTCAAACATTCCTCCCGCAGCCGTTAAACCCCATACCCCATGTGGCCCACGGATCCTTAACATTTGCCGGGTTATCAAGGAATTTAAAGCAGAGCAAAAAGGATACAGATCATCAGCTACATCGATTAGCTGAAGCGAGATAATTTGCTAAGGGCGTCTCCGCCACAAAGTGTTGGAATGTCCGCCCTTCCACTTTGAATTTATTAATTTCTCCATGTAACAGAATCATGAAAGTCAACGCCTGTAAGAGCAGGTTGGGGATTTCTCCTCGTATTGGAAAGCCTTTATTGCCAGTATCGGGGCTCGTCGAAGACGTGGTAACGATGTCCACGGACGCCCTCGCCGCGGAAGAGAGCAGGGAAACGACGGCCAACTGGAACCATTTCTTCGGGGACACGCATCTCATTCTCCGGCTCCGGCTCTCCGATGACGAACTTGCCAACCTGTGACAGTGTTAGCAAGGAAGTATCGATTAACTGATAAAGAAACTCACCTGGATTTCGGTATCGGTAATGGTGTCGCGACTGATTCTGGCGTAACCGGTTCGTTTCAATCCCTTGTAAAGAACATACTCACACCATCTGTCCCAGTCGGTGGGATCGATGTCCTTCATCCCACTGATGTCACTAACATAAGTGTTATAGTTGCCCTCGAGGGGCTTGGTGACTAAGTAACTCAGCAGGATCAGAGGGCGGGGAGATGCGCCCATCAGTCTCGAAAGGTACTCGGTCTGAAGGCGACGATCCTCCGGGTCCTCCTCCTGACCGGAGTGGAAGACGACCACATCGATCATCTCGCCATACATGTCAAGAGTGGCGTGAATAGCCGGGGCCAGCTCACCGACAGGCGAGGGCAGAAGATGGTGAGTGGAGTTGACGATAGGGAACTTGGAGAGAAGGGCAGAGCCCCATGTGTGCTTGTTAGGACCAGGGCCAAAATCGGCATAGTAGCCGAGGTCCTCAGCGATGTACTGGGTGACATCCTTGTTGCCCATAATAATACGTTGGTTATCGGACTCGAGAAAGCCGATTACATCCAGCTCCAGTTCACCGAGAACATCGCGCATGCGGCGCTCGGCGGCCCACATGTTGTTATCGAGGCCGAAGTGAACTGTCCAGATACCGGCAGTCACGACCTTGTCCTCCTTGTGATGAGGGACGTAATCGTTAGTGGGGAAGCGTAGGTAGGCCACAGACACGGAGAAAAGCTGCAGCGCAGCAAGGACATAGATGTAATAGGATCGCTGTCTCTTGCTGTTGGGGCTAACGGGCTTGCTTCGGGAGCGACCCGAGTTGGTCGTCGCAGCAGAGAAGACACCAGCACCAATGGCGAGCATGGTAGTGATCATGAGCCAGTCAGTGTGCTCACGGACGAGAGGACCACCGGGGACAAATGCGTAAGCAACTACCCAGACGTGGAAAAGAAGAAGGAACACATAGAGCAGGAAGCCAATTCCGAAGGTAGTTGCTGGGGAGTGACGGACGCAAGAAGTAATGAGGACTGGGGTAGCAGCCATCACATAGAAAGCAAATGCAAGAGCGCCGTAGTAACCAGTCCAGTGATGGTAATAGGTAAGAAGAGCAGCTCCAACGGATCCAAGACCGTAAGCGGTCCAGCTACCTGCCACGGCAGGATAGAAAACACCATAGACCAGACCAGCACCCATGACGAAGATAGTAACAGCACCGTGGGGCACCGCAATCGGTCCGCGGACGGGATAGCCATCCCAAACCCACGAGATCATGGTGCTGGAGTCAGTAAGGAGAGAAACAATGGCGAACATAAGGCCGCCGAAGCCAATCCCAGCCAGAATGGAAGAGCCCTTCTTGCCGCTCGTGGGCAGATAGTCTCCGCCGCTGGTGAAAGTCGCCCGATGAGACCTCAGCACAGCAACGATAGCCAGAATAAGACCAATCTTGTTCCAGCCACCGTTCTCAGCGTGCATGATGGGCCAGAGCGGGTTGTTGGTAGAGCAAGCGAACTTCGCAACGACGGACATGATAAGGCCAATACCCCAGGCCATGATGCGAGTCTCAAGACGAGTGGTGTTGGCCTGCTCGGCGAAGAAAGTAGCAGTCCAGGCGGCACAAGTGGTTGCAAGCGCAAATGCAGTCACGAAGAGACGGTTAGCCGGGTCCTGGAACTTGTACGCCAATAGGGAGACAAGCGAGATCAAGTGAAGGGCCCGCAGATTCTTCACGGCGGCAAATCGCAGGGATGGGATGGCGAAGAACATGGGAGAAATGACAGCAGTAATGGCAACCTCATATCCCGAAATACCCATGTGCCACAGGGGGAAGTACCACACAAGGACAGGCAAGCCAGTCACGATGGTCCAGAAAACGAACTAATTAAACCAATAGTCAGCAAGGGGAGTATGACCCGCATCGATCTTCGGTGAAAGCATACCCCGTTGTAGACATCCGCAGCAGCATCGACAATCTCGGTCCAGAAGAAGCCCTCGCCGAAGGTGTTGCCCACGGACTTGCCCTTCCTAGACTACGTGGTTAATCACTATGATAGACAGAGGAAGATTATGGGTGCACACACTCTTTTTCGAGAACGGAGTCCGCAGTCGTCTTCAACTGCCTGGAAGGAGAATATTTTAGAAACAAATTTTTTTTCTTCGTAACCAATGTAGTTTGCAACAATATACATTCGTTGAGGGTGTCATTTTGGAAGCCACGGTACATACCCTCTACTGATACCCTTCAGATCACGGACCACAAGCTCGAGACCCTCAAAGTCCAGCACGGTAATGGCATCGAAGCCAACATCGAATAGAACCAAGGACCACTCAAAGAAAGCATAGCGGGTGTAAGCTAGAACCAATCAAATTAGTATAAATGGTGGTAGCACTGGGGTTTCCACACAATAATCACTTACCACCAGGAACCTTGTGAACCTTGTGCTGGATGAAGTAGTAGATCAAGGGCACAAGGGTACCAAAGAAGAGGCTAGCCATGATCTTGCGGTACTTGACAGCCCGGCGGTTGTTCGGGCTCAAAGCCAAACAGCCCAAAGTCCACGGCAAAGTAGCGACAAGGTACGAGATCATGAAGATATCGTGCCAGTCATGGTCATCAGTAGATGTAACATAGGTCCATCCACCGCAGGTCAAGGTTCGGAAGACACCGACACAAGCAACGATCTTCGGCAGAGTCGAATTGGGACGTGCGGTCAGCACATACCACAGGAAGACGAGAGCGAAGCGAGGGCCAGAAGTCATGGCAATAAAGACCTGGAAAAAGGATCGCTCGGGGTATCGGTCGCCAATGGTAGCGGAAACGGAAGGGAACCATTCATCGGGATAGCCGTAGTGTTCATTCTGGACGATCTTATGGTAATGCAAGGCCACACCGACGATCAACGCGCTGAAGAAGGCCGCATATGCGAAGGCTGTGTGAGTCCAGGCGACCCATTTGCCATTAAACTGCATTGAATTCGAGTTAGCCTTGGGCCGAGGTTCTTATCGCGTGTGGAAGGAACGTACGGCAACCACGGCATCACCGTCCTTGAATCGGGGTGCCATGGCGGCGCAGAGGAAGGAGAACTCCGCAGCCGGTGAACAGCTAAAAGAATTCAAAGGCCAAGAATCAAAAGAGTGTCGAGAAGAGATAGGAAATGAAAGGCGGAGGTACGTAGGAGGGCCCCTGAGGAAAGTGATGTTTTGCCGGAAGCACAACTCCCCAAGTGTCCTCGGTGTGGAGCTAGTCCCGATATGGTTAGCGCAGTCAAACCGCCGCGCGAAGATCTTTGTCATGCCGACAACTTTTTCTTGATAGCAAGAAACCAGCCATGTCGGCCGCCACAGATAAAGCTCGATTTTTCCTTGAAAAGTCGGTGCCTGAGCTCAAAGAGTATGAGCGGAAGAAGATTTTTAGCAAGGTAAGTGCTTTCGGGGACGCACCGTGAGGACGGACTCGCTGACCGTGACCTGTGAAATCGCCAGGATGAAATCGCCTCAATCGTCAAGAAACGGTCGGATTTCGAGCACAAGCTGAACGCGCGCGGCGCACAGCCCGTGGACTTTGTGCGATATGTCCAATACGAAATGAACCTCGACTCCCTCCGCAAAAAGCGAGTAAAGCGACTTGGTATCCGATCTGCCGGACACAGCGGTCAACGCCGAATTTTTTTCATTCTCGACCGCGCCACTCGCAAGTTCCATGGCGACCTCAACCTTTGGATTCAGTGCATTGATTATGCGCGGAAACAGAAGGCCCACAAGAAGCTCTCCATGATCTTCACGGACGCTCTGCGATTGCACCCGACCAGTGCGGAGCTGTGGATTTATGCCGCCAAATACGTTCTCGACGACCATGCGGATATGTCTCAGGCTCGGAGCTACATGCAGCGCGGTTTACGGTTTTGCAAGAGCTCCAGGACACTTTGGATTCAATATGCCAAATTGGAATTGATCTACATCGCTAAGCTGGTAGCACGCCAACGGATATTGGGCCTCGACGAGGCTAGCCAACAGCCCAAACCCATTGAGGATAAAGAACTCGACCATGATGCCGACATGATCGCACTCCCGCAGATTACGGGCGAAGACATCAACCCCAGTGGGGCCGACGATGAGGCCAATGAGGCTGCATTGGAAACCCTCAATGCGACTCCGGCACTGAGTGGTGCAATCCCGCTCGCCATCTTCGATGCCGCCATGAAGCACTTCAACAACGACGATCTCTTTGGGTTCGAATTTTACGAGATGGTTTCCGACTTCCATGACACGCCGTGTCTGCGCAAGATCCTGGGCCACGTGGTGGAGACAATGCAGTCGGAGCAGCCCACCAGCCCCCGTACCCAGATCTGCTACATCAAGTTCCCAATTGCGGGTCTTTCCGTCACATCGGCTGAGTTCCCGAGGGCATTTGGTAGTTCACTTGCCCGTCTGAAGGAGACACACCTGGACAGCAGCCTGGCCCGGGTGGTCGTGAGTTGGTTGCGGCCGATTGCCGAGACGGAAAGCTTAGATCCCTCGCTGAGGAAGGTGATCATGGCGACCCTGCGCAACGCGGAGCGCACCGCGTCAAAGGCGTGAACGGGAGCTTAACGGCAGCCTCCCGAGCGATATCCGAGGGAACGATGGTCATTTCTCATGTGCACTTAAATGGCGTTGGGCGGGATGTGTATAGTCAACTTCCAGGACAAATATTTCCGACATTACCATGTTAGTATCTTTTGTTTCTTTCTCTTTACAATTGGGTCCTTCACTATCAATCATCGTATTTGCTTCCTCGTCGATCACTTTTCTTGTTGCTTTGGAATTTCTTAGATTTGAGCCGCGATTCGTTCCGGGCGCGCTGTAGCTTGTGGACCCGATCCCGCTGTGCCTGGGAAGTCTCTCCGGGTATGACTTGTTTGGCTGACGTCTCGAGCAAGTGGTGGAGCTTGTCAAAGCACGCCTCCACGTTACTCGATTGCTGCCGGGATTCGTCGGATTGTATCACCAGCGTCTGGGACCTGTCGGTCGCATAGCGGGACTCCCGTAGCTTGGGGTGCAACAAACTTGGCACCAACGGCAACAGGGCCGCCAATGGGACCTTCAACGTGGCCTTGGAATTGACCCTGGTTGCTCACCCCCACGTTAGCATCTGGCGCATTACCAGGACCCCGAGAGTACACCATCGTACTTCTCCGATACGGAGAGATGGGGGGTTGGGGATGATCTCGGGTTGCACCGACTTGTTCACGTTCTGCCCTCCAGGACCGCTTGAACGGCTGAAGGAGACCTGGCCGATATGGCGGGGGATGGTGCGGGAGTGCAAGGCGTTCAGCCACGACCTCGCTAGTTCGAGGTCCGAGTCAGCCGATCCGTTTGAACGCGAGGCAAACTTTCTCAAAGGCGTCCACGAGGCGTGAGCAAACCGCCAGAGCGGCATTGTCCGTATCGTGTCAAGGCAGCTCGAAACTTGGGAGCAAAAATAAATGGTGATGGTGAACGGGGACGATGGGTGGAGCTGGAGGCGACTAGAACTTCAGGGACGAGTTGGAGTGACTAATTAAAACGTCAAAAGGGCCGCAAGGCCGCCGCAAAAGAGGGTCTGGCCAGGTCAGCTGGTGCAGGTCACTGCCGACAGGAGTAAGTCGGGAGGAACTAGCAACAAGTTGTACTAGTACGACGTATCGAATCCCCCGAAAGAACAAGCACTGAGGGGACCTTGATCTCCGGACGCGCTTAGTGCTGTTATTGGCGGAATCGTGGCGCAATGTTCGGGCGGTTGCTATAACTGGAGTCAATACCGTACGTCTCCAATACAGAACGTTACATACACTCAGTGCGCAGTACTACTATTTGTAGTGCTCTATAGTGACCCTCAGGCATACATGTATGCATGCAGTCGCGACTATTCTTGTAAGGTACCCTAAGGTACACTGGCCCGGACTATCAAAAGATCGCTGTTGACCTGCATGATATGCTGCTCGCACAGCTCCTGCAGCATGCATCCCCCTCCTGGCTTCAGGTTACCTTTCCATTTCACTCTCCGAAGGTCGCTGCTCGGCCCCGTCTGCCCTATTTGGGATCCTTACCACCTTACCGCCCTTACAAACGGGCCCGGTCTTTTTCTGATCGCCCCACCTTAGCTTGCGATTGCAAAATTCACCATCTGACTTGCGCCGCTCTCCCTCTTCTATTTCTTTCTTCCCCCCCCCCTCGTAGATGAGACCTCCTCCTCTCAGTCTACATGACGCCCGATCCCCCTGATGAAGCTCTTCACTTCCGCGGAAAAACACTGACTCCGGAAAGCCCACGACCGCTGCACATCCCGGAGCCAGCCAACATCCCTGTTCTTGAGAACCAAATGGACCCTGTCTTCAACGACACTTCGACGTACGATCGCTCAGACGCCCCCCAGGTTTCTTTTCCTACACTTCATACCCAAGATGGATGGTCGGCTGCCCCGGGAGGAGAGGGGGTAGGCCCGGGGTCGAGCCAGGATGCAGGTAGTTTGCATGGTCCGCAATCCGGGAATCCTGCAATGAATGATTTGAGTGTTTCTGGAGACTCCTACTCTTCCATCCCCGCGGGGACTGCCCAGGCCAGCAACATGAACGCCGGTATTTCTCTTCCAAACGCCAAACCTTCCCATGCGCCTCCGGTGGTGCCGGGCTCTCAGGGCTTCGCCACGATGGGCGCCATAGACAATGCCGGTAACCCCGTGGGTTTGTCCACTTTTCCAGGGCGCCTAGATGAGGATAGCAAGGGGAACCATGATACGACGGCGACTACGGCGGCAGGGACCGAGATGGAGTCGAATTCTGGTGCTGGTGCAACCGGTGTCAATTTTCAAACTCTGCTGGACAATCTCTCGCATCGGTCCGCCACGGCGACCACCGGCGCTGCTCCTTCTCTAGAGGAAGGCTCGTCACTCCATCAAGCAACCCAGGACGAGTCTCTCCAACCCAGTCTATCATCTGCTCAGGACACTCAGTCCTTGAACCACCCCCGCCCACCCCTCCACCCCTCCAACCAACCCCCCAACTACCACGATGATTCCGCTTATCATCTACTCCCCCCTGCCCAAAACCCCGCCTACGCGACAACCGCCAGTAACCAAGCCCATCAATCTTTCCCCTCCATGCCCTCTGGAGGCCCCCCAGGCGCCGGCTCCGGGGTCGGTGCCCTCCCTCCGCCGCCCGTTGCCAGCTTCCAGCAAAACAACTCTTCTTCGGGCGCGGAGTCGCAGACGTCCCAAGAGGCTCCCGCTCAGACCGCTAAGAAAGGCCGTCCCGATAAGCCTGCAGCACGGCCCGGTAAAGGCGCAGATGACGATTCGCCCTGGGGGCCGGAGGTCCAAAAGAAATATGACGAGTTTCTGCACGACGAGCGAGTCTACGTGACTGAAGGCCTGTGGGATCGCTTCCCTGTGGGATCGAGACTTTTCGTTGGTCAGTAGCCGTCCCTATCTACCCATGCACAACACGCCCTCCATCGCACACTCATCACTAACTTTTGCCATGTCACAGGCAACCTCCCAACCGAGCGAGTGACAAAGAGAGACATGTTCCACCTTTTCCACAAATATGGCAAATTGGCGCAGATTTCGATCAAACAGGCATATGGATTCATTCAATTCCTCGAGGCAGGTGCTTGCCACGCAGCGCTCCAGGCCGAACAGGGGGCGCTGGTTCGCGGTAGAAAAATACGTGAGTTTGCTTCCAGCGCTCTACCCCAGCGCTCAGCAGCGTGTTTCTAACAATGATTGTTTCGTTTTATAGATTTGGAAATTTCCAAGCCACAACGATCGACCAGACCCGGCCCTGCAGAGCCGGTTCGTGCGCCGCCACCTCGCCGCTCCCGATCGCCAGAGTTCAGCCGTGCTGGTCCTGCCCGGTCCAGCGCCCGAGCCCCTGGCGATCGGTTCGACCGGCCGCATGAAGCCGCTCGGCTCCCGTTCAGTGATTTCCGGGACGAACCTAGCTCGCACCGCCGACGTGATGATTATCGCCCCCCGCGCTCGCCTTCGCCTCGCCCTTTCCGTCGAGATGGATATCGATCCCGAGATCGGACTCCTGAACGACTCGACCGTCGCGACCGACGACGATCGCGTTCACCCCCCGCTCCCCGCGATCTCCGTATACCCGAGACCGTCGGTATCGCAGCCCGAGTCCCCGGCCTCGTGGTGTTTATGAAGGAGAGGCAGATCTCCCAGTCCCTCGACGAGCCCCGCGAGATGTCCCTGAAGTCCAAGTCCTTGTTCTGGAAGAAGTGGACCGGAACTTCACCCTGCATGTGGAAAACGCCTTTCGCAATCGCGGTCTCCGTGTAGATGTTCTGGTCCTTGGTCCCCGAATTACTCTGGGTGCTGCCGTCCAGCGTCAGTATGTCGAGGGCGTGCTGGCCGTCGTTCGTCTATCACGACCTAACCAGTTCTCCCGCAAAATTCCCCTCCAGATATTTGATCGAAGCGCCGGGCCAACCAACGTGCGTTTCAGTGATTATCCCGAGCTCGACCCCAATCTCGCGGCCGAACTCATGTTTCACCAAGCCCAAGCAATGCAGCGAGGCCCCGCCCCCGCCTCATTTGCGCCTAATCCGGCTTTCGGCGTCCCTCACCTGCCGCCTATGCCTATGCCCCAGCCTTCGATGCCCCAGCCCGCGATGCCCCAGCCCGCGATGCCTGCACTCTCGAACCCACCAAACATTGCGAACTTGATTGGTTCTATGGACGGTCCAAGTCTCCAATCCCTCTTGTCGGCCCTTCAGCAGCGCCCCAATCCTCAATCGCAGCCTGGATCGGCAGCGCAGTCACCTTTCTCATCCCCCAATCCCCCTCCGCACGCCGACCTGGCGAGCCTTTTGACCAATGCGAACCGGCCTCCCCCCGTCCCCCCGCCCCCGCAACAACCTTTCCTCCACCCTCCTTTCGCCATCCATCCTCAAAATCCTCCGATGGTCTCCGATCCAAACCTTCTTTCACTTCTTGCGAAGGGTCTTGGGGGTCAGCCGCCACATGGTCAGGCACCTGCTGGTTCCAATGTCCAAAACATTATGAACCAATTGGCCAAATGGAAGCAATGATTTAATGATTTTCCTCCCTCATTATCGTTTCCTTATTGCAGATTCCAAATTTGCTTTCTGGAGCACGGCGTTTTGCTCACAGCTCAAATGCTGCGGTGGTTTTTGTCTGCTGTTCTCTGGTTTTGTTTTCCCTATCCTCATCTCCCATGCTGGCATGTATCCAGCGACTGCAATATTCGGCGTTTTGTTTTGATTCATGGGCCCTCTGGGCAGCAAATACTAGATACTATGGTGAACGGTGGTGTCTAGGCCGGAGTTGTCATGTATTTTTTCCATTTGCAGTAATGTCTTCGAGTTTTTACTCGCTTACATCTGCGCCGGTTAATGTTTCATCCACACAGTGCAAATACTAGTAATATGGCTCGTCCTGTTCGGACATTGCTTTCCTCAGGCTCAATGTTTTTTCTATTGATTTTGCATGATGTCCGAGTTCTGAAGTCATCCCAACGACTCGGGACTTTGCCGTGCTGTTTGTGTGCTTGGATCTAACAGTTTCGCTAAGGACAAATCCAGCAACGCATGAATCCATCAAATTTACAAGTGCACCAATGCTTACCTCAGTAGTGTTCCAAGTAGAACTTCTCAAACCTGTCAGATAAGAATTGGGATCAGGTAATGTCCATAAGTGGCCTTGCCGAATGCATAGAAAGTAGCATTAAAGCGAAAAGTCGTCAGAAAACATGATGAGTGGATATGGTACATAATGTACAAAGGTCGTCCGCCATCCAGCCCGTAATCAATAACTCCCGTCTCAGACCAGTATCACCTATTTAGAATTCCAGCCCTGCGACTTCAATTCTTGCACAGTCGCCGCGTCCTCCTTCTTGATCCGGGCAATTGTTTGATCTCGGTTGTATTCCATCACGCGCTTTTCCTTGAAGTATTTCACCTAAACAGCCAAAGCTTCATTAGTCCCAGCCCATAAGAAGACAACTGAAGCACACAAAAGGTAGCTTGATCTACCAGTGCCTTGCCCTCGAAAAGTCCAAGAGATGTTGCACGTACCCAAGTCGAGGAGCAGGCCGCTTCGAACTCTTCCACTTCCTTCGCGCACTTGCGTCGTGCCTCCTTGTCATCCTTGATGGCATCTAGGATATCATTCCGGTCCAGGCAGGCGAAGAAAAGGTCTCGGCCGTCCCAGCAGCGCTTGCGACTTCCTCGGTCCGGGGCGATGCGGCCGCCATCGGAAGCTTTGTTGCTCTCGCCAGAAGACCAGGGAAGCCACCCCATTTCGAAAGAAGATTATGTGGTCGGTATGGATCGTGTAGTTAATCGAGATAGGTAGTTGTCAGGAACACGTCTTGTGTAGCAAGGCGCAGAGGTCACGATGCTCGGAAGCGTGGAGCGCAGAGCGTAAGGTTGCAGGTCGTGGCTCCCGCGGACTCGGCAGCGCCAAGACTCTGCCTGTTGATCGTCACGGCCTCAACGCTGTCCGTCTCCCTTTTCCCACGACACTCACGACTGCTTACGCCCTATCGCTATCCCAGAACATAAACACTCCGTTTCCGTCGGGTTTGTACCCAAAATAAAGCGCATTTTTCCCAATACGCTCAACAGCCTTCGAATCCTGCGCCCAATCGCATGTTCGCTTCCGCCACGCTCGCCTGACTCGAGCGTTGCGCTCCTCTCCCACCAGCATCTCCTTCATTATAGACGGCTCAGTAAAGGTCCGCTGGCCTCCTAATTGATGGCCGGACGTCGGCGCCTCCAAGCAGGTTCGCGAACCGACCTCCCGCCGCTAAAGATCGTCCGAAAGATCATCGTACTTCAAATCGCCTATTATGCCTGCGCAACGGTACTCATCCTCTTCACGACAGTGGTGTACGGCACGCCATTCTCGTTGAATTTGGTCTTTGGCTGGGACTATCTACGCGGGGATACGACGGTGGGGTGGATGCTTGGACTTGTCTGGATGTTGAACTGTTTCATTAGGTGAGTCCACCTCGGCAGGTCGCCGAGTCTTCTTCCGACATTTCGACTCCTTTGCCTGACCGCTGTATTAAATAGCGTGATTTTCCTTCTTCTATTCGTCTCCCGGTCCAAGCTGGTTCCGGATTTCGCCCTCACGATTCACTTCTTGCACCTCGTCGCCACCACCCTTTATACCCACTCTCTTCCTTCAAACCTCCTCTGGTGGGGTCTACAAGGCGCCAGTGCCTCTATGATGATTTTTGTCGGTATGTGGGCTTGCCAGCACCGAGAACTCCGGCCGATCACCTTCACTGGGCTGGAAGGTAGCAGCCAGGCCGCATCCTCGCAGCAAACTGGCGGCAATGGTCAGCAGGAGTCAAGCTTTGGACGGGGTCGTGGGCGCGAGCGCAGTCTTCAGAATGAGTATGAAATGGATCAGCTGAAGGCGACCGGAGAGCACGCTGTATAAACACTTCATCTCGGCTTGACCTCTTAATGTCCTTTATCCCTGTTCTTTTCTATTTTGTTCTTTGGGTTGTAACTTTAAGGTATTTTCTTTTGTTGTCATGATCCCTGCTTCTGGTCAGCTGGGGTGCTTCTGCATTTCTTCTCATTTTTTGAATACCCTGCCACGGTTGCATACGTATAGATGGCGTTTGTCCTGGGCATGAGAAATGAATACTCATATTCGTTTGTCGATTACGTGGAGTGTTTGAATCAACTGGAGCTAGGTTCCATCAATGATACTCATTATTCAGAACTAGACGGAAAAGTAGATGTGGTGAACAAGTAGATAAGCAGGTACGACGTGGGATAGCATTTGGACATGCAAATTACCATAATTGGCTCTCAGGGAAGGCTTAAAACAGTTAATGGGATGCAAATCCTGGAGCTGAGACTCATCAGATATACCAAAACTGTAATTATGTGGATTAGTAGGATCCTGGGGCGGCGGGTTGTCAGGAAGCAGCGACTTGTTTATATCTACGACTAGTACCGAGTAGGAGCCCAAGGACAGTCCTTACTGAATCGTTTCCCCAGCGGCCCTCTTGGGCTCGAGACACAAAGGCTGTTCTTGTCCTTGGAGATCAGCGAATGATCAATCTTGGAAGTGTTTGCCTCGTTCAGGTTTGACCTGTGGGGAATCATTTTATTACCTTATTCAATAAGCGCTTATTCTACTAAAGCTGATTCTCGAGACTGTCAAGGATATTGCTGAGTCACCTGGATCCTTTTACTGGAGAACTCTTCCATTGCTCTCCTCGACGATCAATTCAAACTCAGGTTGGAACTCAGTATAGAGGTTGTGCTGTGAAGAGTAAATAAAGTTAGTAACTCTTGCATCAAGGTTCGTATCTGGCGAACTTACTGGGTTCTGAGCAACATCAGCAGTATATTTGGCTGCTTCGTCGCTGATAATTTTCTTGGGAATACCATTCGCGGCAGCTGCTTCAGCCATAAGTTGAGAGTGGCAAGCATTCTCGAGGAATGAGTATAGAATGGCCGCCTCATCCACCGTTCGACCGACAGTCAGAAGACTATAGCAGTTCCTCGTTAGAACAGTTTGCAACAGGGTTGTCAATGCTCGTTTGGACTTACCCATGGTTCTGAAGGATACATGCAATGTTATCCTTGCCAAGCGCGGCGGCAATTTGTCTTCCCTCCTCTTGTGATAGGGCAATGCCACCATGATCTTCGTAAACGCCCACACGGCCATACAAGTTGCATGCATCTGTCATTCGATCTTGTTAACTTATTTCTATCGGCATCCCAACAAGATGATCATACCTTGAGTGAGCATCTCGATAGGCTTTCCGAATGCACTCCATGTCTTGCCATGAATACCATGCGTGTGCGCTGCGGCAATGACATCCGGACGAGCCTTGTGAATTTCGGAATGGATCATGAAGCCAGCTTCATTGATGGGAATTTGGGCCCCACCCTCAGTGACATAACCCTCATCATCCACCAGAACCAGGTCTGAGGCCTTGATAGTGGAAAAGTGCTTGGCGAAGGGGTTCATCCAGAAGTGATCCTTCAGAATGGGGTCTGGTCACCACTAGTAAGTATAAATCGCATCAATCCTGGCTGCGGGAATTCGTCGCATACCTCGCATGGAGATGTGTCCGGAGACGCCCTCTCCATAGCCAAGTTTGCCAAAATAGCGAAAAGCAGCTGCCATGTGCTCTTTCATCCACTTCCGCTTTTCCAGCGGATCCGAGAACGTGGGAATTCCGCGCAACTTCAGGGTGCCGTTCCGGTTGCCTCGAGCCAAAGACTGGAAGCTAGCATCGCTGGCTGCCGGTTTGATCTGCTCTTCGCCGGCCAGGACGAACGAGCGTTCGGTTTGTTGAGCAGTAACCGTGGAGCTTGCCATGTTGGATGAACGAAAGGGTAAAACTAAGATATATGTTTTGGTTTCACGGGTGCTTGGATAACGAGACCTGATGTCGAAGGTCAGTTAGACTGGCAGTAGCGGAGTAGAGGAAGGAGACTGAAAGTATGCCCACCGTATCTTCTCGGCAATTTGCACGGGGAAATGTGAGTAAGGATCGCGGATTGTATCGAGGCCATGGCCTTATCTATGGGGGCCCCACCCCCCAAACCCCGCCTGGGTGTCATTGGAAGGCGGCGTGCTGTCGAAGAAAGGCGCGGACTATTTTCCGCTGACCACTAGCTAGACGATGATTGATGCAGTGCCCGGAATCTTACGATTGGAGAGCAAAACATCGCTCTTGATTGAGGAAAACGGGTGGCATCCTCAATCGCTCGTCGATGTGTTTGTTCATTGTGTTAGGTGCCAATTTGTGTAACCAGTTCGAGATTGTTTACATCTTGTATTTATATTTTTCTTATGAACTATAAATTCAAAAGGAGAATCGCTTTGATTTAAAGTGACGCGCTAGCGCTTTTTCTGAGATTTTAAGGAAATGCTGTTCATCGCCGCACTTGAAACTTGGATCTTCGAATCTATGGCCTCAGGTGTCAATAACGGCAACACGTGACTACTTTATCGGCGCCGTGTGGGATTATCGCGGAGCTCGCGACAGCTGTCTCTCTCCGTGAACTACATTTGACACTCTTTTCCGGTGCCAGGAAGAGTTGAGGGCAGACAAAACTTGTAAAATATCGCCCCATTGCCGTGCAAGTGTGTCAATTTGCCCTGAGCCTTCTGGCGACACTCTTACGGGGTTGATGCTGCAAAGCGTGCCTCGCCCGACTACAGTGCCCACCACATTTCTGCGCACTTCGATACAGATCTCAAGAACAGGCGCCTCGAGGCATTGAGCGCCATTTCGAACGATATATCTATTCACCATGGCGGAGGCAGAGCCGTCCTACATCGACTACGAGGCCTTTCTCGACCCCGACTTCTCACCGGCAGGCTTCGCCAATGCACTTGTACTCAGTACCAACAATGCAACAGACACGCCCCTGGATCTGTCAACGCCGCTCTCACGAGTACTGTTTGACCTTCAGGAGATCGACACTCATATCCATGCCCTGACTACAAAATCCGCCCTACCGCTATTAGCCCACACCCAAAATCAAACCGGAGCGGCGGACAATATCCTGAAAGAGACAGGAACGCAGATTGCCTCCGTGACACAGGGTTACGAGCGTTTGGAAAAGGAGGTGGTGCAAAAATGGAAGGCCGCGGACGAAACCCGCATCGCGGCCGAGAAGTCGTTGGCTACGGTTCGGCTGGCACGAGCTGTGTCGCGCTGTCTCGGGCTGGGCCGGCAGTTGGAGAGCCAAGTCGCAGAGATTCTGGGACGTGGAAGCGTTGGACAGACCAACACGTCCGGCGCCGAGGGAGCAGCGTCAACAACTGGTAAAGAGAGCTTTCGGGCGTTGGAGCGTGCAGCCTACACGATCCTGAGCCTGCGGCAGATGTTCGCGGCCACCTCCGAAGATGACGAGGGATATGGGCTGGACCGTGTGAAAGTTACTCGCACGTTGCGGAATGAGTTTGTAATCCCTGCCGAGAACATGATCAAGTCAAGGGCACAGCAGACCGTCAATCAGTTCTCGATATCAAGTTTGAGGGTCACCTCAAATGGCCAATCGTCCGTGTCGAGCTACAAGCAAGTTCGCGACGCAAAGTCACGACTGGCTACCGCCGCTGCGACTCTGTATCTCCTATCACCTATGCCGAAAGGGACCGTCTCTGCATCAGACTATAAGGCTGAGCTCCTCGTTTCGACCCTGCAGGGCTACATGCATACCGCCATAATGAGCTCCGTGAACACTCTTGCAAAGGCGCTATCGCAGCTACCCACGATGGACCGAGCGTTGGCAGATGTTTCCGCCCGGTGCCAGGACGTTGTCGCTCTCGAGTCCATTCTACGACACCTTCGTGCACCATCACATCCTCTCTTTGATTCGAGCAGCACCACTGTCGACCAGCCTCCTTCTGAATCCGAAACGGCAGCAGACCAGAGTAAGACTCATAATCTCTTGCAACCACTGCTTCGAAATCTCGACACTTCTTCGTTGCCGTCGTACTACTGGCGGTCCCTCGCCTCTTCGTTGAGCGGACGTGTCCAGGAGATTGTGAACCGCGGTGGCGTGTCTGCACGGACACTGCGGTCGAACCGGGACCGACTCAAGACGGAGATCAAGGAGTGTGTGCTTCGGTCCTCCCAGGCATCGGCCACTGGCGCGATGGCCGATAAGGGCCGATCGGGGACCGACCCCGTGAGCGTGGGCAACTGGGAACGGGAGGCTGCGGTGATGGTCAGCTCGGTTGTCGGACATTTAGGGCGTTGAACTACGCCGTCTAACAACTCTAATTGCTCCTATCTGGCCCTCTGCGTGGCGTGGATATGCTCGCAGGGACCATGGGGCGCAAAGATCTACAGCAGATCTCATATACATTTAACACAGTGCATAGATGTCACCGCAAGGTGGTGACAAACCAAATTTAATGAACCAACGCATAGCACATGTTGCGCAGTGCTCCCCTACACTAGTGTATCGCGCCTCTTCATATGTTTCCGTAAACGTTCCCGTCTCTTCCCAACCACCCGGATGTGATCCCTCGCTGATCAGTCCCCTCTCATGTAACTCTATCTTTTCAACCACGGTACACCCGATCTGGCAGCCGTGCACTACCCCAGGGAAAGAACATCGGCCAGGTCCCAGGTACCTGGCAGAAGGTAAACGTACCTTGGGAAATGGACGAGGTGACACCGGCAGGATAAGGCTTCAAGAACCAGTGGGAAGAAAAAGCTCCGGACTCGGAGATTTTACGGGGGAATGAGGAGTCATCTGACTGCTGCACGATGCACTGGGTGGCTTACTGGAATCATGTTTTGAAGGTGGCTGGGACCTGACCGCGCGCACTGCAGTTTGACTCGGGTTGCCTTGCTGTGCCATGTACAAATGCCCGCGGGCGCCAATCCTCAGCATCCGAGCGTGCCAGTGTTGTCGAGCTGGATGGGAGGCAGGAACCTGGCGATGGTACTAGCACTGGCACTGGCAGATGCCTGTCAAGGCGAGCCAGCATTCCGTCCGATCTCAAACCACGTGGGCCCTGCTGGCCTCTGGTAGCTGGCAGCTCCCAGCTCCCAGCTCCCCGCCTCGTTCGCCGTTCGGGAGGGTACCGAATAGCCTCATCTTCTGTGTCATGGTGCCGAGAATCAGGTCAGAGTGTCGTGACGAGTGCCCCGTGCACGCCGTACGTGGCCGGACCCTCCAGGTACGCATCGACACATCCTTCGACACGCTCAGGTACATGGATCCTCCCGGCTCGACATGCAGAGCGCGCGGCGTCATTGGCGGGGGCCAAATTCGACGAGGCCACGAGCGACAACTTGTCATCTGCAACTCTGCAAGTTGACCGCTTCAAAGGCGACCCTGCCACGACAGGATCGACTCAGCCCCGTCCCTGGCGTGTCCGAGTCAGGCCCAGGAACGAGCGGTTATACTCTAGTACAGACCCTAGGGTATAGTATAGTACCCTAAGTATAGGGGGTACGGATGTACTCCGTACTCCAGGTCTGCCGATCGCCACCAGTCGACGACGTCACTCGATCCACCCTGTCGATCGCGAGGCTTTCCACTAACCCACCTGGGCCGATTCGACATTCAAATTACTTGTGGTGCCTACTCGACTACTATTGTAATAAAACTATAGTAGAAGTAGTGCAATACATTGAGGGCTAGTATCAACGGGTCCTCACTGTCGCTCACGATGATTTCGGTTATCGATCAGCCCTGCAGCCCCTGCCTCTCACGTAGGTCTACGATGATCGGTACCTGGCTCTACCTGGCGCACTGGCCGCGGGCTCGGTGGTGGCGCCCTGCAGATGTACCTACAGGTACCCGCGAGGCCCTTTGATCCCAGCCGCGTTGCCGTTGTGGACTGCCTTGCCAATCAGCACCGGCCGTCTGCAGTGAACAGCCCCTCCCCCGAAGAGGGGCAGGGCGTTGATCTGCGCCTCGGGGCTATCTGCCGTCAAGTCACGTCTGCAATCCATAGATGATGAAGTCGTGGGGGACGATGTGTCTCAGCGTACGTGTATCCTACGACGCCTGCGCCAATCACCGTCCTGCATCCCACCTTTTTCCTTTCCAGACCCCTCCTCCCATGGCCTATGGCCTTCTCCCCGCTGGTGCGACTAGTTGGAAAGATCGAAAGTGGAAAAACAAGAGGAGGCGATGAGAGGAAAACAAGAAATGGCAGCACATCATCCCAGTTGCGGGTGGCGTCACAGATCCCAGTTGCCGTGCGCGCCGGCCTTTCCCCTCTTGCCTGTCTTTGCCCCCCTTCATTCAGCACCCAAGTCTGGGTCGCGAGGAGGTGCGGGCTGCAACGGACCATGACAACCGGGCAGGAAAAAACTCTCGGACGGCGGGAATAGAGTACATTAAAGTACTTGCGTACCGTGGACTCTCGTCCGCATATCGTCATGTGGAGGGCGACTATTGTGCGACCTGGGGGAGAAGTGTCGATCATCGATCTCATTGCGCGCAGTGCCGTTTGCAGACCAGGGGGAAGAAAAAAGAAAGTAAGCCGGTTTACACGGACGCAGGCACGGAGATGCTCTAACGGGCGAGTCGGTGCCCGCCGGGCCCTGAAGGTTTCGAAACAGCTGGACGTGCGGGGGAGGTTTTCGAGGAACCAGCTTTCGACCTTACATAGTGGATGTAGAGGAGGGAGATGCTGAGGAGGTCCAGATTTGAGGTCGGTACAAGTATACCTTACGGTACATACATGACTATTAATACTTTTATGAGTGTTGCTACCAGGCAGTCCCGATAGCCGACATGGGAGACCCCGCATCTCCAAAATCTATATAGAAATGGAGTATGGCACTGCTAGTAAGTAGTCAGAGTCCAGGATGGCAGGCTGGCCAGATCGTACCTCTTGTCCATGGACCTCGAGGCTCGAGCCAAACCCGTGCTGTGGCGTACAGCACACCCCTCCCAGTGCGACAGGGGGTCCGATGAGACTACACTAGCGTGGTGCACGGAGATTTTCATGTTCATTTTGCATTTGACCCTACGTCTTTCAAGTGTTTGAAAAAGGATCCAGACGGACCATTCGGAATGGCCAGGACCCCTACTGCGTAACGTGCAAGCGCGCAGAGTCTCGTATGACGGGGGCTTCGGAGGATGACCTGCAAGCGATACATCGGATGCAAGGGGGCCCGCATGGGTTTACTCCATTTACCCTGACCCTCTGCAGAGCATCGTACCAGGGACGATACGAAGTCAACGCGGTCTCGACCACCCTGTGGGCACCGAGCCAAACTCGCGCGGGCTCCACTGGGTGGTCAACGTCAAGGACTCTGTTCCCGCCGCCGTGGCTCGCGGGATCGGGGGTTCGAGGACCCTGGGGCATGAATCATCAGGTGCCTGGTGCCTCTATCTGCTTGGCTGATCTGCGTGCCAGGCTATACTTCCTCTAGTAGTAGTGTACTCGCAGTATCGTAGCAGCACGGCAGTATACTATGGATAAAACTAGTAGTATCCTAGTATCCAAGAAACAGGATGAGTGTCCCGAGAAAAAAGTCACGTATGTATTGAGGTAGGTACACACGCGATCTGGTGAAACGATGGCATCGGTAGTCCCGGAAGCCTCGAGTTCCTGGGATCTTCCGTCTGACTCGGCGTAAGCTGCTCGTTCGCCCCTCGCTTCCGATAAGCCTCTTCTCGTCGTCACCACTCCATCCCCAGGCTGGGTTCCTTTTCAATTCTTTCTTCTCCCACCAGGGCCCTCTCGGTGGCTTGCTCTCCTTATCTCCCTCCACATTAGATCGATCCCATCCTCCATCGGATCGTGATCTTTCCCTCACGCTGATTCCCAGCTACCTGCTCGCCTAGTTTCACCGGGCTCAGCTACGACATCCTGAAACCGCCTCCGGGCCCCCCCACCCTCGACGATCCCAACGATCCCAGTTTCTTCGCGTGGCGGTCTCCCTCGCAACGTGCCTCTTTCTCAAGAGATGCTCGCGATCGGCTAACGATCTTTTCCTTTTCCTCCCACATTTTTCCCCTCGCCAACCCTTGCGTCGCCACAACCTACGCTGCATTCCATTTCCGCCCCTCTAACCACCCCCCCCTCCTCCTCCGTTTGTGCCTGGCCTGGCCACCCCTCCTTTTTTGTCATCACAAAATAAAAAAAGAAAAAAAAAAGACCAAAAAAGAGAGGCAAGTAAGAGCCAACCTCCAACAATCGTACGTGTCCGAAATTCTCAAAGGGGGTCGTTCGTGTGTAGTTCGTCCGGTTACTGAGATTTTCTCTTGCGCAAATGTTCACAGTCAACTTCGCCATCCGCCTCCGCATCGCCTTCCCTTCCGAGTATTCCGGCCTGGCCCTGCGGATTCTTCGACACTTCCAACCGCTCAGAAACGAGAGACGCCCCGTTGGATCTGGGGTCATCAGTGAAACGGATCGGGTTACCGGCTTCGTGACCGCGGGAGGATAGGGTGGTTCTTTGCTGTCATTCGCCTCTGGCCCGCTCCGAAGCAGCGAGCCAGCTTGACATCACCCGCCTCCACCTCTTACGTCGCCGATCATGACTTCTTTCCTCCCCGTCAACAACTCGGCCACGACCGAAGAAATCGCCATGGACGGTGCGACCACCCCGCGTGCCCTGCCGAACGGCATCCCCGCCACCCCGGATAGATCGTCGACGACAGAGAAACCCCCGGACGCCGGGATCAACACCCTGGGGAGCGAAGACTCGGCGCGAGCGGTCTCCGGACACGCCAGGACCTCCTCAAATTCGGACGAGACGATGCACGGCGATTCCGAGGGAGAGTCAGAACACGAAGGGGAACCGGGCAGTGCGCCCCCATCGAAGAAGAAGAAGGGTCAGCGCTTCTTCTGTACCGACTTCCCACCTTGCAACCTCAGCTTCACCCGCAGCGAGCATCTCGCCCGACATATCCGTAAACATACCGGCGAACGCCCCTTCCAGTGTCACTGCTCACGGCGGTTCTCCCGGCTCGACAACCTCCGACAACATGCGCAGACCGTTCACGTGAATGAAGACATTCCCGGGGACTCGTTGGCCGCGACAGGCACCCGCTTTCAACGTCAGGTACGAACAGACCGGGTGCGTCCACCTGGACGGGCACGAGCCGGCACAGGAGGCAGCGCCGGCGGCGGCGGCCACAGCCGGGGCCACAGTCGGAATCTATCGACCTCGAGTATTACATCCACCACCTCGACATTCAGCCAACCCCCAGAGCTTCGGCGCAGACCTCCGCCTTTGATGATGGCCACCGACCCGACCGCACGAGCGCGAATGGGCCTGGACCCCATGGGCGAGCCTCCAAGTACGCCGCCAGGTCAGATGCGTGGCATTCCTGGTTCTGCAGCAACAGCCTCCCCATACACCCCTTCCAACGCTTTCTCTGCTGCAACGGGTAGCAGCCCACACTTCGCCTCCCCCATGTCCTCTGCGTCACACGGCTTTTGGGAGGGTAAGACAGCGGCCCGCCGGCTTTCGGTACCGACTAGTAGCAATCCATTTCTCGCACAGCATAGAAATGCGTATCCTCCGTCTTACGCCAACTCACCCGCTGGACCGCCTTACCCGAATGCAGCTGGAGTGTTTGCTAGCCCAACCAGCAGCAACTACCCAGCATCACGAGATGAGAGCACGATCAGCGCTGCGGAAGCTGAAATGCGCAGGCGAACCTGGCACCCGTCGACGTACCCAACATTTGGCCGCCCTAGTACGAGTGGTCTGAGCCAATATCATACACCCGACACCGTCCAACCCCAGTCTTATGGCGGGAACAACTCGGCAGAGCAGCCGCCGCGTTTGCCTGGAATCGAGAGCTTCGACAAGGTCGTCTCGCAACAGCGACCCTTGACCCCACCGACCCGCAAGTCGAGCCCGATGCAAATTGATAGTCAACACCGCCCACCTCCCCATTCCTCCAGCCACGGATTTAGCTCGGGATTCAACTATACCCAGCCATCGGTGCGTCCGGCGCCTCCAATTCCTGGCCCGGGCCATCGCCGTGGTCATGTCTCCTGGGATATGTCACTGCATACCAATCTCACGGGACTGGACATCCGTGATCGACGATCTTCCAGAGACGCATCGCAATGGAGCCAGCAGACCATTCAAGAGCTCCAGAACGTTTCCTCTCGCCCTTCCTCATCTTACCAACCGACGTTTGGCCCGACGGCGGAACGAAGCCCCGAGGAGCATCGAGGCCATGCACCCAGCCTCTCAACTGGAAGCCGGCCACCGGCCCATACTTCCCCGGAAGATTCCAGCAGCAGCGAAGGAGTTCATACCCCGTCGACGGCATCGGTTGAGTACCACCCGGCGATCGTGCACAGCAGCGGATATATTGAATCCCACGACTCCTCTCTACCGTCCGACCACCCTCAACCGGTAGGAACTCCTCTTCGAACGGACGGCCCACGCCTCGGTTGCTAATGCCGTCATAGATCTGTGATCGACCCGCCTCTCACGCCGACGGCTACCCGGGTCCCACCGAGCAAGAACCCCGATCGGACGCCTTTTCGGACACGTCCGCCCGCGATGCCGGTATGGGGCGGCTGGAGGCCCTGGTTGCCGTCGCGACCAGTGAAAATAAAGGAGCAGCCAAGCTGTTCCTGTAAATTGCCATGGTCATATCCGACAGTACAGCAGGACAAGAACTGTCTATATACTGTTTCATGATGCATCGACACCAAATACACTTGAATAGTTACATGCGGCACGGAACGGACCCATGTTTGGCATCCTGCTCTTGTCCATCTATACGCGACATTTGACTCGCTTCTCTCTCTCTTTCTCGCCGCCACCATCAGCGAAAAGAATCTCGAAGGCATAACCCACCATTCGCCTTCTTGTCATCTCTCTCTTTCTCTCTCTCTTTCCAGGGATCTCACGGTAGATCTGCTGACGATATGACGACTTGACGAATTTATACATGAAATGAAATCTCCTTGGATCTGCTTGGGAGTATTTTGTTGGTTTTGGTTAGGTTTGGTATTCTGGTTTTTCACTTTTGACTTTGATGTGCGCTTTCTCTTTTCCTCCTTCACGGTTGACGGTTCTCTGCTGCATGTCCTGGCGTTTCGAGCAGGAGCGTATGGATGGCATCGTGTGCATAACGATACCCCAGTCTCGCCGAACTGGACATTATCCACCCTACTCTTCCTCCCTGGTCGTGGCGTAGCTTCGATCGTTTCAACTCCCCAGTTGCCGTCTAGGTTGCTTCTCTCTTCTGCCTGTCCCATCTTCTTTTTGATCTGATCGGTGGTCTCTCCACGTCTACTTCGGTTCCAGTTCGATTGCCTTGTCTTATTACACCTTTTTACACCTTATGCGGTGGATCATGTCATGTCATGTTACCTACGGACTTTTTATCAGGACTTTATGATATAGGATGTTATAACCCAATATGACTGCCCATGCAATCTGCATTGGCCGCGAATTAGCCGTAGCTTAACGCATTTACCATGTAGTAGGACAGCTGTAGTGGGTTCATGTGAATATGTAGATGACGTTTACCCCGCAAAGAACAATCAGGATCGCCCCGGACTCATACCCGCATCGCCCATCACAGCTACACTTTAAATCCGCCAAGGGCCATGGGAAAATCGAGGCCCGAAGCAAGCTCGAGAAGAACGCTTAGCAAAGGACCGTGGTTCGTCCAAGCAATGAAAAGCGGAAACTTCAAGTACGCGGCGACCATGACCGGCCGATGACGTCGACGCTGGTCTCGATTTGGCATGGAGCCGCCCTGGTTGCGTTGCGGCGAGCTTGCTTAGTGCGGAGTCAATTGTCGAACTGCGAGAAGGGAAGAGAGGCAATGAGATCGATCTCAGTAGGATTCGAAGGTATTGAATAATTGGAGAAGCTGCCGCATAGCTTAATGGATTGACTCGATTTATTCGACGTATCACAAAGGTGCCTGCATCGCTCGTGCCGGCCGACGAAAGTATCCGGCCGAAACGAGGATACGAACGAACTCGGCACGACAGACGTCATAGTCTGGTGACTGCGACCGGCCTTTAAAAGAAGGAACCCCGTACGACCGTCCTCCAATTCTTCTCTACAAAGTATTCGTACCTGACTCCTTGCACCTCTCCTCCAAATCTCTACCATCATGTCGAAGAACCGAACCGGTCTCTATCTGGGTCTCGCCGCTGCCGGCGCTGGCGGGTACTACCTCTACCGTGCGGGCGGCGATGTCCGAGGCGCGAAGAAGGAGATGAAGTGTATGTCGTCCAATTCGGTCGCTTGTTCCATGATTTATGTCTTGTGCCGTGTGAATGTATTGACTAACATGCTGCGCTCAGTTGATGCCGAGAAGGCGCGCGAGAAGCTGCCCATGGGCAAGGACGCCGAACAGAAGGGCGCAGAGGTCGGAAAGGAAGCCGGTGCCCAAGTCGACGAAGCTGTACGGTCTACCCCATTTCTTTTCATCATTTACTCTTTTCCCATCTGCTTCCTGCTTGCGTTATGGTGGCACGACTGCCATGTCCATGCTTCCCGCTCCTGATGTTCTATGATGTATGCCAAATAGTGGAGACCACGCTAACAAGCTGGTTAACTTGCAGATCAACAACGCCCGTTCCAAGTTCAAGCTGGACGAGCGCATCCCCGAGGCCGCGCAGGATGGCAAGGAGAAGCTCGATGGATTCCGTCAAGATGCCCGCGACAAGATCAACAGCACTGTCGACCAGGTGGATCGGACCGTGGAGCAAAAGGCCGGCGAGGCGAAGGGAACCGTCTCGGGCTGGTTCGACAGGAAGAAATAGAGATCAGTACATAATCTCTGCTGGAGTCGAGAAGGTACTTCGGTATTCACTCACCCCTGTATTGAGGGATGGGTTTTGGAACGTCACTCTAGTTTCATAATAATGGCGCATGACTATGAATGAATCATCTTATACATCAACGAGATCAATCCGTCTAACTACAGAGCTTGAATGCATTTTAAGCCAGACCAGTGGAACTCTGAAGGAAGGAATGAAACCGACAAATACTCCGGAATGGTCAATATCGGCTTCCGGCTATATAGCGTCAAATCCAGATTCCCCCCACCACAGGCACCGTAAGTTTTTGCAACAAACGTGGCCCCGCCTGGTTGACTTGCAGCAACGGGGCCAATTGATCGAGCAGGCCAGACTTATCACTAGCTCGGTCAGACTAAAGCCCGTGCAGTCGAGGGACCATCCCCGTGGCGCATTCCGATACCAGGCCATCACCATAGTGACGAGAATGCCACCCCACGGGAACTGTTCCTTATAAAATTAGTTTATTTTACTTTGCGATTCCCAAGTCTCTTGTGATTTCCAAAACAAATTTACTGTCGAGATTTATTCTTTTCAAATTGTCGAGAACGAAGTTGCTACGCGACGTGTCACTCATTAAGCCTAATCGGGACAAGCGTGTTTCCACACGCGCCGACGCGTCTCAGGCACTGCGCGCCCTGTTAACACGGCCTTCTTTTCCGATTTCCTCTCCACAGTTGAGCTTTCCTCATTCTACCTCACCTTTTAATACTGCCATTTGGTATCTCTTACTCTGCTTATCATTCACAGTCTCCAATCGCAGGTCGCAATTTCCTGATTTCCCCGAAATCCGACCCCTGGAGCGACAAGACAAGAAAAAACTGCAGTCGCGATGCCGTGCACCGCCAGAGCGCCCTGCCTTCCCCAGGCTCAACCAGGGATCTCAGCCTTTGGCCGGGCAACGAAAGCCAGTGTCCCCGCGCCATTGACCACGAAGAAAGCTGCGACCCTCCCGGTTTCTCCATCCAAAAAGCGAAAACTGCAAGAGATTGAAAATGTCGACACCACCAACCGGCAACCACCAACGGAGGAAGCCGAGACCCCTCCAAGTCTCTGAAGCTTAGCGAACTCTCTGTCAACTCGCCTCGCAGCGGCCACTTTGCTACTTCCAAGCGGACGCCCAGTCGTCGAACTCGTGTTTCAGCCAAAATCCCCGAGTCGCCCTCCACCCCCGGCACCCCTTCGAAGCAGCGCACCCTCAACTTCCAAAAAGTCATTCCCGAGCCGAAACTCGCTCCTCGCTCTAAATGTATCACCGAATTTGTTGATCTCCACTCCGCTTTCGTTCAAGCCCTCTTCATCCACGCGGCCCACAATGGCCCCTCAACTCCTGCCGACCTCAGAGAATTCCTTCCCAGCGTCACCCGGATTTGGAAGAAGCGCAAAGTGCAGCCCAAGGATCTGCAGCGCCTCGTCTGGGTCTGGGAGCGCAGCCTGAAAGCTAAAGAAGTCTCGTATCGTCTGGCAAATTACGGTCTCGGAAAAGTTTGTCTTGAGCGAGTGGTGGTGGTGCAGGCGGATGAGCAGCCTTCCGCCCTGCAAGATGCTTTTGAGCAATCGTTTGACCTCATCTGGGAACAAACCGAAGAGTCCCTGAAGGATGCCAAGGAAGAAGATCGCCCCGCTTTGTTTCTCGAGACTCTGGGCCTCGCTACTATCCACGAATCGCTCGCCCCCTTTTCCGCGTTCCAGAAAGGCCAGCAGCGTCTGCAGGACCTGAGAGGAGGTGTGATCCGAATGAAGACCGAGATGATGCGTGCCGAGACACAAAATACTGGTCCCAAGACTCTGGCTGCCACCAACAATCGCCGACAGAGTCTCTTGGACCGTATTAAGAATAAGGAGCTCCGCCAATCCAAACTCCCTCCTCCTCCGACCAAGAAAGAAATGGTACGCCGAGCTGCGGCCGAGCGTGTGGAGGAAGTTGCGAACATCCTGGCACTTCTCCGCCCCGCTGGATATGTCGGCACTGGTATCAAAGCTATGCTTGCGAATCAACGCAAGCCTTTCAAGCTTGAGACCATGGTCGAGCATGTGCGTGACTCTGTCCGCAATCCCATTCCAAGAGAGGAAGTTGAGGCGTGCATTGAGATTTTGGCGGATACCCGCGTGGCCGGACACTGGGTGAACCTCGTGACAGTCAACGAGATGCGCTCAGTTGTGTTGAAATCCTGCAAGGATATTGCGGCTAAGGAGCTTGTGGCCAAGGTTGCCCAATTGAAGGTAGACTGGGAGAAGACAGGTTCTTGCACACCCGGGTCTGTCCTGACAGGCATTTGAAAGGATTCTTTATGATTGAATCACATATCCTATAATTATCACCGCAGAGCTGGTCTCGAGACGGTTCTGCATCAGCGTTGTGCTTGATACCCTGTACTTTAGCACCTCATGTTATACCCTCTACCATTAGAGGCTTTAGCCATTAGACTCGAAGAATATCCCTAGGTAATATTACGAATAATCAGAAAACCGCAGGCTTCATTTGTAGATTGGTGCCTAGGGCAATGCATCGCTGTGCTGCAGTATGGGCCGGCCACTAATTGGTAAGCACTTAACGCGCGACGCGCTCCACACGTGACACGCGTCGGGACGTATCTCGACTGCAGCGACATTCCCTAAAGCTGCAAGTTGGTGATTACATTGCCTTTGCTGCTATTGCTTGCAAAATCACTGGCACGATGTCTTCTCGACCTGATCTGAAGGTAAACTTCTCTGATTCCTTGCTAAGTCAATCCCAGGGGACGGTGGCTAACCACTCTTCCTGAAACCGCAGGTTGACGACGAAGTCGGTTTCATTCGCTTCTACAAATCCCTCCCCGAAACCGATAACAATGAGATGATCCGTGTATTTGACCGTGGGGATTGGTACTCCTCTCACGGCGCCGATGCCGAATTCATCGCGCGCACCGTGTACAAGACGACTTCTGTGCTCCGCAACCTTGGCCGAAGCGAAACCGGCGGCCTTCCCTCCGTCACCATGAGCATTACGGTTTTCCGCAACTTCCTCCGCGAGGCTCTATTTAGATTGAATAAGCGCATAGAGATCTGGGCTTCTGGTGGCACAGGCAAGGGTAACTGGAAGCTGGCCAAGCAGGCTAGTCCCGGTAACCTGCAAGATGTCGAGGAAGAGCTCGGCAGTGTGGGAGCATTGTCTATGGATTCAGCACCTATTATTCTCGCTGTGAAAATTTCAGCCCGCGCTTCCGAGGCTAGGAACATTGGTGTGTGCTTTGCGGATGCCAGTGTGCGTGAGCTTGGTGTGAGTGAGTTCCTGGATAACGATGTGTATTCCAACTTCGAGTCTCTGGTCATCCAGCTCGGCGTCAAGGAATGTTTGATTCAAATGGACACTACACGGAAAGATGTTGAGCTGGGCAAGATCCGCGCTATTGCCGACAGCTGTGGAATTGCCATCTCTGAGCGGCCCGCCGCCGACTATGGGACCCGGGATATCGAGCAAGATCTTACGCGCTTGCTACGTGATGAGCGATCGGCCGGTACTATTCCCCAGACAGAACTTAAGCTTGCTATGGGATCTGCTGCTGCCCTGATCAAGTACCTCGGTGTCATGAGCGACGCGACCAACTTCGGTCAGTACCAGCTTTATCAACATGACTTATCCCAATATATGAAGCTTGACGCTTCTGCTCTCCGCGCATTGAACCTTATGCCTGGTCCCAGAGATGGATCTAAGAGCATGAGCTTGTTCGGTTTGTTGAATCACTGCAAAACTCCCGTCGGAAGTCGTCTGTTAGCGCAGTGGCTGAAGCAGCCATTGATGGATCTCGCCTCGATTGAGCAGCGCCAGCAGCTGGTCGAGGCGTTTGTGGTCAACACAGAGTTGCGACAGACGATGCAAGAAGAGCATCTCCGTGCTATTCCTGATTTGTACCGACTTGCCAAACGCTTCCAGAGGAAGCATGCGAACCTGGAGGATGTTGTTCGCGTGTACCAGGTGGCAATCCGTTTGCCTGGATTCGTCAATACCCTGAACGATGTGATGGATGAGCAGTACCAAGGGCCTCTGGAAGCGGAATATACCACCAAGATTAGTGCCCATTCAGACAGCTTGGTCAAGCTGGAAGAAATGGTGGAGACCACTGTTGACTTGGATGCTCTGGAAAACCACGAATTCATCATCAAACCTGAATTCGACGAAGGTCTTCGAGTCATCCGCAAGAAACTCGACAAGTTGCGATACGATATGGATATGGAGCACCGCCGTGTGGCGAAGGACTTGAACCAAGACATGGAAAAGAAGCTGTTCATGGAAAACCACCGTGTGCACGGCTGGTGCTTCCGTCTTACTCGTACTGAGGCAGGCTGCATTCGCAACAAGAAGGGATACCAAGAGTGCTCGACCCAGAAGAATGGTGTCTATTTCACCAACTCGACTATGCAGTCCCTCCGCCGGGAGCACGACCAGCTGTCTTCCAATTACAACCGCACCCAGACTGGTCTTGTAAATGAGGTCGTCAATGTTGCCGCCTCTTACTGCCCCGTTCTTGAACAACTTGCCGGTGTTTTGGCTCACCTCGATGTCATTGTGAGCTTTGCCCATGCATCCGTCCATGCTCCTTCAGGATATGTTCGTCCCAAGATGCACCCCCGTGGTACAGGCAACACCGTCCTGAAGGAGGCCCGTCACCCGTGTATGGAAATGCAAGATGACATCTCATTTATCACCAACGATGTCTCCTTGGTCCGCGACGAATCGTCATTCCTCATTATCACCGGTCCAAACATGGGCGGAAAGTCCACATATATCCGTCAAATTGGCGTTATCGCGCTGATGGCCCAGACTGGCTGCTTCGTGCCCTGCACAGAGGCCGAATTGACCATCTTTGACTGTATCCTGGCCCGTGTGGGTGCTAGCGACTCTCAGTTGAAGGGCGTGTCTACATTCATGGCTGAAATGCTCGAGACCGCCAACATTCTCAAGTCTGCCACCTCCGAATCTCTGATCATCATCGATGAACTTGGTCGTGGAACCAGTACCTACGACGGCTTCGGTCTTGCCTGGGCCATCTCTGAGCACATCGTCACTGAAATTCGCTGCTTCGGTCTCTTTGCGACTCATTTCCACGAACTTACCGCGTTGGCGGATCGATACCAGAAGGCCGTGAAGAACCTGCATGTCGTGGCGTTCATTGGCGATGGCACTGAAGCTGCAGCTGTAGCTGAGGATGAAGCTGAAAAGAAGAAGCGACAAGTCACCTTGCTCTACCGAGTTGAACCTGGTATTTGCGACCAGTCATTCGGTATCCACGTCGCGGAACTTGTTCGCTTCCCTGAAAAGGTCGTGAACATGGCCCGTCAAAAGGCAGAGGAGCTGGAGGACTTCACCTCGGCAAATCCCGAGAATGCAGAGAAAGAGCAGCCTGCTCCTTCGCTGGATAAATACTCGCAGGAAGAGGTGGAAGAAGGCAGTGCTCTCCTGAAAGAGATGCTTGTGAAATGGAAGGCAGAGACTGAGGGCAAGGACCTCTCTTCGGACCAGAAGCGGCAGATTATGCGTGACTTGGTGCAAGCAGATAGTAAGCTCCAGGCGAACAAAGTGTTCCAGGGCATCAAGTCTCTATAAAGGTGGGGACGAGGCTGTCCGATTGAGTATGGCGTTTAGGCAGGGACCACTTGGAAAAAGGCATTGAATGAGACATTCCCACATTACCTATTTCGGGATCATGGTAGCACTATTGTTTGAAATTCAATCATTCTCTAGCTTTTTTCTCTGCAAGCGGTGATTTCAACACCATTATACCCTATCTACTACGAAGACTGCCCGTTGGGGGAGTCTGGGCCAGTCACGTGGGCAACCCTAATGGACCTAGACGTAACGCGCAGCGACAGCGGGTGTGGTCGGCGTCCGCCGTCGTTGTCCCTGTCCCTCGTTCTGTTGAAGCTCCGCAGACCAGAGTATCCCACTCTACTCTCGTCACGTCGCGTCTTCGAGTCGCTCACCACACACAGCTTCCATCAGAACCCCAACCACTTCCCGACATCTTCCCAGCTATGCGCGCGAACTAAAACGCGGAACCGCTTGAAGCACCCTGATTCATGCACCCCTTTTCCATCCTCACCCTTGGGATCTTTGTCGCGGGCTACATCACCGCCAGGTGGGATCTTGTGACCCGCCTGTACGAATTGGCCATCTTTGCGTGGGATCACGGAGTCGTGGTAAGTATTGTCGTGGTCGTTTCAGGGCGGCCCCTCCGTTCCCGCTTGAAGCTTGGCTATGCGCGCCGTTGAATGCCAGAAAAGCTAACCATGTTCCTGAATTCTAGACACGAACGCTAAAGGGATTTGTATTCTTGTCCTTTTTCTTTTTCCTCCTCGTCCTACCGATCAACCACATCGCTTCGAAAGAGGGTAATCAGGTAAGCTCACACCGCTCGCAATCGCTCCAACGCCGAAGGAATGCCTCGAGAACTGCGAGGACATACAGGGACAAAGTAACGTAAGACTGATCTCACTGGCTTCCAACAGCACCCTCGCCACGTGAACCTCGGCGTCTCCGCCAGAGAACAGTTACGACGTCGCGGCTCCTTCTAAGGGTTGAGTGGAGGATGACAACATGCTGATGAGCGATGGATTGCTGCGGGTATTCTGGCCATATGATCTCCCGCGATCATCTTCGCCGGGAGTAATAGTGGGATGGCGAAATTCGGAGCTCGACTTGTTTATCTTGACCGTCTTGGAAGATGTTGAGGTGCGTGGCCATTAATCTCAATCGTCGTATGCTCCTGCAGCCAACGCTAATTTCTTCCTCGCCGAATAGCCTCGAAATGTTGACAATGCGCTTCGTGCGGGCATACTCTTTCGAAATAGCCCGCATCCAATCGTTCGAATCTTTACCCTCTGCGGACGATCTCAGATGCATGTTCTCGGCTCCACGAATTCGCGCACTCCGCCGACGTCATTTAATCCCTCCCATCTCTATCTCGATACACACCCGTCAATGAAAGCGCCACAAATATACTGCCCGGCGGATGCCAACCTGTCGGTTCAGGTCATAATGTACCATCGCCCGCATCCGACGCGCATGGAGTACATGTCATTAGACCCCATTTCACTTGCGTTGGGTGATAAGGTCGCAACAACGGGAAAGGGCGGTTCGCTATCAGAAAAAATCGAGTCGGAGGAAGAAAAAGAAAAAGCACGAGCTGGAGTCCTGGTTGAGAAATTGAAGCTCCACACTGTTGTCAAGCACATTCCGTCGCAGAAGGAACAGGCTCTTCCGCTTATCATCAACCAGGTCAACTGTGCCTACGAGATGGCGCAGTTGATGCACAAAAACAGTCATCTCATTGGGATCCGCGCAAAGCGAAGCATGAGTGTTGGAGAGCGTGTAGTGGAATCCGCTACAACCTTATGGGGTTTCATTGTGCTCTGCATTGCTCATGTTTTCTGGCAATGGATATGGCCCGTCGTCACTCGGCTCTTCGTCATCGGTCTTGTGGGACACCGATCTATCGCAGAGATTGTTCTACAGGTCCTGGAGTGGCGAGCTCGTCCAGACGCTGCCGCTATCAAAGATATCTCAGCGACAGCTCAGCAAGTTGATATACGACTACAGCAATTTTGCTACTGGCCTATTCAATATGTCAAATTGCGCCAGCGGAAGGACAACTGGGAAAGTGTGACAACCAGCCACCCGGATTACATTCGATTCTATAACAGCCTTTGGCTTGTTGCCAATGATGTGATCATCGGCATTGCTCTTGGGTCCTATATTATCGATAACGCAAACTGGGTGGCTTCGCAAATCAACACCATTTTGACCGGTTGGACAGTGGAAGGCTTACAGCGGACTATATCCTGGCTGATGGACTGGCCTGCGGGCTTGAAGCTGAACAATGAGCTTGCGGCTTTTCTGGGTGACCTATTCCTGTGGGTCATCGAAAACTGGGCAGCTTGCATTGCCAACCTTCAGCCCTACCTCCCGGCTGTCATCTACATTGTCGGTTGTTCCAGTTTCGCGGGGGCCAGTATGCCCATCGCGCTCTTCTCTGATCTCCTTTCGATCCTGACCATCCACATCTACTCCTTCTACATTGCCTCTGCGCGCATCTTCAACTGGCAGCTTACGATCATCATCTCACTTTTCCATCTTTTCCGCGGGAAGAAGCGAAACGTCCTGCGCAACCGAATCGATTCATGCGATTATGACCTCGACCAACTCCTACTGGGCACTATCCTGTTCACAGTGCTCTTCTTCCTCTTACCCACTGTCATTGTCTTTTATTTGACATTCGCTTCGGCCCGCATGTTAATCATCTCTATGAAAGCTGGCCTGGATACCTGGCTTGCATTTCTGAATCACTTCCCGCTATTTGCCTTGATGCTGCGCGTCAAAGACTCGAGACGACTTCCCGGTGGTATCCGGTTTGAACTGAAAGATGAACTGGACAAACAGGCTGCGAATCCAGCTTCTTCTACCGTGTCCTACATTCATTTCGAGGTTAGTATTATCTGAAGACTTTCCATTTTCGAGAAGTGAAGTTGCTAATTTTGTTAATATCCAGTCTATCCCTTTGCCACTTCGTGCCATGTTCGACCAGTACTTCCAGCTCGGCCATCGACTTCGCAAACATTATCTGGCGCCCCGCGTCATCTTCTGTCTTGTTACCGGCCGCTTCGTGCCACCTATCCATCGTCGCAACCTATACAGTATGCAGTACAGCATGCTTCCAGCACGTCGTGCTGGGATGGCAGACGTCTGGGCGATGCTTACGCAGCCGAAGAAGAGCAGTAGTGGCAGTGGCGGCTCCGGGCCAATAATGGTTGGAGGCATCGGGGGTCTGGGCGGACCAGTACCTAAGGTGCCGCCTAATTTTGGACAGAACGATCCTCGGAGAAGGGGCCATCGGTGATGTCAAGTCTTAGCAATAATACCCTAGTAGAAAGCATTGCATTGAGCATTTTATTAATGGATTGCGTTCATCCATGTGAATGAACGAGGCTTAGTTCCTGGTACACTCATTTAAGGCCGACCAGTAAATTTGAGATGTTTGGAATATGTCATGTAGACCGATGATAGTATGAACAGAAGGATGCCAAATGCAAAAACGTCGCATTTGATGCCGCTATTACCGTTTGCGCTTGGTTGATTGAAAAGAAACCTGCTCTGCAAATTCGAAACAAAGAAAGCGTAGAGATGCTTGAGGGGAGATGTAACGCAAGCTCAAGTCCAATCATGACTTTTTGAGAAACTCCGCATCAGTCTCACTACTGCCCTTTCGAGCATCCTCTAGCATGGTATCAATGCCCCTTTCCTTGAGGACTTTCTGCTCATCCAATCAAGATGGTTATTTACTGACCATCGATGAGACAAAGAATAGATGCAGCACTCACGTTAAGGCATGTCTTGTACTTTGTGAACAGCTCCTCGCATTCATTTGAGGTGGTGTTGCCACGCAGGTATTCTAGTTCGTTGTCAGCTTTATGTTTGTCATAAATGGGCTCCCGTAACAGGACAAAGTATGACATACTCTCACTGTACCATTTGAGAAAGCAAGTATCGTATTTTCTGCCAAGATTCGTGTTAGTTGAAACCGTTTGTCTATGGTGATGCATGTCCAGGCATGACGTGGACGTCAGCATACTCTTTGATTTCGTTGCATTCAGGGGCAATAGAGGCAGCCATTTCAAATAATAGTGTGCTGCCAGTCACAAAGTGCTTCCTCTCTTCAATGCTGGACTTGCAGGCGAGCTGTTTGTATGGAGAACAAGACGGTTGGAGGTGGAGGAAAAGACGAGCACATGGGAGTGGCCAATGAGATGTCTGCCTCTGTGGGTAAGGCGGTGAGCCACTTTTCTTCCTACTTTTTTTGGAGCTGATCCGATCTTCAAGTTTTTGTCTGGAACTTTCATTTCGCAAACTCGTTTCGCCTTCGATCGGAGCTTTGCCATGGAGTCCGCAGAGTTTCCTCAGTTTCAGGAGAAGCTGTCGTCCAATCTAGTTCAGGTGACTCGTACCGTTGGCCAACTGGCTGCAGAGGACCTGAACTTCCAGCGCACCTCCGGCGCGGACTTTGCAGATTCGCTTGACGAACAGAGCGACCGGATCCTTACTTTGGTTTCGGCCGTCCTCAAAGCTGCGACTGCTGGGTCGGATCTCGCCAACCCGGCCTTGCCTAATGAGGACTCATTGGAAGACAACTGGCGCGGCGTGGTGGACGTGATTGATTCATTGCTGGAGAAGACGGATGCGTGTTTGGATGAGTTCACCGGCGTGATCAAGCGACTGAGCCCATCGCACGAGGAGCAACCCGCCGCTCCCAAGAAAGAATCGAAGTTTTTTCCGAGTATCTATGACAATGGACCGTCGAAGATCCCGAAGCCGCAACTGAAGTTCCCTCGCAAGCCCGACAATTCGGGACAGACTCCGTTCTACCCTCTCTTGCAAACCAAACCGAATGCCAGGATCCCCTTGGACCAGACCCTGTCAAACCCCAAAAAATTCGACGGCAAGCTTGGATGGCCCCACCCTTACGAGGACGAGATTCGCGCCTCCCAATACCCCAAACGTACCTACGAAACCTCCCCTCCAGTCGATTACCTACCGTTCGACACTACGACAGCTACATTTGTGGATAGTGTGGATGGTGTCAAGGCCATGCTCTCAGAGTTGAAGGCTGCGAAAGAGATTGCCGTTGATCTGGAACACCACGACGTCCACTCCTACCATGGCTTGGTGTCGCTGATGCAAATCAGCACCCGGGAGAAGGACTGGGTAGTCGATACTCTCCAGCCATGGAGAGAAGAACTTCAAATGCTGAATGAGGTCTTTACGGACCCCAAGATTCTGAAGGTGTTTCACGGTGCTGCCATGGATATTGTCTGGCTGCAGCGCGATCTCGGCTTGTACGTTGTTGGCCTGTTCGACACTTTCCATGCTGCATCTGCTCTCGGCTACCCGAAACGAAGCTTGAAAATTCTTCTACAAAAGTTCGTCAACTTTGAAGCCGACAAACGCTATCAAACGGCCGACTGGCGCATTCGCCCTCTTACGGATGAAATGTTCAACTACGCCCGGTCTGATACCCACTATCTACTCTACATCTACGACTGTCTACGAAACGAACTTATTGCGTCGTCGGAGCCGAATAACAGTCTTGTTGACTACGTTCTCGAACACTCCAAAAACGAAGCCCTGCAGCGATACGAGCGCCCCGTCTATGACGCAGAAAAAGGACAAGGGCCAGGAGGCTGGTATGATCTGCTTTCACGGAATGCGGGAGTCCTTTCCAAAGAGCAATTTGCTGTATTCAAGGCCATTCACCAATGGCGCGATGAGGTTGCTCGAGAGGAGGACGAAGGCTGGCAGTGCGTCTTCCCCAAGGCCATTCTCTTCAAGGTTGCCTACACCATGCCTCTCGACATTGGGTCACTGTACCGAACGCTGGCCCCCGTGACTCCCCTCACCAAAGCCCGCGCTGGCAGTCTTTTAGAAACCATCAAGGCGGCCAAGGCCGCTGGTGTCAACGGGCCAGAGTGGCGCGATGTACCAGCACCTCCGAGACGGCCACGCGCCTTACCTGTGAACACGGAGGATGTCGCAGTCCCCAATGCCGGGCGCCTCGAGACATCTCAGTTTTGGGGCAACACCCTTGGCGTGCAGGAACAGCGAGCCCCTCTTTCACACGCCCTGGTCGCAGCAGCTGAGGCGCTTCGAATCTCCATTCCCTTGCCGCGTATGCCTGCCGCTGCCTCTGATACTCGCGAGAAGTTCGGCGCCGCTCCGTTTCCCCCCGCTGCGTCTGTCACCGCTGCCCCTGCCTCTGCCCCTGCTCCTGCCCTGGCACCGACACCGGCACCAGCTCCCAAGGCAGAGGAGGAGAAGAATGTCTTCACCGTCAAAGAACTTGGTGGCCCTCGCAAGCGCAAGGTTACTCCGGTCGAATCTTCAGCGCCAGCAGCGTCCGCTGCGGATGACTATGAAGAGAAATTGAGGGAGAAGAAGGAACACAAAAAGGCGCGCAAGGAAGAAAAGAAGGCCGCGAAGGCTGCTGCCAAGACCCAAGCTGCGGAGGCTGTGCCATTTGATTACAACGCTGCGACATCGGTCCTCAATGCTCCATCCACAGCTGTTCCGGGTGCTTCCAAGCCTACGAAGGCATTCAACCCTTACGCCAAGGCGCTGGAAGCGCCCTCGGGTGTGCGCAAGCAAAAGAAGGAGATTCCCGGAAAGTCTCTCACTTTCCGGGACTAGGGATGGTCTCCTGTCATCTTTTGTTCTTGGAAACATCAAAGCATCTTCGGGGTTTGGGCTGGTTACATTGGCTTTCAGTTTTCTTTCCTTTTTGTTTTCTAATTGTTAAATTACAAGCATAGCGATACCCATGCGTCATTGGGAGGCTCCGGGAATTTTTTTTCCATGTATGTTTAGACAAATTTTTGCAATGAGACACGCACATAGCTGAATGATAGCTGAATGTAAATGCTTAATTGAGTGGTCATAAGCAAGGTAGTCTGATGTACATCGTAGTAGTTGCAAAATTTTCGTAGCACTCTAATGTCCCACAGGAATGGGCTTCTCCATAGTCCTCATCCGTTCCTCGATGATATGCTTGCGCTCTTTGCGCAAGTTATTCGCATACCGAACACCAAAGCCATGCTCGAAGACGTCCTGGATTTCCTCCAGCACGAGACCCGAGACCTCGGGGTAGAAGAAGAAGATCCAGATCCATCCCAGACCGCAGATAGCGGCGAAGAAGCCGAAGGCTCCTGAGCCTGTCATGGACTTCATCATGGACAGGAAGCAGCTGGAGATAATGACGTTGGATCCCCAGTTGGAGCAAGTCAGCCACATGGTGCCCATGGCACGCACTTCCAGCGGGAAGAAATCCGTGCTCATCCACGCTGTATTTCCCACAGACACACCATAGAAGACGACGAAGAAGATCATAAAGACTATGACCACGATCGCGGCGGGCGTCACGCTACTCATGGGCTCGATTTCACCTGTTTCCCGGTCGAAGGGAATCCAGACAAAAGCGACTGCAATGGCCAGCATACCCGCCGCCATTCCCCAGGACGTGGTGAGGAGAAGGCGTCGGCGCCCGATTTTATCGATGATCATCATGTTCACCCATGTCATGATGAAGTTGGGTCCTGCGATGACCAAGCCCACCGCCACGGGATTACCGAATCCGATCGAGCTGAGAAGAGTTCCGCTGTAGTACATCAAGCAGTTGAATCCGGACAATTGCGAAATGACCATCAGACCGCATGCACTGATCAGAGCACGAAGGTTGCTAGGGATGATGTGCAGCTGCTTGATCTTCCACAGTCCGCTGCCACTGTCATTAATCTCACGGGCCTGCTCGCACGCAACCTTGATGTTGAGCAGAACCGCATCGATCTGGAAATCGTCGGCACCCTTGTAGATTCTCTGCAGGACGTTCCATGCTTCCTGTTCCCTGCCGTTGTACGCCAGATGGCGTGGTGATTCGGGACAGAATGGGAGAAGAGCGAACAGGATGATGGCCGGCAACGCTCCAAGCCCTACCATATACCGCCAGCCGCTGGGGACACTGGCGAATGCGGCACCAAGGGCGTAGGCAATGACCTGTCCTCCGGTGATCGACATGTTGTTTAATCCGATGAGCTTGCCACGGGCTCTGGCTGGGGCAATTTCAGCCACGTATAGCGGGCACACCATGGCTGCGGATCCGACACCGAAACCGACGACGACACGGCCGACAGACATTTGGGCGATGGTGTATGCTGCGCCTTGGAGGACGGCTCCAATGACGAAAAGGACGCAGCCGAGGTAGATGGCCATTTTGCGGCCGAGCTGGTACGGATTTCTCGTTAGTTCATCTGCTTGGGGTCGCTCGATGCTCTGAAAGGATTGTGACGCAGGGAGATTGTGATAAATACCCTATCAGCCGTATTTCCTGCAAAGATGGCGCCGAAAAAGGCACCTCCCGAGCAGAGCGAGGTGATCAATTCTTTCTCATTGCTCGTCACTGGTCGACCGTTGAGATCATCACCCAGGTATACCAATGCCGCTGAAATGATACCGGTGTCATAGCCGAAGAGCAGACCGGCCATCGACGCTGTGGCGGCCACCAGCCACACAAACCAACTGATAGGAATGTTGTCGACACTTGTGGCGACATCGGCGATGTTGTCTGCAATGCCGGCCTTTTCAATATCATCGGCATGATCGATGTGTTCTGCATCGTGTTTCTCCGACTTGAAGGTGTCGTCCCCCGTCTGGCCCTGGGTGGCTTTGTCTAAGGCGGACATGCTGGCTAGCTGTGGGATGGGATGATTATGGGATAGGATGATATTGTTGTGATTGGATAGTAAAGCGAGAGTAGTAAAATAATTGAATGAGGATGATATAGGAGCAATTGGAATGCGTAGACCGCGATTCTAGTGTGTGAGCTGAGCTGATCGCTATCAAGCGTCCCAATCACGAGCTATATAGATCCAACCCGCACTAATGCTAACTCTAACGTAACGTCAACACCATGACCTCCTTCCCGGCACACCACGACTCACTACACTCTGATTACGACTAGCCTTGGACACCTCCGCATGACACTAAAATGCAGACAGATCTGGGGAAATTCCCGCAGTTTCCACCGAGAACCATGGCCTCTCACTCGTCGAGCGGTGGGAAGAGTGCTTTGCCCCTCGTTTCTACCTAACGTGCCTCCGATAGTCGCACCTCTGCTGCCCGCCGAATCGCCATCCTAGCGACTGCGAACTGCTGATGCAGTCGATCACTTCCTGACGAGCTCCCCCGAAACTTAGAATGTCGCCGACGCCTCCCCGGTTGGGCGATTTCCCGACTATCATGTCGCACGCCCTGGAAATCGGTTTCCCTTGCTGACGATCTCGGAATCGCCGACGGCTCCATTGGCCACACCCCCGCCCCCACGATCCACCCCCATAGGCCCCCCTGACTCCCCAGCCTGCTGCTTTGGGAGATGCTCAGACAATGACGGCAAGACGGACGCACATCGCCCATCGCCCATCCTCCTCCCACCATGCCCAGTCTCGGCTGCCCGGCTGGGCACGCTCGGCGTGATCCCGACCCCCGTCGTCGCGGCCTGTCGTTGGCGGATGAAGCCGGGCTCTGTCTCAAGTTTCGGGAGGATGAGGTCGTTTGCCTATTTGCTTCAGGGCTTGGGCTTAGAGGGCGGCTTTTGAAGGGCTGCTCTCCTGATTCTCGGAATTGAGAATCCGGGTCGCTCTGTCTGTTGCGGGCGGGCAGGGAGGTAGGCTTTCCCCTGGTCTTCGCATTTGGTATGGAATGATTTTAACTAACCATTTCCCACTCAGATGGATTACATCTTGATTCTACCCAGGAGGGTATTCGGATGTGGAAGTACTTCCAGGTTCGTCTGGCCAGCGGCCGATCGGTTATGACAATATTGATGGATCGGCGAGTACAAGAACGACCTTGAGCTCTCCAAATTTTCACATGGCCAAATCAGCTCACTGTGTCACCATCAAATACATGCTCCTCCTGGCAAGTGACTTGTGGGCGTGTGATGGTGTTTATGGAACAGGAGGTTGTTCATAGCAGCGTCAATCGTGATCATGAGGGGATAGGCTCTATCACGGCAACCTCGGAAGGGGTAGCAAGCATCAGCGTTGGGTGTAGAAAGTTCCTGGGGCGTGAGAAGATTCCGTAAGATCTCCACCACAGTAAACCGATGATCTTGAGGAAGGTTTGCTCGAGTTTTTGAAGCCATGGTCCTGGCATTCCCTCTTCTGCTAGTGGCCAATGCTGACAGCCTCGTCAGAGACAAGCGATACCAGGCGGGGATGCCAAACTTGGTAAACTTCGACTCAACGACAACATTCAGGGCAACAATTGCCATACGAATGACTTTTGGTCTGCAATCAACACTGAAAAAGTAGTGATGAAGCTTTTAGCAATGCTACAGAGTACCGACTGGTAGTAGACTCCGGGGCTCGGCTTGATCGAGTTCGAATCCGCCTGGTGCATTCAAATGTTGGAAAGACTCAATCTTTCGAATGAAGTCACTGAAAATCAAACATCTCAGAAATCGATTGGAATCACGGTCATTTTCCATCTGTACATTCAAGGCCTTGAGTAGGAGGGCGTGGGATGGCCGAGTGTCATACTGGCAGAGGTCCGCTAAACCCGATCTGGAAAGGATATCTGTTATCCCGCGAAATTCAAGATTCACAAATTCACAAGATCGCCCGGAGGCACACTTGCTCATTGGACGCACCAAAGCTGAGACATCAAGGTCAGTTCCTCTCGATGTGTATATAACCATGCCTCCAAAACAGCCTCGGTCTCAATCTGCCGCCAGCCGGGTCTATCTCCTGATTTACAACACCACATGCGCCTTCATCTGGCTGCGCATTCTGTTCACCGCCGCCACCTCCCTCATCTCATCCCCAGATGTTGCAACATTTCCATTGGCATACCGCACACTCGAGCCCTGGACTCGATTTGCTCAAACTCTCGCGATCGCTGAGATCCTCCACGCTGCGACTGGTAACAGTTCCCCCCGTGTCGCGAGTGTCCATCGGCATAACCTCGGTTGAATGGTTACTCATCAGCTTGTCGTATAGGAATCACTCGGGCGCCCGTTTTTACCACCTTCACCCAGTCCTTTGCCCGTTCCGTTCAGGTCTGGGCGATTAACTATGCATTCCCCAAGGTGACTGCGCCCTCGCCGGCTTACCTTGTTATGCTGCTGGCCTGGTCCACGGCTGATGTAGTCCGCTACCTTTATTTCGCAATCATGCTTGCTGGTTCTTCCATTGCAGAAATACTCAAGTGGTCCAGGTGAGGATTCTTTGTCTTGTTGCCTTTCGAGAAATGACAAGTCACGGAACTAACCATGAATCATGACTAGATACTCTCTTTTCATCGTTCTCTACCCAGTCGGAATCAGCAGTGAATGGTGGTTGATGTATAAGGCGACGACAGTCACATCTAATATGACCGTGATGGGCATTTTCTACTTTTTCCTCGCGCTTTACGTACCTGGTGAGTGCAAATCTTCCGTTGGATTTCTTTGGCAATAAGGGAGGAAATGGGATCTAATCGGCAACAGGCTCGGTCATGATGTACTCGTACATGCTGAAGCAAAGACGCAAGGTTTTGACTCAAGGTTAAAGTATGTAATGCGGGAAAATGCGAGGTAAATGTGTGGGTATTTTCAAGTCTCAAGCCACATACGACTGTTCAAGTGATCCAGAATAAATTTGCAGTAAACTGCCCTAATGTAACCTCAGCTAACTGTCTACGAGTACATAATAAAAAACCCTCCGCTGTTTGGTCGATGGAGACTTGCCCGATGCTCAATTGACATCATTTCAAATTCAAACAAATCTCGTCGATTCTGGCTAGGCCTTATGCAGGCTAAATGACTTGCATGGCCCGCTTGGTTCCTTTAATCCAGGAGCATCGTACATAGGTCTTCAGTCCTTGTCAATTTTTCGGTCGTCGTCGCTTGAATACAGCCTGTCAAAATAAAACTCTCACTGCTCTCGCTCTAGAAATTTCTTACATTCCCATTTTTCATAGAGTCATGTGTGTGTGAAGAGGGGCATGTACTGTTAAGTGTCTTGAGTGCCTTCCCGATGTTGTGAATTCCGACGATGTCAAGTGCTGATCTATTCTATTTACGGATACTATCGGCGATATTGGAGACTAACCGGGTAAGTAGCCACAGAACAACGGCGGAACGGCTCCGCTCTGATTGGAGCGCGATACACTCGTTAGACTACGCTTGAGAATGGACAAGACCTCATTAATACAGCAAGCAGGATAGCTCGGATCATTCAAGTGACCCGTAGCCCACGTGTGTCCTTGAAATGATGACCCCTCACGTAGGTGCAATATTTTATTCTCTTCAGCACATCAGGCCTCGAGCTGGAACCCAAGCTCATCATGGCTACGGCGGCTGTACAGCCTGTTGCACCTCCAGCGTTGAAGGGATCCAATGACAAGTGTTTGCCAGACGATCTTGGTCAGAATGGAGGAAGAATCTCCACCGATCGGGTTGGCTTCCTCAAGCCAACGCCTTTCCCGATCGAAGAGATGAGACAGCGACTGAGGAAGGATGGATACCTATTCGTGAAAGGGCTCATCCCCAGAGAAGATGTCTTGGATATGCGAGAGATGTGAACTTCCTCTTTGAACTCCATCGCCGTTTTACCTCGGTCTAATCAAACTTCCATCTAGTTACTTCCGGCAGTATGAGTCCACATCGCTTCTAGAGCCCGGAACATCACCTCGGGACGGAATATTCAACTCCTCGTCCCACCCCGGTGCGCAGGGAATTGGCGGCTCAGGCTTGCCAGTGGATCCAGTCGAAGAGAAGGCTCTTATCGACGCCCATAGCGAGCCGCACTATCGGGCTTTCGTCGAACACCCTGCTTTGACTGAATTCATCAGAAAATTCATGGACTGGAAGGAACACAGGCTCTTGGATCGGACTATGTTGTGACACAACGTACCGTTCGGACTAAGTACGGGTATTCACTACGACAAATTGTTTTTGAGAGGAGGTGAAGGGTTCTTCCTGACAGCATGGGTACCGATTGGTGAGCATCAACTCCGTTGGATCCGTGTGGCTATGTAAAGTTTCTCAAGCTAATCAATCCGATGTTCAGGTGATATTGCTGTCAATGGAAGTGGCCTTTGCTACCTCGAGAATTCAGTACCCCTTGGACGCCATGTTGAGAATGATTACACCAAGCGTGCGGAATCCTTTACCGAGCAAGAACGCATTTCCGCGTTCAACGTGAACATGCTCTCCGGAAGCATGATCGCATCCTTTCCTCAAGACTTCCAGGCAATACATTCTGTCCACGGAGAACATAAGTGGCTTGTCACGGACTATGAGGCTGGTGACGTGGTCTTCCATGACCCATATAGCATTCATGCGAGTGGGCGCAATGAGGACAAGTCTGGTCGCATCCGATTGAGCTCAGATCTGAGATTCTACGACAAGAGCGATCCCGGCATTGACACGCGATGGTATAAGATCTGGGCACCAGGTGATGGTCTCTGAGCTGATCGTCATAGGCGATTCCTGGATGTAAAGGCCTGGGTACTTGTTATTATCGATGTTAATTTGTCCTAATTATATAAATACTGTAATAAATCTCTTTGAGCTCATGTTGTGGTTTGGGAAAGTTTGATCGGATGAATATATTTTTTCTTAGGACCAATGCTCCACCAAGGGCAAACGCGCTATTCAACCACGTTGCTACCGAAATTTAAGATGTGAAAAAGGTAAAATTTTGTTTGAAAATTCAAAGAAAATCATATCGCCCTAAAAATTCGAGGCCAATCAATTGTCATTGATGGAATTCTTGTGCCCAACTTCAACTCTGGTAAAAAGCGGGGTCAGCTGACCGGCAGCATTCCTGTCCCACCAAACCAGTCTTCGCATTCAATCCTTCCGACGCGACGAACGTTGGCGACCTATTTCAGTTTAGTCTTCAAGACGCAAAAGACCAAGTCGTGGTACGTATATCTTCGAACCGGCTAGTAAATGGCTAGTAAATGCCACTTTGTCGTCTGGATATGCTAATTTCAAAGCCAGTGACAACTGCCGCAGTGGGTTGCAGCTCGCCACAGTTCCAAGGACTTAAAGACTAATTGCCGGCTGACCACTTCATTCTAGAACATCATTTGAAATGTAAGTGCATTTTTGGGTTAACTACCTCCTTGCAAAATGTCGGTATTAACAAGATCAAAGGCGATAACGCAAATCGAAGATGCTCAAGATGCCAGAAAACTGGCCGGGATTGTACACGCCAAGGGATGAAATTCGAATTTCATCATGGCCCATCGACACCAACGAACACGAAAACTAATGGTAGGTGACGCGCCTATGCACCTTTTCTCGAAATTGGCTGATAGGACCGAAAGTTCTATCGATGAGACATCCAAGTATACTGGGAAACAGACCGAAAGCAGAACTCCCCGACCTATTCCCCCGTGGCTCAAAGTCACAGCTTCCCAAGTGCTGTATCGACTGAATCGCCCGGAGAGTGTCTTTTTCGACAACCGAGTACCCGAAAAAGCTTCAAACCTATCGTAAGTAGCAAAGGACCTGCGCCCTTGCCTTTTTAGTTTGAAATTATTTTCTATGCACCCAACAAAATACCTACAAGGAAGAACGTCTTTCATCAAAATTGATAAAAGCATAATAGTATCTGCCACTTCCCCAAAGAGAAAAGTCAAACTTGACATGTCAAGTCAACCTGGGAGAGGCATTTTTGCTTCGATACTTCGTGGAAGAACTTGCTAAATGGGTAGGAACATCAAAGAATTATACAAAGCCACTTTACTGACAACTATTACCCAAAGTTTGATATTTGCGACCCTGAACGGCATTTTGGTGTGGTCGTCCCTCAACGAGCCCGCTTTTGCCCACCTCTTTTCAACGCGGTTCTTTCGGCCTCGGCGAGACATTTCACAACACTACCAGATTATCGACAGAAAGAGAAAACCGTTCAACTTGGATTACAGGAAGACCTGATTATTAGCGAAGCGGCCGTCCTCGACTACCACAATCAATGTATTGCACATCTTCGACTTCTTGCCAATGAACCTGACGCTATTATGGACGAGAATCTACTCGCAGCAGCGGTGGTTTTGCGATTCTATGAAGAGCTGGATGGTAAGCATCCAGAGTCTGCACTACTGCAATCGTATGTTCTATATTCGCATCACAGATTGATCGAATATAGCCCCATTCATCGATCTCCCAACCGATCCCGCTACCCGCGGCCTCCAAGTTTTTATCGAAGCGCAAGCAGATTTGGCATTGGCATCTACAGGTATCCGAAATGCAGCGTTTTGGGTTGGATTTAGTCAAGAGTTTCATATGGCATTTTCCCAACAACGATCATTTCGCCTTTCACTCGACATGTGCGACACTTATCTTTCATTAGATCCTGCACCGGATCATATCTTGGTGAACAGGCTTCTGATTATTGCTGCACATGTAAAGCAGTATTGCTATGATGATCATGACCAGCCAACTTACTCTCGTTATGAAGAACTTGCCGCTCTTTATCAGCGCTGGTTAAAAGTAAGGCCTCTCTCTTTCTTTCCTGTCTACTCTGACGCCCCGGATCGGGAAAAGGATGAGCTATTCCCGCGAATATGGTTCTTGAACGACTTTCATATTTTAGCCGAGAAGAGTGTTGGATTGGTAAATATTTTCTTGACAGCCTATGACCCCACTATTGCGCGAGTTGGTCCAGGCAAACGGAGTGCGATGGAATCGATCGATACCAAACTCAAGACCACCGTCTTAATATCTGCGGCATTGCTATATCTAATCGACAAGAATCAACCGCAATTTTAACGGCATCAATAGCCATTGCTATCTGCGGAGACCGTTTTGCGGACCACGCTGAGCAGCAGGCCTTAATGGATATTGTGGTCAACACGATACGGGACAATAATTACTGGCCGTCAACGGCCTTGGGGGCTAAATTGCGAAATGATTGGGGATGGGATTCCTGAATATTTTGTCGTGAAGCGTGTGATCGTGAAAATTTTCACCTCATGAGCAACAAGTCGGACAATGATTATTCAGGGCACAACCTTGGAATGGAGTACCCCCAGGTATGGGATGCCTCTTATTGTGCGTGGGGATAATCCACTCACGTGATGTGTCACACGTTGATCCGGCGTCGGCACACGCACTGCGGGGCCTGACTCATCGGCCGATCTTTGCGAGGGGCAGAAATTCCCCATTGTCTGGAGACAGCCACCACCCGAGCAAAGTAAGGAATTAATACCGCCCGTGAGGCATCCCGCTGAAGCTAATTGAATCACTATAGTCTTTCCCAACCGATACAATGGCGGACGAAGCAGGCCAAGCACCCGCGCTCGACAACCTGAGTCTCGCCGATAAGGCGCCTGCCTCGAAGGCCGTCGGCCAGGTCGTTACCCCGTTCGATGTCTCTGGCGGCGTTGACGAGAGTGGCAAATTGTTGCCTGTCGACTATGACAAGCTGGTGCGCGAGTTTGGAGCCACCCCGCTCACCCCGGATCTGCTCGAGCGGTTCGAAAAGGTCACCGGCCACCGTCCGCATCGCTTCATGCGCCGCGGCATTGTGTTCAGCCACCGCGAGTTGACCAAGATTCTGGACCGTCATGAGAAGGGTCAGCCTTTCTACCTCTATACCGGCCGTGGCCCGAGTAGCGACAGCATGCACGTGGGACACACTGTTCCATTTGAGTTCACCAAGTATGTATAGGTTTCAAAATGTTTCAATTCACAGCGCTAAAATATAGTTCTTCAACAGGTGGCTTCAGGATGTTTTCGACGTTCCCCTCGTTATCATGATGACCGACGACGAGAAATACATGCACTCCCAGAAGATTGAAGTGGATGACGCCAAGCGGTACACCAAGGCGAATGCTCGGGATATTATAGCTGTTGGTTTCGACATGAAGAAGACCTTCATCTTCAGTGACTTTGAGTTCGTTGGCGGTGCCTTCTACGAGAACATTTGTCGAATGGCCAAGCGCATCACTATCAACCAAGTGCGGGGTACATTCGGATTCAATGACAGCAACAATATTGGCGAGTTCCACTTCTGTGCGACCCAATCTGCCACTGCCTTCGCAACCAGCTTCCCTCAAATCTTCGGCACTGACCGGAAGAAGGTTTCTTCTATTCCCTGCCTAATTCCGTGCGCCATTGACCAGGATCCCTACTTCCGTCAATGCCGTGAGCACGCCGAGAAGATGAAGTACAAGAAGCCCTCTCTTATCCACGCTATCTTCCTGCCCGCCCTCCAGGGCCCCGGCTCCAAGATGTCTGCCAGTGTTGACTCCTCTGCTATCTTCATGAACGACACCCCCAACAAGATTAAGAACAAGATCAACAAGTTCGCCTTCTCGGGTGGTCGGGAAACCGCTGAAGAGCACCGTGAGCTAGGTGGTAACTCCAAGGTCGACGTACCCTTCCAGTACCTGACATTCTTCCTTGAGGATGATGAGGAGCTCGAGCGCATCCGTGTCGCCTACGAGAATGGCGAGATGCTGACCGGCGAGATGAAGCAGCGCTGCATTGCTGAGCTGCAGGAGTATGTCAAGGGTTTCCAGGAACGTCGCGCTAAGGTCACTGACGAGGTTGTGGCCGAGTTCATGCGCCCCCGCGCCTTGGAATGGAAGGGAAACCCCAACCCTGTCGTGGCTGAGAAGAAATAGAGGTCTCGAAATTAGATGCCTCGACTTGTCTGTCTGATGTTCAAAAAAGATTTAGCATACTTGTTCGCCGCAGATACATCTGTGATTGGAACCATACCCATCATACTATCACGAATTTTCTTTTTCATCCTCGTTCTGTGTCCTTTTACATATCATTAAACCTTGTTATTATTCTATACAAGATATTTTGGTATTAAAGCTTCATCTTACTCAGTTGGTTGTCGATTCAGCACGACCATGCCGCGCATGAACCCGCGAACGCCGTTACTCAACCAGCATTCTTCGCCATCCACGAGCTCAGTTTTTTGAATAATTCGTTCCGTGCAGAACCCGTGGTTCAATGCGTATCTTCTACTCGTGCCGGCATTGCCCCCACTACTTAGCAGTGGCGTACTCCAAGCAGGCCCAGCTGACTCCTGACCCGATGTGGCGGAAGCTCGACACCTGAAGTACGGAGTGGTGATACTTCCCTCCATAATTTCACCATTCGGATTGAATACCAAAACTTCTGCTGTCTCCGTAGGGGAGCTGATCCCTGCACGCAACCGCGCGGCCGTATACTCATCCCGAGCTGTCGTTTTGTGCGTAGTGAACCCGGATGGGGTGATGGGTTCAGTATCGACGTATACACGCCATATAGGCGACGAATTGCTTTGGTTCAAAGACGGGACCAATAGATTGGGCAGGTCAATTGCCGCAGCTGGGTTGACATCGACAGAACCATTGCCCTTGGCATCAACGACTATCCTCAACCGCCATGGCTTGCTCCGATCCGGTATTGACCCATCCAAGAATTTCTCAAAACTTTCCAAGTCCAGTTCAAGCCATTGTAGTGCGAATTTCCATCCAAAGTGACGAGCAGCATTGACCAATCGGTCTCGGTGGTAGGCAAGAAGGTAGTACGGCGAGGCTAGCGGGTCGGGATAGCCGGTGGCATTATGCAAAATGGTCTGCGGGATGCCAGGGTCGTAGCGGAGGGAGGAAATGATCTCAAACGGCTTTCCAGCGCTTTCGTTCGAAGCCGGAGACATTGTCGCACAGGCTCAGTAGCTGTGACGTCGTCAATGTTATGAGTCGCGATCCGCTACTTGCGTCATCGACCAAATGCTCAACCACCAGACCGAAAGAGATTCGCGGTGCAATCGGACGGACTGAAGAGAGTAAAGAGCCGCGCAAGAGTCTCTGAGGCATCTGAATCCCCGTCTAGCGGCGTCAATGGCATCGCTGGAGCAACTCGGGTTTGTAATGTGGAGAAAATGCGCGGAGCGTTACCGTCGTGCAGCGCGTGATTGGCCCGTGCCGGGATGATCGAACCTCGACTTTTCCTCCAAGTCCGTCCAGGTCGACTCTCCCTATCTCCAACTCTTCCCGCCTGTGGCGTCAAGGACCGGTTCGTTCGCGTTTTCTTCTGTCGCCATCTGCGCGTTGCCATCCCAGTCGCTAACCCGCTTTCTGATCGCAGAATCAGGACTTTAATAGCAACGGTTACCCGTGCCCGGTTCCTGCACACAAATCATGTCGAGCCCATCGCCGCTACCCATGCCCACGCCCACCCAGAACGTGGTGCTGGATACCGCGAAGCTTCCCCCTGCTACTTCATCATCGGTCTGGGATCGCGTGTCGAAGTGGGTGTCTGACAACAAGGCTCTGGTTTACACCATTGCCGGTGTTGCCGTTGTCGTCACCAGTGCTGGTGTCGTCTACTATCTCTCCGACTCCAGCAAGCCCTCTTCCTCCTCGTCTCCCCCAAGAAAAGCAAAAACCAGCGCCGGAAAGAAAAGAAGGCTGGGGAGGACAAGAAGACCAAGTCCGCTTCTGTTCAGGATGGTTAGTTGTCCTCGCATCGCATGACGCTCGAAACCGACGCGACTAACGTCCCACAAAAGAGTCTACCGCGAAGAAGGCTGAGGAGCCCGCCGAGGAGCTGCCCCAGGTTGATGAAGCTACCGTGGGTCAGCTGTCTGAGGAGGTAGGTTTCTGAATACAATTGCCCTTACCGTCACTATTGTGACCCGTCATGACTAACACGCAATTCATGTTAGACCCGGAAAGACTACGCCGCGAAGCTGAAGGCCGCTGGCAACAAGGCCTATGGTGCCAAGGACTACCACAAGGCCATTGATCTTTATGGCCGAGCCATCATCTGCAAGCCCGACCCCGTCTTCTACTCGAACCGCGCGGCCTGCTACAATGTGTTGCTGAACTGGGAGAAGGTGGTCGAGGACACTAGCGCCGCTCTGGCTATGGACAGTGAATACGTCAAGGCTCTGAACCGGAGGGCCATTGCCTATGAGCACCTTGGCAAGTACAGCGAGGCTCTCCTCGACTTTACCGCCAGCTGCATCATCGATGCTTTCTCCAACGATGTCAGCCGCAACTCCCTCGAGCGCCTGCTGAAGAAGGTTGCCGAGCAGAAGAGCAAGGCCATCTTGGATGCCCGCACTAAGAAGCTGCCGAGCGCTACCTTCGTCTCCAACTATCTGCAGAGTTTCCGTCCCCAGTCTCTTCCCGAGGGTCTGGAGGAGTCGGTCGAGCTGAGCGACGACTCCGGCCAAGGCCTGCTCCGTAAGGGTCTGATCTCTATGGGCAAGAAGACCGGTGAGGGTTACGAGGATGCTGCCGCTTCTTTCGAGAAGGCTCTCCAGGCTGGTGAGCTTGGTGACTTCGAGGCCCTCGCCCTCAACATGCGCGCTACCTTCACCTACCTTGGCGGAAATGCCACTGGTGCGCTGGAGGACTTGAACAAGAGTGTTGAGATTCAGCCTTCCCTGGTCCAGAGCTACATCAAACGTGCTAGCTTGCACCTTGAGCTCGGCAACAAGGACGCTGCTGCCGACGACTTCGAACTCGCCATCACTCACAACAAGGACGACCCCGATATCTACTACCACCGCGCTCAGCTCCACTTCATCCTGGGCGAGTTCGCTGAGGCTGCCAAGGACTACCAGAAATCGATCGACCTGGACCGCACCTTTATCTTTTCTCACATCCAGCTTGGTGTGACCCAGTACAAGATGGGCTCCGTTGCCTCCGCCATGGCGACCTTCCGTCGGTCCGTGAAGAACTTCGAGGAGGTTCCCGACGTCTACAACTACTACGGCGAGCTTCTGCTTGACCAGCAGAACTACGCCGAAGCGATCGAGAAGTTTGACAAGGCCGTGGAGATGGAGAAGCAGAGCAAGCCCATGGGCATCAACGTCCTGCCCTTGATCAACAAGGCTCTGGCCCTGTTCCAGTGGAAGCACGACTTCCAGGAGGCCGAGAACCTGTGCCAGAAGGCCCTCATCAGTAAGTTGACTTCTGTTTCATTGCGATGTTCGCAACCCCATACTGATACCCCCTTTCTCTAGTCGACCCCGAGTGTGATATCGCCGTCGGCACCATGGCCCAGCTGCTCCTGCAACAGGGCAAGGTCTCTCAGGCCTTGAAGTACTTCGAGCGTGCTGCTGAGCTTGCCCGTACTGAAGCCGAGATTGTTAATGCCATCTCATACGCTGAGGCCACCCGCACCCAGCTGGAGGTCCAGGAGAAGTACCCGCAACTCGCCGCACGCCTGAACGCGATGGGCGCGATGGGCGCCGGTGGTGGTGCCCCTGCTGGCATGTAAAAAATGACTGCCATTTGATTTTTCCTCTTTGCCATCGCCATGCCTACAATCTTCCCTCTCTTGTCGTTTCTGTCCTCCTTGTCCTCGGTCTCTTAGCCTTTTTTCACCGCTTGTATTTAGTATTCCTCCCTGACATATTCCCTGGCTTGTTCCCTTTATTTTTCATTTCTCTGCGATCTTTGGACTGCAGGCTGGGATCTCCGAGTGGCACGCGACAGAACGTTTGGGCAGGGCTGTGTCCGTGTCCGATGACGCCTGTATTGGGCTATGAACATGTGGAACGTAATTTGTGTACCATAGAGGTGAATGTGACGCCCTGAAAGACTGAAAGTGGCCAGCAAGTGTAGTGGTGTCTGTATTTCATTTACTTATGAGGCACAATTTACTACCATCGTAGCGCTATAGCGCTAGATACTCGTGTAGTTCCGTAGGCTCCCTGGCGCTGTCTCTGACGGCCTCACTTGTCGGGCTGGATGTACCTTGGAGAAAGGTCTCCACAGCCCCGTCACGATAAGAGATGCCCCACCTCGACCTCAACTATACGCAATCCACTTAGCACCGCGACCTTCGGAAAACAAAGAGCGTATTCGCGGTGAGGAACCAGAACTGCCCGTTGAACTGCCAGTGGCTCGAGGGCGGCGTGTCCAAGGGTTTGCGCTATGCGGCAACCACGTCGCCCGAGCGGAAGGAAGCCTTGACCAACTGATTCATCATCTACCCCTCCTCCAACTTGCCCCTCGACTTCCCTCCTTCATCCTTCACCCGTTCGACTTTCTTCACCCAACCTCTTCTTTTCTACTTGCTTCATTCTTCATTTCTCTCCTGGACATCCAGACTCCGAGATTTAGACAGTCGCATATCGCCTCCGCACGTCTGACTCTCAGGCACCTGGTGCTCGGCCGCCGGATCACCCCGGTAAGCTCCCCGGTCCTGTCAGCCTCAGTGGCCTTATCGCCCTGCGGCTACAGCCTGAGAGTCTCGCCCTGCTTCTGACCCTTGCTCGTTTCTCCATCCAACCTTCATTCAACCAACCTTCCGCTGACCAGTTTTCGGGAAACTGAAGCTTCTCTCGATCTTTCTTCTCGCGGGCTGCATGAAACTCGCTCCATCACTGTGGTAGTCCGCAACCATGTCTAACACGCGGGGTATGTCCTGACGATCTTCACACATGTTCTCATTCCCGAGACTATTATTCCGGGTTTGTTGTTATCATGATTCTCTTGCTGGTGCTGATACGGTTCTCTGCCTTTAGTTTTGATCACTTTCGTCCCCGTTGAATTTGAAGGAGAAATCACCCGGTCCTTCACTCTTTCCGAACAGAACCCTTCCGTTATCATCGGCCGATCCTCCAAGCGTGAAGCTCGAAATCGTTCCCCATCACACGAAAATTTCTGGTTCGACTCGCGGGTCATGTCTCGCGACCATGCCGAGCTGATCTTCTGCAACAAGTTCAAAGTGATACCCTCCCTCCTCCCACAAATGGCTGCACTTGATCGTATGTGAAAGCATACTAACACATGCCTCTTTAGACTGTTTACCTTCGTGATATGATTTCAACGCACGGCACCTACATCAATAACCAGCTGTTGACACCCGACGAACGGGAAACATTGCTGGATGGAGACACAGTACGTTTTGGGGTCGACGTGGATCGTGGTGATGGTATATCTCTTTCTTTCTCTCTCCTCGTTGATATTCACGTGATTATCTAACGTGTTTTATAGAAGAGTTTCCCGCTTTGAATGTTCGCTGCCAGATTGACTGGTCTCTTCCAAGGCACGACGACATACCCTGTTCATGTCGCTGGATAAGACTTCATGCTGACACTTGTTCTAGCCTCTCTCAGGTGGCTCCGAAGCCTAGCACCATAGAAAACCCGGCAATTAGCAGCTCCGGCGCAAAGAATCTGACCCGGCCCACCTCTTCCAGCAACACCTTCAGCGTGCCGGAAGATAGCGATGTCGAGGAAGTTTCCGCCACAAAGGTCAATCATGAAACTCGCCGGGAGAATGCAAAGCCTGCTTCCCAGAACAGCCACACACCTGTATCCCCCATCTCCAATCCGCATGGCATAATCGACTTGGATTGTAACCCAGCTGGCCAGCGTGCTCCCCCTTTAGGAACAGTTCCTAAGAATGCACCCGTCGCTACTACGACCATTGACTTGAGCGAGGACGGTGAAGATAATAGTCGAGATGCAGATTCGTGTCTCTCCCCTGGGTATTTGTCTTCAGAAATGGACATCTCGGACGAGGAATCCGACGTTGGTTCTCCTTACTCTCCATCACCTTCCAGCGACGGTGCGGACGTCACGCAACAAAACACGTCTGCGCCGGGTGTTTTGAGCGAAACTTCCGAGTCGGATTCCGAAGCTGAATGTATCGACCCCAGCGTTCTCAACCCCAGCGTTCCCACCCAGAGCATTCCCAACGGTAAATGCAACTCGGAAACTGTTCATCATGAGAAAACTGCCGGTGGCTTCGCGAATGAGCCGATCAAGGAAAAGGCCCCAAACCCGTTTATTTCTCCACCTCCGAAACTTCCCTTCGCGCCGCTCCCTCCATGGATTCAGCCTCCTGGAATGGGATATGGTCCTCCTCCACCTCCACTCCCTACGGAGACCATGTTTACCCCTCCACCACCCTGGGCGTATCGCTCCTATGGTCGGTACAACGATGTCTCTCAGTACGATGATAGTCTTGACTACGATGATGAACCTCGTTATGATGAGGATTCTCAGTACGATGATGGCTATCAGTACGACGATGGTCCTTTCTGTTGGAGACCAACACCGGCGCCCCGAATCCCCCAGCCGGTGTCTGGGCCTCTTCAGCCTGCCACTAGTACTTCTGTGCACGGTTCTTTGCCCAACAAGGACTCCAAGCCGACGTCTGAAGTGGCTCTCGAGAAGGAGCCCGTTCTCAAGAAGTCCGACGAGGAAACACTTCGTACGCCTGACATGCCAACAATGAAGCGGAAGGCTTCCCAGCTTGAGCCCAACGATGTTCAGCAAGATGTCAAGCTGGCCAAGCTCGATAATGTTCCTCAATCGGAGGTAGCGTCTGCTATCTTTTCCGCCCTCTCCGAGGCCGATACCGGGGCCGAACCTCCTCAGAAGCGGGCGAAGACCACTCCCCCCATGCCAAAGAACCTGACAGGGCTTGCTGCTACTGTGGTTGTTAGCGCCATGCTTGGTTCCCTGGGGACCATCGCTCTGCTTGCGGCTCTTCCTGCTGGATACTTCCAGTAAATGCGGGAGTTTTTCGACTGCTATTTCGGAGACAATCATCTTTGACGATATTTCCGCGGTTCCTGTGATGCTTACATGGATTGTCGCGCTTTCAGGTTCGTACCTCTTCGCAATTTTCGTCCTCTTTTTGTTTTTCTCGTCTCTGCCACTGTGCACCAGTTAACATTTTCGTATCTACAGCGGCTATCCAGGGCAGTATGATGTTGCAAGGAACCCGGGCGTTTACGAGTGCTCGGGGGCTTGTTTTGATTTTTTCAGTTTTTTTTCAGTTTTTTTTCAGTTTTTTTTTTTTTCACCCTCGTGCTTTTATGATCTTATGACTTACGTTACTTCCCTCGACCGGCGTGGCAGATATCCAGACATTGCTTATGCTTTTCCCGGCCTTCTTTCGCGAGATTCAAGTCCATAGTTAGTACGTCACTGGCTATTATGGTTATCGAGAATAATGAATGCTGTTCCCCTTCTTCGAGTAGGGAAAGTTTCCCTTTGCAATTGTAAGAAACGGATCAAGCCTCCGACATGTTCCTCGTGTATAGTCTGTGTAGAACCCCGCAAGCCGCCCGACGCGACTGCCAGGCACGGCTCCATTGCCAGCCTTGTTTGAAAGTGTGGTGATGTCACATCGGTGCGATCCAGGGCCTGGCTTGTTCGGTGATGTTGGATTGGGCACTCCTGAGAACAACAATACTATCATGATACTACACCACCACCATCACCACCACCACTGTGGAGTAGCAGGTAGTCGCCGATAGTCGGAGGATACGAAGATGGAATGACTGGGGTGCAATCCTACTGAAACTACGAGTGCATACCCTCAGGGACATACATACACTATCAGCTGCACGCGGTCCAGAGCTCCCTGAGAGATCACCGCGTCTCCCCCTTTGCTCTCTTAGGCAATATCCAGCCTCCCAATCCTGTTGGTTACAATGTCGACCGAGCCCGAAATGCCCGGCAATTCCAGATGGCTGGGGCCAAATCAGATCATCCCCCTTTTCATAAAAAAGGCGGCGCCGGCGGGAATATCAAAGCCCAGCTCGTCAATTGGACTGCAGGCTCCAGTGACTCGATGTCAGCTGACTGGTGCGGTGTCCTTTGAGCTCTGCAACCGCCCTGGGTTGCCCACTGCTCTACTCGAGGTTTGTGTCACTGGATTCTGTCGAACAAAGAGACCATGAACACTGACCATCCCCGCCGGGAAGTTCTTTCCATCCCGGGCAGAGTCTCAGACGCCTTCGTTCGAGGGATGGCTGAGCTGGGGGGTGCATGGGTTCAAGAAACGCATGCTGCCGCCGGTGTGAGCCCATTCTCTGCCCCAGCCCCAGTTCAAATCCCGGGCCTAGCGCGTGATGGAGAATGGCTGGCTGCAGCCCACTCGCGCTCCGTCTCGAACAGTTCGAACAGGTTCTGCCAGTGGGCTCTCGTACTCGAGAAGCTGGGCTTCGTTCCACACAGGATCCAAATGCAATGACAGCTTGCAGCCAGGTTTAGCGCTGACAGGCTGCACGCAACACACAAGGCGGAAAATATCCTCCTCTTACAATGAGTCACCCAGATGTATCGGCTTCGACTCTGAAGATTATTCTCGGAGGAATTACCAGCTCGGGGTTTCAACGGTTGTCCAGGGAACCCCTTGCTTCCATTCTGACGAGGATGCTCATCAATGTTCCCGAAGAACCGCAGAGATTCGTACGTGCCTCGCGGCCCCATCCTGGCTTGATCATGCATCTGGACCCTCAGAACTGCAGTGTTCAACGGATACCTGCTTGAAGGCCGCAGACGAATCTGCCATGTCGCATCACCCCGGCGCTTCCATGGAGTCGTTCCTTCTTTCAGAGATGCATGTACAGATCCTTTCCTCGTGCGATTGGCCACGAGACCAAATATTTTGACGCGTCCCTGAACGTCTCATTCGTGGATCACAGATCTTATTTCATTTGCTTCCTCGTCTGTGCAATTCACGGCGATCCACATTGTCATTTGAGCCAGGGGAATCTTCTGTTGGAACCCTGGAACAAGCCTCACATGCATCCAGATAGGTCACCATCACGTCCCGTTTGTTCCGGTCCTGCCCATCAGCCTATGGCCGGAGTGCCTTGGGCCTTTATTGATTATTTTCCTGGGCAAATGAAGGAGAAACATGCGTCAGGAGGGGTATCTTGCGATCACACCGATCGTTGCGGCAGGTACTTTCACACCTCCCCTTGGGCACAGGAGGTACCGCCGATGTTGGTTGATTTTCTTCGATTGTTCCCTTTGCTTTCGCCCGAATCGCCGATTGAAACCCGATTATGGTCGCTCCCTGCTTGATTTGCTCTATCGTTGATATGCAGATAGCCATATGACTTTCAAGGGGAGCGAATTTGCAAACCCGGCTCTGTCCACTTCAATTCGTCAGATTCCGTCGAGATGCGAAGGATAGGCTCAGCCAAATAAAAAGGATGGTTTGTATGAAGCCTCTTGGACACCACTCCGATAAGCCGACAAATTTCATTCTGGAGAATGTCAGCTCGGCTTGGTCTCAAGGTGATTCGTATACCTCGGGAAATGAGATCATCCTCGCATGGCTTGCAGCAACTATCCGTGGATGGAATTCTCCATTCAGCTCCACTCTGCCGGTCAAAGCATAGACCGGACTCCATCTCATGCCGAGGAAGCTATGGTACTTGGTTGGCATCGTAGTCCATTCACAGGTCCACCAACCCTGGCCATACAGCCGTGACACAAGGCCGTGGTGGCTGCCATGCGGCTGGGACTTATTTTCCGCGTACGCAACATCAGTTCTGGTCTGCCCAACGCTGGGCCTGCATTTTATTCGTGGCTCAGAGACCCTCATTCAATAATCCTTGCGCTTGTCCTCTCTAGACACTCCCGAGCGAACTGCCCTTCTTGTTGGACTCACTACACACAATCCAGGACATCGTTGCAGCCCGAAAAAAATAGCAATGACTATTGCTAACTTGACTCTTCAGTCAACTAGCATATCTTTGTGAACATGGTCCACACCTACCCTAAGGTGGCTAGATGGAAATGGCCGCTCTTTGTCTCGACAATGCAACTTTCCCCGCCAGCTCCGTTCGTCTCAGCAACCCTGGAACGTGCGTTGCTGGGTGCCTTGGCCCATGCCTTCGACAGGCCCCTCAGCGCCTCCTTTGATGCAACTCCCTTTGGTGAGCGCGGATGGGCTAAACCCAAGGTGGTGCATACGTCCGTTCTCTCCTCATGCCAGATATACTTCTGCAAATCTCATTGGCAGATCGCGTTCTGGAAAGATGTCGCCTGCGCCGAGGTGACTGACAATACGTACACACCTTGACCAACAATGACTACTGTTACAATGTCCGCTGATCACCCACAATGTTGGTTTACCTGACTGCTACTTCCTTCCCTGTCCCGGCATCCTTTCATTTCGTCGTCATTCTTTATTGGGGTTTTTTATTATTTATTTTAGGGGTGGGGGCTATGTAACGTTCGCTTCACATTGTCGTGTGCCACCAGGTCCTATAAGAGTCCATCCTCCTTGTCTACCTTTCCGGGCTTATTATACTTTGGCCTGGGCAGGATTTCACCCTTGTCTGAACTCTGAGCCAACAAGTTGCCTGGTATTTCCTTCTTGTTCCGAACTTGGTCTTTTGCACGAGGTCAGTTGATAAGGCTCTCCCTACCTACTTCTTCTCCGGCTTTGTCCTCAACACTTGGGCCATCGATCCAAATAAGAACAAAAGAAGGAATATATACCCTTCAAACTCTGTACTCCTCGAGTACCTGATATTTGGAAAAAGCACTTGATCCTTGCAGCACCTCCTATTCGAGAACGGTGCATATTGCTGCCGCCGTGCCCCACTATCTACTCATTTCTATTATCACAACAAATGGCGACCTCAAATATTTCGCCTTTCAACTTCGACCCTGACCACATTTCCTGCATTGGCGGTCGGACAGTCATGACTTGTCGTGGTTGTGCCGGAAATGCCCCAAGGTATGTGTCATTTTTCACAGCGCCATGAAAGTATTCCGCTCATGCTCATGACTTTGCCAGGGGAGCTATCTGTACAAGCTGCGATGGTCGGGGCTTCAATATCTTCATCTGCGCACATTGCAATCCCGCCGCAGCGGCTGCAGCCGTTCGATCCAGCACAGTCATATCGGCCACTGCCAATACCACACCTGGATCATCGGCCCCTTCGTCTCCCGGCTCCTTGAGTCGCAGTCCATCTACTTCATACCCACCTCAGCCGGATACAAGGACGAACAGGGCTTGGAGACGATATGAAGACGGCAGGGATGGGGCAAGTTGTGGGCGAGTAGAGACGAATACTCCTCGCAATCTATGAGTTGGAGGTTTTGCGCTTGATCTCGATTGAATCAGAAATTCGGAGCTTTGGCAGAATGCTTTGCATCTATTTTCATTTACCTTTTGGTTTCTTCGACACTTACATCTGACATGATCGCACTGGATGCTATGTCAGTCTGTACATGTTTTTGATTACCTCGGCTTTGGCACGTAGCAACTGGATTTGCTTGGAATCTCGGGTTTTGGTTGGTTGTGGTTTAGGCTCATTTGGTTCTCTGGAGTCATGGTTATGATGTCTGTCATGTAGGCAATCCGACTATATAGATGAGATTTTGCAATGGAATTCGCTCGTCTTTATAAATAGAGTACGTCTGCCTCATTATAGATGACAACTACCAGCAATTACTTGACATTGCCTCGTTGATGGTATTGCTTTACATGTTCTCTTGTAGACTTCATTATTAGGCGAAGTACATCGTGTACATAAGAGCAAAAATTCTCAGTTCATCTCAAATTAAGCCCATGCTCAGAAAAGCTTTTGAGTCTGAGTCCGAAGCCAATTCCCAAAGATATAAAGAGGCAATCCCAAGAATAAAATAGCCCACTGGATACCCGCAAACTCATAGAACATCTTATCGACGCCTTCCTTCGTCATCCAAGCATATCCGCCCTTGGCCAATCCAAAGGCAACGACATTCTTTGAGGCGTTGACGAGCACGAGTGCCTCACCACTGATCCGAGGGTATGCATCTACGACGTATGAAAGCATCACCGAGGGAACAAGGGTCAATCCCGAAGATGCGATTGCCGCGCCAACAGCGGGGCGGACGTAGTGCTGGTGTCGTGCAACGGTGTATCCGAAGACAATGAGACCAATTGGGTTAATCAAGAAGGGCAGGAGGAGCGCCGGGATACGGTGCTCTGGCTTGTGGATGTGGTGGTTGCGTTTGCGTAGCCAGCGAGAGAGTAAATCGGTCAATGGTCCGGCGATTGGCCAGGCTACGACGATGCCGATGAAGCTGCTCAGGGTGAAGAGACCCAGGTCGGCGGAGGAAAATCGGTATGGAGGTGGGGAGAATAGGTCGGGAGATACTGTCGAGATTGCGACAACACTGGTAAAGGTCAGCTGCGCGTGATCCCGTTAGCGACATGGACTCGGGGTGAAATCAACTTACCCTCCCAAGACAACTCCGTACATCAGCGACGCAATCAAGATACCGGGGACTATAAGCAGCGGGAAGGGGAGGACGAATAAGCAAGCAAAGAACTTGTAGATGCCCTTCTCCTTGGCGCCCTTGGTGACGTTGAGTGAGAAGAGCCCCTTCGTGTACTCGCCGAAATCCATCTTGGCCCGGTCGCCAACATGCGAAGTCGTACGGACGGCCTCGATATGGTTGGAGGTATCCTTCTCAACATCTCCTATTTCCTCGGGCTCCTCCTCAGGCTCATAAATTGTTTCGGGAAGGAAGAAAATGGTGGTGACAAAGTTGACAGCTGCGATAATGGCGCAAAGGATGAAGAACCATCGCCATCCACGAGCTTGAATGAGATATCCTGCGATAACGGGGCCGATCTGGGATCCACCGGAGAGGAACCCAGCGTAAACAGCCATGGCGCTAGAGTAATTCCGCTCGAAGAAGAGATCTGGCGAAGCATAAGAATGGGACGTGACTGGAGAAGGGAGATGTCGGGTATACCTGCGAGAATACTTGGAACGAGCGATTCGCTAGCACCATATCCTTAATTTGATGTTAGCTCAAGTGGACGACCAGGCGGAAATGGTACACATACCAAAACTAGCGAATACTCGCGAGGCGAGCAGGCTGTTGTAGTCCTTGGCGACTGCGCTCCAGATAATTCCACCCAAGAACATAGACATAGACACAAGTGTCACAAGACGCTTCCCGAAGCACAATGCTAGAGGCATCCAAAACAAGTTGGCAAGTCCCATTGATAGAACCGAGTAGGTTATTAGGGCCGATAGCTCAGAATTTCCGACGTGAAGATCCATCGCCAGAGATTCAAAGCCGGTCGCCAGCCCAGACTATCATCGGGAAAGCAATTAGAATGAGATAGTCTGAGAATGATTCAGAGGCATACCGAATACATGTTGCCCATGAAAACGTATACATTGACAGTCAGCAGGGCGGCATACCGAACTCGTCGCGGGAACAACTGTCAGGGTTAGCCACGGACCACACATTGCATCAGAGCCACAAGCATCGTGCATACCCTAGGATCTATGGCGGTCATCTTGGGTATACTCAGATCCGCTCAAGCAGACAGGCCAAAATGCGTGGGGACCAAGTCGTGTGAGGGTGGCATGACGGCCGGGAGAACCGGTACATATAAGCAGACAGTCCGGCATCGAAAGTCGGGAAATGAGACAGGGACTTAGGCCAAATCATGACAGCTAGATTAGGACCGCCCGCAGCGTAGCTATGGGCACCAATCGAGGGGCCTGTGTTAATCGGCTTGCCCGTGGAGGAGGTCGGATGTGCTTCGGGACCACATCCCTGGGGCGCTTTTTAAGCGAGATAGCCACGAGGAGGAGGGGTTCGAGCTGTAGGTTGTCCCTTCAGATTAATTTAGTATGTCAAAGAGACTCTCTGTCTTTAATTTCATTTGGACCGTCGAAGTTGCTGCAATTCGGGGTGTTCAAAACCATCGTACTCGGCTGCCGGAAAGTGTTGCGTTTGCGAGGAATCCCGACCACCATTCGCATAGTACAGCACTCGTTTCAGTGCAGTCACGGGAAGTAAAAGGCATGACCAGAGGGAAGATCAACTTAACCATGGTGGATTTATTGTTGCCACCACGAGGTCCGAGACTGCAACCGAGTCGTTGGAATAGTCTGGCGTTGATACCCCGGATTGATCCACCGGGACATCCGTCCCTCCTCCGCGATGATATGCACCCCATAAACACACGTGGGATATCGGAGTCACTCTCCACAGTACAGGCCTGTCTCCATGCGCGGATAATTGATTGCCGGACATGCGAGGGGACGTTGGGAAATCCGAGCCAGCAGGCGTCGGCATATCCGAGGTGTCGTCGAGATGGAGACGGTGGACGCTCGGGGGTTCCGAACACGCGCGGAGCTGATGGACGCTTGACACAGTGCTCTCTTTATTTGCCTGCTTTTCTACGTCACAAAGTGGTCGTTTTTCCGAGAAGAAATTGATTCTAGTGAGAATTGCGATCGCGTTTGCTCTCGCAAGATGGTGAGTCCAGAGAACAGCTCCTCGGTTGGCAGCAATAGCAACAGTCCACTGATCCCCATCAACGCAGGTTCCGGAAGAAGCTCGTCTCCGCGTCGTGATCGTGGGAGCTGGTCTCAGTGGTATCGCCATGGCGATTTCAGCAGCACTGTCAGGACACTCAGTAGAAGTCATCGAGCAAGCGAAAGAGCTGGCCGAGGTTGGCGCCGGCCTCCAGATCACACCTAATGCATCTCGTCTTCTTCAGTACTGGAAGCTCCCAGCCTCCTTGTGGGATGCAGCTGCAGAGCCGACGAAAGTAACCGTCCACCGGTACTCCGGCCCAGTTTTAGCCCACGACGGCGCCTTTGACAAGAGCATCCGAGCAAAATACAACGCGCCTTTCGTGGATCTGCACCGGGTCGACCTGCAGCAGGCCTTGTATGCGCGCGCGCAAGATCTGGGTGTGATCTTCCACCTGGGTGAGAGGATCGAGCGCATTGACTTTGATAATACAGTTGTGCAGTCAGTGGCGGGGAAGCAGTTTACTGGGGATCTGATTGTTGCCGCTGACGGTCTGTGGTCTCAGTGTCGCGAAGCATATGTGGGGAAGAAAGATGAGCCTCTTCCGACAGGGGATCTCGCATACCGCATTGTTCTGACTGTGGATCAAATTTCGGACCCGGATTTGAAGGCGTGGGTTCAGCACCCCGAAGTGCACTTCTGGATTGGTCCCGGCGCTCATGCTGTGGGCTATTCCCTTCGCAGAGGCCAAATGTACAACATTGTCTTGCTGGTGCCTGACAACCTCCCTCCGGGTGTTTCGAGGCAGTCTGGCTCAGTGCAGGAAATGAAGGAGCTGTTCGTTGGTTGGGACCCGATGTGAGTTTCACTGGCAATTTCACCCAGACGATCACTAACGTGTTCAGCTTGAATAAGTTCCTCGACTATGTTACCAACGTTGACAAGTGGAAGTTGATGCACCGTAAGTCATTGAACCCCATCAATGTGTCTGGGCTGCAAATTGACAACATTGCTACAGATGGTGAAATGAAGAAATGGGTCAACAATGAATCAAATTTGGTCTTCATGTCCGTTCAATACTTTCTTTCCGGATGAATCAGAGCCTTGACTAATTTTTTATTTCTTTTTTTTTTTTTTCGAAACAGTGGAGATTCATGTCACCCGATGTTGCCATATCTTGCACAGGGAGCAAATTCATCGCTAGAGGATGGCGCAGTCTTAGGTTTATTGTTGGGACACATGACAGATAAAGCCCAATTACCAGGCATATTGCGTCTCTATGAGGGCCTACGCAAGTCCCGTGGTGAAGCCATTGTGCGAGAAACTTTCAAACAGGTACGAGGATCTATGTTCACGTCCGAAATCTCTCAAATCTAATACCCAGTCAATAGAGACATGACTTCCACATGGAAGATGGCGAGGAACAGCAGAAGCGAGACGAGATTTTCAAGTCCCAATTGGGGAAGGAGCTCAAGGGCGCTTTTCCTAGTCGATGGTAAGTTGAATCCCATACTCATTGAAACCTCTTCTAATTTATTCTATGCAGGACATGTCCAGAAGTCCAGCCCTGGCTGTATGGTTATGATGCCATCAAGGAGGTGGAGAATGCCGTGGTTAAGAACCCCGGTATATTCGCACAGCAGAAGTCTCGTAGATCCCTCTGCCAGTTTCTCTAGTTGCATCTTTGATATCTGATAGATTGTGGATCAATTTATTTTGAGAAATCTTGGTTCTATTTGCTCCCAACCTCGTGTAAACTTATCATGATGTATGTGCAGTCTGTTTATTTCATGATATTGAAGGACTCCGCCTTAGGACCCAGCAAAGGCTTGAAGTCATCTCTTTCACAGATCTTCATGGCTTTCTGATAAGCCGGGCGATTCCCAATGCGCTTCAAGTACGCCAAAGTTCACCTGTGCTTCTCCGTGTCGAACTCAATGGAACAGACTCGGCGCATGGTCTCGTCAATGTGCAAACCGTCATGATATCGGCTGCCGTCACTCCTTGCCCGCAAGGTACGTCCCAGTTTCCACCAGTGGAGCCTCGATATTCGCAAGTGCCCGCTCCCAGTTCTGGAATGTAATTGCCATGACCGGTGAGTCGGGATCCGTTGCCGGGCTGCGGGTCATCAGCACGCGGGAAAGCGTCGGCTGGAGGCTGCCGTTGGCGAAGTAAAAATCATTCCAGATAATGGGGATAGTCCGCGCCGTCCTTGGGCGTAAGAGCGAAATGGCCGTTGCCGTGGACTGCAATCAGATAGTCGACGATGGCACCCGATTCGGCGAGCACGAACTTCACTTTGGATGCTGGGGATGGGTCATCTTCCATAACCGGAGCGGTGCCAGCAGGGTGCAATTCATCTAGGGATTTTGGGGCCAGGATCGGGTCGCGTTTGTGGAACACATGGTTGTATTCCAGTCCTAGTTCTTCGCGAGCCAAATAATACGCTCGGATTGCGAGAGGCCGAGGTAGTGTAGAGTCAGGGGCATGGTGATGGTGGAGGGTGGATAGGTGAAAGTGTTTCCGGGAGACAACGGCGGGGGGTCGATCTCTTTATAGCCTTCCATTTTATAGCTTTGCGATGGCGTTTGCGGTCGGCCGGAATGTTGCGACCGGTTGAGGATCATGACATCAAGCGCTGAAACCTCTCGATAGACACGAACCACTTGAGGCGATCGTCGCCTTCTCATTCAAATGCGCATACGAGAACGAGAGGATGACTGTAGGTCGGACTTAATATGGCGCTAGCTCCGAGACGAACATCCACGTCAGCCATCACTACCGTTCCTACTAATAATACATAAGTGGTACATCAATGATCTGCAATAATTCAATAATGAATACGCTATGCACATATTGATACACAACTGCCAGGCTACCCGTCCAACATCGGCAGACCACCAATATCATCGAACAGTCTCGCAATCCCATCAAACGAATAGTCCGGGAACCCGAACCCATAGGCCCACTCGGGGATTTCAAATCCAGGTTGGCCAGGCCCTGTTGTATCCGACGTTGGGGGGATCTCCTCACCCCCGTCGCCATCGCCGGCTGCTGGTTGTTGGGCGCCCGATGCTCGGAAATCCCTCAGGTATTGTCGAATGATCTCCACGGATTTCCGAGCCACAACAGACTCCTCCATCGCTTCCAGGATCTCAACGCCCATTTCTACAGAGCGCAGGAGCGGCATGGTCTCGGCGCACATGCCGAGTTTGGACATGGGAAGAAGCAGTGTTGAGGTAGCGAACATCACGTAGGTCGTGTTATACCACCTAGGTCGGGGTCAGAAACGAAAGTCGGTATATGGTCAGCTTAGACGTACCAGCATCGGAAAAACGTGTGTACTCGGTAGATATCATGGATCACTTCAATAGTTTTCATAGCTGAATCGAGGCATTTGGCAATCGTCTCCTCCAGTTCGCTCGGGGGATGCCGTAGTTTGCGTGTGAAATGGCTCAAAAATGGTCTGAAAAGAAGCATCTTCACGTTATAGTATCCTTTATAAGATTAATGTCAGCTGATCATTCTTAGGTCGAGGTTCCAAAGCTAGTTACTTACGGATACCCAAAACGAGTCGCTGTCTCCTGGCCCATTTGGGGTCACGTAATGCGCTGCGAGATAACCGATAGGCACCAATATCGGGTTTGATCTTTTCGGGAAGTCTTGCAAGCCAGCGATCCATCTCCATCTCAATCTGGAGAGCCAATTGGAGCTTCTCCTGTAGTGTGATGCGAGAATGGTAGATCTGGACTGATACCCGTCGGATGATCTGGGCAAAATCAATCATCCAGGGAATGATAGCATATTCAGAGTCATCTCGGTCTGGGATGGCTCTGTTGTGATACTCGTCCATTCCCAATGTATCGGGACGCCCGACGGAAAAGCTCATTTCTCTAAAATAGATGTTAGACTTTATAAAGAAAAGAAAGGATTGCTTCCAAGCGCGCTTGGCTTGAACTCACGGACTCACATTTCAAGCGAGAATATTCCCCTTTTCACCGACATTAGCCAGAGAAGGATGCGGAAATAAAAAGCGATAATACTCACCACCAAGTCTTCGAGATCCAGCTCGAACGTTGGTCCTTGGGGGAGCGGACTTCTCTGTTGAACCCGGCAGAAAGACATGTACGAACCGCCAGGCCAAGGTACATGTATGCCACTGGAATTGTAAGCACTGGACACAGCCCTGTAGTCAAAGACACACTCACGGTTGGGATTGAGTTCATTTTGGCAGATTTTGGCCTACTGCTTGTTAGCTTCGAAATTATCGACAGTGATACGTCAGCATATACCATAAAGTAGAGACACTGTACGGTCTCCAGATCATTCGAGAACCGCAGATAATTCAAATATGCCTGGGCCTCACCAAACAGCTTTCGGCTCCACTCAAAACGGCCCATTCCAGCAAGCTTGTCCTCGTCCCATATGCGGACCAGTGCTCCAAATGAAAGAACACTAAGGTATAGAGCCACAAAACTAGGCTCGGGTGCTTGCGTCCGGTTGAACCAAAGGTCATTTGCGCGCAGAAGAAATTCCTCTTTATCAATGAATGGGTGGATGAAGTGAATGTTCTCAAAGTATCCGTTCATGAACACATGAGCCTGGTCGAAATAGTAGTTGTGATGCTCAATCGATGTCGGCAGTCCAGGTCCGGTGGACGGTGAAAAGCTGGGGTTATGCAGCGTTGAGATTAATGAATTAGCCGCTGGCGGATATTGTTCTTGGTGTGGTTTTGGATCTCGAGCTTTTGATAAATGGCCAATGATCGCGGCCGAGGAAGTGCTACCATGGAATTCGATACCATTCGTATGGTGGTTCAATTCGTTGATCTCGTCATCTGCACTTTCGGCCGACTCTTCTTGTGTGTCGCCGGGCAATCTTGCCACTTTCTGAGGCGTCGATCCGGGCCGCGGCAGGGAGCATGGCGTTGTGTCGATAGCTGCCGACACGACAGGTTGGTTGAATGATCTAGAGGTTTGAGGGGATGTCCCGATCTGCGCCTCGGCCGAGCGTAATCTAGAGGCCAGCTCCTCTACTCTCTTCTCGAGATCTACAACATAGCTAATCATCGTGTGAGAACAGTGCTACCAATCGGGGATGGGGCATCCGATCCCTCGATTCCAAAGGCTTTGGGAGAGATATGGCGCCTACCTTGCAGATCGGTTGCTTTCACGCTCTCGGTAATTCCCCTGGTACACACAGTCCAAATGGCTCTCTGCAGAATAATTAGTATACCCAGTGGAGCCTCACGAGGGGATCAAAACCCACTTTTACAGTGTGAGCACGGATACTGTTCATCGCACTTATACTTCTTCGTCCTGCACCGGTCGCAAGCCTGGGCGGCGCGTGGCCGTTTGACTCGCTTCGGAGCCGGCTCATCCACGGATGCTAGCGCACTCTGATGTGGTTGCATTATCGAGGCATGTTCCTAAGGGCGGGAGGGTCCTGGGTCTAGGTTTGGGGTCTGGGGTACGCTATGCGAGTGCAGATGAGATAACGAGCGCGTGTCCGGAAATTCCGGATGGTCGGCATCCCGCCACGTGATGCCCCGTGGGGACCTCCGGTCTGGGGGCCAATCATCGATGCCAGTGGCACAAATTAATCTTCGTCATTTAATCACTAGTTGCATCTGCAAAATAGTTCGGCAGTTGCAAAATATGGGGTAGGCGTATGGGATGGGAACCGTTGGGGACGATGACTGAGATATTGCAGATAAGAAAATATGATGTAATGTGTGCGTAACTTCGTCGATCTCTTGGCTCATATGCAGATATATAGACAATGACTATTTACATCGAGAACGCAGATAGGGTTCACATAATCGAGTTCGACACACTCTATGACGAGAGTGTCACGTTTAGACGCTCCGCCACGGTGGCAAACCGAGACGCGTCCCATTCTGGAGCCTGTTCGGGCAAAACAACCTGCTCAAGAGGCTTGCCCAGTTGGTGGATTAAAGACTCAATTCCATCACCATCGGAGAAAGAGTGGACCTTAACATATTTGCTCTCGAAGCCGAGGGAGAAGGCCTGACCAGCGGGAATGACGACGGTCTCGCCTTCACGGAAGAGAGTCTGGCCGGAACCCTGCAGGCTGACCTTCAGAATACCCTCCATGACACAGAAACAATGGTCCACCGTGTTGAAGGCCATGAATTTCGAAAACACAGTCTCGCCATACTCCTTGGAAGACTCAATGCTCGAGATGGCACACACCCCGGTGCTTTGCTTGGTGGTGACGAAGGGGCGCGACATCACTCCACCCAGCATCCATCGGGGGCCGGTATTGGCACGCAGGAAGTATCTCTCATTACCCTTGGGCAACTTTTCATTATCCTTGGTCCAGTCACTCACTTCCGGGGGAACGTAATGGGGTTGGAACACCACGTCGAATTTCTCCTTGGCAGCCATCACCTTCGGGATCAAAATGGACTTGAGGTCGCGATTGTCGGTTTCGGGGACCAGGATGCCTTCGTAGGGCTCTGAAACATAGCGGAAGAAGTCGACCCAGTCACCCGGAGTAATTAATCCCTGGATCTCGGTGTGCGGGCCAATCATTTCGGGGTTGTGAATGACGGTCTGTAAACCAGTCAATTGGCGAACACAAGACATGATTGAGCAGAAATTCATACCGGAGGCACATAGGCGAAATCGCCGGGAGCCATTATTCGACATTGGTCTCCGTTCCACAGCTTCAGGTATCCTTTTGTTACCAGAAAGACATCGTGGGCGTAGTTGTGGTAGTGAAATCCCGGTGCATCAGAGAGACTCGCGCCGCTCTGGAAAGACGGCCATCAGACCATTGGTCTGCTTGGAAGAGGCCAAAATGCGAAAGACACCTTTGCTTCCAGGGATGGTGATGCGCTCGCCCTCGAGCTGAGGGATGGCATAGGGAACCCGCGAGGCAGGAGGCTGACTGGAGAACGGAAGCGACATTGTATAGCGACACTGACTGAGCTGGACAGAATGAAGAATCGGCTTCACAGGTGCTGGCAGTCGGAAATTTTAGGTTTGGAGAATTGAGAGTTTAAAGGTACTCGGCTTGCGGGGAAATCGCTGCCGAGGCGGAGAAGCCGTTGTCGGATGTCCCGAGCTGCTCAGGTGTCCACCTTCGCCAGCCAAATAATGGGTTTGTTGAGTGTAATGGCTCAAAGCCGACACGCGTCTTGTTGATGAGAGGCATCCACTATGCGACCGTGTATCGAGATCAGGTATACCTTGAGGTATACCGCATCTGTGCTTCCTGGCACGACTAGTACTGATACCCACGGTACCTTGTCTACATGGTAGGATAGGTTTGACAGAAATCGGATGTATCGTTGGGTGGTCATTCAGATCAATTGATTCAAAATGATTTAAACAGTCTAATCTATTCACCGCGATTCCATAGTAGATGCCGGGGTGTTTCTGCCTTGCATTGGGATGCCCGGCGTAAACCTGCCCTGCCCCATGAGATAACACTCTACAAGACTTATACCGAGTGAGCCTATTGGCTACCTTTATCAGCCTCAATTGGGATAAGGTACGTGCAAGTGCATATGAGCTGCATGCAGAATTTAGCATGGCAAATGCAATAAATGCAATAAATGCAAACATACTGCTAATGCTAGGTAAATGCCCGGCGGAAGCCAGTCTCCGAGAGCGGTATCTCCCACCGAGCCCCATCCTATGTCCATCCGATGGCATGATGATTGCACTTTGCGAAATTCAAAAACTACCAGCTGACTCAAGCATCAGCTGGAACCCTGGACGAGCAACGGTATCGCTCATAAATGCCCTTCCGGCCCATCCGGATTGGCCGAGGATGGGCATTGCCACCGCTGGCAATGGGCGACGGGTAAAATCTCACCCACAATCCCCACGCTCGTGGGGAGCAGCCTCGTGTGGGGTTGAGAGTACCTATGCTATAATACCAAAAGCCCCTCCACATCTTTCGCATTTAATTCCACCACCAGACATATATACCCCTGCTGCTCCATCATGGCCACTGACGAGAAGCCGACGGGCGAGTATCGCCAATACCTGCCGGACCTGAATCTCAAGCGATTCCAGGTGATGTGCACACAGGATGCGCATGAGTACGCCCACGACTTTAAGACGCTGAAGCAACCCCCATGGCTGCATGCGCTGTACATGCACTGGCTGGAGCTCTTGCAGGAGCCCTTCAAGGGCGTAACCACCGATGGTAGGACTTGCCAATTGTTGCCCTGCGCGACGCAATGCGCCGGCGCAAAGAATAAGATCGCTAAATTCCTCCGCAGGCAAGGTCCGGCCAGATCTCTTCACATTGCAAGATGAAAATGTCCCAATCCAGCAGATCGTGGACGCGACACAATTAATGCTGTCTCTGTTGGACGAGAAGCAGAAAGAAGCCGTGAACTATCACATCGACTCGCCACAGTGGCGCACATGGTCGAACCCGGAATTTCTCCTCGCACACAAGGGCGTGCGCCTCGACGAGGTCAATACACAGGTGCGCGATGCTGTGATGAATGTGTTGAAGACCACGCTTTCCCCAGAAGGCTACGAAAAGGCCGTCAACGCCATGCGCATCAATCATTTCCTCGGCGAGCTCGTCAAGTCACCTCGCGTGATGAACGAGTTCTCCTATAATTTTGTGCTTTTCGGTCGCCCGTCAACAACCCGACCTTGGGGTTGGTCCTTCTACGGCCACCACCTATGTTTGAACATTTTCCTGTACAAGGGCCAGGTCGTCGCATCCCCGTGGTTCACGGGCGCCGAACCGAACGAAATCGACGCCGGTCCTTTTGCTGGCACCCGCATCATGCAAACTGAAGAAAAGCTCGGCCTTCAGCTGATGCAGTCTCTCTCTGCGAAATTGCAGTCCCACGCCCGCGTCTTTGCTATCATGAAGGATCCCGCCATGCCGCCTGGCCGCTGGAACAAGGATGACCAGCGTCATCTTTGCGGTGCCTACCGGGATAACCGTGAGGTCCCTTATGAGGGCATCCTTGCATCGACGTTCAACGAACAGCAAAAGAAGCTTATGTACGGCATCCTGGAGCAGTATCTGCTCTACCTACCGGCCAAGTCGCGCGCCATGAAGATTGAACAGATTCGCCGCTGGGAGGCTGAGACCTACTTCTGTTGGATAGGTGGCTACGGCAATGATGATCCTTTCTATTACCGAATCCAGAGTCCCGTCATTCTGATCGAGTTCGATCACCACTCGGGTGTCTTCTTGAATAACGAGGAGCCGAAAAAGTTCCATATTCATACTTTGCTGCGAACACCTAATGCTGGTGACTACGGCCATGCGCTGCGCGCACAAGTCCCGGCGATCGAGGGATTGAATGGCAAAGAGATTGTTTGGTAGGTGGCTGATACCTGACCAACGGCGGAAAAAGCACCGTCATGTATATACTGTACGCGATGAATTTTGATGAAGCATTGTCTTGAGACTACACGTGCGTTGTCTGATTCTGCTCGTGATGTATTTCCTTTTGCTAGAGAACGTGGTAGCCTATGGATTTTGACCGGTCTGATTTTTTTTTCCCTAGGTCTCCGTTCCGGTATATAAAGATATGAATTGATCACACTTACACTATGCATTATGGCTCGGATGAAATGAATGGAGTAGAAATTTATTAAGCATGGACATCCTCAAAAGTATCAGGAAAAGGTGATTGAATAATGTAGTTAGCTCATCGTCTTATTAGTCATGTGCTGCCAGGTCTTCATAGAAGACAGAAGTAATTATTTACAATCCCAACGCCAAATAGCTCAAATGGAGATATGGAACCAGTCAAACACCGCCATAGACCAGATAACAAAAAAATGAGATGAAGCTGAAAGTTAGGAGGTAAAGAAAGAAGTGAAAAGGAAATGGCTCGAAAATCATTTCCACTGACCAGAGAATCGCACCGTAGTATAAAGACATATAATCTGAGAGAATATAGTTGAATTCCCTGCACCGCGGGCAATTTCCATTAAGTGACCCTTAGCTCGTCATGGTCCGGGATCAGCTCATAGCCACCCTCCGAAGGTAGAATCTTGGCGGCGACAATGATCGCGCCAGCGCAGAAGAGACCGATGCACCAGCTAACAGTACAGAAGATCCACGACTGATCAAGCTGCCAACCAACGAAAAATCGGTCCTCGTTATCGAACAGGTATGCCTAATGATCCCAGTTAATCAAACCGCGCCCTTGTCTTTCCCGGGTGTCGCGTAAGACCTACCACTATCGACATGCTCGCAGCTTGAATCAAAGCCGATATCACAATTAGAATGCTGAGGATCCTCCATCCATTCTCACGGAGCCGTTTCCCACCTCCCAGGATAATGATGTAGGTTACGATGCTCATCCCCTCGAGCACGACGGCAAAGGACATGAGAAACCCGACGGAGCGCCACATGGAGCAGAAGTACCGGTCCTCGCCATGGCAGTCTTCTCGTTGTGGGAAGCTCTCGCAGGTATCGGATAGGGAAGAGCAGCGACGGTGCAGGCCGTAGGAGTAGTGGTGGGCTGGCTACAGAAGCAAAGGGAGAGAAATATTAGCTCTCCGTCGGTCACGTTTCATTTTCAAGCTTCACTCACCTTTTCACTGTGGTAGCTGACCCATTTCGGTATGATGATCGAAGATATAGTGAGTGCAAAGGCTGTGCAGGTGAGACAGGTTAGTTCAGAGGCTCCGCCGCTTTCCTTGGCATGACACGCGGCGTCGGGAGCTATTCGTTCTGTGACTCACAAGCTAAAAAGATGGCGAGTGTCCCTGAGTAGACAATCGTCTTAGTTAAAATTCCCGTGTAGTTCCGGTCAAAGCCCCGAGGCACCAGGTTGAAATCCATGATGCCAGGTGTCCACCTGTCGAGGCTAGGAGGCGACGAGCGGCCGATAGCGTAGCTATGTAGGACGAGATCTGGCCCCTGCGAGAGGCGGGCGCATCGGTATAGCTGGAGGTATGGAGGTATATACTTAGGGTTCGACTGACAAGACTTCCTGTGGGCGTCGTGTGAAATATGTCCTGCCTGGAGCACCAGAGGTATAAGAGAGGAGATCTTCGAAGTGGAGGTGTGGAGGTGGGTGAGTCTGCGGGCGCGACCCACCATTACCGCTTCCCCTCCAAACAGGGCAGAGAGCGGCCCCTGCACAGGCGATCTCTACTCTTTTCTCGGCGTCAGCAGATTCGCCGGAACAGGGAAGAGGTGAGGAACGATAGGATTTTGTATAGATAGAGGTATTATTTCAGTTACTATTTGAAATTCGCTAGAGATCAAGGCTCTATCGGTCTTCAATGTACTTAGTAGAAACAAACCCTAGCAAACAGGCCAAGTGACCCCAAGGCAGGTTACATAGAGTCAATTGATGAGCCAATAGAATGAAATGCAGCCTGACAGTGCCACAGACAACCCTAAATCCTACGATCAGGCGTACAAACACGTCGCACCTTCATTGCAAGGAGCACCCCCGGCAGAAGCAACAGAGGGTCTCTCGGAAAAGCCGTCATCATTAGAACTAAAGCCAGCAAGAGGGACGTAATGTACAGGAGGGAGGGCGTGAGGCCCGCAATCGAAAAAGAGCAAATAAGATAGCAAAAGAAAAATAGAATCAAATCAAGAAAGCAGTTCCATGATTCAAAATGCCCACCCGGAGAGTGGGATACATTTGAATCTTGAGGTAGCATTGAAAGCGCCACCTTCAAAAACACAAACGCCAACCAGATTCATGCCAGAACGAACGTTGCGCCAGAAACTTTCACTGCACTTCACGCTTCATCCCTCGCGCTTTTGTTGCAGCATCGTACGGAAGTCGTCATTGCTCTTTTTGGACGTGCCACTGTCGTGACCCTTCTCATCGGGTGTGGTATCCATTTTGTCGTTGCTGTTGCTGGAGGGCGCCGGTGGCGCGGCTCGCTTCACTCCCAGGCCACCACGGCGGCCGCCCCGAGCACCCGGTTGCTGGGGGCGCTTAATTGGACCCGCAGGTTGCAGCGAGATCTTGGGCTTCTCGGACTTGATGGAGGTGATTCGATCGGTCTTTCTGTCGGGCTTGAGGGCCAACAGCTCCGGGACGCTGCCGAGATGGAGAGGACGGCCCGGAACAATCTCCTTCCCATCCAGGGCCAGAGCCGCCTTCCCGGCACCATGCACATCGACATACTCGACTATGGCCCCTTGGTGGTCTGGTCTCAACGAGATCTTCACGAGTTGTCCGAAAGGTTCCACCAGGGCCCGGATACGAGCCTCATTGACGGTGTCCGGTACATTCATAAGGGCGAGCGTGCGTTCGTGACGGTCTCCGACGGTCTGAACACCATCCGCACTATTGCCGTTGGGCTCTACAGAGGGAGATCTCGCCGAGGCAACGTGTGAAATGACGGTATTTGTCATGCGCTTGGCACCTGCGTGGGTGCTCTTATGCACTGCCAATGGACGTGAACCGAAAGTCTCGCCGTCCATAGCAAGAGCGGCCTCTGCTTCTTCCTTGGAAGAGAAGACCACAAAGCAATATCCTTTCGGGCGGTTATCGGCACCTCGTGGCAAATGCACATTCTCAACCGTACCAAAGCGCAAGAAAAGCTCCTCGATGTCTTTCTCGTTACGCTTGAAGTCAAGGTTCCTGCAGAAGATCTCCCGCCCTTCTTCCATAGGTCCACTGCGCGATTGCTTCTTTGCTGGGTCCGAGATCTTGGCCACGAGCTTAAAGTTGCCTTCCAGAACAATCTCGTTAAGCTCGGTAGCCCGGAGGGCAGCACTAGACGAAACAAACTGAACGTAGCAGAATCGTCGAGTGGTCTGGAACTTGAGCGAAGGCCAGCGCACATCCACAATTTCGCCGTATGGTTGGAAAAGATTGCGAATGAACTCATCGTCGGCAGCCGGAGGGAAATTGGTGACAAACAAGGTCGAAGATGCTTCAAGATGCACTTCGATGGTGTTGTTATCGAAGATTTTCTTATCGCGAGCCAGGGCTCCCAGTGCGTCTTGTTTAGTTTCGAACTCGATGTGCACAGTTTGGGAGTGTTCATCCTCTGTCGATAGCATCTTGACGCTGTTGATTGTGCCGTAATGTCTAAAAAATTGCCGAACTTGAAGCTCTGTCGCCCCTTTCGGCAAGTTCTTGACCACAACAATTGCGTTTTCGCGGTCACGACTAGGGCCTGCAGGAGTAGTTTCTTGCTCTGCGACCTCTTCCTCGCCACGCGCCTTCTTGCTTGTGGGTTCGCCGTTGGCATCCACCTCGTCCTCGCGCTTCCTCTTTTCTGACGATGAAGCCTCAACGGCAGCTTCCCACTGTTGTTGTTGCTGCTGTTGCTGAGCAGCCGCGGCTTCGCGTGCCTCCCGTTCTCTCCGGGCAGTGACAGCTCGGATGGCTTTTCGGGTTCCAATAACAGCAAGCTGGAGCTCATCAGAGTCTTCGTAATCCTCGCAGTGAGCGATGTAAGTCTGAACAATCTTCTCCGGCCAGTCGAGATCCTCCCGCTTGATGGCCTGTTTTAATACAGCAGTTGCATAGCTGGGGTTAGGAGTTCGCCGCGCTGCGTCAACAGTTGCCTCTCCTTGCACGAATTTGCTCCAGGAAATGAGCTCCCAGCCATAGTAAGTAAGCCAGAACTCATAGCTGTTGCCACGGCGAGGAACGAGGCCCTTGAAGGTCTCTCGGGCACTGTCCCAGCTGCCGCTTTCGCTGAGGTACCGAATATAGATGCGTTCTAAGCGGAAGAAAGGATCTCCTTGGTAAGAGCGCCCATACTTCTTCTCGCCAAGCTCTTGTACACTTTCAATGGCGGATCGAATACCGACTTCCGCAACATCCAGGTCCTCGTCGGTTGAGTCCGAGAGGAAAGCACGCCGACGGAGGTAGCTGCACCAGGTAGTGTGAACCTTCAGCACTTCTTCCATTCCACCGGCGTCGAGCAGGCCTGTGCTGGTGGCCTTGTGTTTGATGCCAGATATTGTGGAGAATGACTGGCCTTCTCGCTCTGAGCTCAGAAGATATTGAGACCATAGATTACCGGACCAGGGGCAGTGGCGTGTGCCACGGTCAAGGGTTGCGATGGTTGTAGTAGAGGCGTGGCCATGCATAGATTCATCAATGAGGAACATCACATAGTCCTCCCAGAGAGAGACATCTGTGGGGAACCGCAGAACTGCTCTTTGGAAAACAGCATTGACAAGCTCAAAATGGAATCCATGGAAGCCGCTTCGCCGTCCGCGCTTGCGGGAAACTTCGGCATCGATATACTCCGAGTATACCGCCCATTCGAGAGCCTTGTCACCAGACTCCTCGGCTTTGCTCAGTCGAAGCTCGAATTCTTCTCGCGTACTGTAAAATCCCTTGGCCTCTGCGGCGCGGGCAACAGTATCAGACATGATTTCCTCGTAGTTGCTAGATCCATAATGCTTGGAAATGAAGCCAGAAAATTTTTGGAATGACTGGTCCCATGTCGCGTGAGGAGTTTGCAAGCGAATATCCCAAAGTGTTCGAAGACGGTTGATCTTGTCCATCTTCTCCTGCGAGTTAGGAGTGGCACGGTCGATATCCTGGTCAAGAAGGTCCAGAAAACGATCCCAAACGAGGTGGCTGTTGTTGATCCTGAATCGTGTGGCTTCTGCGGCTCGCTGCCACACCTCCAGAACTGACTGCCAGCTAAAAACTTCGCGTCCAATCATTCGGTCTTCCTCGGTCCACTGACCAGCTCCATGTTCACAGGCTGCTGTGTAGAGGTAGAGCACCCATTCGCCATAGATATGCCAAAGCTTGGTACTTCCGAATTCCTCTTCAACTGATCGCTGGCAAAGCTCCATGACGGCAATGCGCTCATTCACGGAATGGGCCAACATACTCTCATCTTGGATCCACTCGGCCCAGAGATCCTCGCCCATCGCGAAAAGCTTGTCCATTTCCTCGCGGGCTGTTCTTAGATCCTTAAGGAGATCGTACCGCCGGGGGTCGCCATGGATATCTGGTTGATTAGGGGGATAGACGTGGTTCACGAAGCCCGTATGCAGGATTCCGATAAATTTGACATGTGCGTCATAGGTGTGCGGATTTTCCTGGATTTGATTGAAAACTTCGGTCGCCAAACGTTGCGCATCCGAATCCAAAGAAGTCTGTCCGTAATCCCTCCGCGCAGTTTCCCGAGGGCCTTCGGACATGGCAATGTCGAATGATGTGCGGGGCGTGGGGGTGTTGTGATTGATTGGATTTACATGAGGGTGGATAGTTGACGGAGACAATTGGCTTTCGTACGACTCGGTGTTCCGTAGCATGCTGGGGGCGTTGGAGCGCTGCGGCTGGTGGTGCTGCATCGCAGCCAGGTCTGCCAATGTATCCATCCCCGGTGTTGACGCCTGTCGGGTAGACAGGTCGGTCGCAGCGGCAGCACCGTTGCCGCTCATATTGGGACTCGCACTTGCCACCGGTTGAGATGACTCGGGAAGTCCAGTCGGGGCGTACACCTGCTGCGCCAAAGGCGAAGAGGGCTTTCCTTTGCGGGCGGGACCCGACCGAGTTTTGTTAATCGCTTTATGAGGAGAAGGCCCTGCAGCTGAGGTCGGTGCGTTGTTCGACGTAGGACCGGGTACGGGCGTCGAATTTCCAGATTTAGGATTCGAGTCCGGGGAAAGAAGCGAATTTATGTCCATTTTGCAGAATCAAAGACCGCGACTCGCTCTGAGCGAAAGAGAAGGGCGAAAGGACAAAATCGAAAGAAAAAGTTCAGGACCAGAGGTCACGGATAGTGCTAAGATAGCAGAGATCCAGGTTAGACGACAGCCACGAAATGCCTCAACGTGAAGTCCATTCCTCCGTCGGCCAACTTGAGCTCGTGATCTGATCCCGTCTCGTCGTACCGGTCTCCGCGGGGTTCTCTCAGGTACGGGTTGGCGCAGCAGCGGTCGCGCTGATCGGATTGTCTTGTCGGTCGCGGAACTGCGACGGTGGCCGATGGCGAGGGGACTAGCAGTGGTGAAAAGGAACGTGTGGGTGAAGGAGCGGGAGAAGGCCGCGGGTCTAGGCCGATCTAGGTGAGAATCCGAAACCTGAGATGAGGGGCGGCTGGGCTAGAGGAGAAGGATGGGAGCCACAGGCGGTGGTGGCCTGGGAAGTTGGGAGGAGGATAGAAGGAAGGAAGGGAAAGATGCCGGAAGACTGAAGGAGAGCAACTGCGCAGGCCCTGAAAGAGGAGGGCTAGTGGATCTTCTGTGGAGATGACGGTGAGGGAAGACCGTGACGAGGGCGTGGAGGCAGCAGCGGTCCAAGTCCCCCGAATGAAGGGTTCTACGGGCTCATTTCCTCTAGGGACGCTCCTTTGCGCCGTGGGATGCGTCTGGGTCGGTTTCCCGCTGCAGAGCTTCTGATCGATCACGTCGCGACCTGCAGGACATACCGCGTTGCCGGCCTCAGGCAGGTTACGGCGGCCCGCAGACGCCGCCCGCGCAGGCAAGTTTGACCTTTTTTCCAACCGCTCTGCAACAAGTCAACACTCCACTTTCCATGGCCACAATGGGTGTTGTCTATCCATATGGGCAGCTGGTCCGGGCTAGTGAGTCTCCGCCATGATGCCATGATTGTTGTCCATTTTATTTTCAATTAAGCCCCCAGTACTGACTTTCAATCAGCCGCCCGGAACCGCGTCTCATGCGTCGTCCCCCGACGGACATTCACCTCGACAGCTGTTTGCCGCGCCGAGAACGATGGCGGCAAATCCGACAAGCCTGCCGGGAACAAGAAGGGCTCGCTCTTGTCATCCATGAAAAATTGGGTCCTCGGTGATAAACCCAAGGCAACTCACACGCCGGCCGCCCCCAAGCGAGAAGAAGGTGGACTCGGAGCCAGCTCGATTTTCGCCGACGACGTCGGTGCACCCTCTGGCCCCAGGCCCGGCCGGAAGAAGGAGCAGATCCAGGAGCAAACTGCGGAACAGGCCGATGTGCCGCTGGAGGAGCGAGACAAGAAGCGTCTGCAGATGGCGTTGAACCCCAACCCTAGGGCGCAACTCCGATGGGAGAAGAAGATGGTCGCCCGTGAGATTGGGAAACGAGGCCGTATTCCCGAGCGAGTACAGATCCAACGAACGGAACGCGAGTCTCTCTCTAAGTCACACTGGTTTAAGACCTCGGTTAAGAAGCTGGGTCCCCTGGCCCGGCAAATCGCTGGCAAGAACATCGACGAGGCTATTCTGCAGATGCGTTTCAGCAAGAAGAAGGCTGCGCAGGATGTTCTCGGTCACCTTGAGCACGCAAAGAACGTCGCCATGGTCCGTGCCGGCATGGGCCTGCCGGTCGCCGCCGAGTCCGAACGTCCCAAGCCCATCACCGTCACCCTCAAGTCCGGCGAGCGCAAGAAGATTTCCGACCCCACATCTATCTATATCCAACAGGCATGGGTAAACCGTGGTCCGTACGGATTCGGTATGGACCACCGTGCCCGCGGCCAGATCAACCGCCTTCGACCACCGGCCACTGGTCTCACTGTTCTCTTGAAGGAGGAGAAGACTCGCATTCGCGAGTGGGAAAAGCGCGAGGCTGAGGCGCTACGGAAGCGGGCCTCCCAGCTCTGGACCCAGCTGCCGGATCGGAAGATTTCTGCTCAAAACCAGTATTACAGCTGGTAATCGTATGAGCATCGATTCCCCTTTGGCGTTGCGTTGCGTTGTATTGTTTACATTTGGCTGTCACACTACCATTCATCTGTGGCTGTCCCGATTTTATTTGTTCCTGTTGCCATTTGCCGACTTGTGGAGAGGACTTTGCATTTACAGTAGAGAAAGTCGGGCTGAATTGGAGCCCATGTACAATATTTTCAATACCATCTATGAAAATCTTCATCGACTATAAGCTTTGTATTAAAAATTCGCTTGAACAATGACAGGGATCACTCCGCCGGTCTGAAGGGGAAATTTGCGATGACCCACCATCTCCAAGATACTCGTGATAGCCCCGGAATGGGCCGTCAAAGAAAGGAAGACATTTTCATCGTTGGAAAATATATCATTCAACAGTCCCAATAGGCGCTTATTGCGATGCTCATCGGACTCGCGCGTCTTCGATTCCCATAGTAGGTCCTCCTCAGTGAAACCCGCCTCGAGTTGATATTGGGGAAACTCGCTTGTAATTGCAGACGCAGAGGATCGGCGATCACAGGTATGTTCACCCATTGTTTCCCGGAGGAGCTATTGATCAAAAGAAAATTTTGTAAGAGCAATCTTTCAGTAATGAGATCTGCGTGAGGACCTACCTCCTTGATAAGCGGCCGGAAGGGCTCGGTGAGCGGCATCTTCAGCCCTTCGAAGGTAACTTGTGCAGTGGCGCAGCATCGATGCAGTGGGCTCACATAGTAGGACTGTGGAGCTGGGATACCGTGTTTTATCTGCTCTGACCAGGTTTCCCGTGCGGTTTTGGCTTGGGAAATGCCAACGTCTGTTAGATGAGCGTCGACCCAAGTGCCGTATTCGTCACCATCCAGGAGAGACCAGTATTCCTATAAGACGTGTGAGCTACAACATTCTAACACAAATGAGATATTCTGTACTCATGCGTGATACATGTGAAGACATACATCCCATGCTTTGGTGCCATATCGTTTCTCGGCAACATTGTGAACACCTTCACCATGTCGGCCAAGGAAAAGAAGTTTATACTTTGTATTTGCCGGAGAAGTCTCATTCAAATGCTGAATCTGCCTTTTGAATCTTTGCCATTGGGTCTCACTTTCAGCATTATCGGCGTCTGAATCGTACGCGCGGTTTATGAGACCAAAGTTGGATTTCGTCTGGGATGAAATGAGTGGACGAGAACGGCAAACTCAGCCTAACTTGTAGCTTACATAGTCGAATGTGTCTGGGTCAGTTAATGGGTCATCCTGAACTAAGTACCCAGTAACAGTGGAAAACTGGAATGATGTTTCCTTTTCCATGGTGAGCAGGGTTCTTGTCAGCTGGCTGACGTTCAGGAGTTCTTTCGGGTTCAGGAAACTCTTGGCGGGGCTTGGTGTGGAGCCACAGGAGGACTCGGAGACTACAAGACTACTGGACGAGGGATTGATGATCGATGGCTCTACGTTTATGGCAACGATATTCTACTGGAATTGATATTGGGGCATAATTCGGATCGTGAATGCTCTTGTTTATTGTAATCCATCTAAATGGCATATACTCTATGCATCGGTTCCCACCACCATCAACATCTCAGCTATTCGTGGATATTAACTCCAATCATCAAACTCCTATCCAAGGTTTTGAAAAGATAAAAAGAAATTCAAGTTGTAGCTCAATCTCATGAGGACCTCACGGGTATACCGCAACTCCAAAGAAGAACACACTCTCAGCAACCCTGGGAAAGCTCAGGAACTAAGGCTTCCGTCACAGCACACATATCATCAGAGCCCTGCGGACCGCGTGTTGAAGAGTTGCAAGCCACCTCTAGCTGATCTCAACTTTTTCGCAAAGAAAGAAAGGCAGCTAAATATAAAGTCTTCGGGTTGAGAGGCAGAGGACGCCAACAGCGGCGATTGCCAAAGACCAAAAATCGACAGGATCGAACCCACAAAACGACTTGTGAACGAGCTTACACTTGTTCCATTTGTTATCGTCTGGACGGGAGACTCCGAGGTCGCCTTCGAGCCGGTCGGAGAGCGTACAGAGACACGTTCCGAACGAGAACGCTCCGAAAGTGCAACAAGAACGTCGACTGGCAGATTGGTGCCTTGCATCTTTGCATTGGGTGCAGAACTTGGGATACCCAAGAATCCGGTATTGCGACAGCTTTGCGTCGAGCGAATCGGGCTTGTGCGAGTACCACTTGCCGGCAACGAGCTTTCTGGAAGACCCGAGGGCATTCCATGTCTGGGACGCCGTACCTGCAAATGTGGGTTCCCAAACGTACCGCCAGCATCTGATGGATTTGTCTGTACGGTATTTCTGTTGCTGCCTCCTTTTGGAAGCGCGGAGATGTTGGGTAGAACCCCAATTGTTCTCCAGCGCCAGGTCGTGGAACTGGTGGATTCGCTCGCCGTCTTGACAGACTGAGGGACACTCCGGTGCGGACGGGACGGGTCGTGACCAGAGGAAGTTCTGGACTGCTTGACAACATTCTTTGCGGTTGCCGGCATAGATCCAGCGGCATTGTACGGAAGGTTTTGATCCGTCGCGCTGCCGGTATGTTTGCGCACAGTCCGGATCGTGGGTAGAACGCCGGAGATACTGTATTTGCGGTCGTGGCTTGGGACGCCGGCCTGCTTGGTCGATCTTACCGTCGGCAGGACAGCACAAATTCCCCGCGATGGATCGTGTCCGGGAGAACTGCTGGTAGGTCTCTTGATAACCTTGATCGAAGCACGTGGAATCATGGAAGGATCGTTTCCTGGAACACCAGAGGAACGCAGATCTGGAAGGACTGGTACGTGTACCAGGGGTCGGTGAGGTTGTTCTCTGAGCGAAGTGCTCAGTGGAGCTTCGTTGACACCCGCGCGAGCAGCAGCCTTTTCGAGGCAGTTGCACTAAAAAGAGTTTAGCATGGTCATTCGACGGGACGGTGGTTAAATATGGCTAAGACTTACCCTCTTGTGTTGCTTCTTGTGCTTCTCGCACGCACCGTACTTGCGAGCCTTGATGTAGTTCTCCTTCTGCGCCTGGGAACGGGGCTTTTGCTTCTTTGGCAGGTTGGTCGTGGCGTTCATGTTCAGGTCGAGAACCATTTCAAGACCTCCGTTTCCAGCGGCAGATGGCGGAGGGGCAGCAGGCGTCGTTTCTGGGCTGCCAGAGCTGGCGGGTTGCGGAGATATGCTTTCGCGCATGTAATCCGACCAGCTAGGGGATGAGAAGCTGGTGTTGGAATCCGAAGACATGTCGAGGTCACGGGCAGTAGAATCACACAGTCGCTGTAGGTGTAGAGCAATCGCGGCTTCCCGGCGCTTCTCCTTGATGGAAGCAGCACGGGTGTCGGCGGCGGCTTGCGTCTCGACCATCTGACGGAAAGAGTAACCGTTTTCGTATGGCTGGTAAGCATTGAACATGGCATCGTCAAACACCGGAGTATCCGCCGTCAGCTCGAAATCGGGGGAGTGGTCGGCCAGGAATTGATCCTGCTCGAAAGCTCCATGGTCGACCATGTCGGGGAAGGCCGACTGGAAAAAGGCCGGAAGGTCGTTCCCGAGCGTTTCAGCATCGTAGGGAAGACTCATCTCCGGCGAAACGGTGGCAGATGCGGCATAATCGTCGCCATAGGCCGCCGGGAGGTTGAGGAATTGGTCGAAGTCCACCCAGTCGTCCGTCTGCGCATCCATATAGAAGAACTGATCTCCGAGGGACGCCATGATGGGATTGGGTCTGGGTCTGGGGGTATCGGGGTGTATATGAGGGGTATAGAATGGGGTATACAGGGACAATCACTGTAACCAGATAAGCTTAAAGAAAGACTAGGCCCCAGGGCTCACGGCCGTGAATCGAGTGGTGTTGGAAAGCCGGAAGGGAACTTCGAAAAGATCCCAAGCCTGAGGCCAGCGGGTTGTTCAAGTATAATGGCGGCCTGAGGAGACGCTTTCCCCCTTCGGGGACCCCGACGTGCGGGCTCCTGATCGGGCTTAGCGACCAGGTCTAAGCCCCACGGTTTATGACTCACCCCAGCCGCCATTGGCCTTCCGTCCACTCACTGCCCCAGGGTGACAACAGTTATGCGAGGTGATTCTGCTTATGACGATCTCGACACTTTTCACTCGAATCCTGGCTCGATGAGATCAATTTTTAAGGCATCTCGGTACGGTGGGCCCCAGGGTCACTGAGTGCTACGTATATGTATACTTGATCCCTCTCTCGAGGGATCCCAGCCCTACGATCTGGTTTGCAATTTTGATCTAATCTCAACATACGGACCATTGGTACCTCGAGCCATGCATGAGGGCCTAAGCACCTGGACCAGTTGTATCACAATATTTCTGCATATAGCCATCGGTACTAGGAGGTCTGCATGTCCTTCAAGAACACTTAGTCCAGAAACATGTGGCCAGAGCCAAGATCGGTGTTAGGGGTTCGCCAACACTAGGCAGGGTTCATCCTAAATTTTGATGCGTTCTAACACCTCAGCGGACATTAATTATGGTACCTACACTACCAAGGTGTTGTCCCATCATGTTCAGTCTGTACAATATATGCACGTGCAATTGCAAGATGAGTGGTTGACCTGCAAATGCTGACCAGCTATTTTCAACAATGGTCCAAGCATGAAAACTTTGAATGCACTGTCGGAACCATTTGCTTAACCCCAGAAAGCCTGAACTAAACGGATAATGCGATGCATCCTATGTAACCTCGGTGCCGACGCCTCCTTGGAGCTTGCACATCAAGACAGATCCAGAAGGGACAACGATCTAATCCCACCATTGATAACGGTACGTTGAGATTAAGTATAGCACCAAGCATTAGTCGCAAGTCCTTGACACAATCAGGAACAGCCTTAGTAAAAAGAGACTCTGTCGCTTGGTTTGTCTAGACCCATTTCCAGACGCTCTGGACCCTGCATCTATACCCAAGCGGCGAACCAGCCCCACCCTTCTAGACCCTGCGTCGATCAGCTAGACCCCGTAGATTCTCGGCGGAAACCAGAACTTTGGGACCCTTTAATGCAGTCTCATTGGATTTCTTGACGCAGTTAGTGAGGTTGCGACTGCATAAACGTATGTGAATTGTACTTGCGTCTAGAGGGGGCGGGGTGCACAAGAAATTATTGTGGGGTCAAACCAAGGTTGAGGTCGCTGCCACGCGATCCAAGCCACAGAACCAGAAATTTGAGAAACACTGTGACGGTCCACCGACTCTGGTAGAGTAATCTGTAGTTAGTAGTAGCTATCATCTACCACATACTGGAGGGTTGAGCCAAGGGCCCGGTCAAGACAAGTCAAAATGTCGGCAACTGGCACAAAAGTTAAAGCAGATATTGAACCGAGGAATGAAATAGGGCTTATGCTAGAAGTGATAAAAAGGCAGTGCGACCTTATAGGCCCGAAATTAATAGATAGCCTTGCGCTAAAAACCATGAAGTGTATGCTGATTGAGGTTAGCCAAAGCATGCACCTACGTAAGCCAACGCAATCAAGGTACCTTAGGCGGCTACAGCATGGCCAAAAATATGACCGTAGAACTGCCAATGGGAATCATAGGAATATTGAGCATTAGTGAGTATTAGTGAGCTGCAGAATACTTAAGTGGTTAGTTACAACGTGTTGCAATACCTTGTATGAAAGACGGGGGGCACTCGCAGTTCAACACGGCAGACGTCGATCCTGAGGCAGAAATCGGAGATCGCCCCAGACCAGACGCGTCGCAGGAAAAACACGAGCGGACCCGCCGGGAGCTTGGGCCACCCAGAGCCATGCGACACCGGAGTTTATTCCCAGGGCATTCCACTGCGCAAGGGACTACGAAACGAGAGGATGGAGATAAAAAGAGATCGAGGGAAACGGGTGATGGATTAAACTCGTTTACAGCAGACCGGGCTCGCATCGGAAATCCTGTAGGCACCGGTGGCAGGCCAGCATGCTAGACAAGAGCTGTCGAAATTGACAGTGCAAGCTCTTGGATGCTAGACATGGAAAAAGATAGCCGCATTCCCTTCAAAATCAAATACTGGTCTCCGTAACCTTCCGAGGGAGACAATCGGTAAAAAAAAGCAAAGTGAAACCACCGTGGAACCGTTCCAGAAAGCCCATGAGTGACCAAGAAACGACGAGAACAACCAGATATCAGCGAAAAGAGGGAAGAACACAAACGCCGTGAACCGCGCAATTCGAGGTTGCGACCGGGCGCTTAGGAGGACTCCTCCTCATCCTCCTCGGCTTGCTGCTGTGGAAAAGTTAGTGTTGGAAAAGAAAAATCATGCAGGAGACAAAGGGTAACTTACCTGCTGGTACTTCGCCTTCTCTTCCTCGTAGCGCTTCTTGTCGGTGGCGGCCTTGTCGTCATAAGGCTTGCGCTCGGACTCGGAAAGGGCCTTCCACTTGTCACCGAGCATCTTTCCGACCTGGCCTATACAATGTCTGAGTCGCTGATTCGGGGTACCTAAGGGTGAGTTGGAACCTACCGAAGGAAATGCCGGGGTTCTCCTCGCGAACCTTGTCGCGGTTGTCGTTGGCGAAGAACATGTAGGCGGAGAGGCCACGCTTGGGAGCGTTGGGGTCTTGTGAAGTCAAGTCAGCATTGACGCGTCAATTGCCAGCAGATGGAGAAGAATCTTACCCTTCTTGCGGCGCTGGACGCGCTCCTTGCCGCCCTTGCGAGTAGTTTTCTCCTTAGGCATGTCTGTATCAGATGGTTAGCATCGGCGTTTGGGCACACGAGAGGCAAAGCAACCAGTCGCGTGGATGCCGAGGATCGGAATGAAGCTCTGCAGTGCACGACAGCGACATCAATCATCCGAGGCGACGATGGAAGTAGCTTTTCCGCCGATGCGACTGCGCGGCGACAAGTCGGCGCCAGAATTGAGGGAGACCGAGCTCGTCGTAGTGAACTTCTCCCCGGCGCGCGCATCCGGCAGATGGGCGACCAGAATGCCAAATTGGGGATGAAAAGAAGGTTGACTCACTGGAAAATTCGAGAAATGATGCGACTCGAAAATTTGAGAGTTGGGACTGTTGAGCGAAAAGAGACGCGGTCAGTATGTTGTTGTTGTTGTTGAGGGGAACAGCAGGTTGGTAGCGTGCGCGACCGCGACAGTCGCGCAACGAAGAAAATAGCAAAGGAAATGAGCTTTGCAAAAAAGAACAGAGGGTCTGACAAACACGAAAAAAAGGGGAGTGGATGTGTGTGTTGAGAAAATTGGGTGCTGATGGTGCGGGTGTTGATGTAGAGTCGGGGATATGCAGTACCTTAATTTGTATGGGGGTATGGGAGTATGGGCGAAGCAGTGTAGGAAGAGAGGAGAAGAGAGAGGGGAGAGCCGTAGTAGTAGGGAAGGGCGGGAGAGAGGGGAGGGCGAAAGGGTGGGCAGCACAGCAAGGGCTCTGCGCGCGCTGCTGACTGGCCCAGGGAATGTACCGCGTTATGTATGGGTAACTTTGCGCCGGCCTGCCTGCGCGGCCATCGGTCGCCGCCATCCGCGCGAGTGAGCGCTACGAAGATGGAAAAGTAACATAGAGGTACTCGAGGACCAGGACTCTCATGATCTAGTTTTTTGTCCCAATTCCTACGCAATCTTGTGGTTGATGCTCTTCAATCGACGGTGTTCACCACCGTGCTGGGGTTACCAAACCGTAACATACTTGGGCCATCTCACAGTGGAGCATTACGCCTCGATCCATTCTGCTAAAACCGCGCACCCGTCGTACCGAGTACTGCCGTACGCCATAGTAAGGGACCTCCCACGCAAGTAGCCAGTACCTAGTCAATACGCCCGTAAAATACCATAGGTACCTCAGCTCCCAGAATGCCAGGCCTCTAGGGAAAACAGTCCAGCATTTCTAACAGAGCCATGATACTCTATGTCGTACTAGTGTCTCTGGGAAATCATTTCCGGATAGTATAGTCGTCTCAATTGTATGATCAAAATGTCATACATTAGCGTTGATTACCCAGTAGTCGGACTCTACATATTGTATCGGACGTATATCAATAAATCAAGCGGGCGATCCTCGGTAAGGCGGAGCTGCAAGAGGTACACAACCATGCCACAATGCGCGAATCTCGTTTGCCCCAGAAATCCCTTGGAACGATTGCGCGGGCATTGAGCGGAGCAATGCCTCTCGCGCAATGGCACCTGGCCATACTGGCAATAAGTCCGAGACGATACCGCTACGGAGCTTGGGGACCCTGCACCCATGTCCGACATCCGACACTGTCCCATGCGCCGGCCGCCGTACACCACCTCACAGAGTCGGTCGTGCAGAGCGCAGACGCGCCGCCGCCAACTTCGAATGAGAGACGGGTGTCCCGGCCACCTCCCAAAGTGTCCTGTGTAATAAACGACTAGTCGTGCGCGCAGCGATCCATTTCGTCCCCGATTTTTTAGTTCGAGGTAAGGGAGGTCGCAACCGTCGGTTGCTCAATCAGAAGCGTGGCGTACCCTTTTGGCGTAACCGCCGATTGGAAACATGGCCATTCCTTTTCCCGCTTTGTTTTGGAGGATCTCTTGCTCCTTCGGTCTGCGTTATCTCAGCCTGTCTGCTTCCGAGCAGGGCAGCTGGCCAGCTTGTCCACGGGTAATGGCCGGGCGATACGATTAATAATGAGGCGTGCGCCCTCCCCGATGGTATGTATTTCCTGATGATCGCGTTCCAGTTCGCCGGGTCTGGGATGGGTTTGACATGATTCGAGCTTGATCACTGGTTGAAGATCCCACCGTGCGGCAATCACAAGCTGAATACTGGACAACTCTGCGAAGGTTGCGACGCGTCGAGAACTGCCCTCGGTACGCTGGCAGCAGGTACCCACGACCTGTCGGTCATGTCGTTAGTGGAGGCTGCACGCTAATGCGTTACGCTGCTGGGGATCTCGGCAGTGCAAAAGTCCAGGCGTGCTGGCGCCACCAGCAGAGCCTTCGAGAGCAAGACTGGTGGTGGCCACATTCCGGTACAGGTACATCGGTTTCTTTGCCAAACTCACCCATTACAATGTACCGCCAATACCCAGCGCCCACTTGTAATTTACCACCCTTTCCACTCTTTCCGAAGGGCGTCATAGAGTCTGCGGTTGCGGTCGCGTAATCTAATTTCCCCCCTCGCCTCCCCCAATTCTGTGTAATCTGCTGCGTGCTGGCCGCTCCCACTGCAACGCGGCATTGCATCCGGTCTAGTGGCAACCATCTCGTCGGCGGGCTCGAGAATGTGTCATATTCGTGCTCGCGGAAGGGTTCATTGCCACTAGCCTTGCGCTGCCATATTTAAAAAATCTTTCTTCCCTTTGTCGTTTCTTTCGCTCTCTCCAACGATGTTTTCTTGGCCTAGTCTCCTTCTCCCGTCCTCCGTCATTGCGGGTTTCGGTGATGTAGGCGTGGGTCAAGGTCTTACACGGCCACACTCAAGTGACCTGGGTCCTATTAATATTTTGTTTCGGTAACGAGCTCGCTTGGGGGCACTGGAAGGTTGAAGAAAGCATCGAAAATCAGTCTTAAATTCTTAGATAAAGGCGCCGAGACTCCTACCAAGCCCATGGGGTATGCCACTAGATCCACTACAGAGATCCTGGAAAATAATAAACAGTCACGCTCCCCGAGTGTCACTCGTCAACGCATCAGTCATCGCTTTCATCTAAAACCAAAGCCTGGAGCTTGTCATCGTCGGCCCAGTTCAAGCCGCTGGCGACAACCATCGCACTGGCAATGCTCTTCACGGTTTCCCATTTAGCTTTGCTGGTCTTGAAATCGGCCTCCAGCTGATCCAGCTGCGATAAGAGTTTTGCGTCTTTGAGCTCCTCTCGCCACGAAGAATCCTGCTTGGTGAGCTCGAGAAGCTGTTGTACCAGTTCGCGGTTTTCCTGGTTGATCTGTAGATTCTCGACCTCGAGGCCGGAGAGCTGTTTCAACACCTGGTCATGTGCCGAGGCTAGATTCTCGTGTGCTAGCGCGAGCACATCGCGTCGATTTACCAGACGGAGGAGCGCTCTGTTCGACTTGCGTGAGCCGGGAAACGTATGCATCATATAGGGTAGAGGTTGCATACCGTTCAGGAGGGGTGGTCGCTTTCAGGTGAACTGCTTTCAGGATGGGATCGGTCATGAGGATCGTACGAGCCGCTTTCCTTCTGACTGTGTAGGTGGCGCGCGCCTCTAAGAACTCGCGTTCCGCGATCGCGAGCTCTTTGTCGAGTTCGTCGCTTGAGGGCGGACTTGTTTCGGGTTCAGGGACTGTATAGACAGATCAGACAGAATCCAGAAACGGTAAAGACGAGATGGACAACGAAATCATTGGGGGGTCCTCCGAAAAAAGCAATAGATTTCTCCGAGGTCTAGATCGTACCTGATTCCAGTAATGCCTTTTCAAGCTGTTGTTCCTGAAGCTGGTTGGCAAGCTGCAAGATCAGCGCCTCTTGATCAGACAGAGTCACAACATCACGGGAGTCGTCCGCCGCGTAGTCAAGGAGGGTCAGCTCGCCTGGCCGCAGATGCGGCAAAGGGCCATGTTTGGTCGCCATGGGATCTCCCGTGGGCGTGCGGCAACCTTGTGATATGCGCGGCGCGGAGGCGGTGGGGAGTCAACGCTCACGGGGAAGCTGCAGCCTCCTGCTCTCCTCGTTAATTCATTCTCCCCTCCCACTTCCCAGGACACACGAGCTTCCATGCTCACGGTGAGGAGGGGACATGTCGCTCCATATCTACATTGCTCACTCTGGTGAGCATCTACTGGCCGACCCGGTCTCCTTTGCCTCGTATGTACTCCGCTCGATCGGTGTGGGGAGCCTTTGTCCAGTTCCCTCCTCGCTTTACGCAACTGCAAGCTGACCCCACTCGCCTGTCTAGTACTGAAGCCCTGAAGACATGGATCGTTCAAAATACCTCCATTCCACCAACAAGACAGATTCTCATGACCGCCCTGGGAAAGAATGTGAAGATCCAGACGCTTGCTACTGAGGTATGACGCTCCCCCCGACTAATACCTAGTCCGAAACGACCCGAAGTTACTCGAGAGCCGCACTGATACGTGACATGAATTAAATAGACAGAAATCTTTGTTTATGACCGACAATACGTCAGTGACCCTGGCGACGCCGAACTACCAGAGCTACCTCGACCCGAGTCCTTCAGGCCGACCAGCCCACCCGCATCCATAACCGATCAGAACGACCTTCAGTCATGGCGGAATTTGTTCATGAAAAGAAGGTCCTGGGCACTAGAACTGTCTACCCGTTGCGAAGCTATCGACAAGCAAGTCCGAGAACACAACGAACGAACCGACGTCATCCATCGCGGCCTGGGTGTAGCCCTGGAGAACCTCAAATCTCACGTCGGAACTCTTGAGCATCGTTTTCAAGAGGCTCAAACATGGGCGAACAATCTCCTCCAGGAACAGGAGTCAGCTTTAGATGGTTGGCAGCGGGCTCTTTCGACTCTCGAGAGCATTCCGGCGCGGAAGGACTTCCCCATGCTCGGACGCCCGTCCACGCCAAAGATAGACAAAGACCGGCCCACAGGTACCCTCCTTGACTTCGTCGATGTCCCTGAAGTCCAGCGGGCTGGGTCGGATGTGGCGCTAGCAGCACCGCGCTTCTCTGGGCAAATGCGAGACATGGAGCGGATTGTTACCGACATTGCTACAGAAACACAGCACCTGGTAGATGACTCATTTCCCAATTCCGAGAATGGTGAAGAAGGATTGCTGGAAGAGGTCGAAACGATCGCAAAGAAGATCCACTCTGATTATGAGCATGTCCTTGGGTTGCCAAACAACCAAAGGATGCTGGCAAACATCTCTAGGCTTGCTCTCAACCACACCCAGAATCTTCTTCCTTCGCTCTTCGAGCTCGGCAAGGATATCCACTATGCGTTGGAGGAATCTTGGCGCCGGCGCTCCGCGGCAGGCAAGAAAGCTCTCCAGCAAATGCGCACCATCTCCTTCATTGAGTCCCGTCTCGCTGAGGTTCACTCCCAGATAGTTGAACTCGACGTGGACAGCAACTCGTTTGACATCATATGCTCTGTTTTCCAAATGCCGATGGTCTATGGTTCCGTTTTGATCGAATGCACACGGCGCCAGGAATGGAGCGGCAAGATCAAGGCAGACTCCCTGAGTTTAGCAGAGGAAATGGCGGTGTTGAGAGATGAGGAACAGCGCCGACGCAAGAAATGGGTCAAGAATATGGGTGACTTCATCTCCTTTGGGGATACCAATGCCCCGGGAATCGAGGTCAATATCCAGGGCCAAGACGATGAATGGCCGGATGTCAGTCGTAAAGAAATCGAACTTTACATCGACGAGCTACGATCCAAGCATTCCTTGGCCAAAATCGCCGATGATTTGACAGTCCAGTTTAAAGAGTTGGATGCACCCACACGTCAACAGCGGCGGAGGGCCAAAGCCTTTAAGAACGGGAGCGTTTTTGATCTCGGTCGGAGCTCAATGTTGCTACGCGGTGATGATGTAGTGCGAAGCCTACGGGAGGAGAAGGCCAAACTCGAGGAAAGAGTCAAAGGGTCCGACAGCCGCATCCGAAAACTAGAGGACCTGTTGCATCGCCAGAGCCACCTGAGTCGACCATCAAGCGGCAATTTCGGTCCTGATTTCCCCAGTTCTCCTGCATCTCCGCACCCTGACGCCATGTCGCGACGTTCGTCTGTGTCTTCAAGACGGGTGTCGATGAATCAGTCTCCGGAGGACAGAGCGCTTGTGCAACGCATCGTAACACTCGAGGCCGAATTGGCCGCGGAGAAGGAAACAGTGCAAAGGCTTCACAAAGAAGCACATGCCGAGCGCCAGTCCAGCTCCGATAAATATCAAGAAGCTCAATCCACCAAGAAAGATCTCATTGGCAATCTTGAGGCACGCCAACGCGAGTTTGAAGATGAACGACGGTTCATCGAGGCGGAGCTGAAAAAGGTTCGACACCGCAACGAAGAGGTGGAAGAGGAGCTCGATAGGCTCACGGACAGCCGGGAGCATGAAAAGCATGAACTGGATGAGCGTATTCACCAGCTCGAGGTCGACTTGCAAGCTGCCCATATCAGCTCCAGAGAGGAAGCTGCAAAGATAACTGGGCTGAGTGAACGCATTCATGCTCAACAAGAGGAAGAGCAAAAACTCAAGGCAAGGATCGAGTCCCTTGAGCAACAGCAAGGCGAATGGAGCCAACGGGATCATGAAAATTACAATGCTCTTCAGTCAGCATTTATGAACCTGTCACCCGGAGGAGCCGTCCCATTTGAGCTTTCTGGCATCATTAAAGCCATTGATATTCTGTCCGAAGGTCTCTCCATCCACGCGCGGAGTGCGGAAGAGAGCGCTACCAAGGCAATGGCTGAGGCCAAGTCTTTCGAAGAGAGGAACGCGCAACTCGAGTCTGATCTCGAGGCGACAGCGAAGAGCGTCGAAGATAAAGAAACTAAGCTGTCTCAACTCCAACAAGAACTATCGGATACACAAAGCAAACTGGACAATGCTATGCGTGACCTGGAACAAGAGCGTTCAGCACTAACTTCGCTGCAGAACCAGGTGTCAGCTGGCGAAAGTGGATCCGACGCCCTGCGAGAACAAATTGCAGAAGAACAACAAAAGCACGCAGATCTGTCTCAGAGACTTGCTAATGCCGAAACCGAGGCACGAGACTTCAAAGATAATCAATCTGACTGGGAAAAAAGGCTCGAAGATGCCTCCGAGGCAGTCAAGCAAGCTGTGGCTAGGGTTAATTCCCGAGGCAGCAAATCGCACGATATCTCAAAACGGCTTTTCTCTCAGGTTGAGGCATTGGTACGCATGCTGGAGCAGATGGGCTTTGCGATCGTTCAACAGAATGGCCATCTTGCAGTCCAGCGTGCCTCAAAGATCAATTCGTCGTCCAGTCTTGGAGAGAGCCTCGCTCAATCTGCGACTGTCTCGATGAAGCCGGACGCATCATTGCTGGCTTGGTTAGATGCAGAGACTCAAGAGGAAGAGGAGACTAAGTTTGCCGCGTTCATTGAAGGTCTGGCTCAGTTTGACCTCACAAGCTTCGGAGAGACAGTCATCAAACGCGTCAAGGATCTGGAGACCTATGCTCGCAGGTACGTGAAAGAATCTCGAGCTTACCGTGACCGTTACCATCGCGCCCAAAGCGAAGCCCATGAGAAGATCGCGTACCGGTCTTTCAAGGAAGGGGATGTTGCTCTGTTTCTTCCCACTCGAAACCAAGCAATCCGCTCTTGGGCAGCTTTTAATATCAATGCGCCACACTACTTTCTCCGCGAGCAAGACTCCCATAAGCTTGACCAAAAACCTGGCTTCTTGCTCGCATTACTAAGATTGAAGAGCGAATTGTCGACCTGTCTAAATCATTGAACAGCGCTGCCACAGACAAAAAGTCCCTCGGAGAAGCCAGTGACGGCAACTCTCTGGACGATGATAATCCCTTTGCGCTTTCTGATGGTCTACGCTGGTATCTCGTTGACGCTATTGAGGAAAAGCCTGGCGCACCCGCCACACCAGGAATCTCGAAAAGCACCGTTGCCTCTGCCCATGTGGATGCTAAGGGTAGCATCCGTCTAAAGCGACCTACTGAAGAAAGCACTGTCGCTCAAACCCTGTCCAGGAGCTTGGATAGCCGGCGTAATAGTTCTAATTCGAAGCGTGGAACGCCTACGCCTTCCCACAAAGCCAACGACTCAGCATCCGACATTGTGCGACCAGCTGGCGCAGACGTCAGCTCTCAGCCTCGCGAGGCTGCTCCCATTTTCAACGAGGTTCGTCGAGACCTACTCTTTCATGAGGTTCGTCGTGGCCCACTACGGGACCTTCTTTTTCGGGTCACTCCCAGAAGCCTGCATGCTTATCTTTAAATTCCAATACAGAATCAAGATCCTGCGTCAGCCTCGGAAGCGCAATTGCCTACCAGCGATATTGCGTCATCGGCATCTCCGCCTTCGCGGTCGACTTCTACTCGGAGTCAGGCCAAGGCACGCACATGGGAGAAATTATGGTCAATGGACTATCGTCGTGATGAAACAGGGAAGTACTAGGTGTTTCTTTCTACGTTCCATCGCCCTTTGCTCTTTTTTTCACCCTCTCTGTTTTTTGTTTGAGAATCTTGGCCCCTTCTGCTTTTTGTGCATGCATGATGAGGCCATCAACATCTCCCTTCGGTAGTGATTTACTACAAGATACCCACCAGTTTGAAGGCCTTTTTTTGCGAATTTTTGTCGATCAATCCTCTATCAGTTCCACAGGCAAAGGATTCAGGCGTCTAGCTACAGACAAGAGCCCAATTCCAGCAACGTACGCTGATCAAACTTTCTGTCCCATCACAACGTAAAAACATTGTAGCTGAACCAGCCGTTGAGGTTGACCAGATCTTGCTGGGCGGCCTTTTTCATACCCAGCACTTGATCTATCGACTTCGCCCATTCAAACGTGCGGCAATCAAGAGCAGCAATCATGAAATTATGGATCCCGTCCAGGACGGCCTTATTGAGCTCGCTTCTCCCAGCTGGGTCATCCAGGGGATAGATTCTCTCGTCGCAATTTTCCAGTCCATTTTCCTGGAAGAGACCGTAAAGAGCAGCCACACTATTCGGAATTAGAATTGGCCTTGGTCTGCACACGAGGGAACAGAGCTAATAGCCTCATTTTGGTGTCTTTCCTAGAGCACTCGCAGTGGCTCGATGGAGCTCGGTCCATCGCTCAGCATTAATGGGAACCCTGCCTTCAGTGGTTCCCTTCACGACGAAGTCCTTTGCCGAGCAGTCAAGCCATTGGATATATAGCCCCCAGGTCCTTTTTGTCCTATCGTGTCAAAAAAGTCTTCTCACAAGATCGGGTCGATGTTCATACGGAGAAGAGAGATGAGGTTGCAGAGGGCAGGCTTCCACTCATCAGAGGACAGAGCCACCACCATCGCACAAACGTTGACGACATCATATTGCCCTATGAGCTCGGCTGGGAACGGTTCTAGAAGATTGTGCTGGTGGAATTTGACATTTGGGGGCGGTGGTTTCTCATTGAAAAACATTGCGCCCGAGAGGTCGAATCCGTCGAGTTTGCAGTCATCCAGGAGGACCGCTGCGAGGTCACGTAGCCAAATACTGCAGAGAGTCTAGAGTCAGTTTGGAATGGCCTCTTTTGCATCTTGAGATGAGATTCCCCAAGGTGAGATAAGGGTGAAATTTCTGACCCAGTGCCAGTCCCTACGTCTGCCACGCGCATGCCATCTCTCTGAGGGATTTTTGGGTGCAACAGGTAGCCAATATTGACTTGCCAGACCTTGTACTGTCTTTCGAGCCTATATTCCACCTCAGCCTGTGGTGTTCCTAGATGACTTTTTAGAACGTGGTCAATGGTCTCCAAACCTTTCAAGTTCATCTTTCGTTCGGATGAGAACATATTCTGCTGGAGAATTGACCTGGATAGGCATTATGAGATCAGAAATTGGGCCTTTTTATGGAAAGATGAACTTTGCCGGCTCATCTGCGAAAACGCCCGAGTTCATCCACCCATCAGTCAATAGTACTGAAATTGGAGCCAACCTGACGCCACAGCCATGGTATCCCGTTAGAAAAAAAAACACAAGACCAGTCAGTCGCGCCAAATTCCCCACAGCGGCACTAAGGAGAAAATATGACAGGACGAGATAGTCTGGAGCAACGCTCCGTACGTACAGTCGTGGAGGAAGGATTCTTGGAATGCGGGTCTACGGGAACAAGGAAAAGATCAGCTGTTTGGTGAACCTCTTTGACCACCCCGGAAGCCTGTGAAAGGTTCCTGGGCCGAAGTTTTTTCCCCAAGGTGGTTTAATTTTACTGATTAGCGTGGGATATGCCAACCCATCGAATGAATGGTCTGTTATAGCATCCTGGTGGCCGTTGGAAAGCGTCGGCATCTTGAGAAATTTGCTTTGTTCACTCGGAATACACTTCATAATGCGAAGTTTTCATTGATGAATTAGGCCTTCTTGATGTAAGTTTGGTCCGCGCTCACAAATTGAGGGGCTACTAGCTGCAATTCTATTGGAATTTTTGGGGAGCAGATGGGGCTTTGCTAAGGGTCATCCTAACGGTTATCCCACACTGCAATGGCGTGAGATCCACCGACACACCGCTCGAATTGGATCCCCTGAATTTCGTTGGAGATAGGGGTTGATGGAATATTTAGCTCTAGCTCATTTCTCGATCACTTAGATAACAATAGGATTACTTTCCAGTAGGTATGTGTGATATATTTGCCACAAACCACACAGTGTTGATGGTTAAAATCGTGGTCATTGTTAGTCCTGTGAAACAGGGCGACAAGTATGCTCCATATCTACATTTCTTGGTATGCGACGGGCGAAGCAGGATAGCAAAAGACTGCAGTACGAGATGTAGTACCTCACATATAGTTTATACGCATCACACTCTATGTGATATGATTTATATGATGGAGATGAGATAGCTGTGGAGACTGTAATACTGCCGAATGCCAGCATGATCTGCAGGATATACCTCCGCCAATCCACTTCGTTTTCCAACCTCTCCACATCAATCAAGCTTGATTTCTTGGCTTGAACCATTTAATTCGCAACCAAAACCCGGGGGGGAGCTTTAAAACCAGGCTAGCAAGAATGCAGCGGCTGGCCGTAGCCGTGACCGTGTATCGACGTAAGAAATGCGACGACGATGACGTCAGCGATGCCAGGAATCGGACAAGGCATAACCAACTATTCATTATAAGTAGCTGAGAGGTATCATTTCTTTTAAATTGCCATCGCACTTGGATTATCTTTGTCTACTCCGATTTCTTCAAGTTTCGAAGTCTATCAATACAGTATCACCTACACCCACCATCCACGCCACATCATGTCCGCCGCACGCTTGATTCCGGTTTTCAAGTCTCGAGTGACAAGCTCGGTCGCAGCCTCCACCATCGGCATTCGGTCCATCTCATCGACTGCTAGCTATCAGAAAGGGCCTATCGATGCAACCAAGGACACCCTGAAGAAGGCTGATCGGGTTGTCTCGGATGCGGCAGTTGGGGGTATAAACAAAGGAGGTATGTACATCCTTGGGTTGAATAATGAGAAACCGAGTAAGCCAAATTCTGATACGAATGTGTGCATCTTCTAGAGCAAGCGAAGGAGAAGATTAAGAACGCCATGGGTGCCACTAGCCAGGATGCCCAGGCCAAGGCGCAGGAGTTGAAGGGCGACGCGGCTCAATATGCAGGCGAGGGCAAAGGGAAGGCGGAGCACGCGGCCGGAAAGGCAAAGGGAAAGGCCGAGGAGGCCATGGGCGAGGCAGCTGGCAAGGCCAAGGAGGCTAAAAAGAGCCATCTCGGTTGAAGGTAGCTTTCGTTTGGAATGATGTTCCCTGTCTCCATGTCGTCTCATATCGCATAACCTGTATATCGAATGTAATATCATTTCTGCATGCTCGCTTGGTCGGATAATCCTGTCATATCCGGGAAATGGGAATATAGCGGATGAAATATTCAGCTCGGTAGCATAATCACGTACTCGCGTGAGCTCAGTCCGAATTTAATCACATCCTTGTCCATGACCTCCATATAGCGGCCAGCTGGAACGGACTCGCCATTGACACTGGTTCCGTTGGCGCTCTCCAGATCGATGATATAGGGCTTGATCTTGCCGATGCGGTCACCATACTCGTTTCTCTTCTCGACATAGCGGAACTGGAGCGCGGCATGTTGTTTGGAGCAGCTGGGATGCTCGAGAGGGAAATCCACCACTGCCTGTTCACGGCCAACCAGCCAACAGCTGCGTCCACCGAGTTCCACCATCTCCAGTAGATCCTCTCCCTTGAAGACATACATTCTCCAGGGCTCCTTGGATGGTGGTTTGCGTGCCTCTGGTGGCTCATGGTATTTCAAGACGATTCCTCCATCGCGTCCTTCAACCTGGACCCTGTTACTCTCCGCCGCAAGGCGGCCCGTGTTTCTGAAATTCGGCTTCTCTCTCTCTGGTGGCGGAGGTCCATCACCAGTCTGTGTCAATTCGTTTGAGAATGCGTCTGATTGCGATGGGAGCGGGCCGCGCCGCTGAATCTCCTTGGGTGGGCTAGGTGATCGTCGTGGAGAACGTGAGCGTCGTCGTGGACTCTTATGTCTTCTGGAAGACCGCTCTCCATCACGGTCTTCGCGGTGTCGATGGCTGCGATGGCTGTGCCTCCTGCGATCCTCGTCGGCGGCACTTGTAGAGCGTTCACGGCGGTCTCGGCGATGGCTATCACGATCTCGGCGGGATCTGTCGTTCCCTGATGGACTGCGGGAGGATTGGCGCCGAGGACTGTCTCTGTGTGAGTTTCGGCGGTTGTCATCGCGTCGCCGCGAGCTCTTATGGTAATCGGACCGTAAATCCTGTCGTCGTCGTTCGCGGGATCGATCGGGAGAATCGGCTGGCGAGCGTTGCCGACGGCCGTCGTGTCCGTCTTGCGATCCAGCCATATTATCGCAAGCGGATAGCAGCGTTAAACGTGAGCAAAAACAACGGGCGGAAGCTTCGATGAGAACCTTGAGACAAACTGTAGATCACGTGATTTTACTTGAGCTAAAAATTACCAGATTCGTAGAAAATGTGAAGGAATTTAGTGTTAAACAAATATAGAATTTACGTAAAATTTCCCTCTGCTGATGGATTTTCCTAACTTCTCACCTATTTTGAAAATATCTACCTCGATCCTAGTGTGACTACCACTTCTCGGCACCTTTTCTCCGACGCCACGTGATCCATTCCACGGGCCGGCAGGTCTAAACAGTGAGGGGAGCTACACTGCTTCCACTCTTCCACTCTTCCACACACTTGGAGAGCGTCGGGATTCTCACCGTCCTCTCTCTAAACGCCATGCGGACATGTTCAAGAAGTCCGGACTTCTCAGCTGCAGTGGCATCCAGCTCCTGAGCTCACCCACTGTAGCGTCGCCACTCGCTCATGTCCTGGTCAACAGACCACGCCGCGGCCTCGGGGTATTCTATATCGGCCAAAGCTACGCCACTGCCTCGGATCTCCCGGAGTATGAATATTCCTGGCCGAGTGCATCGACATTTACTCCTTATGAAGTCTTTAACCTACACCGCAATGCCCCGTACTCAAAGATCCGATACTACGATCTCGTGAAAATTTACCATCCAGATCGGCCTTGCAACGAGCATCGTCTATGTCGAGGTCTGTCAAAAGAAGTTCGCCTTAGACGGTACCACATCGTAGTAGCCGCCCACGAGATCCTTTCAGACCCGACCAAGCGAGCTGCGTACGACCAGTTCGGTACCGGATGGAAATACGGACCCAAACGGTACAACACGGTGGCCGACGCATCGGCAGAGTGGGGACCTTACGGCCCAACTATATACGCCAATGCCACCTGGGAGGACTGGGAACGTTGGAATAACCGACACGAGAAGCAGCAGCATATCGTCGATCACCGCACCTTCACCAAACTCGTCGTTCTCCTGACCTTGTTCGGAGGCGCTGTCCAAGCGTCTTGGATCTCGCAGCTGCAAACTGGCTATGAGGAGCGCTTACGGGAGGTCAGCAACGATTCGATGCGCTTCCTGTCCGGTCGTCGGCAACATACAATCGACCAGATGCCTTCCAATGACGCTCGCGTGCAGAGTTTCCTAGTCCGGAGAGATCCGACGGGATCAGGCCTCAAGGATGACGAGCAACCTATTTACGAAAGAGAACTGCATTCTCGTCGTCCATCCGAAGGAAAAACCGCGTATCCAACCCAGGAGGTAGAGGATCACGCGCGGAGTGAGCCAGTGCCGAGTGCTCAGAGTTCTCAAGACGCCCATAAGGCTTTATGATGCCATTTCTGTCCTATTGATTCTCCTCTTTGTATGATGTTCTGACTCGCATGACATTTATAATTATCGAATCAGATTAGGGGTTGTGCATTTCGGGACTGATTGAACATATTCTCCTCCATTTAACAGTAGTATCGGAGGTAGCATCGATTACTTTCGAAATAGAAACCCGACCCTAAAATCCAGTCTGCAAATAGTGCAGTTGCATAAATGCATCTGTAAATCTAAGGCCCAATTTCAAGGTGTAAGATCCTCAGCGACGCCTCGTGGGGCGTAGATGCCCACGGTGGGGACGGACCTCGGCTCTGACGCAGGTGAACCCAGATCCGGTTTAAATCTATATCTCTCCCTCCCTCAGCACAACCCCAGGAGCCGGGCTCCAAGTCGCATCCTTCGCCCAGGATGAGCTCGTTCAAGCACAATATCGGCCTTCTGAAGGCGTTGCTGGTCCGCATCCCGCTGATCCTGAAAACACTCTTTCTGCATGAGGTTCACATGTCCCCCGTGTCGGGGAAGCAAGATCTACGCACCGAATTGACTGTTGCAATCATTCGCTCGTTCATGACGTTCAGTCATTCCATCACCAAGATGCAGCAGAATAGCATGCGCGACCCCGGGATCAAGGGTCCCATGTGGGTGTCCAAGGTCGTTTTACCACAGCCCGAGTTCGACGTGCGCGATGCAGTTCTGCGCGCAATTGAGGACCTCAAAATGGGTGACGAGACTTTTGATATACCTGCTATCGGCTCTGTCGAGGCTGAATGGACTGGGTATCGAAGTGGAGTTGGGAAGAGTACTGCGCAACCTGATCTCTCGGAGGCTGAGAAGTATCGTGAGCTGAAAAAGGAGTCCTCGTCTGATACGACAATTCTGTTCTTCCACGGCGGTGCATATTTGTAAGTAACTCCTGAAACATTATCTCTCGTAACATAAAAACTCTAATTCTTAATCCCAGCCTGATGGATCCATGCACTCACCGCGTGCCTGTCGCTCATCTATCACGCCTCACGGGTTCCCCGGTGCTCTCAGTCCGATACCGACTGGCACCGCAAAATCCATTTCCAGCCGCATTGGTTGATGCATTGACAGCCTACTTGTCTCTCATTCATCCGCCACCAGGCGCACTACACGATCCTGTGCCAGCCCGCAAGATCGTCATCGCTGGTGACTCCGCCGGTGGAAACCTGTCTCTGGTGCTACTTCAGACACTACTTACCCTTCAACGTGCCTCCCGCTCAATCAACTTCCATGGAAAAGAAGTCCCCATCGAGCTTCCTGCGGGCGTAGCCACCGTTTCGCCATGGTGCGATATCTCGCGCGCCATGCCATCGATCATCCACAATGCCAAATTCGACTATCTCGATCTCCCCGCTCACACCAGAGAAGATGTAGTCGAGTCGAAGCCGTTCACTCCGATTCCATTTCCGGCTGACGCAGCGTGGCCTGTATCACCGCCGCGTAGTGATATGTACGTGAATGCGAAAACGGTGCTACATCCTCTCGTCTCGCCTCTTGCTGCATCGCCGGAGCTTTGGAAGGGGGCGCCTCCGATTTTTATCTCGACTGGAGAGGAATCATTGACAGATGAAGGCTTGATCACAGCTCGCCGACTTCACGAGGCTGGCGTACCTGTTGTCGCAGAGCAATTTGAGGGCATGCCTCACTGCCACGGCTTTATCATGATGTCTACGCCGGCGTCAAAACGATTCTTTAAGACAATGTCGGAGTTCTGTCGTAACGCCGGGACTGGAAGTGTTACGCCGACAGGGAACCTCACGTATCTCGGCTTCAAGCTGCGCTCCACCCGCGAGATTTCACTTGAGAAGATTAGTAATGTGAGTGATGAAGAGGTCGAGGAACGATTGCAGAGAAGTGCGAAATGGCGTCTTGATGGGGAGATTGAGATGCTCAAATCCTCTCGTGAGTGGGCGCGGCTGTAAGTGTACCGATGACCACGGATTATAATTGTAAATTTTGTTTCTACTACCTGTCAATACACGGAATACATACAAGAATTCAATGATACATAATCTATACAAAGTTTGGGATATCATAAAATGCAAACAGTCAAGCAAGAAAGTAACAGAAACTGTGATAATCAGAGAGCTGCAAGAATGACGAGCGACTTCGGCTTGAATTTGATCGTTTCTCCCTCTCCTGCGATCGTGAGATTGACGATGTACTCCAGCGCGTGCGTGTGTTTGATGCTATACGTGACGAAGTCGGGATAGATGCTGTTCAGGCTCGGCCAGCGCACAAGGCGCATATTCCCAGAATACAATCCATCAGCCCGCAGATTGATCTGGAACATGTTGCCCAAGTGGATAGGCTGGCTCCCCTTCCCCGACGAATATATCACCAGCGGAGACTCGAGCTGTTCGAAGACCTTTTCTAGGTGCAAGTCTATTATGGCGGTCTGCTGGTCACTTTGTGGGTGGTTCTCTCGGAAATTGCTCGGTGCCATGCAAGCTGTTATACAGTGCAGACGCAGCCTGATCCAATTGATCTGAATCTTCTGAGGATGGTCCTTGATACCCTCACTCGTTTTATCTTCCCGGTGAACAAAGTTGAATATTATCGGGATCAACTCTGGGTTGTTGAGTTGGACGGCAGTGGGTGTTGTCATCACGATTTCATACCAGAACTCTGGTACTTTGGAGGAACGGAAAATTTTGCGCGTCCTTTGTCCCAGAGATAGGGCTACATCTTCCATTCCTGGGAGTAAACGCTGTGTCTGGATTTTGAAAACACAGCCATTTCGCAATTCCTTGGACTCGCCAAGAAAAGTGCTCGTGTTCTGGTCCATAGGGTGTCTTAACATTATGGGTAAGGTCGCATAGAGGACTCGGTGTGCCCCGCGATGGAGATAGTTCAAGCGAGCGTGGACGGCATACTCGACAATGCATTCGGAGCTGACAATATGATCCCTACCACTGGCACGAAAGGTACCAGGTAGGTACGGAGGAGCTTCGTCCAGGGGAAGAAAGCTCATCGCCTGTTTATGGCCTCTAGTAACCGAAGGTGAAACGGTGGTGGGAATCTGGACTGAGATGGGCCAGCATTCTGGCTCGCTGCTATTTTCTGGAATATGCAGTGGCCCGTGATAAAGGACATCCTGGCCATTATCGAAGAGGTCCCAGGTGGCGGAGTAGGTCTTATTAGAGGAGTCTCTTCTCTCAGAATCTCGAGAAATCTTCGCCCTCACTCGCCCGGCAAACCAAATTCGGACTGTAGCCTCGGGTGTGACGAGTGGATTCTTGCGCATCAAGTTGCCGATGATCGTGTCGCCTGGTGCATACTCCCACCCAGCAGGAGCTGCAAGATCGAACTTCAGATCGTCTTTGAGGGCGATCTTGTTTGGGAACATGGTGCCCATTGTGTAGATAGAACTAGTGTCCCCGGCGTATATGGCGCTGGCACTCATTTTCTCCCTGTTCCTTGCTCAAGTGTGAGTCTCTGGGGAAATGATGGGAGGTGCCAGGGATCGCGAGGAGTTGATATATTCAAGAGCGCCCAGTTATGGGCCCACACGGCCGGATGATGTTGTTGCCCTTTGCGCCCCGAACGATTGAGCCTCGTGTTACCGTACGGGTCTTGTCAACTAGTCCTAACTCGTGCTTAGCCCCTGCTCCTACCGCAACCGATAACTAGTTAACTGTTAAGTTAGTCGCCAGCCGAAAATGATTAGGTAATGATGGGTTGGGCCTGCAGAAAGCCTTGGAGCTTGTGGGATCTGTCTACAATACCCAGAGACGACCGTAAGATAGGTAGGGAGGATTGCGTGAAGGCCAATCCATTGATCAGTGACGGCTTTAACCGTCCTTCTTGGCACGGCAGACATCACGTCCATCTTCAACTCATTTCCTTCACCTTCAAGAGGCCGTCCTTGGGATGAGAAGCTCGAATCGATGAAATCCAAAGCCTGTATAAGACTGTGAGCATTCCAAAAGCGACCATCCCTGCAACTTTCAATGATCCAACCGAACCGGATACCAAGGTATCCGGTAAAAATCTCTTTTCTGGCCAGTAAGCTCGGCCAACGGAGGAAGCGTTATCTTTGTATAGATCGACTTCACACTTGTTGCCAGTTACGATCTCGTACGTAATTGCCCAAGCAAGCCAATATCAACTCGAACAGTGTAGCCATTATCATCCACATGGTCCATATCGGAATTCAGTGGCAGAAGAGATGCTTCGGAGGAATCGCACAGTTTGAGTGATAGGTCGGAATTGAGGAGAAAGTTTCGGCTGGCGATGTCTGCGACAAGCACACGCCTGTCATGGACATTTTCAAGTGTCCGGGCCATCTCATAGAACCACTTAAGTTGGAACTCATATGTGGGACGGTGTGATTGAAGATAAGTTCGAAGATCTCCATTAGCTATGTGAGCAAGCTGAGTAGCTTCGGCTGAAAACCCAATGCAACGAACAACATCGCTTGAACGATGATCATAGGGATCTTGCAGATGACGGTAAATGGTTTGCTCGTGTTTAATTTTGTCGATGTTCGCTTGCACATCGGACTCTGAATGCCAAGGGTATCTTAGGGGAATTTTCACAGCTACGCCGTTTTGGAGGAAAACGACCGAGGCGTGTCCATTGCCCAGAACTTGTTCCTGGGGAAAATAATTGCCTTGGTCATCAGAAAGGGTGACTGCATGGCGTAGAGAGGAATGGAATTTGGACTGGTGTTGTCGTGATTCATGGGGCTGGTATGAGATACTACAAGGTATTAACTTAACTACTAGTTAACTATTAAGTACAAGACCGATCACATAATCATCCTGATCCCTTCAACCAATTGTCCTTTGTCACCTGATGCATACATCGCTTCTTTGAATCAGCTCCTTCGACAGACAAGCTTGGCCCGCTTAGTTGACCACGCTTGTGATGATGGAATCAGGGGTCGCACATACTGCCCCTTTCTCTTGGGCACGAAGCTGTGTCATTAGGGGATGGAATGACGCTAGTTAGTACCTTGTGCACGTTAGAAGGCAAACATTTAGACTCAATTCGAATTAAATGATAGACTGTTGGATGGAGCGATGGGTATCCTAAAAGCTAGTCCTAAATTTCCATCGCAAGCAACGCCTTATAGAAACAATGTTAAGACCGGTGAAACGCCATAGTGGATGCTATATCCAATAATCTCTTAAAGTTAAAGATATTCATCATCGTCCATCGATGCCTGCTCATCCTTGGGGTTTACAGGAATTTCGTGGCGCGCTGTCCAGACGGGTGCTTGAGGTGGAGGAGGTGAAGCAGCAGCAGCAGCAGCAGGAGGAGGCACGAAGCTTGTTGCTGTAGATGGTGGCGTCAACCAGGGAAAAGGCACGGCGGTGCCGTTGATACGGATCTCGCCCACGAGCTTTCCCAGACGCTCTGGCTCGTCCACATAGCCATCCCACAAGCCGAGCAACTGCGCCACGAGCCGGAAGATCGCAATACCAATCGTGATGATGGGCGTCAAAAGGGTCGAAAGATGAGACAAACGCCACAGCATTGTCACGGTCACAAATGGGAAGATGGGTGCATCCGGGCGCAAGCAGTAGCCGGTACAGGTGTTGGAAATAAGGGGGTGGGAGTACATCTCGGTCATTTGGCACTCAATGATATACCATGTCAGAAATATGAGCGTGGTCCAGCCAAGCTTAGTGATGCGTAGACGTCGGGATGTTGGGTTTCGTTCCCATAATCGAGGAAGCGGGATGGCAGCATAGATGCGGGTATCTGGCTGCGTATTGCTGGTTTCTCTCAAAGTCGAATCCGAGGTTTGTTTGTTGGTCGCAGAATCACCGAGCCCGTCAGTGACAATTCCACCCAAATGGTCCTCCAAACGATCCAATCCCTTCTTCACTTCTTCAATGTGCTTCGTCAACGAATGCAGCTTGTTCTCTATTCGGTCGTACTCATCATGGTCTTGGTTTTTGGTTGCCAGTTCGAGCCGGTTGCGAAGCTTTTGTTCGTACGTAGCTTCCTCCTCTTCATCGGATTTCACTTCAGTAGGATCGTCCATGATTGCTTGGAGTGATTCAATGGTATCGTCACCCAGATCGAGGGCCTCTTTGCCAGAATGGACATCTTCGATGACCGTTTCAAGAGCACTCTTTGGTAAGTTAGGTCGAACGAGAGGAGGCTTGGGCTTGGATCGCTTGGTGATGCGTGTTTCAGAACCAGAATTTGTCTCCCGATTCTCGTTCTTTGCTTCAGGCTCCTCGGATTTAGGCATGACATCCGCGGTTGGTTTGGTACCAGCAATTGGTTCAGGTCCTGGCACCTCCTTTTCTTGTGGTGGCGCCGCGGGAGGAACAATATCCTTCGTTAAATCGCTTGGAATTTCAGTCACTCGTTCTGTCATGGGCGTATCAATCCAGGCACCCGTGACCCTGGGTGTTTTGTCATAAACCTTCCTCTCAAAAAGCTTGGGTGGCTCTGGGGTTTGGACCTGGTCCATCTTTGGGCTTTCGGCTCTTGATAGCTTGCGCAGAAGGTCTTGAGAGTCTCGCTTTGCTGCACTTGGCCTTGTCAATGTCGAGTTCTTGTATACAATGATTGGCGTGTTTGGAATGGCGTTGCCATCTATCTGAGGCGTATTTCCATTCAAGCCCAGTCCACCTTTCTCGTTCGATTCCTCTGTATTCGACGCGTGGAGATTGGCGACGCGTTCCTCGAGGGCGCCTCGGGTTGGCATTGGCCTACTGCTAGTATCTCGCTCGGGGCGAGGAGATGAACGGGTAGTCCTGGATGTCGTTCTCTCTCCACTTATACTTGTTGCAGGGATATTGCTGGGTGGGTCATGCTGCGCTTTCTTCTCTTGGGATTCCGAGGCAGAGCTCCCACTAACATTCCGAAGCCATTCCTGTGGGCGTGCAGCGCGACTGCCCCAGCTGCGTGGAAGATTGAGTGAGGGCCATTGTTCGCCGTCATCCTCCGAAATGGGCTGTTGTTCTTGGTGTTGATCATGTTGAATTTCCTCCTCTCGTCGCTGTAGATTATCCGCCGTCAAAGCTGTGCGACTCCCAACTTTGGCCTTGCTGAAGATCGCCGAATCTTTGCCCGTTACTCGTCGGAGGCGCTCCTCATCTCGAGAATAATTGGTCTTACGTCTGCGCGGCGAGTTGTGCACCATCTCATCGAGGAGGCTCGCCTCCGAAAAGCGTGATTCTGTATCGTAGTAGAGACCTCGCTGTTTCGAAGAGGAGCGATTGAGACGACCAGGGGAGCGTTTTTCAGCTAAACCATTCAGGTCTTCCCAGTCCATGTTATCGGCCAATGTCCCAATTTCATCAATTTTCCGGTATGCATCGACGGGTTCGGCGGGCGGGTTTGATGTGTCGGAGGTCGGTGATGGCGCGTTGAGGTGCTCCCACGGCCGTGTTTGTCGCGGGCTGGTATTTGAGCCCAGCTGATGACCTTCATCAGACATGCTTGTCCGTGAAACAGCGCGGTACGCTCCAGCTAGAGTGCCCGTGCGATAATTATGTCGAGGACGCGTTCCATTTTGCTTCGAAGGCGACGGGAAGGTTGAGGGTTCGAAATCGAATTCGTGGCTTGCGTCGCCCGCGCGACCAAAGGGCGAGTGCGGGTGATGATGTCGCGCGAGTGAAACTCGGTCGGTCTTTGGGGTCGACATGACGAAAACAAAGCAACAGGCCCCCTTGCGCGGGTGGAAGAGTGATGGTGAATCTGGCCGAACCGCGAGTAAATAGAGCGATCCCGCATTCCCGAAGGGGCTAGCGACGCCCGGTCTCGATTCAGTCGCGATCGCATGTGCGGTCTATACTTCCTTTCGCCACGTCCTCGACTCGTCCTGCTTCTTTTCCATTCAACCCGCGAGCCTTCGAATCATGCGAGCATCTCCCGCTGCTCAGTGACTCGACGCCTCATGTGATCCGCTCACTTGCACGGATCATCTCCCGCGACGCGCCTCGATACAAAAAGCCTTGACTGCGGCTTAACCAGGCTCTCGCAGAACAACCCCGCCACGGCTTCCAGAAACACTCGTGTATTGAACCTCAGTCACAATTATATAAAACGAAATGGCCAAGTCATCACGCCGCAAGACGCCCGCGTCGTCGCCGGTCTCATCGGGCGCTTCGACTCCCAGCTCCGCGTCCGCTGGTCCCATTCCACCGTTTACAAAAGTGCCCGCCGTGCTAAAACCCTTTGTCGAAAAGCTCGTCCCGGAGGAAGTATACTTGGTTCATATCGATACAACAGCCACAGACCTGAAATGGCAAACTTTCCTTGTGCCATCAGTGGTCAACGTCGTTGTGGCTGCCGTCATAGCTCTGCGAGTCTACTGGGGATGTAGCACCTACCCTGCGCTGATTGCAATTTTCTTGGGAATGGAAAGCTCTCTTAGCTTCGATACCTCAATGGCTTCCTGGATGGAGATCACACAGGTCATTCTCAGACGGACAGGCACGATTCTGATCGACTACTTTCTCGTGACACTATTCCTGTCCTGGCCGTTTCACTTCATCACGGGCCCCGTGCGCTGGCGCCGTGCAGTCGGATTCCGAGACCGTGAAATCATTGTTCGCCGCAGTAGCCGAAGCTGGAGTCACAAGCTGGAGCGTAATAAGTGGATTCGTCATGACGAAAAGATGCGCGACAAGATTGTTGCAGCTGTCACTCCCGAGAGGCTAGGAAAGACTGGCTACCTTCTCGTCGATGATGACTGGAACCTGGATTACCAGGCCATGATCCGCGCCCATGCCTTGGTTGATCTCACGCGGAAGGGCGAGGGCGTTCAGCTCGACGAGTTCCGTACAGCTGTGCTGGTTCACACCGATGCAGACGGCTGGCTAGTCTGGCGTGTTGCAGATGAGAACACGCCTGCCGGTCGTGAGCGCAACGCTCACCGAGATCAAATTCTGACCTTCAAGGACAGGCTCGCTGCCTTAGGTAAAGAGGACTTGTTCTTTCGCTGGGTTGAGTTGGTCCAGTGGGAGAGTTCACGGCCGGGCGGTTTTACCCCGGAAAGACAGCAATCAACAATGGTCCAGGTTCAACAGATGTTCGAGAAGGAGAACATCAGCTTTAGCGAATTCTGGGATGACTTGGGAGGCATGGAAGGCATCGAGATGCCACCGCAATAACGGTTGCCACGAATTTTGTCTATATAGCCTTAGATTCTGTCACATCCTGCTTTTCAACTGGGAAGTCCGCTCGTGCGGACTGAACTGGCATTGATATACATATGATTGAATATGCCGAGCTTACTACTCTAATCCTCGAGGCACTCTCTGCCTCTTCCCATTTATTGTTAGGGTATTACGCTGTTCAAATCTCATTTTCGTTTCAAATGGTTCTTAGGGTTTAGAAAGCTGCACCTGTGAGCTCATCATAATGCGAATATATACGTAGTGTACGTGGAACATGTACTTCTTACAGCCTTCATGGAAGCCTTTTCCTCCCACGGTGCCCCAACATATCTTAGCACAAGGGGTAAAAAGAATTGAGGAAGGGCGGAGAGCAATCGGAACTTGGAAATTATATCTATCTAATCTTATGCTAAACAGTCCCACAAACAATATAACGATACCAATCAGTGCAAGGGGAATCTTTATGAGGAAAAAAAAAAAAAAAAAGCAAATGCGACTTGGAGCAAATAACGTAGAAAAACGCTCGGCAACGGAAAAGGTTCAGAACCGTACACCCAAACCATCTTGGGTCAAAGGACGCGACGGCGAGCTTCCACTTCGCGGACGTAATCCGTATGCTTGAGGCGGAGATGCCAGCGCCGGCGCCGCCACCGGTGCATAAACATGAGCACCTTCTTGAATCAGGGGACCAGACAAATTAGGATGGTAGAGTTGGTAGGTAGGGATGTGTCGTGGAACCTGGAGAAGGCCAGCTTCATGCAATCGTTGTCGCGCATCACGCACGTCAACACGATGGCTCCCAAGATGCAAGAGATGCGCGGGCTCCACATCGGGCTGCCAATTTAGCTCCATGTCTCGCAATCGCTCGTCTACCGATCCCAGTCGTTGGTGGCGTGGTGGAGGGTAGAGAGAATCGGACTGGAGTGCACTTCCTGCGCGAGGAATTTCACTGGTCCAACTGGCTCTTCCTGAAATAGCCCGTGGCTGTGCGAGTGCAGGTGATGCACTATGCGGGACTTCAGCGGGTTGCTGGAAGCTTGGAAGAGGTGAAAGCCGCGGAGGGTATCTAACAGGCTCCGTGGCCCAGGACTGGTGTGAGTACCCAGATGAGCCGCGAGAAAGTGACTCGGGAACGAGGGGCTCTGAGGCTTGAGGAACCTGGCTATCCGAGAATCCGTGGGTGAGAGGCATTGAACCAGGCATTACCGCAGATGGATGAGAAATCGGCATTGGATTAGGAGGTGTGGATGCAACTGGGGGCCTCGGCATAGCGGGCCTCTGCCGGTTTTGTGACATCGTTATGCTGATGTCCTGATCATATGGTAGAGGCGGTGGTGGGTATGGGAGGAGAGATGGTGTGCTTGCAGATAGGTCGTGAGACAGCTCATGTATAGAGACCGGATATGGAAGAAGGGAGGGTACACTGGCTGATAGATCTCGGGCTGGAGGTTCGAATGCCGCTGCAAGTGAAGAACGACGAGATTGAACCTGAGAGTTAGGTGCTGTATGAAGACCGGGGCCATTCAGTGGGTGGCCATAGAGGTCACGACCAGGCTCACTATATGTTGAGCGATCAATTGGCTCGACCATGAGCTCATGCGAGGTTAGCTCGTGGGCCAAAGGAGATGCAAAAACATGGCTTCCTCTCCCATCAAGAGATTCCACAGATGGCTTCATCTGCAAACCAGATATCTGATCCATTCCACGCGCGGCGGGCATAGATGCCGGGCGTCTTGGTGGAAGATCTGCCTCTAGCATGCGACGGGCTGCAATATTTGCATAAGTTGGCACATTTTCTTTGCTGACTGACACAAATTGGCTTGGAACTCGTTCCGGCATTTCAGCTGTAGCTTGTCCATTGCTGGATTTGCGAACAGCGGCCAGCGCTTTTTCCGCCGCTGAAGCTAGAATCGTAGAGCGGCCCCCTTCATTTGTTGACATGCGACTTGAGGATCCCTTTCCTTGTACTTGAGAGAGTTTCACCAGTGGTACGGCCGGCCTAGCACCTCGTAGCCGACGAAGGCCTCTATTTCGTTTCCTTGGTTGCCTTTCCCTCGACTGCCGTGTTTTCGTGTGCCGATCAACCACTTCCCAACCTTGGTCGTCGTATGGAACTGGTGGGCTCGATGATGCAGGAGACGGCTTTGGTTTCTCGGTAACTTGACTCATCTGCGATAGGGCCGGGGAGATGTGAACAGCTCCTTGTGTCTCTTTATCCGTTTCATAGCCTTCTTCTGACTCATATCCGGCTTGTCGGTAGATATGAGGAGGGAAGGTCTCCAATCGGAACCGAAGAGGAGGACCAATTTCTTCTGGGGACTCTGCTCGAGGAGACCCTGATTCTGTCCAATTCCATGTTGACTGTCGTGAGATGCCCTCTTCTGCCGATGACTCCGGGAACGATGAGGATGAGCTGCTTGACCGGTCAAATACCGACTTTTGATTCCGAGCATATTCCTGCGAGGAGCTCGGAGACATCTGGTCAATCTGATTGCTGATGCTCCTCATGAGCTGTCGTAGATTTTCTCGCGCTTCTCGAAGGACTGGAGGATGAACGCCCATAAGTGTCTTTTTGGGGAAGAGTTCAGCCAGTCGAGAGGCATGAGTTTCGTATTCGCGATAGTCGCGAACGAGCCCGCAGTCATGGTAGTGGGACATTCTCTCCTTCGCCGTTTCATATGATTTGCAGAGAAAACGAGTGGCAACGATCAACCATGAGTCATAAAATCCAGGGTCATGCTTGTTCGCCAGATCCTTGAACTCGTCATCTTTGATACGAAGCTCGTCCCGGCAGAACCCTTGAACCACACTGTGAATTTTGACTACATCCAAAGTTCTATTGCCACGGTATATAGAGAAGAACCCTTCTTGACTGCTTTCCGTCTGGGAGCCAGTGAGCTCGGGAGTCTGCTTAGAGTCTGTGCTCACTTCATCAGTTGATCGCTGACCAGACCCATTTTGCTGAATAATGGAATCAAAATCGGAAGTTCGCTCAATTAAGCCATAGTGGATTAGAGTGCCGAGTGTAGTATCCAGATCAGGGTCCTCGCCGAGTTGGGCACTGCTAAGAATATCTGCATTCTCGATAGACATTTCATGCTTTCCAAGATTGAGCAATCCCACAGGGACATGGTGACCGAGGAATGAGAGCAGATTGATGAGGTTTAGAGCTTGGTGTTGTTGCAGACGATACAAGTCGTTCATAATTCCCAGGAAGGGCTCGGCGAGCTTCTTGTCTGTGACCTGATGTTTAACGTGATATTTTTCGATTGGCTTGCGTGTCGCGTTGAGACGATGTCCGATGGCGTGAATTGCTAGAGGCAAGCATTCGTAATGTTCAACCAACTCGATAGCCTTCGCATTTTGTTCTTTCGTAGGCTTTTTAATGCCTAAGTCCTTGAACAGAAGCTTACATGCGTCATCAACGAGCATTCGAGGCATGGTTAAACAATATGGCTCGAAGAGGCGCTGCTTTTTCCGTAGAGTCGTATCAATAGAGGTGTACATGATACTGCATCTCTGGTTCCAGGGTAGGAAGGGTTTGAACTCGTTGATATCCTCGTCATGGTCGAAAGTGATACCGTCGAAGACCAGGAGCCAATCGTGTCGTGTCTGTAACCAGCTTCTCACTGCGTTAATGTAGCCCCGAGACTCCTGGTATCCCGACTCAATGGTGTCTTTGCTGTCAACCAATGTCGCTGCCTGTGCAATTTCCCAGAAGCACTTGGCAGCACTTTCGCGAGACTTTGCATCGATCCAAAATATGCCACCGGTATAACACTCGCGCTGTGAGAAGACATACTGACGCGCTAAGTGTGTCTTCCCTGACCCGGGTACGCCAGAAATCAGAACGGCCATGGTGCGATCTGGTCGTGATCTCGCCTTGAACAAGCGGCTGTGGAGAATTTCTAGCTCTTTTTGCATTCCGAAAAAGGTTGCATTTGGATGAAATCCTGCCGGTGCAACGAAAAGAGGAGGGTCCTTGGTATGGGAGCATTGCGAAAAAGACAGGGTACCGCTGTTGCTTACGTCGGATACAGGAGAGCTGCGGCCTTCGGTAGCTGGGGCACGGGGCAGCGCAAGAATGGAGCGACCTATTGCAGAGAAGAAGAGTCAATCAAATCTGACTTGCTTGAAGAAACAATTCATTGAGTGGGATGGATAGTATCAGCTAATTTGAGGAAAATGAGGTAGACGGGAGCCACCGCGGAATCAACCACAATAAGTTAAGGTACAGGAAAGGGAGTTCGTCGGACGGAGGAGTAGCAACAACATAAGCAATACCAAGATGGAAATCTGGGGAGCGTTCGCGGAACAGAGCAAGCGCACCAAACGCAAATCATTCAAAGTGATGTGCAAAGTAAATAGTCAAAGCCCATCGAATGTCATCGCCGAGGGAAAATATTTTCAACCGGTGGCTCCTCGACTTCATAATCTCTCAAAGTCACTGCTTCTTCCGGGGGAGGGAGTGCCCTACCAGTAGAATTCAGATCCGGCATAGATTGTCCGATCGGGTCATCTACTCTATCTGCAACCGTCAGTAAGGATTGAGGGTGATTTCACCAAGACTGAGACTCACCGTTATATATTTCCCTAGCTTTGGCTTGCTTCTCGACAGCACGGGTTTTCCTCTCCTCAACCCATCGATCCGCAATGATCGAAGGAGCCTGGCGAGAATATCGAAGAAGGGCTTCAGCAACCACCTCATATCCCGCGGCATTCTCGTCGTCAAACTTGCACATATGACTGTGGTCTGCCTCAATCCCCATCCGCTCTACACCCTCAAGGTAAGGTGCAGCCGAGTGTTCATCGACAATGATCTCACGCGTCCCCCGAACATCGGTTGAACGGGTTTCGTGAAGAAGGTAAATATGAAACCGTCCCATAATATCGGCGAACAAGCTGTTTATATGCTGTAAGGTCTCATTGTTTGTGCGCAAAGCCTTGACAAGCTGCGGGGAGGCTTCCATAAACTTTTTAGGTAGAACGGCATTGCAGATGTTGTGCAACAGTAGGCCCCATTTCGCGACATCGGAGCCATTATGCGGGGTGCCGAGGAAGAGGATACCAAAGGTCGAGACGTATACGGAGCGGAGGTGTTCGGTTTTCTCGTTCAATAAGCTTCGGCTGTAGATCAGGGCGCGCTTGACGACCAATCCACCGAGCGAGTGACAGACGAAAATGATCGGGCGGTCGGCGCAGCTTCGTAGCTATGAAAAGATGAAAGTTAGTACTGTCTGTTGTTCTGAGATATGCGAGGAGGGCCAGGGCCCATACATTGCGGTTGGCAGCCAAGTTTGAAGCTAGTGTTTCTGCGTGGCTCACGATCGAGTCTCGCGACGTGCCGTCCGTAAAGGCAGTGACATTCGCATTATATCCATAGCTTAGGATGCGAGGACGGAGAGGCGCCAGGATATCCGGTAGCAGATCGGCCGGCCAGAAGCAGCCTGTTGACTTGCTGGTCCAGGAATCATGGGGGTGGCCATTGAGACCGTGGACGAGGACGATGTCGACGGTGGGGGTCCCATTGCGGGGAGCGTAGACCTGTGTCAAGCCAAAGGGCTTGAACGGGCGAGACTCGGACATATCTCAAAGGGTCAGATCAGAGCAAAATCCATGCTTCTCGCTTTTCAACTGAAGGGTATGTGGAGAGGGCAAATTAGAGCGATCTCTGTCATATATAAAGGGGGAAAGGCGGATCGCGGCTGCAGGTGATCGTGTCGATTTACATAGATGTTCCCCTGACCCTCCCGGGTGACTGGGCCCAGGGTACGCTCCAGAGTGGATCGAACCTTGCAGGCAGCTCGTTTGACTCGATCAACAGCCCTCGCAGCCACTTGTCCAGAGTCGACACTAGGCACCTTTCACCCTGTTTGGGGGCCAAGGGCGAAACTGCGCCACGGTCGATGTGCCGAATGTTGCAGAATGATGCAGGAACCCCGGTTCAAAATGCCCGAAGTTGCGCCCGGAAGGATCTCGACGCCTGCTCATGAGTCATGCAGGCGGTAGCAACCCTCCTAGACGACAAATCGGATCGGGATCGGTCCTTGCGCAGGTCCGAGTCAGGCTAAGATGAAGATTGGAGGTTGCAGGCCGAAGCTTGGGGAAAGCGGGCAGGTGAGGGCAGCTTGGGTTCCCACCTTGCGCGGCTACCCCATATGGAGATGCCTCTGCACTCCACATCGAGACGCGTGACCAAACAGCGTCATTGTTCAAGCCTGATCCAGGATTCTCGGATGATCGACCGTTCCGGCAGAACTAAGCATTTCTGAGAAGCTCAATCCTAGATCAGGGGACTAGTAGTAGGGTACTGTAAACAATGTGGGTGCGCTTGTGATAGATGGTAGTTCTCGGGACACATACCTACCAGGTATAAGGTAGGGGAGATACCTCCAGAATGCAAATGATCTCATCCATAGGACTGAACTTCGATCTTGATATGCAGTTATAGAACTAAATCAGGCAGCCATTATAATACAGATATTATGGGTACAAATAGCAGTGCGTCAAGGTCAGGCACAGATCATCATTGGCAGTACATCACAGCCTTCCTTCTTTCTATTTTGGGACTACACGCAATCTACCGCCCCCGGAAAGCGGGCTTCCGCTTCTCCGCAAAAGCGCGCAGCGCCTCATAGCGATCCTCTGTCTCAATGACTCCTTCGTAGGCGGCGTTCTCGGCCACCTCGCCCAAGGCAGCTCCCTGCACGGCAATCAGAGCCTGTTTCAAGGCAATGGGACCACCCTCACAAATATCCAAAGCCAGCTTGATGCTTTCGCGGAGAACCTTTTCGCGGGCAACACCGTCCTGGGTCGCTTCCTCGGGCAGCACCTCCACCAGGCGATCGCAAAGCCCCATGAAGTAGGCCTCGGGGCCGTAGACTCGCCGGCCTGTCAGGATGAGGTCGCGAGCCCGGGGGATACCGATCAGCCCCGGCAGTCTGTAAGTACCACCCGCACCGGGAATAATCGCAAGGCGGGTCTCGGGCAGACCAACGGTGCTGGAGGAGCCGAAGACGCGGAGGTGAGTGCACAAAGCCAGCTCAAGGCCTCCACCCAGGGCCATAGACGAGACGGCAGAGATGGTGGGGATCTCTAGTTCGGCGAGGTTTTTGAAGGTACTGCGGAGCTTGAGGAGGAAGTCTTCCGTTCTGTTTTCCGGAGCGTGACCACCGGTTAGTCGAGTTTCACAGGGAAATGACAGAAGCCACGTGAGCAGTAGGAATTACTCACTGGGCAGGTGTCATTTTGGCGCGCTCCTTTAAATCTGCGCCTGCGCAGAATGCCGCATCGACGTTACTTGCGACAACCAATGCCCGAGTGGGTCCGTTGCCTTTTTCCGCAGCGATGGAGCTCACCTGCGTCGACAGGTTTTCGAGCAGCTCACGCGAGATTGCATTGCGGGCATTGGGTCGGTTAAGTTGAAGCACACGCACATGTCCAGATCCGGGAGCTGGGATTTGCTGTGTAAGGATGATATCGCTGTCGACACTGGTGCTGTATCGCGAGACGAAGACCCGGGTGAAAGCCGAGGCTGGGCGCGCCAGGTGTGGGTTGGTGGCCAGACGGACGAGCCGCGGTGACAGTTTTGTAGCCATCTCTAGGATTCGACTTGAGAAGAATCTAGTGACTCAATCACGGGGAGAGCTGATAACGGTTGGTTGTACAGAGCACCGCAACGGGGAGGAGCGAAGAAGTAGGAGCGAAGAAGTGGGAGCTCGAGTGTGGGGAAGCTGCGCCGAGGGTGGCCGAGGGTGGCCGGGCGGTCGGAAGGACCTCGAAACGATGCATGCAACTCCAACAGACTGCAGTACTGCGTAGTAGTAGTACTGAACGCCTTCGTTCGAAGACGTGGATATTATGCTACGCTTAAGGAAGATTGTCATGGCTCGACTGCGATGGTGAAGATATACGTGGGGGTATCATATTTAAAGCAAAAACTAGTAGAAATACACTATTTGTACAATCCTGCGCCATAGCCTTCTACTTCCTCATCACTAGGCCACTCCCAGCCTGGTGTCTGGCTGATGATCTTGAATGCCTCCTGTACATTCGAATCCGATCGCAACTGTTCCAGATACATCCGTATAGCCACTAGGGTAAGACGAATGTTTTTGTTCCCGTTCTGGCGCTCCATGGAAGCTTCGCCCAGCTCAGCAGCAGAATGACTCATCCATCGAAGCAGGTGAAGCAAGGCTTCGTCGTCGCCTGCCATCCCGAGAGCACCTACAAAAGAATGTAAGGTCACAAAGGATGGAACGTGAAGACCTTGAGGGATGCAGGGCTGAGACTCGTCTGTGTTGCCTGCCACAAAAATGCTTTGCTCTGCAAGGTCTGGCATGCCCGAGGCCGGAAGCACAAGGCGCTCAAACTCAGCCTTGAGGATTTGGAGGCCAGTTTCCACCATGGGGTTGAAAGTATCGAGCTCGTGCTCTGGCTCGGGATTTGCATATTCATCGCCATGCGCAGCTCTTTGGATCAGGCTGGAGGCCTCATCGGAAACTCCAGGATATCTCATGCCAGCATCGACGGCCTTCTTGAATGCTATACACAAGGCTTTGAACCCTTGCGATCCGGGATCCACATTTCGATGTTTCATCCACTGCAAGACAGCCAGAGTTTCATGCCATCCGATAATGCGATAAAGACAACGAGTTCGGTCTGTATGCTTTTTGCTGACACGTTCAACGCTCATGGTGTCAAGGATGTGGACCCAAGCAGCATGGCTGGGCGGCTGTCGTAGTTTGACCAGCTGAACAGCATGCCACAGGGTCCGAGGATGCTTCCATTGACCCATGTCCTCCTGGAAATCGGAGAGGGCAGCAAGAGGCTCGCAGACTTGCGTGTTCTCGGTAAGAGCCGGGAAGTCATTGGGGGACAGGACTTCCTTGCTGCCCATTCTCTTGCGGATTGACTTAGAATGAGTACACATAAGCTTGATGAACGAGAGAAAGACTCCATCTGGTATTGAACCGAGAGCCTTGACATAAGGCACCGGACACTGTGATGGCTGGCCCCAAATCACGCACAATGCTGCCAGTTGAGTTTTTGCCAGGTCACTGCGTCGCAAATACTCCAACCCCGTACGCAAGTTCGGGGCAGTTCGGAGCAAAAGAGCTAGAAATTTCCCAGAAGGACGGAACCCATGGGAAAACATCTCGGCAAGCAAATGCTCCACGGTCGGTGGTTCTGTCCGTACGTAAATAACGTCACGAGCAGAAGCAGGTTCGGCATGGACTTCAGGACCATCGCCTGGTAAGGCATGTTTTGTTTCATCAAATCGTCTTCGAATCGCCACCTGCCGGTAAATCAACTTCACAATCATTTCTACGTAGATAGCAGATTCGGGAGGAAGGCCCTGATCTTGGTAAGCTAAAAAGCAGGCCCAAGCTTCGCGAATCGTTCTCGTAGCACGGATTCGAGCAACCCAAACGGCAGTTGAAAGATCAGGTTCATCGGTGTCGGGTTTAAAGAGAGTCCCGGTAGGGTGGACGAGAGTTCTTGTTTGAATGGTTGGGCTTCGGTCGGTGTCCCAGCCGGCCAGGATCGTGGAGGCTTTCTCCCAGACTTGATGTGAATACCCGGCTTCTGCCATTTGCGACAATACGTTCATCGCGCGACTTCTCAATCCATCATTTCCACGTTGAGCATCCATGCCTAGCTTTTCTTCCTTCCACGGTGGCCACGAGGGAGACTTCAGTTCAGCAGACTGTCGCTCAGCTTCTGTTTTCTTGTGAGCTAGTTGAACAGCAACGATGGATTGATATCCTTTTCGCGAAAGAGGAAGAACCGGCTTATGAGATGCCATGGACTTGAGAAGTTCGAACTGCGCCTGCTGCTGGATGGAGGCTGATCGAAAAGGATTCACTTTGGTGGGTAGTGAAAGCAGCCAGAGACAGGTATTAAAAATATTGGTGCTACCACGATCAATTTTTTGCCGGTCGAGGTTCGAGATCTTGGTCTTTTCCGAGTAAGGTCTTGTCAAGAATCGAGCGAATACGGTTGCGATCGTGGGAAGAGCACGAGGCCAGACTTGTCGCGCATGTCGAACTAAGCGATCAACAATGATTACGCAAGTCCCCAGGGTTATCCGTGCAGGGGATTTACCAAGAGGTAGCTCTTCGATAGTGTTTGGAGGAATTCGCTGTAGAAGGCTGGCAGCTGGCAGGCGATGACCACTCATTAGGTGCAGGGAATGGACGAGAAGCAGACGAAAAGAGCGTGCATCGAGGTGGTGCTCCTTCAACAGAAAAATAGGAATAAATATAGGAACACCCGGGCCATGTCTTGTTGCGCCGTCAGCTTCTAAAACAAACATCCGCGAGACCGCCTGACGAGCAGTTGGGCTTTTCAGAACCCATGCCCACGAAACAACATCTTCGACATCGTAGCCTCGCGCATTGAGATAATGATAGGTATCGGGTTTGAAGACACGGATGAGTGCAGCATCCAAATTATTGCCCACCTCTGACAGGGTAGCGTGCGAGGAAGAACCCGAGAGTAATGGGTCCACGAGTCGTATATATTCCGCAAGAATAGATTGCAGAGATACGGTCTGCAGGGGTCGTCCATATGTTACCCTTGCACCGTGGTTGAAAGTGCGGAGACTCGACTGCTCGCCGCGTCCGAACACATGTTTCTGAAGGGTTTTGCTTAGGTATTCGGAAGGCGTAGGAATTTGCTTCAATTCCCGTCTCTTCCCCCGTTTATATCTCGAGAGCTCCGGTGCGTTCTTTGGCCCGCGCTGTTTCGTGTTGAGCTTTAATGTATCCGGTGGTTCCGGGGCTTGTGATATCGAAGGACGAGAGGTTTGGGATAAAGAGCTTGAATTTTCGTTTGAATGGCTTCTGCAATTGTCATTCAATCTAGAACTGAGGCTCTCAGGGTAAGAAAGACAAGCTTTGGTCCCAAACGAACGATGAGCACCACGAGGTGTATTCCGTAGTGGACAACTCGGTCGACGTGCAATGAGGCGTTTATCGCGACAGTAGGCCTGTTCGTATTCAACAATTCTTCATTAGCCCAACTATTTTCCTAGCTCCACAAGGCCATTGTCAAAGTACCTGGCGCCAGCGATGGCCAAGCGAATGCGTTGCTCTCAGCGAGGGTACCCCCGAAAGGCCTCGGACATGATTGAGAGCGGGTGACATCCATGAATGTAATCATCAAGCAAGCTTCTAGCAGTGCTCGCGGCCCTGAGAAGCTGCCTAATAAAACTGGACGTAGAGCGTGCAAGGTAGCGAAAAATAGATCGAACCGAGCATCAAAAACGCGGCCGGCAGAAATGGATCCATCCGCGGTCACGTGCACGATCGTCACCTACGGTTTTCGGGAAGGCGCGCATTCTCGTCTCACGAACGAACGGAATCCGCCTCGCCTTGACAGAACCACCTTCACCAGCGCTTGGGTACCAACTTTGCCCATTGTGTCCTGAGTGAGGTCCCTGCTCGATATCCACGACTCACACCTCATTTCCCAAATCCTTCTCGCCACTGGAGGCATTCACTTTCCTGTTGTCCCTCTGTCGCGACCCCATCGTTTCTCGATCTTGCGCCGGACCTTGCATCTAAGACCGGTCGAGCACCAGTTCCTGACGAGGCCAGGAACCACCAACGACCTTGATTAACTTCCGAACAATCGCCAGGCGGTCGCGTCCTCCTGAGGATCTCTACGGATATTGCAAAGACATCTACAACCCAGTTCAGTCGGGAGAGGACCGCGTCTGAGAAAGTCCTGTTCCATCGCCGCCCTGACGCGACTTGGCAACCATGAGCGCCGACGAGTCTGGGAACGCGACACCTGTCGCCGCTATCAATGGTGAACCTCGTCCTGAAACAAACCTATCCGCGACCCCAGGAAAAAGAAAGCGTTCGGTGCAGGACGAAAAGGTGGGACCTGAGTCCAGCTCTTCGGCGCCGCATGAGAAAACGAATCTTCACGAGAATCTACGGAATCTCGTCCAACTTCTAGTCAAGTGAGTTTACCATCCCTGTGTAGCGATAAATTCCAGTTAAATTCTTACTGACAATTGGACAGGCATGACTCCAACAATCTCAAGCTCCTTTCCTGCCCATTTCCAACATCAACTACCAAGCCCCGGGCGAAGCGCGCAAAGGTTTCAAGCGATCACGAGACGTCGAATGTGCAGAGCAGAGTCGAATCGGGACGTTACAATACCCTGCAGGAGTTCCTGGCCGATATTGAACGAGCGTCTTCTGCTGTGATTGAGCGCAACCAGAACCAGTCAAATGGCAGTACCAACCCCGATGGCACACCTTTGAATGAGGTTGTGAATCGCATTGCGGCCTTCAAGAAACATATGAATAGCTTGATCGGACAGTCATTCGTCAATCAGCCCGATGTCAAGGCCGAATCCCCGGATGACGATTCAGACGACCAGATTCTGTCCACAGTGGCTCACGTCGGTGCTCGTGAAGACAAGCAAGCTCTGACTATCTTTGGGAATGCTTCGACCCCCGCACATCCCAAACAGCTGTTCTCGAGTTTGCAAAAATCTGTGAAGATGCCGCTGCCGTCGTCTGATGTGGACGAGGAGAAGTTTGTCGAGGTTCAAGGAGAACTTCGCGAGGGCGGTTTGCCCAACGGGATCTCCACCACTAAAGTGGTTCCTTATAACCTGGACTCGGCTTCGCAGCCGCGAAAGAGAACGTTTGGCGAGGTCTTCGCCCCTCGCACAGGCTTACCCCAGCTAGAACGTCCCCGGAGACGGAGCAATCGCAGCACCTCGGTTTCGTGGATCGATCCTTTCGATGCCATGTTTAACCCCAGGTCGCTCTATGACGAACGCAGCAGCTATGCTCTCGCGCCACTTCCTTCGGGCCATTGGTTGCGATACGGTGGTGTCACATCATCGCCATCGTTCTGGGCTCGTGCCGACAAGCAAAATCCCGGTGGATACTCCGGCCCAAAGGGCGGAGATCCGGCAATTTTGACAGACGATGAGTCGTCACTGTTGCAGGGTGTGTATTCGTCTTTTGCGCCGTCTTACGACAGCTCCGAGTCCGTCGTCCAACATGATGCGAAGAACATGGTCTGGTGGGAGAAGCGTGGCTCCAAACGTTTGCGTGCCTTGCTCTCCCTCCAAAATGAGGACGAAGAAGTCACAACAGCACAGCCTGGAAGTATTGGTGACCTTGATGAAAGCGCACTTGAAGAAATGGTCAAGTCATTCAATCCGGAAGACTTCGCCGTCAATCTTTCCGAGCAGAATGAATCTAGCAATGTCGACCCAGAATCCAGAGAGGTTGAAGAACTGCTCGCCGAAATCTCCGACCTGTTGGATACTCTAAGCTCCTACCAGAAAATCCGTCATCTAACACTCCCATCTTCCGAGGGCGACAATACCAATACCGAATCCAAGGAAACTCCTGTGCCAGAGGTTCATGATCCAGAGGCACCGTCTGACGCAGAAAGAGACGTTTACGAAACACTTAAGGCCAGCCTTCTTGCTATCATTGGCAATCTGCCACCTTATGCCATTGCGAAGCTCGATGGCGATCAACTAGCGGAACTGAACATCAGCCAGAAGATCTTGGTCGAAAATTCGGACTACAGTGGGACTATGGAGAGGGACGATTTTACACTACATCAAGAACGCAATGCAGCAATGGCTGCGGCAGCTGCGAACGCGAATCGGACCTCAACGCCCTCTGCACCCCGACCTGGCGGCTACCAAGGGCCTCCCCCTGTGTACAACCAACGTGCTATGTCTGCCAATGCTCAAGTACCACCGCGACCAAATTTCCCAACACCTCAACATGGACGACAACCATCCAATGCTGGTAATTTCACCCCCGGCTATGCCGGCGGACGGCCGCCCAGCACACCTTCTCAACGACCTGTGTACAATACCCCACAACAGTATGCGCAAGGGAACCAGCATTATGGCCAAGCCAATAATGCACCCCAGTTCCAACGTCCTCCCTCCAATGGCTTCGCACAATCCCCTCAGCCCTACACACCCCGGCCCGGACAACCGGCTGGATACAATGCCACTCCGCAAACCCGCACTCCTTATGCGAATGCCGGCGCAGTTCCTACACCCCCGTACGCACGCGGATCACCGTCACAGGGTCACTACTCGAACAGTGCAGCTGCTGCAATCCACGCTCGCAGTGCTGCCGAACAGGCCGCCAGGACACAATATGCTGCTGCGCAACAGAGGCAGAGCTCCTCCACGCCACAGCCGCACGGCTTCGAGGCTCGTCAATCTCAAGAGGGCAGCCTTACTCCGGGAAGCAAGCAGAATGGCACTCCTGTCCCATCATGAGAAGCCATCGCCCTGTAAGACCATATCACAGCAGCAATTGTACCCTTTCCCAGACATACTGAGTCGGTTTTCTCGCCTACGTCATATCCTCAGTTTTCTTTTCAATTACAGACTTGCAAGAAGTGCGTGAATTCAGATGGATCTGTCTCGTCAATGCCCTTTCTGTTCTTTTTTCTCCCTTTCTCCACTGTGTTTTTAATGGTCTCTTTCATATCTCTGCGGTATTATGCCATCTGCTTCATTTTTTTTTTGTCCCGGTGTTATCTCGGCAGCGGCGATCGGCGCGTGGATGGTTTTTAAAGATGAGTCTAGTCCGGGTGGTAAGAGCTACTTATGAAAAGCCGGTTTCCCAATGGTTGCCACTTCGAATTTTACGGTGCTCGTTTTAGAAGTTTGCTTTCGCTTTCATACAAATTCAATCAATGTATTCTTATAAGAAGCTACTATTAGCAGGCTGGTCAAGCGGCCATCCTGGAATCAACTGGTTTTGCCAAAGTTCAATGTTATGATGGGGTTGCAATCCCAATATTCATGAATTTCTCAGACATCATACATAAGCTTAAGTGTCATCAAAGACTTGAGCAAGTCAAAATTACCAACACCTAGTTTCCGATCCGCTGTATCCCCGTCCCAATGCTCGTAGTCCATACCAGGACCCAGTAGATTCCATCCACTTGAATATAGCACAATGAAAGAAAACAAAAAGTGGAATGCCGAAAGTGGAAACGCCAGTTCTCTTTGATATTGAATCGTGCATTTCTGTTTGTTGGAAGTACACGACTGGATAAGTTGCTTGTGGACGAAAGGCTGTACATCCAAAGCAATGCGTCGCTGTAAATCAGACAGACGCTGAAACCGAGATATCCGTGCAAGGTGATTCGACAAAGGGAATTCGTCAGTCGTCGTCGGTGGTTGTGCTAGTCCTAAGGTATGAACATGGCGGCAATGGTCATGAAACCGAAATACCTATGAAAGCGTCAGAAGTATGATCCGAAGAAAAACAGGGGAGTCAATACATACAGCATTGTACACCTCCAACCATCTCTCGAGTCCACTAGGGTGTCAATCCCTGCGGAATAGTTCGCTGCGATAGCTGCGGCTGCACCGCCGGTAACTGTCACAACGACCAGCCGGCCCGAGAATTCTGCAATCATGCTGAATGCTAGTAGAGGCAGGAGAAGGGCACCAGACGCAATGAAGATGGCCATGTAGACCGGTGCCGCAGCTGCGGACGCTGCTAGCCGTGGAGCCAGAGACAGAAGATCGGCATCTTGGTCCAGAAATCTAGTCTCGGCTGCTGCAATGGGGTTGTGTGCCTTCATCCACGATCTATAATTCTGGATGTCGTCTTCAGAGGCAAGTGGTAGTGTTTGCAAAACTTTGCTGTACGAACTGAGGGCGTTGTCTAACTCTAGATTAATATCGTATTCCCTTTGCATGTGAATGGTCCAGAAGACTTACTGTACTGTTCGATTTTCTGGGTCAGAGCCGCCATCAATTCCATGCGGCGATAATGCAGCGAAGAGTAGGCCTGGGACTGAACGTCCATGCGCCTGGAAGCAGGCATGGGTTTTGTGCCCTCTTTTTCCGCAGTTGCAACCCGATGCATCTCCTCATACTCATCAAGTGCCTGAAGATCTTCTTCCATCTGGGAGATCTCGTCTTGGAGGTACAACAGGACGCGGTGGTTCACGGCCCCAAAGCGCCGATACAGTGGTGGAAACCCTGCTTTCTCTTCTTTCGCAGAGTGGGTGAGATGTGAGGCAACCACTCCATATCCCGATGAGATTTGTGAAGCACTGGAGCTTCTTCGTTTTGATGGAGTTCCCCGATGTATACTATCTTCAGGACTGCTAGGGGGTGATGGCGGCAGAGATGGCCGATGCACCATGTCCCTTGATGACGTATAGTAACTTTCAGGTCGAGATATCTGCAACTGGCGCTTTGCCGGTAGAGGGGAAGTCTCCGCCTCCGAAGTATCATAGAAGCCTGTGGCAGAAGATTTTGGAGGCTGCTTTCGCGTTACCTGCCATTGATTCGCTGTTGGAGCAGGCGCCGAGGGCGCCGGTGGTGGCGGTCGCGAGTCACTAGGGCTTCTTGACGGGATGGCAGATATAGGAATGGTCGGTGCCTTTGGGGATGTATTGGTTTCCGCCAGTAAGGCATGCGAGGTAGGATTTGTTCGCGGCTTGGGAGACTGGATCTTCGCGACGGATTGTGCGGAGACTGGAGGCGCTTCATAATCAGAGGATTCTGATTCCGATGACGATGATGATTCCGACGATGAATCATCATTCTCATCCAAGAATTGAAATACATCGGGGACTTTCTTTGTCGGTTCGGCGATCGCTTCCACTGGAGGCTCTGCGGGCTTCTGTGATTTCAACGCCTTATTTGGCCCACTTGATCCTTTTTCACCATGTTTGGAGGCATCCCCAGGTCCAGCCTGAGTAGTTGTAGTAGTATTGGAGACCGTCGACAATGTTCTCTTCCTTCCATCCTTCGTTGTTCTGCGGGTCAGACTATGAGAAGCGGTGCGGAGCGGCATGGTTATCGGAATCGATCGGAAGTAGTACCCGTAGCATCGCTTGAGAAAATATTTTTCTTATGAGGTCATGTCCACAACCAGGGGGTTTTGATGGGTGTGGAGTGGTGATCGAGATGGCAAGTTGAATAGCGTCAATATTGGAGCCTCGAGGCATGACAAGGGAGGGGCTAAATTCCGTTCAGATCACGGCAAGCATGCGGAATCTAGGGGCCGTCATGCGTAATCGGACAGGAGACAGCGGGTTCAAATAAAAATAGCGAAGTGAATGATAGAAACCCTTGGGGTGATAGGGAGATGATGTGATGTCTCATTTCTCCCCGCGTCCTGACATTCTTGTTCGCCCGGGAGATAAGAGGAAGTATGTATATGAAGGCCGAGGGAGCGCGGACAATAATAATAAGGACTGGGGAGCAGCCTGTCAGCCCCAAGTAGAAACGAGGTTCGCGTCACCCGTGCAGGGCTCAAACGAGATCCGGGCGTATCGCGGGGGTGCCAGAGTGGGTTGCAATTCGTCACAGCAGGGGATCCCTGGCAATCTGAAGCAGATGAGAAGCGCTGGGGGCTTCAGATCGACGGCCAATGACACACGAGGGTCGCAAGGAGGTTTTAGGTTCTCCCTGTCGATCGAGAGGGGCGTACTTGAACTGCTGTGACGCCGACTTGAGTTGTACACGCTCGGGATGCGAAGAGGAATTGACTTGGACTAGCGGATGGACGGGACTTTTCGTGAATCAATAGTGTGGGCCGCTATGGGCAGGCAGAGCAAATCAGCCCTCGTCCTGTCCGATCCGGATGCGAATGCAGGCGTGTCTGAACGAAGTTAAGTAATTGGGGAACCCAAGGAACCCATGCGCTGGCGAGTCGCCTGTCGATCATCTCACGCCTTGCGTCTGCTTCTGGCGGTCTGGCGGCCCCATTTTCGAGGCGGGGAGGACGATGTGACCCGTCGAGTCCATGCCACATTTCACTCGCTTCTTCTTCTGTCGTGCATTGCTTCTGTGCAGTTGGCAGCAGACAATGGACAGTGGAGTTGGGGGACGACGTGGTTCTATGAAGAAGGCATGGGATGGCAAGACGCGCCGAGTTGGGCAGGTGTCCGGCTTTCCGCGATTACGACTACACATTCCATTGTACTGTAATGACCTGGAATCAACACTTCTTCCAATATACATTCTACAACCAGATTATTTTCTTTTTTTGGACATTTGGATGCACAATCGCCGTCACTGCTTTGTCCCTCTTCTATTAGTTCTATTCATAGTATCTACTACACTATGATGTTTCTGCCCCGGGGCCAGACGATCTGCAGATCGCCTGACTTTCCCGCATCCGATTCCGTGCTGGCTTCTTCCGACCTCACCCACCCCCAACTGCCTCCCTCCATGCTCCGGCCATGGCCCAGCAGCGGTGCCGTCCGCTTATTCGGCCGGCTCAATCGCCCGTTCGTGCCTCGCCCGCATAGCCTGCGCTTTTCCTCCCTCTCAGCCCGCAGCGCCCCCGCGCCCCAACCAGACCTGTCCGACCGCGTCCCCCTCCGCAAGCAACTGAAGCAGGAGGCCAAGGCTCTCCGGGCCCAGAAGAAGCAGCGCAAAGAGGATGAGGAGGCGTCGCGTGAAAAATGGGAATTGACGGTGGGCATCGAGATCCACGCCCAGCTGGACACAGCAGCAAAGCTGTTCTCCCGTGAGTATCACCTGCTTGGCCCCCGCAAGTGGCTCCACGTCTCGAATCTAATGCCCGGGGTTCTTTCCATCCACTGCAGGTGCTGTGACCTCGACGAGCGATCTTCCCAATTCCAATGTCGCCTTGTTCGACCTGGCCTTCCCGGGTAGCCAGCCGGTTCGTGTCGACATGCGATTGCGCAAAAGAAAAAACATGAGCTCACGCGACACAGGAATTTCAAGCTGCCACCCTCCTTCCTGCTCTCCGCGCCGCCATTGCTTTGAATTGTGACATTCAGCCAGTCAGCCGGTTCGATCGCAAACACTACTTCTACCAAGACCAACCGTCCGGGTATCAGATCACACAGTATTATGGTGGGTTGGAGAGCTTTCGAAACACGAAAAATCTCGCTGACCGTCAACAGAGCCGTTTGCACGAAATGGCTATGTCGATATATACGATTATGATGGCATTGCGCCCGAGGATGGCGAGCGGATTCGAGTGGACATCAAGCAGGTTCAGCTGGAGCAGGATACTGCCAAATCGCAGGAGTACCCGCCTTCGACACAGCTGCTCGATTTCAATCGTGTCTCTCATCCTCTGATTGAAATTATCACCATGCCTCAAATCCACACCCCCGCGACCGCTGCGGCTTGCGTCCGAAAACTTCAAGCAATCCTACAATCATGTGGTGCCGTCACAACGGGAATGGAGCTGGGTGGACTCCGCGCGGACGTCAACGTATCCATCCGCCAGCGGGGGAGGCACCAGGGCAATACAATTATGATGGAATCAGCGGACTTGGTCAGCGCACCGAGATTAAGAATTTGAGCAGCTTCAAGGCGGTGGAGGATGCCATCATCGCCGAGAAGAACCGTCAGATCGCGGTGCTCGAAAGCGGTGGTGTTGTGGAGGGTGAAACCCGAGGATGGACCATCGGCAGCACTGAAACTCGCAGACTGCGAGGCAAAGAAGGTGCTGTTGACTATCGCTACATGCCCGATCCTGATATCCCGCCGCTTGTCATCGGCGAGGATCTCATTGCCCGTCTCCAGGAGACGCTGCCCTCCTCTCCTGATCAACTGGTGGTGCAGCTGACGGGTCCTGAGTACGGACTGCCGATCGAAGACGCCAAGCCATTGATTGAGCTAGACGACGGCGCCCGTCTAGAGTATTACCAAGATGTGGTTGACAGTCTGCGATCTCTTCGCACTGATCAGGACCGCCAGCTGCATGCTACACTCGCGCGTATGGCGGGTAATTGGGTTCTCCACGAATTGGGAGGGCTATTGACTAAAGCAGACCGGGCCTGGGATCCAGCGATAGTCCCGGCCCGGTCTCTGGCCGACCTCATTGACCATTTACAGCGCAGACTCATTACCGGACCCACGGCGAAGCAAGTGCTGGCGGCCATCTTCGATGGAGACCATCGGCCAGTGCCGCAGATGCTGGAAGAAGACCAGCTCCTGCTGCGGCCGCTGTCGCGCGAGCAATACCTGGCGCTGGCGGAAGCGGCAATCGCGCAAAACCCCCAGATGGTCGAGCAGATCCGCAGCAAGAATCAACTGGGGAAGATCGGCTGGTTCGTGGGGCAGATGATGCGCATGGGCGAGAAGGGCCGTGTCGAGGCGCCCAAGGCCGAGGAGATCCTGCGCGAGCTCATTTTGAAGCCGTATTGAGATCCGTGTACAACATACAGTAAATTTCCAATGATACCCTGTACATCTAATCCTGTTGTGCGCGCACAAGCGAACAATATTGACTAGTTTGCATTTTTCTTGAAAGCCTCTTTTCTTTTTAATTGTAAAGTCGAGTTGATTACCCTACGAGTACGCAGGCACTGGTATTGTTTGGCCGGCTGTCGCGCTCTTTGCCGGTGCCTCAAGCTGCCGCTCCAGACGCGCCTCACGACCAACCCCCGAATTTCCAACCACAGAGCCAGTCACAGCGACCATTACGACATTTCTCCGGCATCGCCCCTCTCTCGGAGACGGAATTGCAACGCAGTGGGACACCGGACGGCCCTAAACGGGGCCGCTCTCCTCAACCTGTACTTAACGGAAGTGATGGAGAACCCGGCGGAGTGCTGTGATCGCTAAGTGCAGGTTTTAGCGACGGTGCGAACGAGAATGAACAAGGGCCCGAGGGAGTCGGAAAGGGGGCAATGATATAAAGCAGCGCCTCTTTCTGGGGGATTCCTCGTTCTTTCTCCCATTATTCTTTCCCAGACCTCTCTTTGTTCTCCCCGTTGACTGCTGTCTATTTCCCACTGGAGTCTTTCCGCCGCCCCTCCGGTCCACTTTTTTTATCCTCATATCTTATCGCCGATCCATCTAGAGATCCAGTCCCGTCCCGATCTTTGGCTTCAACCTTCTCGTTGAAACTCCCTTGGACTCCCCCGTTACAAACTGTTCGGCACAGACTGCAGACCAGCCGCACAATGACGCTACCTTCCACGATCGCTTCGCGCTTCCTCACCAACCCCAATCAGCTGGGCGTGGTGGCTGTCGGCTTCAATGGTGGACAGGTCAGTCTGATCCGCTGCAGGTACACTCCTCGGCTGGGCGCTAACATCCTAGCAGTACAAGAAGGGTGTGGAGGCCGCTCCCATGGCCCTCATCGAGTCCGGCCTGTTGACCCAGCTCCGCGACGACCTCGACTACGACGTCCAGCACGATGATACCGTCCACTATTACGAGAAGGACATCCCCGCCGAGGACCAGGACCCCGAACACCGAGGCATGAAGAAGCCCCGTGCCGTCAGTGCGGTGACCGAGCGCCTGAGCTCGCAGGTATACAACTACGCCAAGGACGGCAAGTTCGTCCTGACCCTGGGTGGTGACCACTCCATCGCCATCGGTACCATCTCCGGAACCGCCAAGGCCATTCGCGAGCGTTTGGGTCGGGAGATGGCTGTGATCTGGGTGGATGCGCACGCTGATATCAACATCCCCGAGACCAGCGACAGCGGTAACATCCACGGTATGCCCATGGCGTTCCTGACTCGGCTGGCCCGGGAGGATCGTCGTGATATTTTCGGCTGGCTTCACGATGAGCACATTGTCAGCACTCGCAAGCTTGTCTACATCGGCCTGCGGGATGTCGACCGTGGTGAGAAGAAGATCTTGCGGGACAACGGCATCAAGGCGTTCAGCATGCACGACATCGACCGGTTCGTTCCTTTCCCCCCAAAACTTGGTTGTCGATGATTTCCTCTTCTAACTTATTATCGCCAGTCACGGTATTGGTCGCGTTGTTGATATGGCTCTGGCCCACATCGGTAACGATGTCCCCATTCACCTTTCGTTCGACGTCGATGCCCTGGACCCGCAGTGGGCGCCCAGCACCGGTACCCCCGTCCGCGGCGGCTTGACGCTGCGTGAGGGTGACTTTATCTGCGAGTGTGTCCACGAGACCGGTAACCTGGTCGCTATGGATCTGGTCGAGGTGAACCCCAGCCTGGAGTCTGTGGGCGCAGCAGAGACCATCCGCGCCGGTTGCTCGTTGGTCCGCAGTGCGTTGGGAGATACCCTTTTGTAATTTTGTTAGATATCCGGGAATAAAATACCATAGAAGCTCGTCAAATTTATTAACGTTTTCATGTCTCAATTTCAATTATATTCCTGTCGAATATGACTGTTTTGTAGAAGCAAGGAGAATATATCCGAGGCTGGAGACCTGATGCGCCTCCTACACCGTACCTGCGAGGATTCGGGTTACTGTTAGGCACCCTTAGGTACATTAGAGTGCATGTGCCATGAACATTAAGTTGAATTGCCCGGCCACGCTGGCATGCAAACAAGAAAAACGAAGCTTTGGCACTGACGGGCTGGGGCGTGTACCTGCGGAGTGGAGCCGGGCTGAGTATACACTAAATCCCCTGCCACCCCAATTTCCCGCCGATCGTCAACAAACCCCCCTCCGCTTATTCCGACTGTTTGCACCTTTCCCCTGAGACACCATCCCCCGTGCTAGACAAGACCCCCCAAGTCTGCGACCGAAACCATCAGAATCTCCATCTCTCGGCCTTGGGTCTCCTCACGCTGCGCCCAGCGGCGCCCGATGCGCTGTCCACCTTATCACCCACCCACCTCCGCCACGAAGCCCCGCGACCAATTCCCCATCGGCTCGACGACTTGCGTTGCGCCTTGGGTAGTGCTCGATAGGACATCCGCGACAAACAAGGCGACCAAATCGCATCGGGCAGAGAGACCTCGTCGCGGTCCATAAATCATCGCTTGAAGGACGGATCTTGAGTTTGCGTCGGAAGATACAATCAGTTTCGTGTGATTATCACCGACTACTCACTCTGCGCTTGGGTTCGGGTTCCAACACAATGCCGATGAAAGTTCGGCACGAAGTGCGGCCCAGCTACCACTGGCCGGAGATCCAGCTCAATGTCTGGCTTATCGTCGTCCTCTCCGGTTCGGCAACATGCCTCGGCATTTTCTCCTGGTTTATGATTGTTCAGTCGCAGATGGACCTGGGTGTACCATGGTATGTTTTCCTTCTCTATCTTAGGTTCAAAAGATCATGGCGATTAACACCCCATCCAGGCTTTTCCCATACATGGTTGTCACCAGCACACTCGGAGTCTTCTTCATTTTCCTCGTTCTGGGCCTCATCACTCGCCATTTTCTACTTCCGGGGATTCTCATTCTAGGCAGCTTCATCCTATTCGTGCTATGGTTGACTGGTCTCATTGAAACCTCGCTGCAGCTGTACGGCGTGGCCGGCAGTGTGAACGACAACTGCCAAAACTACGTTGTGGATAACGTCTCCAAGGGGAATAACATCAATACCCTGGCATGGCTGACGCAAAACACGATCTGTAAGTTCTGACCCTTTCTTCCTTCCTGATCGGCCCCTTCTGACCATCTCCAAGGCAATTGCTGGAAGACCGCCTTCGCGTTCGAGCTGGTCAACACCATTTTCTATCTCTGGATGATCATTATGTCGTGGCAGGTCCATCGGGACTACTACCACTGAGCTTTTTAATCTTTCATGTCCATTTTCTCAATTTTGCCTTCTTTTCATTGTGATACCATTTTATATTTTGCATGGGTCTGGCGTTTGGTTTTTCAGATCAAAATAACTAGTTTAAGTGGCCTTTAGCACCCCGGATTTAATTCTGCAATGGATCAACGACTGGACTGCCTTCCACTCGACGAGTTCCCCTCGCATCTCTGATATTATTTTAGAGGACCTTCATGCGTTGACACCAGTTTCCATCGCCTCGTGTTGGCTACCCAGGAGCTGTGTATCATCTAGCGTACCCCTCACCTTGATATTCTTTTTCTAAATCTTCCCGCCACGACGAGGCTCCCTCTTCCGTGGTTCTCTCCACCGATGATAGGATGCGGTTATATCTCAAAGCAAATTTCCAAAGCACGTCACCTTTGCGGACCGCACTCTCCAGCCCCAATTATCCCATGCGATTCAAGACTTTCTGAGACCAGATTAACTTTTCCCACTGCTTGGCATATTCAGTGCGCGAGAGGCCTGAAGATGTTCGTTTTCCGGGGAACCGGCGAAGCTATGGGGCTGGGCGCTCAAGCAGTATTTGCCAAGGCCGTTCCTTCGCAAATTGATGGTTCGGTTGCCACACTTATCCTGTACCCTGCTACGGAGGATAATCCTTCTTGCTTTGAATCTGTGGGACACGGTACTACACTTCTGAGAGATGCCATCACAGTGTACGCGAAGGCCTGCCCGGACCCGAAAATTGCATGGTTGGGTTACTCTCAAGTATATGTTGTATACTGTACATTTTATTGTCTAATTAGGTTCTGACTAATTGAATAGAGCGCCCAGGTTACTACAAACAGCCTCTGGGATGCCAGCTATCTGGGCCCTGGAGGGTCCGATTTCCGGAAATTTGTTCCATGGCGCAAAATCTTGATTTTTTTGCTCGTTCCAAGCCATTGCCTCAATCAGCCCACAAGAACACCGAGTAAACTTATGGACAACATGAGCCTACTTGATAGACTGACATCCTCTAGTTGTCGCTGTGAATATTTGCAGCGATTTTATCTCGCAGCAATAGCACTTCTTTCCCCCACTATGGCACTTGGAACCAAAGTGGCAATGGTCTATTTTATCGCACTGATTTCAGTGCTTGCGAACCTATGGGGAGCCGCATTCGACCATACTGTGATGCAACAGATATTATTTGAAGTGGGCTCTTTGGCTAGCGCGGCGGCACACTTAGAGTATCTTCCAAAGTACTTGAGGATAATTACCCAGTTTGTGTTCAGCAGTATAATAGCAATGGCAGCAGTTCTGTCACTTCGACTGCTACTTCACCCGCTCCCTCTTCTACCCAGTCGTCTGCTGCCGTTTCGAGTCATAGCGGAGTCATGGCTATAGTTGGAGTTGCCCTGGTGCATGTGATTATCTGAGGCGCGGAGTTGTTGATCAACTGTGTTTATACTGCAAATGCTCATAGATATACAAGCAGTCACGTGACTACCCGCCTCTACCTAAACAGGAATCTTTTAAAGTTATAGCAAAAAAGGGCAGCCAGACACAAAAGAGTCCCGTATGTTTAACAACCAAGTGTGATAGATATAGAAATGCCTATTTTATGTCTTCTCTGGCGGCCCCGGGTGGCTTCGGTGTAGACCGAAAGTTTCGCTGATCTCCGCCTGGGCAGCCGCCTCCAGATACGACTTTACTGTAGTTATTAACCACCAATTCCGGAATCTTGTCCCGAGGCCCCGGCGGGGCTCCGCAATTTTGTATTTGTCTCGCTGGTAAGTTCTGCCAAATAATCTTCTCCGTTTGATCAATTTATTTGACACCTGAGCAGGAGGTATTTATCCTCGTTTCACCGCCCGTTACTTGACTACCCAGGAATTTAGCGGCTACTCTTTGAACTTTCAGACGAATCCTCACATCATCAGAAAACCTCAGACCAACACAACATGGTATCCAACACAGACCTGATTCATCTACGACGCTGCGTGGAACTAGCCCGCGAAGCTCTCGAAGAAGGCGACGCACCTTTCGGATCGGTGCTAGTCGATGCCACAGGCAAAGTCCTCAAAGAAGATCGCAATATGACAGTGACCGATGCAGACGTCACCCTACATCCCGAGTTCATGCTGGCCAAATGGGCTCAAGCGAACCTCACACCGGCTGAGCGCACAACTGCCACCGTCTATACCTCGGGCGAGCACTGTCCGATGTGCACAGCTGCTCATGCGAATGTTGGCCTGGGACGAATCGTGTACGCTAGTTCTACTCATCAGCTTGTACAGTGGAGGTCGGAGCTCGGTATCGCGCCAGGGCCGGTTGCGCCGCTCCCGATTAATCAGGTGGCGCCTGGATTGGTCGTTGAGGGGCCGGCTCCGGGTTTGGATGAGGAGATTCGCGAGTTTCATCGGATTCATCAGGCGCAATCCTTGTTGTAGTCAGAGATGCGAAAATTGGTGATCTATCGGATACTAGTATCTCGGCGTATGAAAGCACTATGTGCCATATTGATGAATCAACATGTATATTGCTCGGGCAATTCTAGTACTACGCTACTAGTAGACCTCTCTCCCATCACCAATCCCGCTTCAACTTCGCCTTGATATCCTTTACATGCCAAGCACCTCCTTTTCCGACAATCCACATTTCATGCTCGCCAAATGCCATACTCACGGCTACATTCTCTCCACCTCCGGTCCGAATCGACCCCAGAACAAATCCAGAAACAGGATCAATGACATCAACCCCGTCCCCGGATCCAGAAAAAAGCCACCCCTCTCTCGATACACGAAGACCGTCATAAAAGTATGAGATAGGGCTAGTCAGCAGGCGCTGGTTGGCTAGTACGCCACCTTGGCTGCCAACGTCAAAAGCCCAAAGCATCCGTCGGCCGTGGGGGTTCTTATTCGAGGGACGGAACTCTGAAACGCCTGTGTCGGGGATGTAAAGCGTTTTGCTATCTGGGGACATGGCCACGCCATTTGCGTTGCCGGTCGTGGTCCAGATGATTTTCGGTTGCATGGTCGTTTTGTTCACGAAGTAGATCGAAGGATCGTTGGGGGGCGCAAAGTCGACAATTCCGCGACCCTACTCAGATACATCATTAGTCTGTTATATATCCGCAGGAAGGATGGTTGAAGTGACATACCCAACCCGACTTTGAATCCGTAAGCCAAAAGTTGCCCTCCGGGTCAACCTCAAGATCATTGAATCCACCAAAAGGTTGGCCAAGGAAATTATTCAGCAGCGTAGTCGCCTTCCACGACTGCGGATCAATTTGAACCAGAGACCCTGTCTCGCTATCTCCATATCCGTCCGTGACACCGTATAGTTGACCCTGGAAATTGACACAAGCGTGCACATTGTAAGTGGGCGGGTCTGTGGTGATCTTCCGAAGGGTATTGTTCTCGACATCGAGAAGATATTGCCAGCTGTGAATACCGTCGTCGCCGTCGGGCTTGCCCCATTCAACAAAGAGGAGTTGTCTCGTGTCAGGGATGTAGCAGGGTGCCTCGTGACTTTGGAACGCGAGGGGTTGGACGTGCTCGATGGTTGCGTCTACGCCGATGATTTCTAGGAAGCGTTTGTCGTAGGCGACGAAGTCTGTCGTGTTGACGTAGTTCAGCCTAGACGGGTCAACCACAGTTCCTTCAACGGTATAGACCCTCCTTTGGAGATTGGGGGAGGGTCCGAGAAGCTCACGTCTTGGATAGTGTCGAATTATCAGTTTCTGTTTCCCAAGGCGAGTCGAAAATCGACCGGTTGAAATGACCCGGGAGGTTAGCGAACGCTGTAAAAGAAACCCAGGCCCATTTGGCAGCCGTAGAAATCAGCGATGGCGGCAGAGGGTTCAGATATACACTCTGAAACATGTTTAAAGTTGGATAAGCCATGGCCCTTGGATCTGGCACGACATGATGCTGCTGGAGGGATCCATGGCCTTTGGATACTTATAGCCCCTGAGGGTCGTGTCGGTTTGATTCCCACGGAAGGTTCCTGGCCATAAGGCTAGATTGTGGGGAGGCTAGCCTGAGAAGCTAGACTTTCTGGGGGTTAACTGCGGAGAAAGTGGTCTTGGTTCCCTAGTCTGCTCTTGAGCTGCGCCGGAGCAACCCAGCACTTGAAGCCCCCCACGGAGCGTTCCAGGGTCTGCAAAAGCCGCTCAACGTGGTCTCGATAAAAGCAAGCTGAGCTTGTCAGTCAAGTTGGAATAAAATCACTCCGTGAGTCCTCCCATTGCAATACCTAAATCACAGGAACATGAGGCGTCAATTTGACTACTAGTTCTTGGAACGTCTACAGCAGAGCCATATTTCGTTGGATCATTTCATTCAATATCCAAGATTTCCGAAGATAATACATAACAAGAAGGCCCATGACGCACCTTGTAGCCAGGGCAAGCTGTAGGTTGTGAACGACCTAAGTCAGGCCTGACGAAGTGGCAAAAAATACACAATCAGAAAACGAAGTATGATTTCGGTCGAACGCCGTCGCTATGCCAGGAGCGCATCGCAACTGCACAAATCAGTATGGCAGGTAGAAGGCACATCCGAATGAAGGAGTGAAATAGAGTGATGAGGAAAGTAGCATGCCATCACCGTAGTGGACCTCTGGCGTAATAGAGGGGACGGATCAGTTGTCGTCTTCGCCTTCCGCATTGTCGTCGGGTTCGTCATCGAAAGCGGCGAGCATTTCACGTTCCAGCTCATCGTCGTCATCATCACCAGGGCTCTCGTGTTCCACGTCTCGAATGTGACTGGTACCTGGGTTCTCAGCGTCAGGCTCTTCATCTGGTTCGGAGGGGCGAACATGCTCAGGATGAGTCTCGCCCATTTCCGAACTGGATGCCGTTGCAACTTCACGCAGTCCAGTGCTCCGCTCATACGAACGCTTGATTCGCTGGGAGAGGCGTGAACCGTGCGGGTCTGACTCGTCGTCGCCGTCATCTTCTGCGGATTCATCGACAGCTTCACCATCAGCTCCTTTACCGCGCTTGCGCTTCTTGTTGGTCGTGCTTTTATCCTCAGTAAGAGCCTCGTTGTCAGATTCACTCTCATCGTCGCTACCGAGAAATTCCTTCAGTTCGTCGTGCACGGCTGCTTGCTCATTCTCATCATAACCGATGTGCGAGCTCTCGTTGAGTCCAGTAGATTTAAACATCTCGGAATCAGATTCATCATCGAGGTCCTCGTACCAGACTGAAGTACCGGGTAATTCTTCCGAGGATGAGACCCACGGACTGTCAATACGTTCCCGGGAGGCTGGTGAAAGAGGCTCGCCGCGGTCATCTGGATGAACGGGAAGCAAGTACGGATCCTCATCCAGGTGTTGCCAGTTGACTAAACTGTCCAGAAGCCATTGTGTCGTGACAATCTTGATGTTCGGATATCGAGTGGCTTCGCGTACTTTGGCTGTGCGGTTCCGTCCAGCAACCAGGTGAGTGGTACGGGCGTTGATTTTGGATGCGATAACCACACCAAAGCTCTTGGCCCACAGCGAGATGTCGGCATTCTGAAGGTCGGTTCCCAAAGGAAGAACGCCCGAGAACACCACTACCACACCTCCCAGAACCCCCTGCTTGAACAAAGGCATGATGTCTTTGATGTCGGGGACGAGTTTGAGATCAACATCTTTGTCCTTGGAAAAGGTCCTCTCCCCCCGAAGAGCTGCCACCCGGCCTCCAAGCGCGTGACTTCGCTTCTTGTCATATTCGTCAAAGAATTGCGCGTGAACCCGCTCCAGTCGGTCTTGAAGTTGGAACAATTCCCGATCATGATCCTCAAGCAGATGGTGGCGATGCTTGTTAGAGTCCTGAGACTCGTCAGCGCTCGCAGATTCGCTACTCTCGACGGAAGGTGCGTCTTCTGCATCCAATTCCTTTTGCTTCTGCAACAACGGCCGGTCTTCTACTTGGTGCAAGATCGTCTCTTCCTGTTCATTGGTTTGTTCATGCAGTAACCCGGGGTTGTCACCGCCTCCCATCGTCACCAACTGCTGTAATGCGGAAACTTCGGACTCCGACTCTTGCTTCGCAGCTTTGCCATTGGAATGGTGCTCCTTCGCTTCCTTTTCTTTCGCTTCCTTGATCAGCTTGTTCGTAGCACCGATGTCTTGCTTCTTAGGCAAGAAGCTAGAATTGATATCGCCAATCCCGACGAAAAAATCGTAGGGAGAAACCTTGATGAGATTGGGGCTCCATCGCCACACGTCACCGCGGTCGTCGATAATAACGACCATCTTGGTGTCAACGGGGAACAAGCGCTGCAGATTTTTGGCAGTCAGACTTCCACTCTCATCTCTACTGAGAATGCGGTCGCCAAAAAGTTTGCGACTCGGGTCGATGATGTCGGCAATATTCTGCGCATATGCGCGAGTTCCCATAGTGTAGATGTGAAGCTCATACGACACGGCAACTTTCTCCAAGAACTCTTCAAGTCCGGGCCGCAACTTGATATAGTACCAGCATCCATGCATGCCCGGTCCATCGTCAATCAGTTGGAATTGCCTGACGCCTCTCAAAGCCTCGTAGTTCGGGTTGTCCTTGTCTTCCTTCCATTCTCCGACAGTCGGGTCGACAGTGGCGTGAATAATGGTCTGGTCAAGATCCACCACGAGTGAAAGACGTCGGGAAGCCAAGAGGCGACGCTTCGCATCTTCTTCAACACGGGCGGCCTCCTTCTCGCTGACGGTAAGTGTCGTGTTATCATGAGACATTTGAATCGGCGCACGCGTCGAGTCCATGATTTCGGTATTGTAGGTCGCTCTGAGAAACGCAAACCGGCGTTAGCATATCGCCACCTTTACGAGGCCAAGTTGCCATGGAAGTACTTACTCAGTCATGTCTTTACCACATTCCGCACAAAGACCTCCAAATTGGACCTCGTGTGCGCATGGTTCTTCAATCTCAACGACGTCGATTCTGTACACAGATGGTCGGTCAATATGAGAATCCCAGTCATGCAAGGAGGAAGAGAATACTAACGGTTCAGTGATGACATCCCCCTTTGAGATCTTCCACTCCGACAGCTCCCCATCGGTGGGTGATTCGAACCGTGTTGGAAACTTGCGCTTCACTTGCACCTTGTTGCCTAGCCCATCGCCTTCCTCGACTGTGGTCTCATAGATGTACCAGAAGATGGGTTCATCTCGTTCCACCTGATCACCTTCCCTCTTGAGCAGCGAGGTCACGGTGATGGGATAGTGCAAACTGCGCGGCAAGCGAAGAAGCATAGCTGCGCCCAGTTCGCCCCCAGGCGGTGAGAATCACGGTTCTGTCCAATGATTTGTCTGAGCGGCAGTCGTACTTGGCCTTCCGGATGGTAGGTTTATTAATCCGCGTCGTTCGCGGGTGCAGAGTTCGTGTGGGTTTGATCGCGTGAGACACCGGCTACGAGGCCAGGTCCGACAAGAGACGCGTGTAGAGGATTCGACCGACTCAAGTCCCGGAGTTTGTGGGAAGTTCGTCTCTTGATGAAGGGTAGTCGGAATTAGTCTGGGAAAAGGTCGTTCTTTCCGAGGAGGATAAGGGTGAATAGGCGCAAGACAGCAAGGGTTGAGGATAAGGCAGTCGAATGGCAGGTCTCGCCACACAACAAAAGGATCAAAGAGATGTGCGCCTCGCACGACCTGGCACGCAAACAGTCAGATGGATTACGGGCCAGGCGCTGAAAAGTAACTCAAAGGAAAAGGTAATCGAAGGTAAGGATAGAGGAATGCGTTGTGTCAAGGTTGGAGAAGGCAGAGCTCGACGTGCGGGGACTGGGTCGTCGCAGGAGCCATGGAGCTCCGCTTATATAAGTCAACATCCATGGCCCGCTTATCGACTCTGATGTCAATGCTGCCTGTGCCTTTCTTTTCCCTGCATGAGACAGCTGTGAGCAATTTTAGTACTGATTTCAGCAGGGGAACTCGTAAAACTTTCGGAAATCAGCTTCGTCACCCGAGAATACAGATATCCTCTTGGTTGTCCCGACATTCTAATGGCCCCGGGCGCAATTGACATTCATGATTGGCCGTTATTTGAGCGACTGCACTGCAACCATAACCTTCGGGGAAAGGCCGACGGAGCTGCAGAGTGATACACAACTACGAACAGTACCTCAGTGTAAGGTCTCAATACCCTAGTTTTTTGTGTGCCAGATCAACACATACAGATTACTGAGGATTACTGAATGGATCAGGTAGTTAGACAATTACGCATATATGCTTATTGTAAGAGAAAAATCAGTACAAAAACCCGGAAGAAAGATTGATTTCGAGCAACATGGATGAAAATGTAGAGTAATTTCATGCTCGGTGAAGCTGTCAAAAAGCAAGCCCAGAGTGGGAGTGTGTTCGCAACAAAAAAGAGAGAGTGACTGATCATGAACTGCTGGGAGCCATGGGCGGATGTCAAATGACCTTCGCCAACCGAGAGAAGCCACATATGATGTATGTACGTGACATCGCCGTGGCTCTTATGCTCTTATAATCGATAGCAACACAGCCCACGAACCATTATAGGCTTGAGGTTTACTTGGACTTGGCCAGGCCAACGGCATTGTTGCCCAGGTCGTAGACGCTGTACCACTGGCGCAGGAAGGAGTCGCCCAGAATAGCCAGAGGGCCCACGGGCTCGGGGAAGTCCATGCCCATGAAGCTGCTGATGCAAGAGCCCTGGACCTCGAGGATGTAGTCATAGGGGCCGATGGTGAAGTTGTGACCGCTGAGGGTGAAGGTAAGATCGGGCAGCTTGTCACGGGTCTCACACTCGACAGTGTACTGGCCAGTGAAAGACTTCTTCGCGCCGATCTCCTTGTTCAGAAGCTCGGCAAGGGTGCTAGGCAGAGCAATGAGAGAAGTGCCAGTGTCGAGGATGACACCAGTGTTGTCCAACTCGGCAACGCTATCGCCGAAAGCAATGGCATCCAGGTCAACCTCCCAGTAGGCCTTGCGGCGGAGGGGAATCTTGACCAGCTCGCCAGTGTAGTGGTTCTTATCGACACCACCGAAAGTGGCTTCGGAGTTATCGCCCTCCTTGTTGGCGTCGCCCAGGTAGAAAGCAAACAAGGGCTCGTCCAGGAGGCCCTGGTTCAGCATGTTATAGAAGGGAGGAACCATTTTGTTGACGGAGATGGTGTCGTATCCCAGACCCAGGATACCGTCGAACCGACCGAAAGCAAAGGCCAGTCCAGGCTCGCTCGTGGCCTCGGCGAAATCCTGCTTCTGAACCTTCAGGTCACCGATCTTCAGGATGTCCTGCGAGACGAAGCCGCTCAGGCTGCCGGAGCCATACTTGATGGCAAACTCGGTGCCATTCTTCTTGTAGGTGCTCGACGAAGACGAGTCATACTTGCTGTGGAGGAAGCAGGCAATCGAGCTGCACTCCGAGGACGGGACCCACAAGTTGGAGCTACCCGTGTCGAGGACAACCTTGAAAGTCTGGGGAGGGGTACCGATCTCAATCTCGGAGAAGTCTGGAAATGCAGATTAGCATCATTTATTATGGCTGAGGTGAGAGGGGGTTGGGTCGGCCAAGGTCCTTACACTGAGCGTTCAAGAAGTTGTCCACCAGGACATCATGGCCGGCGGTGGGATTGAAGGTGGTGTCTTTAAACGACTCCTCGCGGTTTCTGTCAGGGCGGTATCCCATGTACTTCTGGCCCAGAGCTTGGATGTGGTTGTCGATGTTGTGGACGTTCTGTGATGGCGGTTAGCAACCGGGCCCACTGTTTTGGGGTAGTGGCATCTCCTTACCAGCGTCTCCTCCAGCGGGAGCTTGTTCAGCTTGAGCTTGTGAACCTCCGCAGAGGCACTACCCAACAGCACCGAGGCTGTCAGCAGAGCGAAAGACTTCATGATGGACGAGAGATGTGGATGATAATGATGGGGGAGAGGAGATGAGGAGGGTGATAAGGACGGCTGGGGTCGGAGCCTAGTCGATCGGCATAACGTGACGGGAGTGCGTCATTCCCGGAATCAGCTGCACCGGAGCGGGTTACACCCTCGACACATTCCTCCGTTTTCTCGTCCCCATGATGGCCTGGTGGGTCCGACTGCAGTATTCCTACGGACGTTCCAAAAGTGCTCTACTGAATATGCCTTTAGTGAATTTGTCAACTAAAAATCGTAGTGTTCGTCCTGTAGCTGCCAGGCGTCTGCCTGTTGTGAAAGGGCAAGGAGGCTGGGCGCCGGCCTCGACTAGTGCGGTGAGGGGTCGAAGCGCTGTACCTGGCAGCTGCGGGAGTGAGGTGGCGACGCCTGGCCTGCAAGGGTGCGTGTGACGGTCACTTCCAAGGCGACAGCTCTCGAGGATGAAATATATTACTAGAAGATACCTGAGACTAAATCTACAAGTGGTGTTCAGTATGTATGATCCTTCAAGATTAGTGCTCAATCGATGAGGCACTCGTTCCACCTGCTTTTCAACCACGGAGGGCCGTTGTCCCCACCACGGATACCCCGGAAGGCTTCCAGGGTTGTCGGTTTTCTTTAGAAAGCACACAAAACACACAATGAATCATCCATGTATTCCCAAGTATCACAGATTATTGATAATACAGCAGTCAGGGCTACCCTAAAGCTTCCACCTGCGTCCTCGTTCCCCAAATGGGCCAATTGTTTACCGGTAGAAGTCGGGGCTGCAAGACGGTTAGTGACACGAATGAGAATGAAAGTGAGCATAGAGACATACCGGTCATCATCCTGGCCACTCTTCACCTGGGCCTGGTAGGCATCCTCCAGGTCAGACTGGATGATGTTGTATCGGTTTTTACGGACCGCACGCAGACCGGCTTCCTGCATGATAGCAGCAATCACGGCACCTGAGAGCGGCTCGTTGCGCACGATCAGAGAGTCCAGGTCAACCTCGGGGGACAAGGACATCTTGGACGCAATGGTGGTGAAGATCAGACGACGCTCACGTCGGTCACGCAGGTTAGGGAACTCGATCTTGCGGTCCAGACGACCGGGACGCAGCAGAGCAGGGTCCAGGGTGTCCGCTCGGTTGGTAGCCATGATGACCTTGACGTTGCTAGTCTGCTCGAAACCATCCATCTGGTTCAGCAATTCCAGCAGGATACGCTGCACCTCACGATCGGCACCGGTTTGGGCATCAAAACGCTTCGTGGCGATGGCATCGATCTCATCGATGAAGATAATGGCTGGTGAGTTTTCGCGCGCCATACGGAAAACATCACGAACCATACGAGGACCCTCACCCAGATACTTTTGTACGAATTCTGAGCCGTTCACACGAATGAAGCTGGCAGTTGTGCTGTTCGCAACGGCCTTGACAAGCATGGTCTTACCGGTACCCGGAGGGCCGTACAGCAAGACACCACGGGGAGGATCGATACCTGGTAGACATGTGATCAGAATACGGTCCAAAAATCAACGTGAAACTTCCTGAACTTACCGATTTGTTGGTAAAGATCAAAGTGTGTCAAGGGCAGCTCGACGGCTTCCCGGATCTCCTGCTTCTGCATGTCCAATCCACCAACGTCGGCGTAGGTCACATCTGGCTTCTCATTCTCACCCAGCATGGCAATGGAGGAGTCGGCCTCCGGGGGGAGGATATCGACCAGCGCATTGGAGTGACGGTGAAGGGCCACCGAGGATGACGGCTTCAATTTCTCGCGGTCGAGTGTGGACAGGATGCGGACAACGTAGTTGGAGCCAGTCGAGCTCTGCACGATACCGGTGCTTTTGAAGAGGTAAGTCAGCGATTATTATCCAACGTTTCATCTGACGCGAGGATGAGCATACTTCTGGTCGATAGCTTCCATGAATTGCCCAATCACCAGAGGCACACTCTGTATCCGCTTAATCTCTTCCTGTGCTCGAACAAGCTCCCTCTTCAAGCTTCTGCAGTGGCAACCCCAGTCAGTTGTCAGACCCTTCGCGTGACTTTCGATGGAGGGGAGACATGCCTTTGCTCATCCTTGATGTATTCCTCCTGCAACTGAATGTATCTGGGTGGCGTCAGTGTCGCTGCAACTTGACTTATCCGACGGAACGTACTCAAGGTGTCTCTGTAGCCTCTTCAGAGTGGCGTATTCATCACTTCCATCGGCTCCGGTACCCTCCAGAGAATCCAGATTCGCGAGGTTGTCCAGTGCACCTGGCTTGTGAAGAGGCGTGAGGCTGCTCGCCGGGCTCTCCACGGCGACGTCTCCCATGATGAACAGCGAGTGCAGAAGGAGTAATGCAAGATTGACGCGAAGATTTAGAATGGGTTTGTGTTGATGATGGTTCGTGAAAGCGTTGGTGAAGCGCGATGCAGAGTCCGGTGGACGGTCCTTGGAGCTTGGTCGGGGAGCCTGGGAGCTTACAGATACGGCACGTGACATGGATCGGGGTCTCACTGCTTTGGTTCCCATCTTCCCAAAGGCTTCGGTTTACTACTTACTACCTTTAGGTGTAGTGATCTTCCCCTCAACAAAGTGCTTTCCTGGTTGCTTCAGCGGCCAGTTATTTGAGAAGTATGATTTTGCAAACTGTCAGGATCTTTACATTTCAGCACCTACTACGATACGATGTACTGTTAGTAACACAGGCCGATTATGTCTCTTTTGGGCCTCTCGCCACGTACCATACTGTCTGTGCCAGTGCCTACATAACACTACGTACTAGTACTAGTAGTAGTAGTAGAAATACCCTAAGGTATCTTGCTTGAGTCTGACGTGTGAACTACCACCCAGCCGTTGATTGCAAAACCTGATCGACCAGTCCAGCCGTCGCTATCCGTAGCCCTGAGTAAGGCGAGGAGGGGGTTCGAATTTTGGCTCTCAAATTTGATTCAGCTTCGCATTCGATCGTGCAAGTTCCTCGTTAGACATTTAGGACAGCTCAGCTTCCAGCTCAGGCATTCCCCGTGGGCGAACCGCAACACTAGGGCCGTAGCATCCGGCTGCACATTGGACATGCGCCTGGTTTCCCAAGGGTTCCCTGCGCCCGAGAGAAAACCATCGTCATTTGCAAGGTCATTTCGTGTCCGCTTGGGCCTGAGCCCTGGGGAACCAGCACCCAATCACGCTGGTGGAGTCGGCCGGGTCACGGTTAGGTGGGACAGGCACAGTGAACCATCGCGATTTTCCCATGCGGATCGACTCGGATCCTTGCACGAGGGAAAAGAGGAACCTAGGCCACTCTTGGCGGGGTACTGCTAATCTTCGTTGTGTTGGTGTTCGTTTCCTCTTTCATTTAATTTTTCTTCCCCCGTTGTCGGCGAATTGGATGCTCGTCATGATTATCAGGCGCTAGTCCGAGCTTTTATATAAGGAGAGCCGACGCCCACCACTGCGCCTGATTCTGGGCCCTCTTTTTCTTCCCGCGCCTGTATTCTTTTCCCTTTTTCCCCTGACTCTTCTGCGGTAGATAAATTTTCTACGGCTCCCCTGGCGATGTGCCGACTGGGACCCATCGGGCTGGCCCTCGACCCGGCTGGGGGGACTATAGAGACTAACCTGACTGGGCGAAGACCGTTGGAATGGATCTTCAGCCATTTTGCGTCGCAGGTGCGCTGGCTGTCTCGAATTCTCTCTTTAATTTCTTCACCCTCCTTTGGAACTCCAAAAACATGCAAGAACCTGGACTTTCCATGGAATTCTGGGTTGAAATGATTGCGGCTGTTGCTCTCCAGTCTTCGCGTGTGGCTACCGCTGTCTCTTGGGGCGGTAGAGAGGCTGCCGAGACCCGCGACCAACGTCACGGGCCTGCCATGCTAACCACCGCGAGACCATAATCCAAGTCTACCCTTTCAAAACTAACAGAATTGAGGGCAACGAGCCCACGCACCTTTGTCGACTAACAAAGAAACGAGAAAACGCAACAGATCGGGCACGCGATACGGTACGGTACTGGTGATACCAGCCCCCGCAGGCCCCCGCCGTGGAGGCCGCAGCACCATTCCGGCGTCCGTACCCGCGCAGAGTATTTTTCCCTCCTTACCATTCTTGCCTCCACTTCCCCTTTCATCCCTAACTGCGCTTGTCTTTGCGAACTGAAGGTACGCCATTTCTGCCCGTTTGCTTTTTCCCTGGTCTGCTGCCACGCACCTCCCCCCATTGCCCCCGTTCCCCACGGGTCTCCTGGCCTCCCAACCCCCCCTTCATCCACAGACGCACTGCCTGCCCTCCTTTCTGGCTCGGCCCGAAACCAGTCACAAGTCATCTCCGTGGCTTCAGAGAAGATCAGCAGTTCCTGGTCGGTCCCTCTATTCCCAGCCCCGGCCGCCTGGCCCTTCCCCCCTCCCGCTCACGCTTGCCCCCCCCCCCCCCAAGTCTCCTCGTCACCCTCATCCTCACCTCGGCCTCTCGTCGCCTCAGGCCCCAACCACGTGACCCCTGCACACCAACCTGTTCCTTCGTTTTCCCCCCAGCTGCTAATTCCGAGACCCGGGCTTAGCCATCCGTTCGCAAGTCAGGAATTTGAGTGATCCAACTTGGTCGGTAAGTACATCTCTTTATTATCTTGGTTTTTCCTTTTCTATTCCCTTATCCTTTTGGATGGGAAGGCTCTTTCCCTCCTTTCCCCCATTCGTTGGACAAACCCCCGGGACGTGTCGCGACCGAGCGCGCAGACCCTAAACATCTCCACCGGACGCGTTCGCATAGGCCTAGAAAATCATTGGCGGTCTAGGTCATGTTTCCCATTGATGATCGAGATGGCCTTTGAATCATGTTTTCACGTCGCGATGATGACGCGCTGCCCTCATTGTCCCCATGACTAACACGGTCTCGCCGAGCAGATGGGTTGGTAAAATCGCACGACATGAACGCCTGGCTCGCCGACGCCTCGAACCTTCCTGGCCAGGAGAATGGGGCTTTCAATCCTTCGACCATCGACCCCTCAGCCGCATTCCTCCATGCTTCTCCAACCCCCCAGGATCCCAATCAATTCCAGCGCATGTTCAACAATGGCGTGCCGCGGAACGCTTCCCCCGGTTTCCACAACCCCAACCAGGTGATTCCATCAAAGCGACCCCGACCGGAAGATGGAATGCCCATGTCTCCACGCCCAGGACCGGGCGGCATCACCGGCTCGCGATCACAGACTCCTCATCAAGTGCCATTCCCTGGGTACCAGGGCCCGGCAAATGGCGCGCAATTTCCCCAACATCCGACTCCCTATCAGCACCTCCAACAGCAAACCGCATCGCCTAATGTAACGCAATCGCCCATTATGCAAGAATACGATCAAGCAAGCGTTCGCATGGGAACCGCATCCCCCAGTCCATTCTCGCCAGCTGGTCCTCATGTCGGCGGCGGCCCCCATATGTCCCCGTCGCAGTCCGACCACGGAAGTCGGGTAAATACCCCGCAGAACAACAATTTCATGCCAGGACAGGCTTTCCCTCAGGGCATGGGAGGCCAGTTCCAGCAGGTCCCCGGAATGAGCCAGGCGCAGCAACCCTCAATGCAGACGCAGCAGCTCAACGGTATGCCCCAGATGCCACAGCAATACCACCAAGCTATCGCTGCTCAGCAGCAGCGGCTTCGCGCTATGCAAATGCAAAACCAGGGCCAGCAAATGCAAAGCCAGCAAATGAACATGAACCCTCAAATGCCTGGGCGTCCTGCTCCTGGTGGCGGTATGAATCCCATGGGCAATCCTCAGCAAATGGCGGCTATTCGTCAAATGCAACAGAACATGGCCAAGCCAAACAACCCTGAGATGTTCCTGCGTTCGATACAGAAGTTCATGATCAGCAAAAACTTTCCCTTCAACCCTACTCCAATCATTTGTGGTCGTCCCATCAATCTCATGCAACTGTATGGAACGGTCATGAAGATGGGCGGGTCCAAGAAGGTGACCGCAATGAATGCCTGGCCAGCAATTGCGCAATCACTTCAATTTCCCCAGATGCAATTCCCGACTGCGGCTCAAGAGATTCGTGATTATCATCAGCAGAACTTAGGCCCGTACGAACAAGCACATATCGGCTCGCAGCAAAAGCAATTTGATCAAATGCAACAGGGTGGCATGCCACGCCAGCCGAGCGACCCATCGGCCATGCAGTTTCAATCGCCCTCTGTCAAAGCGGCACAGGGCTTCGAGACACCTCAGCAAATGAATCACTCCCCTCAAAACAATACTCCAGTTCCCAATCACGCCCAGGCCCAGGCCACCCCGGTCAATGGTTTCGCCACGCCTACCCAAGCAAGGAGCCAAAGCAAGCCTCCTCAATCCGGCCAGCGACTGAGTGTCTCGCGCCCCTCGCAGCCTCCGGTCCCGATGCCGGAAGGTCAATTCACCGCGCCGTCGCCGTCTCAACAGCCTAAGGGCGCCCCGCCAACACCTAGAACTCAACCGAGCCAGGAAGAGCAAAGACCGGAAGAAATTGTCAAGAAGCCTATCGAGGACCCATTCAAGCCTACGGTCATCACCGAGCGTCGCCTCCATGGACCTATTGCCGTGGATGAGATGTATCAGATGGGAGAGGAAATTTTGAGGTACCGGCCATCAGCACCAACATTTGGTGAGATGGGTGTGATTGATATCCATGCTCTCACAATGAGTTTGAAGTCTGGAATTCCATCCGAGATCCGTGTCTCTTTGGGTGCTCTCACGACCCTTTCCTGCGAAGCCCAGATACAAATTTCACTTGAGAACTGCGACGACCTGGTGGAAAGCTTGGTTGATTGTGCGGAGGACCAGATCGACTTCTTGACCCAGAATACTCCAGAGACTTCAGATATCATTTCTTTCCGTTCCTACGAAGATGTGGTCCGAGGCTGCCATTCTGAAAACTCATCACTTGCGGATGTGCCTGAATTTGGGAGTCTTGCTTACGAGCTGGATAGAGCAGTCGACCGACTCATTTGTGTCACCACCATATTGCGCAACTTTTCTTTCAGCGAATCGAACTTTGGTGTTCTAGGAATTCCTGCTGTTACTCAATGTCTTGCTGGCATCTTCCGAAAGATTGGAACCCGCAAGATGTTCCTGCGAAACGATTCGAATACATTGGATTTCATGAAAGATGCCGTGGTTTTTATGGGTAACCTGGCGCATGCTATGCAAATATCCAGCAAGGAGGAAGCGTTGAGCCTCTTACATTTCCTTCTGGCATTCTCGCCATTGCCTGAGCCCTCAAAAGAACCAGGTCATATCATGTTTGCAGAGTTTAACCCTTCCATTCACCGCTACACACCTGCTGCTGTTGACGGGCTGGCCAAAATGCTGGCAAGAGATGACCCCAACCGAACCTACTTCAGTGCGATATTCTCTGGAGATGGGTCTACACCACCCCGGACAGACCTGCTTACGCGCGCATTTGGGCTCTCTATTTGCTGCATCCCGCATAACAGGGTTCTGGCAATTGCAGATGTTCGCAAAGTCTTCCTCCTGCAAGGTCTTTTGGCTGCCGATGTTCTAGCCTCATTCGCCGACGGGGCTATGGCTAAGCTATGGCTCGGCTCTGTGGATGGGTTCGCTATTCATCTTCTTCGCCTTACCTGTGCTGTGTGCACCGACCGCATTCCACAGCTTAGCATGCGGGGGCAAAGGGGGCCGGGCGAAGCGGAGGCCTATGCGTATGCATCAATTGTCAATCGCGGACTGGCCATTTTACGTCGCCTTGCCGAGAAGTCTAAACAAATGGGCAGCGAATCTCCTCTCCGGTTCCCATCGGGGATTACACCTCGCAAGGAAAGTCTCCTTGGAGCCCTTCTTCTCCCCAGCATGGATGCCAATATCATCCGTCAACTCATCAGCTATGCTCGGCTAGCCGAATAGAGTGTAATCGTGAGATAGGAGAATCAAGAATGGGGGTGGGTCCGCCGCTTTGCGCGCAGCATCTACGAGAATTATTTTGATTTCCGTCATGTCATTTGTATTCATGTCTCTGACCGATGACTCGGCCAATCTTCGTTATCTTTGGGCGCCGGTGGAAATGGGGGTTTTTCTTTTCCTTTTCTTTTTGACTTCGACCTGCCATTGTGAGATAGCGAGCCTTTTGTTCTTCAGTGTACAATCTCAAAATACCCTCGAATGAATGCGAGAGATATTAAACATTCAGATTTGTACCGTCTACACTTACCTCTTTCTACCCTGATGATCCAGTGGCTTTGTTTTGAACACATCACCTTAGGAACCTGATTGGACTTTACAATACGTAGCACTGGTGTGATGTGTTATTGATCGAGGTTAAATATAGTCGTAACGAAGAATCGGTCAATACGAGTATCCTAGGGCACCTTTGCCCTCGGCTAAAGGTCAATAGGTCCAAGTTGGAACATATACGAAGTTATTGGGTGGATGATGCATGGATTCATTCAATTAAAAGAATTGGGTGAGCACCCATCAAATCATTGGACTGTACAGAGAGGAAATGGTACAAGAGGAAGAACCGAAGCAAAAGCGCCAGAAAATAAGGACCGTGCCAAAGATGAATGAATAAATCGAGACAACGGCAAAAGGAAACAAGAAAAAAGGAACAGCAAAAACGACCCATGAACTGAGATTAATAAAGAAAAATACATCGAGGGAAGAGGGAATCAAGAAGGGATAGGAAAATGGATAGGAGCCCGAGCACTCGAAGTGACTCTATGAACCGGGTTTCGATCCTTTTTCTTCTTCGTCGCTTCTTCGCATGCTTTTAATTTATTGTGTCTTGGACTCCTGCTTCTGTGCTCGATCCTTTTGCTCAGTCGGATCCGCTTGTTGTAATGGGATAGTCGCGACCCCAGGTCGCAGAGGTTAAGGGAGAAATAGTCCGTTTTAATGATCTCTTTAGAAGTTTCGTTCCTGGAGAAAAGCCACGATCTCGGGTTTGCGCCAGCCCTGTGAGAGAAAGAGTTAATTCTGGAGTCCGATATACCACTCGCTATCTTTGCGACTTCGAGAGCAGGCGGGAGGAAAATCGTACCTTCACAATGATGTGGCCGTTCAAACGATTGATAGATACATCAGAGCTGCGCTGGTCCACGCCCAGAGTGTATGCCAAGTCACTGCGCAAAGTATCCAGGTCACCCTCGGTCTTTTGGATCTTGGTGAGTTGCTTAGTGCCGCCGGCTTTTGTGACGAGGTAAACGGGCAGTTGATTAGATCCGGTACGGCGGACGAAGTAGGGGAGGTTGGTGAGTTGGAGAGCAGGCTTAGGGGCCTTAGGCTTCGAGGGAATAGTCGGGTTAGAAGAGATGGGCTGCTCCTTCAGTGCTTGCGCTTGGCGGCGGAGTTGCGTCAGGAACGTGCGGGTTTGACGGGTGCAGGGAGAATACGATGAAGGAGGTGCCAGTCGGTGTGAGGATTGGAGTAGGGGAGCTATACCAGGAACAAAAAACTTTGTTAGATTGTGCATTTTGCAATTTTTGCAATCTCAAGTGAGATTATGGAATGATGTTGGGAGAGCATTCAACGAGCTGCAGCAGCATACGCGATAGCTGCAAATTGCTCTCAAGAGGCATCATTGGGGAAGGAAAACCAAGAGAAACTTGAGGGTTCACACTTACAGGATGCAAGACGTGTTGCGGAAGATAATGAAACAGCCGGGCTACATGTCGGAACGGAGGCCACGGAGTGAGCAACGCGAGGGTTCACAGTCTGCTTGCACACGGCCGAAGCGACCGAGGCCGATTGCCGGATAGACGCCATCGAGGGTCGAGGGAGAGCAGGACTGGAGGAGAGAATAGCAACCTGGGGAAATCAACAGAGCTGTCGCTGCCGTAGGAGGAGAAGCAGGTTTCTTCGCGCCAGAATTCTGCCACCGCCCGACGCCCAATGAGGCTTAGCGCGGCAACCCTCCCGCACACAAATTCAAAGATTCAAAGATTCACCAAGTGGGAAGACCGTGTCTTTGAACCACCTGAGTCCACCATGGCTGCCAACGCCCCTCCCTCCGCCGAGATGCTCAGCGGCGCTCAACCCACCGACGTCGCTCCCCAGTATGACCTACTCCCCCGCCTGATCCCGTATCTCGACCGCCACCTGGTGTTCCCGCTGCTCGAGTTCAGCGCCGGCAACGATGAGGAGGACAAAGAAATCACTCGGGCCAAGTACGAGCTGCTGAAGCACACCAACATGACCGATTATGTCGCCAATCTGTGGAAGGAAATCAATGACTCCGACTCTATCCCCGACGAGTTCGTTAAGAAGCGCGAGGAGGTTCTGGCCAAGCTGCAGCACTACGAGAACCAGAGCGAGAAGATCACCGAGCTTCTGCAGGATGATGAGGTCGTGGGCAACCTGCGCAGTGACAAGGCTGCCAACTTGCGTTTCCTTGAGGAGCAGCACGGTGTCACCAACGAGATGGTCAACAGCCTGTATGACTACGGCCGGTTCCAGTACAGCTGCGGTAGTTACGGCAATGGTGCCGAACTTCTGTTCCAGTTCCGTCTGCTGTCCACCGACAACGACAAGGTTGCTTCCGCCACCTGGGGTCGTTTGGCCTCCGAGATTCTGACCACCAACTGGGAGGGCGCGATGGAGGAGGTCCAGAAGGTTAAGGACTCCATTGAGACCCGTCTGTTCAACAACCCTCTTGGCCAGCTCACCAACCGCTCTTGGCTCATCCACTGGGCTCTGTTCCCCTTCTTCAACCACGACCCCGCCCGCGATGTCCTGACCGACCTCTTCTTCTCCCCCGCCTATATCAACACCATCCAGACCAGCTGCCCCTGGGTTCTCCGTTACCTTGCCGCCGCCGTCATCACCAACCGCAGCCGCCCCCACAAGCACTCCGGCGCTTATCAGAAGCAATTGAAGGATCTCATCCGTGTGGTTCGCCAGGAGGGTTACGAGTACACCGACCCCATCACCGACTTCGTCAAGGCTCTCTACGTCGACTTCGACTTCGAGGAGGCCCAGAAAAAGCTGGGCGAGGCCGAGGAGGTTCTGCGCAGTGACTTTTTCCTGGTTTCTGCTGCGGACTCTTTCGTTGAGGCTGCTCGTCATCTCATCTCTGAGAGCTACTGCAAGATCCACCAACGGATCGATATCAAGTAAGTTATTAATGGGTAATCTCAGGAATATTTGGATTTCCGTATCACTGACATGTTTTGAAGGGACCTTTCTACCCGTCTCGGTCTGAGCCAGGACGAGGGTGAGAAGTGGATTGTCAATTTGATCCGCGACACTCGTGTTGATGCCAAAATCGACTACAAGGAAGGCACCGTGATCATGAACCACCCGCCGCAATCGGTTTACCAGCAGGTCATCGAGAAGACCAAGGGTGCTTTCTTCCGGACACAAGTTCTTAGGTATGTTCAACTAATAACTGATCTTTTCCCGTTTGGTACTAACATATTTTGAAGCTCCGCTGTTGCGAAATGAATACTCCATCCACGAGCTGATGCCAAAACTGATTCCTTCTTTGTTTTTATCAACCTTGTTTTCTGCCGGCCCATCATAGTGATCCCCCGTGTATGTCACAACACGGTTCTTGAAAGGGAGAATGGGGATTCCGCGCAGAGTGGCATCCGGCTGGCGTTCTTCGGTGGTCCACCTTTCTGATTTCATATTTATTATTTTTACCTCCTTGATCCTCAGTCTCTTCCTATCTCCCTCTCCCTTTCCCTGTCGTCGGATACTTTTTTTCACTTAGGTCTTTTTTTCTTGTTTTTTCTTATATGCAAAGAATGACCTTGAAGGTCTTTTGCAGAGAAGGAGGGTCTAAAAGAAATCATGATGGGACTCCGGCGCTCTCCCTCGCGCCTGATACTGAAGAAAAGAGGCGGGACTTATGTAGAAGACTTCGGGATACACCCGAGTGGCTGATGGATCTATGCTGTTACGAATGGATAGAGATGAGTGAAAATGATGTCTGATAATATCTTGTTTGAACTTGCTTGTAAGCCATTAGAAGAGTCAAAAGACGTAAACAGTTGTGCCAGTGCTCTCGTCACATGTGCCGCATTCGTCTATGTCGTCCTGCCAGCCTAAACTATTCAATGACTTTTTAGCACTCAGGTATGACTGTTGAAGTGCTAGATGCCTATGTCTATTGAGTCCTAAAAGAGGCTTCCACTAGCATCTTGCTGGGTGAAGTTGGGAAGGTTGGGAAGGTTGGGAGTGTCAAGCCACCACATGACCAGCTTTGGACCGGGCAATTCTCAATGACAAAGCAATAAAGAGAGGGCTAACTTTCGCGAGTTCCGAAGGGTATCCGTGGAGGCAAAGCAAAAAAAAAAAAATAGAATAACAAGGATGCCCGAAAACGACTCCGTCAGTGGATCCACTACAGCTCAGGCATCCGTTGTAAATCCCCTTCATCCTGGATGTGGCATTCCACGCAGTAGGGTCTGGGTCCAATCATCGAATTTCCAAGAATGGAAGCGATCGCGCAGGCTTGTGATCCGGGTGTGGCTTGCCAATTGCGTCTCTGGGGGGAAAATCCTGAGTGGAAGTGCAAACAAAAAGATCATCTAAGCATGTCGCTCCATCGAATGGGTGATAATTAAGAAAATTCGTGGAATCCAAGGGATGCAAAAGGCAATGGCTGCTAGACACCCATGGCTTGTTTCTGGTGCAGCAGTTCTGGCTCCACTTTCCATTATCGGGTCTGGGAAAGAAAGTGGCATTGAATCCTCAATTATCCACGGCCGCCTCTGAGTTCTGGGTCCACGCGCCTGCGTGTTCTGGAAGGATCCACTGGAATGATCTCGTTGATGTATGGCTCTGTGGAGTGGCCATTGCCGTTGCCAGGGCCGCTACTTTGGTGGGTCATTCGCAGTGCCTCCTGCATCTCATATTCTCGAGACATGGCTGCGAGATCTTCGATTTGTTCCTGCAGTGGAGTACGTCAGCTTGTTGTGGTCGCCGCTGCTGTCCTGTGATGCAAACAGACCCGTGTAATCGGCACCCCTACGACAAGGTAACCTTCGCGTCCCTACCACAGTAATGAAAGGCTGGTTAGATAGATTAATCGTGGATAACAGCGCGAGATATGGTTTAATGTACCTGGTAGCTATACGGTCTGACTGATGCAGATGGACCGAGGAAGTAATGAATGTGCCCTAGCACGATGTGGCGAGACAGTCCGTACCCCGGCAGCCAGTATTGCTGAACTCGTGACATTGTAGAATCACTCGTGCAATGAGGAAGGAATGTATGTATCTCTCGTGAAAGCAGGAACTGGAACGACTGTGGCAGCACCGACACGAGGAAGGCCAGAGCCAAATACCGGCAGCAGGTGGACGTTTATATCTGTTGAGTGAGCTGCCGGGGACCGACATGGGGTTTTAAATAGTTATAGGCAGATATATTGAGCCATTGCACCCCCCACCCTCCCATGAATCAAGAAAGGGAATTCCGACGTGTAAAACGAGACGAATGAGACAAGCCTCAGCCGGATCTGCAGTCTATCAACCACAACCCTCTGGAGGGGCCAACGATGATCTCACGGAATTGAATTACGCACTCGCTCCAAGAGAGAAAGGGAGCGAGATCCGCGGGGCCATCGAAGCCAACCGAACAAATAGAATGCCGTCCTAGACCAGCGTAAGCCGGGGAATTTCCCGACATCCTTATCCACGGACCCGGGCAAGGGAGGTGCATAGGGGGGTGGGTGCACAGCATGAAAGTGAACAAGTCGCACCATTGCGTCCAGGAACGAACCAGTCCCAAGACCTCCAGTTGTCCAGGAGGCAATAGATTCCCGTCGGAACCGTCGGGGGGTGCAAGATGAGACCAAAAGTGCCAGCGAGAGAGGGGGTAGCACGCACCGCCTCACTTCTATCAGTCAACCAGACCCAACCCTTTTTTCCAGAAAAGAAGAATTCAATATCCGATCTGACTATCCACGGCGGTTGTCTGCACCACCAGTAGCCCGGGTTAAGGCCCAGGTCAAAGTGAGGCTGGCAGGGGAGGCGCCCGTTGAATCGCTGTACTATGCAGAGAACAACGCAACAGTGGACACTCCCCTAATTGGAGGCGCTTCGGAGTCTTGCACGCAAATGAAGGAGCCAGGGCCATTGGCATTAGCAGCTCCAATGGCGTCTAGATGGAAGACTCGAATCCAGATTCATTTGCCTCACCGCACCTCTATGTTGAATTCTGTCTTCTGCAGCGCCAAATTGGCTTCGTGCTGCGGTGATGTCGTGGCACCACGGATGATGCGTGCTGGGCCGTGGGGCCCGGACGGTGCAGCTGGCATATCTGCATCTTGCATTTTTCGGACAAAGAGAGTTTGGGGGGGTTGCGTTGTGTTCTACTGTTCGATGCCGAACACATGGCAGATGCAAGGCAGGTCGAGGGTTCGTTCGAGGTCGGGTGGGTGCATCAGATCCGTCCCACCGGCCCTTATGGACTGGGGTCCACGCGAATATGGGCGAGTCTCTGAGGGCCTGCTAGTAAACACTGGTATAGTGCAGCTCGGTCTCGATTGAAACTGTCCATTGTGGGCTCGTGCTCTCCAGCATTCCACGTTCTTGAGCGACGCGGGCGTCGTAATGCTGTCAACTAATTCAATATCCCCACTAGGCAAAGCAGCCAAGCCCCGAACGCATTTTATGTGACTGGCCCTATTTCGGAGAAGGCTAAAACTACTAATATTTGCAAACTATATGACCTCCCTCTTGAGCTTGAGCGAGGTCCGGTAATGTAGTAAGACGAGTCAGCTGCAATCCGAGCTGTCCGCTATGTAGGAACTGGAGAAAATGGAGGCATCTAAAGTGGGATTCATATTCGGCCAAGATGGATGTGACGAAGCGTGCATGACATCAACAGCCGTAGGGCTGGTCACTGCTGCAGGCCTGAACGGGCGAGATGCCTCGTCGATACAGATTTCCATACATTAGATGGTATACGGTCCTCCCAAGGAATGCCAAGTCCGCTCAAGGGTGCGAGATGCAAGTGCAAAGAGCAATGGATGTGCCAAATATTATTCTCTAGTCTTTCATCATTCGTCGTGTAATCTGATATGCAAGCGCATATCGACACCCCTCACAGCCAGCCTTCACTGTGGGGGAACGTAAGGGTGCACAAGCATGTCGCTGAACCTGGAAGGGAGATAGTCGATTAGCATGGGTGTTGGAGAAGGGAAACGCATACTTGGGATTCGCCCAGATGAACTGACTTTTCTAATTTTTCCTTGCCGCGGACCTCCTCGACCAACAGTGGCATGCGAACCACGTTGAAGTCCTCATAGAGCTCCTCGATCTGCTCCAGATACTTCTTCTGCATCTTCCGACGGGCATTGCACTGGTCGCAGTTGCTTCCATCCTTGGGGAACAGCAGCTGGTTGACGACAATCGAGTGGGTGTCGATGTTGTAGCTGGTCAATTCCTGGATCATGCGCTCGGTCTCGTACAACGACAGGAACTCCGCAATGCAGACGCACACGAAGGTGGTCATGTCCGGGTTCTTGAACTGCGTGTTGACCTCACTAATAGTCTCACGCAGAGACTCCATCTTCTGTAGCAGCTCATCCATATTCTGTCCACCCGGCAGGCCGCCCCGCGCGCCGAGAATCGAGTTCAGCATCGGGCCGAATTGCGACGAGAGCTGCGAGAGCTTGGCCAGCGCCTTCTCAAGCACAGTGGGGAACTGGAGGAATCGCAGAGTGTGTCCGGTCGGGGCGGTATCAAACACGATAACCTCGTAGGAGAGCGACTTGACTTGCTTAAGGACTTCGGCGAAGGACATGGCTTCGTCAACACCGGGAATCTGGTCATAGGCAATGCTTGTGAGTCACTGGTGTATTTGCGCGCATAGAACTGCGGGATCAACTCACACTGAATGCCAAATCTTGCATCATGTTACCCATACCCAGACCCGCCATGGGGTCGTCACCCTGCCCCTCACCGTTGGCCAGAAGATCCTGGATGCTGCCGTTTGGGTCGATCTCCATGGCGCTGAGGTTGTCATAACCGTCGATGAGGCGGGCCTCCTTTCCGAACTTCTGGCCAAAAGCATCGCTCAGATTGTGTGCCGGGTCGGTAGAGATGAGGAGGACGGATTTGCGGACTTTGGCGAGCTGGATGGCGAGCGAGCACGAGGTGGTGGTCTTACCGACACCTCCTTTACCTCCGACAAAGATCCAGCGGAGGGTGTTCTGGTTGAGGATCGACTGGAGCGAAGGCTCCATGTCGAGATCGTCACCATGGACGACGGCGGAGGACATGATGGAGGTGGTGGAAGTCGGAGGTGGTTGCGGGACTGGAGTTGACATTCAAAAATGATGATTTGCCCCGCAAACCGACCGAATGTTCGGGAAGTCTTAAGGCGGCCACCCCGAAGATCGCTCCTCGAACTATCAGTGTACTTCTATAGGCGTTGCGGACTTCTCATGGATAGACGATGAATGGCAGAGCTGATTTTTTCAATATTTCATCCATCGAAAATGCGGTCGTCCCTCCGTATACATCTCCAGTACTAACTTGCCTCTGCTATATGTACTACTTACGAGCAGTGCTAGTAGAATGCTCAAAACAGCTGAACGGAGCGAGTTTTCCAGCAATTGACAATCTCTACCATAATTCATGATGATCTTGAATGACAGGAGCCACTTTTTGCCAAAGTCAATCGCATTTGAGGCCACTAACTCCAAAGGTGCCCGCTCCACCCGCTCTCCGTGGGCGCATGGCATCCTCCGCATCTATCGGTGCCCTCCGATGCCAATGGCCCTTAGAAATGGCAACGCAGTTCCCCCGCGAATTTTTCGACTTCTTTCTCCTCCAATCTCTTCTTCCTTCGATCCTCCTCCCTCAAAACTGAATGGACGCTTCGCACCGTGATTCCCAACAGGGTCGCATTACCAACCGCCTCGCCCTCGTCCAGCAGCAGCTCAACTCGGCTCCTCGATCTTCCTCCACCTCCACGCCGCAATCACAACCACCCGCCACCATGGCCGCGCGCGACCCCATTACCTGCCATTGCCTGAACACCTTGACTGGCACTCCGGCGGCTAATCTTCCTGTGACTCTCACACTGCTTTCTGCTTCTGCCTCACCCTCCAGCCCTGTCACCTACCATGCCGTGACCAACGCCGACGGCCGTGTCGCTAAGTGGACGCCCGCAGGCGCATCCACCTCGGTCCCGGAGGTCTTGTCTGCGCTCCCGTCGGCGGATAGCAAGACAAACTGGGCGGTACGCTTCGAGGTTGGCCCCTGGTATGAGGCCCAGGGCATTGAGAGCTTCTGGCCCGAGGTCGAAGTCAAGTTCACCGTCAAGGGCCGTGGCCGTGAGGGCGAGGAGGGCTGGCGCCATTACCATGTCCCGGTGCTGCTGGGTCCCTGGAACTACTCGACATACCGTGGCTCTTAAGATCAATGCAGAATAGAAATTATTGAATTACAGATACCTCTTTAAATTCATGTCTTTGTGCCAGTTCTTCGCGCGCTCCCGGTCCCCATAGCAGCCATAGCAGACTTAGACAGCTAGTGCCTGGCATCTCACAATTGGTTAAATTGTTATATAGCCAAAGATAGCTTTTCATTTTATCCAATTGGCAAGATGGCCGAGCGGTCCAAGGCGCACGGTTCAGGTTAACCTGTTCCTCAGAGATCTTAACAGATTTCCGTGTCTCGAAAGGGGCGTGGGTTCGAATCCCACTCTTGTCATATCTTTTTTTTTGGGTTTTTTATTTTTTATCTATCTTTGTTTACAATTCTACATATTTTTTTCATTGCTTTTCTTTGGCTGATCTCTCAAAGTACTAGTTCCAAAGGCCCTCTATGCAGGCTCCTTTGAGTCCAAGGCGCCTTGCCTGTTGTAGTAAGACATCCATTGAGTAGACTTACCGTTAGAGCAGTAATATGAAGAATGCCACGGACTTGATGATCATTCGATTGCTTGGTAAACCTCCATGCTGTTGATAATACTCAGTCTCTTGGAAATATCCAGCCAAAAACAATACGGCAGCCTTGGGAGCTCTTGGAAGAGTCACGTCGCTCGGAATACCCAGTTTGACGTCTGCCTAGCTGAATTTAAGGGGCCATAAAACCAATATCCATGAACAAGAGCTCGAGAGTTCCATTCTGACATCAGTTTACAACTCCAGCTTCCTAAAATACCCAGCAGTCCACTCGAAGATCCGACCGTACCTGATCGACATCTTCGTGGTTTCCACTTTGCTTTGTTTTGTTTGCGTTTCACCATTGACCGCCCGGCGTCCCGGCTAATCAACCGCGTGTACCCTTTCTCTTTGGACACCTCATCTCCACGCTGCAGTCCCTCTCTCTATCGCCTGCGGTCTTAAGCCGAGTCTCTTCTCTGTCGTCGCTACACCCTCGCCAAGAATCCGCCCATCATGACGCTGTCGGAGGAGTTCCGCTCGAGAAATTTCAGTACGTATCGCCTCGTGCTGCTGCGGCGACTCATGTCGATCAGCCCCATCTGATCAACAGACTGGCTAACATTGCGCTTTCTCAGGCATTTATGGTCAATGGTTAGTGACTTGATCCCTGGTTCTCTCGTTCTGGGTCCTGCTTTTGCTTTGGCACCATCGTTGGGGGAGCGCTGTCTGAACGGCGGCTGTTGGGCGCCTTGCGACAGGACCTTTGAGCAGCTCCATGCACTTCATTCTGGTGGGAAGCCCGTTCCCTTCTGACATATTATACTAGGACTGGTGTGGTCTGCATAGTTCTCTGCTTCGCGCTTGGTATTGCGAACCTCTTCACCACAAATGTTCTGCACATCATTCTCTCCGCAGTATGCCTGTGAGTATGGCCCGTTCTGTTTCGGCTTGGGTGCACAGCGCTGACCTGATCAGTGCTTCGGCATTCGTGATTCTCTTCATTGAGATCCCCTTCCTCCTTCGAATCTGCCCAACCTCCTCCAAGTTCGATTCCTTCATCCGCCGTTTCACGACCAACTGGATGCGTGCTGCTATGTACACCATCCTCAGTGGTCTCCAGTGGGCCAGTCTTGCCACTGGTGCCTGCAGTCTGATCGCCGCCGCCGTTTTCTTAATTATTGCTGCCCTTTTCTACGCCCTCGCCGGTTTGAAGAGCCAGGAGTTTGTCGGTAGCAAGACCTTGGGTGGCGCGGGTGTTGCACAGATGATTGTCTAAGAGGATGGAACCCATTGGGCTTGTCGTTGCCTTCCTCGTATCTGTCTGCGAAATGGCAGAATACTCGGTGGCTGAGGTCCTTTGTGAAACGATGAGATGCTCGCTGCGATTCCCTGGAAGAGCCCTTTCGGGCGATATGCATTGATATGCGCCACGATATTGCTTGTTGTTTTGTTGTCAACCTGTAATAGTACGTCTCGGTCCACTTTAGGTCGGACCTGCTTGGGACCCTTGTGTTGCGATTGCGGACATATTCTGGTTCTTTTGTCTTGTATGGTTTAGATGAACTTGTTGGCTCTTAAAGTACCACCTTTCACATTGCCTCCGTGATCCCAATGACCTTGCAATTGTAATGAGTAGTCATGTATGTGGTTTTAAAACGGCACCGCCTTCCAGTGCCTGGGTATCCGGTATTGAGACAGTTCCGTGTCTCGTACCTCGGTACTATGGTGGTATGGTGGTGGTGTACACCAATACGTGTATGTGGGATTGACGTGAACCACCTCGGTTCTAGAAAGCACCACATATGCGGCAATTGATAGGGGTGAAAATGTCCTTAAGGGTCATATGATCGATTGCTGTGTATGGTAGTTCGGCCTAGTAGAATGTTAAAATGAATATCCCAGAATTGTAATAAAAAGACACTGCTCCGTGTGTTGAGGTTTGAGGATAAGGCACCGAATTGATGCCTCATTCCCAACCTCTGTCGGCATGCCTGTCCAGGGAAACCGGAGGCACTGAGCTTGATATGCGCCTCAAGCGCTCTTGCCGCCATTATATTCTACATTCAGGGGATCTCCATGTGAGAACACCGATCGAGACCGATTATGAGGGGTTTACTACTGTCGGCGGTTTGCCGCTCGTTCAGGGATAAATACCCCTAGAATCACATGTAGACAGTTTGATACAGTCAAGTTCAAGTTCTGTCAATTCCATTGAGGTCGATTCATCTAGCACGCCCTTATTCAATACTCAGTGCTTCGTCGTAGCCCATCCCAACACCGTGATCATGGTGTAGCGCGAATATATATTTGACAATTTTGCAATTATCGAACCAGGAAAACCATATAGTTGAGCCTCACCAATCGACCACACTAGCACTGAAAGGAATCAAGAACCCATGGCCGAGGTTCTTACCGAGAATCGAGAGCCAGGAACGTCTGCAATGATATTAGGAGGCGAGTCAATGCGAAGGTGCGGCAATGTATTATATTTGATGATTCTAGGAATATATTTTCAAAAATGTCATCTTCGCTATATTCACCGGCAAGATGGCCGAGTTGGTCCAAGGCGTCAGGTTAAGGTCTACCTTAACATCAATTTCCTGATCTCCGCAAGGGGGCGTGGGTTCGAATCCCACTCTTGTCATTTTCAAAAATTTTTTTTTTTAAATTTTTTAAATTTTTTTCATTCTCAAGGATTTTCCAATAAACTTGGTTTTGAGATGTTCCAATTCTCTATTTCTCTCAAAGTGTGACTGAGAGTCAGTTTTCATTTCATTGTTACTATTTCTGTCTTTCCACCCCATGGCAGAAGTGTGATTCCTACTTTCGGGCTATTGTCCCGCCTGCTCCTGTACCAGTCATACACCTCAGGTACGCCCATGGCTTGTTAAATCGCGTCGTAATTTGGCGTGTCGTAAATTGATCTCATTTAGAGGTTTATGTAGAATCGTGCTCTGCCCCAGGGTAGTCATCATCGATCGACACCCCGCAATTTCTAACTACATGAGCGGGGCGAGCAAAAGTAAGAACCCCGCGGCCTAGACACTCAACACTTCACATGATCGATTTCCCCCTTCAACCCCCACCTGAAAACTGACTCCCGTTGTCCAGGGGCAGGGAAAAGCCACGTCAGAATAGCAAGTCACTCCGAGCGCCCCGCGTCATACACTCAGACTAGTGGCGGCAGTCTCAGTGGGCGTGGATCGGTTGGGAGTGGATCTCAAGTCTACCCAGCAGATCTGATTCAATCGCCAGCTGCTCGTGCCTCGCCGGACAGTGTAGATAGCTATTTGCGACAAAATTTCCATGAAAGCAACAATTATATACGAGATACTTGATTCAAACACCCTGTATGTGGTTGGTAAGAGGATATTCGTTGATCAGCTTTGCCGAAGCGGATGCTGGATGATGCAATGCGGAGAACCCTAGTACGGTACAGTACACCACTGACCGCTTCGGTATATGTGGTGCAATCCTATAGTATCGGATCCTGTACTAGCGGTGGTCGTTCACGAAGCTGCCGATCTCTACTGACTACAACTGGGATCAGAGTGTACTCAATAGAACCTCGTTGCCCCTCGACTGCTTTCATCCACCATGCTTGTTCAGCTTCTTTAAAATTGGCCTTCTGCCCGACCCTGCTGCCTCCTGTCCCAGTTCGGTCTCCTATCGAGGTCATTGGAAACCTGCGATACTCTGAATATGCAAGCAATACCTGAATTTTCCTAGATGCTTTAGACTCAGGCGTTTTAGGGGGCTGCTTTAATATCCGTGGCTTCCATTCGACCATAATAGTAGCTGCTCACAGGAACAATGCGCTAGTTGCTACGGTGTTTCTTTCACTTGACTTTCTCGATCCTAGACTATGTCATGGAAGCAGAATTGCAGGCGAAAAATTGAGAAATCATCGAAGCTCTGCAGCCTTTTTTCATTTATTTGTTTTGCGGAGGTGCTCCAATCAGTAGGACAACGTGTCAGCCATTACGCTTCTTGGATTAGGGGCCTGACTACTACTCTTCGCAAGGCAGCAGTGCTTGGACCAGAAAGGAATAGACTCGGCATCAAATAAACAAATCGCTGTGTGGATTTGGCTTAAACCCCAAAGTGTACCAGTAAATTAAGATCAAGCCGAGGACTTAATCGAGAAAAGCCTCGGCTAATGAAGTTCCAGGCACCGCGAAACCTGAATTTGCAAGACAAATGAGCGTCTGGAACTGAACCTACTATAGCGTCACTGCGTTGGCAGTCTAAACCATTAGCGTCGAAACTTTCCAATCTCTGGCCACGCAGCAATCTTCCTTGAGGGCCTATCTCTCCGATTGGATCTCCTTTGATAGGGCATTCCATGATCTGAGCGATTGTTCGGATCATTTGACCGCTTTGTTATCAAAGGGAAACTGTACTAAGAGTGGCTAAAACATGCCCGAAGGTAACTGAACGACGTATCGTAAAGGCCCCGTTTGTTCACAGCGACAGGCGAACTGGCCACCCAATCATACTTACTAGACGATGGAGTGGGCCGAAGATTTAGCCTTTTCAACCAATTGGCTTTTTATACCACCAGTATATGCTCTTATCTGAGAAGATTGGCGGCGGCTGCCAGAATGCCCCTTAGCACAGCCACTGAGAGGCCATCCAATTATGCTAGGTCTATTAATATATCCCAGTGAATGGTCTGGCCACAGAGATTATCGGTCCATTTCCCTCAGGCGGGGAAGACCAAGCTACAGGCTATGGACGATGGTTAGACCGTTAATGATTTGCCAGCCCTCGAACATGAAAGATCTCAAGTCTCCACTCACAGTAGTGAGATGAGGCATTTACTCGAAAATGCCGCAAACAAGGAAGTGCTCAAACTTATGCTGTTATAAATGCCTCGAATAGTTTCTAGGCCCCTAAGCAAGAAGGATATGATATTTTATCGTCAGTGGTGCGAAGATATTATCGTAGAGAGCATACCTTTTACTGTACAGTAATATAGGATTTGTATTACATGCAGTCGAGTATGCCAATACCCTCGAGGATTAACTTGACCGGCTACATGTGTGGGGATTCGTAACCATACGGTAATATGACTGAAATATGGGTATTGGATGGCACTCGATGCGGTCAGAGCACGTCACGCGCTCGGTGGGTCCGGGCAGAAAGAAGACACTACATCATCCTCCCTCCGCATTGCTCAATCTCTGCGTTCTTTTGTACTCTTTGACCTTTATTCGTGAATTGTCTAGTCACAATTCACACCCTAGTTCCTCCTTACAGGGATTTAATAAATCTGGGTAAGCAAATCACTCCGCTTGATGTTATCACCCTGCAGCCCTCCTTCCCCGTGGTTCACTCTTTCCCTTGGCTATTGTTCCGGAGGTCTATCCTGCCTTGCATCCATGCAGGTTACTTGGCAGGACGGGGCCTCTGGATCTTCCACCTTTCCGTCCCTCGGGCTCGGCGAGGCATTTGGCAGAGACCAAGGGGCAGAGAGGCCTAAGCTAGCACGTGGCGCTGCCTGGGATTGTTGACCTAAGCTAACATTGAAACCTGCCAGCTTTAAAACGACCATGTCGACCCAAACTTCTCCGGTCGTTCCTCCCCGACCGGCTCGATCCCCACGACCTCCTTCATCTACAGATATGCCTAGAATTCCCCCACGCCCATCGAACCGCCGTGCGGACCGATCGTTATCCCCCATGTGCGATAGCTACGCTCCATCCCCACTCAACGAGTGGAATGGCCCGAGTATGAGCCGCACGACCTCCAACGATATCCCCCAACGGCCGCCGAGTGTAACAATACCGTCTTTGGGCGAGGAGGGCATTGAATATGCTGATTTGGATGTGGGACATGTGTCCGACAGCCACCACCAGGCTCCGGCAGAGACTCGCAACGTTAGCAGTGAATTGAAGATTCATGCACCAAGACCCTCATTGCCCACGTCGAGTGCTAAGGCAAAAGTGCAGGCGGTTACCCGCACAGACTCCCGGCAGGCCGCTGCGGCAGGACTGGGCCGGGAGAGCTCCCCGGCTCACGATGAGTCGGAGCGTCCTAGTCGTTCGCTGCACTCCCGTGCCAGTGGTTCCCGGGGCGACTCTTCCACTGCTTCAACCGATCGTCGACAATCTGCCCAGCTCGCCGATGAGCACGGTTTTCGAGTACCCATGTACCCGAATGCGGGTGACGTCCAGGCACCATCCCCAAGCCCCTACCTTGATCAAGGTTCCCAGCGGCCGGGCCGCAACCATAACCGCAGTCGTAGTGGCCGGGACTCATCCCTGCCCCCCGGTAGTTACGGCCTGCACGGCCACGGTGTACAGCACACCGATAAGTTCGAGAAAGCTTGGTACGAAAAGCATCCCGATGAATTCGCCAAGGAAGAAGGACAGTATGGCCCGGGAATTGGCACTCCCCGTCCTGATTGGGCTCTGAGTAGGGATGATTTGAATAAGATCGTTCGCAGCTCAGACCCTACACCACCTGGAAACGGTAGGTTTCAAGGTTCTCACCATCCCAATCTAGTAGAGCCCCGAGAAAGCTAACTAAAATTTGCAGGCACTTCCCCTAGCCTCATTGGTACTCCGGAGGAAGAGGTTGGTTACCTTGCCTCTGATGAATACATGCATCACATGGCATCTCCGCCGCCTGATGCGCGGAATGAGAATCAGCCAAGTGTAGAGTCCCCTCTTCGTCAGATGAGTTTCCCAGCCTCAGAGACCGAGTCGAGAAATCCTCCAAAGTCCCAACTTCGCCATGGCCGGTCCAGTTCACGCGGGCATCATACGGAGGGTGACGTGATTCATGTTGACGATCCAATGCATCATCTACACCATCCAGATGGCTTCGCTCCTACCCCGGCTATCGAAGATCAAACCACGGAAGCGGAAGAGCCCCGCGATGATGACGAACCTATTTTGGCGGCTGATCAAGTGCGCCCTGAGTCGGCATATCTACACCCCGCGGTTTCGCCATCTTTCGAGCACAGGGGAAGTTTTGACGAAGATTATCACAGCCGGTCGCCTAGTGCTTCCCATAGTCGCTCGAACAGCAGATCGGCGAGCGCTCAAGGTGCACCCATGTTGACTCGCTTTGACTCACGGGAGTTGCAGGAGGACACTCATACACCCCTGGAGGACGTGGAAGAGTATGAACCCTTGTTCCCCGAGGAAGAGACCAAGAAGGAAAAGCCTTTGTCCGCGGCGGACCGGTTCAAGGACCGTCCGGATGCACTGAAGCACCGCTTCCCGAGTCAAGATATCTGGGAAGACACCCCCAATAGCCTGCAGCTGCATGCTACCGTCAATACACCGGATCTTCCTAAGAGTGACTCCGAGACGACATTTGAAACCCCCGAACAGGAAGCCCAGCGCAGAATGCAGGCATCAAAGATTGATTCCCACCAGGTTGCGTCTCAGATTCTCGAAGGAGAAGCTGGCCGCGACAAGGAGAAAGCGCCGACGCGGCCAGATACTCTCAAACAGCGCTTCCCAAGCCGGGATATCTGGGAGGACGCTCCTGACAGCCAGCAGCTAGTGACCACCATTGAGCCTGCCAAGGACGAGGTGAAGAGCCCAGAAGTGCCCTCGAAGCCATCAATTCCTCCACGTCCGCAGAAGCAGCTTCAGTCAACATCTCCAACAGAGAAACGTCAAGCGCCCGTGATACCCGATAGACCGAAGCCTCAAATCCCCGCCCGACCTTCCAGGCCCAGCTCTCAAGCCACCAAGGAACCTTCGATTGAGGAACCAGCTGTGCCCAAGGCCAAACCTGCTGTGCCCGCTCGTCCTGGTGGCAGTAAGATTGCAGCTCTGAAGGCAGGCTTTCTGACAGACCTGAACTCGCGTCTTCAGTTAGGTCCTCAACAACCCAAGCTCCAGGAGAAGGAACCGGAGCCACCAGCTGAAAAACAGCCACTCAGCGATGCCCGCAAGGGAAGAGCCCGCGGCCCGGCCCGGCGGAAACCAGCCGCAGAGAAACCCATTGCTAGACTCCCTGTTATTCCCGAGATCAAGATCACCGAGACCTGGAACGTCTGGCAAGTCGGCGAGGATGGTAACTTGACTGTCGGCGACACCAAACCGATTGAGTTCACCGCCGTTCCACCCGAGCCTGTTCACGACGAACCAGAGGCTAAACAACCTGTGGTTCCTGAGCCCACAGAGACAATGGCAGAAGATTCCACTGATTCAACTTCAAAGCCACCAGCTGCGACTGAGACGGTCTCTCCGAGCGCGGTGGACGTCCCGGAGATCAACCCAATCGACTCCGAAACTTTGGAACCGGCCTCAGAGCCTGTCGAAACACTCGAGTCTACGTCCGAAGATATCCCAAAGCAGAACGAGCCCGAGTCATCCCCAGCTGGGGCTATCAGCGCCACGCATTCCCCTTCTGAGGCTACGAAGCTGGATGATGCTGCGGAGGATATGGCAGCCTTTGCCGATGGGAAGAAGAGCTCTGATGGAGACATCCACCCCGTCGAGTCGGCTTCGTAAGCCGCTTTCGTGTCCTCAACCATTCAATGTCATGGCTTCGTCTGCTTTTACTTTCTTATGGAACCCATGTCAGGAATACGCAGGGACTGGACGGCTTCAGCTTCCCTCCCTTCTGCCGTCCATTGTAATCTGTCATTGGTTGCCTCTTCTTAAATCTCATCTAAGGGTGTTCTTAGACGCTCACTCAATAATCACGATATTCTTTCTCTGATTCTTAAGTCACAACTTGGCAAGTCCTATGAGTTCCGTACAACCGCTGGAGTAATCAAAGCCCCTGAATGTAGTGCGCTCGAAAAGTTGACATGTTACGGCTAAGGTGTGTGATAGTAAATAGAGAAGGTAATTCATTTGGGCGGGCTCTACAATTTTTGTAGTTTCTAATTTTATTGAATGTACAGAAGATTTGGGAGTAGGCCCAGTGTTTTTGGGCTCAGATGCGTCCGATATCCATGCGGTGGAAAAATATGCAAATGACCTTGGCACGATAGCGAATCCGTCAACAGTTTAAAAACTACTACACCCGTCGAAGGCCATGTGCAAGATCGGAAGTAGAGCTCGAACTGAAAGCCTTTCGGTTGGCAGGCAGGAGAGACGGATCAAAGTTTGGAAGGCCAGAAGTAGAGCACTCCTGAAAGACTCCTCGAGATATCATATCATATTAATCAGCCATTTCGAAGAATTGACAGTGAGACTTCGCGGGTCTTCTGAAATTCCGTGGAATTTGACCGTAATCTTCCTACGATGTCAAACAGCGATGACCGGAAGGGTGCAAAACAATTTAGAGTCGATCCACTAGCGGGGGATCCTCCTCTAGGACCAATCCATGCTGATCCAGTGTCATATCCAGCTCGGCCTCAAGATGTCCAACCTGGTCACAAGGAATGAGACCAAGACCTGGCAGCTGATCACGTAAGTGAATGAGTAGATGTTCAGGTGAACTATCAGATAGGTGACCGGTGAGAGTAGGGAATGGTGAGTCGGATGGAACGTTCAAAATAGCAAGACCATGGTGGGCACGTTACGTACTAAGGTGTGTAGTGCTTAGAAGATACTTCATCTAAATAGGGGTTTCCATTTTTTTTTGTACTATTTAGTCTAAATATGAATAATAGTTCATTTCATGGCCCCTTCTGGTCAAATGGTGATAAAGATGGACTGACCAGGGACTCGTTCCGGCCGATAATAAAATAATCGGCGCGACACAAAAGATCAAATGGCCGGAACCCAAATCTGGAACAACAAACATTCCCCAGTTCCTTGAGGATGTATGTTTCCTATCTCTGTCGACTTCTCTGAATCGCGAAGAGTGCGATTTGAAGTCGTGGACAAAGACGTCACTCCTCTAGAAATGGGTCAAGAGTGAGCATACAATGGTCCGACAGGAAAAGCCATGATATCGCCAATGGCGTTCTTCCCGCTCTGAGTGTATGCAAGGGTATTGCGGACCGGGGTTATGTTCCAACTGTTAGTCCGATTTTCTTGTAATGAGGGACGGCGAAGATCAGAAGGACCGCGGAGGCCAGAGGAGGCCAGTGAGGTCAGTGTCCGTAGGAGCCGCAGGATCTGGAGGTTCACGTCAATTAGTGCAGGCACCAAAACAAGGGAAGCTGGCTATAGGGAAGGTGATATTCTAGATCCAGCGAAGTGGTTTCAGCAGAGGGGAGACATGTGGAGAGGTAGAGATAGAGAGGGAAGGGCCATAGTAAAGTGAGTGGTAGATTTCACAGTCCTGACCGCATGTTTTTACTAAGTAGCTAGTCAGTTAGTTACTAGTTAACTAGTTAGTCGATATGTGACACTTACTCAACGCCAAATATAACTAGGTATAATCGCTCCTTTTATATGGACGGAATAGGAGTAGCCTTGAAGGTTTTGGTTACTTTGATACCAGGTGTATCTGTATTTCCAATATTCTATCTTCCAGCAGAAATCAAGTAGAAAAAAGGGTTTAGTTACCCCAGTTCGCAATACCCTGCATACAGAGTGGATGCCGTGCAACTCATTTCCGATACTCTTGAACACGCGCAGAGTCGCTGTGTGTCTCATCATTTCTGGCCTACAGCGGTTTCAATGTCTGGGCCGGGTATGCCATTCAACTCTGTTCGCATTTCCTCAACGAATTCTGCGTCATATGAAAGATTGTTGAGTAGTTTCATACTCAAAGCCGGCTTGATGAAGGGCCTTGACGACATGACAGCAGAGTGACGGCCCTAGAACATAAGTGCAAGCGAAGCTTATGCAAGATTTCACGCAAAAGCACAAACATGGTCCTTGTTTTAAATTCAAATAGGCCTAGAGAAGATTATAATCATAGATATTATTATGTATTTTTTCTTTATTTCTTATTTAGTATAAATATAATGATAACCTACTTCATGGCCCCTTTCCGGTCCAATGGTGATTAGAGATAAATTGACCAGGGATAATCTGACCAAGGGCTCATTCCGGTCGATATCCAAAATAAACTGACCCAATTCCCGGGCGATAGTAAAAGCAAACTGGAATCCGTTTCCGCTGCGATAAATGAAAACACAAGTCTCAAAGCATTGGCATGATATATTCAGAAATTGCACGATAAGTTTGAACTGGCAGCAATTTAACTGGCAGGCAGGCGAGACAGGTCGCCCTTTCCATCCTTCAGCCACTCTGGGTCAATCAGCCGCTCTCGCTCAGCATAAAGCTGCTTGTAGGCACCGCGGATAGTTCCATCGCTGACGTGGGCAACCTGAGAGATTTCCTTTGCGGTTTTGCCATCGCCCATCAGATACGAAGCCATGTAGATACAGGCAGCGACAATGGACAAAGGGGAACGTCCAGCAAGATCGCCCCCGGTCGTGACGCGGTCGGAGAGGGATGAAGAGACGCTGGTGACCTGGAAAGGCAGCCCGAGCAAGTTGCAGAAACGGTTGCAGAGGTCGCTCGGCTTGGTTGATGTAGTCGCAGTGTAGTTATTGTTTGGATCGACGATACCGCCACTAGATACAACGGCATTGTTTCGTTCGATGTTCTGGGCCGTGAAAAACTTCTCGAGGGCCTTGTAAATGCGACCAATCTCCTTTCGGGAGACTTTGGTCACAGCAAAGATCTCGGTAAAGGTTCGGGGTACTTTGCACTGGCGACAAGCGATGAAGATGCAACCGGCGATAATGACATCCTGAGACTTGCCCTTAAAGGCCTTAGCGTCATCGACAACCTTGAAAAGGTATTTGGCAGTGTCGGCAACGTTCTTCGGGATATTGAATCCATCGCACATAGCACCGATCTCCTTGTACGCAGCCATGAGGGCCTTGTTGGATTTCTCATTGGATTGCTTGTTTTGAGCTCGGTACAATTCTCGAGCTCGGCCGGAGGCACCACTGGCGATTGAGGTCTCGAGCTGATCGCCATTCAGGAGCGGGTTCATCGCGTCACCCACACGGGACGGATCATCGTTGTTTTGATCGTCGTTTGAGAAAGTACGCCATTCGGAGTGCAGGTCAATTTCGCGATCTGCGAGAACTAGACCGCAGGATCCACAGACAGTCTCATGAGAATCAGGGAACTCCAGATTCGGTGGGACTTCCTTACATTCAGGACAGCAGATGGTGGCAGAGAGATTCTTTTTCCAATTGTCGTTTGCTATCTTGGGGTTGGCCATCCTGGCAGTTTCTTCTCTGTCGGAAACTTTGGTCGGTACTCCGGGCCCGGCGCTGGGTTGGATTCTAAACCTGGCGTGAAGCTTGCGCCTGAGCTTATCCTTGACGGTAACTACCTTGACGGCGATCTCCTCTTTAACGGCAACTCCTTCGTCGAGAGGTTCTTCTTGGGCGGTGATTTCCTTGTTGGGAACTGTGGTCGGTGCTCTGGGCCTGACGCTGACTCGGATCCTAGCACGAAACTTGCGCTTGAATTTATCCTTATGCCAATCGACGAATGGAGTTCGAAGTAATCCTTTCTTCTCGAGTTTTTCGAGGATGAAATTCTTGAACACAGGAGAGTACGACGTCTTGGCGGTTGTGAATATGAATGTGACTGGGCCACCTATCGAGCGGGTTCACTCGATAGGGTATCGAGTACCGAGTCGGATTGGACGAGATGGATCGCTCCCCAGGGCGCGAAGAGCTCTTCGCGAGACTGTGCCTTTCCTTGGGAGAAAGGAGGCCACAGAAGCCTCGAAACCTCTGTATCCACCTCGATCTCAAAACTTGTCTGACCGTAACAAACCAGTCAAGGTCTCCGTAAGATGGTGACGTCTCACGAACAGGGTCGTAGAATCTGACGAGAAATTTGCGAGCGTGCGAAGAGCAGCGTCGAAAGCCGAATTCCAGGGACAGGTTGAGGAGGGGTGGAAGAAGGGAGTCGAGGGCCTGAGGGGAGCGATGATAAAAAGAAAGCGCCCACAGTGAATGAAGTGCAGCTCTGATGGCCGCCTTATGGTCACGTGCCGATGTGTCAGCGCCAAGCCGAGTTCGTCCGAACAGAAGTCGTTTTGAACGTCCGACACGGAACGACGGATCAGATCCATCCTGTCGAGCACCACCCCTCTCATCCCCCCTCTTTGACAACACTCCCCCGTCAAGATGATGTCCCAGTCTCTCCGGGCCTCGGTGAGTAACTGCAGAGAATCTTGCGCCGTCGTGCCTGGCTAACGCGGACCTCTTTCTTCAGCGCTCCCTCTTCACCCGTGCCTCTCGGCAACAGGTCCCCGTCGCTCGCACCTTCCTGACCTCTGCTGTCCGTCGCGGTATGTGTTTGACGACAATTCCTTGAGCTTATCTGTGTGGATGACGCTCGATTTCCGGACGCCCGCTGACTGACGTTACCCCTCACAGCCGACCCTGTCCAGGACCTCTACCTCCGCGAGCTGAAGGCCTACAAGCCCACCCCCATCAAGGCCGGCGACGCCGACGCCCACGTCCAGAAGTTTGCTCTCCCCAAGGCTCCCGCTTCCCCTGAAGAGGCCAACCTCGCTGGTGAGCTCTCCGCCTACGAGAGCCAGGAGGTCGAGGTCGAGGGTCAGGCCGCCGCTGGCGAGGCCGCCCCCGTCGAGGAGTCCTGGTTCGAGGAGGACCCCGAGGAGGAGGCTGCTGCCCACTAGATTGCCTATTTTCTTTCTTTTGGCAAGGTCTGGGGAAATATGAGGGGACGGTTGTGCATGCCTGTGGCATTCACTCGATTGGCCGCCTCTCGGGATCCTGAAGCTTGTAAATTAGACCACCTTGAAACGTCGATTTTATTTTGTTCCTGATACATTTCATCTCATTGAGAAATCTCTTTCCGATCTTTGCTTTGGTGTCTATGCGCATAGCTTGTGAATGCGATCTCCACTCGGTCGGTCTGCTCCCTTTCGCGGAGAACCAATGCAGAGAGTAATTGTGCGATTCAATTCATGGATGGTATCCTTTCATTTCTCTAGCTATAGCATTGCGAAGCCCTTCTGGTACTTGCCATGCGGCTCGTCCCACTCAACCATGCTAATGTTGTTCATGCTATCAAAATTAGAAGACGTCAATTCTAATCGGGGTGAGTGAATGCACCCGTGTGGAATGCGTGCTTGCACAATGTCCAATCTGATCCGTGCGTCAAGAGTATAAACGTCGACACTGCTAGCTACCAACTATTCGAGAGGACTAGACATCTGAATAGGTATCCTTGGTAGGTCCTTAAATTGGGTTAGCTCCGAGCCCTGGACGCGGTATCAGCCAGCTTTCGGCTCCAATGCCGGCAATGCTATAGTCGGATCGACGTCCGATGATACTGGTGATATCTGCAAAGCTAAAAATCAGATAAATCAGTAAATGGGTATTTTCTGACGAATCTAACCTGTTCGATAGACTGTTGATCCCAGCATTGCTACCACAGGTCATACTGTACCCTAAGGTAGTATGCCTTCACTGTGAGGCACGATGCACATAGGCGGACCGCTATCAATCATGAGGTTCCCCATTCCGGGAGAGGAATCCAGGGACAGGAATTTACTGATATCAGAACCCAATGAATCCGAGACCATCAGAAAATCAAGGCGCAAAACCAAAGATCAGGCTGGGAAAAATATCGTCCGTTATCGATATGGATCGATACAGTGAAGGATTGAATGGTTCCTGAAGCAAAAAGAAATGACAAGAGTGGGATTCGAACCCACGCCCCCTTGCGGAGATCAGGAAATTGATGTTAAGGTAAACCTTAACCTGACGCCTTGGACCAACTCGGCCATCTTGCCAATCGAATGAAAACTTCTGGACTTTTTGACTTCATAAGATGAAACTTCCGCGTTGTCGGTTGGTGGACTTGCCCTTCAACAATGCTGCAGCAGTGGAGTGGAGCCTATCTGGCATTATATTCGACCAGTTCAATAATATCTGTCCATAATACGGTACTAGTTTGGGGTTCCGTTCCTATTTTTACCTTTTTATTTATTTATTTTTTTTTTGCGGAGGAGAGTTCTTTTCATTTCTTTGAGCCTCCCTCGTCTTGAGTTTGCGCCGGGGCACTTCGCTGGCGGTCAGAAGTCACGGGGTTTCATGGTTAAACTGGACGAAAGTGCATATACAACCCTTCCGACGTAGTGATGAGCGTGGAACCGCGCCTGTTTTTGCCGTTCTCAAACTCAAGGTGGATTGAGGGTGAACTGGCGTAACGTCTGTCAAAGCCAAATTGCCTGGATGGTCCATGGCTATTTAAGCATGGGCGTCCCCCCTGCAGGGTCGATGGCGATGGGTCGACTGGGCCGGCCGGATTCGCATGCATACTCCATGCGACCGTCAATCCTGATCCCGGCCGATGCGTTGGAGTATATTTTTATTCCCATCGAACTCGCGTGAGGGTGTCCTACATCAATCTACCATGGCTCCATGTAGTCGCACCGATCCGGTACTTGGTCGAACTATGGTACCTATGCTCACAACGGAGCGCCTGGAGAATGCGGGGAGATATCACCATTTTCAGCTGAGCTGACCCGTTTAGGGCTGAGGATGGTGCCATCGAAGCGACATTCCTCGAGAGGGGAACCGCAGCAAGAATGCGACACCTCAGCACGCCCAAGGCGGAGGAATCCACCGGAGCCTGGCGGATCGGGTAACAAGTCAATATTGACATGAAATTCGGCCCCTCCCCGGTGCTGGCAAATTTGCTTAACCTAGGGTTGAGTCCCCCCTCGGAGCCGCCGCCATTGGTCTTGTCGCAGCTTGCAATCGAGACTGGGACTGGCCCTTCTCATGCATCGTGCAACTTGAGGATTACGCGAGAATGATGGCGATGGAGCCATGGATGGGGAACTTTATGGTGGAGTCCAAAGCTCCGAAAAAAAGGTGGCCAGCGTGTCTCACCTGAGGGGCGAAGGCGGCTGTGAAAGGGGAGGGGGGGGGGGAAGGAGAGAATCAGATAGAGTAATACGGAGGACTCATAATCATAATGCAGGGCTTGGAGGCATCTGCCTGCCGTCATAATTCTCCAAATCCATCGGGTAGGCAACTTATGTAGGGTTTCATCCTCCACCACCTTCACCACCCCCTCCCCTCAATTATTTCCGCCGGCCTGAAACTCCCTCACGTCGACCCTTCCCCGCCCAACCCCCTCCGACCATAAACTGCCCCAAAAAAATAAAGAGAGGAGACCCTTGCTAGGCGACCCGTTTCCCGCCGATCTCTTGCTCCATTGGCCTGGCGCCTTGGGAACTTCGCGGCTGCAGAGACGATCGATCTATCTACGTCTAGCTCTCCAGACCGACTCTCCCGCGTTGAATGCTCGCGCGAACTCATTCGGCCCCTGTGTGACTCGTCCAGTCCGTTCCTTCAAGCTATCCAACGCTGGCTCCGCTGGTTGCTGCGCATCTGGTCTCCACCTGCCTTGCGATGCGCGTCTGACGAACCTACCGACGAGTTTCGCTTCGGTGTGCATGGAGGAGCTGGCCTTCTTCAACACCTACTCACACACCCGCGGTGCTCCGAGGGGGAAATGTCAGCTCGCCGACAGACCTACCTCTGACCGCGTTCTTTCCACAAGACAATGTCGTCGCCCTCCCCCGAGACGACCACGACTGAGACCGCTACTGCCACTGCCTCCTACATCGACGATGACGGGTCCTTGCTCTCGCGTGCCGCCAGCTATACCGATCTTCCGAGCCAGCCGGCCTCCGAGCCCAGCCAGACGACATTGAGGCGAACCTTCTCCGATTATGCCGTGCCCGCCCTGGCCGAGTCGCCAACCAAAGAGAACGTGGCAGCTGGGAAAGACATTCTGCGCCGCACATCCCTACGCTCGAAGGACAAACCCCCCGTCTCCGTCTCACATTTCACACTATCTTCATCGGAGGACCTGAAGGATGCCGACTCCCAAGAGAATGCAGCGAAGCTACCAGAGACCCGAGCTCCCGAGCCCGCAGCTCGCCCATCCAAGAGTCGCTCCATGTCCGGGCGTATCGTAAGCCTAGCGCGCAAGCCATGGGGGTCTTCCTCGCGGTCACCCTCTCCCTCCGCCAAAAGAACCAAGCAGCGAGCAGAAGAGCAGTCTCCGACGAGGTCCGGGAGTCGGAAAGGGGACGCGACCGATTCGGACTCAGGACAGCCCTCGCGCAAGCGGACAATACTGTATAAACGGCCACGGCGGCCAATGGTGGCCGTGGTGGCCAAGGGAGACAGCGAGGACACGCCCAGCTCGCCAAGTAGCCCGTCGGGGAACTCCTTACGGCACCGCTCATCGTTTGAGAAGTTCACAGCGTCTCTCTCTGTGTCTACTCCGGTCCTGCCGCCGATGCCAAAGGGGGCTACGGCCACGGTTGCATCATTTGCAAACCATGCAGCCGATCATTCGCGCAAGAAGGATGAGCTCTGGGGGGTTTTTCGCGGCCTCGAGGCAGATTATCAGAAGTATGCCCGTCCAAAACCCCTGCTAATCTTGGATCAATGGCTAATTTGAGACCAGGTTCCAATCAAAGTCGAGCTCTTTGAAGGCTAATGTGATTCGCACTTCACTTCTCCCGTTCTTGAGCCGACACCACCTCCATGCGTCCTGTAGGAATCTGCGACCCGAAGATCTGGACCGCCGAGTTAATATTCTCAACAAATGGTGGGTTGGGATGCTGGAAATGCTCAATGGCAAGAACAATCAATCGATCTCCGGAACCGACAGACCCGTCTTTCTCGAGGCAGTGGTAGGCATCATGACTCGACCCGAATGGCGCATCCCGTTTCCCACAGCGCAGCAGAACGGTGGACCCGCAGACTCGTTGAAATATGCATCAACTTCGGTTTCGGAAACTTCAGAAGGATCTGGGTCCTCAGGATCGGATTTCTTAATTGAATCGATCCATCACAACATCCGCAACATCTTCGTCCAGAACCTGCTGTCGCAAATGTCATTCGTGGCCGAACGCATGTCCATGAGACACGCTCCGGCTAGCTTGGTGGCATTTTGTGGCAAGGTTTGTGCATATGCCTTCTTCTTTTGCCCAGGGGTCGCAGATATCTTGGTGCGCCTCTGGAACACTTCCCCGAACGTCTTCCGCCGCATTTTCGCAGACTCGGCCGAGTCACGAACAGGGAATCTGCGGACTTATACCCAAGAGCTTGCTCTCAGCTTTCCAATGGCTCTTCGCCCTTTAGCCTTCCATTCACACGCACCCTTATTGCGATATCTACGCCGAAAGCCCGAGGCTCCTTTGAACACCCACAACGTTCCTTGGCATGGTCCATGGATTGCGCGCTGGTGCGGTCGGGACACGGATCTCTTTTTCGTTTTCATCAAGTACATCCACATCTTGTATGCGGAGTACTTTCCTCCAGAAACCGAGAAAGTCAAGCGGGTTTTGGCACCTGGGTTGCTCCTTGTGCAGGCGCAGCTGCTTGTTGTGATCGAGGACACAATCTACAAACAGTCACTTCACCACCCCGAGAGTAACCAGGCAGCTGCAGCCATTACATTCGACGACTTTATCGAGTCACCGGATGCATCGGCCTCGTCCCATACCTTGGGAGGGGGAAGGAATGGCCATCGGTCGATGGCTGAGAACCGCCTTATCATTCTTCTTCGAGATTTCTTGTCCGAGTCCTCGGCGGAGCCAAATCGTGCTCGATTACTCTATGCGGAGACTTTCTGCGGGCTACTAAAAATCGCCGCTCAGAGGATCTCCCTTTTTGATCACAATGCATGCTTTTTGCTTTGTGACTTCGTTGAGGAGGTCATTCCGATCATTACGCGATATGCTCAATCAATCGAGAGAGAATTATTGGACTGGAGATTCTGGCAAGAGGTGTGTCGGCAGATGATACAGAGCCACAACTCGCTTACCGAGGTTCGAGTTTTCTCTTTCATCTACTGCATCTGGGGAACTTGGACTACCACGGACGAGAGAAAGGCTGGCCTTTGTCTGGACTTCCTCCTTCATGAACCTGTATTTTTCCAATACTTCAGTCATTGGAGTCCGATGGTGCGCGCCTACTTCCACCGTCTCCTCTGCTGGAGAATGGGTCGATTCAACGGGAATCCTACGTCACTTGACTCGTAAGTCACAACTGTTTTTGACGGCTTAGCAAGCCATTTTAATACTGATCAATTCCCCTTAGCACCATCTATGAGACGCTCTCTGATCGATTGCTGCGGGTGTGGGAATACTATGTTGGATATCAGTGCAAAGCAGAAGAAGGGTTCCTTGCGCCATTATCTTCTGCACCTTGCACTCCGGCCCCGGGACGAAGAATCATCATTATCCGATGTGACAATCAGCTGTCTCCAGTGAATCTTTTCGTTTCGTTCGACCGAGTTGTTCCTCCAACCCCACCCGACAAGGTGACAGCACATCGGAGATCCAGCTCATCGGACTCCACCGGCTCAGATGGCACACCTTCCAAGAAAAGATGGACGCTTTTCCGGAACATGTTCAGCACCTCGTCAAGCAGCCGATCTCTTGAAACCACGGGCGGCAACGGCAGTTCGGATGAGTCTGACGGCGGTGGCCCCGAGCCGACAACTCTGATGACCGAAAGCAGGTGCATGGATGAACATGAGCCTACTCCTAACAATAGTACGGATGAGCTTATCCGACCCAAGACCCCACACCAACCATATTTCTTTAAATTTTCGCTCGAGTGGATGGACCGGCCGCAGTGGCCCACCAAAAACAAACGCTTGTTTGCACCTTGCCTACCTGTGGCATCTCAACTGCATATCCAACACTGTCGCGAGCCCTTTAAGTCTTCTGACTGTGACGCGGATTCGGAGCGTACCTCCACTCAGGAAAATACCAGTGATAGCGATGCTCCGGAAGCGATCCTGGACTCCGACGAACGGACGACAGAAACCGATATTGCCCTTGAACCTACATCTGCGTCTTCGCCTTCACCCGAGAAACCATCCTCTGAGAACCAGGCTAGGGTACCAACCACTAAGAATTCTCCACTTCCAGAACTCCCTTCTCAACCCGCCTACAACCACCTTGTTCCCAGCAAATATGCCGGTCGAGCTCTGGCAGAGTGGGCACACATTGTCTCCGAATGCGACAGCTTCTTCGCGCGAAGGCGTGACGAGGGCGTTCCTTCTGATCGTATGGTCGAGACCCCAACACTGGGTGTCGAAAGCTTTCGGAAATGATGGCCCTCCATACCCTGTCACGGATCTCAAAATCCACCTGAACGAACCAACATAGACGCCTCTGGCTTCCTCCATGAAGGAAGCCATGTGCATTAATCCTGGCTTTTCCTTTTCTTTCTTTCTTTCTGATTCTTTTCTACATCACCGTGTGCATCGCGGAATTGGGGCATAGGGCAAGGCGTTTTCAGGACCAGTCTTTCTACTCCACGACTGGATTTTCTCATACCTTATCTTTTTTTTCCATCTCCCAAATGTTTTCTCTCCCTCTGGTTTCTTTTCGTTTTTGGAGCGAGACGCGCACTTTTGCGCTGTGGTAATCAGTGAGACACCGATCAATTCTACCAAAAAAATTCACTTCAAATTACCAACCACCAATTCTATCATTTCTACAGGTTATGTGTAGATTAGTTGACCCTAGGGTAGTAGATGAGTTTTGCTTGTTCCAGATTGCCAACTCTTATCCCGACTTCGCCTGCTGCTCTTCGGCAAGCTGCTTGTTCAAAACCCAAAGCAGTGGACCCTCCACGTCCTCCCTTTCCATCGCGACCTCAACCAAACGCACTCCAGTCCCGCTACGCACCTGCTCTTTCCTTAAGATCTCGCGGAGCTCTCCACATGTCCGAGCGGTGAAGACATTATTCTTGAGATGTTCCTCGTCTGCGCCAAAATAGTTCAGCGCCTGTGTGTGGCGCCAGAACGGCACGTCGTTATATGCCTGTTTCCGACCATGAATTACCCGCTCGATGGTGTACCCTTCGTTATTGATAATGATAATTAGGATGTCCAACTTCTCTTTGATCATCACGCTAATCTCCTGCGCTGTCATCTGCAGACTTCCGTCGCCGATAATGAGAACCGTCTGGTTGGACGCACCGGTGCCCTTGTTCTGGCCTCGCTTCGCGAGAGCCGCACCCAGTGTGGCCGGGAGCATGAAGCCAATCGAGAGCCAGGTAACAGCGCCAAAGAGTCGAGATTTCGGCGGGAGCTTGAAGTGACGGCCGCCGTAGGAGGCTGTGCCTGTCTCTGTGAGGATGATGTCACCCTCGCAGAAGATGGGATTCACGAGGCGGTAGAAGTTCTTTTGGGCAATGATATCGGTGTCTTGGATATCGCTTGTTGTCACTTCCACCTTTGGTGGTCCACTGGCTTTGACTGTCCGGGTTTCATCTAGCGATTTCAGAACCTGGTCCAAGACATTGCGAGCAGACAAATCGCGGTAGGTGTCGTTTTCGATCTGGACGGTGTCGTCCTTGAAGGAGATGGCAGCAGCATTCTTGGGGACTGCAGTCCAGAAATAGCTGTTTGTGTCGCTGTAATGCGGACCGAAAGTGAGGACTAGATCGGCGGATTCGAAGTATTCTTGTGCTGGCTTGTCGCCGAATGCTGCGGCGTACAGACCATATACACTGGGGAGAGATTCGTTCACTAGGCCCTTGCCGAAGACGGAAGCCCAGGTCGGCCAATTTGTCTTTTGAACAAGTGTATCAATTTGATCTAGGATCCCGAGGGAACGGCTTTCACCATCCACGTAAATAAGTGGACGTTGGGCACTGTACAGCCGTTCCAAGATACTGGCAACGACCTTGGATTCATGAGCCGGACTGATGGCCGGTGGAATCCGAATTGGGGACTTGAGATTGACGGACGAGACAAGAACCCCTGGCATATCATCTGGGATTTCGAGATAGACAGGGCGCTGGTGAATCAGTGCCTGTTGCAGGATCCAGTCGATCTTGTCTGGGGCTGTAATTGCGTCCGTGAGATTGGTCTGAGCCGCGGTGATGTGTGTAGACATGGCAGCAAAGCGACGGTACTCGCCATCTGAGAAAGTATGATGCACCAGAGCCCGCGTGCTTTGAAGCTGTCTTGGCGGTGTTCCGACAATGTGAACTACTGGCGACCTTTCAGCATAGGCGCCGGCAATACCATTGGCGGCGGATAGCTCGCCAACTCCAAAAGTTGTCACGATGGCCGATAGTCCATTGATGCGACCGTAACCATCAGCTGCGTAAGCCGCGTTCAGCTCATTACAGTTGCCCACCCAATGCAGGCCAGCAGGGACAACAAAGTCAAGCAGACGCAGGTTGTAGTCGCCTGGGACTCCAAAGACGTCGTTGACGCCCAGCTGAAGCAGGCGGGTGAAGAGGTAGTCTCCTAACTTGATCGGATCGGAAGCCATGGCGGGATATCAAACAAGTATACTAGTAAGACACTAGTTGCAAAGTAACCGGTCGATCGCCTGCAGCTAAGCCGCTCTTTTATACCGCGCCACCCCGCCTTCCCCCACGTCTTATCGCCGACCGGCCGCCGATAGCCGAACTGAACTTCTTCACCTGCGGGCCAAACTCCGCTGCTGCTCGCTGCTGTCCATGGCCTCGCGATTGGCGGCCTGTGAAGCCTGTCGCAAGTCGAAGTTGGCCTGCGATCATCAGCAGCCGGTTTGCTCGCGCTGCCAGTCCACCAAGGGCGTGTGTATCTACCGCACCGCCCCATTCAAGCGCCGTCGCATTGAAAAAAGGTAAGTTGACCACCGATCTCACAGGTATACCTCAGGGTATCTGTTTGTGGATTGATTTAATTGAATTCATCTAGTCTCAAATCCCCAGACCCATCGCCCTCTTTCAGCCCCAGGCGCAATGCATACCCCAATCCGGGCTATTTGGGATCGTCCAGCCACGCGGCGATCTTTAGACATATCACTCCAGACGACCACAGCACCAGCAGTCATGCTGCAGGTCCTGAAATCCCAGTGGATCAATTGGTGGGCGATAACCATCTACTACTACAGGGCGCAGATGTCTTAAAGCATCTCCTCACCCTGTACTCGCTGTCATCTATGAAAGAGTTGGTGGCATTTTGGCTTGCAAAAGGCGCTAATCTCGCACTTGCTGAACCTTTCGTTGCACAATGTGCTGAGAGCGCTAGTCAATTATTCGAATCGCATGATGAAAATTGGCATTTGGTCTATGCCCGACGGTTGATGCAGAATTCGGCCCGGCGGCTGCAATTCAACGAATTTACCGATCTTGCCAGTTTCTCGAGTCAATTCTTGGATCACTATGCCCGATGGGAAACGCTCGGGATTTTTTTTGCGGCTATCAGTCGAGCCACGATTGATATATCTTTTTTCCCTCGCTCTACACATCTGATGAACAGCAATATACCCTTCGACGGTTATCGACCAAGCTGAGCGATTTCGCTTTAGAGATCTCCCTTTCTCTTGACTGTCTCAACGACCTTCAACTCATTCTACAGTATGAGAACTTTATTGTCCACTCCTATGTAGATGGCGATCAAAGTGAGTTCTCTACTCGGCATCGTTCGAGATTTCAGCTGACCCATCAAGGCTACCATGCATGGCGTAAACTTGGCGATGTTATCTCCTCAACATTTGCTCTAGGCTACCATGAGAATATCGAAACAAAACCCGGGATACCTCCGTTCCTCATGGATTTGCGCAAAACGGCCTTTGCTCGAATCTACTCAGCGGACAAGAACATTGCCATATTCTTGGGTCGCCCGCCGCGAATGAACAAGCGATTTTGCCATTTCCAGATTCCATCCTGCGATTTGAATGCGCGCTCGATTGCAAAGAACAATGATTGGGATCCTCATACTAAAGCTGGCTATCGAACTGATACTCGCTGGTCTGCCCTTTGCGCTTCACTAAAAGAAGAGGTGTGGGAATTGCTCCAAGACAAGCACGATGCTGCGTGTGTCCCGAAAGCAAGGTATGATTTGCCCATATGCCCAAAGCCGTGTGTGATAATCAAAGCTAATACATCTGGGCCGGTAGTGAGATACAGCGAAAAGCCGAAGAACAGTGGCAAGCTTTGCCTGCCCACTTTCGGCTTGAAAGCAGTCTAAAGCAGTGCACCGGGAGCCCCTTCGAGCGAGACTTTCTCGCCCACGTGCGATTAAACCACCTACATGTCCTATTTCTTCTTCGACTGCTCCTCCTGAATACTATGACCGAGCCTGATATCCCGATTATCGAGACAGCTGCGCAAATGCTTGCCTTGGTGGTCGAGGCCATCCTTCTCCGCGATCAGTTGACTAATTCTGGCACTGGATTAATCTGGAAGGTAGGGCCGACTCAATCAATTCTTGCATCCGTTGCTTTGGCGAGCTTATCTCTGACTGTGGACTAGGTTGCTTACTACGGACTCCCAGCGGCCGGAATCATTCTTCTAGCTTTACTCAAACAACACTCACATGCCACACAAAACATCTCCCGCACAAAGATCGTACAGGATCTGAGTGTCTTTGTCGCCGAAGTGCAAATCGGAACCATAGTGAGACCCGAAGATCCCAATTACGCATTGCTTTCCCGTGCTACACAGACTATTCAGCGATTTCTGGATTCTTTCCATTCGGATCCCGCTCAACCTCCACCGAAGTCTAGCCATGACGATGGAAATGATGGCTGGGCTGCTTTATTAAGTCAAGATCTATGGGATTTCGAAGCTGGTTTCTGGCAGAGCTTAGCGGATCATCCGTCGTTGCTGGCAGTTGATCCTCCCTTGCCTAACATATAGAGTATAGATTGAAAATAGAAATCAAGATATTCATTGAAGTGCCAGGAATTGATAGATCGTCACGCACTGCATATTCATTATCGCGCACCATACCTTAGGTTACATAATGCATCATTCAAGATAAATCAGCATTCATATGATTCGCCCAAGCAGAAAGCTGCTCAAGCATTGCTATCCTGCTTGTTTGCCCGTCTCTCATTCCGCTTCTTCTCTGACCAAGGGAAATGAATCACAGGAACGAGGAAGAAACTATTACTGTTATCCGCAATTCCAGCAAATGCATTATACCAAGCCAAGAATGCACCCAGGAGGGCAAACAGTCCACCTGCTTCTAGGAGCTTGGAATTGGGAAGGCCCTCTGCGGTCGGGTAGAAGTATCCAAGGGCGATAAGAAGTATAGCGAGATCGACGACGAAGAAGAGGGAGAAGAAAGCGACGGTCGACTTCACAGTGCACAACATGACCAGAAACGTGAAGATGAACCAGCCCTAGGGTAGTGTTAATACATATTATGGTTGCTAGGGAGAATGAAGTGGAGTGACATACCATGAGATACAATGCGAAGGCATTATAGAACATAATAGGCGAGCCTTTGTCTGCCTCCAGAAGGCCCTCTTCGATATTGAACCCGCCAGGAATGAAAGTAATGGCGAGGGAGATCCAAAAACCACCATAGGAGGAGAGGACCGTTGCACCAAAAGTATTCCCAATAGCCATCTCCCTGGAAATATTGTGTCAGCTATTTAACCAATTCAGTTCGCCTACTAGTATGACAAAATGACCAACCACATCCCGGCGCAAAGCTGAACAAGCCCACCATAGGCCAGCGCAGGACCAACAATCATATTTGGCTTGTTCACGCCCCGAACATTCATCTGGACGCATCCCAGAATAAATGTAGTCAAAGCGAACCCACAGAGTCCCAAAGGAGCAGGGTTGGCAATCTTGCGATTCTTGGGAGACCTGTACAGACCCGGCTGGAACTCGCCGCCGAAGGCTGGCAGCCGACTTTCTGCAGTATTGACATGTGCTAAAGGACCATAGCGACCGATGTCGACGTCGGTGTTGGAGTCGGTGGAGGAGAAATTGTTAAGGGGCTTAGTGGAGTTGTCAGGGGCATTATCGGAGGCCATGGTGAATAGGAGTAAGGTGAATGGCAATTGATTTGAAACGATGTTCAATTGGCCTTAAAAATGATATTTGATAGAGAAGTGGCAAAGACGAAACTCGGGTCTTTCAAAGTCCCCAGAGCAAAGTTGATCATATCCAATTCAAAGTGCAAATTGAACCAGCTTTATATAGATGCCCACCACAAGCCCAGCTACCCCCGGTCCGCAGACACCTCGTGCGCTCTTCAGAGAAAAGACCGCCGGACCGAGAATACCGACATGAAACTCAATAATTGCGATCAAACCCCATGGGAAAACCCCCACCAGCCCCGAAAAAAGCCAACCGCCACCCCAGCTATTGGAGCTAGAGCACAGTTTCCGTACGACCGTAGTGCGTACTAGTGGCATCATCCAGCTGAGATATCTAATATTAGAGGTAAGGATCGACCATGAAGGTAGATCCACGGAGCCTAAAAACATGGGGAAATGCGGAGAACCCCCAGAGGCATGGATTCAGAGTTTGGTGATTCGTCGGTTGAGAGGAAATAGAGTTGAATTGTGGGGACCGGAATGCACCTCGGCATATTTTTGATGCCCTGGTTCCATTGTTTGCGGGCAAGAGACCCTCGTGGCGGGCGGAAACTCTATCAATGCCGAATTTTGAGCCGAACTTGCAGAGCGACCAGGATTTCGATATGGGTTCATGGCGGTGCTAGTTTCAGGGTCCAGTTTCGGAGAGCCGGTCCAACCCCAGTAGACGTGGGGAGAGCCACTCGAACCTGTACCCCAAATCAACTCTCGAACTATTTTGTGTGATTATCTTAGAGACTCGCTGGGAGCGTATTTATTTAATAATCAGATAGATGCCTCTAGAGCCGCCGTCCAAAAGCAACACGGAAGAGCTCGTGGTATATGACAGGCCAATGAAAATGATGAAAATCTTCCTCATATGCAAAGAGATGATCTATAGTGAGAATCCAACCCAGGAAGACTGTACAGGCTTGGGATGGAGATGAAAGGAGATGCAATCAAGTAGAACAAAGGGTATGAGGGTATGCATGGTGGGAGAAAAGAACGGGTGGCCAGTGGCATGGAGAGGTAGTATACATTTAATACAGAAGTTTGCTGCTGGCAAAATGGATGGTGTCTGCAACCCGGTCGATCCAATATTGGGCGAGCGACCAATTACCTGTATGAATGCTATCCCGAATGGCGGGGAAAATCGAAGCATCGTAGCCAGCCCACAGCTCAGGGCCAAAGATGACATGGCGGAATTGAGTGCGATTAGGAATCTGTTGGATAAATGGTCAGTCAATGTCAGGTTGGAAAAGTTGTGTTAAAACTTACGCCACCGCCCTCATCTAGATCCAATAAATGAGTGTCAAAGCTAGCCATCCGCATATTGTGGTTGACTCGCTGGATTGCCATGACATTGCTCTCATAACCGCCTGAACCCCAGACACTGTCGTGCCATACCTGGGTCCATTCTTGGAATTTGGCAGCATTGGTCTCCAGCTCCTCTGCAGCAGCGTGCATTTTCTTCGTATCGACGCCCGCCTTCTTGGACTTGGCAAACGTATCCAAGTCGTTGACCCAACCAGTGACATACCGGGCATAAGCCTCCATGTCGAAGGGTAGCATGGGGTTTTCTGAGAGGTCGAGCAGAAGCAGCCCCCAGAACTGAGCGAGAAGTTTGTGATACTCAAACCCAGGATCGCCAAACTTTTCCATCCAGTCGTAGGATTCGTAGCAGCTGTGGTAGGGGTAAGGTTGACCCTCGAATCCAAAATCAATGCTCGACGTGCCTGCAATATCTTGGAAAGCGACATAATCGCTGCCGGCACCAAGAGGATCAATTCTCTGGCCTTTCTCATCCCAGATGTCCTTCAGTGTCTTGTTGGCAAAGGGATCGGAGAGACGGTTCAAGATTGACAGCACGGTGTGCTCGAAGACGGGCGAGCCTGCGACACGGAAATTTGAGCCCGACACGCCCACATCAACGTTGAGATAGGCATAGGCATTGCTGCGAAGCTCCTCAACTTGATTTTCCACATGCTCGGTCGAACCGATGAGGTTATATTCTTCACCATCCCAGCTGACAAACTCGATGGTTCGCAGTGGCCGCCAGCCGTAGTTAAGCAGTTCACCAAAGGCGCGAATAAGCTCCATGAACACTGCAGTACCACTACCTGGGTCGACACTTCCTAGGCACCACGAGTCTCGGTGATTGCCGACGATAATCTTTTTCTCGCGCTCCTCCAATCCGAGTATTGTGCCAAGAACGTTGTAAATAGGCTGACGTTCTTCCTCATCCTGAAGATTCATCAGATGAACGATCGGTGAGCCCTGGTCACCGGTCCACCACCCTTGAATCTTAGGTACCCCGCCAACCCATTCTTTCGGGACTTTCGAGCCATGACCTTCCAGGGACTGAAGAAGTCGCTGTGCATCGCGCCAGGAGATGGGCAGACTTGGAATCTTCACTAACGCAGGGCTGTCTTCTGGAGCCACTCTGTCCTTCTTTCCCGGGGTCGATGCAAAGCCGGGACTGAGGACATCACCGACAACCTGAGACATTAGGCTGACGCCACCGCGTTGGACTCCGTCCATCGGCATGTAGCGTCCCTTCGGGTAAGCCGGGCCATTGACAAACCCGTCCTGGGCTGGATCGGAGTAGATTATACAGCCTGCCGCTCCAGCGAGCTCGGCGGCCTTGATTTTCAGGGCGCGGTCGGATTCGGTTCCATAGTAGCGAACAAGCGCGATGGAGCCATTGAGAGAAATGCCTCGGTCGGCGAGCAGTTGGAAGTCTTCACGGGCACCAAAATTGGCATATACAAGGGGGCCAGTAACATTTCCAGACTTGGAGTGGCCATGAAACACTGGAGTTCGCGAATCATTCTCTTCCAGAGTCGCCTCCCACGCCAGTTGCGGTGGATCAAGGATAGCCACCTTGCGGCCATCGTCACGCGGGTAGTTCAGATAAACTTGGAACTCCTCCCGTTGAATCTGATCGAACCCGGCACTGCGCATCTCTTGCTCGATCCACTCTGACAGGACGAAGCTGCCCTTGGTTCCGGCAATGTGAGCAAACCCGGTCACCCGTCGGAGATTCTCGGCAATGTTGGTCTCGTTGATATGTCCCTGAATAAAGTTCTCGACAGATGATGCGCTGTACGACTGGCCCATGACCATGCGGCTGTTGAGGTTAAAGATGTCGCCGATGAAGAAGACGTAGACCAGCGTGACGACCAGCAGCAGGGCGAATAGCCGTAGAACCATGATGCATCCCTGGTCGCGCAAACGTTCTCGTGCATTGCTGAGATCGATGGTTGGGCGGCGGAAGCTTGGCAGGCTTGGGAGGTATCGTTGAAGGGGTCGCTGGATGGCGGACAGCGTTCGCGTTAGACTGGAGAGACGCTTGGAGAAACGATGGCGAAGATGAGAGCGCGAGCCTGTAGAGTTGCCCTGCGCCGAGTCATCGACTTCCATCTGATCGAGTTCCCTCCGCAGTTCATCCAGCGAGCCCCGGGCCGAGCCCGAAATGGAGGAGGCGAGATCATCGAGACTGTTGCGTACGGATTCGACGGTTGGGGGTTGGTAATGGGAGCGGTTGCCATCGCGATTGAGGAGGCCTTCTCGTTCGGCATCGTTGCCTTCGCCGAGGTCGGATCGCGAGGAGGATGGTTGGGCGGTGGCCTCCTCGTAAGAGGGAATGGGGAGGGATTGGTATTCAAACTTATCGTCGCCCATGGCGGATCGGAGACTCCCACGCGGAGCCGTGACAAGCGAAGGGCACGGAGGGGAGCTGGTCGATCATGATCTGCCTAGGAAGGAAAATGAGCGTGCAACATTATCCCCAGGGCCGATGGTGATGGGGGATAAGGTGGATGGAGGTCGGAGGAGAGGGAGGCGGGAGGACAGGACAGTTGCCTGTCAGTGCCAACGCCAACGCCCAGAACTTCTCCCCGGACTCCTCGTGGCGCAGCGACCCACGCCCACGTATCTTCCTCGTCGTCTCCCTTACACGCGTCCAGAGGCACCCCGGGCCTGCCTGCGTGACGGGCGAGTTCTGGAGATCGACACAGTTTCGAGAGCCGTGTGAATGCAGCGCCAGCATGCTCCGGGGGCGATCATTCCCCGGTGCTGCCCAATTATGGGGTTGAGGGGGAGGTGTCCACCCGCGACCGCTTCGCCACAGACATGGATTGATGACAGCCACCGATGGGCGCCTTCATGAACAGGAATCTACATCTACGAGAAGTACACAGACCGCGACGGGAACCGAGAGCACACGCTGCTAGCAGTGGCAGAGGGCATCCCGAGTGAGGCCACTGGCACGGAGACCAGCGGATGGGTGATCCACCTGTGATGGATGGTTTCAGGGAATTCAGTGGATACGTCGTGATGGTACGGACCTGATCCGAGATAAGATGGCATGGCAGTCTGCAGGATTTAATTTACAGCAGGAGGTGGGGGGTTGTTGGAGTGTTGGAGTCGAATGTTCCTGGTAGACTGCAGACTGGGTATATCCGGTGTCAGGTACACAGTACGCAGTATACACCTTGTTGACAGTACCTCACGGCACATGCTACGACTGTTGATATAGCAACAAGGCTGCATATATTACCCAATTCAGAAAATCTTTAGCAGAACAATCACACTCAATTCGATAAATGACACCGTAAATCATAAACTGTTCGGCTCAAGGGAACCGCAGACAACAAAAGCTCCCCACCGCCCAAAAAAAAAGTGCTGGTGACTGATCGTACAGTGTAGATCCGAGTACACAACACCCTCCTTTTTCCACGGGCCCGCCGCTCTTGCTATATTTTAAACCCCTTTTCTTCTCTTCTCCTCGTCCCGTTCTTCGTTTCAATTCTCTCTCTCTTTTTCGTTGCGCCGGGCATTCTGTTCCTTCATTCCCACAATTTCCACCTCTGCCCCTCCCCCACCAACAACATCACCATGGCTGCCCGTCCCCAGAACATTGGTATCAAGGCCATTGAGGTCTACTTCCCCACTCAGGTACGTACACCTGATAGATTGGAGCTTCTACGCTCAATGGTCTTGTGCAACTCTGACAACTGCCACAGTGCGTCGACCAGGTTGAGCTGGAGAAGTACGATGGCGTGAGTGCCGGCAAGTACACCATTGGTCTCGGCCAGACCAAGATGAGCTTCTGCGACGACCGTGAGGGTAAGTTGAACCTCTACGCTCATGGACCGGAATCCGGTGACCAGAGATCCGTATCCTAACTGTCAATGCCTGTACAGACATCTACTCCATGTCTCTGACCACTCTCGCGAACATGATGAAGAAGTACAACATCGACCCCAAGTCCGTTGGCCGCCTGGAGGTCGGCACTGAGACCCTCCTGGACAAGTCCAAGTCCGTCAAGTCCGTCCTGATGCAGCTGTTTGCTCCCCACGGCAACACCAACATTGAGGGTATTGACACCGTCAACGCCTGCTACGGCGGCACCAACGCCGTCTTCAACAGCATCAACTGGCTCGAGTCCTCCGCCTGGGATGGCCGTGACGCTGTTGTTGTCTGCGGTGATATTGCTCTGTACGCCGCCGGTGCTGCCCGCCCTACTGGTGGTGCTGGCTGTGTTGCCATGCTGATCGGCCCCGACGCCCCCATTGTCTTCGAGCCCGGTCTGCGTGCCTCCTACATCACCCACGCTTACGACTTCTACAAGCCCGACCTCACCAGCGAGTACCCCGTTGTCGACGGCCAGTTCTCCCTCCGCTGCTACACCGAAGCCGTCGATGCCTGCTACAAGGCCTACGGTGACCGTGAGAAGGTTCTCAAGGCCACCCAGAACGGTACCAACGGTACTACCAAGTCCCAGACCGGCCTCGATCGCTTTGACTACATCCTGTACCATGCCCCTACCTGCAAGTTGGTCCAGAAGTCTTTCGCCCGCATGCTCTACAACGACTTCCTGGCCAACCCCTCCGACCCTGCCTTCGCCGAGGTCGCCCCCGAGCTCCGTGACCTCGATTACAACACCTCCCTGACCGACAAGGCCGTCGAGAAGACCTTCATGGGTCTGACCAAGAAGCGCTTCGCTGAGCGTGTGCAGCCCGGTCTCCAGGTGGCCACTCTGTGCGGTAACATGTACACTGCTACCGTCTACGCCGGTCTGGCCAGTCTACTCAGCCACGTCGAGTTCTCTCCCAACGAGCCAAAGCGCATTGGTCTCTTCAGCTACGGCTCCGGTCTGGCTTCCTCCATGTTCAGCGCCAACATTGTCGGCGATGTCTCCCAGATGGTCAAGAACCTGGACCTGAAGAACCGCCTGGACAGCCGCACCGTCCTGACCCCTCAGGCCTACGATGACATGTGCAAGCTCCGTGAGCACGCCCACCTGCAGAAGAACTTTAAGCCCTCTGGCAGCACCGAGACTCTGCAGTCCGGCACCTACTACCTTACCGAGGTCGATGACATGTTCCGCCGCAACTACGAGATCAAGGCGTAAACGGTGTTTCGTTTTCCTCTCCATCTACTTTGCCGCTGGATATGACTTTTGTTTAGACGGTTTCAGAAAAGATTCCCCCCCAAAGCGTTGTGTTTTTCTGCGTCCCAATAGAGTACGCAAGGCAACGGAAAAGGAACCTTGCGCATATTTTCTTTTTCGCTTCTTCTGTGCTATTTTTTTTTATTTCACCCTTGAATGGGATGAACGTGATGAGATAGGCGAGGCTCGAGTGGGCCCCTGCTGCAACTACTACTAAGTAATGATATGACATGTGCACGCACAATTTCTTCTTAACCATCATTTTTCTTCTTTTTTCTGCTTCGTACCTTGTTCTGAACGTACTCTGAAACACATATTGACTGCTAATTATGGGACATTCCATCTCAGGAACCGGGCGCGATGTGTGACACTGATCGGCCGGCGCGTAACTGGACTTGGCGCACAACTGTAGCCGCCGGGCCCTTGCGGTATCACACTCCCCCACGAACCCGCATCGACTTTTTTCTTTCTCCCCCCACCGAACCCGACCCCTGCTTTCGATGCACTCCAGTACTCGCCGGGCTATTTTTATCCTGCTTCGAGTTAACCGCCCATCTGTCCTGGCGATTCCTGAAGCATGGCGCTTTACCCTGGAGGGACGACCTCCTACTTGGAGAAGCCGCTAATTACCTGCGAAATGCGACCTAATTGTTGCTGAATTTAGAATCATTCCCTTCTGTTGCAGCCGAGCTAGTCTAAATGAGGGATCTGAAGAATTACATCGAAGCCGATGCAAAATATAGCAACACTTTAACGCGCGACTGTCCGTTGAAACGACACTATACCCAGATGGAGCCCTTGACGGGGTTTCAGCATCCCCTGTCGCGCGACCTCAGGCACAATAGTCGGCAGTTTCGCGTTTCATCGCGTGGGCGTTCCTCTCGATCGGAGACTAGGGTCCCAAAAAAAGAATAGGAGCCTCCGTTGGCGTCTCCATGGACTGCTTCTCCATGTTTCAGGTTATTCTGATCTGCTTGGGTTCGTCAGTAGGCCCTTGTCTGTCGGATATGCTTCCATGCTTGGCTTGTTTGAGCCTGCTGATCGCTGAACATTTAATATCCAAGCCTTCTCCTTCTACATCGTGTCTCTGTTTCTTCAAGTGGAAGCTGTCCTATCTTGAACGGCCTGCTCGGTCATTGCGTTGGTCCTCAACATTGACCTACATTCTTTTCTACGTCGGTCTTTTCCTAGATGATGACTGTCGACCTGCAGACCAAAAATTGTCGTCGCCATCCCAACATGTCTCTAAAATACTCTCGCTACCAGCCGACAACTCCACCGCATCTTCCTCTTGAGGAATGTATTGGTTCGGCACACAGTCGGAATGCATCCAATTCGTCCATCTATTCTAGTGAATCATCGCCCTGGTCGACAGTGACGGGAGACACAACCCCGACCACATCGCCAACTCGTCATCACCATGGCCCAGCTCTTTTGCCGAAGATCCGGCCGCAGGACGTGGTCATTGAGCCTGTATCTGCCGGTGGACCACTTCGGCACCGTCGTGTTTTGTCCAATACACGAAACCCTCCTGGATTTGTTCCGTACCCTAGTCGGCCTCCAATTCAACGCAATAGAGTGGATACCAGCGATCAAGCGCCTTTGGTTTCTCCAATCTCTCCAATTGTGACTACTGGCTACGGCAGCTCGTCTGCTTTATCATCCCCGGTGGCCATCACTCCGTCCCACGAGCGGAAATCTGGTGGAGGACATTCTCGTTCCGTTTCCACTTCTAGCATTGACGAAGCTACCTTGAACCGATATGGCTATCCCACCTACCGGCACCTTCCCGGATATACTCCCCAGAAGCAGGCCCAGACCACACCCTGTACACCTTGCACCCCAGTGACCCCGGTGACACCGAATATTGTGGTATATCCATCATACTCTCAGAGAGCACCAACGGCCGAACCATCTCAGCATAGTCCTGTGCGCCCACTGCACCCTTTGACTGTCCCAACACCTCAGTACAACTACAAGCAGACATCTGGAACGCAACGATCTCCACGGCCTCTACCAAGCCCTCAGCAGGATTTGACCTCACCATCAACCAACCTGATGTCCTACTTAACTTCCCCTACTCAGGCCATTAATCTTGTCCGCAATGTGAGCGTTGTTCCAACTCGGGGTATGCACGACTATTTCTGGTGGGATATTCGTCATCTTCGCAGCTGGACATCTTTCTCACTCTCCACATTTGATTCGATCCCTGGACTTGCCCAGCTCATGCGGACTGAGATACCGGGAAATCTCGCTCCCCCTGTTGCAGTGACACCCTCGCGTCTAGCACCCGAATCCGAACCTGCCCTCGTTAGTCTCATTCGAGACCTCTATGCGCCACGAGTCAATGCTGCTCTGAGAGTATCTCAGGGTCCAGACCATCTCCAGCTGTATGCGGCGCCAGATATGCGACACACGGGCCACAAGAATCACGGCCACCCTCACTTCCTAGCAAACTATGCTTCAGATACGGATCGTACCTTGGCAGGATTACCCCGTGGTCGTCTGGTGGGCATCGTCAAAAGTTTTGATCGTTGGAATACTGGAATGCGCAATGAGGCACCGCACCGCCGTGTCGAGTACCTGAACGGCCTAGCCCACCTACAGCGGTGCATGCGTGAACACTCCTGCCGATACGGTTTTATCATCACGGAAATAGAACTAGTCTGTGTACGTGCCGGCTGTGACGTCGGCGGCGACATCCCATACTTCGGACTCCTCGAAGTAGCCGCCCCGATCCCCCTCAAAACAGCAACAACACCCCCACCCCCAGCCCGCGAAGCACCGCCTCTCGCAACTCCGATCAGTGCGCGATCTTTCTCCTCGTCTTCTTACGCATCATCCACGCACTCCCGCCACGGGTCCCCTGAGCCCGAGGCGGATGATGGGTACTCAACTCCCATGACTGCCAGTTTGGCACTATACTTCCTGCTCATGCTGTCAAAATCCCAACCACTCCCGGATCAACCGTCTGCCCACCTCAACGTCGGTGGACCCGGTGCTCTAACTCGGCAGCGTATTCTGCCCGAGGCGAAGGACAAATGGATTCCCGAGCCACAGATCGGTGAACGCCGCGATGCTAAGCGCGTTCGTGGATGGGTCTGGCCTCAGGATGCTTGGCATCGTCGGGAGGGCGGTGGTGCTCCAAGATCACGAAACGCGGAGGCCAAGAAAAAGTGGCATAAATAAGTGTTGACCACGGATATTGGAATGCGACTCAAACATAAGGGCGCGGGCGTTAGGACATTGGAGGGGATTTGGAGTTTATGATCTCGGTGGATTTTCTTTGGTTATTTTATTCTTTTCCGAGTGGGTTTCTGCTTTATTTACGGCTTTTTGATTGCGTTTAGCTTGGGGATTTTTTTTTTGATGGTCTTTGACGTTTTGTTATCCCCCCCCTTCCTCCCTTCGCTGTCGGTATTAATTTAATTTGCTTCTTATATATATACTTCTTTCGACCTGGGGTTCCTGTGCATAATTATGGATGTTTCTCAATCCCATGCCCCTTTCATATTGCTAGAAGAGAATACATTTTGTCAATCCAAGATTAGCCCCAAGGTACTCGAAGCTGGCAGGATCCACCAGCTGATCTGATCGTCATGTCCCGCTGTGGGGAGCTCGCGTTTCCTTTTCGCTGTGCTGATTGTATCAAGCCAAGCCCTAAGGACCTTGGGGAAGAGTACCTCGTGGGCCGCGTAGCATGAGGACATTGCAGAAAGGAGTGGGACAGACACAAGAGCCATCGTACATAATAGGACGTTCTCCTAAATCTCTTTAAAAACTGATGATTCGTCTGAAGTTTCTCCCTCCCAAACGACGCTTACTCGAATAGAACTACAACCGAGATGTCCCCCGATAACGACATCCGCGATGTTATCATTATTGGAGCAGGACCTTGCGGACTGGGCGTCGCTGCCCGACTCAACGAAGAGACGCCCTCAGCAATGTTCACTGACGAAGAACATCAACGATACCATTGGATAAAGAAGCACACGGGACGGATGAAGCTCGTTCAGGCGCGCCACAGTAAATTGAACGGGGTACGAGCCGATAAATGGAATGCGGGGAAGGCGTACTCCTGCGTTGGAAAAGAGGAAGAGAAGAAATCGGATCCAGAAAGACGAGGGTCTACAGGCTCGGCGTCTTCTGTGCCATCCCTCTCCTCATCCGCGTCGACTTCATCCGAAACATCTTATTCCACGCTCGTCTTGGACGGCTCGGGCGACCAGTGGATGCAGAGGTGGAATAATGCGTTCCGCATGCTTGAGATTAAGCAGTTGCGAAGCCCCATGTTCTTCCATCCCGACCCAGGAGACCGCGATGGGATGTTAGCTTATACGCAGGAAGTCGGGAGGGAAGAAGATTTGTGGGAGATCTCGGGGTGTGTTGGCAAGGAAATGAGTAAGCACAAGAAGAAGAAGAGACGGCAGGGTGGGAAGCAACAGTACGTTTCCACTTCATAAGTGTTCCCCCACCACGATGGACTACATCACTGACGAAGATATCGTCGAAGGCCCATCGGCGGTGAAATCGACGAACGCGATCGAAAAGACTACTACTCTCCATCCACGGAGCTTTTCACCGACTATTGCAACTCCATCATCGAGCGATACGATCTTGACAAGCCAGGTCAGATACTGAAGCAAGAAGTCACGGGGATCAGTTATGACTATCTCCCCGAACGTGGGGATGTACCTGTTTCGAGTTCCAAAGTCTTCACTCTCACTACCTCCACCGGTCAGAAGTTCTACAGCCGAGCAGTGGTACTTGCTATTGGGGCGGGCGGAGCTGGAATCTCCAAGATTTTCCCTTGGAAGCCAACCACGGAGGAAGAAGGCGCTTCGGCATGCTGTCACAGCATGGAAATCAAGTCTTTCCCGAGCCCGAATGTGCGGAACAAGATCCAGCGACGGCAGCAGACCAACGTGGTCGTTGTGGGCGGGGGCCTCTCTTCAGCGCAGATCGTGGATATGGCTGTCCGCAAGGGAGTGACGAAAGTGTGGTTTATAATGCGCTCTGACCTGAAGGGTAAGTCGACACAAGAGATGATTTAGAGGAGGCGTTTTTCATCAATCTATGGTGGAAGCGTGCTAACATATATCCGCGCATAGTCAAACACTTCGACATCAGTCTGCCCTGGATGGGAAAGTATAAAAATTGGGAAAAAGCCGCCTTTTGGTCTGCTGACACAGACGAGGGTACGCTCGATCGTGCCTCTACTAAGGGATAATTTACTGACTCACCCGGACTCTACAGAACGCCTCGAAATGATGAAGGTGGCCCGCGGCGGCGGCAGCATCACACCTCGCTACACCAAAATTGTAAAGCAACATGCCGCGCATAACCGTGCCTCGATTCATCCGCGCACGGTGATCATCTCGCACAAGTACAATGCAGACACGCAAACCTGGTCCTTGGTCACCGACCCACAGATCCCGGATCTTCCCCCGATCGACTACATCTACTTTGCAACAGGGGCACGCGCCGATGTCCGCGAAATGTCCCTCTTGAATGACCTGAACGTTCAATACCCAGTTGAAGTCAAGGAGGGCCTGCCCTGCCTGACCGATGATCTCATGTGGCGGGAAGATGTACCACTGTTCATGACTGGGCGAATGGCTGCACTACGACTCGGGCCCGGGGCCCCGAATCTCGAGGGCGCCAGACTGGGCGCCGAGCGAATCGCTTGGAGCCTGGAGGAGCTCCTCGAGAAGAAGAGGGAGGTTGGGGACCAGGAGCAGTGCGAGGGGTTCTGCGGGCTGGGGAATCGGTATGCCTCGCTGGTTGGTGATGACAGCACGATTGAATAGAGCTCCTCCCCGGGGAACACTGGAGCTATGGAACAGCTAGGGCTTATCTTTCCCTGGGGACAGGGTTTGGTTGCAAGTCCATGCTAGATCGCTGATCACTTGATGCTATCTGGCTCCTGGCAGAGCTGCAAGAGCTCCTTATCGTGAGCTGTAATGCGCAGACGATCCGCAATTAAGCTTATTGTGCCTCTTCCTTGTTTATTTCTGGCTTTGAGCTCCAAAAAAAACCGGGCCACCCATTCCTCCCTACATTCCACGATTTTGGATCACCGGTTCATCCCCGCCACGCCGGTTCCTCGTCGGCGAAAGAGGGCAGGAATGTGGATAGGATCCCTTGTTCAATAGATGTTCTGTCGAGATTTTCAAGAGCTATAAAGCTTAATGAACCTGATGCTGCTGAATAGCCTTGTTTTGTAACTCGAAATTCGAGCTGTGCGCCGTCTGGAAGCGCGGACTGCATAGCATAGCATACTATCATGGAGCCGACTAAAGAGCCCGAGACGCCGATCGAGGCGCTGAAGGTCCTTCCGAACAATACGCATCGGAACTGGATCAAGGACCGGGGGTTGCGAAAGCTGAACTTGGGAATTGCGTTCATGTTCGCGTCGTCTGCTGGGACGGGCTATAACGGAAGCTTGATCAATGGGTTACTGGTGCTGCCTGAATGTAAGCGTTTTTCTATTTTCGATCTGAAACAATCAGGATTAAAGAGGGTCCACGCTAAAATATTCTCCGTGACTCTAGTTAAGATGATTATTGGCGGCCTCGAGCCCAGTATCATCGGTCTGATCATCGCCGCGACCTCTCTCGGCGCCTTCATATCGTTCATCCCGGCTTCATATTGCGCAGATACATTTGGACGGAAATGGTGTGTTGGTATTGGATCATGCTTGGTGATCACATCATCTCTGGTCCAAATCGGCGTGAAAAATCACTGGATATTCTTCGGCATGCGAGTTCTGGCTGGTATCGGCGTCGGAACTGCACAAACAGCCGCGCCGTTGTTGGCGACGGAAATCGCACATCCTCGACAGCGACAAACAGCGACGGCTCTATACAATACCTGCTGGTGTGTCGGCTCGATTGCATCGGCAAGCATTACATTCGCGACCCTCTACATGACGGGCAGCTGGTCGTGGCGAGTTCCTTGTCTTCTTCAAGCGGCATACCCAGTCGTCCAGTTGATTGGGCTGTTCATTGTCCCTGAGAGCCCCCGCTGGTTGATTTCGAAGAAAAAGACAACCAAAGCATATGCTATTTTGGCAAAATACCACGCGAATGGTAGCATGGATGATATTCTCGTTCAGCACGAATTTGACCAAATCTGCAAGACTATCAATGCTGAGAACGCAACCACTAGCCACTGGAGCTCATTCTTCTCGTCCAAGGGAGATATGCACCGCCTTTTCATTTGTGTCCTGGCTGGACTTATGCAAGAATGGGGTGGAAATGGTATGAGAAATCCCTGACCCTTCCAAATCAACCACGAAATCAAACTGCTAACAAATTGACTCGACAGGTATTGTATCTTACTACCTGGCCCCCATTCTGAGCTCCGTGGGAGTGACGCGAGCCTCAAACCAAGCTGCTGTCAACACTGGCTTGCAAATATGGAACCTTATGTTCGCCTTTGTCGGCGCTGTGGCATCTGAGCGATATGGGCGTCGTGTCTTGTGGCTTTTAGGCACAAGTATCATGTTGTTTTTCCTGTCCATGACAACCGTCGTCGCGGGACTATTCATGGAGAAGCACATCAAATCTGCAGGTGTGGCCGTGGTGCCCATGCTTTTCCTTTTCTTCACTGGATTTGACATGGCTTACACCCCTCTCTTCATTGCATACCCGGCCGAGATCCTTCCGTTCCAACTGCGTGCCAAGGGCATGGCTGTTGTATTGATGACGGATGCTGCCGCATGCTTTTTCAATCAGTACGTCAACCCGGTGGCGTTCTCGGCTCTACAGTGGAAGTACTACATTGTGTACGTGGGCTGTCTCATTTTCTTCTTGACGATGGTGTATTTCTTCTTCCCTGAGACGAAGGGTCGATCGCTGGAAGAAGTGGCGAGGATCTTTGATCATGATCACAAGCCAACGACCACGGTGGAGGAGATCGATGAGAAAAGTAGCGGGGAAGATGAGAAGAAGTGAAACTGAGCGACTTCTTGTCATATTATAGGTATTATAGTTAAGTCTTATATAATGCAATAATACTTGAACAAATGCAAATGAGCAACCGGATCGCCCAGTGACCACCCTTTGACCTCCCACAGTATCGACTACGGACCTTCTCGTATTCCCTTGCCTTTTCGAGCCATCTCAGGCTGTATCTGTGATGTACAGATAAGTACTCCTTTCGTGGCTCCAGGTATACTTCCCTTGCGGCCAATCAGGCGGCTGCCGATGCTGCTGATTCCGCCTCCCCGCAACGCCCGTCCGGACGAATTGCAACCGCCCCCGCAACCATTGCAACCTCGCTCACCTTGAAGCTCTCGAGCTCTTTTCTTGAAAGGGGTGCTGTTCTGCTGCGAATGGCACTGCTCAGACCGTGACTGAATCTTTAGCCAGCTTTGGAAGCATCAACGACCTGATTTTGTCCACATCCAAAGTCCCGCAATTCTCTCCGGCACCATCCAGCACAATGAAAGAGCCTCAGCTTCCAGCTCCCGATCCTCCAAGCCACTCGGCAAATGGAAATTTCAGGAAACAGACTCGTTTCCTCGTCATTGGTGCCGGATCCCGTGGGAATGCCTATGCACGCGCCGTGACAACTGCTACTCCAGGCACCATCCATGCCGTCGCCGAACCACACCCCTTCAAGCGGAGCGAATTCGGACGAAATTATATCTGGGGAAGCGAGGGCACTCCATCGGAAGGACAAGTATTCAGCGACTGGCGCGAATGGATCAAGTGGGAGACTACTCGACGACAGCGAGCTAGTAAAGACAGCGACGACGGCAATGGGACAACAGGCTCGGGCCCAGTCGGCGTGGACGGTGTCTTTATCTGCACTTTAGACGAAACACACGTTGAGATCGTGCAGGCAATTGCACCACTACAGCTCCACATCCTCTGCGAAAAGCCACTAGCTCTATCGCTGCAAGATTGCCTGACAGTCTACCGGACACTCCAGCCGCCAGAGAGCTCAACGCAGAAGCCCCGGTCGCCCCCAACGATCTTCTCGATCGGCCATGTCCTCCGCTATAGCCCGCACAACACCCTCCTGCGCAAACTACTCCTCGCAGACCGGGTCATCGGCGACATCGTCTCGCTGGAACACTGCGAGCCAGTAGGCTGGTGGCATTTCTCGCACAGCTACGTCCGGGGAAACTGGCGACGAGCCAATGCGGCGGGAGACGGCTCATTGCTCACGAAATCCTGCCACGATATCGACTTTATCCTCTGGCTTCTCTGCTCGCCGCCTTCCCTCGAGACAGCGCGAGCGGAGGGCCATGAGCCACATTTCCCGCGCTCGATTTCCTCCGCGGGCGCCCTGACGCAATTCCGGCGTGCGCGCAAGCCTACTGCGGCCAAGGATGCGACTAATTGTCTTTCCTGTCCTGCGGAGCCGGATTGCAGCTATAGTGCTCTGAGGATTTATAAGGATCGTCATCTGGCGAAGGGTCATCGGGCCTGGCCGGTGGACATTGTCTGTCCTGACATTGAAGATGTGTATCAATCGCGAGGGCCCGAAGCTGCGGAAGCTCATCTCCTCTCTTGTTTACGGGAGGATTATGATGTTACCACTGATGCGGACTCGGCCATTTCTGCGCGGCCTTGGTATGGGCGATGCGTGTACGAGGCGGATAATAATGTCTGCGATGATCAGACTGTCACGTTTGCGTGGGATGATGAAGAGAAGGCGCCCGGGCGTCTGGCGAAGACTGCGACGTTCCATATGATTGCGCCGACGGAGAAACAGTGTGAGCGTCGCGGACGTGTCTATGGAACGACCGGTGAGATCGAGTATGACAGCAACACGATCTCGATTTATGAGTTTGCGACTGCGAAGACAACGACCATTAATGTCCCCAAGCCACCGCCAGACCAGAAAGAGTCTCACGGGGGTGGAGACTATGGCCTTGCTAGGCAATATGTCCGTGCCGTTGAAGCTGTTGTGAATGATGGCCTTGATATTGAAACAGCGCAGGCACGGTTTGTCGGGTGCACGCTGGAAGAGGCTGTCATGAGTCACGCCGTGGTGTTTGCAGCCGAGGAGGCGAGACGTGATGAACAAGTCGTCATGTGGAAGGAGTGGTGGGACACCAAATTGGCAGCGTCGGCGAAGGCTTGGACAGCCTGAAAGTACATCCGAAGCATCTGGAGAAATAGTCTATTATCCTTTTTGATGACGTGATGAGGTTATAATTTATATCTACCACCAAAGAGTTGGTTCTAATGCAATACTGAAATGGAACTTGAATGATTTCCAATTTGCTGGGGAATGGACAGTGTATTACTACTAGAATCAAACATTCCTCATTGCATTCCATACGTGGTTTTCGTTTTCGTCCATCGTAGCTTGCCATCATAGGAGCCGAGTCCGTGACCCATCCAGCGGGTCACATGGGGTTTAAAAAGAAACCAAGAAACCATCTTAGGTCTTAACATCAGGCTCCTCACGACCAACGTACTCCTTGACCTTGAGCAGGTTCAGAGCCAGGGCGACGTTGTCCTTGAGGTACTCCTGGGCACTGAGGCCGAACTTGGAGCTGTCGCTCTCGTAGCGCTCGACGTAAAGGCGGATGGTAGCGCCGCTGCTGCCGGTGCCAGACAGCCGGACGACAATACGGCTGCCGTCGTCGAACTTGGCATATAGACCCTGGTTCTTGGAGACACTGCCATCCAGGTCGGTGTAGGAGAAGTTACCGGCGTCAACAACCTTGCGCGAGGCAATAGTCGAGCCGATGAAGGTGTCGCGATTGGCGACAAGGTCAGACAGGGTGCCGACGACCTTGTTGGCGCCATCGCTGTCGACGTTCTCGTAATCATAGCGGGTGAAGAAGGTACGGCCGTAGGTCTTCCAGAAGTCGTTCTGGATGGAGGCGATGCTGGGGGTCTCGTTGGGCTTCTGCTTGGCGACACCAGCGATGATGTTCAGCCAGGCGACGATGGCCCAGACACCGTCCTTCTCACGGATATGGTTGCTGCCAGTACCGAAGCTCTCCTCACCACAGATGGAGATCTTCTTGTTGTCGAACAGATTGCAGAAGAACTTCCAGCCAGTGGGCACCTCGTAGCTCTGCAGGCCCTGGGCCTCGGCGACGCGGTCAACAGCACCAGAAGTGGGCATGGACCGGGCGAGACCATAGACACCCTGTTTCTGGAACCAGGGGATGAACTTGGCGTGGTGGGCAATGATGGCCAAGCTGTCACCGGGAGAGACGAAGGTGTTGGCACCGTAGATCATGTTACGGTCACCGTCACCATCACTGGCAGCACCGAAGTGCACACCGTTCTTGTCAACGGCCTCGACGAGCTCGTGGGCGTAGACCAGGTTGGGGTCGGGGTGACCGCCGCCGAAGTCCGGCTTGGGCTCGCAGTTCATGGTGCTGCTGGCGTGCAATCCGAGCTCCTTGACGAAGATGTCGGTGCCGTATGGGCCGGTAACACCGTGCATACCGTCGAACAGGACTTTGAAATCCTTGTGGGAGCTGAGGAACTCCTTGATCAGGTCGAAGTCGAAGATCTCCTTCATCATGGTCACGTAGTCGGCGGTCGAGTGGACAACCTCGACCTCGAGGGGGCCGTAGGTCTTGGTGCCAATGCTGGAGGTGTCGACATCACCCACGTCGACATAGTTGTAGGAGGTCAGAGACTTGGAGGTCTCGTAAATCTTGTTGGTCACGGTCTCGGGGGCGGGGGCACCGTTGGCCAAGTTGTACTTGATACCAAAGTCGTTATCGGGACCTAGGTGGCGGCAGAGATATGTTAGAGCGAGACTCGAGACATAAAAACAATCCATCATGAAGCTTTACTTACCGCCGGGGTTGTGACTGGCAGTCAGCAGAATACCACCAGTAGCCTTGCGCACCCGGATGAGGTTACTGGCGGCCGGGGTACTCAGAATACCATTCTGGCCGACCAGCAGCTTCTTGACACCGTAGGCGGCACTGATCTGGGCAATCTTGGAGATCACTTCGGGGTTGTAGAAACGGCCATCACCGCCAATGACGAGGAACGAGTCCTTGACGCCCTCGGGGATTGACAGGAGGATACTGGTGATGAAGGACTCGGAGTAATGGGGCTGCTGGAAGACCTTGACCTTCTTGCGAAGACCCGAGCTGGGGTTGTTGTGAGCGTTGGGGTGCCACGGGGGGTGACAGCAGAAGGGCAAGGAGACTTACGTGCCTGGCTTCTGGTCCGTAAAGGGCTGGATGGAGACCGTTTGAACCGACATGATGGTGGAGGGGAGAGGAGTGGAGGAGAAAGTCTAGGGGAGCAATGCGAAGTTCACCGACAAGAAGAGGGGCACCGTCATGTGTTGATCATCCCACCGGTGGCGCCCCTCCGACAGCTATGAACCAGCATTCTCCGTACTTTTGGCCCGGACGGCCCTGCAGATTACGCGCGAAGCTGCATCTCGCCCCGACTTCGCTGGCCAGGACTACAACTGAGCCATTGCTCCCGGGGGAGGTGATTTTGGTGTTGTTGTTGTTGTTGCACTGCTGGCTGTCTCAAATCCATTGCGGGCGGGGCAGCTCCGCCACCCCCAACAACAATAATAATAGAACAAAAGGAGGATGGTTGACTACAGCTACCATAGGGTACAATACGAAGGGTACAAAGTGACATCCATATAAATCCAGTCGATCATCACATGCAAGCAGGCCAGCTGCGTCATCTATGAAAAGAGCTGGTCCCGGTAGAACTTCATCTCCGCAATGCTCTCGAGGATATCGTCGCGGGCCAGGTGCACCTCGCGCTTGGGCGGGGCCTGTTTCAGCAGCTCGTCGCTGCCCCATCGGCGTGCAGCCTCCTTTATGGCGCTCACGTCGAGAATGCGGTAGTGTAGGTGCTCCATGACGCGAGCGTAGGGCCCGCGCACCAGGAAGGCCTTGTCGGCATGGACGCTGTTGCCAGCGAGCAGCGCGGTGCGGGCGGCGGGGACATGGCGCTGGATGTAGGCAAGGAGCGAGTCGGCGGCGGCACTCGCGCTGGTCGTCGACGCGCGCACGGCGGCGGTCAGGCCGGTGCGGCCGTGGACGTCGATGCACCAGGGCGACATCGTGTCCAGGGTGGAGTCGGGCTGGTGCACCACGGCCTCGAAGCCGTTCGGCTCCAGCAGCTGCAGCTGGGCGTCGGTGATGAAGCAGCAGATCTGGAGGATCTGGTCCGTCTCGGGGTCCAGGCCGGTCATCTGGAAAATCTCAGCAGGAACTCGCGTTGGATTGCGTCGGCCACTGCGTTGTCGCGCAGGGCATATCCAGGATGGAAACCCACCTCGCAGTCGATCCAGACCAAGGGATCGGATGAACGGGAGAGCGGCATCGTGGACTGTGAACGCAACGAGGACAAATTTGCAGGATAGAACTAAATTAGGGTCGTGATGTCAATGTATTGCAAAAAAGCAAACCGAAATGGTTGTATTGGATGAGCTCGGCGGGCTGGGAAGCAAGGTGGGCAGAATCGCTAACCTGGTGGAGAAAAGAGCCGCGGACCAGCAGGCACTTCCTGCTGCAGGATTTTGGTAAAAGAGCCAGTTGCAAAGGGCGGATGTACCGAGAAAACATCATCCACATCTCGAGAAGAGGAAGTGCGAGGCGGGAAGTCCTGCAAGTCGAGGCAAGGGCGGTTGATCCAACTGCCGCATCAAGCAACAGCACCCCCGTCAATACAAAGGGTACATTGGGCAGTGCCTACAATACGCTTGGATATTGTGCAAGAACCACGCATGATTACACAGGCCAATCTAGCTTGCAAGTGGCTTCAAACTGTCACTTAGGTGAATTCTACTAATACTAGGAGTGGTAGGGTACGACTGGAAGGCCTACGGTGTTGTGGCTCAGTACGGAACTTTGAACATGCCGCCTCGAGGCGACGTAGCTAATGTATTTGCTCTTCGCGAAGTTTCCTGTAGTGTACTAATAGATCGTTGGCATAACGGCGTCAAGGTTGATCGAAAGTATAGATCGAGGTGCAAATTGAAACCTGTGACCGCACACAGCATCGAACAAAAAAATCCTAATTTGTTAGGAGCTTCTCTACGAAGTTAGTTGACGCAGACCACATTAAAATTGCTAAGGGCTACTTACCTGTGCGCAGGGGGTGCTGGGCACATCCAAGGTGGTTTCAGCAGCTTCGCCCCGATCCTATTGGGAAGGATCTATCAACAAGAATTCCCCAGGTGGCCACTGTCATCTCGCAAGGGCCACCCTAACTTCCGTATCGCGTTCACAACTCTTCTTCCTCCTGTCCCTTTTGGGAGGTGGTAGGTGCACTAGCATCTAGTTTCTCACCAAAAGAAGCTGGGTCCATTTAGAATATCTCCCCGAAAAATTCTGGGCTAGGGCTCATCTTACCAGTCGTATCGTCTTCACCGGATCCAAGGACCTCGTTGATTCTTCCGGAGGACTCAGCAATCCGGCGTCGTAGGGCATTTTCATCAGCAGTGGAGACGCTGGCCCGTTGCTTCTTTAACGGGCTACCCAGGAACACGTCCGGTCCATGGATGGCGGGCACGGGTTGTTCAGATGTGGCGGCATTGGGGGTTGCCTTCGGGGGTGTCGACCGATCAGTGGCAGGGGGCGTTGTTCCAGAGGCAGGGGTTTCACTTGACTCAGCGCCGCTGCCCGGGAAGGGCTCAGCAGAGTGCTGACGCTTGAGCTGTAGCTATGTTAGAATGGAGGCTTGATAATACCAATGACGTTTAGGGATGCACTCACTCGGATCTTCCGAACACCCTCCTCCAGTTCTCCTTGGCGTCTGATATCATCAGGGGAGGTGCAGGCCATCATCTTCCTTGCCCTCTTCATCATCAGCCTTGTTCAAGATCGGGTTGTCGGTGTCATCATCGTCGCTATCCATATCGTCTTCGCTCTTCCTGCCTTTTCGGCGAGTGTTCTGGTCCCGGAAGTTAAGGAATCCCACGGTACCGCCGGGCTTGAGAGCCCCAAGACTCGACAGGTCGGCTTGGAGCGACTTCCTCTTTGCAACAGGAGTTTCCTGTGCCTTGGGGTCTTTCAAAATGCCCATCTTTTGCAATTGACCTATTTGCAAATGTTAGCGGACCCGAACCATAAGTTGACTGGGGAGGAAAAGCACTCACGTTGGCCACGATACATGAAGGTGAAGACAGCATACGGCTTGTCCGTCGGATCGATTCCTGTAACGGTCTGTGTACTGATTGTTTTCGGGTCCAGAGACTTGGGCTTCGCGAAACTCGTGGTGTGGTCGATATCTGCATCTCCGCCATTGCCATTTTGCTCGCCCTCGTCATCGTCGTGCGCGTCGAATTGCGGAGAGTACTCGCCGCGTTTGATTTCACCAGATGCCATTACTCGGAACAGCGCAATCTTGATTTGACCAGCAGACTCGGGAATTGGGTCGTCGTCATCTGAATCCGATGACAGATCATCACCGGAGATGTCCTTGAGGGGATCCTTATCGTCGTTGCCGTAACGCATGATGTTCTTGGGCTTGGTGTCATTGTTGCCTGTCTCTTCCATTTTGATGTCGGTGTTTTCGGTCGCGCGCTTTGCGCGACGCTTCTCCATCTTCTGACGCCGCCGTTCAATTGTAGCTGCCGCATCCTTGCCCTCGAGGTCCAATCCATGCAGCCAACGCTCAAGACCCACTTCACGGAAAAGGAACTCCCGCTCAGCGATACCGCCGTCATCAGAATTGACCCAGCGTGAGTTGACCCATGTCTCTTCACCTCGCCGCAAAAGTGTAGCTACTTCCTCCTTCTGTCGTCCGTCGAAGTAGATGTAGGCGGCAACGGTCTCATTGGAAGAATTGGTCAATGCCTGGTAGGGCATGACAGCCCCGGAATATTGGCCGCGGTTGCCGGTTTGGCCCGGCAATCCTCCGACAACCTTGGGCTTGGGTGAGGGGCAATCGTCCGTGGGCTTTGGGGTGGAGTAAGGCACATCTTGGCCAGGGTTCAGGAGAGTGATGGAAATGGCGAAAGTAGATTGTTCGGGCTTGCCCTCGGGGGAATCGGGAATTTTGGGTGGGGGAACAGGAATGAAGCAGGCAATCCGTCCAAATCGCGAGTGTCGCTGAATGGAGTATTCGGAGATTGGACCATCCGGCGTGTGGATGCTCACAGCCAGACCCTTGAAGCAGGGCATGGCGGCGTTCTGACGGTAGGTAAAGGTGTTGTTGACTGGCGGTCTTCGAGGGGTAGAGGTGCGGAGCTAGAAGCAAACAGTGGCCACCCGACGCTCAGGGGAGTGACCGCCCCGAAAGGAAACGAAAGAGGGGGAGGGTGTCGGATCTGACACGGGCAGGGGAAGGAATGCGATGCGTCGCCCTTTTTTTTTTTTTCGTGTCGAAGTCCCGCGAAGAGAGAGAATAAGCTCTTGCGCGAGAGGCGGTCAGGGTAGTTGGACTTAGCCTGGGAGCAACCAGCAGACAACTGGGTCTGGACCCCACTGCTGCTGGTATTGCGGAGGCTGGTGTCGACCGAAACTTCAGTGGTGGGGACACGATAGTCGTATGGACAAACGAACAGTCACTGAGCAGCTTCTCGAAGGATTTGCAGCGTCCGCGATCACAGAACCAGGACCGGCACGTCCACGGAGAAAAGTGAGTTGCGGACTTGAGGAGGAGGGGCGGATGTGGGCCAAAACAACTCGAACTCCCACGTGATACACCTTATTGCCGGCGAGAGTGTGACTGCGGGCAGAGAAGCCCGATGACTCTGCGACTGACTTTAAGGAGGTTCGCACCTGGTGATTCACTGAATAAGTGTCGAAGACACTTGCTATTGATGGTATCCCGTGCAGCTATGCGAATACAGCTGTTGACCTCATCATCCCCCACCAGTACCCACATCACCTGACCTTCCCCTGGCGCGCCCGACCATGGATCAGCTATGATCCCCCGGCTATTGTCGCACCCACTTTCACTCCAAACAGAAGGGTTATCAAGAGATTTTTATCAGCGGATCGCATAACTGCAATAATTTCAGAAAATCAAAAATTCTATGGCACTGGAAACGAAACTGTACTAATATTCTATTTGGTAATCCTTCAACTTACTGCTAGTAGTAGTATAGATTAACTACAGAAGCTTGTTGGGACAATCCAGGCTGATACCAATCAGAGGCAACCTGGCCATGTAGCAAAAGCACCTGTCTATTACATAGCATATTAGCAGTGCAGTTCTCCATGATATCGTTCTAAATGAGATCTGAACAGTTAGAGCGCATTCTACATTTGCATGTGCTTTCGTCAGTTAATTCTACGGAAGGAGCTCTGATTCGATGATTACTTGAATCAAGCCTGTGAAGTTCTCTGAATTTTTAATATTTGATTCGATAGAACGACAGATAGGACGGTAGAGCAAGTTCAGAGCCTCAAAGGACGATGTCGATCCACACCCCCACGTTGTCAAGACGGACAAAGAACCTCTTCAATCAGTAGTTTCCGCAACAACCCAAAGGACCCGGGTTACTAGTCTTCTCAGTCACCCGTGAATTTTCCTTCTACTCTCACTATTCTAGTCACATCTTCCTAATCTTCATAGACCTCTCCGACACCATCTCAAGCACCCAAGCATCATCACGCTCTACATGCAAACCTTACGGGTGCTCGAGGAGCACACGTGGCAGCTGGTGTAGCTCAGACAGTGGGCAGAGTTGTAGCAGCGAGGGTGGCTACAGTAGTTGTGCAGACAGTCGGGGTAGCAAGCGAGATCCTCATTCCGCTTGGTAAAGTTGGCGCCGCCGTAAGATCCAGATCCTCCGTCCTGAGTGTCGTCACCGACATTACTGGCATCAATGCTGGCAAAAGCAGCGTCCAGCTCGATGCACAGGTGGTCGTCGTGAGTGATAGCAACGACCTCCTCATCCATGTTCTTGAGGTAGTATCCTCCTTTCTCGGTGTGGAGGATCGTCTCCGGGTGGAGCTTGACGAGATCGTTGAGTGCTTGTCTGTCGTGGACAACGGTGACGCCGCTCGGGCGCGTGCTGTGGTAACGGGTGAGTCCTTCAACCATCGTGGTCAGGAAACACGGGAAGTAGACGACGGAGGTGAGAATGGATTACATGTCGAAGCTGTGAGGGGCACGTGAAAGAACCTCTATGTATACTTCGATCGAAGTTGGCTTACCTCTTATTTTTCCAGTAGAACGATGAGAAAGTGCCGTGAGGTATAGATACAAAGAGATAGAGGAAAGATGGCCTCTTTATACTTGTTCGACCCAGCTACCCGGTCAAGCTATGTGTATCATAGGCATCAGAATCCTCAACCATAGACAGTAATTTTGCCCGGCCAGAATAGCCGGGCAAGCTACCTCAAATCGAATTATGGGGCCAACAGCTCAAATTGGGCAGTTCAATGCTTCCATCCCAGCCTTCTTGACCGGGCTCAGAATGATCCGAGACATTGTCGATGGGGGCCATCCAATTTGTCACTTGGTGAAGTGTGCGCGATTATTTGAGACAAGCACCTTACCATTGGCGGGAGATCCGCCGGAGACAACCTTAGCGTCGGGGGATGACTTTATAGGATAACACCATCAGATTTCATCCAGCTAATGTCGAGATAAGCCCAATACCGGCTGTGCTATGCTAAGGTGAAGAAAAGCACAGAAGCAATCCCTCGTTTCCTGAAAAGGTCTTATTGCGCCAGTTAATTAGGATTTATAGGCCAAGTTGAGACATAGTTGGTCAAGAGATTAATATTGGGCTCTAATCGAGCGCAGCTTCCATCTAGCCCCCACGGGAAGGCCAACAGTGGCTGATTGATACCAGACTCCAACAGAACAAGCAGACAGGATTCTGCTTAGCGCCAAGAATATGGTCCACAGGAACTGGGACTGATTTATACCAGGGTCCTACGATAGAGGCGAAGGATCAGGATTCTCTCTAGCCCCGACAGGAAGGCCCACGGGGCCGGCCTCAATGAAGCAAACGATCACTCGTATATTTGTTGGTTTTATAACTAGTGGTATAGACAACCACTCATCGTATATTTCATTAAATTCGTCCTAGCTCGGAAGGTGAACGCATCGCTTCTCTTGAGTAAGCAGCAAGGCCTTGCTACTTTGTCAGGGGCATCATGCCATTCCTAATAGGGTCGAGTGGGCCCTAGCTTCGACGGGGCGCAAAAATAAGTAATTCCGTTCATGCTTTAATGTGCTCAGAAACAATACTCTGCTTCCGGACCTCTGCAGCCACTTCATCGCCAGTCGTCAAGTGGTCGAGATTGTAAAGGGGCTCCAGCTCGACATTCATGCGGAAAATATAGCGCTTGAACCAATAGGGCAGTGCCTTGGTGACTTGGTACTTCATGTGGACGCGAGTGGGGACTGCAAAGATGTAGTCCAGCTCCTCGAGGGTCCGCTGCTTCGTCTCGGGGACAAAAAGGAAGATCATGACTAAGGCAGTCACGTTCAAGCCACTAACCAAAACTGTTAGCGATTTGCACAGAGTCATAACGGAACAAGGAGATAACTTACGCATAGAAACCGAAAGCCCCAGTAGGAGTCATGGCCCACAGCATTCGGGGGAAGGTGATGGACAAAACGGCTGCCCATCCGAGGCAGGTAGCCACAGCCCAGGACATGCCAACCTCTCGGTGGGACAGTGGGAACACCTCGGCAGAATAAGTGAAAGGCACAGGGCCTTCGCCAGGCGAGTAGAAGGCGGCAAACAGGAAGATGAAGAGAGCAATGGAGCCAAGATGAGCTCCTCCATTTCCGGGAACGTAGAAGCAAAAGCCAGCTGCAAGCAAGGTCCATGCCATCTGCGGAAATGTAAAAAGCAGAAGGGCACGGCGTCCGTAAGTGTCAATTGTCCAAACGGCGGGGAAGGCGAAAAGGAAGTTGACTAGACCGAAGCCCCATGAGGCAAACAGGGCTCCTTGATCATCGGCACCGGCATTCTAATTGAAATGTTAGCTGAGACTATTAGTACACCTGTATAGACCTTATCACATACCTTGAACACGGTTGAACTATAGAAAGCGATGATGTTGACTTGATCAGATTAGCATGGCCAATTTCGAACTTGGAATCCCAGAGGTCAACTTACTTCCACACATCTGTTGCGCAATCATGACAGTGAAGGAAGCCAGAGTAGCACGGCGAACCCGGGGGATCGTGAACAGCTCGACAAATCGAGTGACATAGTTGCTCTCTCCAATAACATTCTGCTCGATCTGAATCTGCGCATGAATGTAGTAGAGATCACGCGCAGCCTGCAGAGGGGTATTTCGCAAACGGCAAAGAGATCGATAGGCCTTGGCCATCTCGCCCCTCCGAATGTACCAGCGCGGAGACTCAGGGCAGAAGTACACACCGAGAACGAGAGGAATAGCGGGGATAAAAGCAGATCCTAACTGCAACCGCCAGGACAAAGCACCTGTATCTTTGACTGCGAGATTTGCAGAGAATCCTAGGAAAATACCAAAGGCGGTCCAAAGCTGCCAACACATCACCAGTCCACCTCGAATGACGGCGGGTGTATTTTCAGCACAGAAAATGGGGATCGTCGAGGCCTTCAGACCCATTCCAATACCGAGCAGCAGTCGAGTGATGAAGAGTTGAGGCCAGTTTTGGGTGAAGGCAGATCCGATTGGCGCAAGGACACAGAAGATCGCAGAGATGAAGATCGTACCACGGCGACCCAAGATGCGGTTGGCAGGGTCAGACATCCAGCAACCCAGGGCAGCACTGGCAATGTAGGGGGCAGCATTCACCACGCCGACTAGCCACTGATTTCGCACGCTTGCCGACTCAGGGATGCCAAAAGCGTCGGGGAATGACAAGTTCGCGCCGTTCGAGCCCGTCTGGTCCCAGCCTCTGTGATATATTGTTAGTAAGATACCCATTAATATCGTGACGGACTCTCAACATACTGAACAGCGGCACCAATCGAGCAGAGAATGATCGTGAAGTAGAGAGCCTTTGGCTGGCGCCATTTGTGAAGCACTTCATCACGGAGGGCAGTGACTTCCGTCTCTGTGAGACCTGGCAAGGACTCGAAGTCGGCGGGGTCCCGGGCGACCAAGGCGCCGTTCTTCAGCTCCGGAAGGATATCGGTAACCTGGTACTCATTCGCGAACTTTTCCACATCGTGGAGGACTTGACTCTTGCTGAGATCGGCGAGCGGATTCTTGATCCTGATTTGAGGGTTAGCGGATGCTGATTTGGAGATGGACCCAAATGCCAAGACGGTAGTGTATTGGCATTGCGGACAAGCAACGTTGGGCTTACTTGGCAGAAACATTACTTTGGAGGTTGATCTCCTCGACGTGATGGCCTTTCTCTTCGCTACTGTGATCCTCGCTAGACCTATTCTACCAATTAGCAATCGGCACCGTTGAGAACAGGGTAAAGAATGTCTAACCGTTCTGGCGGGTCGACCTGTGTCACTGCGTCCTTTTCCATGCTTAGCGATGGATGGACTGACCACAATTGGGCGGAATGGGAATGATGGAGTTTGAAATGTCGTTGGAGGGTAGAAGGCAGGGAATAAAGAAAGAAAGGATGATTGGGGTTGGCACAGCGTTGCAGAGGGGAGAGGCAAGCGAGAGCGAGAAGGTAAACGGAACGTTCCTGGGATGCGCCAGCTTTTATGCTTCACCTCACAAGCAAGTTAGAGCAAAAATCATCGCTCATGGCTAGCCCGTTTGGCAAGACTAGTGCGAGCCCCATTGGACGCCATGCAAGAGACCTTGCCCTCCACTGCGACTGCGACCTGGCCCAGAGGCAACGTTGACACCCGACTACATTCGACTAGTAAGAGTCAGATCTACTTCCCAAAACGGCGTGCCCCATTCTGACTCCGGGGTCTGAGGCGCGGGGTTCGGTCCATCCGCCCATGGGGAAGACCCCAATTTTCCCCAATGCAGAGAAATTGCCTAGTCACTGTGGGGTTGGCAGTCCTGCTGGCAACCCTCGATTACAGGATTGAGCCCTTGCCCTGGAGGATCTGGTACTCTCTACTCATCGGTCTGCCTCGCTTTTCTGTGCAGCCTTCCACAACGCGATATCCCTGTCAATAACTCCTAATCCTCAAATATCAAAGGCCAGAATATTGCAGGGGCGAGGGGACTCTCTTGGATTGGCTGGGCACTTTGCGTCTATTCGTGGCGGCTCTTCGAGGCACCGGGATCCCGGTCCTCGTCGGAGAGGAGTCGCCCGATCCTGCAGCACGTACATACTAGGAAAAAAGCCCTACAAATGCAGGTATCTGACCATCGAGCGAGCCCCGTCCAGGTTAAATCAACCCCACATAGCTCGATTCCAAGATCGCGTGGTGCTCCAACACGGCCGATGTCCATGTGGCTCCTGGTTGCGGAAGGAGATCGCCAGTTGCACGTCCCCCCAACGCCGCACTCGGGATGGCGTCCTCGGACTACGAGTATAGAACCCGGGAGAACAAGAGGTCACCTGGGTCTGGAAAAGGGAGACCGAGATAAAAATTAACAAACGCCACCGCCGTCGGACACCTTTGAGGAGGGAAAGTGGAAAATGGATGCCCTTCGAGGCCGGGGAAGTCTCGACTAGGCTGGATCGGGCCTAACGGGGTGAATCCCTGCCGCTCCAAGGTTCACCTGTGGTAGACGATCCAAATATGGCGGCGATCGGCCGGTATGTGCGGCCTGGCGCAACACGGGCCGAGAGAGGAAGAACTGAAAAATGGCGACTTGGTGACCATCTTCGTCCCTAGAGTCGTGGTTTGTAAATGTTGAGGTACCGCCCGAGCTGCGATGGCAGAAGGGGAATAGCGAAGACAATCCGGGGAGCGTGGAGTTCGGCCCCAGCTGCCTTAAGCTCGCCGTTGCTGAACGCGACACTAGCGCATACCCCGGGCCAGCTCCACCTGTTTCTGGCTCGACTTTGTCTTCGGGGTCTGCTTCCCCTAATTCAATCTCTCAGTCTCGCCGGGGTGGCGGGGAGACAGCTAGTGACGTGCAGCCCGAGTCCGGCCGTCGATGCCGACGCGGGTCGGTTCTTCGAAGAAGTCATCACTTTGATGCGGATTTGTGCCGGAATAGGGAGTGGCTTGTCTCGCCCCCTCAATTCGCAACGTGAAGTCGTTCGGCATGGTGACCACGCTTCGTGGTTCCGTTACTCCGGGGTAGGGATACCCTGATACCCTACTCTGGGGCTCCTGTCCGCCGCATCGAGGTTGCACGGCATGGTCATCGCATCATCCATACTCGGCCACCTACACGGCAAGTTCTCGGCGAGAGCTTAGCGAGGGACCCTCTTGTCTGTCGTGAATGGGGCTGCGACCCTACGGACTTGTTGAGCGCGTGGCTTCAACTCAAGTGGGGGTCGTTGGGTCGTCTAATCGCCTAACCCAATACGCTGGTTCTCCAGGGCTGATCTGGATACCACTTGCGATCCTTCTAGAACAATGCAGGCCATGACGCCCGAGTGCTTGAAGGCACTGGAACATTGATGACATGGTCACATCGGTACGAGACCGAAGGTTTCGTCAAATGATCAATTGAGAACGATCCTAGCTGGTCCAACGGCAACAGACATTGCTCGAGCTAGCCCCGTTATCTTTCCTTCAGAACTATGGGACTCCTTTTTAGGAATCTTGCAGCTGGTACGATGGACAGAACTCAATTCGCTGTTGAACTCAGTGTGTTGTCCTGGCTGATAGCAATACGAAGTTGCGCCCGACTGCAAGGGATAGTGCTCGTGCCGAACAATCTATTGAAATGGAACACCACGTTTATTCTTGTCACAGGTTCTTATTGGTAAGTGGCATACCTGCGTTCTATAGAGGGAAACTGATGCGTAGCGGTCATCCTGGCGCCTGCTTTCGTGATTTTAATTTTATTAGTAGCCTTATGGGCGCTGAATGGGTGCAATTAGGCAATGAAGCAGAAACGACGCACAAGATAGATGGTTTTGCAAGGCTGCGGTGGGGGCCATCAGGTCAGTTATCTTTGGCGTACCAGTTCGACTGAACGATTGAGTTCAGAAAATAATACCCATCGCTCAGGGGCATACTGCGGAAATTTGAGATTAATTGGGCCACAAGGTATTTTCTTTTTCATGGCTACTCCATGTAATTCATAGATAATCTGGGCTACTACACTACTACACGTGATGCTCAATTATTCTCACCAAATGGTACCTTGGTATTTTGCCGAGGACCCGCAGTGCGGTAAAGATCCGCGTTTCGAACGGCAGGCTATATAGAGCTGTCAGAATAAGAGCGTACATGACACATAAACCAGAGCCCTGTTTTCGGGCTGGGGAAAAGCCGATGGCACCGATAGGTAATCGCAATTCGAAATGCCTCCCTTGAGGTCTTCGCGGGGGAGTTATGGATCATGACAGCATTTGTAAGCTCGGATGACAACTGTCCGGAGCGCCGACGCCGACGCTCTAAAAGCGGAACGCAATTGCGGTCCCAACTGCAGTACATCTGACATAATTGGCAATGCTCCTTCGAACACTGCTCTCCAGCTCATCCAAAGCTGTATCACGACATTCCCGCCTTTCATCAATGATTGCACCGTACTCCACCATGTCCTCTGATATCACCCTCTACTCTTGGTCCACGCCCAACGGCATCAAGGCCTCCATTACCTTGGAGGAACTCGGCCTGTCCTATAAGACTGTCCCAATCAATATCGGCACCAATATTCAGAAGGAGGATTGGTTCCTGAAGATCAACCCCAATGGCCGCATCCCTGCCATTACGGATGGCTCGCAGCGCGTGTTTGAGAGTGGTTCCATCATGCTTTATCTGGCCGATAAGTACGATACCGATCGGAAAATCAGTTATGCTCCCGGCACCTCCGAACACATTGAGCAGTTGTCATGGTTGATGTTCCAAATGGGTGGACTTGGTCCGATGCAGGGTACGCGTCGATCTTAATGAATTGAAGAAAGAAACATGAACTAATCTCTGCAAATAGGCCAAGCCAACCACTTCCGCCTTTACGCCAACACCCGTTCTGACTATGGAATTAAGCGATACATCGACGAGACCAAGCGTCTCTACGAAGTCCTCGAGTCCCGTCTCAAGGAGAGTGCCTACCTGGCTGGTGACAAGTATACCATTGCCGATATTGCGAACTATTCCTGGGTCCGCGTTGGACCCGGTGCCCTCGAGATCGATTTGTCCGAATTCCCCTCCTTGAAGAAGTGGTCTGAGGAGATCGGCAAGCGGGCCGCTGTTCAGAAGGGAGCGCATACGCCCGATACTGGCAAGTCCGAAGCGGACTTTCTTGAGCTTTGGGCGAATGCTCGAGCCAAGATGGATGCAAGGACCAACACTGATAAGAACTAAGCGATGAATCACATAATTAGCGGCTTGAATGCATTTTCTGATTAATAAACTTCTTCATTTATGAGCATGGCATGGTCTCGAAAGAACGTGCCCTTTGTCTTATATACCGAGGCTTTTAATGGAATGCTTGTTATACAAAGGCACAAAGGGCTTTGAAGTCCCATCTAGTCTATCTGACACTAGTTTAAAAGACATCATCTTGTCTGCTTTATCAAACCATATTCAGATTGACACTCCACGAATACTCAGGCTTGGCCAGCTATAGATGTGAAATACTCAGGCTTGGCCAGCTATAGATTTGAAACGTTCCCAATCCTCGCCGAGATGTGCAAATACACATTTGTCTCCTATACCGGCCCCCACAGCTGTGGTCATGAACTTCTATTAGACTCAGTGCAGTGCGATGAAGCCAAAGCGAAGGATGCAGCCCACTGGTGCGATGAGTCCGAAAGCAGATATGAGAAGAAAGGGACTATCCCCCGTATTAGATCATTCGACGACCTGATCCAAAAGCTTCGTCCAGGATTTTCGCGGTTGTCTGGCCCCTGCCCGTCGTGTCTGCACAAGGGGTGTCCTGATGTGATTCTTCCTACATTCATGTGGCGTCACTCTGAATAGTGATAGGTTTTTGTATGAACAATAGCTTGATAGCTTATTCTCATGGTTTTATGGGAATTCTATATCAGCTCTCAACTCATATCTAAGTATATCTAGAGTAGCTTCTATCTCGTTAGGCACTCATAAAACTCATATACCGGAGAATTGAGCTTGCGCAACCAAGGCACCGTGAGCCACTCCTCAGATCTCCCCAGGTCGGTAGCTTCTCCATGTAGCAAACCCAGCCTTTTCATAATACCCATCAAGAGCAACCCAATCCACAAAGACACCCTCGACACCTCGCTGTTTCATATTCTCAACAGCAGAAGAAACCATCGCCAATCCAATTCCGTAGCGGCGGTGCTCCTCATTCACACCAACACATCCAATGAGACCCGTATTGGGGCCGCACATCTGTGGGAAAGCCCAGACATAGTTGATCACCGAGGGATCACTGAGCATCAAAGTCCAACCGACCTGTTGGTTTTGAGAATCGAACGCAACCATTACACTGTTTGGATATTCGCTAGGATGCAGTTTCACAAAAGCTTCCACCCAGCCCTGCTTATCAGAGAAGTTCTTCCTCTGTCCCACCAGACACGCCTCGTAATCTTCAGGCTGCAAGGGCGCAAAGCGGAAGCCGCCTTCCTTCGCACGTGACATGTATTTTTCAGGCGATTGGAAGTTTCGAATGTCTTGGTAGAGATCAAGCGATCTAGCACTGGGTGAGCTGAGTCGCCAGCCTCGGTGAGTGAAAAAGTTCTGAACATCTTCGCCCAGATCGCTAGGGACGCCGGGCCAGAAACGCGGAAATGAGGATCCAAGCTTCAAATTTTCGATGCCGTATTGCTTTCTGAAGAAAGAACGAGTTTCGGTCAACAGCGAGGTCCCAATTCCTCGATTCTGGTGATCCAGAGTGACTGCCAGTACGGCAACGTGGACGATCTTCGGGGGGCCATCGGCATTGAGATACGCAAGGCAGAAGCCAACTACTTTCGAATCGAGACGAGCCACAAAGTGGTGCGCATTGTGGCGGACAAATAGCGCACGTAAACTCTCCCGGGGTAGCGAATAGGTTGGCAAGGCTGACACCCATATATCTATCATTCCATCAACGTCTTTTCCCGCATCATATGGCCCCACGGTGACATTGGTAGTTCTGGATACTGTAGGGCCCACATGCAAAGATCCCCTGGCAACACTCTTGCCGAATATAATGTCAGCGGCGACCGTAAAAGCTTCGATGGTTGGCTCGTAGGTGGTGAGATATGTCTCGATATCTGAAACTTCAAGAAAATCGTAGGGATTGCATGCAGCAATAGTTATCAACGTGCGAGCGAGCCCAGGGAGTGTATGTCCCAGCTTTTTTTGGTAAGGAGATTCACGTGCATTGAGCGAAATGAATACCACAGCGTCAGCATCCTTGACAATGCTGCACTGCTCGGCAGAAAGACCAGCCTCTCCATATTTGAGCTCGGTAGCAGATGGATTATGGGCTCGAATAGCTTCGAGATACGGGGTCACCTCGTAGGATCCCTGTCTGCCCATCCCTTCGCCGTCAACCGCGCCACCGGCCGGAGTTCCGTCTCCAGGGAAAAGAACCACAATGTTGGAAGTTTTTGACAGAGGAAGAGCACCACATTTTTCTCGCACAAGTGTGACAGAACGTGCATACGCCTCATAAGATGAAGCAGATATTCTCTTGTTGATCCTCTCAAGTGTCGCAAGATCATTCTGGCGCAAAGCAGTATTCCAGTTCAGACGTTCTTTCACAGATGTCACTCGACGATAGGCCTCTTCTAGTCGAGACTTGTCAATCGCACCAGACTCAACCGCTTCACAGATCTTCTGGATAGCACCTGTCTGTCTCTCGAATGTGTGACAGATCATACACGAGTCACTTCCAGCTTGTATGGCCAATACGGCGCCTTGCTCGGTACCATATGTGGCACGAATCCCGTCCATCTCGAGACAATCAGTGATGATCATCCCGTCGTAGGCCATGTCTTTGCGCAGAATTCCCAGGACCTTCGGTGACAGCGTCGCGGGAAGTGTGTCATCGATCTCGGGGAGAGAGATGTGTGCCGTCATGACAGTCTCCACTCCTTCAGCGACAGCTCGACGGAATGGAATGAGCTCCAATCGTTCCAATTCATCCCTCCCTTTCGAGATAACCGGAAGCCCGTAGTGCGAATCAACTGCAGTATCGCCATGGCCAGGGAAATGCTTCACGCTCGGAATGATGTTTAGCTCTCTGAGACCGCGCAAGGTCGCGCTCGCGAATCGTCCCACGAATTCCGGGTCATCTCCAGGGCTACGGACGCCAATAACAGGATTCAATGGCTCGGAGTTGACATCACACACTGGGCCGTAGTTCATGTTGATTCCGAAGAACCCTAGGATCTCGCCAGTGGACTTGCCGGCCTGGTAAGCGAACTCTGGATCGTGGGTGGCACCGAGAGCCATCGGACCAGGAACCTGGGCAGCGATGGGAGGCGAAATGCGGGTCACCAGTCCATTCTCCTGATCAATACCGATCAATAAAGGTCGCTCATGTCCAGCCTGACGGGCTTCATTCTGAAGCGCCAAGGTCAATGCCTAATTTGGGAAAATTAGCATGGTTTCCCACATCAAGAGGCTATATTGTCCTACCTGAAGCTGGGCGGCATCTGAAAAGTTGCGGCTGAAAAGGACAATTCCTCCTACGCCAAAGTCGCGAATCAATGTCTTGATCTCGGGGCTCAGCGTGTGGCCTTGGAAGCCGACCGCGAACAGCTAGACACGCTGTCAGTATACACACGTTCTTTGTCTCTGGTCTTCTCTGGAGCCAAATCCTTGGCCCTGTGATCACTCACCTGGCCTACTCTCTTCTGCAGGTTCGACAAGGCCATCGTGTTTGCAGCGTGTCGAGCGATTCAAAAGTGTTGCGGGGAGATACGAGTCGATAGGTGGCGCCCCCTCGTCTCCACTTGCAGCCGCGACTACTCGAAAGGTCGGAGCGTAGACAAGACTCCACAATGCAACCTTTGGCGGGCCGTCGACAGTGCCCTCCGCCCAGAACAGACGATGCGACGCTGGAGATAATCGCTGATAAGAGGATCGCCCAGCTTGGGGTTGAAATGTAGAAAAGGCGGGGTAAAAAAGACTTGCTTCTTCCACCGTTGACTCCGTTCATCCCGAGGTTCTCCAGTTCACCACGGAGGCGCCCGGAGCCATGGCCAGTGCAAGCAACGACGAAGTCCGAAATGGCGTGCCAGGGCCAAAGTCAAACGCAACGGTTGAGGCCGTAGCCACGCCATCCCAGGCTAACCACACGCTCGAGGAGTATGAACGGTTGTTCGGCATCGACGAGGATGCATACGAGCAGCCGACAACTACTCGTAAAGAACTGTGGGCATACTATCTTTATTACAATGGTATTCTCGATCGTGCTTCCCATAATTTGGCAAGGTGGTCTAACAGGTCTTTTTGCAGGCGACAACGGCGTTGGCCCCGGCTCCTATAGCCAAGCCCTGTGAGTACAGCTCTACAACCCCGGTCCAAACTGAGGCAATGGATCGTGTGAAACTGACAAATATGGGATAGGTTTCAATGGGCTCTCAATGGAGCAGGTCACCAGCCCGATACCGATCCACCCCTGCCCTGTGCGGATTCTTCTGCCTGTTTGGTGCCCTGGGCTGGAGGCACACGATCAACTTCCTCCGTTATCTTAATTGCCAACGGACTATGTTTCGCGTTTATGACCATGATTTTTGTCTGGCTTGGGAGCGCTGCTGACTACGGCTCTTTCGGACGATGGTTACTCCTGGGATTGACGGTCGTCTGTTGGGCACTACAGTACGGTATGCTGGCAATCCGAAATCCATCGCAGTGGCCGGCGGCCATGGGAATGTATGTGGTCGCATACATAGCCTACGGAGCAACGTTGGTATTTTATGCAGCCGTGTTCCCCCGACTAGCCAGATACATGCCCCACGTTCGCAAGGCACGAGAGGAAGACCTTAGAGAGGGGAATATTACCCAGGAAGAATACGACCAGATCGAGTCACTGGAGAAGAACCATATCAGGTACGAGGGTTGATCCTATGTCAGAGACTGTTGATACTGATTTTTTCCAGCAACATCTCCACGGCGCACAGCAATATTGGCTACCTTTTGACCCTTGCCCTCAACCTGAGTGTTCTGCTTCCCATGCAAAACAACCAGTACTCAAATAACTTGGCGCTCTGTTTGACGAATTCATGTAAGACCGGTCCTTCTTTGCATGTGATCACCCTGGCTAACAGCTTCACAGATTGGGTGGTTTTAGGAATCTGGTGGTTTATTTTCCAGCAGAAACGACCTGGGCCCAAAATTCCCAAGGGCTCCAGCTACACCACCATCGGATTCAAGCAGATTTGGCTTGCTGTGAAAGAAATCAGATCACTTCCACAAACATTTCTATATTTCTTGGCCTACTTCTTGCTTGCAGATGGACTCAATACAACGGGTAAGTTGTTTGCTTCTATCACATGGAGATAGCATCTGCTTACCCACTCTTAGGAACCTTGGTCCAAATCATCCAGAATGACTACGTCTCGTTCTCTTTCTTACAAATCACCTACCTCGGCATCACCCAGGCTGCATGTTCAATTACCTCAACGATGGGATTCTGGTACATTCAACGGTATTTCAAGTTCAAGACGAAGGTAGGTGTCTATCAAATCACCAGTCTTCCTAGCTATCTGCTGATCACTCTTTCTAGACCATGTTCCTTGTCACCAATTTCTTCAGCGTCTTCATTCCCTTTTGGGGGATGCTCGGACTGTGGACCACCCGGATTGGCTATCATCACATAGTATGATCCTCAACAACCAAATTGAAAAAAATCAATTACTGACGAGGACGCAGTGGGAGTTCTATTTCTACAACGTCATTTTCGGGCTCTTCCAAGCACCATATTACGCGGTAAGTGGAAACAAAATTATGAACACTTTCATAACTGCTCTGGCAAGCCGGGTTCTACGCCCAGCCCCATGCCTACTACAACAATTTCCTCTTGTCAGGCCGACGCTAACAACCTTCACAGTATGCACAAACAATGATCAGCGAGATCACCCCTCGAGGCTTCGACAACATGTTCTTTGCTTTGTTTGGAATCACTAATCGAGCAGTAAGTGTCACAGCTTTGTGACCTCCACACTATCAAATCTGACATGCTCTAGTCTTCCATTATCGGACCGAATGTCATCCAAGCCATCATCAACGATACACGCAACAACTGGATGGGCTTTCCTTTCCTATTCGCTGTTTGTGCTGCGGCAATGATCGCTATCGGGTTTGTAGACATTGATAAAGGACGGGAGGATGCGAGGCGCTTCACAGAAAGAACCAAGGTAGACCGTGTTGTTGCCGAGACGGGCCTGAGTGCCGACGCAATCAATAACAAGGGCAATGGAGACGTGACGGAGGAAATCAGGGAGCATTCTGGTAATGCTACGAGTCAACACAATGCGGACAGATATTAATTAGAGAGATAAGACACTAAACAATTCGTTCCGCTAATATGAAGGTTATTTCATTATTATTTCTATTTCTGAGCTCAGTTATCAAAATAGGATGGGCACTAATGCCGAACAGGGCATGCAGGCCCCCAAGGAAAACGTAATAGGATATTCATCAGACTTCAGCCTTCTCAGTGTGATGCTCCGGGGAAGGCGAGGTCTCACCATTTTTGTCAGTCTTCTGCTTTTTCTTCGCGTCAATATTAATGCGCCACTCATCGCCGTAAATAGTGGTGGCCCATAATAAGCCTCCTGCGACCACTAAGAAAAGAGCAGAGATGGTACTGAACCAACCGACTCCGATTGCCTCCACAGCAGGCAACACAAGGCCCGAGCCCAGAGCCGCGAAGACATATCGGAACATGTAATTTCCTGCAACGACCTCCGCGCTGCGTCCACTCGATGACATGACATCCAGTGAATATGTATTCAGCGAAGGAAACGAGAAGAGCTGGGCCACGCCTTGCAGGAACATCGCTATGACAGGCACAGGAATTCCACCCACTGCCTTCTCGACTGTCCAGCCATATACAAGGATACATCCTGGGATGACAAGGCCCAAGAAAATCAGGCAGGATTTCAGTCGGTCCTCTGGTACGCGTTTCCCGCGGATGCGAATCCATTTCTTCACGATGTGGTCTGCCCAGCGCCCACCCATGAATGTTCCAACCAGATATCCACATCCTGGGGCAATGTAGAATAGACCTGATTGAATTGGGCTGGTCAGGTGGAAGCGCGGATTAAGCACATATCGAATTGGTGTCAAAAGCGAGTATTGGTTCCAGACGAGCGCACCAGCCGCTATTCCGGCGAACAGGAGATTCTAAGAAGAAGTTAGAGATAAGGCCCCTTTACTCTCAGAGATTAGAGTAGAACATACCGGGTAAGTGAATAGAAGAACGCCCACGCGAACAGGATTGACTTGGTGGAAGAAATATTTTGCCTTCTCCATCGTAGGTTTCTCGCTTATGTCGGACTTGTTGTTCAGGTGCGGGTATGTTTCTGGGAAACAGAAAAGGACAAACAGCGTACCGAAGCCTCCTAAAGCGGTCTGCAGCCAGAACACGACGCGCCACTCGCAAAAAGTGACAATGACACCCTATTAGAAAATCGTGGTTAGCTGAATATCGTCATGTCAAAGTCTGTCAGACTTACACCAATGAAAGGCCCAAAGGCTGGCCCAATTAGAGTACCAGAAAGGAACCAGCCTAGCGCCGTTGCTCGAGCTCGAGGCTCATAGATATCTCCAATGGCTGAACTCCCCACGACCAAGAAGGATGTGCCTTGGAAAGCTGTGAGACAGCGAAATATGTAATACGCAGGCAGATTCGGCGCTAGTGCAGTGCCAATGCTGAAAGCGAAGAATAGAAATGCGCTTGTAAGGAAAATCTATAGTCTCACTATTAGTATGCGCATATTAGAAAGCCAAAGTAATAGAAAAATGACTGACAGGACGCCGTCCGTAGACTTGGCTAAACGGGCCCCAGAACGGGGCCGACAACCCCATAAACGCCAGGTATAAAGCATTGCTCGCGTTGATGATACTTCCGGTAGTGTTGTATGTCTTTGCAACCTCAGGGATACCGGAAAGAATAGACGTGGAGGAGATTGGCGCAAGAAAGGAACAGAAAGAAAGGACACCGACAATAATTATTTTTCTTGCTGGCGAAAAGCGCAAATATTGTTCTGCATCGACTTCGCGAAACTCGCCGGTCGTGACGGGCATGTCATGATGCGATAGATGGCTCTGCACCAAATGCAAATCTTGCGTATTGTCTGAATGCTGCTGAGCCCTGGATTCTTTTGTGCGGATCTCTTCCATCGGGACCGGGCCGTCGCCGGTCTCGATGCTGGAAGCTCTCGAATGTGTCGGAGACATATTTGGGGCGCCCATAATCGTTTGTCTCATAAATCAGAGTAGTTGAAAGTATATACTTCGCGCCTGAAACACCGGGAGTTCCAGTGTTGTGTTGCCGAATAAAGCCTTGCGACAAAATAAGTGGTCGGGTTCACCAGAGGTTTTCCGAAGACATACCCCGGGAAAACTTTGTGAGGTTTTGGAAGCAAGCTTCAGGCTTCAAGCTTCAATTGAGGTTGATAAAGTATATTGATTGAGAGGAATGAATGCACTTGAATAGATGATAGTAGATAACAAGATTGAAATCGTGAGTCACAGAGAAAAGACTCAAAAAAAAAAGCCTGCAGGCCGTTCGGCGGTTTGGATAGAAGGCCGAGGATCAGCGCGGGGGCGCACTCCAACAGACAGCGCCGCCAGGCACAGGCGTCCATACAGCGATGCCGCTCGCTATCTGGTCAGGGTCCAGTCCCCCAGATCCAGGCATGGCGCATCCAATGGCTGGCACTTGGCCAGAAAGCCGTGGGGAATTGGTTGCCCAAACAGGGCCAGATAGCGGAAAATTATCCGTGTGATAGCCGAGTTCCTTGTAGGTCGATCGCGTGGCCCTACAAGAGGTGAACTAGTAGTTAGTAGGTTAGGCCGAGTTTTTGACAGTTCAGGTACATTCATTAGTGCGAATATTCTCCGACCAAACACCTGAAAGCCTGAAAACCTGCCGGCGACTGCAGCCCCTCTGCGGCGTCCAGACCAGATATGGTGGACCACCATCTGACCCCTCCTCCACCATAATGCTTAGCAACGTGCTAGCCCGGGTATGCTATACATAAATTGACAGCGGGCTGTCCATTCCCCTGTCCATGCCAGTGGTGTCGATAGCCAACATGATCGGCGAGAGGATGGTCATCAGCCTCAAGCACAAGTAGGGTTGGGAGGTCAACGTGAGGAGCGTGGCTGTACTCGATGACGTATCCTCACCGCCGACACTTCCCCCACTCACCTCCTGCTCCTCGTTGCTCCAATCTGGATTGTTTTTGGGTTCTCTCCCCTTACCCCGATTAATACTCTCTAGACCCATCATGTCATCCAAGAATGAGCCCCAGAGCCAGGTCCCGGCTTCCAGCAAGGGCTCGTGGTCGAGTTTCCTCAAGGTACGGTCTCCCCTTCCCGTCTCAAACTCGCAGCCTTGCAGGACACTGACAGGTCGCTCTGGTATAGTCAATCGCCTCCTTTAACGGAGATTTGTCCTCCCTCACGGCGCCTCCCTTCATTCTCTCCTCTACCTCCCTGACCGAGTACTCCGCTTACTGGGCGGAACACCCCGCTGTCTTCATCGCTCCCGCTAAGGAAGCCGACCCCGAGAAGCGGGCTCTCCTCGTCCTCAAGTGGTTCCTCACTACTCTTCACCAGCAGTACTGCAGCCGCAGTGAGAAGCTTGGTAGCGAGAAAAAGCCTCTGAATCCCTTCCTCGGCGAGCTCTTCATCGGCAAGTGGAATGGCGACGCAGACCTGGGCGATACCCAGCTGATCAGCGAGCAAGTGAGGTAAGTCATGCCTGCCACTTTCAATTTCGAAAATCATTGCATCTAATGGTGAACTTTTATAGCCACCACCCTCCGGCTACCGCATATGCCATCACGAACGAAAAGCACGGTATCGAGGTAAGTCAAAAATGCGAGTACGATCACGTCACCCAAGACTCCGGCCTAACACAATTGGCAATCTAGCTGCAAGGATACAATGCTCAGAAGGCGTCCTTCTCGAGCACCATCCAAGTCAAGCAGATCGGACACGCGCAGTACACCCTTACCCCTCCTGGCTCCGACGAGAAGGAGAAGTACGTGATCACGTTGCCTAACCTGCACATTGAGTCGCTTATCTACGGCACTCCCTTCGTCGAGCTGGAAAGGACCGCCAAGATCATCAGTAGCAGCGGCTATGTCGCTAAGATCGATTTCTCTGGTAAGGGCTGGTTGAGCGGCAAGAAAAACACCTTCACCGCGGTTCTGTTCAAGGCCAGCGAGGGTGAGAAGAAGCCTTCCTACCTCATTGACGGTCAGTGGTCGGACAACTTCACCATCAAGGATGCCCGCAAGAACGTCGTCGACAAGTGGGTCGTGAAGGACAACAAGACCACCCCACTTGACCTGGCGCCTCTGGAGGAGCAGGATCTGTACGAGAGCCGTCGTGCTTGGAAGGATGTCGCTGAGAACATCCAAAAGGGCAACATGGACGCTGTTTCCACCCACAAATCGCAGATCGAAAATGCTCAGCGTGAGCTGCGTCGCGTTGAGCAGTCCGAGGGCCGGGAGTGGGAGCGCCGCTTCTTCAACCGTATTGAGGAGAAGGATGACGACCCGCTGTTCAAGAATCTCGCCGCCGAGCTCGGCATCTCCGGGAACCTGGAAGGAGAGAAAACTGGAGGTATCTGGCGCTTCGACCCTGCCCGTGCCGCTGGTGCCAAGCCTCCTTACCACAAGATCGGTGGCGAGGGACTTGGTATCACTGAGTAAAATCGCCTTTTCACCTTTCCGCGAGCACCCGAGGAGGAATTTTAGTTTTGGAACTTTACTTCTCCTGGATTTAGGGTGTTCATGGGTCTCCTGCTTACAGTTGCTGTCGCTGGCTCCCGCATCTCAAGCAAATGTCTGCACACATAGAGTTGGCCTACTGATGTATCTCTTTTACTTTGGGGAGATCATGTCATGCTGCATTTCGATTGTACATAGTTCGGGATCGAGGCGATGCCACTCTGACTTGGCCGAGTGGATTCAACTACCGCCCATCTAATCATATGACTTGATTTTTTTTATGGATACATACCCCGGGGTACGTTAGTCCTTGCTGGTTTCCTAGATCGCGTTGATAAAGAATGATACACTAGTGGTTCTCCACAGATGCAATTTGATATGCCTTGATGTTTTCTATCTGGAGAATACAATTGTAGTGTGCTAATATCAGCAATTCCTGCAAATCGTTCATTGCTTGATGCAGTAATGAGCACGTGCTCCTAATGTTCCAGTGCTGGTGCGTTTCGAGGCCAGCTCAGGACAATTTGACATTGCGCTAGAAGACATCCTGTCCGGCGGCACCCTTGATTTAACTCTACAGTAAATTCCAATTCAAACTAAATGAAGTAAAATCTGGATATGAGGCATAGCAGTGGGCCTGGAGTATTGATTTGTATTGGAGCGTACATAAGTCGTCACTTTTTTGATAGGCCCAGTAACATGAGCAGAGTCCATCACGACATACCCTCTACCACGCCTAGCAATCATCAACGATTGACATCGCTTACGGCGAAGAACAGAAAATGAAAAAAGGGACATGAAATACCGACCCCGTCTTCACAAAATGGACAACCCACACCGTAACCCGAATTGACACCGTGAGCTAGGTTGGAGAAAATTGGCTGAGGGGGCAAAAAAAAAAAGAAAAGAAAAACGTTGGGAGAATTGGTGGTTTAATACAGACCGCAACGAGTGCAGTAGTAGCAAAGGAAAATAAGAGAGAAAAAAAGCATGAAAAACAAGACGTGATAAACGGAAGACCAAACAAGCACACAAGTTCTCCGTAAAGGCAAAGCCAACCAAGCTCCCAAAAGAGTAGAGATTACACAGATGTTGAGGAAAAGGAAAGATGAAGAGAAATTTGGGTTCTGCCTTGCTGAACAAGATATGGGTTTGGTCCCCATGCTCACCCTCTTCCCTTGCAATATGGAAGACAAAACGTAAACCCCGGTTTCAAATCACCCGCAAATGCAACGCCATATGTGTTCGTAGCAGGGAGTAAAAGGAAATGTGGAAACTCCCCCTACATTTAGTGACCGTAGTTACCACCCCAGCCACCACGGCCGGTGTTGCCGTAGTAGTTACCAAAGCCGGCTCCGTAGTTGCCGTAGCCGGTTGCTTGGTGGGTCTGCGAGGCAGCGGCTTGGTGGCCACCGAGACCACCCAGGCCACCGTACTGCGGGTTCAGATTGGGATAGGCACCGAAGCCCTGTTGGCCTTGCTGGCCCTGCAGCGGAGGGAGACCGGTCTGGGCTTGGGGCTGTCCAGGCACGCTATTAGTAGCGGAACCGGGTCGGTTGGCTTGCGCGAGGAGGGGCTAGGGCCACCAGTCTTGGAGGCATCGAACCCCTTAGTTTCCTCAGTACTGACGGGCGGCTGCTGGGCGACAGGGGGGTTACGACCGAATCCAGTCTGGGATTGCGCAAAGACATCGGACATGCCAGAGCCGAAGGCATTGGTGCCAGCAGCGGATTGCTGGTTGTCGGAGGGCTGAGCAGAGCCGGTACGGCCATAAACGGAGTCGCGACCCGGCATACCCTGGTTAAAGCTGCCGGCGTTGGCAGGAGAGGAGGAGTGGTCGTAGGAGAAAGTGTGGGGCTGGCCATACATGCCTCCCTTGCCGCCATATGGGCCATACTGGCTGCCGTAGCCGTACTGAGAATTGTGCGGCATGCCGTAGTGCTGTTCATCATACCGACGAGCATCATCATACATCGGGCGGTTCCGGCCGTATTGCTGGTGCTGGTTCATCTGGTTCATGTACGAAGCGTAATGGGGGTTGTTGTTGTAGTAGGGATAGCTGTAACCGTAGCCATGAGCGGCCTGACCAGGCATCTGCTGAACAGCCGGGGTCTGGGTAGCAGCAGGGAGGGTCGGGTTAGGAGTGTTGTGGCCACTGTTGGTGGCGTCGACAGGACCATAGCGGCCGGGAGGCTGAGTGGTGGGGATTTGAGGCTGAGCTTCAGCAGCGGAGACACCGAAGCCAGCAGCAGCGCGAGCGCCAGCATCCTGGGTCTGACCGTAACCAGCGTATTGGTTGTAGTAAGGGAACCGCTGATCGGCGGCGTAGAAGGAAGAGTAGTCGCCGCTAGTGGTCACAGCAGCGGGCTGAGCGGGAGCCTGGTTAGCGAAAGGCTCCTGGATCTGGGGTTGAGGCTGACTGAAAGGATCCGTGAAGCGAGAAAAGTCACCAAAAGACTCGGAAGCAGAGGCCTGGGGAACTGGAGGAAGGCCAGGAGCGGGGCGTGCAGCAGCGGTGGTCTCAGCAGGAGCCTGGCTGGGAGGAGGCAGGGAAGCGCGAGGGGCAACAGGAGAGTGCTGAGGAGGTTGAGCACGAGTCTCGGCTTCTTCACGGTTCTCATCAATGTCCACGGCATCTCCGTTGAGACCCATGCTACCGAACTGCACAGCAGCCCGGTCGACTGCGTGGTTGCCGGGCATGACCACGGCTTGCTGCTGCTCCATGACACGGCGCTGGAAGCCAGGAGTGCGGCCCTGCTTCAATGCACTGCCGGGGAGACCAGACTGAGGAACACGAGAGGGAGTGACGTTCGCTGCCGCGGCGGGGTCAAGAGCGCTGCCGACGGTGCTAGCGGCAGTCGCGGTAGGGGCAGGGGCAGAGACGTCAGGGATCCGTTCGAGGTTTGTTTCCGTCAAGTCACCGGCAGGGGTCTTCACGGTTGTTGTAGGGATTGCAGGAACGGCGGGTTGAACGGGCTTCGCAACAGGGGTCTTCTGGGAAGCGGCGGGGACGGGGGCGGGTTCGGGAGCCTTCTTTTCCTCAACTGCTGGCTGCTCGGCGGGCTTTTCGGGTGCCGGGGCAGGTGCAGCTGCAGGAGCTGCCATCGGAGGCTTCTTTTGAGGCGGAGGGGGTGCAGGTTTGGCAAAGAGGCTTGCCCAACCCTTCTTCGTACCCTCGGGAATCATGCTAGTCTTCGCCTCGGCCGATTCTGTAGTTTCCCCAGCCGCAGGTTGTTCGGTTTCTCCTCCCACCTTCGTAGTAACAGGCTCTGTCGCCGCATTAGTCGCTGCAGGCTCTGCAACGCTACTGGCCGTCCGAGTTCCATTTGCGGTTTGGGCGCCTGCCCGGCCACCACGGCCGCCACGACCTCGGTCTCCACGGGCACGTCCACGGCCCTCAAAAGCGCCGCGACCACGGCTACTTCCTCGAGTAGAAACTGTAGTCGGCTCGGTCTGGATGCTCTGGACTTCCTTGGCCTTGGGCCGAGTCCGGTCTGTGGTCTTCTTGACCTCTCCCCATTGCGACACGTTTCCTGAACAGGAATAATAAATATCAGTCAAGACCTCCACATCGGCTTGGGACAGCCTCATGTTTTCGGAAAAGGTTCGAGACTCACCTTCAGAGATGCGCATAATTGCTTCCTCGAGCTCACCGTTCGAGTCCTCGAGGGCAAAAATGAGGTCCTCGTCCTTCCATTCGGAGAACAATTCTTTGAGAGTGGGCAAAGTGTCCGAGTACTTCTTCTTCATCTGTCCAATCTCGCCCTCCTCAAATGACGGGGCGTCTGAGTTGTCGGCATTCGCAGATCTGCTGCTTCCACCGCGGCCACCTCTGGAGCTGAAGCCACCACGGCCACCCCGGGCGGAGACTCTGCCGCGCGCAGACGATCGGTTCTGAACTTCGACCATAATGTCAGGAGGATGTGTGAGATGAAAGAGGCGGAATTGGAAAGGAGGTCACGATGGCGTCGCAAGGGTTTCGGTAGGGAGGAAGGATCTGAGTGGTAGAATGAGTCGGATGCACCCTCGGAAAAGAGGAACAGCACCTAAACCACGGGCTCGAGGGCCGATAAGAGGCCAGAAGCAGAAATGAGATGTTGGTTGAGAGTTGGGGGGAGGTGAGGAAGGGAAGGAGGAGGGATGATGTGAATGGGGAAGGCAAAAGCTAATGAGTTCTGATGTGTTGCTCGCAGTCACAGCTGGTCTTGGCACCGCCTGGCTTTTTAGCGAGTGGCGCCTATTGGCCGTGCAGCACCAGCTTTCTTCCTTTGTCGACGACACGCCTAGCACGGGCTTCGATCTCTATGCCTACGACTCATCTGCCTTACTTATAGCTCTTTCATTCTCTACGGGGTCCCTCAACTGCTTGGCTGGAGGCGCCTCTTGTGTGTGCTCGTCATTAACTTTGGGCACCTGCGACCGCTCACCGCCAACCCCTCGCGGCGATCTTCCAAGCACGACGCAAGACGCATACGCACAGGGGGAGAATCGTACGAATGAGACTCACCGACAACCATCATGAAAGGAACCTCGATTTTTCAGTTCAAATCCTGGCCGAAGATTCACCAGCCGCTCCCACGGACGCCCCGGGAGTCTGAGCAGCTGCTGAATGCCCTCACCTCATCGTTTCGCCGTCAGTTGGACCGCGCATACCCGGTAGCAAACAACAGCCCAGGAGCCATCCAGGAGAGCGATCGACAGCCTGTTAATGCCGACTCCTCTGTTCACGCGACCGATCAGCATCTACACAACATCCTAGATAACCCTTTGTTCCGCATTGTCCCGCCCAAGGCCGCGGGCACGGCTCACGACCATCACTTCCTTCAAAGTTTGGATGAACAACGACGTCTGGCAAAGGAGCCTATGATAGTTCTGGACGAACTTATGGCTTCCGGGTCTGCAACGGCAGTCACTATCATTGGATGTTTGAAAGCACAGCTTCTTCTCGCTAGGTCTACGAGGCATATGAAGGAATCTCGAGCAGGCTCCAGAGTGCAGCATTGGTATTGGTCCTCCGACGGGGCTTCTAGGCAAATGCTTCTGCAGTCTCGAGCTTCAATTGCTTCCTTGGCCAAGTTCATGGTTGCCGAAGGACTGCAGGGTACCATGTTAGAATGGCTCAGAATGGCGATGAGTCAGGACCTCGGTGGATACAATGGCCGTTTGACGGATGGACAATCGCGACAAATTGTCAGCCAGCTCCTTGTTGGCTTCATGGATGCTGAGATTCGGTACGGAGCTGGACTCGCCTCAGCCATGCGGTTTTACCTGCGTGTTTGCCAGATGCATTTCTCCACGAACCCCACTGATGGTGCAATCCGGGGTAAGCCAATGTTGCTTGCGGCCGGTGCTCACCTGAGCCGTGCAGCCATGGATCAAAAACCCTCAATTGAGCAGGTCTCTGATTATCTCTATGACGAGTTCTCCGAGGTGATCTCTACGCTCTCTTCCTCTCGATCGCTATTGTTTGCCTCTGTGGCACTCTGTCACCCTGGACAACCCAATCCCCAGCCATATATCCGCTTTGTGGATACGCTTTCGCCTGCCAAATTTCAGGGCTGGAGTGAGACTCGGCGGGATGCTTTTCTCCGGATCGGTTGTGACGCCCTCCGCCTTCTGATCGAGCGGAAGAAAATTCGAGAGGCTTCCGGTCTCGCCCAGCAGATCCAGCAGGTTCTTCCTGAGAAAACAGCTACTGCTTCCGCTGAAGCGACTCGCGCGCGTGCTTCGGCTGAGGAAGAATACCTCCTTAGCCGCTTGGATTTGAATCTAACCTGATGGCCCGGTTACAAACTATTCAGACAAAGATCCGCATCTCAACTACAGCCCCGGATGCTGTTCCTGGCGCCAAAATACCGGATACATGCCGCTCTGAAACTAGCGGAGATCGACGGGGCACTCTCCCACTTGGCAACCTACAATACCCTTGGCTGAGTGTCTACCCTGCAGCTACCGGACGTCACCAAAGCGCACATGTTGTGCACAAGAGCGGATGCATCCTTTTCCAGGGATTCTTTGGCCCCAACCTCTGCAGCACGGATCCTCCACTACAGTCTAAGTGAGTCTTTGTGCTGTGTGGCTGGCTGCCGGAGCGCTGCAGTGCGATGGCGATGACGAAGATCTCAGGTACTCCGCACTCGGTACTCCACTCTGGCTGCGCCCTCTGGATAATTGATACTGGCTAGGACGGTTTTGGCTTTACTTAGATTACAACAGAGAAGACAAAAGCTTCATTGTCGCGGGTTAAGAAGGGCCATGGCGTTGGAAGTTCCTGTGGTGGAATGGGACAAAGCTGTGACACAGCCGGGGTTCCAGGCGGCGAATCAGCCTTGGGAACCCTGCACTGGGGATGAATGGGGTTAGCGCCTCCAGCTGCTCTTAGTAAACGTCACCGCGCGACCTCACCTCTATCCCCCAAAAAATTCAATCGACTTCATTTCAGCTTCCGCGCTTCTTCGTAAACCATCATACCTTTCTTCATCACTACCCCACCACTCTTGCGACCCCAATTTCTAGCGTGAAGGCTTCTTCTCCTCGACGCACGTGCCGACATCTGACATCATCGATCCACTATGGCTAGTGAAGGCTTCCCGGTGCAGAGCACTGCCCTGGCTTCTGGTACATTTTCCCCCAGCTGCAGGCACTTTTTTCCGTCGAATTAGCTCCAATCGTTGTGCCTGCTATCCATTGCCTCCCAATGAGAGCTTGCTGAGTCCGGTGGCCGTTACCATGAGCGCGATCGCTCCACTCCAGTATGTGATGACTAATGATTTATAGGTGCCAGTGCCATGTCTGGGGTCACCGACCACTTGCAGACAGTTCCCGGTGTCCTGAACACCACCCAGACGGATAGCGAGGCTATATCTTTTGAGAAGTCGAGAGCTGCGGCCGGTGGTGAACGCCCGGAGGCTCCCAAGCCCACCGAGGAAACCAAGCCTCCCGTGCCGCCTGCCACAGAACAGCCTCTCGGCGGCGCCGTTGCAGCTTCGGAGCCGCAGCCACCAGCCACGACCCATAAGGAAGAATCCAACGATGTCATCGCGGAGCCACAAACTGGCGAGAAGCGCACCTTCGAGTCTCCCGTGATTTCGGATTCGGCCCCCGCGCCGGCTGCCCCTGCCCCTGCGTCGATTCCTGAGCCCATTTCGGCTGTCGCACCTCGGCCTGAGCCTGTTCCTGCTCCAGTCCCGGCTCCGGCTCCTAAATCTGAGGAAAGGGAAAAGCCACTTCCAGAACGATCAGACGAGCCCGAGGCGAAAAAACAAAAGATTGCCCAGGAGACTTCCAATGATGTCAAGGGCCCTACAGTTTCCTCTGCCTCCACCGATAATGCGGACCAGATCCAGAAGAAGCCTGCGCGCCCCAAGAAAGAGAAAGTGAAAGATGCTGTCAAGAAGGCCATTCCCACTGATGGAATTGGTAGCCGAACTCGCAGTCGGACCAAAGCTACTTAAGGCGACGCGCCATTGAAGTGCTTCTTCACTCTGATTCACCATTCTTTCTTCTTTCGGGCGCTTGTCGCGCACCTTGAATCTTTATGTCTGATATTTTCAGGCTACGCGCCATGGTCCATCACGGAGACGGATTTCTGTCACAGAAATATTCCCACAGGAGGCATTCTGACCAATTAATCAAAAGTATTTGTAAAAATTCCAATCTGAACTTCTTATTCTTTGAGTATACTACTAGTAGTATGTATCATTGGACGTTCCCCGACTACTTGATGTGGGAACCCTCGCCGATAATCGGGCTGAGTCATTTTCCGGAACGGATCAACCGCCCCCGCTATCAGTGTGTCATGGCGATCCAACTGGAGGTAATTACTCACTTTTCCTTCGCTGAATATTTTTGTTGAACATTCAATTACCCCAGAGCTCATTATGCCCGGACAGAAGATTTGGCTGCGCGCTGAGACCAAGCCCGCCGAGGCTCGGTCTGCCCGTCAGTACCCCTCCCCCGCCTTTCTCGGGCTGCGATATTTCCAGCGCATTTTATCAACTTACGGAGGGGATGGCTTGCTCACGAATTGAGATTTGCAGTGACCCCGACCACTTGCAAGGCATTGATGGATGCTGGATACGAAGTGACAGTCGAGCGCTCTACCCAGCGCATCTTTGATGGTGAGTGCTTTTGTTGTGGAATACTTTCCAATTTCCCACCATGATGAGTCAATATACTAATCTCTTTTTTCAGATGAGGAATTCTCCAAGGTCCGTCCTTTTTTTCGACTCTAACGCCTTACGACTCCGGGAAATCTAACATACGTGGCTGGATATAGATCGGTGCTCCTCTTGCTGAGGAAGGTTCGTGGGTCAAGGCTGCGCCCAAGGACGCCGTCATTCTCGGCCTAAAGGAGCTTCCTGAGGATGACTTCCCTCTGGAGCACGTCCACGTTACCTTTGCTCACTGCTATAAGAAACAGGGTGGTTGGGAGCAGGTTCTGAGTCGATGGCCCCGTGGAAACGGTCTCCTACTGGACCTGGAGTTCCTTACCGATGATGTTGGCCGTCGCGTTGCTGCTTTCGGTTTCTCTGCCGGTTACGCTGGCTCTGCGCTGGCTGTTAAGAACTGGGCCTGGCAATTGGCCCACCCCGAGGGTACTCCTCTGCCCGGTGAGGTCCCTTATGCCAACCAGGGCCTCTTGATTGAGTCCGTTCGGGAGACCGTCGAGGTTGGCAAGAAGATCGCCGGTCGTGCCCCTAGAATTCTTGTCATTGGAGCTGTGAGTATCGATCTATTCGAATCGAGCATGAAATTTCTCAGCTAAATTCTTTATAGCTTGGCCGCTGTGGCAAGGGTGCCGTTCAGCTCGCCAAGGATGTGGGCATTCCGGATGAGAACATCATCCAGTGGGATATGGCCGAGACCAAGAAGGGCGGTCCCTTCAGCGAGATCGTTGATGCTGATATCTTCGTTAACTGCATCTACCTCTCCGACCCCATCCCTCCCTTCGTCAATGCCGAGACTCTTTCCTCCCCGAGCCGGAACCTGTCCGTTGTCTGCGACGTCAGCGCCGACACGTAAGTGACCAACGCGCCTTTGACACAGTCGGACCCTCATTAATATTCTGTAGCACTAACCCCCACAACCCCATCCCTATCTACTCGATCACCACCACCTTCGACAAGCCTACTGTGCCGGTCACTCTGCCTGCCGGTACCCAGGGCCCTCCTCTCAGCGTGATCAGCATTGACCACCTGCCCTCCCTTCTGCCCCGTGAGAGCTCCGAGATGTTCAGCGAGGCTCTTCTGCCCAGCCTTCTCCAGTTGAAGGACCGCACCACCTCCCGGGTGTGGAAGCAGGCTGAGGACCTCTTCAAGGAGAAGGTCGCTACTCTGCCCGAGTCGCTGCGTGCTTAGATCTCCACGTAGCTATGAAGATGTACGACTTGATGGTGCTTTGATAGGATTTGGTTTGGATAGGAGGCGGGAATACTAAAAGGAATACTTTACAAAAGTCTTTGCATGTCCATATACTCGACTACCCTATTGTAGTTTTCGGGACTTCGTGCTCGATTACTTTCTCGAGACGACTTTCTTCTCTGAATCTTACAATTCTCAAAATCCTTAGAACGTGTTGGTGTATCAAAATGCTTGTAATATTGGATTAAATTCGAAATATTTCCAAAATGGTGAGTGTCGAATGTAGCCAGAGTCCGAGTTGAACAGCCTTGTTGGAATGGCCAGTCACGAACTACCCAATCTTCTACATGTGAGTGCGAAGCCCTGCGGCAAATTCCGGGTCGTGTTTGGGTCAGAAAGCCCTATGGTACATATTCACGTATTTACACGAGTATCATACAGCGATTCCAAATCGTAGGCTATGACGCCACAACGTGTGGCTGAATATATCTGTCCTGGGGTGCTTCTTGGGCCGCTTGGGTGCGTAAGTATATTTTGAATGGGACGGCAGCGCTACAAACGCCCAAACAGACGGCTAAACAGCAGTCTTTCCTCCACAACACCAATCTTTATACCAACCTCATCCTTCCCACTGCGCACAACCGTGGATCGGGCAACAAGATTAATGCGGGGGTTCGCTCAATGGCGGGCATCCGAAGCATCCGTGGGGAAATGAGTGCAGCCAAGCTGAAGCCATGCTTAGGTGCAGGAAATTATTGGAGTCCCGGTGGCTTCGAGCAGAATCACGCAGCCTGGCGCCCCGCTGATGGACATTGGAGCCTACGGTGGCATCGGTTGTTTCGGAGTTTGCCCCGTTGGACGAAGGGAATAATCCCTCTTTGCTCGTCATCGGATCGAAGGGGGCCCCGTGTTCTCCGCATGAACCCTCCGGTCCACTCCCGGCGTGCCAGTCCCAGTCCCCTCTCTTCCCCATCTCCGCAAATTTCTCACTACAACAGTCACCACCGTCCCCTTTGAGCGCCCCTGCTTGTCCTCCTCGCCGCACCTACACAGTGTCTCCCGGGCATCCATTGAACACCACCACTTGCCACTCGCCAGTGTCAATCCGATAATGGAGGGCTAAATATTTCGTCTGATCTGCTCGAACACATTTACCACTCGCCGCCGATCCTCCCTCCCCCTTCCTGCAGCAGACCCGATGCAAGAGAAGCCGACCACGGTCGCCGCATATGCGGCCGGAGCGTCCCTCGCTGCTGTTGCGCTCTTCTATGTTTTCGGTCCCAATTATACAATCGACGGAGACGAATCCAACGACAGTAACCGCAAGAAGAGCATCGTCGGTCTTTCCAATGTCGCCAATGACTGCTTCATCAATTCGGTGCTGCAGGCGCTGGCGGGCCTGGGAGATCTGCGTGTCTACTTGATCCGTGAACTACACCGACGCGAGCTGGACGGACCGGAAATGTACCACGCGGTGCCGAGCGAAGATGAGCTTCCGCGTGGGCAGCGACCAGACAAACTGCGGGATCTACAACAGGGGATCATTACACGGGCATTGAAGGAAATGCTCGATCGACTGAATGAGCGCCCGATCTACAAGAAGACCATCTCGGCGCGAGGGTTCATCGAGTCACTGGAATTCGCGTACCGGACGCGTATTAGTCGCAACCAGCAGGACGCGCAGGAGTTCCTGCAGATTGTGCTCGAGCGGCTCTGCGATGAATACCATGCCGGTGTGCGCGCTCGGCGGCGTGCCCTCGATCCCATTGGAGCGCCTGCTGGCCCAGGCGCGGTGGGCACAGGGTCCGTGGCCGATGCCTCCGAGCCTGAAACACCGGCCGAGGTGGAGGTGCGGATTGACGATGGATCTACCAATGGACTGCCCGCAATCATTGACACGAAGCTGCGGGAAATTGACAACGAGGCTGGTTTCCCCCTTGAGGGCAAATTGGAATCCCAGATCGAATGCCAGTTTTGTCACTACCAATATAAGCCCAACCAGACGTCCTTTGTGAATCTGACGCTGCAGGTACCGCAGAAGAGCTCGACTACACTGAGCTCCTGCTTCGACGGTCTCTTGAAAACCGAATATATTGAGGACTTCCGTTGCGACAGGTGTCGTCTGCAGCATGCCGTCGACCAGAAGACCAAAGAGAAGGCTCGAACCAGCTCCCACAGCGAACAGCAACGATTGGAAAAGGAGATTGAGCGTATCCAGGAGGTCCTCGAGAATGACCCCGAGCGTGAGCTGGAAGGAATTGAACTTCCACCAGCCGACCTTGCGCCCAAGCGACGAATTGCTCGGCACATGCGCATCACATCGTTCCCGAAGATTATCGCGATTCACCTGTCGCGGTCCATCTTTGACCGCAGCAGCTCGACGAAGAACGCGGCGAAGGTGTCCTTCCCCGAGCGATTGCCCCTTGGCGGCATCTTGAACCAGACCTGGTTCAAGCTGTTGACCATTGTCTGCCACAAGGGCAGCCATCACAGTGGTCACTACGAGTCATTCCGTCGTAATCATCTCTACGCACCCTTTTCGACCCCGGAGGCGTTTAGCTCCTACGCAGCGAGCCGAGTCGCGAGCCAAAACCCATCCCAGGCACCGAGTCCGCGATTGATCCCGCGCAGCAGTCCCGACCCGGACACTGGAGCCAGCAGCGGACTCTCGACAGCGACATCCTCCACCTCCCTTTCAGGGACATCGCCCGCCTCGCAACTCACACCGGCGCCGGCGCGCCCCACCACGTCGAGCTCGCGACGGTCCTTCCAGAGCACCTTCTCCCGCTCCTCGACCCCTCAACTGGCGGCGGATTCAGATAGCAACAGCCCGTCGACGGACCAGGGTCGGTTCAGCAGTTCGTCGGGCCCGCCCCGAACCATCCCCCGCTCATCGGGCGAGACCCCCACCGGGGTCGGGTCGCGACTTCGACGCCGTCGCAAGCCGAATGACCGGTGGTGGCGGATTTCAGACGAGAAGATCAAGGAGTGCAAGACGTCGGACGTGCTGGGAATGCAGAAGGAGGTTTACCTGCTGTTCTACGAGATCGAGAAGCCGGATTCAAGCCCCGCGGCGGCTGCGGCTGCAGCACGGATGTAATTAGGACGCGCAAAGTGCCGGTCTTCGGATGTTTCGCATGCGCCTTCACGGTTTCCTCCCCTCTCTTCACTCCCCTTGCCTCATTCCATTTCTCCTTGTCCAGTGTGTATCTTCGTGTAAACGATCGAGTCCCGTATATAGCAGAAAACACATGCATCGGACGCGTTTGGTGGGGCCGAGGGGCAACTGTTGGGAAGTGCTCTAGCCATTGCCATTGCCATTGCCATTGCGGATGATGCCCGGCAGAGTCCAGAAGAATAGAGTAACGATAGAGATCTTGGATCAGTTCCCCTGTGGCCATGCTATGATATGATATGATAAAAATTGGTGTAATTGGTCAAGTAAACCTGTTCGGGTGGTGAGCTTCATCCTGCCCGACGGGCCCCACGCCTGATGTCAGAGCTCCGAGCGGCTTGGAGGGGTCGGTTCCTCAACTGGTTCCCAGCCGGCCAGCCCGATAACCACGTCGCTAACATGAATACAAACTAGATAGCGGGTGGATCTGCGCAGACTGGATAGTTTATGGCCGTTGGGATGTGAAGTGCGGGAGTGTGGAGGAACGATGTCCGTCTGTGGAAGACCGCGACCCTGAGCCTTCCTCGGTTCCCCGCCGGACGAACAAATTACGGAGGGGCAGAACACTTTGCAGGAGCTACCAGTAGTGCAATGCTCGACACTTAGGATTATTGTCGTAGTACAGAATTCAAATAGAGTACGCGTGAAACCATGCATTGGGCGATGGACCAGCTCCAATGGCTCATCTTTCCGTGTTTCTGCTTCGGCCCAGCTGGTCAAGCTCTCGCGGGCCCCTGAGGTTCTACACACGCAGATGACGCCGACGGCAACATCGGGAGCATCACGGGCAGACCCGGAGCTGGGTGTCCTCGTGCTGGTCAGGGTATATAATGAGGGTGCCCAACAGCCGCGACCAGTCACCTTCGCAGCATCCTGAAATCATCCTGACCTCAGTCCCACGGCTCGAGCTCCACTAGTACCGGTGAGTCCTTCACCGATGACGCTTCTGCCCCTCCACCGTTGCCCCTCCGATTTCCCACTGCCCGCTTTCGTCGCCCGGTAAAGCGCGGCCGATTACTACTTCTATTTCGTGCTGACCCTCTGTTTTCTTTCTCCTCAACAGATTTCATCTACCTTCTTTCACAACACCACAGCACATACAATCACAATGGGTGTCCTTGAGCAGCTCAACCGCAAGGCCGGTGTCATCGTCGGCGACGACGTCCTGCGTCTCTTCGAGTACGCCCAGGAGAAGCAGTTCGCTATCCCCGCCATCGTGAGTGACCCCGCCACCATCACCATCACCACACCATTCATCCCACAACCACGAAAAGAATCGCGACTAACCAGACCACTAGAACGTCACCTCCTCCTCCACTGTCGTCGCTGCCCTCGAGGCCGCCCGCGACCAGAACTGCCCCGTCATCCTCCAGACCTCCCAGGGCGGTGCCGCCTACTTCGCTGGCAAGGTACGTGACAAGATGCCATTTCGCTCAGACCAGGCGAGATCCTAACGTCTCCCCCCAGGGTGTCAGCAATGACGGCCAGAAGGCCTCCATCGCCGGTGCCATCGCTGCTGCCCACTACATCCGCAGCATTGCCCCCGCCTACGGCATCCCCGTCATCCTCCACACCGACCACTGCGCCAAGAAGCTCCTTCCCTGGCTCGACGGTATGCTCGACGAGGACGAGCGCTACTTCAAGCTCCACGGCGAGCCCCTCTTCTCCTCCCACATGATCGATCTGTCTGAGGAGCCTGTCGACTACAACATCCAGACCACCCAGGCCTACCTCAAGCGCGCTGCCCCCCATGAAGCAGTGGCTCGAGATGGTAAGTTTATTCCGCCTATACCTAGTTCGAGCGCGATGTGAATACTAATTCCCTCATAGGAGATCGGTATCACCGGTGGTGAGGAGGACGGTGTCAACAACGAGGATGTTGACAACAACTCCCTCTACACTCAGCCCGAGGACATCCTGGCCATCCACAACGCCCTGTCCGCCGTCAGCCCCTACTTCTCTATCGCCGCTGGCTTCGGTAACGTCCACGGTGTCTACAAGCCCGGTAACGTCCGCCTGCACCCTGAGCTGCTCTCCAAGCACCAGGCCTACGTCAAGGAGCAGACCGGCTCCAAGAAGGACAAGCCCGTCTTCTTCGTCTTCCACGGTGGCTCCGGCTCCTCCAAGGCCGAGTACAAGGAGGCCATTAGCTACGGTGTCGTCAAGGTAAACGTCGACACTGACATGCAGTACGCCTACCTGTCCGGTGTCCGTGACTACGTCCTGAACAAGAAGGACTACCTCATGTCCACTGTCGGTAACCCCGAAGGTGCTGACAAGCCCAACAAGAAGTTCTTCGACCCCCGCGTCTGGGTTCGCGAGGGTGAGAAGACAATGTCCAAGCGCACCCAGGAGGCTCTTGAGGACTTCAACACTTCCGGCCAGCTGTAAAGGAAGTTTTCTCATGATTCCCCCTTTCTGAAATATTTAACGGCTTGATGAGAAACTGATTTCTCTTTCCTTTGTTGATCAATGTTGCCGAAAATTTGGGCGCGCCCGGGGACGTTGGCGTACCGGTTGTATGTGACGATGTATCTCGACACGTTGTAATGAACCTATGGAAATATCCACATTCCGGTTTTGACCGGCATAAATTTTTTTTTTACTTGCTCGATTTGTCTCTTATTGTCGTATAGGAATCTGTATCTGGGGTGTCAGTTGTCGTATTAGCTGAACTGGAATGACAACCGCAGACATGGAAGGACATTTTGGACCGCCTCGACCTGCCTTATGAGCCAGTGGAAATGTACCCATTTTATGCTCGTCTACTTTGTGTGCAGCTTGTCTCGACATGAGCTGCATAAGGGTACATGGGTACATTACAGCCGTGGGGAGAACATGCAACGGATCGGCTCTGCTAATCTGTACGTGGTCATCTTGCTTGTGCTTGTGACACTACCAGATTCAAGTCCTCAGAATCTACCCTAGGGAGGCTTAACTACTATATTCAAGATGACACTTCCACGATCACTCAAGTTCATTCATAGCAAGAAATGGTATCAGAAGCATTGTAAAACCCTGACTAGAGGTTCCTTAACCGAAACTAAGCATTTAGCCCCCTCGATCGGCAGTGCATTGTGCAACAACTCAGCTTCAATCCTTCACCCCACATGAACGTAACGAAAAAGAGAAAAGTGTGCGACCATATGGTCAAAAGCGCGAGGTGGCAAGAATGGCCCTACATGGAGGCTACTGTACATATAGTAACTGCCAAGGCCGATGCCCTGCTTCATCTGGATTCTGAAATTCACCAACGATGCCGAAGAGTGCCGGTCCGTGGCCACTCGTAGTACGACTTGTATATGCACCCATATACACAGGATAATGTCTGCCGGTGGAGTCTTTCCTATGTGGGCTGCCGCCGCTTTTATGAGGGCAATCAGGTTCAGGATCACTGCGTGCTGTCACCACACTTCCTTGCTCAGTGACCGTGAGGGCGCAGTGCGTGCTCACGGGAGCTTAGTGAATGCTCACTAATAATACCTTGGTAATGGTCAGTGACTGATCGGCGAGCACCCTGATTCGCTTAGCACACTATGGCTTATACCAGAGTGGGACGGGACCCATAGAGCCGTTTATTTTGTGATTGTTAGTCAATTACTGCATGAGCTGCCTTATCTTAGAGCTGCGAGCTGGCCTCTTTTCCTAGAGGATTCTATCTCATTAAAAACCTATGTTATGTCGGTCGTGCGCGAAAAAAGTGGGGAATCTCGTTTACTTCGAGGTAGAGAGTCCTTTCTTTCCGTCGTGTATAGCGGCTCGAGCTTAACATGGGATTGGCTCGTTGCTTATGCCGAGAAGAAGGGTCTTGCCTTGCAGCTGAGGAAGATCGAGATGCTTCTTTCTAGGAGGAAGAAGAAGATTGAGAGGTCTGGATTATGTCGTCTTCGTGGTCTCCGACTTGAATTTTCTTCGTTTCGTGTGTTTGTTCTTCTTCCTGGCTCCCTTATTTGGCTATTGCTATGGCGTTATGAACGACTTATACCCCTTGTCTTTCCTATTCTACTCTACTTGAAATGTCGTCTTGTGTCTTTGCCTATTTGCACAGCAAGCGGTGCTTATAGCTCCAATCTTGGTCCGTTTGGTTCTGATTTCTTGTCTCCTCTCTATTTCACTTGTTGATATTTCATTTCTGCCATAGATATTGCTTAAGCGTTGAATTATGAACTATGAGTATGTGTACATGCGTAGCATATTTCCCTGATCTACCTGCAAGCTGGTTGAAGAAAGGTATTCACCCAGTCATTAGCGTTGCCCACCTGGAGCCTGCGCCAAAGGAAGACGACCCTTGCGAGCGTAAAGCGCGACTTTCGATCCCCTCTTTCTAGATGACACGGGCCGCTATAATGTCGAAGCTATCTTGGCAATAGGGTACGTCTAGCTAAAAGGCGACCTCGCCGAGACGGTACCCGGCGCATGGTGAAGCGCTACCTGGTGTGCTGGACCGGATGGACCACTAAAGAGGATCATCTACGCGGAGATCTCCCTCTTATTCAAGAGCAAAGTGGATAGGTAGATAGGGAAGGCAGCGAGGCGTGACTTTAAAGCCTGGCTCCCCGACCCCAACTAACTTTCCCTCTTCATCCAATCGCACTCATTTATTATCCATCCATCCTCTTCCAAGCATTCTACCAATCATACTCATTGATCATCTATCATATCCCCTTCTCAACTGTCACAGCTGATACAGGCGCCTTGCTTTTACGACCCTCCAGACTGTCCCCAAGCTCGCCCCAACTTGGGTAGTTGACAGAATGTCGTCATCCTCAAAGGCGGTTAGTCCCACTTTGTCTTCTAGTCTTTTCGTCTTTTCGATACTCATATTCAAGCTAGAAGCTGGATCAAAAGCTGAATGGTTACGCCCAACTTAACCCAACGGACAAGACCAGGGACTTTCTCCGTGACTTCTTCAAGGTCCTTTCTCCTGACGGACAGAAACACCTGGCGGATGACGTTTCTGAGTGTGCAAACGATGAGCAGCTTCAGCAACTAGTCCGAAGCATTGAAAATAGTTTATTGATTCCTTTGAAAGCACAGGGTGGCAAAACACCCACTGATATCACTCCATCTCCACGCCCTGGCGTTGAAGGTTCAATCGAGAATTTTAAGGGCCAAAATACCGAGCCCATCACTAGAGGCCCTCAATCGCAACTCCAGCACCACTGTTTAGAAAGAGATGGCTATAAATGTGTTGCAACGGGGAGGTACAGTGGCAATCACGCCCATCCACAGAATGCACCCACGACTTATCTTGAAGCAGCCCATATTATTCCATTTGCACTTGGATCCTTTCAGTCAAATGACCATGAGGCAGTGAATAGACATGCAAAGATTTGGGTCAACCTAAGGCGCTACTTTCCGGTTCTTCGCCGGTTGTCCTTTACCTCAGAACAAATCAATTCGGAAAAGAACGTCCTAATGCTAAGCATGATGCTTCAAAAAGAATTCGGACAACTTACAGTCATTTTTGAAGCAACCGGGGTTGCTCACCAATATCGTATCAAGACTTTTCCAGACGCCGTCACAGATGCGATACAAAATTTACCCAGAAATCGGCTTGTCAAATTCAGAGTTCACAAAGGAAATTGGGAACTTCCAGATCCCGCGCTTCTCAAAATCCACGCTTGTATTGGAAATTTTCTACATATGAGTGGCCAGGCGGAGATTATCGACAAGGTTCTGAAAGATTTCGAAGATTGTGGTGGGCTTGCCCCGGACGGAAGCTCCAACCTTGAAGACCTTCTTGCAGTGAGCCGCCTCTCATTGCTACCCACGAATGTCAACGAAACGCCCGATTCCAAGAAGTCTACAGAGAAGCAACGTCCTATGGAGCAGCAAGGACGCCAACAGGCGAAACGTTTTGACACTGAGAATCAACCATGGGGATACTAAATTGCATGATCAGGGAAGCGGTTGTCACGGACGTATGGTCTTTGGAATAGATGGGGTTGCACTTAGTTCCTAGGAATTCAACTAACTTCCTAGCCCGAAGTGGATTTTGATGTAACTTCCTGATCACTTGGAATTATGTAATGTGACCTGATTTGATCCTGGGAGCGCACGGCCAGCTTCCCGGAAGCAAGCTCGTCGGGTCTTCTCCCATATTGAAATATCAAAAGCCTTGAAAAGAAGTCTAATAGGACATCCGAAACGATAATGTTATACGCTCATAGGAGCCTTCTGATCTGCGTATTCTTAGTGAAGCGGGGATAATGCTCGAAGGTAGTCTGCAAGCAGACAGGTCGAAGCGTAGAGCAGTAGAGAGAAAGACAACACAACAAAACACCCTAGGACCACTCTGCCCAAGGATCTCTCAAAAAGGAAAGAGAAGCTGAGTAGAAAAATGCATTCTGCGCAGTAGCTGGGCACAAAGGTGGATGATCTCTGTGTTGTACGTACAGGGATCTTCTTGAAGGTGTCGGATAAAGTGGTAGAGCTTTGAACCAAGATATTTCGGAAGTGAATGCCTCGGATGTGGATTGTTGGTTTTTCCATAGATTTCCCCCTATTTAGACCGATTCAGAGGATTTCTTCCAATTCAGACTCTTTTGATCCAATTCCATTTATATGGCTCTTGCCTCCACCACCTTGCTGCGACAGAAGGGAAGGCACAAAACAAACAGAGCAAACAAAACAAACTTGTAGCTCCCCCCTACGGGTCCATCCAATCAGAACGCGCCCACTTCCCCAGTGCATTAGAAAACGTCAAACTTATCTCCTGGTTCTAAACAGGTCACCCTATAGTGGTCTACTATATAGCACCGTTATAGATCTTAGAGATACAACTAATCGCTATCGCCTTCATAGTAGTTTAGTGTCTAATTAGAAAAATTAGGGGCTAGTAAACGCGTTCCTAGGAGTACGTAACCTAAAATGACGACCTATTAATAGTCAATTAAACAGGTCCTACTACGATTTGCCAAGAAGGAACTACCTAATAGATCACTAGGATCAACGACCACGTTGATGACACCGGTCTTTTGTTGATGGGTCAATAGGTGCTAGCTAGAGGGTCGCACGTGAAAGGGTCTAGCGTGTTGCATTTTATTGAGATGAGCTGAGGGAGGCCGCTCATCCTTGGGCTCAGGTCAGGCTCAGTGAGCAAAAAGCGGCGAGGGGTGAGCACTAAAACAGAATGGGAAAGCCAAGAGTTGCCAGACATTATCCTGTGTATAGTATATCATGTCCAAAGGACTTGGCGGCGGGATCTGTTGGGAGAGCAGTGGCGATAAGAACGGCACCGACAGCTTGATTAGGACGGTATGTGCATTGCCCCCGATGATAGTTCCCCACACGCATCTCGATTGCTGATTGGATTTAAGGTCGTCGACACTTTTGGGGTCCTAGAAGAAACCAAAAACGAGCTAAATTATGCAGCCTCCTCGTACGAGAACCTGAGCGGGGTTCCCGACTCGGTAGCCAGGGAGGATGATGAGAGATGGGTGCGCGAGTGGGCTGTGTATCTCGTGAACAGGTTCTCCTGCCCACATGGACAGGTAAAGCGTACTGTTCATATTCTTTGATTCCTTAGTTACCGACGCCTAGTTTTTCAAGTGTCCCAAATGAAGCTTCTACCGCTCAATTCTTACAGTATAACCGTAGCTAAGATCCTCGCGCAACACTCATGATGGAGAAACTCCTGGTAGGTAGGCAGGCACATTCCCTGCTTTGGGGAAGTGTTTCATCACCAACTGAAAAGCTTTTGCACATCCTAACCACACCTTCCTTAGAGAAACACACTAAAACCCTGAATAGATGGCATCCTGAACGGGAGCCGACAGATAGTTCTTCAGTCAATCAATCGATCGCTGAGATGGTTCAATTGGCCCCTCGCGAGTACTAGTCAATACCGATATCCGAAAGTCCGTCACAATACTATCATGCCATGTATAGATGTCACTGACGTACCCGCAGCACACATTTGAGTCCAAATACTGGAGAGACATCCTGGAGCAAGATCCGGTCCCCCTCTGCGCTCTCACAAATCCCCAGACTCAGTGCATACAAGTTGAGTTTCCGTGCAGGAGTCAACATCCAAGAAAGCGAACAAGTCGCCGCGCGTCTCTCGGGGGTGGGGGCGGAGAAGCCATTGGGAAACAAACCTTAGTACTTGGGTGAAACAACCAGAACATGTCAATCACATGGTTCCATTGGCGATGTGTGTCGTGCAACACAGATTTCAATCGCATGGCTTACTGTCGAGAAAGGCTGTCGTGGGCAGTTTTGCCTCGCATGCAGCTCAATACCAGAAAACACACTATCTGCCACCAATTCGGCTGTATCCACAAACAGACGAAAACAGTATCTACATCTATTTGTGACATCTCTCGAGGTTTAGGAAACGCAAGAGAAGTAAGGATAGAATCCCCATCGGCACATGGTAAGTTATAATACTAAGGCAGATATGGAATTCCATAACCGCTACATCGCAGACGCTCAAAACACAAAATTGGAAAACGAGACTCAGATAATAGAGCGAGCAATCCGCAAAGGAGCAGCCTTAAACCACTCTCCCCAGGTAGCATATTCGACTTTAGGAGGAAGGTCAACATCAAGTGCACCGTCACGCAAGCCACTAATGATGTCCATCTTATCAGCTGAGACGAACCATCCACCACGATCCAGCTTCGGGTCTTTGATTAGCTTGGTGTAAATCAACCAGGCCACAAACAGGAAGATGACAAGAGGCGCAGCGAGATAACTCTCAAAGAAGCCCTCAGCATCTTTCGGGGCAACTGAAACGTAAAACTCGGCAATGAGACATAAAACGTTAAGTGATAGACCAATCCAACTTCCAACAACGCCGAATGGAGCCACATATGCGAGTTCCTTTGTCGTGTGTCCATTGGCCTTCCAGGCGGAGCGGAATCGGATGTGCGCGAGACAGATACTTCCCCAGATGAAGAAGTCAGAGATACCAGACAAGGCAAGAAGCCAGTCGAAGATGGTACTTCCGGATGATGCCTCGTTAATGAAAGCGAGGAATCCAAAGGTGGTCTGCAGAAGAATGCAGTAGAGAGGGCGTCCTCCCTTGTCGATGTATGCCATGAATTTTGGCGCCATGCCCCGTGCAGCCAGAGCTTGAATAGTCCGACTTGATCCATATGTTGCAGAGTTGGCGACACTGATGACTGAAATAGTGATAATCGCATTCATGACAGAGGGCAGACCAGCGATACCAGCATTCTTGATTGAGACGACAAAAGGCGAGGCCTTGGTGTTGGCGCCCGAGGCTCCGAGCAGCCATTCGGCGTTTGAAGGCACAATCAAGCCAACAATGAATGTTCCGAGGACATAGAAGATCATAATACGCCAAAAGACCTGCTTCGTTGCTTTGGGGATGGACTTGGCTGGGTTTGTAGCCTCGGCAGCAGCGAGACCAGCCATCTCTGTTCCACCGAAGGCGAAGGCAGCTGTAACAAAGACTGAGCAGAAGCCCTTGAAGTCTGTGAACGCGCCCGGGTCACGCCAGTATTTAGTTCCAATATAACCTCCCTGGGGTGCACCGCCGCAGTCGATAACAATTCCAAGGATAATAAACCCGATCACTGAAATGACTTTGATCGTTCCGAGGACGAATTCAACTGTAGATTGTAGTTAATATCAGTTGTATCCAGGATAGTCATGACTTGTCTTACCTTCTCCATAGCCTCTAACGCCGAATAATTGGATGCAAGAGAGCACAACCAGGAACACTGCTATCCATATACCAACGTTCAAGTCGTCTCGCCAATACTGAATGGTTATACTCGCAGCTGTGAGTTCGAAGGGTAGAATAATCAACCATCCGATAGCATAATCCCAACCAACGGCGAACCCCCTATTATAATAGTAACATGGATAGTTAGCATTTGTGATTATGACTGGATGCTTGGAATACCAACCAGGCTGGACTAATAAACCGGACACAGTATGTGAAGAAAGCACCGTTGACAGGATACAGCACGGCCAATTCTCCCAGAGCTTGAACTGTGAGAAGAAGCATTCCTCCAACTATCAAATAGCCAAGCAGCTGATTGGGTTATGTGAGTGGATGTCTTGCGTAGAAATTGTAGTCAACATACCAAAGCGCCAGGCCCGCCCGTTCTCAATGCACTCCCCGTACTAACGAATAGACCAGCTCCAATAGCACCGCCTAGACAATAAAGTCAGCGTTTGAACGTCAGATACATTAGACTACTACATACCGACGGCGATCATCTGCATGTGACGATTCTTGAGGTTTCTCTTCAAGGGATTGATCTTGCCGACCGACACAACTTCATCGGCTGAAGGGAGACACTCGGCAGGCTCAACGGCCATGGCCGCTTTCTTCTCGATATCCATATCTGTGGCAGTCATATTGGCTGAGCAGATGCCACTTGCCAGTTACAGACAGAAACGGCTGAGTTGTAAAATTCTCGGGAAGGCTGACAATTTATACATATTTCGAGGGCCCGTGGCCATGTATGCCACGATAGATGTGATAGCGCTACACCATCTCGTGGCGTTTGTCCCTCGAGCGCATACGACAAGGAGACGATAAGACTTCCAAGAAAGTATGATCGTATCTTGACCAATCACAGTGGGGGCCGAGACATATTGTTTGAGCTTAGCCTAGACGCCACTTTCGGGGTCGGAGGAATTGCCCCGGTGTATACTTGCAGGTTATTGGATAGATCCTTGGCATTCCCACTTATACTTAAGGCGGATCCAATATAGTGATAAAAGCATGGCCCTAGATAAGAACTTCACATTTTAGACCTTCCCCTTAAGTGGGCCACCACGGGAACGGGATTAAGTGCGTATGCATTAGGGGCTTGAGTTTCAAGTGTACCTTGTACTGTGGTGTATCATAAGTATTTGGCCTCCGATACTTCGGCCCAGGTCCCACTTTTTAATACTGCCAGGCAGAAACCTCGGAACTTCAATTCAATTTAATAGCTAGTAGTTATTATCAGCTCTTGATTTTCGATAAGCATTTATCATAGATATGGCAGAACCATAGATATAGAGGCATAAGACTGCATACGAATCCCATATCCAGTACATATACACACTCCTAAAATGGCTGGGTGAACTATACCATACTTAGGGCTCCGAAAGGAATATGATTATTCATGAATATTCATGAATAATTGCGAATGTTGAGATATGTGATTGTCTGATTGAATCTTATTGATTGACTTAAGGAGTGATCTATTACGGGGGCCAGATGCCTCATATATACCTGTTCCCAATCCCTGCCATAAGGTTCAGCCACCGTGATACTCAACAACATTACCGTTCATGTTGTTACATCTCAATACAACAATAATAATCCATGGGCTTAGACTCCATTACACACAATTTATCACTTCTGAGATACTAAGTCCCCTTGAATTTGAATATTACCACAATTTCTAGCCTTAACGCTATTTTTGATACTGTCCCTTTAATAGCATAAGCCATCGCAAAGTCTCTGCATTTAGACAGTGTATCCTGAGCCCCCAATACATCTCTGGCATTGCTGAATTCACGTTCAATCCCTACCTCTGCTGAGGGAATTGGCAAGTAATCCTGAGCTGCCTTTTCCATGAGTGGGAAATTAAATACAATCGCCTTCCACCACATGAGTACCCATTCCTCGTCTGCATCGTCAATCATATGGTGGGACCAACTCACTGGCGGCGCGTCTAGATATCTATCAATGTCTGAAAGAAGCGTCCGCTGTGATGGCTGTACTTTTCGCAGCGTCCTCCACATAGTCTCGGACACATACCCGGCGGGCGGTCCACTACACATGACATTGACGGCTCGTGCGGATACTCCTTTTTCAAGAACTCCCGCACTTGAGAGATGATCATCCCCGCATCTCGCGCGTTCACCTGCGATCCAATCAAAGACAATTTGATCCGCGGGTCCAGGACGGAGGCCACGTAGTATAGAAGATTAGGTTTTGAAAATGGAACGGAGGCTATACAATATAGCAGAGACGTGTTTGCTAATCAAAGTGTAAACTGCTGTGTGGTAAAGAGAGTTCTAGTGCGGGTAGGCATGTATGCAAATTGTGTGCAGTTGCTGCGAGGGTTGAGCTAGGAACTGGAGAAGCTCACTGGAAATCAATGCACACTCCGGATCAAAGAGCCAAGCGAGACTAGGAGCCCAATCGAATTTCTGGTCTTGATCGATGATGGTGGACATCCTCTATGGGAGACTTCACAATGTTCGTCTTCAGGTAGCATCTTCCTAGACTACAGCCTGAACAGAGCTGTAGCACCTTAGGGCTCACTAGATCCAAAGAATCAAGTCCACATCCACAGCCCGGACTCACTCCATTCGTTGGGATTCGAATACCTAGCTATTCAAATGCATCCGTAGAAAAAAACCAAAAGCTTCTGCCATTTGGGACAAGGAACCTTCTCCCTGAACTTTGCAACTGCTGGTTCAAAGTGGTTTCTGGTAGCTCCCGTCATTAGAAGATTTCCCAATGCGTCAAGTCTACCAGGAGCCCACATAAAATTTTGATACTCATTCGAATCCAAGACGATGGGGTAGGATCCACCGCAAGTCACAACACGATCACCGCCAAACAATGAACGTGCCCCTGATCTCTTTCCCCGCTCAATATATCCCAGAGTCTTCTCGTGCTACACATGACTTATGATAGGGCCCTTTGCCTTTGTTTGGGGGGAGGGATCGCTCCCGGTGATTGAGGGCTTCAGCCGCAGCCTTCGTGTAAGCTTCGATAAACTTCTCGTAGATGGTATCTTGTACATAGATCCGCGAACCAGCAGCGCAGACTTTCCCATGGTTTGCTATGATACCGATCCGGGTCCAGAAGAGTGCATTATCAAAATCGGCGTCATCGAACACGATCGATGGCACTTTCCCTCCCAGTTCCAGCGTGACCTTTTTGAGATTGGTCATGGCAGCGGCTTGGAGGACTTTTCTTCCTGTCTTAGAGCTACCAGTGTATGCAACCCTTTTCATTTCCATATGCTCGGAAAGACACTTGCCAGCGATGATACTATCGCCCGCAATGATATTTACTACACCAACAGGGAAACCAGCTTCTTTCACAAGCATGGCTGGCTTTTGACCGTACAATGGTGACAACTCCGGTGTTTTGATAATCAGCGCATTGCCCGTCGCAAGTGCTGGTGCAAGCTTCCAGATCGTGATCATCCTGCTAAATTGTAAATCGGCTGCATTTCATATAGTCAGGTCGTACGTACGAACTTACAGCGGCGCATTCCAAGGCACAATTGCACAGCAAATACCTAGGGGCTCTCGATGAGTATACGCAATGCCACCTTCGATTGCCAGACTTTTCCCGTCGATCTTATCCGCCCATCCCGCAAAGTACTGGAGGTCGCGGAATGTTCATCCCAATCGATTCGACGTATAAGACACCTGCATCAATTGTCTCCAAAGATGCGAGCTCCTCGGCATCTCACTCGATTACATCAGCAAGCTTCATCAATAAAGCTCTCTTGATTGCCCCGGGGGTCAGCCTCCAAGCTTTATAGCCCTTTTTTGGCAGATTTGGCCAGGAAATTCATGAGGATTGCATAGTTCTGCGCTGTAAAGTCGGCTACTGTAATGCGATCTGCTTCCCCGGAATATAGCGCAAGCGGTGCGGGTGGGTGGAGGCATAGTCATGACCTTCTGGGCGTTTAAACCGCTCTCGTGTGGTATCTGGCGAGATTATTAGCCTCTACCACCCATTCTCGTTCGCAGCGCGTGGTTCGCTAAGATCTATCCCGAGTAGTGCTGTGCTATGCGAAGGAAGCGAGAGACCTATAATGATTTGGGAGCAGGGTTTTGGTTGGGCTTCGTGGGCTACTAGACTGGTGTTTGAGGAATATTTTTAAGCGCGGAAGCCTGCTTGTGAATTTGGATAGTGATCTTTGGTAATTTTGGTAAACGTTTTGCCATCTGTTTCTTTATTTCAGAGCATACGGGGACCTGCAGATTCGAGAGCCAAGATAGATTCAGCTAGGACAGCATATACTATACACAGAAATGATGTGTACATTTGGTCTCACTGGGGGACTCGGGGGAGACCTTCAGCCAGAAATCGCAGCGACGGCCACGGCCACCCTCCCAAGTGTAAGCATTAGCCAAGCGGAAGACATTGACTATGCCAGGACCAAGACGTTCATAAAAGGTAAGGTTGGGGGTGACGTAGACGGTGGCAAGTGTGCCTCCAGTGGCATTCAGGTCCATCTGCCAAGGATGGTTGGGGGTGAAATTAGGCCAGTCAATCAGTCCATTCCTGGCCGCTGGCACCGTCGAATTGAGCTTGCCGCCGGTTGCGTCGTTGACAGAAATAACTGGGGTATCGTTGATAATAAAATTACCCCAGATTTTCTGGAAGGCACGAACGAAATCAGCGGGCAGCGAAGAATTAGTAGAAAAGTAGGCGCTCAGGTCAGCGCCGTGGTACGCTGGGGTTACAGAGAACTGATACTTCCAACTTTGGCGAGAGTCCTTGCTGAAAGCCTCTGCAAGCCATTGAGCTGGGCAATCGAATTTGGTTTCGGCGTAGATGTCGAAAACTGTCTGTTGAAGACCAGTAGCCATCTCCGACTCGTTTAGTGCGGTCGGCTTAGTGCTGCCCAGTGTGTCGAAACGTGGATTTGAGGAAGTAGGCTGGGAGTCTTGGTACTTATAGATCTCTATAAGTTCCGAGACATCATCCGCGGTCAAACGCGGATATGTAGTCTTGACATAGTCCACAAACGCAGCTCTGCCAATCACATTCGGGTTGCTCAGGGGGACTCCATCGTTGGCATTGTTCTATTTATCGATCAGCAAAACTGAATCGACGTAATCAGGGGAAGTTCCTACGTACTCCAATCAGAATGCGTTTACCGCTGACTCGGCCCGATGATAATTGCTCAGCTGGTCGGTACTGAATGAAATCCCCGTCAACAACGGGCAAGAAAGCGAAGGTACCGAACAATCCAGAGGTTGAGACAATGCCACTAGCATTCTGCAACACCATGGTGTCGGCATTAACCAAACAGTCAAAGACAGTCTGGTATTTCCTTGCGGTATCGCCAACCATGTCACTGCTACAACCGGCTAGTTCCGCAAAGTCATTGTAGTACTGCGTGGGGATAGAGTCGTTGTACTTGTACGCTGGGGGCGACCACGCACTGGCGCCGATGATCTAGGACGCGATGAAAATCCAATTAGATCATACCTTCTCCCAAAGGCAAATTGCGGCGCAACTTACATTAGTGAAGAGACGATCCTCCCGCCCGCCGTAAGCTAGCGAGTGTAGCATAACTGAACCTGCGCCCGAAGACTCTCCACCGATAGTGACCCGCGAGGGGTCGCCACCGAACTTTTGAATATGATTCTGCACCCACTCCATAGCAAAGCGTTGGTCCAAGAGGCCGGCGTTTGTCTCACCATAAGTGTGGACGTCATCGGAGGAAAGGAAGCCGAAGGCGCCCAGTCGGTACTGAATTTCTACGGTGATAAATCCATTGTTATTGGCATTCATCATCGGGCTTGGGTCATATACAGCACCAAAGAGCCCATAGCCGCCACCATCTTTACCAAAAATGGTCAGCAAATGTCACAAAAAGCTCTATAGGATGGCGTGAACCATACGAATCCATAAGAAGACAGGCAAGTCCTGGGCACCAGGCGGGGCATAGAGGTTCAAGAACAGGCAGTCTTCATCTCCGGCGCCGGAATTGAATCCATAGACGGCTGGTGTCTTGGCAGCTCCCGATTGCGGGCACATCGGCGGCTGCTGCACCGCTTGCGTGATATGAGTGTTGTTCTGTACTGGAGGGGCAGGCGCCTGCCAGCGCAGGTTTCCTATTGGAGGGGCGGCATATCGGATGCTGTGTAATATTAGCATTTCACCGTGCTATGAAGCCCGCGACAGACATGGAACTCGACCTACCTTTTCCAGACATTCAGCTCGTAGGTTGAGTCATAGTACCCTTCATAGGTCGCATAACCCAGATCAACAGTGGGACCTGCGTTGGCCAGGCCTGCCAAGATGGCAGAGGCTGTCGTGAGTAGTAAGGGCTCTGAAACTCTCATTATTGTTAACTCTCGACATCTGGAGGTAAGTCAGGAAGAAAGTAAGAAAGGAGAGTGAGAGGTCGCAGGCTGTATCGTACCCACCAAGCCACGTGGGAGTGGCTTGGTGGGAGGGCTTGTATGAGAGCCGTCTTGAGTAGTACAGTATCAGAACTGCACACCGCCTAGCCCCGCCCATACTACGATCACTACGGCGTCGTCCGCTCCACGCCAAAATCACCACTGCCGTTTCCTATTTTTAGGCCAAAATGCCCTGTTCACCCAGCCAAATTACCTGTACGCCCTCCATGCGGCCGCAACCAGGAATTGGACTCTTATACCAAGTACCTGTGACTTTGTGTGTAGTCAGGAATAAAATATTACTGGCAGAAAATTCTTGGCGCGGGAGAAAAGAAGGGGGGAACCCAGATTTTAGACACTGCATCGTTGTTGGGTGTGTTACCCGATGGGTAGGTTCACTTACCAGGTATTCCTTTTTCGCTGTCATACCCCCCTAGTACAGATCTCGACTCATCTAAGCATATCCTTGAAGAATATCCCTGGTCCTAACAATCAAATATACCTTTCAAAAAGCCAATAACCGAGATTAAAATGCTCCGCTTCCTCGCTCGGGCTTTTCCAAAAAAGCTTAGCGAAAGCCGTTCGCAGTCGAATCCTTTGAGGCCATTACGGCAATCTTCTCGCGTAAGTTTACCATGAAGTCGCAAAAGACTCTATTCGAAGACTCATGGCTATCGAAGGTCTTAGAAAGGGGCGAGTCCTGCAACGGCCCTATCAAAAGCACGAACGTGCTGCTAAACGTTTTTGTTGGGCTCAAGATAACTTGTGACCGAGTCTGGTCGGATGAATGTTGCGGAATTATCTCCCGTAATGAATATATTTTACACCAATGAAACACCAAATCCAAAATTACATTTTGGGCTTTTACTTCCGGAGTTAGAGTTTGGGTATTTGGAACCGCGACGGGTTGAACAGTTAATGCGGTATTCCTTGGAACCACCTACTGTCCAATGAAGATTGACGCTAGCTCGGAATCTTGAACTTAATAATTTTGTACTCTCTATGGTGTATGCTTTCCAGAAAGGTATCTCGCCACTCTGGCCTTCGTCCCGTCTGTCAATATGACTCCAGGACTCAGGAGGGGCATCATTCTTCACTCGCTGAGGTAATTCTGTTTTTTAACTCCAGATTTACCCCTTGATCTATGTGATATTTGGCAGAACATCGTTATTTGAGACCCATTGAGAATCCTCAAGAATAAGTCTTTCCGTGTCAAATTCTGTTGACACTAAATTACCCCTTTCTCTTCAAAACCGAAGATGACTTCTTCCACCGCCCACGACGCAGCCTTTTTGGCGCAGTCCCGAGTATCTGAAGTGCTCGCCGGATATATCACTCCCATCCCACTCGAGCTGTTGACTACTGGGCTGCGAATCTATGTCAAGATTAGACCGTCGTCGAAGGACCGCTGGGCTTTCGACGACTATCTCATAGTTTGGGCAACAGTGAGACCCTCCTGCTTGCCATGACTTGCTCATTGTGGATCGGTACAAATTTTGACTCTGCGTACTAGGCTATGGGAATTGCTGTGTGCATCAGCGGTCTCGTTTATGGTTAAATCGCCTTGCCGATCATCCCTGCCAGAACATGATGCTGACGAGCTTACGTAGGACCTCCTTACGGATTTGGAAGGCATATTGAGGCGGTCCCAAAGCAACATTTAAAGATATTCATGATGGTATGCAGCGATTATATGAGCGAAAATTACAGCTTAATTAATATGAAATGGATGATCAGGGTGACTACGTCTTTAGCCATTTCTACAATGCGGCCATCGTTGGCACGAAGCTCTCGGTCCTCTCACTATACTATCGAATATTCATTACACCCAGCTTCCGTTTGACCGTCATCTTCACGGCTGTCTTTAAATGGCTTTGGTTCTGCGCTATGGAAATCTCGCTTGGTCTGGAATGCCGCCCTATCCAAGCTTTCTGGGACGCTAGCGTGAATGGAAAAATGTAACAACCTGGTTGGGCTTAGCTACTTTACCAACATCGTAAATATTGTGGCTGATATCTGGATTTTCATCCTTCCGCTGCCTGTCATCTTCAAGTTGCAGATCTCCGCGACCGCAAAATTGGTCTAAGCTTGCTATTTATTCGGTGTTGGCTTGGCGTAGGTCTTTCCGACCTCCCAGCTTCTTGACGGTTCTCCCTGTTGATTCTGCTTGCTAATGTCTGCTTCTTACCTTATAGGACTTGTGCTATTAGTGCGGCTAGGCTGTCTGTCGTGGTTCCCCAGGGATCTCCAGATTTCACCTGTTTGTACCACGCTTGTTTCTAATTCTCAGCTTTTACTAATCCCCTGATAGGGGCTGGAGTTCCTTTAGGGGTACTCTCTGCATTCGAGCCACTGCGTGGGATCCTGTGTGCAAACTTGCCTGTGCTCTATAGGTATTTTGCAAATGCTTTCACGGCTATCATATCTGCCAGCCCTAGCCATCCTTCTCAGAGTGAATACGAATATCCGAACCAGCACCAGCGATCAACGAGGAGCGCGACTAATAAATGGTTCTGTCGGGATATATTCTCCTGTCAGAACAAACTGGCTGTGACCCACTGCTAGCGACCGATGGATAACATCCCTTGCTTGGTGTACGCATTCTTGCGCTGGGCTGTGGCCTCGGTGTTGTGACCGCCGAGGGCCGGCGTGTGGGATCTAGGGGTGTTACCAACTAGATCTACACACATAAACATCTATCAACAGGAATCAATTGACTTTTGCTTTGGAGCATACACACTGTCCATTTAACTGTGTACACAGTACCTAGCTGGTGATACCAACAGGTGTTAAATGACTTCCATAGCCATCCATTACAAGCATCCGCCATACACCATGTAGCCTTTTATTTGAAGCCGGAATGAAGTGCTCTTGAAGCCAAGATAGCCCAATTTGATCGGTAGTCCAGCCATTATCACTAGCTTCGAAGCGCCAATCTCCAGGAACAGTAGTAGCCCAACCTAAGTTTAAGTTCTTGGCTTTGAAGATGATAGTCGGAGGAAGAACATCGAATGGATTGATGTATTCAATAGCGGTTACCCACTCTCGGTTACCTGGCATCAGGAGTTTTCGTTTTGAATAATACTCCTTTCTGGTGATAACTTTTGAAGTGCTTGTGAGCCCCATTGAGAAGCCAGTCTCATCAAAATTCCAAATATCATCGTCGTGAATACTATACTCCGCAATAGTAAGATTGTAGTAATCGAACCACTGCCTCACAAGCTTTGGATTTTTCGCATTTTGCACGCTGATAGGCATATCGACGTGAAAAATGTGTTTTTAGAGTACCCTGGCTACCTATAAAGTTATAGACCCAGTTCATGCCGACCAATACTGGTGGTGTATTCATTTCACGTTTCGCAAGTAGTATATTGGCCATTTCTCGCACCATGGTATACCCAGGGGCCATACCACGTTCGTCCATTGAGAGTATCTATTTAACAAGCGATTCCTCTTCCAATTCGCTTAATTTATGGCTATTGGGGCGTGTACCGTGGCGAAATTGAATGCCCTTTCGACGCGATCGTAGCGTCGACTCAGGTATATTAAACCGATGCGCTGCTTCACGTATAGATAGAATTTCGTCATTTTGAATAGCCTGTAAGACTATTAACATCCTACCTTCTTGTTCATCTCCTTTTTGACGTTTTTGGGAACGAACTGGTGGCATGGTAGGGTGTTGAACTTGGTGGGTTGTTAAAACGCGGTCGCGTTGAGTGGGGGCTGCGCAGCTCGCTTGTGAGTTACGTTAGTTAGTTCCCAAAGCGGGGTCAAACAATGCATGGGGTAAAATAGGCGACCCTTACTTTGCATAGGAACTCTATTTGGCCAGAAAAGACACTTTCGCATCACTCTAAACGGCCAAGCGTCTGCTACCTAGATCTAAGCTGTACGCAAACCACTGTGGTATTGTTGTTGGGTTCTCCAACTTCGTATTAGTTCGCACGTGAGCACTCTGAGTGAAAGGATTTGACTTTTCCTAATACGAAGCTCCCCACTTTCCACATTTCCGTACTTACAAGTCTTTTGGGTCGCCCATATGGGTTAGGGTGGGGAGAGGGAACGCGCTATTGGAATATTAGTTCCAAAGTATCTTCCACGAACTGCGTATGTGTCTTACCGTGCACTTGAGACCATAATTCTAGCCTGCTCTTCGAAAAACAGGTTTCCCATAATCTTTTGGAATAACGCCGAGTGCCATGTAGGAATAATAAATTACCTTAGACAGATTACATGATTTACACAGTAATTAATATTACCAGATTTACCAACAGACTTGAGCGATCTAATAATGTCAGGATGTCGGATACGTGTATCATCTAGTATCGAGGGACGGCCAATTGATGCATGAGATGGATTAACGAGAGTGTGTCTGTGTGTGTTCCGATCTGTTGAAAATGATCCAGGGGCTAACGTAACCCACAAGCGAACCGCCCACACAAGCGAACCGCCCACCCCATCAATTTTGATCTGAGTACTATAACCTCTCTTTTATAACCATCCACCATGCCACCAAATCGATCTAGTTCTGCCCGATTTTCGCAGGATAGGCAGGGCAGAATCTCATTAGCCCTGCATGCCATTCAAAATGGTCAAATTACCTCTATTCGCAAAGCAGCACGCCAATTCGACGTCCCCTGGTCCACTCTACGCGATCGCGTCAACGGTCAACAAAGTCGCTCAGAAACACGCGCCAACAACCATAAATTGACAGAAGACGAGGAGAGATCACTTCTACAATGGGTGCTCTCTATGGATTCACGTGGATCAGCTCCTCGGCCTGCTATGGTGGCAGAAATGGCCAATCTTCTATTAGCCGAACGCTGTACGCAGACTGTTGGCGTCAACTGGGTCTACAACTTTGTTAATCGCCATGATGATCTTAAATCTCGGTTCTCTCGAAAGTACAACTACCAACGAGCAAAATGCGAGGATCCAAAGGTCATACGAGAGTGGTTCGACTTGGTTCAACGCACGATTAATGAGAACGGCATCCAACCTGACGATATATATAACTTTGATGAGACTGGCTTCGCAATGGGTCTTATTGCTACTGCAAAAGTCGTCACCCGTGCTGAATACTACGGTCGGAGATCTCTTAAACAACCTGGAAATCGTGAATGGGTCACATCTATCGAGTGTATTGGTGCGTCGGGCTTCAAATTACCACCTTGTCTTATCTTCAAATCCAAGACACATCACCAGGCTTGGTACGAAGATAAAGGGGTAGGACCGGACTGGAGGATCGAAATCAGTGATAATGGATGGACAACTGATGCTATTGGCCTTCGCTGGCTGAAAGATCTCTTTATTCCGAGTACGGCGAGCCGTACAAAGGGTAAATATCGTCTTCTAGTCCTTGATGGTCATGGTAGCCATTTGACACCTCAATTCGACCGACTTTGCGCTGAACATGATATTATACCAATTTGCATGCCAGCGCATTCATCTCATTTGCTACAACCACTAGATGTCGGGTGTTTTGCGAACCTAAAGCGCGCATATGGTGGCTTGGTTGAGCGAAAAGCTCGATGCAATATCAACCATATTGACAAGCTTGATTTCCTTGCCGCCTACCCGCACGCTCGCGAGATCTCATATCACTCGGATATAATTCAGAGCGCATTCGAATCTGCTGGTTTAATACCCTTTGATCCCGATCGGGTTATATCGAAGCTTAATATTCAGCTTCGAACACCAACCCCCCCAGGAAGCCGACCAGGAAGCCGATCAAGTGAGTGGAGCCCTACAACACCACTCAACACAAAACAATTATATCGGCAAGAATCTTCAGTCAAAGCTCTACTCAAATATCGATCCGTGAGCCCTCCAACGCCTACAAAGCATGTGGTAGAGCAGACTCTTAAAGGCTTCCATGTCACGCTTCAAAGGCTAGCGATGTTGGAGAAAGAAATCCGGGATTTGCGCGCTGCCAATGAGGTTCGGAAACAAAAACGCAAGAGGTCTAATAAACGCATCGACCGTACTGAAGGCATGTCAATTCAGGAGGGAAGAGACGTAATATTCAGTTCGAACCAAGCCGTTGAATCTCTGGATCCTGTTCATCCAGAACTAGCTCCGGTCGCAAATGAGACTAATACACCACGACAACGGGCGCCACCAAGATGCAGTGGTTGTGGAGGGATAGGGCATAAGATAAATAGATGTCCGAAGCAGTGATATCAATAATTTAATGGCGTTGTGGTTATTTTATATGCAAATCAAAATTATAGGTTGAGATGGGTGGGCGGTTCGCTTATGTGGGCGGTTCGCTTGTGGGTTACGTTATAAACTGCGTATTACATCACAGTTCTTCCGAGAATGACCCGAATTACCATACAATTACTATTGCAATGTGGGTGGATGCTGAATAACCAAGAGCAGTGGAGAATCCACAGTATTTTACCTCTCTCAGAGTTGACACACCCCCCCAGCATCCGCTCTCATTGCTGAGGTTATTCCAACAAAGTGTGGATATCCTCCATTCCCAGTTGTTGCAGGAACTCGGTGTGTTTCTGTCGTGGGAGCTGCTTTGTTAGGCCGTCCGCGGCCATATCCTTTGTTTCCACCCATTCAACATGTATCCGGCCAGTTTGAACCTCCTGTCGAAGCCAGTGATGGTGTATGTCGACATGACGAAGCTTCGTACGTAAATGAGGTATTTCCCTGGTGAGTATACCAATCGTTTGCTGGTTATCGCAATTGATCGATAAAGGGTGTTCAGGATCAAAGCGGATGGATAAGAATAGGCGCTTCCACATTTCCATGGTCTTCGCGGCTTCCGAAATCGCTAGCAGCTCTGCTTCCGTGGTGCTAGTGGTAACCGTACGTTGCTTGCTGGCACGCCAATCAACTGCTCCACCAAACATCTTGCAGATATATCCTTCTGAGCTCTTCCTATCTCTGTTATCCGCAAATGATGCATCGCTGAAGAAGGATACTGCTTCAATGTCTCCATGTGG